AATAGGCAGATGGAGTAGACGCGTGTAGACACAACAAAATGAGATGAGAGAGAAAAAAAGAAGACAGAGAGAGAGGTGAGGCAGACGGACAGCCAGAGGGGGCAAGAGAGAGAGAGAGAGAGGGAGAGAGAGAGAGAGCAGGTGATTGAAAAAGAAAGTCAAGTACATGACACGACCGAGCCCCAAAATGAAATTGTATTTGTGATCAAGAATGAACCTTTCCCTGCTTGTTGTCCAGCTCGCGTGTAGAAAGAGAGAGCAATATCCTGGTTGTTTTTTGGGGGTCAGAGCCCTCCATCCGGCTAGATACCTGACTGCTTGGGTGATAACAGCATTCATCTCTCGGACTCCTGTGTCCCAATGGCTCGAAACGGCAACTTTTCAGGGCACCAATGAGAGCACGGCGGGTGCCTTTCCTTTTGCTCTCGCGAGAGACTTATACCAACAGAAGTCAGGAAGGAGTTGTTTTGTTTGCTTATGAAGACAATCTCGTGTGCAGAGCTGTGGTGAGCGAATAGAGCCGTGCAGGACCACGAGATGTTGCTCCGTCGGATGCTCTGCGCAGTCCGCTGGCCCGCAACCCCAGGGCTCGCTTGGTCACCCACCGCATGGACAAGAGCCGCCTGCTGCTGAATGTGTAGACTCTGGCGGTATCAGTAAGGCAATGAATGAGAGCTCTTGAGGGGGGCAAGGCCAACATTCTGACTCAACACCACTATAGAACAGATTTAGCTATTTAAAGCAAATTCGCTCAGAGCTGTGAGTATAAAGATTCGATGCTGCATCGACGAGTTGAAGAACCTGAGCCTCCAACAGAGCGATTCACAAATTTGAGTATCGAATGCCCCTGATCGTCGATACGGACGATAGAGAAAATCACCAGCGGTGTCATTCAGCCATGCCTTCGATCTTGCTTTTTGGCGTAACAGGCCTTGTTGGCTGTGAGTTGCCTCTATGCTTCACGCACGAAGAGGTTCGATGACTGACATATAGTAAAGCACATCTTATTTTGGCCCTCAAGAATGAATACCCCAATCTTCCAGTCACCGTGTTCTTGCGCAACAAAACTCTCGACACGTATCTGTACGAAACTGCCGGTGTGAAGCGGATCGTACATGGTACGTTTGACGAGAAGGACAAAATCGTCGCCCTCGCCAAAGAGCACGATATTGTAATCAACGTTGGTTCGTCATGGGATGTGCCTTTGAGCGAGGCGATTGTGGAAGGATTGAGCCAGCAACCGGAAGAGAAGAAGAAGACCCTCATCCACATGAGTGGAGCGGGCAATTTTGTGGACAAGAGGTGGATAGATGGGGCGTTCCACGCGGAAGCAAAGGTCTGGGATGTAAGTGAAATGACCGACTACACGCTTGTATGCGACGAGCTAACAGACGTGTGACAGGACAGCAATCCAGAAGACATGAAGCTCATCAACCCTTCCATGCTCAATGGTGGGCCAGACACTGTGTAAGAGATCATCCCTAAGGCCTAGAGCACCATGCATCTTGGCTGACAATCCACGACGCGTGCAGAGTCCTGAACGCTGGCAAGCAAGGTAACATCGGGACCTACATTGTCTTCCCTTCAGGCATCTATGGCAACGCAGCGGGGCCAATTCCAGCCCTAGGGGTGGTTCAACTGATTTACCGGGAGAAAGCGAAAGAGCTGGGATTTGTGCCGTACGTCGGAGAGGGAAGTGCCATCTTCAATTGCCTCCACGTCAACGCCATTGCCCCCTTCATGTTAAAGGTCCTGGACCTGACACTACGCGAGGATACGCCTCAAGGGTCTGTCTATGAGCGGTGTTTCGTGATTGGGGGGCCCGAAATTGCGTGGAAGGACGCATCAGCAGCTTTTGCAAAGGCTCTGTACGCGGACGGGATCGTGTCGAGTCCTCAGGCCAGAAGTGTGACGCGGGAGGAAGCAGGCGAGGGTGAGTTGCCGATGCTGATGTCGAGCAGTGTCAAGTTTGTGTCGCGACGGGCAGAGAAATTGGGTTACCAGCATAACGAAGTTGGACTGGTGGAATTCTTGAGCAAGTCGAGATAGTGATGAATCTCCATAGAAGGAGGGTGCCGTGGAAACGATGCTATGCCTAATACGGAATCAATCAACAGTTACGTCATTGTCACCTGCCAAAACTTAAGGTGCAGCCTCGCCCGGCCGGTGCCCAGCCTTGCTCGCCCAGCCTCTCCTGTACTTTCCTGCCACCTCATATTCACACCATACATACAAGAGCGTTTCACTAACAAAAGCCTGTTCGCAGTGGTGAGTCTCTCTTCCACACACTGCTGGACTTTTCATATCTAACCATCTGCAAAACAACTACACCCTCACCTTCTCCTCAAGCACCGAGCGTCTTCTGGGTACGGCACAGAAACAGCTGCCGCATTGACCGAGCGATTTCCCTGAGAGCATTACTGCTCTCCTTCCTGCCGTCATGGCTCCTGTCAGCGCTCAAGTTGACATTCCCGACCTCAAATTCTCCTCCCTCGAACTCGATGCACGCTCAACCAACCCTGATGAAATGACGGCGGCATCCTTTACCAGGCGAAGCATCTTCCCCAAACAGATATACAATCCTCTTCTCCCACGAAGCGATGACTCCATGATCCTCTCTCCAATGGACACCTATAACGTCCTTACCGCAAGAGATGCCCAAAACACCAAGGACCCGAACCCGGGTGCCGGGTCAATTAACCCGAACGACATCAACATGAAAGGGATACAGGCGCTCTTTGCCATTATCGGGGCTGCCTTTGTACTCGGTGCCATTTGGTTTTTCTTTTGGGCGAAGAATGGCGGCTTCAAATGGCAGAAGGGTGACTGGGATGAGTACAAATCCACCGTTCTGAGACGCAAGGGTCCCAACGGAACGACTCTCAGTAATGCAACCAAGAGCACGAAGCTGGGTGGTGGTAGCGTCGTGGGAGACGGCTATTCAGACAAAGACACAGCGACGATACCTGACACCATGACCGAAGCTATGACCGAGACCATGACAGAGCTGTCTTCCGAAGCACCCATCATAAAAGAGAAACAGTCCAAGAAGAGGGAAACCCCCAAAGAGAGGAGGATTCGAGAAGCCAGGGAAGCCCGCTGGGAAGGAGGCCATGACTACGACGTCCGCGCGTACCGACATGAAAAGCCTGCGCGCGTGGGAGGTCTCAACAGAGATTCGGACGCCCAATTTTACGGCACTGATTACACTGCGACCGAACGTTCTGGCAGTGATATCGCCAGCAACAGCCACCGACAAGCACCGTCTTCTCGCCAACATAGCCCTGAGAAACGTCAGACACGCCGCGACTTTTCGTACGGCCACGAGAGTAGCTTCAGCGTCTCGACTCCACCACCAGCTGCTGCACCATCGCCTGGTCCTCGTCCACCAAGATACCACTCACCAAACAAGAATTCCAGCCCACAACGTCCAATCCGCACGGTGCCTGGTTCCTTCCATGCCAATCAGGATTTTGAGACTCAGAGTGTTCAAAGTCAGCATACAAAGACCTACCACCATCCCCTTCCCAGCTTGAGCGGCCAAGGACCCGCAAGGGCTGGTGGCTACAGACGGGACAGGCGAGATAGCCTTGATGACTGATGACTGGCGGGGTGTCCATGATCGTGTCTCCAAAAAACTGAAGTTGCGAGGTCTGGCTGGCCTCTTGGTCGGTTCCAACCCCATGAGAGCAACTTCAATGGTGCGGTATAGGGCAACAGCCGAGAAGGACGTATGAAGTGACGACGAGACTGTATTGTAACTCAGACATTGCTGCACATTGGGCAAGGGAAAGATTGTCCTGAAATGGCGTTTTTGGGACTTGAAATACGGCAACGAGGCTCGTGGAAAGGGCACGGATGAAAACCCCCACATGGTTGACGACGGAAAGGAAATGGAAAAAACGGGAATAATGAAAGCGTCTTGACAGACATGGACAAAACTGCATTAAGTGAACATTCTAAGGTCGAGAATTGTTGCAAGCGAATACAAATACCCACAAAGAGCATTAGCATGCACAGATATTGTGCCCAGCAGATAGAAATAACAAGTACGGGAGTACAAATTCAAACATGACTCACCAGTACAATGTCCTCACAGTGGCAGAGAAGAGTCATTCTGAGTGTGAATGAGCATGATACATATGTAATGACATACCAGCACCATATCTTTTCTGCCGAGTACATACAATATGTAGCCCGTGCCAACCATCCACCCTACTCGCCCCCGTCTGTCTGTCTGTCCGTCTATCTTGACCATTGAGTTAGTTAGCTAGTTAGTTCATTCAGACTCGAGTCGGAGTCGGAGTCGGAGTCGGATTCGGGTTCAATCGTGCTGTTTGCAGTAGTACTTGAGTACCCCTCGTACATGGGGACTTCTTGAGCGCGAGGTAATTGCTCGAGGACTCGGGTACATTTACAAGTGATCAATCACTCACTCACTCACTCACTCGCTCGCTCGCTCGCTCATGCGTCAATGGGATCCTATCCCGTTCATGGATGCAAGCCTACCTACCTGCCTGCCTGCCGACTAATATACTGTAATTACGACCGAGGTACATTCATATACATACATATATATGTATAGGAATATGTATAGGTATATGTATATATATGTATACTGTCAAGGCCACAAAAAGAAAACAAAAAGAAAGAAGAAGGGAAAAGAGAGGAAAGCAAAGAAAAGCAGCAGAAAAGGGCTGTGAGATATTGGCTTGCCTGGCTGGCTACCCTGGAAAGAAGAGAAAATCGGTCAAGCCGTGGCTCTCTTCGTAGGTAGGTAAGCAGGTAGGTATGTATGTATCTGTGGGTGAGCGTGCCAACGTAGGTGAGTGAGCCCGTGCGTCACACACCCAGAGATAGGTAGGTACAGTAGGTACAGTAGGTACATACTTCACTACATACAAGACAGGGTTGAGGGAGGTACGGACGTACTCTGCGTTCACTAGCCTATGACCTGGCTACATAGTGAGGCAGATAGCTATCCGGGGTACAAAGCTAAAACACCATGGACGCACGGAGCTTTGCCCTGCCCTGCCCTGCCTTGACATCCCCAGCTCACAGTAACAGAATCAATCTCCAAGAATTCAATCCAGCATCCCCAAAGTCCATCCAAGAATTAATTGCGTAGCAGAGGCCCCCGTGGTGAGCACCTCGACTGTCATCGTGTCGTGTCGTGTCGTTCCGTGAACATGAGCCTGAGCCTGATACCAAAGTTTGAACCGTGACAGCAGGTCCAGGAAGGAAAGGGGATCGAGCCTCCTCAGCCAAAAATCCCCCCCCAGTGCCCATGTCCTCCTCTCCACTCCAATCCGGCCAGTGAGGCAAGGGGCGAAATCAATCCCAGCGTGTATTCCCAACCATATCAAAATGGAAACAGCAACTCGCGCTTTCTCTGTGGTCAATATGCTGCCATAGAACATGTCTCGCTCTCCCAGGGCCCACGATTTACACCTCGATCCTCGCGGCCTTCGGCACCTTACCGCCCTTGCCGTCTGTGCCCTTCATCTTCTTCGTGCCTGCAGCCTTCTTGCCAGGCTTTCCCTCCACAGCGCCGACGACTTTCTCGACCGCGCCCTCGACCTTGTCTGTGACGGTGGGCTTTCTCTTGTGTTGCGTCGCCGGGGCGCGCTTCTTGGTCACGCCTGCGGTGGTTGCGCCGGCTTTCTTTGAAGCGGTCTTGCGCTTTTTGGTGGTGCCATCCGTGGTGGCGGCGCTGGTGGTCTTCCGTTTGCGGACAGGCTCAGTCGAGACCGAGGTGAAGACTCTTGGCTTAGCGTTGCCAGTCGCGCCGCGTGTTTGGGCCATTGTTGGTGCTGGTTTGCGGTCCGGGTTGTGTGGATATGGGTTCTGGTAGTTGTACGGAGGTGTGACGGTGCGAGGTGGTCTTGAGAACTAAATCAAGCCAGGTGTCAGTTTGTAAAGAGAGTGGAATCGTGGGTGAACTGCTGAAAAAGCGGGGGTGACAAGGTGACCGGTGAGGCGCGCGCAGAAGATACGGTCACAACTTCCTGGGGAAACGAGGAATATTTATAAGGCTTGGAACAACGACAGATAAGTTGTTCGCGACAACATGTGAGTCACGAGAGGAATGGAAAATGAGTGGTGGGAGGTGTGGTTCGCAGGCAGCCAGCTCCAAGGGTGGAAGGCGACAACAACGGATAAGAGGGAAGACGTATTTACGTACCTTGGGATGCAAGAGTATCTGCTTCCTGAAAATTATCCGGCTGATCAACAACGACCAGGCGACCAAGATGAGGTAGAGAACAGAATGAAAGAAGGTGTTGTGGGCGGAATTGGAGGGAGGAAAGGTTGAGGCGATTGACGAGGGTGCGAAGTTGGGCAAGTCGGGCCCTTTTTTGAAGTGTCGAGCTGCGGTTTGCGAATCCAATAATGAACGACACGGCCAAGAAGGCGAAGTTGCCCGGATGATCGAAAGAACACACAATACCACACCACACAACCCTGCCAACATCCAACATCCAACCTTCACCATCCACAATTTCCGTTCCATCAATTCTGCGCCCCATGGTGTGTGTGCCTGGTGTTTCGCAGCTGGTTTCTTTCCATTCGTCCACTGCAGCTGCCACTGGTTACTTGACCCCTTAAGCGCCACCGTCGCCGGGCGCTTGTCACGGCACACTTGTATGGTCACTTCTCGACCAGCCATTGATATTCTTGGTGTCAACACAATTCTTGTCGTCTTCAGTCGTACCAGTCTTTTAATTTTAGGGATCGATCTTCCAGGGCCGGACCGCCGGCAAGGTGCAGCGCATTTCGAACTTCCCACTCAAACTCGGCCAGGGCTCTCAATTCCGACCCCACAAAGAGACCCCCGATCAAACCGTGTAGCGTTCCAGCCATGAGTCCCAGACTGCTGAGCAAAATCAAAATGAAGGACACGAAATTCCGAGGTGACCACCAAATGGCGACGAAACAGCCGATCGAGACCACGGCAGAGCCAACGAAATGCACAAGCCCATAACGTCGTTGTTTCCTCTCCCGCAACTTGTACTTGTGGATCATGGTGAGGATGTCTCTATAGAAGTCCTGGCTGATCTGGCTTCGTGTGGGGATGTCTGATATTGCCTTGTCGAAATCTTTCTCCTCGAAATCCACGATCTGAAGGCTGGGATCACCGGTACTCGAGTCGTGCACGGCTGCATGAGCTTCGACTTGGGTCGGACCAGATGGCCGACTAGGGCTTCTTTCTAGCGTCGCCTGCACAGCAAAATGATCGCTCAATGAGCAGAGGAGGGTTGGATGTCTTTCAGTAAGCACGACTTTCACATCGGCGACACTCCAACCTTTGCCAATGCCACTGAAAAAGATATAGTCCAACCGCTTCGCTTTAGGGTCAAAGTCTGTGCCTGATATCTTCCGATCATGGCCTTGTGCCAATTGCTTCTGATGAGCTTTGTTCCATCGCCATGTGTTCAACACAGAGTCGCACGTGTGTCCGTGTTTCCCTAAACTTGTCTCGACAGTCGGGGTGTCTTCTTCGCCCATGCGTTTTCGGCGCTCTTTTTCAGGCGGATCCACGCTTGCTCCAATGCTGCTTCCAGGATTCATGACCCGCCAAACGTCCTGAACTCCAGCACGGCTTTCCACCAGGACATGTGCAAAGCTCAACGGGACCATATTGAAGTCTCCCAGGCCAATGACAAGACTGCCTCTATCAGACGCCGCACGCATGAGTTTCGCAATCTCCCAGGCTTGTGCTGTCCGATGGCAAATGTAACTGTCGTTTGGCTCCTTTTCGTAAGGGGCGTGTAAGTGAGTGTTGAACACTTCAATATTGGTCCCATCGGGCAAAGAAATTCTCGCACATGCGACACCCTTCCCAACAAACCAGTCGCCGCGGAAGTAAGCCTGAGGTCGGCCATTGAGAGGATAGCGATACATGGAGGATTCGATAATTGGCCATCGACTAAGGATAGCTAACCCAGCACCAAAGATGCCAGAATGGTAGAACTTGCCGAATGGAAGGAAAGACCGAGTGCTGTCTCGGATGGCGAGGTAATCGGTAAATGTCCAGCATTCTTGCAAGCCGACGATATCGAGTTGAGGAGAATAAGTGGCAAGCCGATTTCCTATTTCGGACAATCGTTCGTGTCGGTATTTGGCGATATATTTCAGTCCCCAGCAATTCAAGGTCAGAACATTTATAGATGAAGTCCGAGAATCCTCGTTGCCTGATGTTGGACGTGGCTCCATTATTGACGAATGTGACAACTAGATCGAGATAGGTCGAAGAGCATTGAAATCCCTCTCGGCACCACCGAACGCCAAGCAGTTTGATCGATGAACTAGTGAAGCATGCAAGGACAATGACATGGATCAAATATCCGGAACTGAAGGATTATGACATGATGTAGTGTAACAAAGCTGTAACCCAAACGACCGTAAAATGGCCTGGGAAAAGGACCCAAGCCTTTTTTGCTGTGGTCCCTGCTACAGCCGCGACGCCTAGGAGAGATAGAATTGGAAGAGGAAGAAAAGAAAAGCAGAAGGATTGATTTGATGACGAACTTCGGCCCGAGAGGAAAAGCGCGGCCGGCACGTGTTAGTTAATGATGACATAAAGCCCCAGCCACAGTCAGCCACAGTCAGCCACCACGTCCAGCCATACGAGAGCACGGCCCTAAACCCTCTTTGGAAATTAAACGCCTGCAAGATTGCATACTATCAACCCACAGCAGCTTGCAGTGTAATGGGACTGCATGGCCATCTCACATAAATTACATTGTCAACCAGGATGGCCGATTAGTGTGAAGGCTCTTGCAGGCGATTAATGGCATCTGAATGATGCCTTGCCAAGAGACATGTACCCTAGGCGGTATTTGCTCCGTGCCCTCTTAGGCGTTTTCTCTGCTCTTTCCAGAGCAACATCTAACGCCGGGATAGTTGGCGGTATTGTTGACCAAAAAGCCCTGAATATGCGGTCTCAGTAAATTACATCATCTTCCTGCCCCCGTTCAAGCTCTTCGCCGCCATGATCGTGGTCGTCGTGGTCTTTGCTAACGCTGCTGCGCCGCCCCTCGGTTTTCGTTGCTTGTGCTGAAGTTTCGCTATCTTGTAACGGGTCGGAAGAGTCGCGCAGGGAGACATGGTCATCTCTGTTCCTTTCATCGTTAACCAGATCCGACTGTTCTTCTCTGGCTGCGGGTTCGTCGGCCACGTCCTCTGTCTCGTGTCGATCGTCCATCTCATCTGCTGCGGTAGGTCCAGATAGGCTTGTTGATGAAATCGGCGGCTGCTGACCGTCCTTCTGTCTATCCTCTTCTTCCCTTTTGAGTTCCTCCTCCCTCGACTTCTTTTTCTCCTCAAACTCCTCTGTCTCTCGCCGAATCGTCGCCTCTGCATCCTCAATCTGCTGTTTAATCTCGTCTTCCTCAAAGTCGCGCAACTCCCAGGGTTTGTAATAAAGTCGTGGCTCGGCCTTGGTCTGTAAAAATCCAGCCGACACCCTCATATTTCTATGTCTTAATCTCATAGCTTGTTCATCCCAGCGCACCTGCTCGACCCGGCGTTCGTGCTCGAGGTGTTCCTTTTTGAGGCGCGCAGATTCGGCGATTTCATGGGACTCGCGTTTTAAGCGTTCCCGTTGACGAGATTCAATTTCTTCGCGACGCGCGTTTAACGTCGTTGTCTGGTTGTTTATCTTTGTTCCAGCGGAAGTTCTTCGGGGAGTATTCGATGATTGCGAGAGGGTGCCGAGAAGGGCACCAAAGAGTCTTCTGTTCCGAGATTTATCTTGTTCCAGGGCTGAAGATGTTTGTCGCCGGCGAGGCGGAGGAGGAGACATGGCCGATGGTTGTCCTCCTGCGGCGGTTGCTGCAGCGGGAGAAGTTGCTGATGGCGCCGTCGGGGAGACATCCCCATGGCTAGAAGCGGTCGTTGATGTCTGAGAATCGAGGCGGGGACGTTTGTTTGATTCTGAGGATTCCGAGACGGAGGATTGACGGCGTTTTAGTGAGCCATTTTGTTCTGCAGGATCGACTTGAGGCTCCTCGGGAATGAGGACAGCGGAGGATATCATCATTCGCAATGCGAAAGGGATTCAAGAGTGGAGTTCTGGTGAAGGAGGCACCTGCTGCTTACTCCCGCAAATATTTGGTCTAGCAACCCGGGCTCTGTCTGGATGTGTACATGAGATGCAGGCGGAGCTCCACAGATCTTTCTTTTCCTGCTGCACGTGCTGCTTTTGCGTGTGCGGGGAAAGGGGCATGAGGCTTAGAAATTCGCCCAAGGCTGAGCATTTTTCGATGCGGTTCTGTTTCCTCTGTCCCACCTTAATATTTACGGCCTCTTCCCTTTCTGCGTTGTCGACAAGCTTCGTGTTGATTCACTTCTGTACCAACTACCGAGAAACTCACACAATTTCTAGTCACCTCCACAAAATCCTGAACATACAACCACAACAATGTCGCGCCACCACCCCGATTTAGTCATGTGTCGCAAAGCCCCCGGCATCTCGATCGGCCGCCTGTGTGACAAGTGTGACGGCAAATGTCCCGTCTGCGATTCCTACGTACGTCCCACGACTCTCGTCCGCATCTGCGACGAATGCTCCTTTGGCAACTACCAGAACAAATGCATCGTCTGCGGCGGAGAAGGCATATCCGACGCCTTTTATTGCTTCGAGTGTACGAGGCTGGAAAAGGATAGAGACGGGTGCCCGAAGATCATCAATCTGGGATCCTCGAGGACGGATCTGTTCTATCAAAAGAAGAACTTCAGAAATCAACAATATTAGGAGTACGAAGACGCTGCGCCGCCTTCCAGGTGGAAGCTGGCTCTGGCAACCAAACATACATCGATCGGCGTGGGCCAAAAGGAGCGAATATCCGAGTCTTCCAGGCTGTATCTGGTTCCGAAGGAGAAACTGGTTACGGCTTCATGTCTTGTCCAGACTCGGAGGCTGTTCGAGTTATTTGCCCAGTTATTTGCCCAGAAACGTCGAATGAGACACGAGGCATCTCGAACTCTTCGAGTCCTGTGGTAACCTAGCGTGTGCGCTTGGTCCTTCCGACTGAGAATTATGTCCGAACGGGGCACCATGCGGATCTGATACTGCCTTCAGCATCGGCAGTGCCGTCCCTAAGCAGGACAAGACTCGACATCAGTCAAGGATCGAAACCTACTAGCTAAAGAGGAGATCACCTCCTGAGCAGAGCACGATTATGGATGTTGCTTATTGAATGTTCGAAGGCCAGATCAATGCGGAGATGGAGGCAAACTGGAATTTCCGAGTGTAGGAGCCATTGCATTATCACGGCTGGGGAAGAGGTGCTTTGAATATGAGCTAGGGATGGTTCAATTGATTCATCGCTTTTACCGTCATATCCCTTTGAGCATGGATCTTGGTTGCTTTTGTCGTAGAAGTCTTCCTACCGCCTCATATGATTTGAAAAAGAGAAGCTATTTTGCAAGTCTTGTCACGCAGCATACGGTTTCGACAGTGGCCCAGCCCTGCTGCCGCACAAAATTCGTCTCTCGTCACCTTTTCCCTGGTCTCTTTGGTCTGGCAAATCCTCCTCTGGGCGTTGCCGTCCCCGATCCAGGCGCCGAGCTGTCGCCGCCTTCTACACCAGCATCTCCACCAGTGACACCTCCCGCTGCGACCAAATTCTTGACCTCATGCTCTAATCTGTCACCGAGCAACTCCTCCGGGTCTCCGGCCTCGAGTCTCTTGACAATTTCAACACCTTCAAATCCCGCAAGTTTAGTCAACCCCAACTTTGAGCTCGCATGAACCATCCTTTCCTTGATCTTACTCGTTCCCGGACATACATAAATGAATATGCTTCCGGGAACACCTTGTGCGTTGTAGAACGTATAGCTCGGTCGATCGCCCGGTATGTTGCTAGCCACTGCACCTGGGTGAACATCAGAACTGGTGGATAACAGCCGGATCTCTTCGGTCGCGATGTCGATCCCGAAGACGGCCATATTGCCCCCCGAGTTATTAGTATCTTTGAATCCTGTCAGGGCAGACTTGGCTTCATCTGCAATCTTCATCATCACACCGCCTTTTCCCGGCCCTGCACCGCTTCCTCCTTCGCCCATCAGATCCCTCCCTCGTGTCCCATGCCTCTCTTCCTCCTCAGCTCGTTTTACGGCTTGCAATTCTCTTTCCTCTGCGCTGAGGAGCCCGGCATCCACAGCTCCCCGGGCGCTAGGAGTGGGAACACCACCACTTGCGGCTGCAGAGCCCTTGGAGCGCTCATCCCATTGGGCGGGATCGAGGATTTCTTCCCTCTCAGTTAAAAAGACAGTGTCGGAGAACTTTTCTGAACCGAGCTCGCGCATAAGAGTGTTCCGTGTCGATGCAAAGAGAGTCTTTTGCCGCACGGGGGCTCGTGAAGGGACATATGTTATTGCTATCAGCTCGTTTGAAGTAGGAGCACGGCGCAGGAACAAGTAGAGGGGATCTGTCAGCGTCAGAATGTCGGAGAGCGTGTGGATGCTGTTGAAGAGGCCGGAATGAGAGGAAGGGAAGCGGATTGCCGGAAAAGGTGTGAGTGACTCAGAGGTGATGCCAGCAGGGAGGCAGAAGAGAGAGGTATCGCTGGTAAAGGTGTTGAAGGCCGAGTGCAGGTCGGAGGACGCTGCAAGCAGAAAATAGGCAACGGTCAGTCTCACAATTACCACATCCCAAGTGCAAGGGACAGTCATAAGTCACCTGTGATTCCGGACTGCATGATGGTGGATTTCTGCCTCTAAAGGAGACCTTAAGAGGCAATACAATGGAGCTGGTTGCCGTCTTGCAGCAGGCGTGCAGCCAGGCTCCTACTTTGGTGTGAGGAGCTGGAGTGTCAGATAGGGAAGGGAAGAAATCCGGATGCTGAGGACAGAAGTCATCAATGATGCCGAGTATTCACGGTCTTGTCTGCTCGGTCTTCGAGATATCATAAAAACCAACTACATTGTATGTAAGAATGCCACATATTGAGACCCCTCCGTGGGGTGCCTGCCCGAGGCTGCACTTTGCCTGATTTGACAAACGACAGCCTCGTCAACTCCAACTACCAGTTCCTTGACCGCCATTTTTCAACTAGACATCTCTGGTAGTGCACCAAAGGTTCTATCGGGATCGCTCTGCCGCGGGATTTCTACATTTAATGTGCCCAGGCCAAACTTGTTCAACATGAAAGCTCATCAGCTCGATTTAGGACAAGGGAGAAGCTGTGTTGTCTGTGAACGTCAAACCATCGATGAGATGCCCATGGCGGCAGAGTGATAGATCAGTGGCTCTCCTTCTATCCACAACGTTTCCTCCAGACACTTAACTCCCAAGGTCCGACGTTCTGTGGGTACTGTCAGAGCTGTAGCACAACAAGTCCCAGAAACTGGAGTCGGAATGTTCCGACCATGGTCAGCACCCCAAATCAGCCTTGGACGATCACTCCCCGCAACCTTGTGGGTGAAGAAAGTGTGGGAGCCTATCAGGTTGGACACTTTATCCTCTGCCTCCCTCATGCTGTGGCAAGCCTCCACGGAAAAGCCCTGTTGAGTCCTGCGATCTTCAGGAAAGGCACCGAGATATGCAGTTCAGAACGAAACCTCGGACTTGACAATGACCCGGAGAGTAATCACGTTCGGAACATGATCAAGCTAAGACTAACAGGCTACCATGGAAGTGAAGTTTTGTATAAGGAGTTAAACGGCTCTAACATCGGATTGTCAGCTGTGAGAAAGATATTGTTTTGCTAACATCGATTACCAAAATGGCTGTCACGTACCTTGTAGGAGAATCTGCCACAGAGAAGGGCAAACTACTCTATCACGCCCTCACACCTCTGCTGATTGTTGTTTCCCTCGGGAGTGTACTTTATGTATGCCGTCCCCTTCCAGCAGAGCTGGATCAGCCCTCCAAAACCCATCGAATCTGACACAAATTACAGACTTTCGGGCTGGTCATATATCGGCTTTACTTCCACCCACTCGCCAAGTACCCCGGTCCATTCTGGGCCAGGATTTCCAATTGGTACTCGGTGTATCACGCTGCTATCGGCGACAGACACCTGCAGACTTACTGGGCTCACCAGAAATATGGTACGTATTATCGAAGTCTGTGGTAGTGCCAGAGATTCTTGTAACAAAAAGACCAATGCGAAACATATGGAAGTAACCAAAAGAGACGATCGTTGACGAAGTATTGTTTTCCGGCCAGGCAAGTTCGTCCGTATTGCCCCCAACCTTGTGACGATCAACGACCCAGCGGCCATCAAAGGTACGTATGCTTGCCCAGAGATACTGTTTCGCTGGAGAGCCGATGGCTTGTATAACGACCCCAACGCTGACTGTCCTGATCAGACATCTACGGCGTGAACCAGAACGTGCGCAAGTCCGTCTTCTACGAAGCCTCGATCGCGCACAATGGCTTCCAGAACATTTTCTCCGCGCGGGACCGCGAGATTCACGCCCGCAAACGCCGCATTCTCGCCCCAGCATTCACCGAAGCGAACCTGTCCTCCATGGAACGGTACATCCTCCCGCACATTGACGAATTCTTCCACGCCGCGTCGGGGGAAGAGCGTTGCTCGGCACTACGCAATTGCTGGGCTGCCGACCTGGGAAAATGGGGTAACTACCTGACCTTCGATGTCATGGGCGATCTCGTCTTCGGGAAGGACTTTGGCATGCTCCGCGGAGACGAGAGTCGAGACCTCCCCAATGTCATTGACGCGGCGGTGCATCGGCAGCTTCTTGTAAGTTCTACACCTCCCCCTATGTGTTGGACAAGATGGAGGAGAGAGAGAGATGGAGAGCCAAAACAGTAACAACAATCGAGAGAACCCTCGGCTGATAAATCATGGGACGCAGAACGGATGCAGCCACTTCATGCTCAGATGGAACCTCGACAAGCTCCTCTTCCCAGACATTGTCCGCCGCGGCCGGCAGCTGCTCGTCTACGCAAAGAAGCAAGTCCAGCTGCGCAAGAACGCCGACCAGAACCGCAAGGATTTCTTCTCATACATTACCAATGCCGAGAACAAGGACGGCACCAAGGCGTACGCTGAATCCAGGGAGGTATTTGCTGAAGCGAGAGGACTCATCGTCGGTGGTATGTCCATCCCCAATGCCTCGTGTCTGATACAGGGATCCAGGAGAGAACGTCAAACTCACAAGTACTTAACATCTTCTGTGACCTACAGGCTCTGATACAACGGCTACACAATTGGCGGCGAATTTCTTCTATCTGACAAACAACCCCCCCGCTTTGAAGCGTCTCGTGGAAGAGATCCGGTCGACATTCAACTCCGCCGACGAGATCCGCCTTGGGAAATCCCTCGACAGCTGCCGCTATCTCCACGCCGTCATCAACGAAACCATCCGCCTCAGTCCCAGTCTCCCCGGCGTCCTGCCTCGGGAGGTGCTTAAGGGTGGCCTCACAGCGGTCGGGGAACACTTCCCCGCCGGCGTCGAGCTCTCGGTCCCCATCTACGCGGTCCACCATTTCAGCGACGTCTTCTTCGACCCGCACATGTTCATTCCCGAGAGATGGCTGCCTGAATACACGAGCGAGGATGCCGTGAAACGGTGCCACGACGCCTTGACCCCGTTCTCCTACGGCTCTCGACAATGCATCGGCAGGAGACTCGCGGTGATTGAACTTTATCTCGTTCTCGCCCAGGCTGTCTGGAAATACGACATTGAGTACGTCTCAGGTGGGAAAGATGATCGGTTTCCGCAGAATCCGGAAGTGGTAGAGTACAAATTGCTTGACCATCTTGCTGCTGGGAGGTCGGGACCCGTGATAAGATTCACAAGCAGGGAGTAGGAAACAATGGGAAGACAGAATCTTGATTCGTCTGGGAGTGCGGAAGTGCTCAGAAAGGGCTCACGAAAGGGAATCTTTGACAGTCGAAGCACGCTAGTTAGGTAAATCATAGGAGCATCTGGCGGTAGTACAATTTTCATAGTAGTTCAATCACAAGTCCTCCAAGCCAAACGGACTGTTCCGTTTTGGACGTGTTGGTAGCACGAAGCCGCTTTTTCTCTGGCATTGCGTCAAGCCATCCAGAAATTGTTGACCAAGGTCCCCAGGTCTGGAGGCAAGCCAAAGTCCGGTTCCGAAGAGGGCGGCAGCTGGAATTCCCACAGGCTCGGATCTTCGGATAGGAAGGGGAAAACCAAGCCATTCTCGCCGCTCCCTGGACCGAGTTCGGCGAGCGGCAGCGCGTTGAGCCCGATTCCCGTTTCAGTGACGGTCTTTTTGTGTTCGGCAAGCTCGGTCCCAGATCCCATCGCAGGAAGGAATTCGGCCTCCGGGCGTGCTGCAGGGAAGAGGTGGTCGGAGAGATTGAGGCGTGACGCCACACGTCGAACTCTTTCCCACAAGTACTGGGACTGAATCGAAGTCTCCGCCAGCCTTTGCAGCCGGGCCAGCGCGACTGTCGAGCTCTGCCGAGCCTTGTTGGCGATGTCGGCGGGAACTGAAAGCTCCTCACCGTTGGCTGAAGGCGAACCCACACCGGAAGACTTGTGTGTCGTGGCAAAAAGGAGGATGTCCATAGCAGAAACGAGGAAATGATTGAATTGTGCCTGGTGAAAGAGGTATTCTTTCTTGGAAGAATCCAGCTGGGTCAGAACCTTGACCGTCTCCGCGGCAATGTCCACAGAGGTGATCCAGATGTCCGAGGGCGCGGCGCTCCGCAGGCCAGAGCAGAGGAAGGCTCGAGCGATCAGCGTCCTGAGGTGGTAGGCTCGTATTTGTAGAGTCGTCCGCACCATTTGGAGTCCGAGGCTGGCGTCTTCATCGAGTGCGAGTGCTTCGAAGTTTTCGGAAGCTCGAGTCGCCCACAGGTTCACTCGGTAGAGAAAATAGGAATAGTCATCCTGGAAGTTGGAAAGTTGCTCGGGATTCAAGATCTTGTCGTTCAGGAGGGCGTCGCAGGACTGTTTTCCAATACTTGCGTACTCGATCATGAGCTGTAGAAAAGGTGCATCGACCTGTAGGCCATGACATTAGTGGGCTGCGCTCCAGATATGCCGCGAAAAGCTGATGCATTCCTGCAACGAATGGGTCTAACTCACCGGTTGAGGAAAATACGGCTCCGGGTGGAGGTTTTGCATTGCGTTCGAGAAACCCAAGGCATAGCTGAGATGCTGCTCGAGGACCACGACCGTCCAAACGGTGTTGATTGCTTGTGATCGGCTCTTGATGTCGGCGAAAGAGCGATCAAGCACCATTTTGCGATTCAAACCCAGCTCAAGGATTATGCGGCTGACATTCACTGTGAATCTCCATGCTAATCTCCACCGAGCACAATGCAGATGGTATAAAATCTGGTCCATCAAGAATTAATCAACTTGTTCCCGGATACTTTATAGACGAAGTCAGACATACCACCAATGTCATCAATATCAAATCTTTCAGATCAACTGCAGCACTCCAAATCATAGTTTCGATCTCGGAGTGAAGAGACTGTAACAGCCTCGAGGTCAACGTTTGATGGGTATCACCTTCTGCCAGGAGGCCAATCGCCACGACCATTTTCAGGATGGCCAAGTCCCCTTTGCCGACAGCGCATGTTCTTCCGCGGCCTGATCGACCGCTGGCCGTATCTGAGAGGTGGTTCATGACCTCATCGAGGTCGGAAATATCCAGGATAGGATACATTACCAGTTCTAGATTGTGAAAGGCCTGCACTCCCTGCAAAATCAGGTTGTGGTCCATGTCGGTGAGCGGATCTGTAAATCTAGTAGGCGCAGAAGTATCTGGACCGCTCGTGCTCGACTCCGAAATTGATTCTGCAACATGCTCGATTTCGCTTCGGCTGATGTCACTCGATTCACCGTCGAACACCTCGCCGTGGATGATGGACAAGGATGTACGTGTTTGCGTGGCAGCGGGCCCATTCGGCGTGGTTTGGGCCTGTGAGAAGTCGAGCCCCAGCTTTCTAACACCTGCATCTATGACGTTGATGCAAAAGAAAGCGCTGGTGGATGTTTGAAACAGTGGCAAAGGCTGCTTCTGCGTGGATAGCCTCGTGTCGGGCTTGGTGAGACGATTCTCGGCTGCTTCATAAGCCGTTTGAATGGCTACGGTCTTTTTGATCAAAAGATCCAGCTTCTCGTTCTGCTGTCGAAGAAGCGAGGAAACCTCTGCTTCGAATTTGCGCTCATCGTCCCTACTGAGGTCAGATATTGCCGGGATAAATGAAGGTGTCTTACTCTGGTCGATGCTCGTGGACTTGGAAGTTGGGAGGCGCCTGAGCGCTGTAAAGGCAAGTAGCTTCTCGAGAAGCACAATATTTGCAGGGCAGTCGTCCATCACATCTCACTTTTGCGGCTTTACATTTTTCACACGCATGGGGCGTATATCGACTTCTCTTCCGAGGGCGTTGGGACGAGGCTTGTTGTGTCTCAGTATCCGTCGCCGTCGCTCCTGCTGTGCCTTTACCGCCAGAGACTTCGCGTTGTCCAGGCATTGTTGAAGGCAATATACGGGGGTGTTGAAAGCAGAAAAAGGTACAGAGACGGCGAAGGATAGAACCCGTCCCAGCTTACATCTCGTTTTCTGGGTGTGCATATATGACTAATTGCGGCTAACTGCGGGCGGTTAGTCGACGCGGAAATGGACCGAAGCTGCCACACTACGAGGTATACTGTACTGTAACATGAAAGGGGGGCGGGGGAGTTTGGAGCCTATCCGCGGGGGGGAAGAGTCAGCTCTGGGGCGACTTATGGGCTGCTGACCCCTGAATCTTCAGCCTCATTCGCCTGGCCGCCCACTAAGCTTACGGGTCCCGCCATTTTGGATGCAATATCTCTGTTGCTACCATGTCGGTTCACAAGGATTGAATCTGATATATATATTACCCGAAACCCTGGTCACCTACTGGACTATCCACAAGATTGACCTAATATGGTCATTCCAGCCTGTGGGTAGAAGTCATGGTGTTATAGTTCCAGCTCTGATGTTCAGCCTTGTTCTCGTCCGGACAAACCCCTCTGGACTAGTGGCACATATAGAACCCCGCGAAGCTCTTCTATAATTTCAGGCCCTGTACTACTTTGGACTGGACAGCTCAGACCTCTAATTGTGCCCGACATGTACCAATGGGCGGCTCCTCCCTGACGAATCCCTTTCACGTGCCACTGTGCTGGGCCGCTTTGGTGGAGCCTGATCTCTGATTGGTCCCTCTCCTATGTACCATCTTGTCCTTAGCCTCTGATTGGCCCTCATTATGTACCAAGTTGGCCAGTGCATCTATTTCACTTCATCGATCGATCCTTCTCAGCCTGACGAGGAGATTTGTTCTGTTCCTCATCAATGTCGCACCTCTGGCATCGAAAAGCGCATTACGTTCTTTAATCATTCTCAGGCTTCGATGGTCTGCGGATATTGTCCAGAATGGCTGAACAGTCTCGAACCTGTGAAGTGAGCCAACCTCCAACCCCTCGAGCACGTCGCATCAAAGACAGAGAGTGGAGAGCCTTGCGCCCTGAGATTGAGAAGCTCTACCTGGAGCAAGCTCATTCGAGAAAAGAAGTGATTGAGAAACTGGCTCAAGGTGGATTTCTCGTCACGTAAGTACTGGGAACACAATTGACCCTCTAGTACTCAATCTTGCTGCAAACCTGGCACTGTCGTCTCAACGAATGCGTACTTACCCCTAGAAAGTGAGAAGCAGCTCAAACATATTCTGATGAAATGGTGCATCAAAAAGAAAGTTAGCAGCATAGACATGGAAAATATGTTGACAATCAAGAGAAAACGTGAAGAAGGCGGCAAGTCGACAGAGTTCATATATCATGGGCACATTGTGGATCAAGCAAAAATGCAGCGCGCAGAAAAGCGATGGAAGATTCCACCCTTGTCCAACCCTGGTGAGACTTCTTTCTCCTATCCTCGCCACCCGGCACTGATTCAACATCGATAGCGCTCCCTTCGTACATTGAGGTCTTCAGCCCGAACACACCACGTCGGAGTCCACTTCCCAGTCCAGTTCTGAGTGAATTTATCGTTCAAAACTCTGGAATCGACAACATCTTCTCTGGTTCGAGTAACCTTACCCCTTCCGGCAATCACTTCCTTGAGAAATCACCGACCTTCGCAGCTGGTGAAGAAGGTACTGCAATTACCACGTTTGAGGCAGACCCGCTATTTTTCCAACATTTCGAAAACGATCTCCAATGGAGCCTCGATTTTGCGCAGACTAACTACCATGAAGGGGAGTTGACTATTCGCGCTCCTGCATCGTTCGCTTCCACGACTCGCAATGATATTGAATTTTCTTCTTTCCTCAAACTACTTGATAATAACGTCGACGGCCCGCTCGACTCTTCCCACGACTCTGCCATGGCAGTTTTCGGAGACAGCTCAGAAAAGCCAGCATTATGTCCGACGCTGCCAACCCCTGTTCCCAGTTCCCAAATCACTTCACCCTTTTCCTTACCAATTGGATTGAGTCCAACTATTTTATCCGATGACCGCCAACCCTCCCCAAAACATGACCTGGAGTCGATATCTCTCTCGGATGAAATCATATTTTACGGCATGAATCCTGAGGACACCATACCTGCAGTCCAGATGTTGAGGAAGCTGCTCCATAGTCTCCAAGAAAATGTGTTCCTAGAACACCATATGAGATCGCATGGCAGTTTCCGATCGAACCTGACGGACGTGATAAGAAGTGAGCGCCTGCTCGCTAAGGTAGATGGTATTGCGCTTTGGTCATACCAGGCTTCGATAAAGATGATCCAACAGCAAAGGGCAGCTCGCCAGTCATCCTCCACGAATTTCGAATTATCCACGCCACAGAGGAATGAAAACAATCAGCAGATTTCAGAATATCAGGCTCAGACTGCGTCGAATGGGGGCACGCTCATTGCCTACTGTGATGTCCAAACTTGGTGTACGACCGGCGGATTTCTTCAATTACAATTGCGTCGAATGTCCAAGGAGATCTCGGGCAGCGATAAAGACAGTACTGCGAATTCTATCTCTATTTGCGTTATCCCAGAGGTCAGAAATTACGCAATAAATGGCATCTACATTAATATCCCCCCAATTTGTAGGAGATCTCAGCAGCCTCCACTCTACACATCAATTCGAACATTCAATGTGGTTCCAGAGAGCTCCGAAATCATCACTTTTGTCAAGGAGAACAATCTAGAGGGTGTGAGAAGGCTGATAGGAGAAAAGAAGGCCTCTCCGCGGGACGTCGATCCATGCGGTGTCTCACTCCTCTCGGTAAGTATGACCTTTTTTTTTTTGAATATTCCGTTTCACTAGTCCTAATACCGGCGATAGTATGCAATGCTCTCAGGTTGCTCAGGGGTCTTTCGGTTGCTCATGGAAGGGGGGGCGAGCACAGAGCAATGTGAATTGTACGGGCACCCATTCCCAGTGCCTTTTACCATTCAATGAACTAACCCGAGTTGCTAGTGGTGGCCGAACATGCAACATTATTGATACGATCTGGTATTCACATGTTCAAGAGGCGGTCCACCTCGACTGTGCTGAGGCCTCCATATGGGAGCGTGTCGCCGATATTGATCATTGTCGTTCCATGACAAGGCTTGCGATCGAGAGCGGATGTGTTCCTGGAGAATCTATACCTTTGAACCAAAGCGCACCGACACCACTATTTTTTTACACCCATGCATGCCAGGGCAGTTTCACCAGATCCCGGCTCACAGGCACGATCAAGGCCATGCTTCGTCTTGGATATGACAAAGAAGTTCGGAATGACACTGGACAAACGCCTCAGCTATATGCAGCCTTCACGCATGGGGTACGATCTCTGACAGCAATGGAACTCCTGATTGCTGAAGGCGCAAATATATATGCCGTTGATGGCCACGGCCGAGGCGCTCTTCATTTGTGCCTCTGGTTTTCTGAGAGTCTTAAAAGGAATTACAGCTTCATTTGCCGATTGAGCGCTGAACGCCATATTAACACAGCAAACTGCTCCAGAAATAGGGCTTTTGGTGTCCGGGACACTGAAAGCACCATGCAAGAAGTGGTGTCCTCGGAGGACAGTGATAGCCAACCTGGCGAAGAGTCTGGCAGGGAGTCTGCTACCTGTGATAACGAAGAGGTTTCCTCTGTCTCTGATGACCCGTCGGGGCTTCGAGAAACTTGTCCCTGGTGCGGTAATAGAGCCCAGCTACAGATTAATTTTGATGGCTGGGCTCCGTTACAACACTACTGCTACTGCGAGCGTATAGATGTTGACGACTTCAACATGCCAGAAGCCGACGATCCAGAACCTCGACTATACTTGTCTAAGGCGCGGATCCGGCTCAAGCTCCTTGCCTTGTTAAAAGCGGGATGCTGCCCCAACTCGCTCGACAATGCAGGGTTATCCCCCAGTGACTACGCCACAGCAGAAGGACTGTGGTCACAATGGGAGTGGGCTCTCGCAAAAAGTGGCTTTCGATACGACGAGGGCACGAAATCGTGGGTTCAAGACAGCTGACGGTTCTGTGGGAGAGAGGAAAGCTATACCACGTCCAACTGACCTGCTTCCGAGTTTTCGTGAGCAGCGACCAAAAAAACCATGTCCCTCGTTCTCAGCAGATGGACAGCTCGGAGTTGTAACAGGCAACGCCTCCGGGTTACCACGTCGAGCATAGGATGAAACCCAAGGTACGATTCAGGTTGTTTTCCTCGCGCATCTGGGTCGCCTGTGAGGTGGTCAAGCTGGAAACGGATATGTGTTCGGAGAGGATGCTCGCCGCTCACTCATCTGCGATTGTTGAAGGAACCCGCTTTTATGAGCCATGAGTAATATTCTCTTAATACACCTTCTAGATAGAAACAGGATCGTCAGTGCCCAGTTTTAGCTTCCGCACTTCAGTAGAGGAATGGCGGATCAGTTCCAAGCATATCGGTTGCACAGTGTCACTCCCTGATATAAAGGCTGCGAACCACACCGTAGAGAAGTTTCCGTGCCGATGGTGCAAAGTTGCGATGTAAGGGCGTCGACTATAGTTCTCCCCGTAGACGCGCGCCAACACTATCCGATAACGAAGGTAGGCCTGGGTCGAGGTAATCGAGATCAAAATTGAGATCACCCAGATTCACACGGTTGTCCAGAGAGGTCTGCAGGGCTTGCATATTGCTCTCCAGCAGCCGCAGCTGTCTGTCGAAATGTTTCGCGGGTACATTGCCTGCCAAGCTCTGCTGGCGGAGGATGCCGACCGTGGTACTGAGGGCAGACAGGTCGTCGTCTGTGAAGTGCAGAGCGTCCTGGTTGGGATACGCAAATGACTGCATGGTCCTGGCAAGGTGGAGTCCGATGGCAGCAGTGAAGGCGTAGCTAGCATCGAAATAGGAATAAGTGGCTGCACATAAATCCATTTAGCATTTTCCCAGATTTGGAAAACTGGGGTTCTCACATAGTGCCCCTTGGTACTGTAACCACTCTAATATACCTGCTGTCTCTCGCGCAGAGTCCAGGATGGCGCTGTAAAATGCTCGGAGCATCGGTTTTGACCCAGGATAGGCGTCGTTCGTGTCGAAATGGTCCTTCGTCCGCGCGTCGAAGCGGTCATTGTGGATGTTGACCAAGATGGGCCGGAGAAGCACAAGGATGGTCTAGTCTCAGTCAGTAGGAATGACTAAAAAGTCTGCGTGGGGGAGAGAGCGAGCTGACTTGATGATAGATGAGATGCAAATTCGCGGTCACTCGGCTCGGGAACAGTCCCAACCCTTCGAAACTCCTGGCGAGCTTCAACTTCTCCGGGAGCTCCTGCTGCCAGGCGATCAAGCCTTGGTGGAATTCGTCCATCTTATCCAGGTGTTGTTGTGATAAAGGATTGCCCATGTCAAAATCGAACAGCGAGATATGTGAATAGGGGTTGATCGCGGTGCCTGCGTAGCCGTATAACGAAGAATAAGCCTGACCTCTCAGGCGCATGAGTTCAAGGTGTGCATTGGACTCTTCAGAGTCAAAGAACTCCATCACTGATTCGCCAGAGATACGACTGGAGTCTGCGTATTCAATCGTAATCTCATCGTCCAGGATCCCCCACGGCCTACCTGTGGTGGAGGAAGTAAGTCTAAGCAAAAGGTCAGCTCGCTCTGGCAGAGGTTAACGTGCTAACAACATACAGATCTTGATAATACACGGTCCAGAATACCCGCCTCTGATGTTCGCTTTCAGCTATACGGAGATCAGAGCCTTCTAGCGGCACATCCAGCGGGCTTCGGTGCAAGCCGAGTGAAAGCGCCGCACGTAAACCGAGGCCATTGTACATGTAGGCCGTGTTAATTTTGTCCATCGAAAACGCGTAGACCGCAAGCAGGCACAAGGTCTCAATGTACAGTACGTCAGGATTCTCGGCCACCTGCTGAAGAAATGCAACGGATTGGTAATAATAATCGGCTCCAGGAGCTTCTTTGTCGGGGGATGCCCGGCCTAACGCCAGGCCATTGTCAGCACTGCTGCATCCATTGCTGTTGTGTAGCTCCCCGACTGCAAGTACTGCAAGCCAAAAGCATAGCCAACCTCGATCTTTGCTTCGAGGGGATTCCGGGTGCTGATACATTTGTGTTACCCTGGCGCGAATGTGCTGTCGTCGGAAATAGTGCTGGTCGTGGCCAATTGCGAATTCAACGCATTGAATTAGATGTATGCTGTGGTTGTAGGGCGGCATACGAATCTTCACTGGTCGGCTGGCATCGGATCGGTCCGAGGAACGGGATACTTCGGTGTCAATAGATATCTCCAAGCCTGGGTTCATCAAGCCAGGATCTAAGTGCCCTAGGGAAGCCCATGAAGGATTGAAGGAGGCCTCGTCGAATGGATCAAGCTGGAGCTTCTGCACCGCAGCCCAGGCAATGAATTGCTCCACAAACGTGCGACAGGAAGGATTCGCACGATATGTCTGCCTCGAAGCTCGTTTGCCTTGATCCGATCGACGTGAGCTGAAATCCTTCTCGGAACGTCTATAGCTACCGGTCTTTGATGTCGCCGGTATCGAGCCTCCATTAGCCGCAGTTGATGGTGTCGAATTTTCCTCCTTGAGGCTGTTCGAAGGCGAGACAGGTCCTTGCTGGCTCACGGAATATCTTGATTTGCGAGGGGGCGGAAAGATACACGGCGAATCGGATAATGTACAGTTCCTGCACGGAACCCCTAGCCACCAGGTTAGTCTCAGATGCATCAAGCTTCGATTGACTCGCGCATACCGCCGAGGCATTTTATTCTTTTCGTGTGACACCGCGAGCATCTGCCATTAGCTGTCAGTACTTCAAAGCTCAGAAGAGTCGATCTTGTGCAAACAAGAAGATTAGGTCTTGAGGTTAACAGACGCTTGTTTTCTACGCGGCGTGTAGTATATCGGCTCCGGCCTTTGTACAGCAGAGGTCTCACTAAATGTCACCGATGGCATTGAGGGCGGTATGGGTGTTGCCGGCCACATTGTCGCAAACACGATAAGCTATCATTTCCCGCCCAGGGAGCTGTTCTGCATCACTATAGAGCATGGAGGAGTGCTCCAAGAGCTCTAGTTTCCCATAGATACATTTGATCGATATGTCGTGTCTGTGGATATGGAATGCGATACGGAGGGGGGAGTCGATAAAGAGCCTGGACTGGCAAATGGTTGTCGCCAGCGTCCTCGGCATATCGGAAAAGGGCTACTGCAGCTGATAGCATCCACGTGATTGCGCTAAGTCTTGGCAGGTCGTTTGAAGGGGATTAGGGCTTACGCTTAATTGTGCCTCCCTTGACATCAACATGTCCAACACACAGCATCTTTTATGGCCTTTCGTCAAGCTGAGAAGCTGCCGGCTACTTAGGCTTTTAACATCTAGACGACTTGGTCCGGTGCATATGGCTGCAGCTGTGCCCTGATTATTTGAAGCTGGCTCCGTTGAAGAATTCAAACTTTTGAGTTGGAAACGAGCCCTCGCACTTTCTTGCGAGCACTGATAGGTGATGGTGTCCTAATATGCTCCTGGGTATCTGTCTTAACAGGACGCGACCAGACAATATCTCAGATGCCTCTGTCTCTCTTTCAAGTCTTCTCACGCTGCACCTGTCATCGCCTCTGCGTATTCGAGAACAACGCTCTTCGGTTCAACAAACACGCCCAAAGGATGATAATCTATGCTGTATCCGAATGCTTCTGGTCCACCATACTCCAAACCCCTTTTCGTGTCTGACCATCGTGGCGAGCAGGTAATTCCAAGTACCGTAACTAGCAACCCGTATCGAAACTCAGGAACGCCGAGGGCGCATCCAGACTGGGTGTCAAGAACTGAGATTAGATCGGGCACCGTTGCCAGGTACGTCTCGGTTCCGTCGTCGGCGATATGCTTTGCATATATATTTTCGTTCTTGAACGGGATCTTGACCACGCCTCCTTCAGCGACTGCCGCTCTCTCATGAGTCTGTTCCTCTTCGTCTTCGTCCGTTTGGGCTATGGTTATCTCCCCATAAGAATGTCCTTTGAAAACCCTTCGTTCGACTGCCACTATCTTCCCCCGGAAAAGGATCTTTGCTGTGGTAGGACCCCCAACTTCGTCTATAATCTGTTCCGCAACGGTATGAATGGTGCTCTCCTGTTGGGCACGGGCCACGGTCCTACCAATTCGCCAGGAGAGCGAAAGAGTGTTGATGACTCCATAAGATCTCACACGGTCAGTCGTCGTGGGCCTGGCTGCCATGCCCACTCTAGATCCCATCTCCGAGCAAGAGGCTCGTAAGGCGCGGTCAACTATTTCATCGTCAGGCGACTTCGTCATGATGATCGTTTTACCGTCACCCGAAGCAATTGCGCACGGTGTCAGCTGTCCACTTTCATAGACCGCGATTGTTGTTTGCCAGTACGTCGGATATGCTCGGCCTGATATCGTGTTAGCAACTCATCGATATTTCTGAGAGGCAAAGATGGGAGACGCACCCATCCAGTCTGCATCGATCACTGGTCGATCGAACGCGTGGGAAGAGCCAATGAGCAAAGGCTCTAAACCGTTGGCTCCTCCAATCTCCAGGCCCATGACAGCATCGAATGATTTGTGACCTAGGTATTCCATCAGGTCTGCCACAGCAGTTATACATTCCGAAGAGTTCAATCGCTCAATCGACACTGCAGGCGATCCCATCATACCACCCCCTGTTGTTTGTCAGCGCATCAGCAGCAACGATGTGTTCTATCGGACTCACAGTAAATGAGAGCATCCTCCTTCAAGGAAGAGCTATCGATAATGCGAATCGTATTGCCTCCTCGGATTTGATCGCGCAGTTTGAGGAATTCGGCTTTGGGTGAACCACCACCAGCACACCCGAGGATGTAACATCCCACACTAAGCCACTCGATGTCGGTTTCCGAAACAATCCACTCGTGGACACCCGTGTCTGCGTTCCGTCTGACCAACGGTCGATATGCGTCAAAGTCGAACTTGCCTTTGGTAATCTCTTCTTTCGAAGATAATGAGAGGCCTTTGACTGGGTGGACAAGAACTTCATTTGGCTCATCTTCCTCTTCAGCCACTGTTTTGCTGTCGGCAACATAGTCCAGAGAGAGATCCCCAACCGCTTTGACCAGAACGCGAATTTGTCCAGAAACATACGGAATCGGCAAGGTGTCTATTTCAACGACCGTCACAGTACTTGGATCGGCACCTCCTTTCATTGCTTTTGCAATAGCTTGAGCCTTTGCGTCCTCCATGACTTCAGATAAAGACATATCTGTGATGCTGTATATAGCATCCACCGAGCCACAAACTCTCGAAATCGCAGCCCCGACGGCGTTCGCGACAGAATGAAACTTTGGCACCACGACTTGAGATACTCCTTCGAGTTCTAGTGGACAGATAACAGAGCCTCCGCCGACCAAAAGAACTGGCAGTGGTGCTGGAGTAAGCTTCAACCGGTCGATGACACGCTCAAGCATTTTCTTCGTCCGGGCCCGTACGCGCTGTATCATTTCGGGCTGAATATCGCTAACCAATGCTGGATCTCCAACAGCAAGACCCCCAGCAACTGCCACATCGGTAGCTGTACAAGTGTCACCGCCAAATACCCTCGATCTAGTGGTCAGCTGGTATCCAACCGAATCTGGCCCGATGGAGACGTCGATTCCCCGTTCGCGTATTATCGACCCTCCTCCGAGGCCAATTGACTCGAGATGAGGCATGGGGAAGTTCATCGTCACCCCCGCGACACTGACATAGGCCGATGCTGCGCGAGGAAATCCTGATGGTAGAAGAACGCCGCAATCTGTCGTCGTACCGCCAACGTCGATTACAATTGTCGATGTACGTTCCTCGCCCTGTAATCCCAGTTGTCCAAGACCAAGATAAGCCGCCCCTCGCATGGAATTTGTGGGACCTGATGAAAATGTCTTTATCGGCAGTTTTGCGGCCGAGACAGAGTCGAGGACTGTACCATCGTTCTGCGAAATGAATAGGGTACAGTCGAGGTTTAACCGCTTCATGGCATTACGAAAGCCCCGAATTGTGCGTCTCGCAAATCTCAGGATAGATGCATTCAATATGGAAGCGTTTTCTCTTTCCAACAATCCGATATTCGAGACTTCAGATGAGCAAACAACGTCGACATTGCCCAGTCGCTTTTGTATTATGTCGCGAACCCGGCTCTCCTGGTGAAAATGCTGATCGATCGGGGAGAAAATTCCAGAGATCACAATGGCTTTGATCCCGAGCCTCTCAATCTCCTCACACTGTTTCAAGACTTGCTCCACGTTGATCGGAGCTTCCTGAGCGCCGTCGATGTGAAGACCTCCGTCAACATAGCCGTGGTAGCCATGCAGGAGGTCAGCCAGTACAGGGGGAAAGTCCGAGAAGGGAGGAATGTCTTTGGTAAAACTTTTGGACAGCCGAATTACAGCGACTTTCGACAGTCGATGTACATCGCGCTCAATAACCGCATTCAAGAAGTGTGTGGTTCCAACAATGAGGCAGGAAATATCTGAAATTCGATCTCCGGCTTGTTTCAGTACGTTACTTACGGCCGTCTCGATGCCGTCAGTCACATCGGGACTTGTTGTTGGTGTCTTATGCCAGGCCAGTACTCCACGATTGGGCTGATGAACCGCATCCAAGTCGAGAAGCACAGCATCCGTATTTGTGCCTCCAACATCGACACCAATCCTCAGAGCTCGCTTTGCCCGAATCGAACCCATTTCAATGCGAGATCAGCCCGCGAAAAACGATTACTTTCGAGGAATCGAGAGTGGTGCCGTGTACGATTTGTCGTAGAAGACAGCTCGCAAAATCTGTCTCGTCTATATCAAGGAGATCGACCACGCATGTGGCCGGCAGCGAGTTTTGGGATCAGATATGTAGGCCCGACAGTCAAAGTCACCTACGACTGTGTCATATTCCTGACTAAAAAACCCCTTGCTGTTCGGTACCTGACCTCGTGCAGATGGAGTTCGAGGCAGGCCCGCCGAGTCTAGAATACAACTTCCGGCACCCAAACCCCATCTACAGAACTATCCGAAGCAAAAAGGTTGATCCGTGAAAGCATTGGCCTATCTGTTTGCGACCTGACTAGTTCGATTACGGCAAGCACGTCCACTGATAGGTTCAGATAGGCATGTCGCCAATGTCCGCAGTCTTTGATACTTCCTCATTGGTCCACTACTCCTCAAGATAGGTGACAGCGATCGCCGCCCCACAAAACCTAATTCAGGATACATTCGCGTGGGTTTGGCACGCTGCTTGTTAACGGGTGTGGCCACTATCCAGTTAATACATATCGTATTCTCGAGAGTCTGATACTTGCTCTGGCCGCGGGTGGCGTCTGGGCGCTGACTTGAATCTAGACTGCTTCTCAAGACATTCGATATCAAAACTACATTTACTTTACATGGACAAGCGATGCTCAAGAGAGTTCCCTATCTTCGACTTACGGTGCCTCTCGGACGAACGATAACGGATTTGCTTCTAATGAGGGGCTAGTCGCACAAAGTGTCCAACAGCCAGCGGACGAGGTCGCTATATACATCTCTCAGAGAATCCGCGAAAATTTGACCTACCTTCCTCCGAACACCACTTTCTTCTGCAACTTGCATTACGTTCCACTCCCCAGTTCTCCACGATGAAGATGCCGAATTTGAGACCACGTTCGTTCCACCTGCAGCTTCAGGGCGAATCCTCCATCTGGATCAACGATGACATTCGACCGCTCCCTCCATCACGGCGCCTTTGGGACACATGGGCATACCTCTCATTCTGGGCCATCAATCAGATTGCCCTAAGTAACTGGCAACTCGGAGCATCCCTCATTGCAGTCGGCTTGTCCGTCTGGCAGACTATGATTGCAGTTATCATCGGCAAGATTATCATAGCTGGAGTGGCAATATGTAATGGAATGATCGGCGCAACCTGGCATATTGGGTTCCCAGTCATGTCGCGTGGCATCTGGGGTGTCTGGGGATCCTACCTCATTATCATCCAGCGGATTGTTCTGAGTCTCACCTGGTTCTGTGTACAGTCCTGGACCGGGGGTCTCTGTGTCACTGCAGTTCTCTCCTCTATATTCTCCGGCTTCCAGCACATGCATAACACCCTGCCTGCATCAGCAAATACCACGACAAAATCATTGACTGGTTGGATAGTCTACAACATCATTACGATACCCATGCTCTACATCCCCCCAGAGAAGACCCGACGGCTACTGTTCGTCATGAACTTGATCTCCGTCACCACACTCATCTCGATGATGATATACGTCCTGTCCACTGCCAAGGGTGGCGGTCCATTGTTGTCAGCACCCGCCGCAGCACAATCTGGCAGTGAATTAGGCTGGGCAATTGTGCAGGGTATAACGACAGTTATTGGGGGTATTGCAGTGGGACTCACCAATCAAACCGACTACTCTCGCTTCGCTCGCCGACCAGGTGACCAGATTTTCGGCCAGTGGTTCTCCATCTTGACCTTGGGCACAATCCTGCCGCTGTTTGGATGTCTCACAAGCTCAGCATCCATCAAACTCTACGGCCAAGCTTACTGGAATCCACCTGATCTCCTCCTCCGCTGGCTCGATGATGACTACAATGCTAAGTCTCGGGCTGCCGCCTTCTTTGGGGGCTGTGGCCTCGTGGTCTGCCAGCTTGCAATCAACACCATCGACAACGCCTTTTCTGCTGGAATGGACATGGCTGGTTTGTTGCCAAAGTATTTCAACATCAGGCGAGGATCCTATCTGGCACTCATCCTGTCTATTGCCATGTGCCCATGGGAGCTGCTTGCCTCGGCTGGGACTTTTATCAGCGTTATGGGCGCCTGTATGTTTATTTCCTTTGAGTTGTCTTTCAGTGTTTGAACAACTAGCTAATCTATGCCCATGACAGACTCCGTCTTCCTCGGACCCATGTGTGGCATCCAGATTTGCGATTACTTTCTAGTCCGCGATCGCCGGGTAAAGTTATCGGACCTATACAGGCCCTCCCCGTCAGGCATCTACTATTACTTCCACGGTTGCAACCCGCGCGCATTCGTGGCGTGGGTCTGTGGCTGGGCGCCGCAGCTGCCGGGGTTTATCGCGAACGTCAATCCCTCAGTGAGCGTGCCAAAGGCTTGCACGGACATGTTTTACCTCGCCTTTCCATTGGGGCTGACCATCAGCTTCACGTTGTACCTCGGCCTCAACAAGGTCTTCCCACCCAAGGGTCTTGGTGAGTATGATGACGTTGACTATTATGGCACCTTCACCAGCGACGAGGCTGCCAAGCTTGGAGTCGCGCTTTTGGAAGAGACGTCGGGCAAGGAAAAGGAGGAGCAATTTGGCTATCCCACGAACCAGAAGGTTGTGGAGTCGGATGTTTACGAAACCAAGATTTAGACCGGGCAGAGGACAATTGCGGCCACTGGGTTCTGTAATCGACTCCCAGCTCCGAAGTTGTAAGCAGACTCTGCACACCATCACCTATATATATATATATAGGGCCGCGGGGATGATTCACTAAACCAGTCCTGCCTAGTTCGCTCACAGCGCGACCGTCTACAACTATCTTCCCCATCTCCAGCCAACTTACTCTGACCGCTGCTTGCTATTTACCCACCCGCCACTTTACACACCCTACCCGTGCGCACAGCTGCAGTTTGAGCGACGATCCAGATTATCGGCGACCTCATTGGCGCTGGCTTTTGTAATTTAGCCCTCGTTTGATACCTCCTCCGTGCCTTGAGCCTGGTAAACTCCCGCCGTGCCAATGGAACAAGGAGCTTCCGTGCACAGAGTGATGCTAGCCACAACTTTGAAGCGACACATTCACAAGGCATCACACTTCCCACGTGAGAGCTTAAGCCGAGGAACCAAGGTATCAAACTTCCCTCCCTGCTCCTTCTGAGCTACGGGACACTGGCAAGTCTCAGGCTCATCCTAAATGTCTCTTCAGCTCTTGATCCAAAGCCATCTGTCGCGTGGTTAGGAGACAGGATAAAGGCAAGAAATGATCCGGTCGAAGACTGAGGCCTGACTCTAATCCTTGCGTCCTTCATTGAGCTGCAGAGGACTGTCTCAGGTAGAAACAACGGCTTGCAGGTGCTCCAGCGCTGCCTCGTTAATCTACGCTGGATGTGCTTCGATGATGGGACAAGCGGAACACGAGTAAATCTCATTCGGAATATTCCGATGGTGAAAAAAGGAGGTAGATTTGGAGACGACGGCACGACTATCCCAGTTCTTTGTAGCCAAGCACCTGAAGACTATCTTTTTGTGGACTATAGTCGTCTGGGGTCCGAATATCTGCATTACCTTGGTGCTGGTCAGCTGAAATACGAGGTGAAGGATCGAGAATAGACGGGCGTCAGGAGCCTAACAGCCACCTGCGAAGTTGCAGCATATTGTAAGTAGATGGAGAAGTGATCGAACGGGTGTAAAAGGTCTAACACTTCACAATGTATCAAGATCCCAGTTACCAGGGTGGCGACAACAAGTCGATTGTTCAGCTGGAGGACTTCTTACTTGTACTGTGTATTCCTCCGCGAGGCTGAAAAGACCGGGGGGGCTTGAGCCGGCGGGGAAAGTTCCGGGAGTGACATCCGGTCCTTTTGACGATCTACGAGGCCTGCCTTTGTCCGGCTTGGTCTCCGTCTTGACCTACCGCCATTGTTGTCAGCGTACGGAGTACTGAGTACCCTCTTCACATTTTCCCATAGACATGACTGACAACAACACAACGAAGAAAGGAAACTGACACTGTTCAGCGAGCGGATGCCAGCGTCGTCCTCGACATTCTCGCTCAGTTGGCTTAGATAATGAATGGCCGTCCACAGGGCAACTCCGTCCGACCCTTTTGGAAACGATCGCTGCCCCCAGCTGTGCAGCAGGGGGATGCAAGCTAGTCAGTCGGTCTTGACATTGTTTATCGGTCCACATGCATGTCAGGGGCCGGCCCTGATAGGTATCTTGCCGACACGGAGGCCTATAGATGAGATATGTAGCAACCTAGCGTCGCAGATTGCAATCATACACGCTGGAAAGACACCTACCTCTCGAAGATTACCACCAACCAATCAACCCACCCCTGCTGTATCTGTCTATCTCTCATGCCTGTTCAGGTAATTTGTGACCCCCGTTGCGATATGCATGCGACGCAAGTGCGGCGATGATCGACACGCACCAGACCCGTGGGCTTGTCCGATCCAGCATGTTGATAGGCATCGTCATTGGGTCACAGGGTCTACTGTTGCTATCGGATTGCCCGTCTGGGAAGGATGGTTGAGATACCTCTGTGAGTTCATTGGGCCCATTTGAACTTTTGATTGTTGCTGGTCCCGATAGTTATGGGGCATTTGACGATATTTGTGCAGGCTTGCGGGCACTGAGGAACACAAGGACGGGACGGATGGGTTTCCGACCACGCGGCACGGCTCGACAACTCGAGGTAGAGAGAGAGGAAGAAAGAGATAGGTGCTTAGCCTCGTGGCTCGCTCACCGTCCCGAGCGACGAATATATGTCTATCCAATCCCAGGAGTTGCAAACAAGACCGATCAAGGGAAGACACTACTATTCGAGTGGCTTCTTGACAGACAATCTTCTTCCATCCCACATTCTCCAGCAGGGCGAAGGCAAGCTTCCCTAGAGCGATGGCAGACGCGAATCGCAATGTGGTCCCTGGGACCATCCACCTCGTCGACACCGAGGCGGCCGAACACTCGGGCAAGAAGGACATCGTGCTCAACCCACGCCCCAGCTCAGACCCGGAAGACCCGTTGAACTGGACCAAGAAAAGGAAGCTGTGGGCCATCACCATGGCGTACATCTACATCCTGGGTATCGGCATGTCAACCACGGTGCAGTATTCCATCTTGACCAATATCGGCGAGGCGACCGGCATCTCCATCGCGGATATCAATACCGGGACTGGCTTGGTAAGCTTGTCCAGAGTCCTCCTATCTTGCTGCAATTGTCCATTCTTACCACTCTCCAGCAATTCCTGTTCGCAGGCTGGGGATGCCTTTTCTGGCAGCCGGTGGCACTCACGTACGGACGACGAGGCGTCTACATCCTGAGCAGTCTGTTGGCCATCGGCCCAATGATCTGGACGGTCTACACGACCTCCACGAGCATATGGTGGGCTCACCGTAGCCTGTTGGGCCTCATCGTCGCGCCGGTGGAGTCGCTGGGCGAGATCTCCGTTTCTGACTTGTTCTTCGCCCACGAACGCGGCAATTACATGGGCATCTACACGCTGCTGGTGTTCGGCTCCAATGCCCTGGCGCCCTTTCTGGCTGGCTTCGTCACCTACTCCATGGGCTGGGAGGCCGCCATCTGGTTCGGCACCATCATCCTCGGCGTATGCACCGTGATCATCTACTTCGGCATGGAAGAGACCATGTACTTCCGCCACACCATCGAAGGCATCGACGAGGGGGCCGCCGAGGTGACCTCCTCTCCTGGCGTGGAAACGACCTTGGGCGAAAAGACCGACGCCGTCTCCAAGAGCGCACCGCTCCAGGAGGAGCCCGTCTCCCCGATCGCCGAGTCCATGCACCGCGTCGTCCCCCGCCAACGCACCTACTGGCAGAAGCTGCAGCTGTTCCGTCTCGACAGGGACCGGCCGTCGGTCAAGCAGATGTTCATCATGATGGTCCGGCCGCTGTGGATGTTCTTCTACTTCCCCAACGTCGACTGGGCGGGATTCCTCTACGGAGCGTCGCTGTGCTGGTACAACGTGCAGAACGCCACCATGGCCCTGATCCTGAACGCCGCGCCGTACAACTTCTCCGCCCGCGCTGTGGGCATTTCCTACCTGTCGTTGCTCATCGGGTGCTGCGTGGCCTGGTGGTGGGCGGGCTGGGCGGGTGACGAGATCGCCATCCGCGTCGCCCGGCGGAACAGGGGCATCCGCGAGCCAGAGCACCGTCTGTGGCTGCTGACCTTTTCTGGGACTCTCGCGGCCGCCGGAATCATCCTCTGGGGCGTGGGCGCGGCACATCAGATTCACTTCATGGGCCTGATCATCGGGCTGGGTATGACGAGTTTTGGCATTGTGAGTGGCGGGAGCACGTCCCTGGCATACGACGTCGACTGCTTCAAGGAGATTGCCGGCGAGACTGTCGTGCTGGTCATCGTCATTCGCAACACGGTAAGTTTTCTCTCTTCTCTTTTCACCTTTCCGACCACGCGACCTACCTGCCTGCGTCTTCAGCACCCAGAACACGATTCGAAGACCTGTTTCTCAAGAGAAATAGCACGTCACTGACTGACTGACTGACTTGTCACAAACAGATGGGCTTCGGGATGAACTACGGAATTACACCGTGGCTGGAGAACACGGGCACGCAGAACTGCTTTGTGGCCGTGGCCTTCCTGTGTCTGTTTTGCAACTTCAGCTTCCTGTTCATGACGGTCTGGGGCAAGAAGCTGAGGCGTCTGTCCGCGAAGAAGTACTGGGAATACGTCGACACCTTGATCGTCACGGCGCATTAGGATCCAGCCAAAGCCAAGCCCCACGGTTCACGGGCTCGAGGTCGACGAGGTTGTGGCATGGATCGAGGCAGGCAAGCTCAAGAGTGCAGGTTAGATGGGCGAGATGGTGCTCTACTGCCAGTATATAGTGGGGGGAGCGAGGTAGGTAGGTAGGTAGGTTAGGACTGTGAGGTAAAGGTCTCCAGGATGTAGAGGTAGAGGTCGAGGTAGAAAAGCCACCAGGAAAGAAACCACGCCTCCAGCCCAGAAATTGGTCGCTGAAGCACAATACAATACTTTCTTCAGCCAACAACGTTCGTATAGAAAATACACGAAGTGAGTGAGTCTCGTATCTAACACCTGAACAGAGGGATCGACCGCGTAGTAGAGGTTTACTCTATGGTAGACCATGCCCATCACTTCGGCTGACTGATCCATCCATATCCCAACCACACCAGGAATACCGACCGGGTCTCGAATACTGCGGAAGGAAAGGGGCAGTATGTAGTATCAGCATCCTACTCACGCACCATCTTCCGCCTTCAGAGTCCCCATGGGACGTCTGCCGAAAACCACGACGATAACAGAGTCCTGCTCCTCCTCCAAAGGGCCAAGGGGCCAAGGGGCCAAGGCTCTTTCTCTCTGTTGCCTGGTTGGGAAATAGAAATACATGCAGGGGTGAGTAGTACATACATACGTTTGATGGCGCCCTGATATGCGGCACAGACACACACAAACCAACACCAACACAGACTCCGCACGAGAGCAACTGTCCTTATCTGTCCCAGTCCAACACTAATAACGCATCACCACAGCGGGAACTAGACGTGTGCGGCTCGGAAATAGTCCCAATGCAAGTGATCGAGTGAATGAGTGAGTGGATGAGTGGATCTTCCGTAGCCTACCTACCTTGAGTTGAGCCTGACTGATATCAGGTCTCGTCGAGTCAGTACGAAGCAGGTACTAGGTGGTGGTAATGGTAGCGGTAGTACTTACAGTACGACGACGCCAGAATACCAACCAGGGATGGGCCCAATCCCAACGCCAATCAGTGATAGATAATGAATGGCCCTCCGCCCGTGAGTGTGATGTGATATGAACTCGGTTACCTATTCGGGCCATACTCTCCATAATCGTAATATTGTATGTAGCATTATGCTGGACCCCCGCACACATGTTGGTGGTGGATATCACCGCCAGTCCCGAGCGCAATCCGCGCCCGGTCTCCTTCCCGGTCGCTGGCCAACAGCAGATCCTCGATTTGAATTCGCGCCAATAAGGTTTGGGGCATGCACGCTCTGTCTGGCTCTCCGAGATACGATACCGCTCGCTGATCAGCGCGCCTGGCCTGGCAATCACTCGTGCAGGAAAAGTTCGTCGAATGCTCCATGCCTCAAGCGCTTCTGTGCGGCCCGGAAAGACGGCTGGTGAATGGAGAAAGAAGAAGGTGAATGAAAAGCATCGAATCGTTATTCCTATCGTTGACTGACTGACGGGGCACAGTACAAATGATCGTGACTGCTGTCTGAGCGAGATAGTTGTTGTCGCTTCTTGATCAAAGGCGATAGATAGATAGATATCTTTGGCAACCTTCTCCGTCGGAGTAGACGACAACAACAGCAACAACAACATCCACACGAGCAGAGCATTGTAAACGAGTCATCGGGGACAACATACATCGCCGAGGAAAGAAGTTCCGTTCAAACCACTCGATAGAAACACTCGATAGGAAAAAGCAGCCACTGCGGTCAATAGTGTCTTGTGGCTCGATCAGTCAACATGAGCGGCACAATCGACACTCCTCCCCAGGACTACCCCCCAGAAATCACCGGATATGCCGAGCCCTGGATCGCCAGTCCCGGAGACGACGTCGCCATCAAGGTGTCCTGCACGGAGCCCGAATACTCGTACCGCACCGTGCGGGTGGTCCAGGGCGTGCAGGAAGAGCACTCGCCCGTGAAACACCTGGAAGCAATCACGCAAATCCCCACGGGCGTGGCGCCGGGACGGTTTCAATACGCCCGCCCGGGCTCGTATGCCATCGTCAAGCGGCTGAGTCTGCCGTCGGCCGTGGACGGCGTGGAGGTGGCACTCTATTTTCAAGCCCATCTGCCCTCCAAGGCGGGTCACAAGCAGGCCATCATTTCGAACCTGAATGCCGAGACGAAGACCGGCCTCGCGGTGCTGATCAACGAGACTGGCCTTGTTGAGGCCTGGATCGGGACGGAAGCCAGTGTGGAAACTGTCCACACGGGATTCAGCCCAGCACGACGACGCTGGATCAAGCTGCTTATCGTGATCAAGGGAGCCGAATGCACCATTACGCTTGAGCCGGTGGTGTATATCATGGAGAAGGCCCCTCCTGCGGCGACAATACAGACCACGTTCGCGGCTCCAGTCGTCGCCGCCTCCACGCCATTTTCCGACGACCTCCTGTTTGCCGCGACCTACGCGGACAGCCCAACCTCTGTCTTCCCCCGGGCGACACACTTTTTCAACGGCCGCATCGACAGCCCGACGATTTCCATCCTCAAAGGCGCCGCCAAGCAAGTCATCGCGAGATACGACTTCTCCCGCAACATCTCGGAAGACAGCATCCTCGACGTCTCAGGCAACAACTTCCACGGCATCCTGGTCAACGCGCCCACGCGCGCCGTCACCGGCCACGACTGGAACGGAGGCGAGTCGGACTGGACCAAAGCGAAGTACGGGTATGGCGCGATCCACTTCCACGAAGACGACCTCGATGACGCGCTGTGGGAGACCGACTTCACCATCAAGATCCCGCCGGACGCGCGGTCAGGCATCTATTCGGTGGAAGTCATCTCGACCAACGGCAAGACCTCTGACATGATCACTTTCATCGTCCGCTCGACGCCGCAAACGACGGCGGCCACCGGTGCCAAGGTGGCGCTGGTGCTTTCGACGTTCACATACCTCGCGTACGCCAACGAGCAGATTTCGGATCCGAACCGCTCGAGCTCGATCGACGCCGGACCAGGCTTCGACCATTCAGCCATCCGACGGACAGAAGACTTCAACCGTCTCACGCGGCGTCGCGACGTGGGCTTGTCGAACTACGACGTCCACAACGACGACTCCGGCACGGTCTTCTCGTCTGCGAAGCGGCCGATTTTGAACCTCAGGCCGGGATACGTCATGTGGGCGTTTGAACGGCCTCGCGAGCTCAGCGCCGATTCCATGATGATTGGGTTCCTGGAACGGCAGAAGATCCCGTACGATATTGTGACGGACCATGACCTGCATTTCCACGGGGCTGCGGCGTTGGCTCCCTACCACACCGTCATCACCGGGTCTCACCCCGAATACCCCACGGTGGAATCGTACAATGCGTACGAAAACTTTGCCCGTCGAGGCGGTAACATTATGTATCTCGGCGGCAACGGCTTCTATTGGGTTTCTGCCCTGGACACCGCTCGGCCCTGGCGCCTGGAGGTCCGCCGCGGAGATCAGGGCGTCCGCACGTATACCTTGCCCGGTCCTGAGAGGATCATGAGTCTCAATGGAACCCAGGGAGGGTTGTGGAAGAGCCGTGGCCGATCTTCGCATGGGCTTTTTGGCATATCCTTCTGCGCCGAGGGAGTCGGTCCTGGTGTCCCGTTCAAACGCACCGAGAAGAGCTTCGCCCCCGACTTCGAATGGATGTTCAAGGACATCTCTCCCGAGGAGCTCATTGGCGAGTTTGGCCTCGGGGGCGGGGCCAGCGGCGACGAAATCGACTCGTTCGACCTCGCGTGCGGCAGTCCCACGAACGGGGTCGTCGTCGCCACCAGCACGGGCCACCCGGACGCGTTCGGCATCGTGCCGGAAATCACCATGTTCCCGATCACCAAGACGTTGGGCACGCAGACGGACGAGATCCGCTCCGACATTGTCTACTACGAGACGCACGCGGGCGGTGCTGTGTTCTCGGTCGGCAGCATCAACTGGTACTGCTCGCTAGGCTGGGACGACTACCAGAACAACGTGGCGAAGCTGACAGAGAATGTCATTCGAGAGTTCTTGTCCAGAGCAGAGAGCGAGGGGGAGAAGGAGGTGGTCGTTAGCTCGTGATCCTGTCCCCATGGTGGCGTTTCGTTTGGCATATTAAGAAATAGATGGGTTAGAATCGTCCCTTGGAACCTGCTCCAGGTATCTGGGCCCCCTTTGAAAGGTCCGGAGCAGTCATATCTCACCTCTGTGCTTTCCTACCTTGCGAATCACTCCCAGGATTCGTCTTCGCGAGGAGATTGGCAATATACAAGGAAAGGAAATTTTCTATACTTAGGGGGACGAGATAAGGTTACCAGCCCTTCGCTGCATTCTCAATCAAATCGAATATCTCTCCAGACGGGGGAACAAGTCTGAGCTTTTCGGACATCGATCTTCTCGTGCAGTTCGTAGTCCATCTGGGCTATTCCGAATTGCCCGAGAAGGGCTAGATACGCTAGTGAAGGAGCGTGAGCTCAAGAGTCTTACAGTATTGCAGAGCATACGAATTGAAAGTTTGAATGATACACACATTTGTGTTTGTTCCGCAGTAAAGGTCGGTAACGGAATAACTAAATTCCGAGACGCCAGAAGCTGCAGCTCCAGATGCGGCGACGCGAGCAAAGCACCTTTTCTCAGAACTCATCCATCCATTCTACTCAACCACGAGCAGCTCACTTTTGACGCTGACTGAGTGGTACCGCTTCTTTCTTGATGGAATAGATCAGCTGGTGATCTCGCTCGTGTCACTAACTTCTAAGGCACAGCACAGCACAGCACTGCGTCTCTCCAGACGAGTTTCTCAACCCTGCCAGCCTGCCTCTCCCAACCAATTCGCTCAAGCTCTCTCTCCCCTCTTGACTCTTGTCAAAGCCCGTTCGAGGCCGGGTGAACCCTCAGACCACGCGTTCCGCTCCCGAATATCAGGACTAGCCCTCGAGCCCTCTCCAGACTGTCGCGAGATGCTGAACTGCATATGTCCTCGGCTGGAGAATGGAGACGGGGAAACGCTGGACACGGCGAGAAGCGCAGGCAAGAATGATGCAGATATGCTTTCTGGCTGCAAAAAAATAGATAAACATTCGCATCTCACATCAACTATGTACATTAGGGGAAAAAATGGTCCTGTGGGCGCCAGTCAAATGGATTCTCCTCGCCCCCCTGCTTTTTATCCTTAAACCTCCTGCTCCAGGAAGATGCAACAACAACAACGATGGATGGCATTTCGACATATGTCCAAACTCAACGACCCGCGCAGCGAGATCATTCCTCGTACTTGCCTCCCACAAACAAGAGATTACTTCGTTCGAGAGCGCCCTTCAAGTATTCGTAGACGGTAAATGTCACCGCTTGTCCCGGGGCCACACGCATCACTCGGGGCGTGATGCCCTTGTAGAACGCCTTGGGGCCTTCCTGCTTGAACATGTCGTTGGATATCTTCATGATTCGTGATAGGGCCGTCTGCCCGGGCTCCGCCGGGGTCTTTTGCAGTCGGGTCTTGATCGTGTCGATCGGAGCGTTGGAGAAGGGACCCATGGCGCCAGATATCAGCCCGATGACGGTGGTCTGATAGCCGGGCAGGTTCTTGTTGTCGTATTCTGGCTGCCACCTTTGCAACATCTCTTTCAATTCAGTGTAGACGGTGAAGTTGACGGCTTGGTTCGTGCCTTGGCGCAGCGCAGTGAGGGAGACGCCGCGGTAGAGGGCGCCGATGCCTTCTTCGCGGATGACGGTCATGAGGGCGTGAGGCGCGCTTCGGTATTTGGGAACATCGAGCGGGTCGGAGAGACTGTGGTATTGGGCCTGCATGCGGATCTTGACCACCTCCATGGGCGTCACCACCGCGACTGCTTCCGTGACCCCGGCCGCCAATCCAGCTGTGGATGTTGCGTTAGTCCATGTTCCGAGCGCCGTTGCCTGCGAGTGGACGGGAGCATACCTAGGAATGTCGCGCGCGAGCTCACTTTGCCGTCTGAATCGGCCAGTAGCTGCTTGTACCACTCGTACGAGGTGAACCGGATGGCCATCTTAGGGACGATACCCGTGAGAACGGCGCCTAAACCCTTATATAGACCAAAGACCGTTTCCCGCTTGACGATGTCCCTCCCGGTCATTAAAAACCCCCGTTTCTTCGTCCCTGGGGTCCTCCCTCGTCTGGACAGTTGCATTCGCACTTTGATCGTGTCGAGGGGGTGGCACACCAAAGCTTCCATCATGCCTGCGCCGCCGCCGGCGATCAGGTTGGTGGCGGCGCTGGCCGGCTTCTTGCCGCCTTCACCTTTGACGCTTTTGGCGGACATGCTGACGACGAGAGATTTTCGAGTGATGTAGCCACCTGCTCAAGCAAGTTTCTAGCAAAACCCCGAGTTCTCTGAGCGCTCTTTTGAGAAGAGTGCCAATACGATTCTCGAAGGGTCCGAAGCGGAGGGCTGGTGAGCTGCTCGACTCGACAGATCACCTGAGGAGGAGCAAGGTCGGCTCTGAGAGTGAGTGCTTATGAGAACACAGACCAGCTCGGGGACAAGGAAACCAAAAAAAAGGAATGAGCCAAAAAGATGCAGCTGAGCTCCCAGGGCGCAACGCCAACACTTCCGTCGTGAGTGTGTGAGAGTGAGAGGAGAGAGACAGACAGACAGACAGACGGACGGACGATCGTGACTCAACCCTCTCCAAGAAAGAGGAGAGATTAGATCAGAGAGTTGTGTGAGGTCAGTTTTATTTTTCTGCTGCTGCACGAGCCCAGGGAAATACAGCTAGTCTTATGACAATCCCCAGAGAGCCAAAGCGAGGACGTCGGTAGCCGTTCCAATCCGGAAAATCATCGAAGATTGCACAAGCTTGGGGAGTTTCTCAGAGGGCGCCCTCCGAGAGGCAAAACACACACACACACACACACGACAAAAACAACGATTTGTTGTAGGTAGCTACATAGCGTGTATTGTATTTGTCCCCTTCCGCCGAGGCACACCTTTGGGGTCAAGCCCGCTCAGGGCCCGAGCAGGGGATGGAGCCCACGAGAAAACGAGAAACGGGATTTCATCATTGCCCAGTCCAGCAGCTTATTAGCGTATTGGCGAGTTACGTACCGACCGACCTATGTAAGGGAGGGAAGCAAGCTCTCCCCTCCAGTCCAGGCACGAGATGGACGAGTGGAAGCACGGGGACTGGATGGAGTCAGCGACCCCAAGACTTGCCGCCCTCGCGCCCCCCCCCACCAAGTAGTAGCCTGGGTTGAAAGTAATATGTACCTTGTGACGCATATTTTACAAGGGGGGATTGAGACAGTGCTCATCTTTGCCCAGTTCGAAATGAAGCACCAGCGTCGGTCATTGCGGGGAAAACAGCAAAAAAGAAACCAAGAATGACGTGTCATTACGAACGCACGAGGGGACAAATTCCCCCGCCAAGCATGTGCATTCCCCCTTCCGGTGCTTCTGCCTCGGCAAATCTGTTTTTCCATTTCCTTGATATGCTCATGGACGTGACAGTCTGAATACACCGTCTGTTCCGTGATTAACAACATACACGGATTCAACTTTTCTTCAGCTCTCGGGCACACGGTACTCCTCCCAGACACAGAAACGCACTCGCCGTGCACACGTCCCTGGACTACCACCCGAGGACGGAGTGACCTGGATCCTCCGCCCCAGGCACCGAACAATACCCGAACCTTCCGATTATCTTTCGTTCTATTCTCTGCTGATGTCTCGTGACTCCGATATTTTCCGGGGTCCCAAGGCCGAAGTACCAAATTCTACTGTATCTACCGAGTACCCAGGATCCGTGACCTTCATGTGGCTTTTCCCGGTCACAAGTATCCGTGGCAATTGATGACCCCGGCTGTTGAGTTGAGTCCCGTCTCCTTCAGGGACACACTAGGAAGCTCGGGCTTGCAGTATGGTTGGCGTAGGACTGCCGGAAACAACAGCTCAAAGGAGGAAGACTGTTCTCTTCGACGCTGGGTTAGCATAGGAATCACTTTCACTGGTATAGTAGTCCCTTTATGAGGGCGTCACAGGTGCCCAGTTTCGCAATTCCTCAGGCTGTATATGCCCCGGCCAATTCACACCCAATGTTCAGTCTCCTAGGTCAGCCGTGCACGGCCCGCTGTAAGAGCCACTCCAGTTTGACGAGATTGCCCGCCTTCAGATGTTCCAGCAGCAGGAATCTCTCCTGTATTGGCATGAAGTCTTCCCAGGAGGAAATCCCGAGCTTCTTTGCCAGTCGCTGGAACTGCACCGCGAACCACTCTTGATTGTCGACCAGTTCGCTTGCGACGGCGCCCAGGCCAGCGACCCACAAGAGCATCGTCTGTTCCTTCAGACTTGCCGGATGCTCATGTCGGCTTGAAATGATCCTTCCCAGCCGGTCCCGCAGAGGTTTCGCATCGACAGCCGCACGCAGGGCCAGGATTGCCGCACTAGCCGCATACGGAACACATGTCGGTATGAATGCCATCCAAACAATCAAAGCCAGCCGAATGCAGTCTTGGAGATGCGGCTCCCCGGAAATGGGGCTTTTGGCGCTTTCCCCAGCAATGTCCTCCCTGAAGTTGATTAATTCGTCTGCGACGAAATAGCTCCGAGCAACAGCCCAATCTTGTTTGGGAATGAGTGCTTGTTCAGTGACGCCGATCCAATGGCAATGAATGACGCAAGAAAGCTCCACGACGGCATCCAGCAGCTTCTGGAAATGCTCGCTAAAGACGCTGTTGGTCTCGGTAAAACCCCAACCCATTGGCTGCTTGCCATGTTCAAGGCGCAAGGCAGCTACCGCACAGGTATGCTGCTGGGGCGTAAGTCGTTCGGTCTCCCACCTCTCCTTAATTAACGGTGGACTCTGTGTAGCAGCGGCCTGGAAACGGTCAGCAAGCCAGAGCATCCGGCGCATATAAGGGTTCAGATTGTGGAAGCCGCCGAGATGCTGGTTGCAGAGATACATGATCATCTTCCCGTGCGTCCACACCGCCTCCCAATTTCTTCGGTAGCTCTCGACTGCCCACAAATACAGGATGCTTTGCACCAACTCGTGGGTGATTGGTCGTGCGTGCCCCAGATAGCTCCTCAGGAGTCGCAGAGTTGCATCTGCCAACCGCTCGGGTAGATCCGCTCGGGAAAAATGATACCGATCAACAAACTTCATGCGAGCGCTAGCGGCGGCCAAAAGGGCCAGGACATGCACTTCGTCGGCCGACGCTCGCCGGACAACTTGGACAGCAGGACTGGATGATGCTGCTCGAGGATGGCCCATGAATGCGACGATGTCGCTCCGCGTCACTGCAGGGAAGAACCTCAGGACGAAGTATTCGAGGATGCGATGCTTCTCGAGGTTCATGGGCACCGTGAACTGGCCAAATGGATCCAGAGAGCCCGCTGCGGGCATGATAAGCGAGAGCTTGGGAGTGTCATGCTTGGGAGTATCATGCTTGGATCCATCGGGAGTGGTGCAGCAATCAGAGCCCGTCTCACGGCGCTGCAGGACGCGGGGTCGAAGGGCGACAGAACGGATCCCCGGGCTGGGAGGAGGTGCGTCTGAGAGTGGTGCCGAGGCGGGCGTTTGCCTGGGAGCGACAGAAACAGGAGCCCATCCCAGCGAAAAGAGCCTGGCCCTCTTCAACTTGCGCCGGTTCTCCTTCTCCTGTTCGTAGTCGCGCGATTTCTGGACGTGCTTGTGGATCTGGCGCGACCCCTCGAGGTCACCTCTGCTGTTGGAAAGGGACTTGGACGAGGCCGTCTTGTTGACAAAGAGAAGACCGGCCTTGTTGTGCGCGGGCATCTCAGAGATGCATATCCGCAGGTAATCGTGCTTTGTAAGAAATGGGTGCGAATGGCCACATGGGGACAAGATTCCAGGGGGCACCCGAAAGGGGGGGAATCAGGGGTAGAAGAGACAAGGAGGGAAGAAAGGCATGAGACAATGGTACTCGATAATAAGACCCGGACCCCGGGGCTGCTTGCCTTGCCCAAGGGCAACGACTAAAATGCAAGCTGCACTTCCTAGCAATCACCTTGCTCAAGACAGACAGCAGTCCGTAGCTGGTGATAACCTTACACGATTACCTAGCCTCCAGAGCATCGGACTTTCGCGTCGTGGTGGTGGTGGTGGAGGGAAAAGAGGGGAGTCGAAGGGGATAAAGAACTTCCAGGGCCTGCAGCGACCTTGGTGCCAGCGGTTGGCGCGAAGGCCATCCGTCGGTCGTGATAAGCGTCGCGTCGGCGCATGCGGCCTTACGCTAGGGCAGACACATGGCAGACCTTGTTTGTGGGGAGTGGAGGGGGGGTACACCCACTGTTCTTAGGCCAATTGACGCCGTGGACGAAGCTAGGGGCACCAAGGGGGGTTGTCAGTCACAGCTGACAACAGAGTGGCCAGTCTCGATGTGATGCCCGTCTTCCATCTTCCAGCCTGATTTGGCCATCATGAGGCCGCCCAGATTGGCAGAAGCGAAGATGGCGCCATGTACGGCTTTCGTAGAAGGTGAATGAACTTGTCCGAAGGGTACGTTGAGAGGAAGAAAGCGGACAATGCCGATTTCCTGCGGCGACAAGAATTGACCATCAGGCCTATCAAAAGGACGCCACCACCAGTGTAACTCCAATTCTTTTATTTGCCACGATTCGGACGAGATGCATCGCAAAGAGCAAGATGTCAATTGCAAGATATTGATATCGTTGGCCAGATTGACCTGTCTGTGCCGTGAGCCAATTGATATTTACAAGTACAAAACCGGCCCAATAGAGTCGTGGCTAGGTTCACGCAAAAAGTCTGACGGTGTCCACCCAAACGAAACCTCATTTAGCCTGCCCGAACCTCCCTAATCCAGAAGGAAGAAAGCAGAGGGCAAGGGAAGACATCATCAATCGTCAATTCTGCTTCAAGACAGGAGAGCAACCATCAGGCCCTCGTAATGCTTGTCGAAATGAATTTCACCCTTGACACGCTGGATCAGATCCCTCTTGTACCGATGTGCGTAGGCACGCTTGACCTGGTCCAGATGCATTCGGTCCCAATGCACCCTGACCACGCGTTGGACGAGGAGAACATCCTTCGTGCCCGGTCCGGCCATGGCATCTTCCAGCTGCGTGGCGTCGGACATGGCGCGATCACTGGCCCGCCGCACCATCAGGAGCAGGGCATCTTTCATGTGTCCCGAGAATTCAGATTCAATCACCTTTTCGAGAGACGAGTGGTACATCTGGTGCCAATGGTGCGCGATGGCGCGGATCTGGCCATCCGACCGCCTACTGAGAATGGTGCACACGGTGAGCTGATCGGTGCCCACGCGCGCGTCCATGGCGCGATGTAACTCAGTGCAATCACGCTCGAGCTCCGTGGGTATTATGGGCGTGGATTCCTCGTTTCGCGTAGCCGACATGACCAAGTCGAACAGCTTCTCCGTCTTCATGGATAGGTCGCCCCTGACATCTGCTTCCAGGGTATGACGGTACGTCTGCTGATACGCCTGCTTGATCGCGCGCATGTCGGCATTCGACCGGCCCAGGAGAACATCATTCAAGACCGACTCCTTCGTGCCCAGCCCCTTGATCGCGCCGTGGACACTGTGTACGTCGTGCATTAGGGGGCCCTGGACCAGCGCGACCAGCCCGTCGCGGAAATACTTGGATGTCTCCGAACTGATATCTTTCTCCAGATCGCGGCGGAAGCGCTGGTTGTAGGTATTTCTCAGCAGGGCCATCTGCAAGGGGTCCGGTTTCGAGAGGATCTGGATCAAGGCTCTCTCGTCGGTGCCGAAACCCTTCATGGCTGCACGCAGGGCCTCGGCGTCGCGCGACGCGTCACCTTGCGCCTGGGCGCCGAGGACGTAGCCCGGTGAGGGTTGCGGCGGGGGAGGGCCGTATTGCTGGTATTGCTGGGGAGGAAAGCCGCTCTGTGGTGGTGGAGGTCCGCCGTATTGTTGTCCTTGAAAATGGCCACCGCCGGGAGGGGGAGGAGGAGGACCCCATCCACCTTGCTGCGGGCCTCCGAACTGTTGAGGAGGAGGAGGAGCGCCATAGCCTCCCTGTTGAGGGGGGAATCCTCCCTGCTGCGGAGGAGGATATCCCCCATACGGTCCTCCTTGGGGAGGAGGATAACCGTAGCCCTGTCCCTGAGGAGGATGTCCCCCGTAGGGAGGTTGACCCTGCGGCGGGCCGTATGACATTTGCGACGTTTTGTTGTATGTGAGATAAAAGCAAGGAGCTAGAGGAGTATGATCGGAAAGGATGGGTTTCGCGACAAGGTGGGATAAGTGAATAGAGGGGTTCTCGCTTTCAATGACGGTTCAAGGCGCCCCAAAAAAAGAATAACGAGATAAAAAGTACGAATAACAGACAGGTTGGTTGCCTTTTGGGCGGACTAGGATGATATATGTAAGTCTGTCTGTCCCCTTTCCAAGAGAAACAACAAGGCAGAATTCGCGTAAGAGCTGAGGATGACGCAGCACACGACGGTTGGAGAACGGCGGGCGGGAAAGGAAAGTGTTCGAACTCATACAGCACTTCCACACAAGCGAGTGGTGGTGGGCGCAGCGAGGTGGATGCCTAGAGAGAAAAGACAGGGAGAGAGGCAGAGAGAGGGGCACTCTAGGGGAGGGGCGGCGGGATGCCTAATGATGCCCGCCAAGAACTGTGGCTGAGGGCAGCACAGCATTTCCGAACCCTGACTAATGGCAGCCAAGCGCCATCACGTGATATTGCTGCGCCCCGTGGCGCAGTCTTGGCGAGTGGAAATTGAAGTGGCGCGTCCGTCCGGTCGTCGTCCTTCGCATAGATCGGGGGGAGGTAGAAGTCGATAGATGTTAAGAGGCTATTCGTCGTGAGTTTTTGGTTCATCATCTTGGTCATTGAAACGGTAATCGGGGAGGAGGGGCTGAACTCCAAGGATGAACATTGCAGTGGACACTAGTTGTTGGAACATTGAGAGATAGATACGAACAAGAAATGAGGATACTCGAGAAAGGATGATGATGATGATGATGGTGATGATGAAGAAAGCAATACGAGCTCGTACTTGTATGATTTCACAGAGTCACCGGGACCTAGCGCCGTAGAACTAGTCAACTACCTCACTACCCTTTGTTCGCTCGTTCACTCTGCGGTCTGGTCCTCATGAAACACCAAAGCCCGCACCTCGATCGACTCGCGCGAGTACTCATTGACCGTGTCGGGGTTCACAAACGCGGTGTGCGGCACTCTGCGGGCGCGGCCGTCCAGCTTCGAGTCGAAGCACTTGATCAACAGCACCTCTTCGGGCGTCTGGCCGTACAGGTAGTGCCACTTGTGCGCCGGGTTGGGTCGCACCGTGTAGGTCTCGCCCTGGCGGTTGGGGTAGATCAGGCCGACGCCGACGAGGTCCGAGTCCGGCACCGAGTGCGCCTCAGCGACTCCGAGGGGGTCCTTGAGGATCGTCTTGATGGGCCGCCACACGTTGATGATCTGGTATCGCGTCTTGAGCAGCGCCTCGGCCTCCTCGGGAAGGTGGAACGGTACCCGCGACTTGGCTGCGCTGTAGCTCTGGTCGATGTGCACGCGGTTCACGGGCCCGCGCAAGGGAGTGGTGCCCCGTTCGTCCTTGTACGCTCGCCGGATCGTGTGGTCGAAGATCAACACGCGAGACGCTCCAGTTCTGTAACCCACCAGTCGTCAGTTAGAGTCAAATCCAAGAGGGATACACACAGGACTGTCACTCACGCATCTTTCAACAGCTGTTCCGTCTCTGGGTAGTAGTTGGCCCGGATCTGGTCATCGTCGAGAAAGTCCTTTTCGCTGCTCGTGTGACGATATATCTCGAACCCACTCTTGTCCAGTGTGTAGTTCTTCTCTTCGCCCCGGATATCATGTACCGTCACGTCCAGGGGTTGGACGGGCCTCTCGTAGGTCTCGGGCTTGCCAACATAAGTTGGAGCCGGGGGGCTTCCGTCACCAGGGTCCTTGTAGTAGTTCAACTGCGTATGGACATGATGTTTCTCTGGCTGAAGGCCAGATGTGCTCTTCAATTGTGCCGTCAAAGGTTCGAACGAGGTCGAGTGCCCGCCGGGTTGTTGAACCGCTGCCGATGCCATGGTCGATGATGCTGCTGCTGCTGCTGCTGCTCCTTGCCGGATGTCTCTTGGAGCTGTACCAACAAGTGCAGACACCCCGTACTTATGCTTAATGCCATGGCATTTGCTGATTTGTCAGATAGCACGCCATCCTGGGTTGTATACACGCGATGGTCAGATAGAGTGTGGGGTAAGCCATTCAGAACGCGTTTGTATCTATACCCGAGGCCAATGGGCATCTATACCATTGGATGACGTGCCCGACTTCCTCAGGCATTCAGGGTCTTATGGTCAGTGAAGCGACGCATGCGCAATGCTGTGTTCACGCCCTTCCAATCGGCCCTCGTTATGCTTATCAATACACTGCGGTGATTATAATTCCTTGCGGACGAGTTTCGTGATTGTTGTCCCGTCACCGAGGACATCCGCCTCTTCCTCCAGCCTGTAGCCTCTATAACGAGGGAGAGCAATGGTCCACACGAACCAATAAGCCACTCCGAAGATGAGTCTATAGACATGGTCAGCAAATGTCATGTTGTGGTGGGCATGCTGCTTACATTGCAATGCCGACCAACGCGTATGTCGCGTAGAAGAAGTTGACGTCCGAAGACCCCTTGCGGGAAGGGAACAGCGGAGCCCCAATCAAGGCCACGGATAGTATAATTCTGAACCATACCGCCGGGATCCAGGCCTTGAACGGTCGTCGCAGGTCGGGCTCCTTGTTGCGGAGAATGAGCAAGCCAGCACCGACAGCCAGAGCGAAAAATTGACCCGCGTACCCTTCCACATCGGCGATGAAAGCGTACACCGTTGCTGAGGGTGGCAGGACAATAACCAGAACAGACGGCACATAATGGACAATAAGTCCGCCGAGGGGTGCACCGAATGGTTTGGAAGAGGCCAGGATTTCTGAGAAGGGGAGAAATCCTTGCCGTGCAACTTCCTGGTTGACTCGCGCCTGTCATACAATTAGGACGCTGAATGCTCGACGGAGAGAGTACATACCAAGCTGAAGGTGACCACCATTACATTCCCTACAGCGCTGAGGGCTATAGCAAGGGGAAGGAACTTGTTGCCAAAACCAGCTCCAAAGACTCGCTCGAAGAACAGCGCTGCTATGAGCTCTCGGCTGCGCTTGACCTCCTCAAGTGGCACCACCGACAGGTATGCAACGTTGACGAGCACGTACATGGTACAAGCCGTCAGCAACGCAACTGGGCCGACGGATTTGAGAGTCCGGACGGGATTCTTCACTTCATTGAGGACATTGTTGACGTTGCTGAGCCCCGCGTAAGAGTAGAGAATCTTGAAAAATGCCGTCGACAAGTTATTCCAAGCCCAGTCGGAGCCGGTCCACAGGTCATCCCACGCCGTGACCGAGACGTGGTCGGGAAGGCTGCTCGATGAAGTATGAGGGTGCACCAGAACCACAAACAATCCCGTCAAAATCATGAACACAATCAACCCGACCTTGACCCAGCCCAGGACATTCTGGATCCAGATGCCTGTCTTGTAAAAACAGCTGTGGACGATCGTGATCCAAGTCAACAATCCGACCGCCAGTAGTTTGGTATTCAGATCATTGGGAGTAACGCCGGCGGCGAAAAGAGTGTATTTTGCAAAGACGATGCAATTGCTCGCCGTGAATCCAAGCAGAACGGCCTGGACAGCCACCAGTGTTGAGGTGAGGAACCGTGGTTTGCGAAAGGTATACTCCAGATACACTTTTACTCCGCCCGAACGAGGAAGCATGCACCCGTATTCCATGTCGATAGCCAATCCTGCCCATGCAACGAGAGCTCCTACAACCCACAGGACCAGCGCCAGGCCCGGGCTGCCGACGTTCTGGACGATTGTGCCGGGCATTGCGAAAATGCCTGATCCGATGACTCGAGAGATGACCAGGATGTAGGCGCTTCCCCACCCGATGTTCCTCCCCACCGTCGAGTCCTCTGGCAGCACATCGTTGTCGATATTTCTCTTGTCCTTTGCAATACTGGCAGCCAGGTTCTCGGAGTCGTCCACAGAGCTCTGTTCAGGGCTAGGGGACAAGAGAGGCGACGTTTCGAGGTCCTGCATCTCGGGAGCCATAGATTGATGGATCGAAATTTCAGCACTCAAAAAAAGACGGCCTCAAAGGCAGATCCGAAAGACAAGGTGACCACAGCACACCACCGGCATATAAGAGAAGGCTGGGATTGTACGGGACCAGCGAGGGCGAAACATGCTATCGCACAGGCCTCCCCGTGCTGACAAACTGAGCACACCGGGGGACACATGTCGAAATGTCAACATATTTGACCGAATGTATCGCATCAATTCGCGGGTCAGTCGCGTCAGGGTGCTGTGGCCAGGAGGGAAAATGATTGGGCTTGCTCATTTGGGGCCTTCATCACGCCATAACCTCTTATCTCAGGGGGTGATATTTCTGACGCGGCCAGGCCAGACAATACTCGCGCAGGGGTGCCAAATAAGGGCATCGAGGGATATCTTTCGAGGCACCTTTGGGACAAGTGAGTCTGATACAAGCTCATCCATGTTCTTCTCCCCCCTAGTCGCCGCCATCTTATCCGGACGACTTGCTCCTTGTTGGAGGCGAGGTTCGTCTGCTTAGGATTGCCAAGCCTTGTTTAGTCATCCGGATAAACAGCGGCCCGGAGAACCACTCGGCGGCTGCCAAGCCTTCCCCGCAAAAATAGATCCGGTGGCAAGTCAAAGCCTCGGTTCCTCCAGCTCTAACTTCCCTGGTCACTAAACACACCACACGGCCAACTCGTTGATACAACAACAGCAACGGTGGGTTACCTGTATATATCAACCTGAAAATTTCAACTGTTTGCCTTTCTTTTCTTTCAAGACTCATCTCCAGGATATCTGCTATGCCATAGCACACGGCACGAGCCAACAGCTTTCCAACTTATTTGACCATTAGGGACGGGAGAGTCCTCAGTTTGGCCGTGACCCGAGGGCAACCTTCGGGTACGTTTCAATTGAGCAAGGGAGCCAGCCAAGCCTCTCATTGGCTGAGTCAGCCTTGAAGAAGCTGATTATATATAATCACATCCCAGTATTGATATCTGGAGGCAGCAGGATCCAATTCCTCGACCAGAGAAAGAACAAGCACAGGGAAAAGGGAAAGGCGAAAGGAGAAACACTGAATCTAGAAGCACAAGCCTCCCTCCTCCCACCATGGCTAACAACCAACGCTTCGCCGTCGACAAGATCAAGGTCAAAAACGACCCCCGAATATCTTTCCTCTCGGCCTTTCTGAACGGCAAGACGTATGGCTACCTGTTCAGCCCGGCGTCGCCGTCGGTGCCCAAACGCGGCACAATCTTCCTGATCCACGGCTTCCCAGACATCAGCATGGGGTGGCGGTACCAGATCCCCTTCCTCACCAAGCTGGGGCTCGACGTGGTGGCGCCAGACTCGATGGGCTACGGCCGCACCGACGCGCCCAAGTGGACGCTGCAGGACTACAGCTACCGGCGGGCGGCCGACGACATGGCCGAGCTGGCGCGGCAGATGGGGCTGCGTAAGATCATCCTGGGCGGCCACGACTGGGGCGGATCGATCGTGTACCGAGTGGCGCAGTACTACCCAGACCTGATCGCGGCCGTGTTCAGCATCTGCACGCCCTACTTCCCGCCCAACCACAAGTACGAGCCGCTGGGGATCCTGGTGCAGAAGCGGCTGCCCAACTTCGGCTACCAGCAACACTTCATCTCCGGCGAGATCGAGGACGCGGTGCAGTCCAAGGCCGAGATCCGCCAGTTTTTGGTGAACATGTACGGCGGACGCACAGCCGACACGCGCGAGGTGGCCTTCGACGCGAACAAGGGGCTCGACCTGGCGCGCCAGGCGCGCATGGGCACGACCAAGCTGCTGGCCGACGACGAGCTGGCCTACTACGTCGACGAGTACGCGCGCCACGGCGTCTACGGCCCGCTCAACTGGTACCGCACCCGCGAGGTCAACTACATGAACGAATGGCGCGACTTCTACGACAACGGCCGTAAGGACCCCGTCCAGGCCGACAAGGACCAGACCCTGCACCAGGAGATCCTGTTCGTGCTCAGCAAGAAGGACCAGGCCCTGCAGCCCTTCATGGCCGCCAAGATGCCCGAGCGCATCCCGCGCCTGACCTGGCGCGAGGTCGACGCGGGTCACTGGGCTCTGTGGGAACGGCCCGAGGACTGCAACCGGCTCATCGGCGAGTGGTTGGAGGAGAAGGTCTTCCCGACCTTGGGCAGGGAGAGTAAATTGTGAATGAACAAGGAAGGAGAGCCTTTGAAGAACTGCAGTACTTCGCGAGATGACCTGAAACGGAAAAGGGGAGTTCCAAGTCTCTGGTGTCCATGATATTGTCGCTTGGCTGGCCGGCCGGCACACTTGGCTGGAGAGGTGGTGCAAGGTTTTCTTGGTCTTGTCGCCTTCGAGGTACTGTTAACGCTGTTTGAGAGGGATCGTAGAGCAAGAACGAATATCAATTGCTTTTTTGGTCTCTCGGCAGACTCTGCGTCAGGCTTATTCATCATCTGTACGCGGTTCCCTTCTTCTACCTTTGTTGCTATATTCTACAAGCCCTTAACAGGTCCAGCTGTTCTCACCATCACCTCTCTCCAGTTAGTTTCCCCTTGGTCGCCCGCCACCCACTCACTCGTTCATAGATCACAAATGCATGCCTCGGACATCGCTCAGGATCAACTCGGCAATGGGCTCGGTCAAGGTCTCGTCCACGCTCAAACTCATCAACTTGCCGATCTTGACGTTAATGGCGCTTTCGCGGTCGTCCACGATGCTCCAGATCCGGTCCTTGATGTCGAACTCGGTCTGGTAGTCCAGCAGCAGCTTCTCGATGCGCGGCTTGTGGTCCAGCACGCTCAGCTGCGGGTCGCGGCGGCCCAGGGACACCGTGATGGTGTACTTGTCCATGTGCGGCGCGGGCGGAACGTGCACGAGCATGGACGGCGTGTCCGGGAACGTGGAGATGGCGACTTCGGTGTCCTTGGTGCGGTCTTGCCCGTCCACCGTGACTTTCAGGTCTGGGGGAATCTCGGTCATCGCGAGGAAACGGAAACTCCATATCCGCCCCGTGACGTGGGCGGTGAGTTCGCCCTTCGCCTGGTCATATTGGATGAGGGAGCCGCGCTCGCCGGTCTGGGGACTCTCCTTCTTGACCTGGTCGGAGTCGTCGGCGGGATCTTCGAGGATGGACGTCTGTCCGTTGCGGCCGATGACCACGAGCACCTCGAAGTGTTCGGGGTTGAGACCACCGTTGGCGGGTGCCTTGTTCGCGTCCAGAGGAATGATGCTGCCCTCGTGAGCCAGCACCGGGATCTCGTGCAATGGCCGATACATGTTCAACTCGCGATTCCCGTCGTAGACGGTTCCGGTGAAGATGTCCACGTGGCGATGCATCGGCGGCAGCCAGGCCTTGACGCACCCCAGATTCGTGCGCGGGTCTCGAGGCTTCACGATCGGGGCCACGACGAGCTCCGAGCCAAAGAAGTACTGGTTGGGCACCTGGTAAGCCTCGCCGCGCTCGGGGAACAGCCAGTACATCGGCTGCACGAGCGGCTCGTCCTGGGTCGAGGCGCGGACATTGCACGTGTAGAGGTAAGGGATCATGCGATGGCGAAGGCGCATGAATTCCTCGATAACATCTTCGCTCTCCTTGCGATACAGCCAGGGCTCCTTGGACGTCCACCGTGAGTTGGAGGAGTGCAGGCGCATGATCGGGCTGAAGACGCCAAACTGCACCCATCGCGTCACCAGCTCGTCGTCGCGTTTGCCGAAAAAGTGGCCGCCAATGTCGTGACTCCACCACCCATACCCGATGTTCGACGCCGTGGCGGTGAACTCGGGCTGAAACTCCAGCGAGGCCCATGTGGTCACCGTGTCCCCCGAGAAGCCCACGGGGTAGCGATGGCTGCCGGGGCCAGCGTACCGCGAAAAGATGAGCGGACGCTTGCCGTCGAGGGCGTTGTCGAGGAAATGGAAATGATTGAGCAGCCACAGAGGGTCGACCCCTGGCACCTTGGTATGCGAGCCCTGTTGCCAGTCAATCCACCAAAAGTCACAGGCGATTTTCTCAATGTCGCGATGGAGGATTCCCAAATATGCTTCCATGAACTTGGGACTTGTCGGATCGAACAAGATGGGATTCTTGTTGGAGGTGTCGTGGCCCAGGAACTTGGCCATCTCGTTGTACGAATCTTCGTGGCAATGGATGCCGGAGTGTGGATGGTCGTTGAGAGTAATCTTCAGGTTCCGACTATGGATCTCCCGTCCAAACGTCGCGGGATCCGGGAACAGCTTCTTGTCCCAGGTATAGCCCGTCCACCCGGCATGGGGGACTTGAGGATCATCGACCATGTGCCAATCCATATCAACGACGGCGACCGACAAAGGAACTTCTTTGCTTTTGAATTGGTCCATCAAGCCGATGTACTCGTCCTGACGGTACTTGTAGTACCTCGACCACCAATTTCCGAGAGCCCATCGGGGGAGTTGTGGCTGTTTGCCACTGACGGCATAGAAGTCCCGAATTGCACCCTTGTAGTCGTGCCCATGGCAGAAGAGATATCCATCGATGCGATCACCGGGTCGTCGACCGGCCACGAAGCCCTGGCCATCAAACAGCATCGATTTGCTGTCGTCGAGTGAGGCGTAGCCAAACCTCGACAGCACGCCGTTGCCCATGTCACATCGCCCGTCAACCTCGTCCAGCGTCCTGGCCGTCCCGCCCAGATTCTCCCGACGGCCATGGCTGGGCTCGGCACCGAACCGCCACTGCGCTCCCCATAGGGTAACCTTAGCTGAGAAGCTGCACAGCAGGCCGCTGGCGCTGAAACGCTTCTTGTCGTAGCTCAGGTGGAAGTGATCGTTGATGATCTCGAGCTCTTCAGGCCTGTCGACCACCCGGAATTTGGGTACGGGAAACTCGCGGTTGATAGCAAAGGTAGAGGCTCGATCCTCGAATTTGCCGTCATATGACCATTCGTATCGGATCAGACGGTCGGTGAGGATGCTGAAGCGGTAGTGAGGCCCAGAGACGAGAGCATCGGGATGCGCCACAGGCTTGCTTTCAAAGTGGTAGTGTTTCATTTGGAAGGCTATCCTACTTCGTGCCAAAGATTTTGAGGACGAGAAATAAGAACTCAAGACACTGTTCATATAAAGAGGGTGTAGGAGGGGTGAAGATGGTAAGGGAGTGTATCCGACGGATAGTGTATGTAGTACGGCGAACGTCGGCCACCTTGTCTACTTTGAAAACGCAGCCGGAAAACGGCTACAACTCTTTTGAAGTTTCAAAAAAGGCAAAGAATAGAGACGAGATTCATGTGGTAACAATGTTGTCGGGACGTCATCATACAACTTACAACACCATGGCTGGATAAAGGGCACTCGGAGTATTGCTCGGGGAAACGCAGTTGATCGACCATTTGCCAGCCAGTTACAACATCCTTGCATGGTTATGCGGTCATAGCAGACGCCGATCATATATCCTGTCCGTAAAGTTGTAGCTGGAGGCTGAGGCTGAGGCTGAGGCTGAGGCTGGCTTGCTTGGTATGATAAGATCAAATCGCCACGTTCAAATATATGAATAACCAACTGGCTGGTAAAAACAAGTAACTCCATAGTCGTCTCTTGAGGAAAGCCGTAGCTGGAGCTGTGCTGTGCTGTGCCGTCCTGTCCTGTCCTGTCCCCAACTATTTACTTCATCCGTCTTCCTCAAAGCGTGTCCCAAACCCTCTTGGTGCGTCTGTCTCTCTCAGCACTCATGCAGCGTTTGCAACAAATGCTTGACCAGAAGCAACATCCGCAGAACACAGCATATCCTGAATAACCCTGGCCTTTCCTCTCGAGTACCCAAGTAATAAGTTATGTGCAAACGGTCCTAATCCAAAGCTTCCAGACGCTCGACAACGCATTTCGGTTTGTTCGTAACGGCATTCATCCCTTCCTAAAAGCCCGCACCTAGTCATTGTCGTTTGTATGAAACTCTCATCAAACCACACAGACCCATCCCAAGCCCCATTGCTTAGGCGTTTTGCCTGAATCGCAAAGTGCCAATGAACCTGTTCATAACCTCCATCCCAATGCCCTCCCAATACTAATAGCAAACCCTTCCGTGATGTGGAAGTATCAATTACTGAGCGATGAGCCCCTGATTTTACAGATGTCGATATATGCAGTCGGTAATTAGGGTTTCGAGCTTGTGAAATCTTGCGTGATAAGCTCAGCGGCTCCCCAGGGACATCTGCGTCGTCGACATCGAGAAGGTGTGCTAGTTACCTTCATTCTGAGTCCGTTTCCTCCCCAGTATCGGGAGTGTGGATCTGACTTCGCTTTTCTTCTTTAACTTCGGCAAGAATCGTCGATATCTCGCGTAGGATCTCGCTGATCGGCTTTGCCTGCTCAAAGAGGCTGACTCCCTTCTGGAAAGGCTGATACATGTGTCGAAGCTGCAGGGTAGTTGCACATGCCTGTGGAATGTTAACTTTGTGTCTCTCATAGATGACAGGAGTAGCTGATCTGCTTACCTCAACACGTGTCACTTGGTGTTCCAGCAAATTCATCATGAAGCCATCTGTTTGGACACCGCCACGCTCTTTCATTCTGGTGAGCAGGCTCAATTCAGGCTTATGCAGTCCGGCTGCTCGCTCGGGGACCTCTAGACAGCTGCACAACATCTCCAGACGCAGAGCAATATCCCAGAGTTTCCAGACCTCATCCAGCTGCAAGTCCTTCAGTTGGCTGTCTTTACCGAGGGTACCTGGTTGGCCTTTCTCGTCAACCGAAGCAGGAGCATCGCCTCCAAGCTGGACTTTCTGCTCGGCCCCAGGTGGGATTTCCAGTCGGCTCGCCAATGAATGAGGATACATCAGGTAGATGTACTCGGGATTTTCGAGGCCCTTCAGCTTCTTCTCCCCAAGGTCTTTGACCTCGAAACCTTGGCTACTAAGTTGACGGAGCTCACGACGAATCTGGACTGACAATGGGTCGTCATTAACGGTATCCTCTGAGCCCACAGAATCCCGCCGGTCGTCATCTGCGTAGCTCTCCAGCGTCCTTTGTACTTCGGCAATGAAGTCACTGCTCACGGTAATCTGGCCGCCGTCGGCCACGGCGGACACTCTGGCAGCTTTGTTGACCATAGGCCCGAAGTAATCCATTCGGCGGGTAATTGGATCCTGCTCGCACACGGGTCGCCCCCAATGCATACCCATTCTTACTGACAACCCACGGTAGATGGTATTCTGTTCGGAATCCAGCTTTTCCTGACAATGGACCGTCTCCAGAATCTCTTGGGGCCAAGGCAATTCCAGGAGATGACTTTGACAGCTAAAACACCAAAGTAACGCCGATGTCACAGTTGGAAAAGACACCATGAATGCATCGCCTTCGGTCTTGACTTCGTAGCCACCGATGATACGAAGCTGTCGCCGCATGAGCTCGTTGTGCATCATGATCGCCGATCTCATCGGGACTGGGAGAATTTCCCACAATGCTGTCGAATTCTTGATGTCAGTGAAGCATATCGCGACATCACCTACAGGCGGCTCTGGCTCTTCGAGCCGGGCAAGTCGAGAGTCCCCCACAAGCGTTTCACCTTTCCGTCGAGCTTTCCGGGAACTGGGGAATATGGCACCCTCATCAAGTCCCATCTCCTTCGCCATGGACAGACTGGTGCCCCGGAAACGATGGTTGCCTCTCTTTCTGAGGTCTGAAATGCCGAGGACCATGACCATGATCTTGTCTCTCGCACCAAACGCCATGGCGAGATCTCTCAACTTCTGTGCCGCCAGCATCAGATCGTTCTTTTCGGCTCGAGCAGCATCGACGGCAACGTCAACCGTCACATAATCCCAAAACTCTTTCGTGGCCACGACGATGAGCTCGTCCGACTCGGTTATCTGGCATTTGAACGTGTGGGGCGCAGCGATGACTGACGGCATATGACTGTAATAGCCAAATGCTCGGCTCACTTCGAGGACATCGTTGAGTCTGCCTTGCCTAGAGACATACCCTCCTGCCTCCCTAATCCGCTCCCGTTCATTGGGCTCTGCTGGGTCGTGTTTTCTCGTCAATTGCCGATGTTGACCGTTGGATTGAATGAGTATAGCCTCAATATCACCAACATTCGCAACGTGCAAATCTTGCCCACTGATGTACAAGACTGCCGCCACGCCACCGGAACTCAAATCATCGGGGCCCAGGATGTTTGCAACAGTCGAACCTCTGTGGCCGTTAGCCAACCTGTGCTCCTTCGTGTCGAAATTGCTGCTCGCAAAATTCGCCATGTCCTTGTTGATTGCTAGGAAGGTCCGTCGGAGTGCGTCTATCGGAGTATCTTTCATGGTCTCGGCCTTCTTCAGCTCCTCATAAAAGACTGCCGAAAAGTTCTCGTGCAGATACTTTGCCACCCTAGATCCGCCGCTTGACATTGTTTGGCCATCGAACATGCCAATCAGTATCTCACTATCTTGGCCTCGAAAATTTGGTTTCAGAAGATCCAAGGTCGACAGATGCTCGTTCTTGCCCAAAGTGTCTGCCATGCCGTACATCAACGCGCCAACGACAGAAGCTGAGGTTCGTACACGGCGATCTTCGTTGTCATCCGGAATTGTGTTCGTCAATAGTGTCACATCCATAAGACCCAGCACGCGGAGGTATTTGAGGGTGTTGAAGCTTGTTAGGTCTGTAGTGTCAGTGCGGCTCATTGAATGGAAATGCGACTGGTTCTGGTGTGCAGCCGGTTTGATTTCCAGGCGCTTGTTGGCAGAAAAATTCAGATACTTGAGATTTGTATTGCGGTTCCAGTTCCAATCATATGGCCAGTTGGAGACGTTGTACTTCAATGAGTTGCTCCCAACATCAAGGGTGGACAATTTGTGCACATTGCAGAGCTCGGCCGGAAGCACTTGGAAACGGTTTGCATTCAAATGCAATATTCTCAGATTACTACTCTCTTCGAGGTCATCGGAGGGCAGAGATGTTAGCTCATTTCCAGAAAGATAGAGCTCATTCAGTTGAGGCCAACGTCGCAACACCCCTTGAGGGAAGTCGTCCAGTTCGTTGTATGAGAGATTGAGAACGCGGAGCTCTGGCAAGAGAACGAGCTCACGGAAGACGTCGTCTTCGAGCCGATTGTCAGCCAAGTAGAGATACCGGAGGGATCCTGCAAATGTGTTGTGTAGCCGGGCTTGTGATATGTTGGAATCCTTCCGAGTAGCGGTTGACATCGAATACTCTGTATTTGTTCTCGAGATCACCGATTGCTTTCGATGAGCACTCAGCGAAACAACAGAATTCTTCCGTGCACCTGGAGAACTACCGATGCTCATCATTCCTGATGACGCCTGGCTAGGTCGGCGGGCTTGGAAGTCTTCCAGCTTGCCAAGGTCGTCAAAGCTGGGAGAAGTTGACAGCCCTGGAGTTGCCGTTGGTGTGTAATCCTTGGGCTCACTTGGAGGGGGAGCTGCGTTCTGCTTAGGAAAAGTCTCCAAGACATTTGAGGAAAGATTCAGCGTTTCCAGCTTCCTGCAATACCAGATTTCGGGGGGAAGACTCTTGACATTGCACTCCCTGAGATTCAGGAATTTGAGCTCCGCGAGATTTCCAATGGAAGGAGGGACTATGTTCAATGGATTTTTGGCCATACTCAGAAACTCTAGTTTGGTCAGGCGCCCAATCTGGGATGACATGTTCGAGAGATGATTTTTGTCCAGATTTAACTTCTGCAGGTTAGGCATGTGATCAAACATCGTTTCCTTGAACTCGACGAGTTTCGCTGAAGCAATATTAAGGCTAGAAAGCGTTGGCACAGGTTGATCCAACTCGAAAGACGTGATCGGGCAGTGATCCAGGACCAGGACCCGTAACTTTGGAAACGAGCCTTTAAATGTCGTGATGTTGTTGTGACCAACGAGCAACTGTTCGAGATTTGGAAGACTTGTTACATTGTCAATGTTCGTTATTGCGTTGAATCTTGCATCGATCTCCTTCAGATTGATCAGACTTGCGAAAGTCTCGTTGAACGGGCCTTTCAGATCATTATTCGTGACCCAGAGGCGTTCGAGAGTAACCAAATGTGAGATTTTCGGAAGCGAGGAGAGCTTGTTGAAGCTTATGTCAAGGTCCACCAAGGACTTCAAACTGCATATGTTCTCGGGAAACGTGGTAAAGTTGTTGGACGAAAGATTGAGGCTGCGAAGCTGGCGGAAGTACGAGAAATTGGGCGGCAATTCCGACAATTTGTTGTTTGCCAGTTTCAAACTCACAAGGGCCATTAACCTGTGTAGCTCCGCGTGTTCCAATTGTTCCAGCCGATTGTTTGACACGTCAAGCACAGTAAGACGGCTTGCCCAAGCCAAGCTGGGTGGTAGTCGCCACGCTTCGTTGCCAGTGAATTTGATCTCGCGAAGGTTGATGCAGGCTGTAATAAAATCCTTTGGCACTTTGAGTGCAAGGTTCCGTGAGAGGTTGATGGAAATGATTTCGGACGCCTTTGTATAAAGGATAATCGGTATTGTCACCAGCGACTTCCCCGAGAGATCCACATGGCTGAATTTCTGCATTTTGTTGAATGCCGGGTCTTTGTCAAGACCGCTGCCATAACCCGTCTGTTTCTCATGGCTGAACGTGAAACGAATGAGGTAGCTATTGTCATCTCTACCGACTTCTTCAACTCTGTCTCTTTCTGTGTAGCCTGCAAGATAGAGGAGCTTCTTCTGCATAGCCACAGGACGTTCTCCTGAGCCCAGTTGTCTGGACAGCTGATGTTTGCGCATGAGGAGTTGGTAGTTTTCAATAGAATCATGTAGAACGGATTTCTTGGCCAGAGACTGAAGCACCTCTGCCACAGTGGCATTGATCGACATGGACAAAGTCGCAAATGTGCCATCCGTTCTGAAGACGCGCATGAAGTAGGATATGCCATCCTCTTCCTGGATGGCCGGCAGGCCGTCCTCATTGGCTTCCGGCAAGCTGTCAAGGACCTCGTCTTCCTGCCCTTTAACTGCCCAGCTATCTGGGGCATCCCATGCCGGGGCAGAGAGTTCCGACATTGGCGTCGCAGAAGCTTTTCCCGTCCAAACTCCAGCCTCTCCAGGGGTTTTGGGAGCCGCCGGCTGAGAGATGATGTCCGACATGTCATCAAAGTTTGTGTCAAGGCTGAAGACGCCCGCTTGCATTGGAGCTTGTTGACTTGTTGCTTTGCCCTTTTCAGAGGTATCACTCTGGATGCTAGGTCCACGATGCCTGCCATGCCGAGTGAACCTACTTGTCTTCGATGAAGCCGTCTGCGTCCGGTCAAGCTTGGGAGAAGGGTCGGTGGCTTTGATTGTCGATGCGCTGTCCACTGATGTAACGCTCGTCTCTCTATCTCTTTTGTTATCTGAAAGATCCGAGGTGGTGGTTTTGGTCGACTGTGTTCTGCTCTTCTTCTGCTCTTCCGGTGACCGTGCTAGCTCAACATTGGCCTTAATTGGTTCAGGCTGGGGCGAATGCTTGTCCTTACGCGATTTGGTGAGTTTCGAAAATATCGATCTCTTTTCCGATTGCGATGGAGGTTCCTTGCGCGATTGAGGGGCAGGGCTTGCAGTACGAGCGAGCGTTGTAGAAGAGCTCATGGGCGTGCTGTTTGGTGGTGTATTTCGGTAGAATGCTAGGTTACTCGTCGATGATTCGCGACTTGTCGAAGGCCGTTTGGGCATTGATGGAGGGACTTGCTGGCCTTTCGGTGGGTCTTCCTTGCTTCTTGTGTGGCGGTGAAGGAGACCACGCCGGTGAGTAGACGGTGGCGGATTCGGGTGTAGAGAGTCGTGCTGTAGCTGCTGCTGTTGCTGTTGCTCCTGCCGAATCGGTGCGGAACCAAAATTCGAGACATCTTCAAAATTCTGATAAGCCCAAGGGGTAACATCGCTGGAAGGGGGAGGAGCAGGGGTTTTGGGTCTGTCGTCGACGGTCGTCTGAGTCTGGACCGAACCACTCCGCTGCGAAGGCTTGTCCGATGAGCTGGCGGGCATTTGCTCTGCCAGGTCTGCCGTTGACCCCTTCCGAGAATCTGTAGGGTCTTCGCCGAAGAAACCCTTCAAGCTTTTATGAAATCGACCATTGGCGGTGCTGCTCCTTGAACCCGTACTGCTGACAGTTGTGGCACTAGCTATAGAGGGCCGTCTTGCATCCCCATCGTATTCTGGCGAATCTGAGGTATTTGTTCTCGCAGTATCCGGACGCCTTGACGAGCCCGGACCATCTCGACCGCTGGAGTCGTGAAAATATGATGAATTCAGCGGCCGCGAGCCTGAGATATGCGCCTGAGGATCTCGTTCCCAAGGCGCTATATCGTCATCGTTAGAATTTGGGGTGTCCCAAGCCGCTATATCATGCATTGCTCGCGATTGCTGGAATTGTGGGCGGGCTGGCGCATTCGGAGGTGTACCGGTTCCAAAGATGGCCATGGCCTTCGGAGGCATTGGCTGTGTGGGTATGGCCTCCCATGGAGCGACCTCGTTCGAACGAGACATGGCGGGAAATGGGAGAGCAAGGACGTTTACGGATCTGAGACCCCTTGTCAGTTCAACTGAGCAGCGATGTCTCAAGCATTTTTGATGGAGCGCACGAATGAAAAAGAACAATATGTCCAGCAAGCAAGGGGAGAAGCGCACAATACACCGAGCGAACAGTGGAAGCGATACAGCACTGACAGCCAGATGCTGGAGTCCAAATCTCAAAGACAAGATAGGCTCTTGCTCGGAACAGACAATATGCGTGCTCCGTACCTTCTCTTCTCCCCGGTATTTTTTTCTTTCTTCGTAGTTTGACACTTCGCCCTTGTCACTGTCTCCTTCAGCTCATGTTCTAGTGTAGTCGGTATGAATTTCGCGTCGGGCGCAGAGAGGTTCGGTCTACCATGCTCGGTTAAGTCGCGGACTAGGCCAGCTCAGATACGAAAAGTGAGGTTCTCTTGATGCTGAGACGTCTTGGACACTGAGACGGACTCGGAAGGAGTTTGTGGGTCTATGAGTGAGCCTCTAAATACGTATAGGTAGGGTCAGATGCAGCTGGTCAGGCATCGCGGGCTGGTGGGCTCAATTGTCGACGGTGGCCTTGTGTGGGCTGTCAACTGCTCAATCGAAGGATAAGGACTGGGAGAAGGACGAAAGATCGGCGTCTTGACAACGGTAGATGAAGAGGAAGGATCGGGAAACATTGGATATACGAGTAGGCAGGCTGCGAATGAAGACAACAACCAAGGTGAGGTGCAGCCGATGAAGAATGGGTGATGGCAATGGGTCAAGTACGCATTCGAGTAGGCGTTGGATCGCCTTGGTCAGTTTGTGGAGATGGGGTTGACCCTCGAGCCCAAGTTCTGGACCGAAGCCGATCGATGGGCATCAATTGGCTACCTAGATACCCGGGCGCCACCCGCCCTCGCCTGCCTTAATTTAGCCTTATGCCCTTGGCCGTGATGCCGACACCTGAGCCTTCACCCGCCCCTCACCAACAGTGATACCCGTACAAGAGCAACAGGGTATGTAAGCGGCACCGCATCCAGTCTGAAAGCTGCGTTCCACAGGGCAAAAAGCCCAACGATCCATACATACCGGTCAGCTGTCCATCGTTCAAACTCACCACCGCTCGCTAGCCATTCACCTCTCACTGTTCCATAAGCATGAGAAAGCAACGATTCTCTTTTGGACAATCTTGGCCCTTACAGCCGAAAGATGTTAGGCAAGTCAAAAATGGCTACGCGGATAGTCCCGGGGTGGCAAGAGGACGGCGATATATGGCGGAAGACAAGAGATTGCGGGAAACTCTGCCAAATACTCTCTTCTCTTGAGGGACTACTCAAATGGCCCGATCAGAAGCAGGCAATGAGAGATAGATTGAAGGACAGAGATGGCGAGCAGCTGGCGAGGGTCAAGACAATGTCTGCGCTTCGCCGGAGTGAGCAATACCTAGCAAATTACGCTGAGGAGACTCGGTAACCAGACAGAACTTTCTGGCTGGCGTAGCAGTGAGTTTTTGTCAGAGAGTTTGGTGCATAGCAAGCCTGTCAAGTCGTGAGCGTCTCTGTACGGGACAACATTCCTCCTGCCAATCGCCAGCTGTACCACTTGAAACAGCCACCACAGAGCAAAAGCCCAAGCACAGTATCGACCCGAAGATATGTATTGACCTGTCTTTTCGTGCGACAAACTCCTAAGATTACAAGGCGCAGCCATCAAACCAATGTTTGGCAGTCGATCCTTTTGGGTTTTCTCTTAATGTTCATGATGTGGCTCGCCGTGATATCCGACAATCTTCCATCTCCCTATCATTTCACCGACGGTGAAGAAACCCAACACCTGAGCGAAGACAATTGCGAAGGTGGTCAACTGGTTGCTGTCTGCGTTGCGGATAGGGGCCAGGACGGCATTCGGGTTGACGGACTTGAGTGCAGAGCTTGCGCTTGACGTGATGGATGCCGGAGTCCGGAAGACATTGATCAGGGGCTGGAAATAAGATTGAAACTGGGCCAGAGAGCTGCGAAAGGTCAGCTCGAAACTGCAGGTACCGTTTGTTTCCAGACCCGACTTACGGAGGAGCCATCTGTTGACCCTTGAAAACGATCCTTGCGAGCTCCCATCCAACGCGAGAGTAGTAGACCGTAGGCGGTATTAACGCTGTGTTCAGGTTAGCTGATGCCCGCATATCTGTGACAGAGTATCTGGCAACGTACATTCGACAAAGGAAATAACTCTTCCCGTCCTTCCGCCAACTCTGCTCAGGGCACTGTATGCGGAGGAGCCGACTTTGGAGATTGCGGAGCCGGCAGAGCTCGAAACACGGCTCAAGCCTTCTGAAGCTTTTGACACGGCCTGCTTTGAGCTTTCTTGCGCCTTTGAGGCTGCTTCTGAGGTGGTGGAAGCTTGTCTGAAATTGTTTCGGCGCAGGAGGAATCTGGACTGCCGGAGAAGGGCGCGAGAGGTGGAAGCCGCCGACATGACTGCTGGAGCTCCAGAAGGATGTTCACGGGTGAAAAGATAAGGATGGTGAGAACGGCGACGCACCTCCTCAAGCAGTGGTGGTGATTGTGTTGCGTTGTGGTGGTCGAACGAGACAGGTGAAAAAAGGGTCAAAGCTGTTCGGAGGCCAAAAGTCCAAATTCAATGGGCCGGAAAATTTCGGGCCACGGGAGCTGCTGATTGGTCAGATGTCGGCTTGGTACCTGGCCGGAAAAACTCTCCTCTATCAATTTGTTCATCGACTTCACAAAGAATAATGTGAAAATATTGATGTCGATTGGACTGGATCAGCTTCAATTTGTATATGTGCATTCAATTGCTGTCTACAGCTGATTGGAAATTCCATTCATCATCCGCCTTTTTTGTCGGGATTGTCATCGAGGTTCGGCCTGGGACTTCAACTCCGTCGTAACAGGTCCCGCCTTCCACATCCACCTCACTTGACGGTCACAAAGATTTGTGACTCTCATCTAGAAGAATCGTCATGTCGACTACCAACTTCTTGTTGGTTGCATCTCCCTTCGTCCCATTCTCACGGGTCTCACCTCCCCCCTTGGCAGACCAATACCGGTATTCTGGATCTCTCTCACTAAACCTGAAACAAGCTGTTTAGGCCCTAACTCCCCCCAGCCGAGTTCCCCGGGAACCAACGTTCTTGAAGCCCCCGAGCCCCTGCAGCAGATCCCAAAAGTTCGTCCATCATGAACTTGTAACGTGCCATTCTTCCTTTTTGTAGACAACTTCCTCAAGCCATGCTGCCATGTAGAGGACGGCCATCACCGAAGACATTCTTCATTTGGAACAGTATCTGAGCGGTTTGTTGGTAGGCGTTCTGGTTTCATGCCTGGGTGGTGACTTCTTTGTCCTTTTTCTGCCCGTCGCTTTCAGCATGCGAGCTGTTGTTGAATAGTACACGGGTAACTGCTTGTCTTTGTACGTGCTAAGTCACAGCTGCTGAGCCTGCCGATCCTGTTGATGCCGGGTTCTCTCACATCCGCCTCAAATTTCTCTTGCTGGCACCTTCAAGTCATCTCAGTTCACATTCCGCAAGAACAGAAACGCCGAAACTCCGGACAACGGCAAGGGGTGCAAAAGGTCAACGACAACACCATGGCTGCCAAACATAGACAACCTTCATCCCACCCACCTCAGCCTGCCCAATCGAATCCTCCACGTCGATCACTGAGGCAAGGGCTCAAAGATGTGTTTCTCCGAACTCTACGAAGATCGTCCGAGCCCCAGGCTGAGACACTCTCCCTTGGTTCTGGAATATTGCGGCGGGCAGAATCATCCGGGTCCTTTTTCCCTTCGACGACCACATTCTCCTCCTTCATCGAATTGCCCGTGAGTCGATCGAGTCTTGAAGGATATACCATCTCGCGGGCCATTCCCAACCGATTTCAGTCCACCACGCACGTATCGCCACGCAAATCGCCTGGCCGCCAGTCACTACTTCCTGCCACAAGCCTCAGTCAGTTCAACCTCCATCAATCTTACCTTCACCCATCTACCGGTCCACAACGAGCAGTCCACGATGCCATGGCGTCTCCGTTGTTATCTGTTGCGAGTCGGCAAGCGAGTATGGCCAGTTTCTCTACCCTGTCCACCGTTTCCAGTGCTTCCACACTGAGGATCCAGGAGTCTCGTGACGTGCTTGCGCCACCAAGAGTGGGAGCGAGTTCGTATCGGAACCCCCAGGCACCAGCGAGCAAGCGTCAAACCAAACATGTCTCGTGGCTGCATTCACCCACAGCGAGTTCTGTCTCGATGGCGGATTCCGCCAAACAGAGTGACGATCCAATCGGCCTCAGACTGGTTGAGCATTTCAAGTCGTTTTGCATTCTCGACACCGCCGTGGCTGGACTCCCCGTTATCGCCACGTCCAAAGAACTTCGCTACATTTTTGAGGTGGGGGAACATTTCTTCCTTAACAACCGTGAATGCGAAGGTGCCTCGATGGACATTGTAACTGGTCAAGATGCTGCAGGTGATCCAGTTACTCACCTTGTGTTATTCACACCCCTCATCATTCCCAGCAGTGGGCGCAGCAGATTCATGCTAGCTTGCCTGATCGACGTCACCCAGTTCATTAACGACACGGCGTCACTTCCAGAACTCGACCACGAACACGACACATCCACCATAGAAAGCGAAGTGCAGACGCCGGTGCAGGATCGGAAGGATCTCAGTTGGACTGGCCGCAGCTACAAACTCTCTGCCGAGGATCTCCTTGGCGGCTGCATGTTACCTGGCGACCGAGAAAAGGCAATGAGACCACCCGAGAAAGACGAGCCGTCAGAAGATATTTGGCTGAATTTGGCGAACGAGGAAAGGAGCAGAAGATCGTCAAAAAGGAACGCATCCAGCTCGACGCCGAAGATCAACCAGGTTGCAAGATCAAATGCATCGCACACGTCGACGGCTAGCAGTACCGTGGATGAGGTATTGGACGAGTTTATGGGCGACCTGCAGGAGCTCTATTCGGATTTCTTCCTTTTAGGCAAATCTCCACTTGATGACACCTGCTTCGAGATTTGCAACGTTTCACCTCTGCTCTACTCAACAAGAGAATATATCAACGGACACCTTTCTCACACGGGTGCGCAGCAAATGGCCGAGTTAAGCGTATCTCTAGCTGGAGATACGCCATTCAACATGCACGTAAAATGGGGCCCACAGGGACTGGACAAGCGGATGTATTGTAGTCCAATGTATTCGGCAAACTCCATCACGTGGATTTGTTTCCTCGTGGATTACCGGATGCCATTGATGTGGTAGCAGCAGCAGCAGCAGCACGCAGCCGTGCAAATCCTGCATCCTCCTGTCGTGCCGAAACGAGGCCGAAGTTCTGTTAGGGCTTTGCAGCAAGATAAGCATGCCCGTCGATGGCAGAACACGGTTGCAACGGAGTGGCAATTTTATGATAAAGAATAATAGCTCGGACGCCTTCGTTGCCACCTGAGACCTCTTTGGAGCACGGAGGATTCTGCGCTATAATACTGGGCCTGATTCTGATCGTCGAGCTTTCTGATCTCTCCAAACACGCAAGGGCTGGACAGGCAACGAGACACGAAATGAAACAAAGGAAATGATTGTCACTAGAAGGGTCGAGAATTGAACGATGACGGCACAACGTCGCAACTGGCAGGGTGGAAAGATCTTCGCGGGCGGAGTCTTGGAGCAAAATGTCCCCTTGTGGCATCCCGACGCCTAAACTGGGCCTCTGCGATCCGTCTGGGCATTTCTAGCGGGCATCGGCACAACGCAGTCGACAGGGGCCTTAGCCTACCTCAGCAAGGCAACAAAGAAAGCAGCCTTCGCCTCTTTCCGTCATGGCGCGGCCCCCTCTAGACCACGCCAACGTCTAAGACTTGCCGCACAGGGGAACGCGCCATCCGATCGCCCCTTCGATTAAGCGGAAGAGACACCGAGGAGGCACGCAACGTTGGGTCGAATCTTCGCTGCTTCTTTCGCTCAACAGCACGATGGCACCCACGAGTTTTAGCGAACGAATCCACCTCAGGGGAGCCCTCGGATTTTCTCTGCCCTCGTCCACCACCTTGATCCACCTGGTGGTTACCCCAGTTCAGAGCCCGTATCCGATTTGCAACGCCTTCTCCCCTCAGTCCGGCATCGCGGCGGCGGGTGATACTTCAGTCTCACTCAGTGGCCACTGCTTAAAGGCCTCAGAAGGAAAGCCAAAGGTTTAGAAGTGCTCATGCTCGACATTTAAAGCTACCCCACGGTTCGCTTTATAGTGTTGGCTCCCGCAGCGGCTTCTTTCTGCAGCAGAGTTCGTTAGCAAGACACCCAAAGCCGCCGACCGGCGAAATCCACCCTCTCGACGCTACATACACACCTCCCACTGCCTTCTTCGTCCGCCTTCACTCACTTCTTCGTCTGCGATCGTCCAGTTCTCGAACGATTTTCCATTCTTTTCGTCTTTCATAACTCCACCGCGCTGAACGACATCCCGCCTGCGCTGTCGGGATCCGAATATCAGCCAAGATGTTCAACGAGAACTTCTCCTTCGGAACGTCCCCGCACCCGGGCTTCTTCACGGATAGCATTGAAGAATGTACTTCAGCAGAGATCTCTCCTTTCACATCACGATGCTCTTCGCCACATTCTTCACAAGCACCTGCCACTCGTCGAGACTCTCGCTTCGACGCATACAGATCGGCTCCTCGTCATCCCTCTATCACCGCGTTGACGGCACAGCTGCAGTCCCAAGCCTTAACCGACACAGAGATGGGTTCCCCCTCACCACCACCCTGTGAAATGGGTTCCCCTTCCGACTCCACGACGCTTGACGATGAAGGATACTGTGAAGGACCAGATACACCCGCTACGACGGTGTCTGACTTGTCGTACGATTCCCCAGAGATTGATCCGACGCTATGGGATCTTTCCATGTCGGACACAATGGTGGCTACATCCTCACCTCGGCCCTCACTGTCGCTCGAAGCACAAGCACTATCGTCATACACGATGCGGCGACGGCAGCGGCAGGCTCTGGTACGACTACAATGCTTGGCGACCCGGACACCAGACCTAGCCATGCTCATCGAAGAGTGCCATCCATCCTCGTTGCCGCTGGAGACGGCGATCCTGAAGGCTTACAACTCTTCCAAGGGAAGGAGTGATTCCTCGTGCGGTATTTCGGGACTAGGGTTGTCTTCAAACACGACGAGCTCGGGACGGATAGAGAAGGAACGGAGCGGCTCTGTGGCCGTTGTCAGGAAGGCACCGAGGATGAGGAAAAGGACTAGCTAGGGATTGGGTGATCAAGGGCGGTTTACGATGATATGGCGTGATACCAATACCAAAAGTGAAACAGGAGCTTTAATGCAACGTGATTCAACCACATGCTTGCCGTTCTGGCCGTTCTGCTCTTCCGATATCTGGTTTACCATGATTCCGTTCTTGGTGGGGGGAAATGACCCTGACGAAAATCAGAGAAGATTAATTTGGTGGAGACGGCAGTGAGGACGGATTACGAGAATTTAATGTGGCCAACCCATGACCTGACGGCCAAGCTTCTTCTGCCTTGAAACTGAAGGCCAGCCAGTCAAGGGTCATACGCCACCGTCACCGGCCATGGCAGGACGTGGTCAGTGGGCCACCGGCGATCGGACAAAGATACCTCTGGCTATTTCAAGTGCAATGAAGAGCACCATGGAGTGACGGAATAACACACTTTGCCGACAAGTCCTCCTCTCAGTGGCAGCGGCAGTCGAGCCCGGGAATCCAACAGACAAGCACGGCAGCCTTTGCACTCGGGGCAGTTGATCCATTGCTCATGATGTGTATAGGACTGGTTTGTGTGTACGGTAGTGTGGCGGATTCACTCCTGCCGGCGCAACGATCGCAAGGTAAGAATTCGGTCGGTTCAACCCTGCTCTGATCCGAGTGAGAAAAGAATTTGGGTACCAACACCATTCGTGGCGTGACGGTTTGGAGTCGCCCTCGGGAGGCTTTTGGTCACGGCGGCGAGACCCGGGGCGGATTGTACAGTCCAGCGGCACATGGCAGGCGTCTTGGGTGATTCTACTGTACGGAGTCGCAAGGGCTACGAATATTCACGAGCAGGTAGCGACGCATGGACTTGCATCTTATGTATATACGCGGAGGCGTTACGGTTGTGGTTGTGGTTGTGGTTAGGCTGGTTTAGGTATGCCTTCTGTATGGTAACGATGACCATACATTACCTCATATGTATATACACAAAGTAATCTTCCTCAATTACGAACCGATGTTCTGAGGACATGGAACTGTCCTAGTCCTTGTGCGCAAGCCTCTACATATCTAGATAGTTGCAACACTTCCCGATTGCGAGTTTGACCTGTGGGCCCCTCCTCACAGCGAAGAGGGCTGAAGTCACGAGCACTGGCACGAGCCAGAGGAATTGAAGAAGCTCTCTCCCTCTCTCCCTCGAGACGGTGGCGATCGATCTTGCAAGCACACAAGCCAGCCAGGTAGAAGGTAGATTCTGTGGAGTTGGCCGACATCCGACACCTAGACTACAGTATACATCGGTTCCCTGTCGGTACCACCTACATACATATACGGATGTAAGATCCACAGGCGCACCTACCTATATTACTGGCCTCCTTAGCTAGCTAGCTAGTTTTCTAGCTCGCTGCTGCCATTGAAGGATGCTAACACGAGGGATGAGGGGTACCAAGTACCTACCTAGGAGTAGAGTGGTTAGGCCCACTAGGTGCTGATCGGCGTCGAGCGATGCGTCTGACCCGCCTGGAGCGAGCTACTCACTACCTAGGGTCGTCTTCTTGTCTGTAGAGACGCACGGGGAGCAGCTAGCAGCTAATAGCTTCATGAAACCACTCTTCCTGCGAGGTACTCTTGCTGTGATACATACTGTAGGCAGGTAGTGCCGTGACACTTTTGCCCGGGTACTCCTCCACACTCATGCTGTACTACTACTGCGTATGTACAAAGGCATGCACGTCCCGCATCATGCACCGGGGACTGTTGGACAAATGTTAAAAAGAGAGAAGAAAAAGGAGAAGTGAAAAGACCCACGAACGGGGGAAAAAGAAAAGAAAACAATAGCTTGCAAAAATTCGACCCGAGGCCCGGACGAAAGACGATCGAGAAGTTGCTTTTTGTTTCTTCGTATGCACAAAATACGAAGTGTGTGCTTGCTTGTAGCCGATACGTAGCTGGGGCCGCCGCCAGTCGGGGTCGGACGCCGACGAAACTGGGCAGTTGCTTAGTGGGCTTGTAGAAATGAGCTGTGCTTGGGCTTGTAGCTCGTTAAGTGGGCTAACACTCGACCACGGTCTAGCAAATTTTCTTTCTCCCCCTCCTCCTCCTCCTCTCCTTATCTCGCACTAGCACGACAGCTGACCCCGCCAGACTTTTCTCCGCTCGTGGGGGAGTTGGTGATTATGATGAAGTGGTGGATGTTCTGGAGAGGAAGAGAGACGGGGCGCATAGGAAACGAAAGGGGGGGGGAAGGGGAGGAGTAAAGAATTAGAACGATTAAACAGCATCCGAACTCTAGCCATGACTTCGTACTTCGTGTTCACCTGCCTCCAGAGTACAACCATTCAGTGTATAGAAAGAAACTGGTCTGCTTCCCCCTTCCCAGCCTCGAAGGGGCCCCTTCCCCCACAGAAACACTGCCCAGCTGGCCAGCACTCGGTACTCGCTAGGCATCTGGTATAGTATAACCGTTAGTAAGTTAGCTGGCCCGTGCATATGCACCTAGAAAGAATTTGCGTGTGGAGTTGTGGGGGACAGGTTGGACTGTTCATGAGTTGGGCGGGGGGGAAACAAAAACTGCCAAAGCCGATATCGCTCGGTATGAAAAAATGATTGAGGAGGGAAGGGAGAGAAAGCAAGGAAACAAGGAAGACCAAGCCATGCATGGGTCTGGGTTCTAAGCACAGTTCGTTCCACATCTTCGTTGAATAGCAAGCCGCTCTCTGTGTTCTTTCCAACCTCGAGCAGGGTCCGATGTCTGGAGAAGGCGGCCTGCTTGTTGGACCAGCAAGGATATTCTCAATGAAGATCCAAATAGGTCTTCGACCGGACTTCCTCTCGATTTCCGAATGGCCTTGAAGTTCACCTCTTCTGTTGGTGAGCTGTATATCTTTTACCTTCTCTGATACTTGTGCATGCAGAGGACATGTCCAACCGGACTAGGGACTGCATTTCATCGTGCATGAAGCAAATGTCACAACCTTCCGCAGTCGCCTGGGCACGGGTAGCTTTGATTGTGCCTGTGTCGTGGCTAACTGTCCTAGGTATGCTTCCTCACCAACAAAACAGATGTCAAGCCACAATCGTGGTTCAGAGCTGGACATGTGCAATGCCGCACCATAACTCAGTATAGTATTGTGCGTGACGAGTCCGATCGACTTCGATTAGCGCGTCCTCATCGAGATCGTCCATGCAAGACATTCGAATCGTGCGGCTGTAGATCACAGATTACCGCAATTTCGGATTCGGTCAGGTAGATCTCCCGTGGCTTGACCACAGAATAGATCTTCCACAGTTCCAGTTGCAGCTCTATTCACAAGGGGCGCGGAGAATCAGTGCCATGACCGAGGTAGAGATAATTTAAAATCCGTCTTGAAAGCGAACAGAGTGATGCTGCCTACAAGGCTGCCCGAGGAGCTCCGTATCTTCTCCGCGAGGAGCTTGACAAACAAAATCTCCGTGCCTTGGGCACGATGAAAGGACATGTATCGGAGAGTTCTGGGAGTTCCTGGAGAGTCGAATCTGTAGACTGAATGAGCTGTCCGTGCAAAGGCCGACACCGACGTTAGTATTCCCACTCGGGATGATGTTGCCTGCCTGACAGGACGCTGGCTCCGCGCTTCCGTGCGAGGAGCCGCCATGACTGTTCGTTCCTGGCTTCTCCGAACAGATCACCAGCGCGACACCGCGTGATACTCGTATATTCCGTACTTCGCTCGAAGCTCGATGAACCGTCGGAGCGAGCTTGCATTATTCCTGCTTCACCTGTGTGCGCGCCGTTCAAGGCCGTCTGTTCCGAGCGACGAATTAAGGAAAGAGCCCACAGTTTGTCAGCGTGCTGCTGATGCCAGGCCTGACAAAGGGGTGTTACGATCTGGAATCTCGAATCTAGATTTCGAACGATGCGCGGAAAAGCTGTTCCAGTGACCCCCTATTGCAGTTAGCAAGATAGCGCTCTAGCCAGCCCTCTAACTGGGACTGTGACTGCGATACCTCGATGCGGTTGTCGCGCGGATGAATAAGCCAGATGCACCACGGCCTAGAGCGGGACATGGCCGGCTGGAAGATCCAGATCCTGCAAGGCGGCTGCCGTGTGATATCGTGATCACCACATCACCTGTTGTCTGAATGTGGTAAGATGTCAGTCAGTCGCATGTTCGCTGGTTTCTCGGAAGAGGGAGAGGAGTCCAACGATCCAACGCAACGCACGTATACAGTATACACGCACGGCAAACACGGACGCAACGTCGTTGAGCGGACCCGAGTCGAGTCTTGACTCTGTCTCCTGTGCTTTCTGTTCTGTGTACAGTATTGTTTGTCTTTGGCATTGTCACCCGCTGCAGGCAATTACTGCAGGCGATCGCTCCGAGTAAGGCCCTGGCCTAGAAGTTGAGAAAGCCTCGCACGGTCGCTTGCTCCCTTCCTTTCTCCGTGGTTGTTCCGTCGTCCCAAAAAGAGCAGCAGAATTTTCGGAGCGAGAAGACGGGCGTCACTGCGTCGCTCCATTGCTCGGACACTCATCGTGAGTGACAAAGCTGTCATCGCATAGCATACTCGTTGCGTATGTACAGTAGGTCACAACACAGCAAGACCACAGAGGTATTGAGGAGGGCTGGCACAGCTCCATGCTTTGTCCGAGCGAGAGCGGAGTCGAGTGGCATCGACAAAAGAACAAGTCCGCTCTTTGAAGGGCAGAAGGTACCTGTCGCCTGTACCGTGTTGCCCGGGCGTGGATACCTTGGCTGCTTCCTCACGCAAGCAGGAGAGGGAGGGATTTGAGGATTCGAGGCCAAGCCAAGTACCCAAAATGCGCCGTGGTCATCCCCGAAAACATGAAAGGGGAACGGCCATGTTGCTACTTCAGACAGCGGAGGGGAAATATTTACAAGAGAGCTCTATTAACTCACTAATAATGTGCCTGTGGTCCCAACCTCGAGATCTCCATGGGAGGGACTGTTCATAGAGAAAAGAAAAAACCACTTGGGAATAATATCCGCACACTCCAATTCCCTTTTACCTTCCCAGATGTTCTTTACACAATTCTAAGTGGCCTTGGGCATATACTGGAGATGAGCAGACACAATACCCCGATGAACTCCTGAAGTTCTCCGGCTGAGACTTTTGGTTACACATCTCCGCTGTCAAACGAGTCACAGACAAGGATGTAAATGCCATCACGGAGATGGAGCGGGTTCAAAAGGTAAGGAGGTCGGTGTTCGGACTCTCGCGCATAGCTCTCCTGGTATTTCGCAAACACCACGGAGCAGGGACGGAGAACAGCTCGAAAGTTCTCGGACAACTTTTACTGATGTGTTCTCAAGTCCTCTGGTCTGCGAAACATCTCATGATGAAGTTAGACGTTCAGCGGAGACTGGGAAGCGGTACCGATTCTGTTCCTGGAAGGGTTTGGAGGAATCAACGTTGGATCGCCGATGCAGTGGCGTCGGAGTTGGGACGGAGGACTGCGTTGTTTCTTCTCTGGTGGAAAGGACTCAAGGAGCATTTAGACGCTGAGTGTTGGCTAAACCGAGGAAACCATCCGCAATGTTTACCGGAGTTGTGAAGCGCGGCCGTCAACACCAGCACACGTGCCCCAAAAGACAAAAGCCGTCTGCCATTCCGGTTTCTACAGGCTCTAACCCGAGACCCGAGCCATGCTCCCTGGCTGAATCGGGCTCTAGGCATTTCTTGGGGGTGGCAATGGCAGGTTATTTTTTTGAGATCTGGTGGAGTAATAACCGGCTGGATCGCGGAGCGACCCGCTCGGAGTGTTGCATTGTGCTCCGAGACGGCTATTGACGCAAGGGAATGACTCGATTAGTAGCATGTGTGGAAGCATGGGTGATGTTCCACTGCGATGGGGATCTTCAATGCCGTCTGGAAGAACGATTTGGCGTTTATTTCCGTGTTTCACGCCACCACGAAAAGCCTCAGGAAGGCCATGTCGGCTGTTGATCTCGGCCAAATTCGCTGGGTCCAGAAAGACTCGTGTTATGTCGTACTCGAAGTGTCCCACCAGCAAGCCACAAGCTGCAAAGCCACAGGAAGCTACCCGTAGAGAGTATAGCTGGCTATCCGTAGTCTCGAACGCTGCTGAAGTGTTCTAGACCCCTTGAAAAGGTGGCAGCGAATGAAAACGACCTGCGTAGTTACGCCCACGAGCGTCCAGCTAGACAGTCACCTCAAACCGTGTCATTTACGCTCCAGCAAGCCACCACATCACCTCGTCGCTGCGGCACACGTCGGCTTTGAGGGCGTACACTCCGACGGAATGATAGACACCGGAAGTCAAACGGAGAGCGTTTACATGGGTAACAAAACCCACCCTGATACGACTCGACTTCCATCGACCATCCGGTGGACTCCTTTTCAGTTGTCGAGGTTCGCCCGACGGACGCATTGTGGTACACCAACGAGATCGAGTGCTCCGTACACCGGAACGTGCTATCTCTTCGGAATGATCGCGTGTCAGTTCTACCCGGAGTGGAAGCGGCTTGGAACAAATCTTGAAGCTGTAATGACCGAATACGTCAGGACTTTCCTTTGGAAGGCTGCTTCACTCAAAGCCTTCCCAATCTGGATTCTCCTGTTGTTGGCGCGACTTTCTTTTCGCTCTTAGACTCCCTTCTAGGGCACCGCGCTTGCGGTTCATTTCCCTTCTCTCGTAACCGCTCTGCGTTCCGATCCTTGCTTTCCGCTTCATCCGTTTGGTTTTCTCGTCATCATCCACATGAATGGCTCGGCGAGTCTTCACTCCGTGTAATTTGAGGTCCTTCCTTGCTGACTTGGAGACGCTGGGAAGCGCGTGGAGCAACCAAGGCTGGATCTCCGTCGTCGCGGATAAGTTTGTCTCCTTGCTTTGTGTGCCGTCATTGTCTTTTTCCGAGTTTCCTCGCATCTTCTGACTGGCAGCAATCACGTTCGCTATACCTTTCACGTATTGAATATCCTCTTTAGTGTAGAAGCTGACACAGACACCACCTTCTCTACCGCCTCTTCCTGTCCTTCCTGCGCGATGGACATATCCAGCAACGGTGGTCGGTATATCATAGTTCACCACCACATTCACTCCTCGGAAATCGACACCACGCGACAGAAGGTCCGTAGTGATCAAAACCCATATTTTCCCCTGTCGGAATTCCTGCATGATGGATGACCGCGCACGCTGGGACAGGGAAGCATGAAGTACTGCCACTCGGGATGAACCGCCTGCTTGGGCAGGAATGTCGTATTGAAGTTCGTTATACAATGCCTGGGCACGGTCCACCGTTTGTGTGAAGACCAGAAATGGCGGCCGGAGCGGCGCCGCCTCATTGTCTTGACGTTTCGACATGGACAGGGACCGCGATGGGTGAAGCAACTGCCGCATACCGAGAAGCTTTCCAGATTCTGTTGCAGTGTAAACCAGTCGATGTGAGATTGTTGGTAGGCTCGTGTCTTTCAAACCAATAATGGTTCGGATTAGCGATAGACATTGACGCCGAGAAAGTTGGAGTTTCTTTTGCCGGTCTGAAATGATCTGTACCGCAAGCTCTTCGACATTCGATCCTATGGTTGCAGACCACATGCTTACTCTCAAGGCAAGTGAGGTGCAGGCGGACCAAACAGCAAGCGTCTGAGATCGGAAGAGCGGATCGAGAAGGACATCCGCCTCGTCGAATATGAGGCTTTCAACGTTGGGTAACGATTGCAGAGCCGAGTTTTCTTCTTCTTCCCAAGACGGAGAAAGAAGATGTACCACGCTTAGCGGGGTCGAGACCAAGATATCAGCTTTGACGAGAGTGGCCCTTTTCAAAGACTCGCCTTCGTCATCGCTTTGATCAACTTCTCCGTTATCTCCAAACTCCTCCTCATCGGAAAGTGCCAGTCCTTCAAAAAGTCTCATGCCTTTCTTCACCGCGGTAATGGTCACGCCCGTTTTTGCTGCCAGCTTCCTGCCTTCACTGACTATCTGGAAAACCAGTTCTTTTGTAGGGGCCAGAATGATAGCGCGAACATGTCTGTCAACAGTTGACCCAGCGAGTCGATGAGCCCTCGAGATCTTCTCGATCAAGGGAATCAGGAAAGCGAGAGTTTTGCCACTTCCTGTTGGTGCGATGGTCAAGAGATTGGGTTCAGCCTCTAGTTCCTCGCCTGAGTCTTTCAATAGCAAGGGCAGGGTTGCGATTTGAACCTCGGTCGGCTCAGAATACGCCTGGGCTGATATATTTCGTGCCAGAATAGCGTTGATTCCATATTTCGTACGCAGTTGACCGAAGGATGTAAGCGGCTGAGGGAATAGGCGCGATTGTTCTTTCTGCGTCTTTCGTGATTCTGACGACTTGCCGATGGATCGGAACCGATTCAAGTCTACAATCTTAATTTTGTGCTTCTTGTGAAGTTGGCGGATTTCCTGTTCGGATAGCTGGCCAGATGCTGTTGATTGGATATCATCATGATCTCGTTCATTTGATTCTCTCTTCCGTTTTCGACCCGTATTAGACTCTGTTACATCTTGGATGGGTGCTTGCCCTGATGCGGAAGGGATATTCTGTGGCGACGGTCTCGAAATTTTTGATTTCAGGGCGGTAGAGCGGGATAGCAGTTTCAGCGCATCCATGGCTGGTGTATGGGGTTGCGGAGCACCGATTCTAGCGTAGGACTATATCGAAGCGTCGCAACACCCGTGGAGGCAGGGCGTATGTCCTTTTGTTGCGGGTTCTAGAACTTGCTGCATAAGTCAAAGTGGTAAAAGCTTTGAAGGGTCGCTACAATTTGGGTTCGATGCCAAGAATTCGGATTATCTGATCTTGCGGATCCGATGAGTGCTTCCGCCCTCTGCACTGTGATTCTCCTATTCTGACTGTGAGTGCTCAAAAACGTTTAGAGATTTTGATTGTATGGTGCCGAATCATCTACAAGGATTTGCTCTGTCTCTAACATCCGACCTGGTGTTGGTCACATCAACAAATCCACGAATGAGGGTACATACAGAGGCACCTATCACGGCGACTTCGTAGTACGGCGAGGACGGCTACTTCGGTTAATGTTCGGTAGAATCAAACCACACTCAATTTGTATGGGAATTAATTCTCCATCACACAGATCTACTAATTCGCTTTATCCTTGACCTCGCCGCCGCCTGTTTTGTATAGCTAACCTTGGTGTTTGTTTGAGCTTACTTAGGAAGCCCTTCTGCTTTGATTCAACTGGCCTAGCAATTCGTTTACGGACTCGCTTACCTCTGCCTCTGCCACTGCCAATGTCTCTAACAATGCCTCTGCTACTACTACCACCACCACCACCACTACCAGTACCGCCGCCAGTGCCGTGCCCGTGCCAGTGCCAGTACTATCCTATCGCGCCTCTATGATGAGATCTCACTGTAATCGTATTAACTATCGCTGCTCCTCATTCTCTGCTCGTTATTGTTGTAGAAAGGAGAGGGCTGGGCGGTGGAGCTGGGCGGCTGTTGGATAGGACTTTAGCCAGTTAGTTTTATTAGCAAAGTCGCCGTGGTAGTCGCCGTCCGGAGGCATTCCCGCACCGGTTGATCCGTAATTCATCCATGGATGCACGATCCAGTTAGGCTGCATACGTCCGTTGCACTGGGCAGCATGGTGCTTCCAGTAGGGGGTGGAGAGGGAAGAGCCCGCCTGCTAAACTCAAGGTCGAGTGACCTCGCCGTCGGGGCTTAGAAACTCGATCTTCCCCAAGGTGGGAGGATAGCATGGACGGGATGATCTGCTCGTTTATACTCGCTTTCGAAATGATATCGCCCAGAACCCACCCAGAGATCATCGACTTCCATACCCTGAGCTCGTCGGTCGCGCGCATCGGGCAAGACGATACGAGCGTGGGTATTCGGGGGTACCAGAACGTCGATGCTCAATGTATCGCCATCCAACTTCCACCTACATTCTATGCGGCCGTAAGCAGACTCATATATCACTTCTGCATACGACAGCATTCTGTTGACGCACGGCTCGATTGAGGTAGTACTCCAGCCAGGATCAGCGGCTTTGATTCCGCCAACGCATTCGTGCAGCCAGCTTGTGACTGAGCCCAGGGCATGGTGATTGAAACTTGTCATACTAGCCTCATTCATGTGTCCATCAGGTTTCAAACTATTCCAACGCTCCCAAATCGTCGTCGCGCCCATGCGAACCGGGTAAAGCAACGAGGGAGTGGACCGCGACAGAAGCATCTGGTACGCAAGGGTGTCCTGGCGGGTCTTAGTGAGACTGTGAAGCAGAACGGAAGTACCGACAAAGCCGGTGGAAATACAGAAGTCGTCAAAGCGTAGGGCACGGGAGAGGCGTGCGGCTGTTGCATGTTCCCCCGAATCAGATTTAGAGCTTTCAGAGGATGGTAGGAGGTCAAAAGCGATGGCGAGTGCATCAGCCGTGGGCGTGTCAGGAGCGAGAAGTCTTGCAGGTGTGACATATTTCGTCTGAAAAGCCGTCAACAGCTGGAGGTGAGCGGTAGTGAAGTGAGCAAAGTCGTCCGAATTTTGCAGTTGCTTGGCGATGATGGCCATTCTTTTTGTCGACTCAACTAAGAAGCAGTCTGCGACAAAAGTACCATCCGTCCGACCTCTTCCCGAATCATTGGGAGGCGCAGAGGGGTCCAACCAGTCACCGAACTGCCATTGATAGCTATTCCAAAGACCATCTCTGCCGCGTCGGACACCGTTTTGAAGATACTGTATCATGCTATCGTATTGGCGTGACAGGATGTCAGTGTCGTTTGTCATCATGTAGAGTTGAAAGGGTACCATGATTGCGGCGTCACCCCAGACACCATTGGGCATGTGATGCCATCCATCGTCTCGAGGACCGAGCCCCGTCAGACAATTTGGTATATATAGCGGCACCATTCCTTTCCTCCAGCTTTCATGCTCGTCCATTTGGTCGGCGTATAGGTCTTGCAGCCAGTCCCCTAGCATCCCGCCAGTATCGTAGAGAAATGTTGCCACAGGCGCAAAAAGGTTCAGGTCACCAGTCCAGCCAAGTCTCTCGTCCCTAGAGGGACATTCACTCGGTATACTGAGGAAGTTGCCTCTCATACTCCACACTGTGTTCTTGTGTAGTTGATTCACCTCATCGTTAGAGCAAGAGAACCAGCCTGTTCTTCGCATATCTGAGTGCATCACTTCTGCGACGAGGCTCTCCTCAGTCAAGGGCATCTCGGCATCCTCCTCAGACCACCCCGTCACTTCGACGTACCGAAAACCATGAAATGTGAAACTGGGATGCCAATCTGCCAGTATTGTTCCTGCGCATATCACGGTATCTTGTGCTTTTGCTGTTCGTAGCGGCCCTGTTCCCAGCTCGCCGTCTTCGATCACTTCCGCATGACGGAATGTGACTCTATGTCCGGGCGGTTTGAGGAGGCGCCTAATACACAGTCGGCCAGCTATATTTTGTCCAAAATCGATGATCGTCTTACCAGATGTAGATTTGAAAAATGTGTTCGGTCGCAGGCGTTCTGTTACGCGTACAGGGGGCCCGTTTGGGGAGATCAGGGGTGCGACGGCAGTATTTGAGACTCTGGACTTTCCCCATATGTTCTGAGACCACTCCGAATTTTCCGTGCTAATTTCCATTGCTCGTTGCTGATCATAGACCTCACCGTTGTAAATTTCGCTACTTAGAATGGCCGAGGTGGTGGCCGACCAGGAGGAGTCCGTATAGATAGTGAACGCCTCATCAGTCTCATCAAACTCCACTTCTAGTTGCGCCAGAACACCAAGCTCGGTGCCGTAGACGAACCTCCGGCAAACCCAGGACAAAGCAGATGCGAACCACCCAGGTCCCACATTGACCATCAGGACGTTGTCTAGTCCAGGGAGCAGGAGGCTTTCGACATCATGTACTTGATAATGGAGTCGCTTCTTGTAGCTTTGCCAACCTGGTGCCATGCATTCGTCGCCTACCGGCTTATTGTTGAGGCTAGCATAGTAGACCCCGTGACTGGTGGCATACAGTCGGGCCTTCTTGATCTTCCTACCGGAGGGTAAGGAGAAGAGTTTTCGAAACGTCAAAGGACGAGCCGATCCGTCATCGTTCGGCAAGATTGATTCCTTGAGCGTGATCATGCTGGCAGCCCAGTCATTCTTGTCGAGCAGAGCGGCCTCAACAATGCTCCAATCTGACCATTTGGAGATCTCCATTACCTTTTGGGTGGTTCCCTCATCTCGACGAGTGCCATAACACCGAACTCGAACCCTCCTCTGCTCTCTGGATCTTAAACTGCTGCACAGGATAGGCCATGGGACGAGGACCGACTGTGCACCGTCGACATGGTATATCCCAGCCTCATCGGCATCGATTAGACAAATTTCAAGGTCATAGGCCGTCTGCACCCAGTTGTAGACACGAACGTTGGTGGTAGAAAACCGCCATGAGATTCTGGGCCTCGAAAATTGAACAACGAAGCCAGAGTGATGCTGCTCAAACGTGGGAGCGTCAACTTCGATCGAGGAGATGGGGAACTTGTCTGCTGAGTCGTTGTTTGGAGGTAGAACAGTCATCCTGCAAGTGCCCATAACGTGGCTGCGGTTTATGAGGCATCTCAACCCGACCATAGACTAGTCAGCGATACTGCCATTGCTCTTACCGATCTTCTCTAAGCTAGAAGAGGCGGGCCCGACCACAAAGACATCATATCACGTGGCGATGGTTATGTAGCAACATATGAGACTCACTGGCGCATGAGAATGGCGGAAACTGGAGCCGAAATACAGAGTAAGGGAGATGGCGCGGCATGTTTGACGCTTTTGCAGTTGCCCCTCTATCCCATCATTATCGCAATTGTTTCACCCTCATTCTTCCGGCATCAACAAATCTGAAGGCAGAGATCGAAATGTTCTCCGAACATCTGACAGATGACACAAAGACTCGCCGAAGTCACTCGTTGCCCGTTTGAAGACGCGCCGCCCTGCCAAAAATGGTCATCGGCCTTCTCATCCTCACCTCCATTCCTACCGTGACAGGTGTCGCCCAAGCCATCCATGGCCAAAAGAAGCACAGAGAGCGCGAGAAAGATGCAAAGCGCATGCAGAAATTCTACATCGATGTGCACTGTGAAACTCAGAGCTCAAGGACACGGGAAATCCACGAGAAAAGACTTGTTTTGAGAGATGACCGTGTTTGGATAGGGCCGCATGAAGCTTTGAATCCGTGTAAAGAAGGGTATGTCGTGGAAGCGTTCTATATCGAGTATCCCGATAACGAAGTAAGTGATTCTCTACCAAGGTCGTGTCTTTTCAAGCGGGTATCAGACTGACGGCTTCATCCCAGAGAGTTCCCGTCCCCATTGGTCTCGTCAGCCAAGTTCGGGACGATCCTCCACTGTTGAACTGGATATATGTGGACAAAGACACGATGGAAGTGAAATATGGCAACAAATCGGCAAGCATAGAGCACCACGTCGGACCGTGGGATTGGACGGAAGACGAAGAGAGTATAACTTTTGATGAAACTGAGGCGTTTGTGGCTGTCGAAGACCCCTCGACGCGGCAGTGGCAACTATACTATGACATGGATAATGACGGACTCAGTCGTTACGTACCAAAAGGAAGACCGAAGTTCCAGATCAGCCTGGAGCGCACTTTGATACCCGGGGCAGAGGGCGGAAAGTAATGATTGCTTATGTACTTATAATTACGAAACGTTTGTAGATCAAACCTATGTGAATGGGTATTTATCCTTCCCTTCGATATCATATTACCTGTTGCTCTCGCTTCCCGGCCCCCTTTCTGGCTCCTCTAAAAGCCAGACCTCGGGAAAAGTAGAGGGTTTCATGGATACGTGGTGCGGCCAGGTCGGCCGTCCAAGATACAGGTATTCGTCACTATTGTTTACTTCCCCAAAACGTTACTTTTCCAGCACTTCTCTTCAACCTCACCAAGCCTTCATTTACTACGCTCACCTACCCAGCCCACTCTGTCCTTTCATTCTGAAATATCCACACCTACCATGCCAGCAAAGGGCGCGTCCCGCGATGAGTCCAAGTGGGACATAATCGGTAAGAAAGGGCAATGGCAGGTCCTCTCAATCATGCCCTACAGTGATGGAGATCAAAGACACTGGCCTCCCAAACCGTATCGGCCCAGCTCTATTGAACGCCACTTGGTCGCCCTGGCAAAAGCCTGGTCAGAGAAGCTCGGGATTGCGCGTCCAGGTAAGGAATATTATCACGCCTGTGCCCAACCTCACACTGTCACTGGCTCGGCCGACTCTGTTGGATGTGCTACGAAGCTGTTGACGAAACGACATTCGAACTGCACTGACTCTTGACATAGGTGTGGACTACTATCTCGACAAACTCCCTCTTGGTTATGAGCTGTTCGAAATAGCCCAGCCCGGCAACACAGGCGTATTCTATAAGCGACTCTTTGGCCATCAGTCTGGCAAGTACTTCGACTCCATTCCTCAATTTCGACCGCATTTCCTCTGGTTGATGTCGGGAATGCAGGGCCCTTGTGAATGCGTACTCTGCGGCAGGCCCAAAACGGACCCGATCAAGCGTCGAAAGCGGCACTCTGGGATGCGGGAGCTCTCAGTTACAAGGGACAACAAAACGGCGCTCACCTCTCGGAAAGGTGGACTCTCATCGATGTCGACTTCTACTGCAAGTCGTGCCAACGGGACTTTTTCAGCTCGTCCCCAGCGCCAGATCAAGGCTGTCGGAGCTCCCTATGCATTGGATCCAGAAGGGACGGAAGATGTGTTTAAAAGCCAGCTAAAGAGACTGGAGGCCACAAAGGGAGGCAAAACGGGGATCGAGGACGATATCAGGGAGCCCAATTCCATTGATTGGAGAGCCGAGCACTCATGGACCACTCAAGATGTTCATCATTGGACAGGTGTCGACCATGTTCAGCGAAGTTTGACCTTGATCGAACAGCAACACGCGTTTGTGCCTCGAATCGGAGAACTTGTGTTGTTCTGCCCTAATTTTCTCCACGAGCACTACCTTATGCTCGAAGAAAAGACACAGGAATACAAGTTCTACTCCTTTGATCAGAAATGCTTTCATGGTTCACCGGTATGGAGAGGTGGGGTTGTTGCGGCCGTGCCGTCCGCTACTGCAACTGATGGGCGGGTGGACTTTCCTGACATTCAAGATCTTCCGTCAAAGCAGACCAATTTGAATATTGGAGGCTTCCGAGTGGAAACGTTCCCAGATCCTAATGATGAGAACGACAAATCAATGTCCAAACAATACCGGTACCTCCCTTTGCGAAATATCCGGCCCTTGAGTCACTGGCAGATGTTGCTCCGCGGGATTCCAAGGACGAAGTGGCACCCATCAATTGAATACGCTCTGACTTGTATGACCAGTATCTCGCTTCTGGAGAAATGGTATTTCACGGGGGATGGCCCTTACGCTACCATTCGTTGCAAGGGCATTTACATAGGACCGGAGCTGATCACTGTTGGCGATGCCGTCAGAATCGCCCCATGCGAAAAAGGCCGAGGGTGCACTGATGTGCTTGTTGTTGAATCAATCAGGCTCCATCTTGACGACATCAAACCAGAGCATGTGTCCCCAGAGTCGCCCTTACTATCGACGAAGTCATATATAACTCTCGTTGGCAGAGGTTACACAACTGACAGACACCGTCATTACCAGCTTCAAAACACAGACGCTAACACGAAACCAGGTGATGCTGAAGCAGTACCTCAAGACGAGGTCAAGACTCTGTTTCGCCCTGTTGGCTCAGCAACCTATGGTCCTTGGTATCGTCTACATTCACCTCATAATCGATATGAGATATCGCACGACCAGATTGTCGGAAGACTATGCGAAGCTGCAGCTGTGCAGCTGTGGACGGGTTTGCTGCAACGCAGTTCTGCTAACAGCAGGAAAGGTTGCATCAAACCATCCCTTGATTACGACTGGAAAGGCATCGAAGAAGGTCGGATCTATGCCACGCAAGCAGATGAAAGATTAAGCGAGGCAGAGCAGGGCTCAGTGCTCTGGTACTGGGCCGACACTAGGGCCGAAGCATTGGATCTACGGACGATCAACGGACTTGAAGTCGGCAAATACGACAGGACCCGGGACAAGGACACATTGGAACTTTGGAGGACGCATTTGAAAATCCTCAATGGCCAGCAATTGTCGCATGACACTTTTGCCTCAAAGTACACCTCCAATTTCGGCGATATCGAGCTGGATGGACCCAAACGAGGGAGGCCAGTAGGCTCAAAGGTCATTGACGGCAAATTATACAAGCCCGGTGATCCCGGATATGACGATATTGTTGCCGGAAACGTTGTCGAACACGCATCAACTCCAAGCAAACGAAAAGGCAGTAAGTTGGCGGAAGCAGCGCTTGTGTCCACAGACGACGACGGCGACGACGACGAAGAAGGAGAAGAAGAAGAAGAAGAAGAAGAAGAAGAAGAGGAAGATTCAGGAGAACGTAGGGAGAATTGGTATGATACATTAGAGGCTACGACAGAAATTCCGATTGTCGGAGATGGAAGGTCTGTTTCAAATCAGAAGAAGTCCAAGACAAAGGCGCAAATCATGGCCAGTGCGATTGAGGAGGAAGAGATCTCTGAGGATGATGACTGGTTAAATGATCGCATTCCACTCGCTCGAGGAGGAACGGAAGAGACAGAAGGTGGCGATTACGACCCTCGCGGCGAGCAGGGTTAGCAAATGTAATGAGAAGCATGGTATTGGCTCAAGCTGCATGGTTTCTGGAGAAGAAGGGCTGAAGTTTGGTGTGGACTGGACTGTTTCCTGAGTCCACACAGAGATATCAAAAGACAGCGCAAACAATACGAGTCTCGATCATGTATCAGAGGCTCAGATGGAAAAAGGTGAAAACGGCTTAGCTCGAAAAACTGCCAAGACAAGTCACATGCTAGCTATCGGAAAAGTTGCCTGTGCAGAGAACGTGGGCCAGGGCAGAATCGCAGTCTTGGCATTTCCCACAACCAAAATTTCCCCGTAGTCTGCGGCCATCATTTTCGAGATTGAATTGACAACAACGAACAGGACCATCTCACCGCTCCCATACCTGTCAAGATGGTATGTGCCGATTCTTTTGGAATTGGACTCTTGAGATTTCACCGATATCGATGACTGACTTCTACGCAACAGGTCCGCTACGCCCCGGCCGACCGTATTCCCAGCGCCCGCTCGGCTCGAAGCCGTGGCAGTTACTTGCGAGTCAGTTTCAAGAACACCCGCGAAACCGCTCAAGCTATCAACGGATGGAAACTCGACCGCGCCCTCCAGTACCTCGAGAACGTCAAACAACTCAAGGAGGCTGTGCCAATGAGGAGATATGCGGGTAGCACTGGACGGAGCGCACAAGGTACGAAAATAATCAGATTTCTTCGTGAGAAGAGGTGGATCATTTCTGCGAGGATTCTCTTACAAGCGCACTGAATAGGGAGCTTGGAGAGAATTCTCACCAGAGGATGAGGATGACTACTGACGGATGCTCGTCTGTTGCTCAGCGGTCTTTATATGAATGCCAATGGCGGTTGCTAACACTTTCCCTTGCGCAGGCAAACAATTCGGAGTGTCGAAAGCGCGCTGGCCCGTCAAGTCGGCCGAGTTCCTGTTGGGTCTGCTCAAGAATGCCGAAGCCAACGCCGACACCAAGGGTCTCGACACTTCCAAACTCATTGTCAAGCACATCCAAGTCAACCAGGCGCCGAAGCAGCGACGTCGCACATACCGTGCCCACGGTCGTATTAACCCCTACATGTCCAATCCGTGCCACATCGAACTGATCTTGACGGAGGCTGAGGAGGCCGTTACCAAGGCTGAGGAATTGGGCGTTGCCAAAGGAACGAGATTGTCCACCAGACAGCGAGCTGCTCGGAGACAGAAGGCTATCACGGCGGCATAAAGGGGGTTGATGAAAATTGCTCATTGTGTCCTTTACTCTTCCGGATGTTGGTTGAATGGGGACGTTGAGCAGATACGAAGAGGGCTTTCTACGTGGCATCGGGGAGTCCATGGAAAAAGAAGCGATAGGTCGGCACGAAATGATCCTAGATGAGCTCATTCGTTGCCCCGATTTGCCAGCACGCTTCGCTCAAAGCGACTGAGTGAGAAAAGGACCTTTGCAGATCCGTGGCCGGGCTTTCGACTATGCAAAAACAATGAACCACAATGCTTTTCGAGTGCATTTTCTGTGTTGTTTGCTATGGCTTAAACATCCCATTCGTCCTGATTACCGTGCTGCAGCCCTCATTCTTTCCCCCAATGATGTTGTCATGTGCTGACAAACGTTCTTGTCCTCCTTGCATTGCTCTGATCCTCAGACAATCTCGGCCTTAAACGAGCGAAACGCGTCAAGAGCGGTATGGACCTTCTTGCTTTTATTCGCATCGTAACTAATCTCGTGTGTCTTTGAAGTATTTTCCAGTTCCAGTTCTCATGCTTGCTGCTTTGTTTCGTGCGAAGACACCGGTGACAGAGGGCTGTCATAGGCATTTGGCATTGATCAAGTCACCTGCTTTACGGTGACGGATCTTCTTGAGGTACGGTATTCGTGGTTGCCACTCACATCATGTCGGTGTCTCCGTCCCTGGTACACGGAGCCCGATGGCTTCTCGGAGCACGAGTGACCAGCAGCCAGTCTCTTTTTTGGATTTCTCGGAAGCTCCAAATTTCGATCATGAGACTTGATCGGTTGAGGCTTCTTATCCACAACGTTCTTACCTCTGATCTTACCTTAGAAATACAAGCTTCTGCTCTTTTCAACGTCGACTTTATTCGGCCATATTTTCACACCCAATCTCGCTCATGCCAATGGTCCAACACATGCGTTCGTCTTCCTCAAGTATAGGCGGACACTTCGCCATTCATATCGTCATCGATAGCAATTAGGGTGACGTCCTACACATCCCCCTGGTAGCAACACGGTTAGAGATATGCGATTGTCGTCTTGAATATTGCAGATACCGGCCAATATCACGTTTTCTCCGACAAAAAGCCCAACGGACTCTCCAATTCCGCCCCCAGCATGTCCTCTACACTCCATCGCCGCACCACATCCGAGACAAGAGGCGAACGAGTCTTGTAACCTCCTATCAGGCAGCACCTTCCACCGCACTCACCTAAGGAAGCCAGTCCGACTAGGAAGAAGAATATATCCCAGCTACACGCCAACGTGAGTAATCCCCGGTGGTCGTCGACTAGTCGCCGAAGACGGGACTAGCGGAGGTGAAGAGAACATCGTTAGCTCGGACGGACATTTTCTGATCAGTTAACCACTCCTGCATGGAGGGGGGGGGGGGGGGGGGGCCACTAATCAAGGCCTTGCCATGTATTACAACATTCTATCCTGCATTCTGTACAAAGGCCATTTGTTTAGTGAGTCCCACCGGAGTGGTTCAGACACCCAGACAACCCAACGATTAGAGAAGCCAGACCTGCTGTGACATCAAGCTCTCCCCAGTCCTGGTTGTGATGTTCTTGGAGACTTGCCTCAACCGGGGCCAGTGCACATTCTCTGGCCGATTTTCACCAAACTTGACTGATCGAACTCGATCGCCAAGACTACTGTGACCAGTATCTTGAATAGTTACAACCGCCAAGGGAGCCTCGGGAGCAACGTCGATCTGGCTCGATGGGTGTCGTCACCGCCATCTCCGCATTATGTTGAGATACCCCACATCTATTCTGCAGGCGCATGTCAGCCCCACCAGGCTGATCCTAAATAGGGGGCCATCAAAGGACGACAGCAACCATGTAATCAGCTGACACAATGCGCTCTCCATGTACGATCCCCAGGCCTCGGACCAGAGAGCAATCGGTGGATGGTTGTTAACACCAAGTTGAAAGATTCCGACACCCCCGAACCGAGAAAAGACAAGTCTATCACGCAACATTGGCAAAATGAGCAGCGCCAGCCAAGTTGCCTTGCCCCGGTGGAAGAAACACTAAAGCCTGGGCACGTTTGTGATCCCCACGTTGCATTTGCCAAGGGACCTTTTCCCACATATCAAAAGGCAGGCAGACTCGGCAGTTGGGGATCCGCCAATAGTCCCTGGAACAGGATCTTTGTGTCTCCTTGTGAAGAACGGGCTCGGTTCTAGAAAAGCAAGCCCCTCGTGGTCTGAGTCCGGCGGTGATCCTTGCCTGCACCCCTGCTACCAAAACGGGGATGGATGGATGGGTGGATGGATGGAGACCTTCGAGTTAGATGGCCTCCGGTGGACATCGCACCCCGGGTCTCAAGCTGCATGCCAATACCCTCACCAGTCGCACGTCAGGCTCATAACCAGCGCGGCGTCTTGAGGGTTTGTTGGTGATGGGATGTCTGCTCCAGCTCCACGGCAGTTTTGCTTTGTGTTCTTCGTGTGACCTTTCTCCTCGTTTTCAAAGAAATTTCCTCTGAAAAGCAAAAAATGACGGAAAAGCAGCATACACAGAAGGTCGAATACGGCGGCGCCGAAGAGAAGGAGATTGGTATAAAAACCTCTGCTGATGTCGATGACGCAGGCGGGCTCCGTACCGTGGACGCTGGCTACGATGCGGAGCAGGTCGAACCTCACTACGACCAGAAGGAAGTTCAGAGGATCTTGAGGAAGGTCGACTACAGACTGATTCCACTGCTTGGAGTCCTATATCTGTAAGGACAAGGTTCCCTCGGGATCATTGCGGTGTGACCCGGGTTCTGACCAAGTGCAGTCTTGCATACATCGACCGAAGCAACATCGGTAATGCTAAGATCGCGGGCATGTACGACGATCTCAAGCTCTACGGAATGCGCTACAATACTGCCCTGACCGTGTTCTTCGTGCCGTATGCATTGTTCGAGGTATGGAATTAAGAAAAACTGTCTGTGCAAGAATTTGAATTGACAGAAGAAAAAACCAGGTGCCTTCCAACATTGTCCTCAAGATACTCAGGCCATCGATCTGGATCTCCATTCTCTGCTTTCTATGGGGTCTCGTCATGACCTTGATGGGAATCGTTACTACCTACAGGGGGCTTGTGACTGCTCGTTTCTTCCTTGGGTTGACCGAAGCAGGGTTCTTTCCGGCAGCGACGTACTGTAAGTCAACCTTTATTGTCGCACGCGAAGCATATTGTCAAGTCCAAACAGCGGCGACCTTGAGAGGCTCGCGACTACCCAAAGTTAGATGACGAATACAACGCTAACCCTGGCTCTGGCCTCAGTGCTCACCATCTGGTATCAACGCTATGAGGTCCAACGTCGCATGGCTGTCTTCTACGCAGCAGCCTCTCTATCCGGCGCATTCTCAGGGCTTTTGGCCTTCGCCATCGAGAAGATGGATGGCATTGCTGGCCTCGCGGGCTGGAAATGGATCTTTATTCTCGAGGGACTGGCGCCCATTGCTGTGTCTTTCACCCTGTTCTTCCTCTTGCCTGACAAGCCCGAGACGGCAAGATTCCTGACCAAACAAGAGCGAGAATTCATTGTCAATCGCATTGCTCTGCATACCGGCTCGGGTCAAGGCAGAGTGACTAACGTGGACAAGATAAGCTGGGCCTACATCAGAGCCGGGTTCTCGGATTGGAAGATCTGGTGCGCCGTCATTCCCTTCTGGGCATGCAGTATCGGCACCTACGGCTTCACGGCAACGGTGCCCTCTGTAATCGAGCAAATGGGCTACAGCTCCGCCAATGCACAGCTCATGACCATCCCCATCTATGTGGTTGGAATGATCGCCACAGTGATTGTGGCCTTCTGGGCCGACTATATTCATCAACGAACTCCGTTCATCATGGGCGGTTTTGCCATTGGTGTCGTTGGTTTCATCGCCCAGCTAGCAATCCCGCACCCCAGATATTCCGGCGTGTCCTACTTATTCCTCTTTTTTGTGGCGACAGGCCTATACTGCCCCTTTACCTGTGTGGTGACCTTGATCGCCAACAATCTGGCGCCGTCCTCCAAGCGCGCAGTCGGTGAGTTGCTCCTTCTCCTCTGCCAAGTGATTTTCATCCATTTCAGAGGCATCGCTACATCTCAGCTTCGGCGATAGCGTATTGCAAGCTGCTAACGTACGCTCCCACCCCATAGGCATGGCCCTGCTGATCAGTGTCGGTAACCTGGGCGGCATCTGTGGAAGCAATATCTACTTCTCGGCACAGGCACCTAAATACCCGACGGGCTTCGGCGTCAGTCTGGGGATCTGCGTAATGGGAATCATCGCCGCTTTTGTGCTCCGAGTCGCGTACCAGCGCGAGAACAAAAGGCGTGACGAGCTGGTGGCCCGAGAGGGCGAGGAGGCCATCAAGGCCAAGTATACCGAGCAGGAGCTGCTGGATTTGGGCGACAGGAGCCCGTTCTACAGATATACTTTGTAAGAGAGGGGGGGGAAAAGGAAAGGGAAGGACAGAGATGCCGATTATGAGAAGAGAAAGGCCGAAACAACTGTCCGAGGACGAGAGCCAGATGCTCAGAAACCAATTTGAGAACACAATCGCTGCTGCACTCTCCCAGCACCGCAGATTCCTCCCAGGAACACACACCTGCACCCGTGTACTTGGCTCTGCTTGGAAGGTTTGGATAACCACTCACCCGAGTCCGAGGGCAGGAACCAGTAGATCGACGAGGACACATAACAAATGACGATGCGCGGTTTCAACAATGTGCAATAGATGCCCCCAGGAATCAGCTCTGTAATTATAGCTGATGACGTTGCATGTTTGTTTGTTGGTATGGGTTGTGTCATCTCTCGCTGATAATTATATCGGCTATATCCCCTGCCTAGCTAGCACTGGCTGAACTATTTAGCATATGTAACGTCCGCCTCTGCTAAATATAGATGATGGTGTGAAGTAGCCAGCCATGCTTCATGAGGGCACACATGCACAGTCGATCACTTACGCACTACTGTACTTCCTCGGTAGATTGGATCCGATCGATCGCGCCGGGGATTTTTCTGAACTACGTGCGTGCATGCCTGCATGCATGTGTACATACATACATACCTCCGTATTCGTGCATAATAATGATAACAATGCACGACAGAGCCTTACGGGCATCCATACCGTACCAGACATCCGCCGCGGGCGAACAAAAGGCCCTGGGTTTGGTGTGATACTGTAGACTTGGTTTGCTTGAAAGTGACATGCGGACGTGGCAGGCAGGTAGCCAAGGCGTGGATGGGAGGCTACTTAACTGAGGATTTGTGACGCCGCGGTAGGCCTCGCACCACCCGCTCGCTCACTCAATCACTCACTCATTTATTCATTCATCGATCTATTCTTTATGCCAGTGGGAGATGGAAAGGGGAAGAATAAATGAAAGGGAGGCCAGGGTGGCGGGAGAATCTTATTCTAAAAGCTCAAGTCGTTCAGTACCTAGTAGTCTAGACATATATTATCAATGGTACATTACAGAAAACATAAAATCCTGGCTTCTCTAACCTTACATTTCAATCAGCGATTCAGTTTTTGCAGCTTTATATTGCGATCTCTTCTTCTTTTTTGGGGGTGGCCCTGGTCCATCCAGGTTCCGCCCCCTTGCATTCACCGATACTGCATGCGTCGAAAGTGACGGGTACGTCTCCACCACCTGCATAGGACCAGATCAACGTGCTCTTTCCGTTCCTTCTCGCAGCCAGCGCCACCATTTTAAGAGAATAAATATGCCGCGACTGGAGCCAACAGGGTGCCCACAAGCGACCACTCCAGGGACAGAACACCGAAGCTCGACGAGGCGGCGTTGCCCGTCGACTGTGCCGAGGAGGCCGAATTGGTCGAGCTGGCGGCCGCGGTTGTCGTCGTAGCGGACGAGGTCGCAGACGAGGATCCCGAGGTGATGGAGCTAGAGCCAGAGGCGGAAGAGCTGCTGCTGCTGCTGCTCGAGCTGGCCCCGGCACCGTCCACGTTGGCGACAATGACGCCTCCGAACACGTTGGAAGGGATCTGGCCCGACTTCCCGCTGGCGGCTGATTGATAGGCGGCCAGCGTGTTGCCGTTCGATCTGTACACCTGTCAGCAGAGGCGTCGTCACATAAAAAGTGACGGCTCTCTTACGGTGGATTGATCACCATGGCCATGCCCGCGGCACAGTGCCCGACCTGGCCGCAATAGATCCAGATGGGGTCGGTGGAGTTGACGCGCATGGAGAACATGGTGCTCGCCTGGCCAGAGTTGGAGTTGATGACGCCCGAGTTGATGGCGTTGCCCGACACCGGCTGGCACGGGCTGTCGAACGACGACTGCGTGACCGTGTGCTCGCCCGGGTAGAAGTGGAAGTTGACCACGTCGCCCACCGCCGCCATGACCGTGTCCGGAGAGTAGGTGAAGCCGTTTTGGCCCACGTTGACGTCAATCGTCGCGGCCGATGCTACGGCGGCACCGGCACCGAGCGAGAGGAGAGCGTACCTGCTGCTGCGCATGATGCTGGAAATAGGTAGAGAATTGATTTATTTGGTTAATATTTGGTGTTCGTTCTCAGGTATAGGATGGGCAGGTTGGAGATCAGAGAGAGGATACAGAGGTCTTTGTTGAAGGCATCGACCTATATAGCCCCCTGGCTGTCCCTGCCCTATATGACGCATACGCATCCCAATACGAGACAGGGCAGAGTCCGGTCATCGCGGTGATTCCCCGGATTTTCTGCCCCCCTTTTGGTGGTCGACAAGGCTATTTTCAGCCTCGTGTCGTCGTGATTGCGGCTGACGGAAGCTGACCGTTCAACCGGGATGTGTGTGGGGACGATGAGCCCAAGAGCGTCGTCATGCCACATCACCAGGGGGGCTTGGTCGATGGGCAGGGAGAGACTGCCGTACAGAATGGATGGCGACAAGATGAGAGAAGAGGAGGACCAACTTGGAGCAAACAAGGAGGGACTTGGTCAAATTGATCAAAAAAAATCACTCATGATTCTGTGTTTCTGTCTCGGGACAGAGTGCATATCTGAAGCACAACTTTTCTATGGTGGCTCCACACGTTTGCCATGTTCTTGGCATGTTTGATTCCCGCCTTTGGAAATCGATCCTTATGGATCATCACATTCAGCAAAGTTTGCACCATCCCAACATCCACCACCACTACCACCACCGCCATCAAAGTCTCACACATTCCCTCAATTTCCTTTGTCTGCTTTGATCAAAACAAATGCTTTCAGAATGATGCACGACTTTACCAGTCCTTCTGGAGTGCTGGTCCGCACACTGATGAGTGGCGTAATCCCAAGCCTGATTGTCGCTCCCATCGCCTCCATTTGCTCCGGAGTGTGCACGTTCTTGAATGGGTCCCGTGGCTCCATCCAGTCTTTTTGGAACAGCTGTCCCATTGTTGGAAAGTCAAATTTGTACTCTTCCGAACCAGAGAACATCATCTGGGCAAGCTGGTGGGCGTTGATCATCAGTTCGTACAAGTCGTCCCAGTCCCGTGATGTCTTGGTGTGCATCATCGGCTTGAGGACTCTCCAGATCTCGTTGCCGCGCGTGCGGGCGATGTTGTTGACGAAATTCTGGAAGTTGGGATTCATCTTGATCTTCTGGATCTGAACTGCCATGGTGGTGAGCAGCTGGTACTTGACCTGGGCCGGGGTTGCTGCAGGGTCATGTCAGTAACGGCTCGCGTATCCAGATGGAGGGAAGGCCAGCTAGGTACTCACTCTGGTACATTTGATTCTTGCAGTGTTCGATGACACGGTCAGCCTCTGGGTCGAATCCGGTGAAGCAGTCATGCTTGAGAATGGTCTTGATCATGAACTGGAGGATGATCTTGTAGACGAGCATATAGCGCGTGTAGGGTGTCTGCATGAACTGGAATGCCGAAGTGGTGGATGCAGCCCTCATCAGTCGGTCCTTGACCTCTTGTGGCATTCCATTGTCCTTTTGTGTGCTTGGTGTGTTGACATGGGAGTATGCATACATCTCTGCCATGTGAAGCACGTGGGCGAACATACGAGAGACAGCTTCTGGGACCACGAGATGCACGCCGGTGACCATGGGGACAGGGTTGGGAATTGTGGGCATCTGTGGAGGCGGTAGGACCGTGCTGTGCATGCCTTGAGCATGCATCCTGGCTGCTGAACCTGGGGCTGGAGCTCTATTGCTGCCTTTCGCAGGCCCCATGGGAGTTGACTGGGTGACCATACTGGTATTGTATGGTCTCCCTGGCTCCGGAGAACCGAACTCGTTGACGTGACCAGGTTGTCGGAACGGACCCGGTTGTGGGTGGTGCATCTGTGGACCGCGAGGGGGATTGACTGAGAGAGCGGAGAACTGCTGGGTCATGGAGTCATCGAAGGGTGAAGGAGTGCTTCCGGGTTGCTGTTGGAGAGGTCCAGTCATCGCAGGACGAGGCTGTGTGTATGTGATAGCATTTCCCGCGGCGAAGATCGGTGCTGGTGGAGGTGGAGGTGGCTGAATGTTCGGGTTTGCGCCATACTGCTGGTTGCCCCCGAAACGGTTGGGCGTTGGTGTGGCGTAGTGTTGCTTGGGGTGGGCGATGGCCTCGCTCTGGGTCTTGATGGTCTTCCGCTGTTTCTCGATTTCCTCCCTCAAGACGTTCATCTCCGCCTCCTGGTCAAGCAGCTTGCGCCGCAATGACGCGATCTCGGTGTCTTTGGTGTTGCTCTCAACTGCCGACATTGGTGTTGTTGCTCGAATGCGCATGGCATCCTGCAGATCTTGCTGGGTTCTGGAGTAGTTGCGCTCAGACTGGCTCAGTCTGGTCTGCGCTTGCTCAATGATGGGAGAAGTGACAGAGGCCGCTAGCGACATGTCACGGCCATGGTAAGAGGCCATCTCGATCTGTGCAAAGGAGAAATGAGTGAGCAAAGGTTGGATCAGAGAAGGTGAGGCAGGCTGGCGGGGCTTGACGTGGTAAAAGTGAAAAAAAGTTGACAAGTCGAGAGACAGGACGAGTTGGAAGATCCGAGGATCAGAGATTTCTTGCAGCAAGGTGCAGTGCAGTCTCCTAGGTCTGCACACCAAGAACGATGTCAGGCCTCTTGCTGCTGGCTCAGAACAAGACGGCTCAAGGAGCGCTTTGTTGTTGACAGCGGCGGTGAGATGACAATGATGGGAGTTTCAAGGTGACGACTGGAGATCCAAGCCAACGGCAACAGAAGAGGAGTAGAAGGCCTACCGTGAAGAGTCAGAAGAGCAACCTTTGCCGGAAGGAAGAAAAGAGACTGAAGGTGACAGAAAAAGTCAGAGGCCGGTTTTATCACTCCTGACGCCAAGACGAGCTGGACGACGTGGAAAGCTGCCAAACTGCCAAACTGCCGCACAATAGTGATTTTCGCTGAGCCAGAGAAATGTTTTTGATCAACTGATGTCCTATGATGTGTCTTTTGTGTTGGACAAGCGTTTCAGAAGGACGATGAACAAGGCCAAAGAAAGAACAACAACCAGATGCCGAGAGGATGAGGAAACAGAACAATCTAGAGAGGCACAGGAGGTTTAAATACCCCGAACCCCTCTAGAGGAACTGCACATGCTCGGACATCTGGACATCGGTGACAACGACTTGTCACTTCACTGCAGGCTGAGCATAGTCACCGTTGCCCAAGAACACATGCGCCCAAAGATTCAGCACCCTTTCAGGTGAGTTCTGAGGCTATGGCTGACGTGTGAGAACTTGTGACAGGGCCATGGGTGATGCTTGAGCCTCTGGAACAGCTGGCATCGGGAAGGATAGCGCTGGCAAATGTTACTCCAGAAGGCTTGAGAGGGCCTTGCTGGCGAATCCATGTGCGTGCTGTGTCGTGAGGCAGAGCCAGGGCATTCCACTTTGCTTTCACTGCAAGCCAAAGTGCAGAGCTAGGTGACTCTGTCGTGTGAGGAGTCGTGGGATCCAGGCTGTGTGACATGCTTGTTTTGAAGCTGATACAGCTCTCAGGCACCGGAATTGTGCGTCGTTTTTGCATTCTAGAAGGCATGGTGTTGTCTTTCCTCCTCCTTCCACGTCGTCCAAGGTAATGTGCACTCAAGGGTAAGGGGGCAAAGGGGCAACATGCAGGGCGGCACAAGAACTCACCGGAACCGGCACCTCTTTATTTATATACTCTGTGCATGGTCAGTCAAAGGCTCATATCACAAGGACAGGTTCTGTTTACATTGCATTTTGTTGTTGAGCACTGGGTGCTCTGTTGTCGCTCGGGCAGATCGAGAGGGCTGGCAAACACACAACGTTGAAACAGAGGGACCATACTGGTCTTGCAGGCTATCCTGCAACTCTGTCTCAACGTCGTGTGCCTGCCAGCCCCTCAAAGAAGAGGAAAAGATAAAGGGAACGCAAGAATGTAATGATGTTGACGTGGATGGAGATGGTTGGTGGAAGAGGTGGTTGATGAAGGAAGGAAGAAGGAGTTTGCCAGTTGGCGGTTTGGTTTTTGTGTTTGAAGTGATGCGGTTTCGTGGGCTATACCGATTCTGGGCGTCCCTGACACTCACCAAGCCACATTAACACGATAGAAGAATGCTTGGAGGGAAGCAAGGCGGCTTAGGCACGCGGCTGAGGCGACGGGGGTGGCCAAGAACGAGGAGAGAGCAGGGGGAGCCAGCCGCACGCGGCTGATGGAGTTCACTCTGTGTCCTTTACTGGCCTTCCGCGACTACAAGTGGACGACCATAGCCACTTCAATCTCCTTCGTTCGTCTTTGTTGTCTTCCCTGGTATCTTTCACCATCAAGGCCCGTCGCAAGGACACTTTGGCGAGCAACCCACAAGGCAGAATCAGCCTCTGGCTGCGAACACTGACCCCAATCAATGCATTGAGTTCAAAGGACGAGTGCTCTCCCATCAGATATGTAGTCATTGCCTCATGCTGACTGTTACTCTACAGATCATGTGATTGTGATCCCTTCCCTGTCCGTGTTCCTCGAGAACGATCGCAATCATGATATGAAAATGGATGCTTCCATGCGTGTTGGAGTCCAAAAGCAACAGCCACTACTGCACCAACGCTGCCTGATTTCCTCCTGACCTGTTCGATCCCCTTCTGTCACCATGGGCACAAGATCTCTCGCCAAGGAGCAGATCTGAGCAGCTCTCTTCGTCAGACATGAAACCCTCAGACCCCATGACCGGCTCATTTCCCTTGGATTTGTGTCAGAAGCCATCGTGCTATGTCTCAAAGAGAGCAGAGACAAGGTATATCGCACAACGGCTGTTCTTCATGATTGCCCTGTCGGACCAGAGCAAATCGGAAATCAGAGCTCTGCACACGCCTCTGAATTGCAAAAAACGGTTTGATACGCGAAAATTTGCTGATTGTTATAGATTTCAGGAACACAGAGCTACATTGGAGCAAGTGAAACTGTCATTCTCGGCAGGAACACTCGGTTCAAGATAGGCCTGTTAGCCACAATCGTCAGCAACCAGTTGAGAAACAGCCGGTTATGCAAGAGCAATATCTCTCTACCTCATCGCAAGCGCCGAATCTATGACCAGAAGATCGAGAGCGGAGCAATGATATAGGACAGTAATGTGCTCGTTCTATGCCCCTACAGCTTCGGGCTTAATCCTTCCACAAGGCTGTGGGTTATCACGGAAAAGGAGGGATTGCGGAGACACAACCATTCACTGAACCGAGAACAGACGGAGTAGAGATACCTGTCGGGTGGCGACCGTTAACATAGGGATGTTCAAACCATAATTATGTGGATCCGGAAGTCCTCTACAGCACCCTCTTCAGCCAATCCCATATTGCATGAGACATGGTGCCGTGCTCCAAACCTGACTGAGTATCAAGTATACAATCAATATGCACCTGCTGTGGACAGTCGACGACCTCCACATTCAGCCCACCATCCTTGAGCTTCTGAGAGAACTTGGTGATATCATCGTAAAACATCTCGTGCGTCCCAGCCAATGCAAGGATAGAGCTAACCGGCACCCCAGCCCACCATTTCGAGTCGGCGCGGATGGGGTCTGTATATTCATTGCGATCGTCATCGGAAATGAGATTCTTGACCAGTGCAGGGACGATAGCTGCGGAAATAATGTCCTTGTCCTTGTTTTCGACCCAGGATTTGCTTGTACCGACGGAGAGGTCGACCCAAGGCGAGATTAGGAGAGCTCCTTTCAGGGGAGTGTCGAGATTCAAAGAAGGGATTCCTGCACGAGAATGCAATGTTGCAGACAGAATACCGACGGCCAAGTTGCCACCGGCAGAGTCGCCGCCAACAATGACCTGTTGATCTTATCAATAAGGCCGTCCTCAAACATTCCTTCTGCGAAGGACAACATGTCGCTCACATCTGATGGTTTGCGACCAGATTGCAGAACCGTTTTTACGGCCTGCACAGCCTGCTTATACTGCGTCGGAAATCGATGTTCAGGCGATAGACCTAGGGGGTAGCAGTTAAATCGTCAAAGCTATATCCTTACGGCATTTCCGTGTCGAATCTCACCATACTCCACAAAAGCAATCGAGAACGATTTGCCTTCCTTCGCCAGTCTTTGTTGCGTATCCACCCAGAATGCAATATGCCCTGGCATAGCTGGAATGCCGAGACCTCCGCCTGATCATGAGTTCTAACGTCAGCCATGCCCGGCAAGACGCTTGAAATACAACGAGAGAATAGGTAGTAAACCAGACTGGAACTATTCGCATACCGTGAAAATAAAGAATCACGTTTGGGGCAGAGCTGTCTCCTATCCAATGAATCTTTGCTCCATTGCTGTCTGGGATATCTTCTGTCCTCACTGCTTGACCCAGCCTCTTGGTCTCGGACACGACGGTGTCTTTAGTAGGTACCGTAAGGCTTAGAGCGGCTTCAAGAGAGCTCATGCCGCCCCGCAGCATCTGGTTGCGTTCCTCATGGGCTTGGGATCGAGCCATGGTGAGCAGGGATGAATATATTGGATTTGGTTGTTCTTCGATGGGTCAAAGATCAGGCTCTAGTTCCCGGCCGCAAGTCTGAAGATTTATATCTCCAGAGGAAATCATTTCCTAGCATTCGGAAAAGCCACATAACCACAGCTTTTTCCGTTCTTTTATCTCCTGGGGAAAGGCCAAGGACCCGGGAAGGTGGAGATGGGTGCTCTTTTCCCGAGGTTCACAAGAAACTCCGTCTTTCTCCATTCCCAGTCCAAGAAAACCTAGATCAGTCTTCCATTCATCCAGCCCGACGCAGTTCTGAGAGCAGCTTTCATGCCTCGCCGTAGCAAGGGTCTCTGGTCCACGAGATGTCTACCAGGGGTAACGGGTGCAGGTACTGTAGCAAGGCTGCCCCTGGATGGGACAAGGTTGTCTTTGTATTACAGGGGAAGGTCTGGCGAGCGTAGTTGGGGCGATTTCACGGCCCAGAGCCACGTGACTCACTCTCTGTCACTCCCACGTGGACGCCCATCGGCCTTTAGACCGCCAAGCCCAGATTCGTCCCGTATGCCTTAGATTTCGTGACTCGAGAAACTTCTCACTCTAGACAGTATCAAGCAGAGAGCCTTTCCCACCGCCCTCGTTCAATATATCAATTGTCTGTAGCGAGTGCTTTGAAACTCGCCCCATTTGTCAAGACCCTTGACGGTGAAGTCGGCTTTATAGTCGAGTGCTTCAGGACACTGCTCATTGCAAGGGTTTGCCTGCGCACGCCCTGCTTCCGAGTGCGACTCTGACCACATCCAAGTGAACTACTCCATCCTACATCAATCAGCCCTTTGTGTCCAACAGTTCGCCAACTCCTCCTCAAAATGTCAGGGCTCGATGTTGAGGCGTTGCTCGATTCGACCGCCACCAACGATGTCAAAGGCAAAGACTCCCCCCGCGAGGGTGACGACCGTCATCGTAGTGACCGCTCCGATCGTCGTGACAGAGACAAACACCGCGATGGCTCCCGTGATCGCGACAAGGACCGCAAGAGACGAGATCGAAGTCGAGACCGAGACCACCGTCGAGATCGTGATGATGAGATGAAGAGTCCTAGGAGCGAGCATGGCAGTGCTAACGGCAGTCACAGAAGCAGCAGGAGGAAAAGCCGCAGCCGTGACCGGGATGACGATAGGAGACGGTCCAAACGTGACGATGACCATCATCGCAGACGCTCTCGATCTCCAGAGTATGATCGCTATTACCGACCGACCGGACGATCCAGGCGTGAAGACGATGACTACCGACGCGATCGCGACAGGGACCGCCGTCGCTCGGCCAGTCCCAGAAAGCGTGTCAAGAGCAAGACTCCTGAGACACAACTTACTGAGGACGAGCGTGACAGGAGAACCGTATTTGTTCAGCAACTTGCTGCTCGTCTGCGTACAAAGGAGTTGATCCAGTTTTTCGAGAAAGTGGGACCCGTAACAGAGGCCCAGATCGTCAAGGATCGAGTTAGCGGGCGTTCTAAAGGGTAATGTACCCCCTTCCAATATGGTGCAGTCTCATACTAATACGTATAAAAGTGTCGGCTATGTCGAGTTCAAGAACGAAGAGTCCGTCCCACTAGCCATCCAAATGACCGGACAGAAACTCCTCGGCATCCCTATAATTGCACAACTCACTGAAGCAGAAAAGAATCGACAAGCTCGCAATCCGGAGGCTACTACCAACAATCACAACAGCATCCCTTTCCATCGTCTCTATGTGGGCAACATCCACTTCAGCATTACTGAACAAGATCTACAGAACGTATTTGAGCCATTTGGTGAGCTCGAGTTTGTGCAACTGCAGAAGGACGAGAGTGGTCGCAGTCGTGGTTACGGCTTTGTGCAGTAAGTCTCTCCCAGAGATCTGGCTCCGGGTTATGCTAATATTGACTAGGTTCCGTGACCCAAATCAAGCACGCGAGGCCCTCGAAAAGATGAATGGTTTTGACCTCGCAGGCCGCCCAATCCGAGTCGGACTCGGAAATGACAAGTTCACGCCCGAGTCGACTGCCAACCTCTTGCAACGCTTCGTAGGCCAGAATCAAGGATCCGCATTCTCAGGCTCCGGTGGCCGTGGCTCTCACGCCGGAGGCGCCGGAGGCACATTTGATCGTGCAGGTGGTCGCGACAATGAAAAGGGAACAGGTGGAGCCAGTGCATTGGATGATACAGACGTCGCTGGTGTGAATTTCAACAATTATAGCCGAGATGCATTGATGCGGAAACTCGCTAGGACAGATGACACATCTGCAGATACCGACACGAAGCGCGCTGCTCTGCCCGCAAAAAAGGAAAGCAAACCGCTTCCCGTCAATGTCAGCCAGGCAAGCAGATGTGTTTTGCTTCGGAACATGTTTGATCCTGCTGAGTAAGTCAATCCCTTGTCACCGGTTTCCAAGCTGTACCTCCTGCTAACGTCATACGAATAGGGAAGAAGGTGATTCCTGGATCAAAGAATTGGAAGATGACGTCCGCGCAGAATGCGAGGAGAAGTACGGCCACGTCGTGCACATTTCCCTCGACCCCAACACCCAAGGCGACATTTACCTAAAGTTTGAGCGCGTCTCAGGGGGAGAAAACGCCATCAAAGGATTGAACGGACGCTATTTTGGCGGTAGGCAGATCAGCGCGCAGCCCGTCGTTGACGCCGTGTACAGCAGTTTGTTCTCTAGGACGAAAGCGCTATAATCTGGCTCGACGACAGACCTTCAGCGTACAAGCTCATCTCGAGTCCCTTTGCAAACCTCAGTAACGACGGAATTTCCAGGGAAAAAATCTATCTTTAAATGTGCGGCTGTACCTCCAAAAGCAAGCAGCGGGTACGACTGATCGTCAACAGTTGGCTCAACGCACCCACTGGAGAGTTTAACAACCAAAGTCGATCTCTGTGGAGGAACGCTGAGGATGAAGTGTGTGGATTAAGGTGTATCTTTTGTTGACGTCTACCTAGGAGTCGGAAAATTGTGCTTCGTCAACACATTTCTGCTGATGACTGGGGAAGGTTTGAATGCGCTGGACATCTGCTTGCAGTCGGGACAGAAATTCTATTGACTTGCTCATTAGTTACGATATCTGGGCGTTGCTGGCGGCCAGCTCGGAAGCAGGACATCGCGCGTGCTTTGCTTGAACTGAGTGTAAAGGCTGGTAATGTTGCTCGGTAGGTCGGCCTTGCGCTTGATTTCCCGTTTGATGAATGTTAAAAGACACCATGGGATGAGACCGCGAGGTCAAGAAAGATCGAAGCTAAAGCAAAGGAGCAAAATTTCTTTATAAAATAACTGATTCCATTGTGACCTGTGTATTTCAACGTACGGTAACACTCCCCAGGTTAGCCCAGTATGACTGAATAGCCCTCGGTCATACTCTCCCATCGGACCCTTGGAGAAGAACTCAAGAGCAGCAGGACTTCCCTTGCCGCTAGATGCATTAGCTGTAGCATGGCTCCGAACGCCTTGGGTGGATGGCCCGACTCGAACAACAATACAGTTCAGAAAGATATGTTCCTGTACAAAACGCCTCAGACGGAGTCGGCGACTGCGAAATCTCCTCGTATACCTCGACCAGCTCTACGACAATGTCCGACAGAAGGCTTTCCAATCATGAAATTGAGCTATTACTAGAGGCTAAACACTTCTCACGGGAAAATGGTTCCCTCTTGCTCTGGGATGCTGAGCATGACAACCGAGTTTCAGTGCTTCACCCAAAAACATCCTCGCAGGGAGCCTTTCGCTGCTGGCCATCACTGACAGATCCGGGTTCCGAGACCAGTCCCTATCACCACAGCACAAGTTGAAAGACAATGACAACCTTTCTCATCTCGTTTGCCTCAGACAAGTAGTTAGCCCCATGCCGTCCGTCTGTCTCTGAGCAGACGTGACACACCACCATCTGGTTTGTATCCCTTTGTTCTTCCGTCACCATAGTCCAACCTCGGTCGACTGTCACAGCGTTGTTACCCAATGCCATACACCTTTGTCACCATCACAAGACGTCCCTCCAATTGAACTGGACCGCTGACAGTGCATGATCAATCATTCACCTTGGGAGCGAAAACGATTGACCGCAACAAACCCGTACGCCGACGGCATGTGGTGGTGTTCAACTTCACTGTCGTCCTCTTCGTCCCCGCTTGCCATGTCTCCGGAATCTGCGTCACCAATCTCCACATCTGATATACTCAGACCATTTTCCGATCCCGAGATACCATCTCCCAGCACTCTGTTTCCGCGGATCTGCTTCGTGTCACCTGTGAAATCACTCACGCAGTAGCCGCACCAGTATTCGTCGGTATCTAGCAGCAATCGATCGAGGCCTGAACATCGAAAGTGGATCGGCCCAAGCATACACGATGCAGACTGACAGCGCAACATGGGCTCATCGTCAGCTGGTTCCCTGCAATAGCAGACCGGTACATCCACCATCTCAAGATCTGAAGCGGGAGCATGGTTTGTGGTTGCTCGGTCTTTATCCTGGGCGTCTTTGACTTCGAATCCTTCAAGCCGGTTGATCCATTCGAGGCCCTGCTTCTTGTATCGCTCCCTGTATGGCTGCGATTCCAACGGACCCGATATCCTCAGGCCGAACGGATCAGATTTGGGCATTCTATCGGACATTCGGTAGACGGCTGTGAGCTGTTTCTCTCTCAACTCCTCTGCAATGCGGTGGATCTCAAGCTGCTTTTGGCGACGGAGACGAACGGCCATTTTCGAGTTCGAGGCTTTTCCTAGTTCACTTTCCGGCTCATCTTCAGAGGGGATGCGAATGAAAAAGAAGTCCTTCGGTCGCAGCTCCGGATAGATCTCTTGGGCTTTGTGGAGAATCAGGTTCCGGTCCGGTTGCGCGCCATCGACAAGCGGAGCGCCTATCTTCTGCCCATGTCCTGGGTGCTCTTCGCGGTCCACTACTTCCTCGATGCAGTCGAGACAGTCGAGACAATAATACGCAACACGATTGTAGTCGGTGAGTCGATCATCGTCTTCGTACAACGCTGTGTCGCGGACGATGGCGAAGTAGTTCCCGACTGGGATCACGTTGCGAGGGTTTGGACAGGTAGGTGAAGAGCAGCAATACACAATGCGCGGTTCGCAGTGCTGGTAGAAGGTAAAGTGGTACCTGCCTTCTGCTGACATGTCAGTCTCTCTGCCGCCTGTGGGATGATTCTGCGTACCGAGAACGATGGGTCCTGCTGCAGGGTACGGCCCCGAGCTGGAAGGGCTTGTGAAGTCAACCTCATACGGGCAATCAACATCGGATGAACTAGCTGTAGTGTTGCCGTCGCCGAATATGTCATCCGATTCTGGATGATCATCACAAGGTAAGTGCGAGCTGGTGAACCGCACGCCCTTCAGCTTCTCATACAGACGTGGGTTCGAATATCTGATGAACTCCGCGATTTCCTGCTCTGTCATCGACGACCCATCCTCATCCAGACAGCCAGAGTAACTCGCAGGGCATGAATTCTCGCAGAAGTACACTTGGTCGGCGTCTGGCTCTTTCATGCGGACCGCCATTGTCATTACAGGAGGCACGCACATCGTGCTTGATTGTTTGCAGAAAGCTGAGCAAACACGGTAGGATGGCGCGGTGACTGGACGAGTGAGGGTGTTTGGTGTTTGAGAACACGCTTGTGAGCGTTTTGCTGTGAAGAGGTTTGGCTGCGTTTTATCTTCACTGCCAGGTGAGGCAGACTGTGTGGCAGGCGGGGAACAGACCTTCTGAAGCCCTATATTGAATTCACCTCTTCACTTTCCCTTTCAAGATCTTCCAGGTCCATTTTGAGCGACAACTCCTGCACATGGTTGTCTGCTTCCATCTGGGGTGCGATGGGCATTATCTTGCGTTTCTCCTTGGGACAGATTCTCCAGCATATATGTGCTGGAGGGATTTTGGTTTCGAGAGCCGGGAACCAAGTCCCGTCCCAGCTTCCCCTGCTTGTATCTCCAGATATATCCTTCAAACAGCTTCGAAGAATCATCTGAAGGAGTCAGCACAACTCTGTTCTTGTACTTGGAGGCCAACTTGGCTTCGCGAATGGCGACCTCGATGTCTTCGCTTCCATGGAGGATCGAAGCGGCACCTAAAATTCCTATGGGCTCTTCATCCAATATCGATTCCTGCGTGCCGAGACGAAAGAGTGCCACATTGAAACCCTCGATGAAAAGCAATATGCCGACAATGATATATGCAATGGGAGATACGACAGTCAGGCGAGTTGATTGAACAAATGTTGTTCCCACCGTTATCGTCGGTGCATCGGTCTTTTGAAGAAGATACAGATTGGCAAAGATAGCATACATTGTGGTGAACATGGTCTGGGCAGACTCGATGATTGTCTGTGGAAGCAATGCTGATGCGGATGACTTGTGGCTGGCAAGACGATATACTTGCCTGCCAAACTCGTTTGTGTCGATATCAGCACTGGGGTCATAGCAGCCTACAGCCTGAAAGCCCATCTCGAAGAACCTCCATACGGCGGCAGACCTTGACTCGGAAACATTGGTCACCTGAAATGACGCTATGGCTGGACTGGTTGACCCTACTGCCCAAGTGGCCGTCACATTTCCCTTGCTCGTCCGATAAGACGGGGCACAAGATACGAAGCTGAGGTTCACAATCTCGTGGCTTTCTGTGATGCGAGCGACTAGAAAACTAAAACGGCTCCAACCTGCGTGTGGTGGGCAAGTCGTCGTGGTCCAGCTGTTGATGGATATCTTGGGAGCCTCGGGGCTTAGCCGGAAGTTGGAACTGGTTGAGATTTGACAACCGCGGTCGTTGGCGAACACGGTGATGGTGATGGCGGGTAGTCCTGTGTCCTCTGGCCTCTGGATCAGCCTGCGGTACGACTTTTCCTCCAGGTGCACGCAATCAGCATGAGCAGAATACGCCACACTATCGAAGGTCACATTGCCTCCTCCAAAGGGGTTCAAGGGTGCCATTGACGGGAACGCATGCAAGCCATCGGTCCATGGAGGCGGACTCGCTCCTTGGATGTGAATGGCTGCTGCCGTGTCCATGAACCTGAGATTTGGATACGAAGGGTATTGGCCGAGGATGCTCGTGTTGAAAGCAGTCTCTGCCGACAAGCGGAGAGGATGGGATGACTTGGGCTGTGCTGTCGTGAAGAGGAACGAGGTCAATGGAACGACCAAAAACACCAACGTGGCCGAGGAGAACATGCAAGCCGCAAGCAGATAATGTTCGTTCTTGAACGCCGTATACCAACTCAGCGCAAAGGGCTCGGTGTACTCCAACAGGATGGTTGTCCTGGCTGGTCCGCCTGTCTTCAGCTCGACGTAGGGTTGCCTTTCGGCAAAGGCGGCGACCGCTGCGTGCCAAGCGGTTTGGAAAAGGGTCATGATGAAGGCGGGTAGGGCCGTGTAAAATATGCCCTGCGTCCATATAGCCTGCTCCAGGCTCGGATCGCGTGCCAGGAATCCCGGAGCATCCCCCAATCCCACGAAGCCATGGTTGCGTTTCGAGAAGGAATCAAGAGTGAGAATTGTTGTGACAAACGCAATGTTCAGCGTGAAGAGGAGGGTCAGCCATGGCGGACGGATCTTCCATGACTTCCATGCTGCAGTGGTAACATTGATTGACTGAAGTCCTGCAGTCGGAGGCGAAGATGGCTGTGTTGAGGTGGCAGTACCGTCTGGCACATTGTCAACATCGGGCGCATTGTTCGCAGCAAGGCTTGCGGATACGATCGTCTCTTCTTCATTATTTGCTGCTGTGCCGTTTGCTGTGGGCGCCGGAAAGGGAACGGGTGCTCTTGCCTCTTCCCCGGAATCCCGACCGCCTTCATTTTGTTCGGTGGTGGGACCGTCATCTTCTCGTGAAAGTGTTACAGAGACCTGACTTGAATCCGCTGCAACGCCAGATGCTTGTGGAGGATCACTGCTATCTGGATCCATGTCACTATGCGGGCTGGCATTCACTCCTCTGTCCCATCCAGCAGACCTGTCGATCAAACAGGTTGAGCGTGGCCGAGCGTGAAGGTAGCAAGGTGTACGAAGCCATGACGAGCCGCCTGCTCTTCTGATGGCTTGTGTCTAGATCAGCCCGCGAGGCTGAAATCAGGCTCGGCATCACGTTCGAAAAGCAAGTCGTGCCGAACGCACACTGCCACCGTAAGTGCGTTTCTAGTAGCTAGCCTTCCACTCAGGATCCCGGTCTCGAGCCAATCAGATAGCTCATCACCATCCCAAGGCTGATTATCTCGAGACAGACTGTCTTGGCTCAGCGCCAAAGAGGGAAGAGCAGATAATAAACATCTGCACCAGACAGCAAAGGGGCGTAGTGCGCCGAGCGTGGCTTCTGGCATACATAAGCTTCACAGCCTTAAGAACATTGACGGCGCGATCTGGTAGTAAAACCCCCCTTTGGGCTGTAACAAACTTTGAGTTGCACACAAGTTTCATCACGGGAAGGATGATTCTACTTACATTTGTCACCCTCGTAGTCCGTCTTTGCAGTGCAGGCTTCGTCCCGCCGGCCGAGTTCTGTCTCCCTGATTCCGGCCTCAAGGAGCTCTCAGGCTGTATCAAATGGACCGACCTTCGAGATAAGTGCGGAGAGAAGGACTCGGAAGAAGCAAAAATTCAGTGCGTCTGCACTCAGGAGTATCTCTCTTCACTCTATAAGTGAGTTTGTCTTTTAACAGAGCGCTTTTCCCTCTCAGTGACCCTTTTCGACAAAGCTTAAAGAACGCAACTCTCGACGGTTAGCATGAGGCAGCAGGCTGACATTTGGCAGCTGTGAAAGCGACGTACAAAAGTGCCTGGCCAGCCATATGTTCGACAATAGCTTCCAAGCCGAGATAGACGAATGGCACAGGAGGTGCGATAGCCGTGTCAGCTCAACGATGACGACCCCTCCGCTCCCTACTATCACACAGACCTACGATTTCGGTGCTTGCAGCAGGTTGCACCAGAGTTGTCTGAGGGGTGACTATGAAACGCGGCTTTGTTCGGACAAATATTTGCCTTCATCCAGTCTGTCATATGCTTCGTGTGTATGTCAGCCGCCCGTGTACTCGCTCTTCTCGGAATGCCAGTACAATGGGAATATATCGTGCAAGCGGACCACCGCGGCGGAGTCGAACATCATGGGCTACTCGATTTGCTCCTACTTCTGGTCTGGTTCGGTGAGTAGGCTCTGGGGGCATTCTCTGAATCCCATGCTGACGGCTCTATCAAAGGAGACGCTTTCGTCGATCGATCTCACGTCCTACCTTGGCATCACAGGGGCTGCCCTGGCTCAGGCAACGTTGCCTGAGCCAGGGCATTGGGTCACAAAAGCCCGACCTAACCCTGTCGTAACTCCAACGGCTACTGCGACACCATTGCAGGTGATTGAGTACATGGAATCTTCGGAGAAGAAACTAAAACAAAAGGGCCTGAAATTCTGGCGACGGGGATAGATATCTCGAGACACGGGCGGGTCGCTAAGAAGCTCAAAAAGGCAAAAGTGGGCTCGGCTGGGCGTAGGAGGGCGTCGGACCCCTGCCTGTGCGGTCAATCTTGGGTCTTGGACAATAAAAATCCACACGAATGATGGAACCAAAGTCATCTATGAAGGGATGGTGCTGAGCGATATGAGGTCTTGCGGCATTGGGCAATTACTCCGCCGTAGGCCATGCCATACATCGGATACGGAACAGCATAGTACACATAAAGCAATGGCAAGGAAGAGACCTGGGTTGGTCTAAATACAAGTTTTAGCCCTGGTGGCAGAACATATATCCTCTGAGATTGCCCCGTCACCAACTACGACGAAATGGATTCCATGCAACACATGTTTAATCCATGGCTGGTGCGAGGAATTGTGTGACCGACCCAGCAAGGCGGAACGGCGAGCAACACGAGCAACCCGAGGAACATGAACTACACACATTGAGAAGGGAGACAGCTCAAGCTGGTCCGCCACCCGATGCTGTCCCTTCCAGGACATCGTCGAGAGAATCCCGCGAGCGTAAATGGCGGACTTGGACTAGGTATCTCTTCCCGGCGTCCATTCATCATGTACCTCTCCGCGCCGCCCGAGATCATCTTGCCAACGAACGCGTCTTCCTGGGATACATCCGCACGTCGTCAGCTCTCGCCAACTTCGCTATCACAATTCTTCAGCTTTACAGATTGAAGCACGATCCAGTTCCCCCAGGCGAGTTGAGCGATTATAATTTGGGGATTCCGCTTGCGGTGGTGACACTTGTCATCGGGTTCGCCATCACGCTGGTCGGAGCGTGGAGATTCTTCGCCTGCCAGAGCGCCATGGCTCAGAGAAAGCAGATCGTCACTAGTGGGTGGGTGGTGCTCGTCTTCATGCCAGTAGTGGCTCTCGTAAGTTCTGGCCCATCAGCCTTTCTGTGGAGATGATGAAAAGGCTGTTCCTGAACGAGATTCTTAGTTGCTCCTTGCGCTCCTGATCCTCACCATCATCGTCAATACCAATCTATGACATCGACCGCAAGGGCACACCCCATTTTGTCAAGCGAGAGACTGCTGTATCGTCACGGACACTCTGTACAGCTAGGGGCCCCGCCATACTCGACATGTCCGGACTTTCTTCTCATTCATCAAGGCAGTCTGCAGTAATACGAGACGCTAGTGAGTGGTATTAGGTCTAGGATCTTCGTTTTATTTGGTGAAAGTACGCAAAAGTAGACGATTCTCGTATCATTCGAGCAGTTGTTGGCTTTTAGTACCGCAAGGCTGTGATCGAGCCTCGTCGCACCAAATTGAGATTGGCGTGTGATACTCTTGGCGTGATGCACAACCGAAATTCAATCGGCTTCCGCAGTCAGAATTTCTCTGCACCTCTAACTACGACTACCTCACATCACCACACAATCTCTACCTCGAGGTATGTACACAGTGTGGCCCTTCTTCGGCTGGCCTAGGATGAGCAATCCGACCGCAACTCCTGAATTGTAGCATTTCCAGGATCTCTGCAGTTTAGGATACGCTCCATCCTTCGCGACACGAGCTGAAGAACCCTTCACTGGGCACTCTTCTGGCTCGAAGGCTTCTGAAGACTAACAAGTTTCCTCACTCTCTAGATACCTCAAGTTCCACGACATCCAGACGAACTTGAGAATCTCACACACTCTCAAACACCGCCAAAATGGTCAAGACATCCGTGCTCAACGACGCTCTTAAGAGCATCAACAATGCCGAAAAGGCCGGCAAGCGCCAGGTCATGATCCGACCCAGCTCCAAGGTCATCATCAAGTTCCTGTCCGTCATGCAAAAACACGGTACGTTCGCACCTACGGTTCCCCTTGCCTTGCAAAGAGGAGGATTCTGGCACACGGCACACTTTCCAAGATTTGTCGGGTTGATAACTAGGCGGCGGTTTCAAGCATTGCACCCCACGACCTTTGCCCTTTAAGTGCCCGAAAGATTGACTCTTCTCTGCGACTGATTCTTACACATTTGCTCGCTCATTTCATCCGTGTTTGTTTAATGTTTATTTGGTCGCAACATCTCTCGCCTGGTCTCCAACTTGGACTGACGGCTGTATTTTGTGAACAGGCTACATTGGCGAATTTGAAGAGGTCGACGACCACCGCAGCGGCAAAGTTGTTATCCAACTCAATGGCCGTCTCAACAAGACCGGTGTCATCTCCCCTCGTTACAACGTCCAGCTCCGAGACCTCGAGAAGTGGGTCGTCAAGTTGTTGCCTTCCCGTCAGTTCGGCTACATCGTTCTGACTACCAGCGCGGGAATTATGGATCACGAGGAGGCCAGAAGGAAGCACGTTTCAGGGAAGATCATTGGCTTCTTTTACTAGACGACATATCGAAACGTGTTCTGCATGTGGTACGCATGAGCGAGGGAATTGTGATACCCGGAAAAAAGTCTTGAATGCAGCTTCAGATCCTGATTTCGGGAGAGGTCAGATGATTCCAGCTAGATCTAGGGGATTTGAACGTCCTGAATGAATCGAAACCATCCCTAACCATGACTCTGTATTCCGTAGGGCCTTGTCCAGGCATGAAATAAATTGAGCCTCTTGGGAAAGAATTTTGACCTCCAACAATGCCAAGACCTTTGCCCTAGTTGCCAAATCGGGACCCTGCGGGGGCGCAACAAGTTTCTATCACTCAAAGACAGGAACTTCCACTCATCACTCATTTCTTCTATCAACGATCAACCACAGCAAAAATGGTATGCGCACCCCTCCAAGTATCTGATCAATCAATTTGAAATGTCCGTTACTGACATATTCAGGCGCCCGCAGCATCCTCCGGCGGCAAGAAGCAAAAGAAGAAGTGGTCCAAGGGAAAGGGTACGTCTTCCACCGACACAATCACCATTTCTCTGATACGCATTCTACCGGGATTATTGTCTCTCGTGCTTGGTCCCCCATTCTGAAATATTTGCTAACAATTGTATCTCTTTTTCTCCTACAGTCAAGGACAAGGCCAACCACGCAGTTGTCCTCGACAAAGCCACCTCCGACAAGCTCAACAAGGACGTTCAATCGTACCGCCTCATCACTGTCGCCGTGCTGGTCGACCGATTGAAGATCAATGGATCGCTCGCGAGAAAGGCGCTCGCAGACCTCGAGGACCGAGGCGTGATCAGGAAAGTTGTCGCACACAGCAAGGGCAGCATCTACACGAGAGCGGCTGCTGGCGGTGATTAGATGCGTCGATAGCGAAGGGGGTGTGGATGATTGGCCAGAAAAATTGAACACGGGAGCCACGGCGGGAACCACCTCGACGAGACGCTCTTCGGCGTGAAATGATGTTGATGATCTTGCATGGGATAGGGACGGAAAACGCTGGGTCAGTAGACCGGGCTCAGGATCCATTTTGCAAAGAGGAAATCGAACATGTCCAACAAATGCTGGACGCGGACGAATACCATTGTCACCATCAATCATTGGCGCTCGCGATATCCTGGCTCGAGTGCTCTTTTGTGGTGAATCTCGCCAACTGTAGAGCTCGCAACCACCTGGTACTCCGTACAGTCGTCAAACAGCAGTTAAACGCAAGCAGTCTAAGATACCGAAGCCACCAATAACTTGTCTATTCCATCTTGGGGTCTATTCTTGTCGTGCCTATCGTGATCGTAACATCGCTCTCTATTGTACAGGCTTTCCAGGTGCGTCCTTTTTCTTTTCCTTTTTCGAATTCATGTTCTTGCGCTTTGGCCTCCCCTTCTCTGCTGGCTCGCAGAGCTTCGGTGGTTCGCCTGTGTATTCTGGGACGCCAACCAGCTTTCCGACCTCGAAGTATTTCTTATGGTTCTTGTAGAACTGTTCCCATCTTCTCACTTCATCCAAGACTTTCTTCTTGGCTTCTCGTCTTTCTTTTTCCGCACGCAGTTTTCTCGCACTACTCGAGATGTCTTCATCCGGATCGTCTTCGATAGCAATGTAAATCATCTCCGCGCCTCTCAAGTCCCCAGTCCGGTCGTCAAGAAAGCATCCGGTCACAAAGGCTCTGGTAGCGTCCCTGCCAGCAAACACTTCGTAACTCCCACCCGGTCCGTAAGTATGCTTTCCGGCGGAAACATCAAAGATGGTTCCGTTGATCGCCAGATAAATAGGCTTCGCAGGGTCACTGCCATCGTAGAGTGCGAGTTGCTCTGGTGTGAGATTTACTGGTCCCACCCACCAGTGAGCCAACTTGGAGGGATTCAGGAACCACGGTTCATATTTGAAGATCAGGGATGTCCCGGAAGTGAGATAGTATGAGAGGAGGCAGGAGGCGAATATTAAGGTGAGTATAACTCGCAGAATATCGAGGGGGGAAATGACACGGGACGTCGTGTCCTCGAGCTCATCTGGCGATGTTGTTGTTGGCGCGGTGGCCGTAGACTTCGAGGTCTCGGGCTGAGATCGAGGGGGTCGTCGGCGTGTTGATGAGGCATTTGCCATTATACTATATCAGAACAAGAATCCTAGCAACGCTGCATTAACTGAAGTCGCATCCTCTGAGAAATCCCCTTTCTTGGGTCGAACAGTGCAGGGAACAGACAATCCGTCATCCTACAGCGCTGGGCCGTGTGGGGAAACTGCGGGCTGGGGACGAACATGCAACTTCCAGCCACGCGGATTGATTGAATCGAGGTGCTCAGCTCACCACCACCTCGACTATTTTCTTTTTTCCCTCCACCCTTTCATTTTCCACTTTCTGCCCTCGTGAGAATCGCAGACGCGGTCTATTGTGGTGCAATATCTTGCGCTCTCTAACAAAACGCTCTTGACTTGCTGCGTCACTGTGCTGAACGAGCCTCGGCTGAAGCAAAAGTAAACAAAAGGACGATCGGTCATTCCACCCTACGACGGCCATTCCAAACTCGTCGTTATTCCAACCCTCAGTCGAGCTCAAGGCTCTCCCCTTTCAGGCGCCCTCGAGACTTTGACTGCAAGCGACCTGCCGACAAAGCCATGTCCTACTCGTACACGGTGACGGAGCGCAAACGAAAAACGACAACCTCTGGTGGGTATGGATACTCAGGCAGCAGGTCGACATTTGGATACTGGGTCCCCCTTGCTCTCACTGTGACGGCAGCAACGATCGGCCTTGCTGCGTGGGTTTGGGGTGAGAGGAAGGATGACGAGGAATCGAGCGAAGATGAACAATACCAAGGAGCGCCTCCTCCTCCAGACTATGCATCAATGAGCGGCGGTCTTCCTCCTGGACCACCAATGGCGGCTGGCTTCCAGGGAGGACCGCCTCCTCCAGGTGGCGCTCCCTTTCCAATGACACCCGGCCCGCAACAACCTGGAGGGTTTGGGCCTCCTCCTCCCGGCGGCTACCAAGGGCCTCCACCACCGGGTGGTTTTCAGGGACCTCCCGCTCCCGGAGAGTTTCAAGGCGGCCCTCCTCCTCCAGGCTGGCGTGGGACAGAAGAGGAATACCGCGCGCGCTCGACTGGAGTAGAAGAGCAACAAGAGACTGGTATAGTGGCTCGCATGTCTAGCGCACTGGGTTTCGGTCGATCAGCCACTCCTTCAGGCGATCGATCGCGCAGCCAGGGCCCGGCTCAGCCCTATGATTGGGCCAACAAGCCATTTGCTTCCGCATCGGCGGCGGCGGGCAAGATGGTCGATGCTGCCCTCAGCACCCTCAGTGGCGGAGGCGGCAAAGGCTACGAAGACCATGAGCGATGGAGTGAGGAAGCAGAACAGCGAGACAATGACCGGCAGATCCAACAGGGTATCAAAAGGCGTGGAACAGCGGACGAGTTCTTCTCTGGGAGTATAGAGCTGCCCAAGTCTGCATCTATTGCCATCGGGAAAAGGAAGACTGTGGCTGTAGTTGTCTCAGCCGCGGGATTAAACCCAGAGACCGAGTCGGACGTTGAACAACATGCGGTAAGTCAATATCCCATTTCCAGGCCTGCGGAGCAAGGATGCTAATAGGCTCTTAGTCGATCCTTTCACATCTACCGGAGTATATCGAACCCGAGTCGACACGAGTCTTCGTCCTTATCTACGCACCAGAGTTAAAATCGCACCCGCTCAGCCTCCCAACACGACGACCCTCGCAGTCCATGGCATCTTCGTTCTCCAACATCAGCCATGCAGATGCACACACTCCCGCCCAGACACCAGGGGACTTTCCCGATGATGCCATTCTGACTCAGGTGGATCCGGCTCCGATCGACGAATCAAACTCACTCTTCAGGACTCTATATAATCAAGCCATGAACGTTGTGGACAAAGATACCATGGTGTTGCCCTATACCTCGACGAATGGCCATAAACATATCCTCCGCAGCCTTTCCCCAGAGGTTGTGTATATCCAAGAGTCGCTCTGCGGTCGAGATGGCGAGATCGTCTCAGACCTGTCTGGCTGGGTGAAGCAAACTGTTATTGTCATCGGTGACGAAGGTGGCCACGGCGGATTGATCGATACGGATGACGAATCCGTGACTCACAAGGCGACCGAAAAGTGGTGGCAGAAAGAAGAGAGGACGGGACTTGGGAAGAGAGTAGCAGTCGTGGAGAGTCTGAAGATTGGGGAGGACTGGGACAGACGGATCAACGAAAAAGATTGAAGCTTGGTGGGAGCGAAAAGCATGATGATTGACGGCACCGGTAATGTTGTGATGAAGCCTGTTTTTTCTTATCGTGGATATGCAATTGTGTACCTAGCTGATCATGGTAGCGTCTATCGGGGGTGTTGGATGCTTCATACGTGTTTCTCATGCGCCCTTGGCTTGTTCACCTTCGAAAACTTCATGCATCCTCTTCTCCAACGGCCTCGTGTCGATAAACGTCTCCATACGGTAGCAAATCAATCCGCCTTTGTCCCCTCCGTCACCCAAATTTCCATCCTCCTCCCCTCTCTCCCTGACATAAAACGTCGCGAAGCCTGGAACCTCCACATCATCCTTGCCGCTCGGATCATCGCCCTTGACACGATACTTTATCCTCGCGGCCTGGTAGATCCTCGGCGGCACGTAGTCGAAATACTCGACGTAATGTTCCATCAGATCCAGACGGGCTAGTTGCGGCGGAAAGAACGTGTCGCGGACGTTTTCCAAGCCTTGAATGGGAGGGTAATTGCCGAATTGCAGCACTATGTCCGGCGAGAAGAAGTTGTTGCACCAGTGCGAGGCCGAGAGGGTGGCGGAGGCGGCGTGGAACTGTGCAAGTCAATTAGCCGTGTTTCACAGCCTATTGCGAGGCAAGACGAGGCCTTCGAACAGAAGGGGTCATATGGTTCGAGGTGTGAAGGGGTGAAGGGTAGGGCGTGAGTGTGAGGCTGAGTGAATGAATGCATTCTTGTAGGCGGCACTTACATCTTCGAGCCACTTTTGAATTTTCGCTCTCTCGGGATCCTGACTTGAAGCCATCTTATCTTTTTCTTCACAATGAGATTCGAAACTGAACCAGAACTCTACGACTTTCATTCATCCTGCCATCCATTGACCTTCATATAATGCACGCGGTAACTATCCTTCTCTGGCACGGCGTCACCTGACCACCAAGACCCCTTTTCGAATATTTGTCAGCGGAACAGCACCGAAAGACATGTCAAGCTCCATCACGTCAGTGAGAGCCAATGTTCCCTGGAGCTTTAGAGACTGGTTCCTCCGCAGATCAGGCGAAGTAACCCCAGCTGCTCACCGAGTGACACGGACGATGCAACGACGGTCTAAACACGGTCTTTCGGTCGAAAAGGTCCGAAGCCCATGGTAACCGGTGGAAACGGAGCTCGATTGTCCGCCTTGAGGCTCTGCAAAAGGGAATATGGCACGGAAGGATGGCAACAACGTCACAAATTGCGATCTACACGTGCCGGCTACCTGCAGTGGTACACATCCATGGTGTCACAGTACGTAGTCCTCGAGCGTGCTCGGGGCAAAAAGGTCCTCGGGCTTGAACCTCTTCTGGGCCAAGCCCTGGTCAAAGGAATACTGCAAGAACTTGTCCAAGACATGCTTGTTCGCCTCGAAGCCGTCTTTCCACCAGCGATCATCGCCACCCATCAGCTTCTTCGTCTCCTCCACATGGTCCTCCAGCCACGGCAGAATATACCGCAATGCCGCCCGCTCCTTCAGGGGTTCGTACGCCATCTCGAGGCTTTTGGCAAAGGCCTTGGTCAGGCTCTTTGCGATCCACGGATTAGCCTCGTACACGCTCCGTTTCAGGGCCACGACGTGCATGATCGGGAATATCTTGGTTCGTGCATAGTATTCGGCTTCAACGGCTTTGAAGTCGTCGAACAGCCGCGTCACCGTGTCCGGCGACGTGTCGAACGAGGAGGGCTTGGTGGCGCTGAAGATGGCATCGAGCTCCCCGTCAGCCAGCATCTGTGACAGATTCTGCCCAGGTTGGATTGCCGTGACTTTGATGTCAGCCGGGTAGGTGTGAGAAACCTTGGAATGCCGGGGCTTGTCCGAAGGCTCAATAGCCCCAGTGTAGAAGTGCACGCTGGAGAGAGGGACACCAAAGTCTTCAGCCAGGATTCCACGTTGCCAGACTGCTGCTGTCACTGTGGTTCGTCAAAACAATTAGCAACGTTGAGCTTCTCTCTAAAATGGCTGGAATAAAATAGTTGGGGCCACCGACTTTGGTACTCGGGGGTCCCAATGCGTTTTCCACGCAGATCCTCCGGGCTCTTGATGCCGGCTTTGGAGTTGATGTACATCGATTGATGCCGGAAGAAGCGTGATGGGAAGACTGGTAGGGCAATAAATGGTGGATTCTCTTGGTTCAGGGTAAGAACATAAGAGGACAAGGAAAGTTCAGAAAGGTCGAATTCCTGGAATCGAAGTTGGCGGAAGAAGCTGTCCTGGACCACGTCAGTCATTCCATAACTCTCGCTGTAGCCGTTTGCTTTGCTGAGAAGAATATAGGATCGGCTTACGTCTCCTCGACCCGATAGTTGAGAAAGGTGAGCTCAATTCCCTCTGCTTGGACTCTTCCATCTTCAATGGCTTTCATCCGGTCGTAATCCCAGCATGCGAAGGATAGCTTGAGCACCATGTTGGGCGGGCGAGTTTGAATCTCTCAGTATCGCTCCCTCTAGCTGTCCCTCAAAGGTGTGGAGAGTATTTTTTTCTGCTGTTCCTCTTTATTTTTTTGTACATGATGTTCCCATCGGTATACTCCCATCTCGGCTCCCCGTCACCGTCGGAGAGTCTCCGGGGCGAGGCGCTATTGGAACACAGTCTCGACCCTTAACGAGCAAATGTCTCGATCCGGGCGCTCTAGTCGACTCGGCACCACTTTATAAGGTCCGCGGCTCACTCCGACAAAACGGCCCTTGTCGAGGTCGGGGACACTCTGGGGGAGGAGGCGAGACCATTAGATATAACAATACCCCACAGAATGCATGTGTCTGAAAATGCTGCACTCTTACCCCAGACTCGCAAACACCCTCGCAACTGCTTCTTCCTCTCCTCGACAAGATGGACTCCGAGGACAAAGTACACGTCGTGGTCTCCAACGACGGCTCTGAGCAGGCGATTGAAAATGCCGTCCCCGAGAAGCCAGATGATGTTCGACGTGATCGTCATGGATTTCCACTGCTCCCACAACCGACGCGTTTTCGCGACGATCCGTTGGTGAGAGAAGAAAACGCCCTTTTGATGAACGATTTGAATTGCTGACAAGGAGTTTTGCAGAACTGGCCAACATGGTTGAAGTGGCTCGTGCTCCTCCAGGCTTCATTCCTGGCAATGCTTGGGCCATTCAATTCGGCGGTCGTCAATCCTGGACTGGTGCCACTTGCAAAGCTTTTCCACATCCCCGTCGGCCAGGCGTCGTACCAGACGACCTCTGTCATCATCTCTGTGGGCATTTCGCCTTTGTTCTGGACTCCGCTTGCCAATGTCTATGGAAGACGGCCCGTCTATCTCATTTCGACACTCATCGGAATTGTCGCCACCGTTGGCAGTGGTGTTGCGAAAACATGGCACACTCTGATCATTGCTCGAGTTTTTAGTGGTGTCGGTGTGGGCGCAGCCATGGCTCTTGGTGCCGCCACCGTCAACGATTTGTTCTTTCTCCATGAGGTACTGCTTTCCTACAGCCTTTTCAGACTCTGTTAAGGCATGCTAACACACCAATCCAGAGAGGTTTGAAGATGGGCATCTTTACGGTCTTCTTGACCAACGGTGCTCACGTCGCCCCCGTCATAGGAGGCTACCTGGTACAGACAGCCGGAGTGCGATGGGGATATTACTTCCCCGCTATCGTCAACTCGGTGACTTTTGTGATCATGTTCTTCGCCATGCCCGAGACCCTCTTTTCTCGCTCTGAGAAGGTACTCGCACAACACCAGGAGAGAACCTACATGCAGATGCTCTTCAGCTTCCGCCGGAATGCGCTACGGGACAGACGAGTTCACCTGCGAGACTTTATTCGGCCGTTTGAGATGATGTACTATCCCTCGGTGACGCTGACGTGTCTCTACTACATTGTGTCGTTCGCATTCTCCTCAATCCTACCGGCAGTGACGGTCGCCATTCTCTTCACGAAGATCTATCACTTCAAAACCGGAGCCATTGGACTTATGCTTGGTCTTCCACTCTTGATCGGCTCGGCACTTGGAGAGTTCCTGTCCGGACCCTTTTCAGATTGGTTCATGTACCGGTACGCAAAGAAGCACGGTGGAGAGAGGAAGCCAGAAGCTCGATTGCCCGCATGCCTGGGGAGCCTTCTCCTCTGCCCGACTGGAATCATCATCTACGGAGTCTGCCTGTATCACAAGACGCACTGGATGGGCCCGGTGATGGGAATGGCAATTTCCAGTTTCGGTCTTCAGCTGGTAACCACCGTCAGCTATGCGTACTGCAGTGACTGCTACAAGCCGCAGTCGGGAGAAATCAGCAGCTTGTACAACTTCTGGCGGCAGACTTTTGCGTTTCCCTTGGGCTTTTATGCGTAAGTGCTTATCGATTTTCTCTGAAACCTGGAAGATCCAGGCTGACATCCACAATAGCCTCCCGTTCGCCGCCGAGATCACCATTCAATGGGCTTGGGTCACCCTTGCTCTCATTACAGCGGTGACGTCCGTGGGAGTTGTTGTTCTGATATTCAAGGGTGAAGAGTGGAGGAAACGGCTCGGTCAGCCGCAATTCCACAAGGATATCTGATCTTGTGAGCATCCCTAGTAGGCTGCACGCAAGTGTAAGGATTGGGCCTGGCATATTATATATTATATAGCTGAGAAGCTGGGGGTCAACGATCTCATATTCATTGACAATGATCTGTCTACGACGACATGTATCAGAGGAGTAGAACGATGAGGCCCAATATATACTGAAAAAATCATTCTATATTTGTCTTCTGAACAGTCTTCCGAGCAATCAATGTGTACCTACCTATTATATGAACTAAACCAAAGCAGCCAGACAGACCATTTCAGAAGCCAAAAATAAATCATCTCTGCCTCTGAAAAGGAATCCCTAGTCCCTCCCCCCCATGACCGGCACCTCATCCCGGCCACATGTATCATGGCGTCACGTGCATTGCCCCCAGTGCCGTATATTCCCCGGATTTCCAACTCCAAATGTTGCGGGGCTTTTTCATTCGCTTTCATTCTATCACATCCCCCTGCACCACATTGACCACACCGGGCCGCTAAGCGATAGGGCTTTGGTGCACAGACGGACCTAGTAACAGAAGCAAAGACTCTTTCTACCCTACCACGGCCTTTTCCAGCCGCGGAATGCGAGCAATTCTGTGTCGTCCAGGATGGCGGATCCGCCACTGAAGAAAAGACTTGCATCTGGAAAAGCATGCACAAGCTGCCGAAGGAGGAAGAATCGGTGCGACGGGGGTCGGCCTAATTGTGCGTCATGCCAGAGCCGTGGGGCCCGTTGCGTATATCCTTCCCTGGTTGACGAGCTCAGCCTCGACGAGTAAGGAGTTGGATGCCCTGTTGTTGCATTGTCTAACTGCTTTCCAGACTCAGGTCGCTCGTAGACCTCAAGGCACGAACAAACATTGAGCCTCTCAGTGAAGGCGCAGAAGAGCAGCTTGAGCAACGTCAATACTTTGACAACGATGCTGCTGATGCTACGGCGGCCGATGTCACAACCCAGAGCAATGCCGCAAACGTCCAGACTCCTATCACCGCCACTCCATCCGAATCTCAAGATCCTGAGGCATTCTTTGGGGAGTCGTCAACTTTTGCTTTTGTTTCAAAAGTTCAAACCACGAACGTACCTCGACAAGCCCTGACCCCGGCGCACAAACGACGCCGCCTTTCAAGTTCAAGAAGCTCCCGAACCCACAGTCTGGACCCGGGCCTCACTCCCAGGGACTCCGAAGATACGTACGAACTACCCTCGAGAGATTTGGCCGACAGTCTTGTGGACTTATACTTCAACCACGTGCATCGTCTCTATCCCTTTGTTCACGAGCCCAGCTTCAGGAACCAATACGAGCGCATGTGGATCCCCGATGGGAGTCACTCTGACACGAAAGCTACTTGGCTGGCACTCCTCAATCTCATTTTCGCCCATGGGTGCGAGTTTCACGAGCCTATTGAAGGAATGAGCGCCTCGCATTCGGCAACACGCTTTCTCGTACGGGCTCGAAACATAGTGTTTGCCCATATCTTCAAAGAGGGCAATTTGGAGCTTGTCCAGTCACTGCTGCTGATGTGCCACTATCTTCAAGGAACCTTGGAGTTGACCGAGTGCTGGAGCCTAAGTGGACTAATGATCAGGACATCTATCAGCATCGGGCTTCATCTCAATCCCTCTCCTGCTATGTCTGCCGTGGAAAGGGAAGTCAGGAAACGCGTGTGGTGGGGCTGTTTCGTTATCGACCGCACTTTGAGTATGAAGTTTGGCCGACCACCTTCCATTCCCACCGGCAATGCATCAGATGTTGAGTTGCCACTACCAGTAGACGATCAATATATCATGAACGACTCAGTCATTCCGCGCCAACCTGCAAATCGGCCCTCTCTGACGTCCTTTTTCGTTCAGACGATCAAGCTCGCACATATCATCGACAGCGTCCTCCTCAAACTCTACTCGTCGTCGACCAAACCATGGACCTCTACAGTTCCGTCGCCAAACAAGCAGGATCATTTCACAGAGATCTTTGGCCACTCTGTTCTGTTGGATGGAGAACTGCTGTCCTGGTGGAATGGCAACCCACCCCATCTGAAGGAGGACCCCGACTACCCGGACGGCCCTGATTTCCAACGACAACGGAATGTCATGTACATCCGGTGCGCACGCCCATGCAATAAGATTGAATCGAAGACTAACGTGAGAGCAGGTTTCTGAATGTTCGCCTGCTGCTCCATCGCCAATCTTTTCTCATCTTCAGCCGACAAGAAATCGAGGACGGTTTCCATAGAGATGTTGCCATTGCTTCATGCAACCGTTGTATCCTGTCTGCCCGTGATACTATCAGGGTGATCTACGCCCAGTACCGTCGCGGACTACTGAATTCCCTGTGGTACAATCTTCACTGTAAGTCTCAATCCTCATGCAAAGACTTTCAGCTCATGTACCCAGATGTTTTCACTGCCATCGGGGTTCTCTTGACCCTACAGACTATGGAAAGATGGAAGCTGGAAGCGTTAGGTCAAACCGGGCCTGATGAGACACTGGAGCTGGGCATGGAATTTTTGAAGGTAGCCAGTGGTACAAGCACCCTTGCAGCAAGGTACCTGATTCTGCTTGAGCGCATTCAAACCCAAACGAGTGGTCGGGAAACACCCCTTCCCGGCCAGCTGTCCAGCCACGGCCACATGACGCAGCATCAATCGGATAGTTCGGACCCGGCATTGCTCCCGTCAGACAGGACTCCCTGGCAACGGCCGCAGGACGAAGGTCAGTTGGGACTCAGCTCGGATCTTATCGACTTTGACGACTTACTCTTTGGCACGGGTCTTCCAAGAGACTTGCTGTCCGCTGATTGGTCGGGGTTTGATCCTATATGATCGGATAGCCGCCTTGTGACCATGCCGCACGAGCCATGCCATGTGATGAAGGGGCCGATGCGGAGACTCCGAGTTCTTGGAGTTGGTGCCACATTCGCGGAGGCGAGGCGACGACAAAATGGGGTATTCAAGCTGCCAGGATCCGTTCGGCATGGACCCGATGGAGCCGCGGCTGGGAGCCGACGTCGTGGAGGAGGAGAGAGAAGCCACCATTACAAGGGTGGCTCGGCATATTAAAAGCACGGAAACCACTAAAACAAAGGATAACAAAGCGTATACGGGACGAAGACCCTCAAGATGCATGGAAAAGCGACATCCGTGGCTGCCCTGGTGCTTGATTATGCCCGCCAGCTCTCGTGGGTGATTCCTGTGGGGGGTGTTTTCCTGTGCCTCTTCTCATTCATCGTCTACCAACGATGGTTCTCACCTTTGGCCAAGATAAACGGACCATTCTGGGCGTCCCTCAGCCCTCTATGGAAGCTGCTGGCCTTCAACAATGGCAACTTCCATGAGACAATTCTGGCTCTCCATGAAAAATATGGACCCATCGTCCGCATCGCCCCGAACGAGGTCATCATATCTGACAAGTCGGCCATCCGGGAAATCTATAATACCGTCCAAGGCAGAGATTTTCTAAAGGTGAGTCTCCAGTTGAGCATGGGAAAGCTGGCAGTGTCTAATCGATGTGCAGACAACATACTACGAGTGGGTTTCGCAACCGCCCAAAACCGTACAAAGCTAATGGTGTTCGTAGTGCATTTACCGCCTTCCGACCAACCATCTTTGGTCAAAGGGATCCGTATCTACATGCTCAGCGCAAACGGATTGTGTCCCACGGGTACAGCATGAACGCACTCCAGGCCATGGAGAAGTTTGTCCAGGAGCGTCTCCAAATCTTCATGGGGAAGATGTCCGCTTTTGCAGCCTCTGGAGGCGAGATCAACTTGGGAAAATGGTGCCACTTCTTTGCCTTTGATGTCATTGGAGAGTTGGTACGTTTGGTAACGCCTGTCGTGGGAATATGACTGATTCTTTTCTTCCAGGCCTTCAGCGAGGGGTTCGGCATGCTCGAGACCGGAGTAGAGGACGAGCATATTCGTCTCATCAACAACCAGATGGAATTCGGATCTACGATTGGAATGATGCCGTCCCTCATTCCGTACACGAAATGGACCTGGCTCCCAATTCCCTGGCTGCAGAGTCTCCAGGCGGGCCGTGAAAGGTTGAAGGAGGTTGGTATCTACAGGTTCCTTTAATGTATACATCTGGCTAACTATCCCTCTAGCTTACAAAATCTCGTGTGGAACGGAGACAAGAAAAGGTCAGCGACCGAAAAGATCTACTCGGCAGGCTCATCGAGGCCAAGGATCCGGTCACTGGCCAGATGCTCGATTCTATTGATTTGCGGACCGAGGCTTTCTCTAGCATGTAAGCCTGCCCCCATCATTCGACGAGCCTGGCCCATGCTAAATAATCCGTGTAGTGTTGCAGGCAGCGACTCAACATCGTCGGCTCTGAGCTACACATTCTATCACGTTTTGGGCCATCCTACTGTCTACAAGGCGTTGACCAAAGAATTGCGCGATGCATTCCCCGGTCGCGATTACAAGACTGACGAGACACCTCCAACATATGCGGACCTTGGCAAACTGCCCTACCTGCAAGCAGTGATTAAGGAGAGTCTCCGTCTGACGCCACCAGCTACGATCAACCTGCCGCGCTATGTGCCGGAAGGTGGGCGCGTCGTTGCCGGGACGTATTTCCCTGCCAAGGTTTGTTTCCTCCCCCTAAACAGAAAGCAATATTGGTGATCCGTGGCCCTGACTTTTGGGGCAAAATATAGACAATCGTCGGAATGTCCGCGCTGCCGGTCCACCTGAACCAGGAAAACTTTGGCCCCGACGCCGCGGCGTTCAACCCTGACCGCTGGATCAGCGGGTCGGGCGGGATCACCCCTGATGAGATGCAGCGGTACTGGATGCCCTTCGGCCACGGGTCGAGGCAGTGCATCGGCAAGAACGTGGCCATGATGGAGGTGAGTGATTCCGCGGCCCGTCTCGAATTCCCTCCCGGGCTTGCTTTCCTTATCAAACGACGCTGACTTCTGCCGCTTTAGTTGATCAAACTTGTCGGAACACTCTTGCTGTATTTCGACGTCGAGCTGGTGACCGACAACGTCGGTTTCGGTGGGCTCGGCGACAAGAAGCTGCCCGAAATCCCAGCCTCGAAAAGTTACTTCTTCGCCAGGATCAGGGATCCATTGATGGTGAGGATCCGTGAGAGAGGATCCCATTAGATTGGGGATGTTGGGACGATAGAGGAGGATGGGCACGACTACGAATGCGAAAATGAACATGACAAAAAAAGACACATGGATGTCGTCGTATATAGCTATCATGCATGAAGACGGGTGAGCTGAGAAAGGCTCTAGGTAAGGTAGTAAGTAGTCTCCCAAGGCTGAGAAAGTAGGGAGGTACAGGAGTTTTATCTATTCAGTTCTATACACTACACACAAACTGCCTCCACCGGACGGGCCTTGTCCTTCTGCCCCTCCGCTGACGTAGACCTCGCAGTCTCCGACCAGCCCGGCGATCAGTCCTCCAACCGCAGCCCTTGCATGGCGGGTGCTGTGGATGTCGCTGTCGGTGTTCATGGTATGGCGCCACGACCGCACACGGCCGCTGGGGTCCGCCTCGGCCTTTGCGAACACCTGGACGACCTTGCCTTGATCCTTCTTCACCTGGTTGAGCAGATCCAGCACGGCCGGGGCGTCAATGGCGTCGGCCATGTACCGCGACACGGCGCGCAGATGACCACCCTGCTGCTGCTGCTGTCCTCCACCCGCCGCCGGGTCTGTCGCCAGGATCAATACGTGGCAATCCTCCAGCTCGGCGCCACTGCTACAGCTCGCTTTAGCGCTCCAAGTCTGCTGCGAATCCAAGGCGTCCTCCAGTTGGATGTCTTGCGAAAGCTCGTCGAGTGCCAGGGCGATGCCGACGGCGCTCGCGTACCGTGATTTGGCCATCGACTCATACGTGTCGGTGGTGACGGGCACGCGGCCCTGCGCGCGGACGGCCTCGATCTTGCCCGACGTCAACAGCGGACACTTGATGAGGACCAGGTGGACGTGGCCCGCCGTGAGCGACGCGCGCTGCATCATCGCGCGCACCGTCGCCGCCACCTGGCGCGCGTGCTCGGCCGTCCCGACCTCGTGTGGCTCCAGCACGCGCGTGCGCCCGATCGAAGTCACCAGTCCCGTGCTAGTAGTCACGCCGCGGTGTGCTCGCACGAAGAAGGTGACGTGCGGGCTGAGTACGCCCTCGGTCCCGCCGGAGAAGATGGTCACGGCGTCCTCGGGAATCCGGGGCTCCCATACGGCGGAAGCGAGCGTTCGAGAAAAGTCGTTGACGCAGCCGTTCCCTACGAAGTAAGTGGCTCTGCGTCAGCCCTCTTCCCTTTCTGGTGAAGATAGAGTTCTTGTGCCCCTTTGTGTCTGAGGAGCAGAAAAACGGGGATGGGGCGAACATGCCTTCCGTCTTGCCGACCACGGCCAGGATCTGGGATGCATCGTATCCAGCTTCTTTCAACCTGTCCAGCGGCGTGGTATCGGCCGGGGACGACGTGGGGAACTTGAAAATCTCAACGGCCGCCATTCCCGCAGTAAGAGACCGTATGCAGACGCAAGGCGGAGTCCCGGAACGATATAGCAACTGTTCTTAAATTGTTTCTGCTAGTTATTCGAGATTTGCACCGAGGAGAAGTAAGAATGCCAATGGATGGGGAAGACAATCCAATTGGCGATGCAAATGTAGATGCAGATCTGTTACCTGTACAGTATGAAGCGAGTTGAATTGTCGTTTATTCGCTCAAACATACATACACCATCAAGTTACTCTCGAAAAAAGGTCTATATCCAAGTCAGGTATTGTCCACCGGGCATCTCCATTGGCGGGTATCGCCTTATCTAGATTCCTCTATGGCGCCGGCGGAAGGGCGGCGGCCATATTATTGCCGACGGGCATTCCTCCTTTTTGTTATTATGCTTTTTACTCTATGTTAACGTTAACTATTATTCATCGGTAGTACATAGTGGATCCAAAGAGGATGGAGTGTAGCACTTTATCCATTCCAGAAATTCTATCTTGCGGATATTAACATCTCTTGCTCCGTGCGTCACCCAACTTTCTCCTTTATCAATTGTGAGTAAGGCAATGTAATTTTTAATTTCTTCTTTTCTCTTCCAACACTCCCACGTTCATGTCCTGTGCCACCGCCAAGAGAAGGTCAAAGTACTTTGATCAGTTTGATTGTTGATCGGAGGGCGAGTTAGGGAACAAATACCCTTCTTACATCCCAAGACTTGATCATGTGTTTTCAATCGCAGTGTGAGTCAATGTAAGCCCTGGACCCTCTTACGAGACGGACTGCATTCGGAGCTGCAAAGATACCCAGCTGTGGAATATTCGACGCTCTTCACCTCTTAGCATCAAAATCTACCCACACTTTCTTGACTGCGGGTCGCGAAGTAATTTTGCGATACCACTCATCCACCAACGGGTACTTGCTCCGGTCGAACTCGTCATTACCAAAGACCTTGAGGATCGTGTGCTGCCAAGGAATAAAGGCAATATCGACATATGACAGCTTGTTGCCGACGAGCCATGGTCCATCACCATCACCACTGGTGTCCTTTCGCTTCTGTTGACCCAAGTGATCTTCCAAGACCGCCGTCACTCTCGCAATCTCTTTCAGGTACCGATCAAGGGCACTCGGCACCGATTCCTGGTGGAACAGCTTGAACCAGCCCGCCTGGCCGTAATAAGGACCCTGCCCCGAAGTCTGGAAGTATAGCCACTGCTTTGCGAGCCAGAACTCGATCGTCCCGGCATCGAAGCTCAATTGATGCTCCTGATCGTAGGTGTCGATGAGGTATTCCACGATGGCACCAGACTCCCAAAGCGTGACTCCGGTATTGGCGTCATGAATCGACGGGAGACGTCCATTGGGGTTGATGGCGAGATACTCGGGTTTCTTGACATCGGAGAACGGGACCGGAATCACTTCATAGGGAAGTTGCAGTTCCTCGAGAATGATAGCCACTTTGGCAGGGTTGGGACTTCGAGGTTCACCCCATAGTTTGATTGGTTTCAGGTTTGATGGCATTCTAAGGCTTGTTTTGGATACCGGAGGAGCAAAGGTACGTGTTTGCGACTGGGTGAATGGATGAACTCACGCTTGTTAAGGAAGAACAGCCGGTTGCCGTGCAGGCATGTATTTGTGGAAGTCACATCTCTCATATACGTTGACGATGTCAATCGCATGTTTGGTCATCTGTCAGCAGTCATTAATTGCACCACAGTTCTCTTAGCATTTGTAAGAGATGAGAAAGGCAAGAGCTGTCTGTCGGAAAGATTCTCCAATGAGGGACTAGATCAGATATTGAGAGCATGGGATTTCCTCCAAGGATTGCTAAGACTCACCGACACAACACAAGCTGCCACAGGAGCAATCTAGACTTGCCACTCTGCCAGTCTCTTGCCAGTGGTGCGAGGACGTTGGGAAGGTGGTCTAGGCCCAAGGAGGAAACCTGTCATGGTTCAGTGGGGAATCTGTACTGAACTAGGCTTTTTCGGGAGAAACTTTTCGAGCACGACAAACCACCACATCTACGAGCTACTTCCTTTGCCCTCCTCCCTTACCGACGTCAACTCTCTCATCCAACAATCTTTACATGACCTGAGACTGGAACGAGCACAACCAATGTCATTCTCCAGCAGAGCATGTCAAACATGCAAAATCCGACGGGTCAAGGTAGGCACGCCGTCGCTGCATTGTTGTTCCTCGCAACCGAGATCATCGACTGACCCTCGGCTCCAGTGTGACGAGACCAAGCCCACGTGCCTCAGATGCATGAAGAGCGGCCAAATATGCCTCATAACCAGCGTGGTGGAGCAACCAGGCTTCGTGATCAACGTCGAGAACGCTTACGCAAGCGGCAGGGTCAAGCGGCCGAGAGGGCCACGGTCAAGTTTGACCTCGCTACGCCCACAATTCGACCTCGAAGCACGTGCCCTCGCATCCTTTTGGCAGGACCATGTTACTGCACTAGACGACGTTCCAGATGTGGCCAAGAGCCTGTGCGCGTGCATCAGTGCATGGAAGACCTCCGGGACAGAGTCACCCATGGTGGACCTCGCCTTGTCGTCCACAGCGCTGGCTGTCTTTTCGCAAGTCAAACAGCACCCGGGAGCCGGCGTAGAAGCATCGCGTAGATACTCCCGCCTTCTGCGGATGGTCAAGGAACGCATCGCAGCCTTCGATTCGTCGACATGTGTCCCCTCTATCGAGGTCATTGACGCCTGCTTGCTGACCATGTTCCTCATGGGCCGCTACGAGGCTGCAATGCCCATAACCAGCTCAACTGCGCTGCGGCAGAGATCCTTGCACCACGAGGGAGCTCTTGCAACATTGAAGATCTGGACCCAGAGTCAGGATTCAGTGCTTGAAGCAACGCCCATCATCAGGTACGGACGTAGAGGATTGATCAGATCATTAATGCGTTGGAACCTCCATCTACCGCAATGGATTCTCGACGGTGAGCGATTTGGCGAACGTGGTCTCGAGCTGGCATTCGACCGCGTCTTCGTTGCCGCTGTCAATCTGCATCATGCTTCTGGACAACTCTCACTGCAGGACGATGGATTGTCTGCCGTGGTGCTCGATCTGGTGAACGAGGCGCGCGAGCTTGACGATTCAATACGAGATTGGACAAATTCTTTGCCCCTTGCTTGGACCTACCAGAGACACACTCTCGCCAACCCAGGTCCCTGGCCCAAAAGACATTTCTACAGCCCAACAGTCTACAGTTTCCAGACAGTTGGATACGCCAGTGTCTGGAGCCAATACTTTGCGACGAGAATGCTGATCAACAGCACGCGCCTGAAACTACTGGAGATATGCCGACGCCATTCCAGTCTTGGCCCCCAATTTGGACAATCAGAATGGCTTGAATCATCTATTCTGCTGAAGAGCATGGCGGACCGTCTGGCGTTCACCATTCCCTTTGCGCTGGGAAGGATCAAAGTGCCAGAAGAGTCCACAACGGAGAGCAGCCTCGTCATATTAGAGCCAGACAGTGATCCAAAGTCGTGTTTTCCGGCCCTGACGGTGTGGCAATTGACGCTCGCTTCGAGCCTGGAGCGGATCGATCAAAAGCAGCAACAATGGTTCCGTTCTGAAACTGCCCAGCTTGGAAGCAGAATAGCGGATCGAATCCTCGAATCGGCAGAGACTGACGAATGGCCTGTGCTCTGATCAAAGAGAGCTGGCAATCTTCCAGGTAAGTCCGGCTGAATTACACGCTCAATCTGCGCAATTGAGGTATACTCGGCGGACAATGCGGTGCTATCGCCATCACAGACACTTATACTCTCCTTAACAACAGTATGTGCTAAGAGACATTCAGGGAATGGATTTATTTATCCCGATAGATAATTAGGAGCAGCCTCAGCCGGCTCCAAACGGCAGGTTGAAAATTCTGATTGCATTCCGATAGCCAGTGGTCCTCCACGTCTCGTCAGAGACGGGAACAGTCTCAAACCAGGCTCTCGTCTCGACGACACTCTCGTACGGGTAGTCGACGGAGAAAGTCACATTTTGAATCTTTGTTTCCGAGAGCAGATTCATCGGCGCCGAAGGCTGGAGGCATGCCGCTGGTATCGCAGATGGTGTTATTCTGCAAATAATGAAGAAAGGATTTTGCCTTTGGTGCCTGAGCCGCTGTGTTACCGTGGTCAGCCAGAGAGCCAAAAATGCACGACAAAACACATGTCTCATACCTTATGTGTCCATCCGGAAAGTCGTGTCGGTTCTGGGCAGGATCCAGGAGGGCCTTCGCCGCAGCGGCCCAGGCAAATCTTCAGCTCGGGGAAGTGGTCGAAGACACCCCAGTACATTATCCTTAGAATATGCTTCACGGTCGCTCTCGCGGACCCGTACGGCGCGCCGTGGACGATGGGTATATGCTCAAGCACTCTGAGGTTCGCTGGGCGCGGGACACGAGGGTGGACGAAATCCGGTGTCCCTAATAGCCTTTCGGCGGTTTTCCAAAGAATGTCGAACTGTGATTTCCCCCGACTAGATCGCCGCAGCTAGGCTGAAAGCAACTTTCAGCCAGATAGTTGGCATCCAGTACTCTCTCCTTGCTTTTGCGCCGCTGTTCTACTTTTACGGACGACGGCTCCGACCAGGGAGGACATGAATGGTGCTACTTTACGCCAACAATGCCTATACAAAGCAACAGATATAAATGCAGGAAAGTTTTATTCTATGACTTTGGCATTTTAGTATAGCATTTTGTCTCCATTTCTGATGCCTTGACGGTGTCATCCAAAGAAGAACCCATTCAGGTCAAGCCCCAGTAGACGGGATTAGTACCGAGTGTTCAGGCAGCAACTGAAACAGTCTCCTCAACCTGATATTTGGGAAGTTTGTCGCCAGCAGCCCATTTGTACTTGGAGCCCGGGTGATCATCGGGCAGCCTTCTCGTCCCCAGGAAGACCTCTCTCGCTGTGGCACCTTCCTTGTCCACCGCAGATCTAAAGAGCCCGCGGCGCTGTAGCTCCGGCAACAAGTATTCGATGATATCCTCAAAGGTCCCGGGATTGGCGATATGAGCGAGATTGAATCCGTCCACCCCGGAGACCTCCACCCAGCGCTCCAGTTCGTCGGCCACCGTGGTCGGGCTTCCGATGACCTTTGCCCCGAGTCCGCCTACACTGAGGTATTCCACGATCCGTCTCTTCGTCCAGGGTAAGCTATCGGTGCCGGGGACAGTAGCCGACCACCGCCGCACAATTGAGCGGACCCGTGGAGAGTCAGACAAGTTGAAGTCCTCGTCGTCCGAGTAGCCTGAGAGGTCGACTCCGGTCCATCCTCCAAACAGAGCCAGAGCGCCTTCATGGTCGGCGTACTTCAAGTAGTCTTCCCTCTTCTTGTACGCTTCCTCGTCGGTAGGTGCCACTATCACGTTGATACCCACAATGACCTTGATGTGGTTCGGGTCACGTCCCTCGCTTTGAGCGACTTTGCGAATATTTTCGACGGTAAGCCGGGTCACTTCTGGCGTCTGACCACCGACGAAGATTGCTTCGCCGTGCTTGCCTCCAAATCCATTCCCCGCCTCGGATACACCTGCCTGGAACAAGAAGGGCGTGCGCTGTGGCGACGGTTCGCAGAAATGCGGCCCTGGCACCTCGAAGTATTTGCCCTTGTGGTTAATTTGCCGGACGGCGTCCGCAGCGATGTAGACACCGGCGTCTTTGTCCGCGAGGACGGCATCGTCGCGGAAACTGCCCTCCCACAGTTTATATACCACCTCCATGTATTCATGGGCGATGGCGTAGCGTTCATCGTGGGGGATCTGTTCCTTCAAGCCGTGGTTCCGCGCGGCGCTGTCCAGATACGAAGTGACGATATTCCACGCCAGACGGCCTTCGCTGAGATGGTCGACGGTAGACAGCCTTCTGGCCAGGGCGTAGGGCTTCTCGTAGGTCAGGCTGGCCGTCACCCCGAAGATCAAGTTCTTCGTAACGGCCGCCATAGCCGGGACCAAATACAGGGGGTCGTTCACGGGGAATTGCGCGCCCGACGACAGTGCGGGCACCACGTTCGCCGGACCTTTGTAGACGTCGTAGGGCCCCAGTGTGTCGGCGATGAACATGGCGTGGAAGTTGGCCCGGTCGAGCAGCTGGGCCAGATCCGTCCAGAAGGACAGCTTCTTGTACTGGTCCGTCTTGTTGCGAGGGTGGCGCCACAGCCCAGGCGCGAGATGGCCCGGCGTGTTCATGACGAAGGCATTGAGAATCATCTCTTTCTTCTTCTTTTGTCCCGAGGAATCGCCAGTGGGAGCGGCGCCATTCGTGGTCACAGACTCTGGTATTTCTGCCATCGTTTGTGAGAAGGCTGCTCGAATTCCACGTCTCAAAATCGTGTGAATTGGTTTGCTAGAAGGTGACTTGGCACAGTGAGGTTAAGTCTCGATATATTATTTTCCCTCCCACCTCGTCCGGTCTGAATGCCATTCGTAGGGGTTTCGGAGACTGTTGACAGTCGCAATACTCGGTTCATGGCACGCCATCGTCGCCGATCCACTTCTCTGGACACGACAGTGTGAATGGCTCTTGATTGGCTGTTGCGTCTTACGACTGAACCTGAACTGAGCAATATGTGGAATTGAGGACGCGCTCTTTTGGACGTAGCCTATGCCCTCTCCGTTTGGAAGTCTTTTTGTCCGCTTATGCATGAATCGTTCCACCTTGACAAAAATCTCACGTGCGCAGACTGCTCTCCTCTAATAAAAGGGATTTTACCCTCTGAATACATATCATGACTCTACTATCGTTATCTCGTGCCAACGATGGTGAAGGACTCTTTCTATCAACGGCTAATTACATACTTTCTTCCTCTCGCTCAGTCTCTGCCAAAATCTAGAGGGGATAGATGAAGTATTTGTTCTCCAGGTCCGTCAAATCCAGCAAAGAAATGTCCACCTCCACCTCTGTTCTATTGCCGTCAGCGTCAATCTGCTCGATCACTCCAGTCCTCGTCTTGCCGGCAGCCTCTTGCTCTGCGATCCACGTGCGACGCTCTTTGTTCCGACGGGAGAGAATCCAGTTGATCACCAGGAGGATAGCCGGGGTACCGACCCAGCTGATTACGATCTGGACGATCCACGCAGAATAATACCGAGGGGCATCTCGTGGAACCCAGATCTGTGGAGAGATCAAGTTTGCAATGCCGTAGCCAGCCATGAAGAAAACGTTGCGGGCTAGTTTCTTCGTGTATCCGGCGGCCGTCGACGTGGTCCACCCCAGAGCCATGATGTAGGTGATGCCGTAGGTATTGCCCGCGAGGATCAAACATGCCAGCAGAGAGATCGTCTTGCCCCATTGAATGGCCACCATGCCGATGCCGCCTGCAATGGCGGGAAGGCACCAGATAGTTCCCCAATAGGCCTTGCGCCATGGGAAATAGTGGAGCAGAATGGTGGCGACGATACAACAGGCGACGGCAAAGCCACCAGCCGCGGTGCTGACAAGTGTAGATCCGAGGTCGGAGACACCTATGGCGACGAAGAGGAGATTCTGCTGGTATGCAATGTTATTGGAGATCATGAGTGTGAAGGCCTGGAGCCCGAAGAGCCACGAGATGGGATCTCGAATGGCTTCACGCAGCTGGCTCTTTTTGACTTTCTTGTATTCGATAGAGCTCGTAGTCGTATCGTGGATTTCTTTGACCAGGTACAGTCTCTCTTGGAGATTTAAAAACCTTGCCTCGCCTGGGTTGTTCGGATAGATGTAGAAGACCAGGATCGAAAGAAAGAAAGTTGAACCTCCGGTGACGATCATGAAGAGCTTCCAGGGTAACACCGAGCTGTGGCTGAACAAGAGACCATACGCGATGAAACCTGCGGGGATGGGCGCGCCCATACAGGAGATCCAGAACAGCGGTTGGAGGAGGCCCTGGACGTGTGGGACGAAAAACATGCCCATAGTGATTTCAATTGCCGGGACAACAACCGACTCGACAAAGCCCAAGAAGAATCTCAGGGCGACCAAGGCCCCGTAGCTTCCTGCCGTGCAGTGGAGGAAGATGATGACCGACCAGAGGAAGATAGTCACGCCCATGAAGCGGCCAAGAGGAACTCGCTGGATGAGGTAATGGCCTGGCACTTGGCCGATGATATATCCTTGAAACAAGAATTAGCTGCGTTTGCTACCTCGAAGCTGTGGGTTCTGCCTGTACCAGCGTAGAAGAGCGTGTTGAGGTTGTTATATTGTCCATTGCCAATGCCAGTCTCCTCGAACAAACCCAGGATGGAAGCATACGCCAGGGTCGCCTTATCGATCTGCCATAATATGTTAGTGTTTCGTCGTCTTGGGAATATCTTTCCGCGCCAACATACGAAAAGCATCAAGTTGATGACCAACAAGAGTGGCACAAGGCCGTAGTACAGCTTTCGCCTGAGTCTCCGTACGCCCTCCTGATCTAGGGTGAGGCCAGCTGAATCTCCATATTCTTTCACTAGGCCGAAAGTCACATCTGCATCCTTCTCTGAGATATGTGGTTCGGGCTTCTGGGTCACACCGGGCAGTACGAGCTTCTCGGCCATTGTGATCCAAGCCGTGAGAAAAATACCAGTATCAAGAAGGAGGTCTAATGGTAGACAGGTTTTGAAGACCGATACTCAGACCAGGTCAAGGACTGCTGTGCCTTATGAGTTTTTTTGTCCTATAGTCGTTCGTGATATTGCCCATTATTCGCGTCATTCCTCGTCTTGCATGCGAAGACGGCCTGGCTCAAGAAATCTAGTCCTGATATGGCTCTGCTGGGGCTGCCAAGGGGACCGTACGATGCATTTGGGAGATAGCCGTTGAGCCACTAAATGGGTAGCTTGAGGAACTTGCCAGGGCTTGCTGGGCCCGCCCTGGCGCCTGCACGATGGCACGAGATAAAGCTTGAGATGCTTGATCATTTTAGGGCAATGGGCACCTCTGCCTAGTGGCATGATCGTCCTTCGGTGGGCATTTGGATCGCCACTCACTCCTTTCCTGCTTGTAGTTAGTGCTTCGTATTGTCGAATCTGAGAGCATGTGGCGGAAAACTCTCCGTTCTGCCGTGTTATCATGAGATTCTCTCATACGGATCATCTCGGACTTGTTCCAGCAGGTGCGAACAGGTTGTAGTTCTCTGAAAAGATCGCGTCGCATATTGGCCCTCTTTAAGGTCTTCCTTCCACCCGCTGTACGATTCGATATATATTATAGAGCTCATGTGAACGAAGTAGCCTGATGCTGTCATCTCCCACGATCCCATTAGTCCCAGAGTAACCCTACTATCTGCCGCCATCTCGGTGTTTTGGTTTCCGGCCCTATATCTTCGGCAGCTCGTTCAAGAGCCTCGTCAAGAGGGATCTCGGAGAGTTTCACAATCTTCGTCCGCTTGTATATCTTCCATACCACATATGCAGTGATCACGAGAGGTATGTCCCTTTGACAGAGATGTCAGTAGACTTACTGAAAGAGGGTCGGAAATACTGCACTTACAAATATGACGAGATGAAACCACTGGTGGACCAATTCCCTTTGGTGAAGACGGGAAACCCAGCAGTGAAAAGAATCACAACGCACAAGAGCAGTGCCGCAGGAGTTGAAAACTCTGTAATGAAAGTTTCATTAGCATAAAGCACGCAGACCGGGAGTATATCAAGACATACCCGTCCATCTTGAATGCCAAGGGAGCATTTTCAAGTCTAATCCTTGCGCCTTCATAGCCTGTAGCAGCCGCAAATGGTTCAGCAGCACCGTTATCCACGATATCAGCACACCGCACGCCGTCAAGTCCACAAGCCACCAGAACACCGTCAGCGCACCGTCCGAGAGGCTCATGAAAGCCAGGAACATGAAGGCTGTGAAAAACAGCACGCACACGTAGGGAACACCCCATGGTGTAGTGCGCAGGAAGATTTTAGGCGCCTGGTTTTTCAGTGCAAGGCCGTACAGGACACGGGTACCGGCAAGCAATGCTTGATTTGAGCTGGACCACGCCGAGGTGATCACGATGGCGTTCACGAGTGATGCAACGCCCCTGAGGCCTGCTGCGCTGGCTGCGATCACGAACGGGCTCTGCGCAGCGGTGCCGGACTCATCATCAAGTCGGGGATCGTCGCTGGGCACAAGCATGCCCACGATGAGCACAGCCAGGATATAGAACGTTGAAACACGAATGAAGACCCGCTTACACGCCTTGGGAATGGCCACTCGTGGATGTCGCGTCTCGGCTGCCGCCATAGCAATGCTTTCCGTTCCGGCAAAGCTGAATACAGCGTTGCTCATGACGGCCCAATAGCCCAAGAAGTTGCCCCAAGAACCGGTGGCTATGTACTCGACGAACGGGCCAGGATTCTTCCAGTATCTGAAGCCGGTACGAGGGGTACCCGAAACTCCGCCCAGGTCGATGATTAGGCCGAGCAGGATCAGGAAGATGATGAACAGGATCTTCAGTAGAGCGAACCAGAACTCGACCTCGCCATAAATACCGATGAAACACATGCCGACAATGACGGTCAGAGCAATGAATGTCACGATCCAAACTGAAGGATTGACATCTGTCCAATACTGGAAGAGAACGCAGAGCGCTGTGATTTCGGCCGGGATAGAGAGACAATTGCCGTACACAATGTTATAGCTGTTGGCTGCATGTTAGGACGCGACAGTGCTCAGAATGGAGGGAATAATGTACCCGATTGCAAAGCCAAAAGCAGGATCGATCAAGAGTTCGGCATGCCTGACGAACGAACCAGTGACAGGCAAAAGAGCCGTCACCTCGCCCAGGGCAAACTGTACTGCGCAAACCACTAGGCCGATAGTCGCATAGCCAAGCAGTGCCCCTAGAGGACCAGCGGTCTGGATTGAGCCCCCGAGACCGAGAAAGAGGCCCGTTCCCTTGGTACATCAATCAGCCTTGCAAAGAACATATGAAAAGGAATTGTGGGAAAACATACAATCGCTCCAGCGATAGCGATGAGTGACACATGCCGCTGATGAAGACCCCGTCTAAGCTCACGATCCTCTGTGGCCGTCACAAAGTCGCTTTCATCGAGGTTCGAAGACCTTTCCCCAACGTATGGCGGGGAGAGAGCAGCTGGCTCTACATTTGTTTGCACCTGCTTCTGTGTTGTATCCGCCATGGATAGATTCAAGCACGGGTTGATAATTGACACTTGCTGCAGGAAGTGCTGCGTCGTGCGTTAAAATACCAGCTGAGGCAGAAGGTTGAGGTATCAAAATTCCAGTACGACAGCAAAATTTCGCCGCCAGATTGCGTGCTCGATTGGACTGGGGTAAGCACGAGGTGTCGCCAGAATCCCACCCCACGACGACAGACTTTAGTCTATTGTAGCGTAAGTGTTGCAGATTGACGGTGCTCTGTGGCAGACATCTGGTTGATTGGGACGAGGGAGAACATTATTAGTACAAGCGCACGCCAGGCGATGCGTATCTCGTTCAGTGAGAAGGTGATCGAAGATAGATCGATTGTAAAGTCCTCAATGGTGGCTGACGATTCATGGAGCAGATAGGGAACAATGCTTAACCAACATAAGCATAGCCTTAAGGAGATGCGGGAGTTTCGGCTCCAGCTTCCTAGCCAGGAAGGTCACTGAAGGTTGACACCTGCGGGTATATCAAGTCCATTCCCTCGCTGCCCGTTAAAGATTGTACGACGAATTCTTCTCCTACACCGGGAACCAAGCGATGCTTTCTGATGAATTACAACTACCTCATCACTGGCACTCCAGATCAAGGACGCGTTCCATGAGAGGCTCAATATGCATAGAGAAATTCCAATAGGCTGATGTTTACAGTTGTGATGAAAATGTGTTCCTGAAAGACCAACCTGCACTGCACCGCACGAACCGTTGCCTAAGAGTCATCGGAGTTACCTTTAATCCACCTCATCAGTATTGAAGCCGAAGGCAAAAGGTATGCCGTCAGAAACCTCAGTTTGCTTCCTGTACTTTGTTAACCTTGCTCAATTTTTCTGAACCCAGCAATCTCGACATGAGCCATCTGACACTCCGTGCCTGAGGCTGCAGCAAGGGAAGGCCCCAGGCTCTTCGGTAGTTTTTCCGCATTGTTGTTAAGTTTGCAAAACTGCGTGGTGGGTATTGTAGGAGCACGAATTAGTCCGTCGAAAACGTTTGAGTATATCCATGTAGAAGGCCGACCGGCTCTTCCCCATCTGGTCGGTAAGAGGCAGCATTGCGCTATTCACTAACCTTTGCAAGCTTCAAGGTAAGACGGAAGGAGGGTAAGTGCCACAAGAGGTATGAAACAACATGGTGACCATATCTCGGGCGGATTTTTGACTTTTGATACCGCGTGTTGTATAGGCAAATACAGACCACACCCTCCACAATTTCAGTCGTCGTGGCTGTTAAGTACGTTCCAAAGAATATGAGTTGCAACCATCGGCAGCCAGGAACAATTCACGCTGCATTGGAATTGCTCTTATCGTCCGCCAGTCTTCGCTACTCCCTGCAAGATATGGAACCCAGCATTTGGAAATTGGTGGCAGACTCAAATAGTACCCGGATTCGACAGTCGGTCTGGGGTGTAAGATTTCTGCCACAGGTTCGCAGAAGCACAACACAGAATCGATCCCGGCCCGGCTCAGAGCATTTGGTAGTAATCCAGGATATAAGCTTCCTATGTAATCTGTGAGTAGTCTCGGAACATTCCTCTTCGACAATTCCACCTCCTTGACATCGATAAAGGTGGCGTTGATTTAGGAAGACTTTCAGGTGTTCGGGCAATCGGGGCAGCTTGACATGACGTTAGACATCCAAGGTCCCCCCAGCCAGTCATTGACCCGCCTATTGACTTCACCAGGGCTGAAGGATCAGAGATATCGTCGACAAGAGGAAAAGGGGAAGGGCGCTGAAATTTATCTCGGCTCGGCTTAAGGACTTGAGTCTTTAAAGCGGCACCGGGCATTGTCCTTGACTCGGCACGTGAGCAGGTGAGTGCCAAGCGGAGTGCATTCTCACCTTAATGCGACTTCGACCATGTCGGCACTGGGCATCGCCAGCAACCCCCATACTCACGATTCCATCTATTCTGACCCTGTATACTCTATTTCCTTAAGCCCTGGGTTTCATTGAACGGCCGAGTCGCAGAGATTGAGCCCTTATACTCCCGGAACCCCTCCGAAGCATTTCCCGACCGACCTCTGCCCCTCATGATGCGCGTTTGCCCAACTGCGTCGCATCACGGCCGAGGAGCTTTTGAGAAGGTTTCATCTCCTTCGGAGTAACGATCTCAGTGCGCGGGAGACCGTGAAACCTCGATCGCGTCCGGAGGAGTGCCATCATGGCTGCGGTCATGGCGAAGCCTGCGGCTACGGCGACCAAGATGAAGAAACCTCCTCCGCCTCTTGTCCAGACAAATTTAAACGGTGTCAAGCCCACTGCGCCGTCTTCTTCACCTTCCAGTGCGCCCAAGACTCTTCCTGGACAGAACCAGACCCCCACGTCTACCACGGGTAACGGCGCTGTGACAAATGGCGCCGCCCGACCGAATCGACGAGTGCAGCGCCCGACAACAAGAAATAACACGGCTGATGGTGGATCTCTGGATAAGCGGGCTACTAAGAAATATCCTGAGCCTCATGGTATGCTGCCGCAGGTCCGAATTGTCGAGGCAGCGACACTGACAAACCGCGCTCTCTAGTCCCCAAAGAATCCCATATTCTCCGCAAGTTCAAAGGTTGCCCGCCTTCTCTCATCGTACATCTTCATCCCACCCATTTCCGGTTCGACCAGCAAGATGGTAGCTTCAGTTACCACTCCGAGATGCGTGTCTTTATTGAACATCTGGCCAGAGGCACGATTCCGCATGACATGGTTGAAGAGTTTCGGAAGTCCGAGGTAAAATACTACGATGGGTGGCTCATTGTTCGGGTGGTCGACCACAAGTCAGTCGCAAAGGCTGCTGCCGCTTCTGGGGCCGGTGCAGACGACGAAAAACCATTCTCAATCCACAACTATAATCAGTACATAACTCCATCTCCCTACGCGCCATACCCTACGAAGGAACAGTCGGTTGCAAAGTCTCCTCCCCTAAAACACGAACAGACCTCGAGCGACAGCAGGGCTCATCCCAGTTCCGACGACACCGTCGATATCGCCCCAAAATCATCAAAGCCGCAACCGAAGGTCTATCATGTCGCCCTGCGGCCTACCATTCTCTCCCGGCACATGGATCTCGTTATTGATGCGATGACGCCAGATCCGAAATCGCTGAATCGGAAGCAATCACAAGCCAACGTCAATAGCCGTGCACCGGGATCTGGTGCTCCACAGACCCCGATATCAGGCATTCCACCGACTCCTTCGGCTGAGAAGGGCCCACCCTTCAAGAAGATCAAGCTGAAGATTGATCCTAAGGATATGCTCGAATACGAAGGCAGAGTGGTAAACGCCACGGCACCTCCTTTGTATCTAGAGCCCGTTGAGAGTCTGGAGGAAGCGGAAACCCTTATTAGCCTGCTGAAGGATCCACTTCACGACCAACGACCACCGTCACCCAAGAGCCGGAAAAGGACAGTTGCTGAACTTGCGGCAGATGACGCGCACGCCAAGGAACAGGAACGATTTATGCTCATTATGGATGAGCGCACTACGGGTACCAATGGCGCAGCAAATGCTGCGGGTGTGGACGGCCAAGCGGGTGCGGCTCTTTTCCAGCCCCGTTTCGAGAAGTTCAATGCCCTTGATAGTATCAAGCGAGAAATTGCCGAGCGGAAGCAGCGTGAGAAGGATCGGCAGCTTCAAGAAGACGAAAATAGAAGGGGCCAGCAAGAACGGATGCAGGAAGAGGAGAAGAAGCGACTCCTGCTACAACGTGCTCACGAAAGCCGGATTGTGCGAGCTCGTCACCAAGAAATGGTGGCCTCAATGGCAGCCCAGCAGGCCGCGCAGGCGGCGCAAGCCCAGCAACAGCAGCAGCAACAAATCCAGCAACAACTTCAACAGCAGCAGCAGGCGGCCGCTCAAGCTGCCCAAAGGCCACCCTCTCAACAACAAGTTAACGGCATACCTCCGAACATGCAGAGCCAAATCATGGCTGGTCAACAGCGGGGATCGCCTATCATCCGTCAGGGCACCCCACATGCAGCGTCCTCGCCTGTTGTTACGAGCGCGGCTCAGGGTGGCGTTTCCATGGCGATATCTGGTTCGCAACAGGGGCACGGATCTCCGCCCCGACCAAGTTCAGCCGTCCAGCATGGCCACCCCAGCGCACCTATGACCCGGGCTCCGAGTACCCAAGGTCCAAGTCGAAATGGTACTCCACAGATACCTCACGGAACCCCTGCTCAAAGGAATGCCACTCCTATCATGCGGCAGAATACCCCTGCGCAGCCGGTTCCACACGGTAGCCCTCATGGAGCTACCTCTCAAATGGTAGCTGCTGGGATGATGTCGGGACTACAGGCACAGATGCCGAATGGCGTGCCCAGACAGCTGAATCCTCAGCAACTAGCTGAGATGCAACGACGCCACGCATTGCATCAACAGGCTGCCGCACATGCTCAGCAAGCAGCGATGCAGCAGCAATTGGCCAACGGAACTCCGCAAATGTCCCCTGCTCAAGTGGCCCACATACAGGCACAACAGCATGCACAGGTGGATCGGCAAGCTGCAATGGCCCGCCAAGCCGCTCAACAGCAGCAGCAGCAACAACAACAACAGGCACAACAGCAGGCACAACAGCAGGCACAACAGCAGGCGATGCAACAGCAGCAGCAGCAGCAACAGCAACAGCAGCAAGGAACTCCACAAAGCGCACACATGTCCCCCAATCCTGCCCAAAGTCAAAAGGCCTACAATCAATCTGTTGCCGAGCACGTCAAGGCTCAAATACAGAGCCTGCAGCAAGCGCAAAATCACGGGTCTCCGGCGCCGACTCATATGACGCCTCAGCAGCAAGCCGCCCAGCTAGCTCATGTCCAACAACAGCAACGAATGATGCAAGCGGCCCAAGCCCAGGCGCAGGGACAGATGATGGGACAAGGTGTCCCCGTTCCGCAACAACGAGCCCAAGTGGACCCTCAACTCAAGCAAATATTCCAGCAGACGCTGCAGAGCTATACACAACGCTTCGCCCAGCAAGCTGCTCAGAAGTATGGCGGGAACGTGCAAATGTTACAACCGCAGGAAATGCAGCATGTGCAAATGCAAGCCCAGAGGTTCGCACAGGCTGCCATCCAGAAGCGTCAAGCGGCCATGAGTCAAATGGCGCAGATGCAACAAGCTCAGGTGCGACAACAAATGGCACAACAGGGCGGTGGAATGCAGAACGGTATGATGAATATGCAAAATGTGCAGGGAGTCAACCCGAGCATGGCAGCGATGTTGCAACAGCAGCAGGCGCAACATATGCAGCAGATGCAGATGCAGCATGCACAGCAGATGATGGCGGCACAGCAACAACATCAACAGCAACAGCAGCAGCAGCAGCAAAACATGCAGTTCCAGCAGAGATAGCCGGTGCGGCACCTTGGTCGAGGTTCAGGGTTGGAAGGAAGGATGCGCCGTGGTGCTTTTCACCGAAACATTGTTTTTATTGCTTTACACACCAGCTTCTGCTTAGGTTCTCACGACTGGGTGGACGTTCTGGATTTACACTGACCCGGTTGGCGGAGTCTGGGACCGTGACAGGCGATGCTTGATTCTCGGATCTTCTTTAGTCCCACGGCAACTTGGGTTCGACAAGGATTGGACGAGACGGGGGAACTCCGCGATATACTATCCACCGAAAATGGGGGAATTGGTGTTGGAGCACCGTGTTCCGTTTGCTGCTTGCCCCGTGCGGGCTTTGAGGCGATCTACGATGTCCATGAAAAGAATGACTGCATTCTGGCGGAGTGAGGTGATGAACAGGGGTTGAGTTTACGCGCAGATGGGTCTTGATAGCATAATGCGATGCGATGTGGTTGGGTTGTCGGGAGGCGATACTGATACCCAGATAGTCTTCCAGGTCAATGGTTTATTTGCCTGGCTGTGTATATTGCTAAACTAGTCTTTTGACATATTGGGACCCTTATCTGGATCTATTCACCAGCGTTTCGACTTGCTACTCGTTTGGAGATTGCTATTGCGTCGTCATCTCGTCGTGTATGTATACAAGATATTACACCTCGAGCAACCTGTTTTGGTTGCTGCTCGTCAGACGAAAACTCTCACGCAATTCGTTTCTTCGAGCTATTCCCAGCTTCGAAGGTGGTCTAACCGCAAAGATTGCTAGGTTGTTCTCTGGCTTCGTTACGCTACCTTCCTCTCATCTCTCACAACCACTGCCTGGAAGAGACCTGAGGGTCTGTCCTGTATTGTCACGGAGAATGGTGTTTGGTAGTTCTCCATCGGCTTTCGCAGTACATACGATACAGCGAAATTGTCATTCGCTCAATATGTTCCAGTTTTGTGTCCTGGGAGGAAAACCTCGCTGGTGTCGTGTCGGCAGCCCCACGATCTCAAAGCCCAGACAGGAGAAGAGGTATGTCAAATGGTCTGGCATATAGTTCTGGATGTGAGGCCGCCAGGATCTTCAAAAAGATGTACCTCGACAGAGAGAACTGCGGACTGGCATCTCTTGAACATACAATACAAGACGAACGAGGATGACGCCAACTAAATATTTATGTACCTGTCAGACGCCGCTTTTTATTTTCCTTTCTGGTCATCTGATGGTAATCTCTTGCTCCGCAATAATCCAAACACGGTTCTCTACCTCTGGCCGAGAACAGGCATTGCGCATATCGATATCGATATCCGGTGCCCTGGCCAGATTTGCGCAAGCATATGGACCTCGACGGGGCAGCATCCACACGAGGAACGCCACCGATGAGGAGTAATAGTCCACCCACCCACCAGTTCCAATCCCACCGCGAGCTATGTGAGTGTTCCCTTTTTTGATCTGTTCCGATCCGTCGAATAGAGCAGCCCTGGCATTAAAGACGCAGTATCTACATGGCCCAGGGCAGCTATGTAGCTCGGCCCCTTATCTATTCTGCCCGCCCGGCCCTTGCGTAACTGACTGACCCCGAATGTCCCCAACCCAAACAGGACAACACCCAGCAGCCCCCCTGCTGCACCCACTTTCATCGTCGGGTATCCCACGACGAAAAGCGAGAAGGCTCAGTCTCGTAGCGCGGTCCGAGCTAATGCATCGAGGCTCCGTTGGCGAAAGAGCGCCATCGCGTCCGCTCCTGTGCGAAGCCCTGGCCACCCTACACCACGAAGGATACCCCCGCCAACCACAGGCCAGCTTGAGTTGCCGCATCAGGTAGGCCACGATAGGACCCAGTCCCGGCTCACTAATCATGAGTCGGCGGCGGCACTGGTGCCCGTCCACCACTCACCGCTGCTGTGGGACGAGGAGCAGCAACAGGAACAGGGAGACGCTCGAATGCTTCTGAGCCACCCTTCTTCCACCTCTCCTAACATCCTAAGCCTGCCTCTCCCCGTGCCGGTGCCCCAGCTGGTCTCATTCTCCGACCACGAGACCCGGCTGCTCCTCAATCAGCTCTACGAGACCTTCAGCCAGGCCCTCCCGACTCTCTCGTCCGGCGAGAATGAGCTGGCGGCGACATGGGTGCGCACGATCATGTCCGACCCGGGCCTTCTGTATGCGTACATGTTCTCGCAGCTCATGCGGAACAAGCACAAGCACGACCTCGACCGCAAGGCCGAACGCCAGCTCCTGCACGCCTACGCCGAGACCATCACGTACGTCAACACGGCCCTGTCCGACCACGCGACGGCGTGCAGTGACAGCACGCTCCTCGCCGTCTTCACGCTGGCCTATCATTCCATGACGCTCGACTCGCGGCCGCAGCCAAGTCATAGGTCGCCACGGGCTCCGACGCAAGGGCCCTTGGCCTCGCTGCGCCTGTTGAATCTCTACGGCGGCCCTCTCGGGGCGGCTTCGATCCATCGAGACGGGCTGTTGAAGATGATCGAGCTCCGTGGCGGGATTGAAAAGTTCACATTGCCGGGACTGGGGGGACTTCTTTGCTAGTAAGTTTTGGGAGGAGAAGACCGGCCAGAGAGACATGCAGGAAGCAGACTCTGACCCATAACAACCCCTTCTTAGTGCCGACCTCATCTTCGCGAGCCGCACGATCCAGCGTCCCCGCTTGCCCTTCGCCCCCTGCCTAAGCGTGAACTTCGAGAGCGTCCTGACGGGCGTGTGGCGCGCCGACCACCCGCTCCATCGCCTGGGCCGCGGGTTTTCCGTACTAGATCACGTCGGCGCGCCGCTGCTGGACACGTTGGACCTGCAAGTCGCGCTGCACGGGCTGAGCCAGTACACGCTCGCGGTGGACGACTACCTGGCCGGCCGGCCCGAGGCACCCAGTCTCGCGGTGCTGGAAGAGCTGCGGTGCTGGGTGATGCACGGGATCCTGTCTCTCACCACTCCTCCGGACCTGCCGCATGCGCCCTGCCCAACGGGCCTGGCGGTGCTGCAGACGTGCCAGCTGGCGGCGCTCACGTACGGCATGCTGTGCGTGTTCCCGCTGCCCGCGGCCCCCTTCGCGCGGCTGGCCCGGCGCATCAGACAGTGCCTGGCGCGGGGCGACGTTGCGCGGGCGTGGGCCGCCGCGCCGCACCTCACGCTATGGATCACCTTCATCGGCGGCGTGGCATCTCTGGGCGCGAACAACGATGACGACGACGACGACACCCGCGCCTGGTTCGTGTGCGTCATCGACCGCTGCCGGCGCCGGTTGCGCATCGACTCCTGGCTCGCCCTCCGCGACGCCGTCCTGCTCGAGTTCCTGTGGCTGCCCACCACCAATGACGCCGACGGGATGGAGTTGTGGCACGAGATCGAGGCGTCAAGACCACCCTGTGCCGTCGGGGGTGCTGTGTGATTTGGCCACTCTGCTGCTGGCCCAAAGAGAAAAGAGCAAGCAAAGAAGAAGAGGCAAGAACAGGATAGTGGCGAGTTCTCGACTGGGACGCTGGTCACGGACTCGACTCGACTTCTCGGTCAGTGACAATCACATAATACCTGCCTGGCGCAAGAAACACGGTCTGTGAGCTGCAGCACTGGCGACTTTTTGAGGGCCACATATTACTCCAAGGAGATTGCTAGAGTTGGAGAAAAGAATGGGACTCAATCTGCGTTGCCAAAAGATATTTTACATACTTCTGCGACTTGTCGATGGACGAGTCGAACAGATAGGTGTACCGCATCTACATCGACAGGTACAGGTGAGCTGAGATGGGTAAATCGTCTGCACTCGAGAAACGCCCCCCCCCCCCCCCCTCCCCACACAAGCAAGCAAGTAAGCAAGCAAGCAAGCACGCAACTAATCAGTCTCCCTGAAGGTACGTGCTGTGTCTGTCCACCATCCGGTATTTATGCGTTGTGCATACGTCGATCATGTCAAACTGACTGGGAAGCAGGAAGCCGTTCGAGTCTGATGGAGACGTGAAGGACATGGTCATGAGCAGTCGGAACCGACTGGAACCGATCGGTGTACTATTACATACGTCGTTTGTTGCAGATCCATGCTGGGATCTGTCTGTCCCATGCATTTCAAGTATTCATTGCCTTCTTTCTGTCAAGAGCGAGCGAGAGAGAGAGCAACCGCGGTGATTCAGGCAACGACTCGAAAAGCAAGCCCCTCGCCTCGGATGAGGAGGCAACGAAACGCTGGCTGCATGATGCGAAAGTATCCCTATCGACGGCCCCCTTGAAATCCGGAACCGCGGAGCTGTGGAGTTGGCGCAGGTGTCATGCGCTGTTGTTGGTAGAGGGACTGAATGACGGAGGGACGGAGAAGAACCGGTCACCCTTATCAACCACACCAGTCTGACAGAAGAATGCGAGACATCAGCTCGACAATATACCCCGTCCATGAGCTGGACAATGCCTTGTCATCAACCATGTCCAAGCAAGTATGCCTCCCAAGGCTTCCTGCATCGCTGTCTAGGTTGGGGCCGTGTGATTACCTCGAATGAATAGCCAAAGAGGGCGGCACATGTACGCCACCGCCCATCTGGCTTAGGTTTCACCGTGCTATAATTCCTTTTTCAAGAAATGCTCCGGTCGATGCTCAAATTCATAGTCCACGTGTACATATGCTCTCTCCACGTTGGGAAGACTCTCCAGCTTCATCTGCAGATCTTCGGCGATGTCGTGGCTCACTCGGAGTGACTCCTCCGGGTCCATAACGACATCCACTTCCACCACCAATCGTGGCCCACTATGCCATGCCCTAACGGTATCAATATGTTTGATGTGGTCCGAGTGTGTCATAGAGACATAGGTGATGAGTTGTTGTGTCTCGGTGTCGGCCGAGATACCGATGAGGAGCTGAAATTCCGAATATGCGGTATGGAGCCACAACACGGAAATCAAGATTGAGAGCACAATGGCACCAGAGGGATCTATCCACCAACGCAGCCGGCTCCCACCCACAGACGTCAACACACCAAAGCCATTGATGAATAGATCGTTACGGTGATCTTCCCAGAGAATGCGGATTTGGGAATATTGGTTCCTGAGTGCCCAGCAGTACAGGAATAGCCCAAGTTTGGTGCTGAACGCAACGCCCACAGCAACAACAGACGGGAGATGGAACCTCTTGGTCTCTTCCTCTGAGCCTCTCGCCAGTTCCTGCACAGAGAAGGCAATCAAGATGAAAGAGACGGCGGTCATAAGGAAACAAAACACAATGTTTCCGGCTGTTTCAATTCGTGCTCTCCCGGCGGGAAATTTGCGAGCATCGACTTTGTTGACGGCCTTGTTGGATAAGATGAGGGTGATATTGGAAAGGGGGTCGAATATGGCATCCGCCATGGTTGTAAACAGGGACAGCGAGCCTGAACTAACAGCGCCATACACCTGTAGCACCGCAAGAATGATGTTCGCCACAAACGAGCCATACACCGCAATTTGGAATCGCAGCAGGGTCGATGTTTGTGTATCTCTTGCTTCTCTCACATGCTCATCGACAGGTTTCAGCAGCCGCTGGATCTGTTCATTCTGTGACTCGTAGAAATTCGCGATCTTTGACTGTTGGGACTGCCCCGCCAAATGAAGCGGGTTACATGCATTCCGCTTCCGGGCTGTGTTGGCTGTCATGTGCTCGAGCTCCGACCGGGATTTGAGACGGCGCGTGAGGTCTAGAGGATCAGATGGGGATGCTTGGGTGGGAGATTGGCTTTCGGTGTCAAAGGTCGAGGCGGTTCGATGGCGGGAGATGATAGCTTCATCACTCTGCAGGGCTGCGGAAGCGGCGGAGCTCTTCGCCTCGCCGTGTAGGAGGTGAGGCTTGGGCATGGGCTGGTAGAGTTCGTGAGGGAGCGACCGATGGTGGTGGTGAGGGTTTTGAGTGAGCTCCATGAAGTGCTGCGGTTTCGAAGCAGAAGTGAATGCCATGGTGACTCGGAGTGACTCGACAGAGTCTTGCAGTGAATGAATGAAAGCAGAGAGCAAGCAGGATGAGAAGGGAGGGTGGCGGTTGTCGGTCACCTTGGTGGCCTTTCCTCTCACCGTTTCAATGGTGGTGGGATGCGCAGCCACACAAACCGCGTATATCACACACGAGTACTCGGTACTCCGTACGAATTATACACAAAAATAATAATTGACCAGCGTCTGGCGCCTTGGCCGAGGTAAGAAGCCAAGTCATGCGCCATGGTTGAATTCCCTTGCTGAAATACGGTCTCGGCGCACCGCGTCAGCCTCTGCGGAAGGAGACCATCCTACATAGAAGCTCATACGTACTGCAGATCACCCTCTGGACCAACAGCACTATATTACTATCAGGAATATCCTGCCTCTACCCCTACCTACTATGCGTCTAGATATCTATCCACAATTGATAGGATTTTCAGATTCTTTGCGCTAAAGCAGCAGATCGACGCACCCTCCGGGACAAGAAGAGCATAAAACTTACAGAATCTATTTCCTTCACCACGAGCAATATTCTAATCTAGCGTCGAAGTAAAAGTCACTATTAAATAGGTAGGGAGGAGATAGGCTTCGGGGAATTATGGGCGAGTTATTAGGCGGGGAGCTGCGTGCTGTCTAAAAGCGGCGTAGGTCGGGTATGCGCGTCACTGTCGAGCATCGCCTCATCAATCACCAGAGCACAAATACATCCTCTCCTGCTGCTCTCTATCGCAAGCTTTGCGTTTCCTCTTTTCCTACGTATATTGCAGCCGTTGAAAAACCACTCGCATTGAACCGTCCAATTATCGACGAAAACCATGGCCTTCTTCTTCGTCGTCGGCACCAAAGGTGAGCTTGTTTCGACCTGCGCACTTTTCGGCCTGGCGAACTGCGCTCGCTAACTGTCAGTCGATCTAGACTTCACAAGCCCCTTGAAAGGCTACGAGGGAGTCACTGCTCAGTGTCAAAACTGTGGAAACTGGTCGGCGCATCCAATTCAATCGTGGGACTGGTTCACCTTCTGCTTTGTCCCTGTGATCCCGCTCGGAGGGAAACATCAAGAGGTTGGTTCAGGAACTCCTTCCGACTTTATGCTTTACTTACTAACCGTGAGTCTAGCTCGCCTGCCCTATCTGCAGATTCCGTCAAGACATGAGGTACGACGATCACTCCAAACCAGGCGCCTCAAGACACGCAGCAGGCTAACCTCGAATCTAGGAATCGACCTGATGTCGGCTCGATGCAGGGTCAGGGACCTATGATGCCTCCACAAGGACCTCCGCAGGGATGGGGCGGCCCTCCCCCAGGACAAGGACAGAATTACAAGTGAGACCACGCGACATATCGCAAGAGAAAGAAGTACAAGCTGAGTTGTGGAGTCGATATGCATGATACTGGGAAACCTGCGCTCATTCATCGCTACTTTACTTCCTTCACGACGTCGTCCTTCTTCCCTATGACGCATTTACCATTGTTGGGGTTGACGAGCCATGGCACTGGCGTTCACACCAAAAAAAAATGGTTGTATTGCACGGAGTCGATGCAGTATCTACCATGCTGCGCGCATTGAATCCGTTGGATGCGCAACCCAAAAGTTTCCAGAGCCACGTCCTCTAGGGATTTTCGTTATGGGTCTTGTCCTTAGGCTGCAAGACATCCAACTCTTCACATGCGGACTGGAAAGCCGGCATCCAGGTCAGACTGGCCGGGTCATGACCACGTCCTTCTCACTCACTGCGGACCACAACCTTCAGCACCATCATTTCCGCTTTACTCCCCGCCTCCAGCCTAAGTTTAGCACACCAAGAAGGATGTACAACATCCACCGGCACTTCCTCCGGCCCGCCTTTTGGATTGGGGGAGATTGGTGGCTGAGCGTTGTGAGGACCACCATACTCCAGAGCTATGATGGCTGGCCAGTTGATGGGTTCTGCTCGTCCTTTACAAGCCGGGGCGCCAACGACTGTGGGTTCTGGATAAGGGTTCACAGCTTTGTATCTCCATCGCATGTTGGCTGGTGTTGGTTGAAATCGGCGGGTCTATGCAGCGAAGGAGTCCATGGGATTCACAACAGCATGTAATATATATGAGCGGTCTCGCATGTACCTTGTATCCTTTATGCACTCTTAGTTCTATATTTCATCAAATCAACATTGCCTCGTACTCCCTACATACATCCACGGCAGACTTCGATGATTGTCACGTGCCATCGCAAGCCCGCGCACCGAGGCGGTGAGACGCGGCAGAATAATTGTGGCTCTTGGTCTAGTTTTTATCAACACAAACCACACCAACTAGTTTCTTCTTCCTCCCTTCCTGCGCGCCGCTCTCCATCCGCTGCGTTCTCTGCTACAAACAACGACTTGCTCCTGTTCTCCCAACAGTCGAGTTCTCGTTTTCTTCATTGCAGATGAGAAATTCGGAGTAATCTTCAACCTTGGACCTCTGTCTTCGAGTCACTGTGTGATTTTCGAGGCACATGGTACTGCCCGCGAGGGCCCGGCACGATTGTTCCCGTGCTCGCAATTTGGCATCAGAAATGTACAGGGCCTCGAGACCGGCACCCACGCGGTGTTTGTGTCTTGAGGGATTCCCTTTGGAAGAGCCGTTGCGGAGATTGTCTGGGGGTCACCGAGGGTGTCCTTCCTTACTTTAGTGCAATCGCAGCGGAAACCTATCATTCCTCTCCTGGGGATTGATAGGGTTTCAATTCGATTCCGATTACTCTGGAGAGCGGCGCCACCTCTTTTTCTTTTCCACGTAAGTTGTTGACTCTGGCTTCCCAAAGATATAGGGTACTGCTGACATTGTGACAAATTCCATCACCACTTTTACTCAGTCTTGGGATCTCTCAGTGCCCGTTCACACCGTTCACGCCATTTACCCCATTCACACCATTCGTCTGCGGTTCGGCTGCAAACTGCCTAAACGTGTCCAAATCCACCTGTCTCAGGGCACTCTCCTCGGTTGCTTCCAACACCACTCTCGGCACTCCATTCCTACTGATTCTCCCGTCTCTGTATGCCTGAAACGCTTCGAGCCATCTCGCCGTGCAAAGACACCACTTGCAACCCCCGGTCAGACCTGCTGTGCGCAGATCATTGCCTTGCGAAGCACTGAAGTCCAGAAACTCTTCGCTCACCACACCAGCTACGGCGTGGTTGCCAAAGTCTGCAGCTCCTGTTCGACAATATCCATCTCGATAGAATCCGGTGATAGGTCGGTTGGAAAAGAAGGCAAGAGGCTGCCTGAATACTGCGAGGGATTAGTAGGGTTGGCACTAGTATGGCTAGCCAAGACTGCACACTGAGAGTGCCGCTCAACCCTGTATCGAGGCTCACCATTCAAATGAGAGGTCATCCTTTCTTCCTTGACTACCGGCGGCGGCGGCGGAGGATGCGTCCTCCCAAGAGCGCCCAATAAGGGAATTTGGAGAACTCGCGCTCTCAGACCTGGCCAGAGGCTGAAGTTGCGGACTAGACGCGCGGATGTAAGAGTCGGCCGCATCAATTCATCCACTGCTTTTCAACGAATCGTCTCGCGCTGATGCCGAACGAGGCTCTCAATACTCGACCCTCGAATCAACCGATGACAAGGACTGTCACCACCGCTAACGTGAGACGTGGATAACTGCTGGAATATGCAAAGATGGTGACGTCAAAGAGACTCGAGGTACGAAGTACAAGCAAGCATTTGCCAAGACTGTCAGCTAGTGGACGCATCCTCGGAATCTCCAAATTGGGGTTCTCGAGATTAGTTCCCCTCAGTCTCATGTACCTCCCAGTTGATGTGGCCTCCACTCTCGTTTCCACGCCGTGAGATCCTTTCTCTTCTCACGCCTCGGGGACCCGGGAACTGCTCTCGGTAATTCGTTGCAGCCATACGGACTTCTAGATTACGACTGCCTCGAGCTGGATTCATTTGCCGGACTCGGAGCTTGTCCGGCCCAGCCTCGAGGTATCTCATTTAAGGTCGACATTGAAACACTGCGATTGGTCCTCTCGCAACGACCGTAGGCGATCACCTCACCCCTTCCCCATGTGCTTCGACCCGAAAAAACTCCCTGCTGATGCGGAGAGCTGTTTCGTGACGGAGATGGGAACGTGGCGCATAGCATCATGGTGGTGCTACTCAGCGCCCTCTCCACAATTATGTACGAATATATGTGTTCACGGACTTTACCCTCGATATTTCTATCTGATGCGTGCGGACGCATCTGTTCAAACCTTTCAATGCCTGCTGGCCTGATTTTCAATTAGGAGACTGGCCCGAGAAAAGAAGCATTCTCGCTGTCCTGGTGCTTTAGATCGTCTATTTGTCTGACGTCAAATCCACACACACACATATCTGCCCACTCCCGCCGTCGTCTCACAAGTCCGTTAGAAATAACAACCAACAAGACCAAATCCCCCTTCCAAAGACCAAAACATGCCCGAATTGAATATCGGGATTTGTGGTGCCGGCATCGGTGGACTGGCGGCGGCCATTGCCATCAGGAAAGCAGGTGCAAAGGTGACCGTCCTAGAAGCCGCTCCTGAGCTCGGCGAGATCGGGGCTGGCATCCAGATGACGCCTAACGTGGCGAGACTACTCATGAAATGGGGCGTGGACAAAGTAATTGGCGACGATCTCGTGGAATTCGAGGAGCTGAACATGAGGAGGAAGGATGGCACCATGATTGGGTATACGAAGACAATGCCTAATGTTCGCAAGTATGTTTGTTAAACTCGCCAGAGCCATGACCATGGTGTATACTAACATCTCCAAGCTATTTGAACGGTATACCTTGGTGGCTAGGTAAACAGCGCCCCTTTTTAGAGCTTTATTACTCAGCCTGACGAGTACTTAGTCCATCGAATGCATCTCCACGCCGGCCTGGCAGAAGTAGCTCGTCGGGAGGGCGCCGACCTCGTTATCGACGCTCGAGTGGAGAAAATCGACTGGACCTCGTCTCCTTCTAACAAAGTCACCGTCACCACGGCGAAAGGCCAATCGCGGACGTTTGACCTGCTCATCGGCGCAGATGGAGTACGGTCCACGGTCCGCAAAACCATCATGCCTCACGTCAAACCGGCGCCCCCGACAGGGAACTGTGCATACCGAGCACTGGTCCCCTATGACGAGATCCGACGCGATCCTGTCGCCAAGGAACTCGTCGAGAAACTCACCATGGAGGTCTGGATGGCCGAGAAGTCGTACATTATCTCCTACCCCATCTCGGGCGGCAAGCTGTTCAACATGGTTCTGAGTCATCACGTGGACCACCTCGTGGATGATGTCCAGGATATTGACATGGAGAAGGACTTTCGACAAACTTACAAGGACTACGATCCGAGGATCAAGAGGATTGTCGACATGGTGACATCGGCCAGGCGGTGGCCACTGTTGGTCACAGGACCGTTGGAGAGCTGGTCGAGTAAAGAGAAGAATATCGTTCTGATGGGGTATGTATAGCTGCCTCCCGGCATCGAAACTTTCGTCAGCGGTCTCCCGTACTGATTCTTGAGTTATCGTTAGGGATGCGGCACACTCCATGACCAACCACATGGCGCAGGGTGCCGCGACTTCAATGGAGGACGGCGCCTTTCTAGCTCGGACACTGGCGAAAGTTGTGGAGGACAAAATCACCATCCCGCAAGCAATCGAGATCTACGAGAAGACGCGAATGCCATTCGTGTACTACAAGCAGCAAGTGTCGTTTATCAACGGAGCCATTTGGCAAGTACCAGATGGGCCCATTCAAGAGGTAAACAACACTTTTCCCGGCCTCAATTGTTTCATGAGCGGGAAAAAAAGGCTTCTGGGCCCGATTGCTGATGCGAGAGAATGTGTAGGCACGAGACAAAGCGATGGCACCCGAATTGAAGGGCGAGCAATTCATGCGCTCGCCGAACCTTTACGGAGATCCCGTGACAACATTGAGGTCAGTTCAGCTTCCCCTCTGCCTCACTCAGACGAGATCCAAAGCTCATTCCACCATGGGCACTGGCTGACTTAAAAACCAGCGTGTACAATTACGACGCAGAGGAAGACGCGGAAACCGCCATTCGTGCGTATCTCCAGAAACGCGAGCCGTACGATGTCAAGACGGGCGTGACCGATCGTGAGCTGGAGCGGTTCGTTGGGTGGTGGTGGCCCAAGCACAAAGTCCCACTGAGCGCCTCAAAACTGTGACGAGAGACCGCGACGGTGAGCCCGGCGGTGTGGCGAGGGTAGAACAGTAGTTGTTGATGTGGGATGATATTTCAGAGAGGTTCTTCTGTTTCTCCTGCTCGAATTTGGGTCAAACTGAACGTATAGACTGGATGTGGGGTGGGATGGGAACAAAGGGGCGTCTAATAAAGAGACATCTTGTTTGCGTCTCGTCTGTCCAAGCATTTTCGCGGCTCAGATATTGCAACAAAGGAGAGAACAATAGCCAAGGGCGGACACACACACACGCCCAGACTGAAATTTCACCTTTGTCGTCGACACTTGATTTCCCAAAGTGTACGTTTGGGGTGTTTGTTGCCGTTTGTGAACGTGACTTTTTCACCATTTCTTCACCAACCTTCCACACTCAGCAACCCTTTCAGCATGAGTCGTATCACGTGCACAGTAACAACAACGAGCACACCTTCGATATGGACATGTTCTACTTCGCTGAGGAGGACGAAGACCTCCACAGCAACCACGACAACAACAATAATGACAACGGTGGTGTCCATCTGCCGGAGTCAAATCAATCGTCTCATTCGACCAAATCTGACCCGCCTCACCATTCACAAGGCGACGACAATGTGATTTTCGTCACTCGTCCGGCATCACAGCAGTCAACATCGACGGTCGATGTGTTGTTGTCTCCCATCGACGAAGAGCCCAACGACCGCCCCGAAGACAACACAGAAGGCTACGAACCCATCCCTCGAGAGCCTGTCAACAAAGTCCAAAACAAGACATCCGCTAACGCCGAGCTCCCCTTCGTCGCCATCGAGCAATACGTCCTCGGTTTCAACGACATGATGAGCGGCGCAGTCTCCCCCCTGGACCAGGTCAGCACCGACGTCGACCAAGACGACAACATTGTCTGCGCCGACGAATTCGTGCGCCAGCGAATGCCCTACAAGGTGCTGCGACGGGACGAGCTCTTTCACGAGGGCCTCCCGTTCGTTAACGACCATTTGTTGTGGGAGTTGCCGGAGGAGTTCATGACTACGTACCGCGGCCTCGATCGCGCCGTAGAGGAATTCTACCAGTTCGACGAGGAGGCCTTTGCGAGCGACATGGAAGCCGACGTGGCATTGTTGGGCATGATCATCAAGAGAGGCGGGCTTACTGAGAACAGGGCTCAACAGGTCGTGTACCCTGAGGACATCGTTCCGTTGCCCGCTCGCGAAAATCCTCTGCAGGGATTTGCACAAGAGCTTGATTCAGAGGACCTGGAGTATTGGGTAGAAGTGGGGGATTTAGGGCTGTTCTGGAACGAACTCGACATTCCCTAACTAGAGAGACGTGGCTCAAAAGAGTGCCTCTGGTTCCAGCGGCAGGCATGGATATGACCTCTCCAATTAAACGTTTGTAGCAGGACATGATAGGTCTTCAGATCAGGGAAGAGACAGCACCATCGGATACTCAGAGATGGACACTTGAATGGAATCAGGAGAGTGAAGACAGAATCTCGCAGTAGTAGCAAGCAAGAAGAAGTGAATTCCACCAATAGGACCCGGCCTTGGCAAGTTACCCGCTGCCTAACCGCTTCGGGGCAACTGCTCCAAAATTTCCTTGGGCGAAAGAGAAAAAGATGCTTTGCGCCTCTCCAAAAAATCGCAGTTTTGCCCTGCGCAGTTCTCATCGTTCTCTGTCGCTAATTCTTTCTACGTGCATAACTGTATTGATTTGATCAATCGTTTCTACTCGGCGATCAGCTTCGACCCCTGCGAAAACAGACGCACCCAACCCCCAGAAACGGGCCTCGAGTTATCTAAAAAGCCCTAGAGAGAGATGGCGTTTGGCGGTGCGCCGCGAGGTGGTCGTGGTGGTGGCCGAGGTGGCCCTCCTAGGGGAGGTGCAAGAGGCGGACGAGGTGGTGGTAGAGGTGAGAGACACATTCCGTCTGCAATTCGAGTTGGAGACTCGCAGACTCGCAGACTCGAAACAATGCGCGGACAGCTTGATTAACGCATTGTTCTTGTCAATCTACAGGCGGTGGCCCCCCCGGACGAGGTGGCCGAGGAGGTGGCCGAGGTGGCCCAGCCAGAGGAGGAAGAGGTGGCGGGAGAGGCGGCGCAAAGCCCGGCATCAAGGGCGGAGCGAAAGTCATCATCGTATGTCCCCTCCACCGATCAGAATTCCCCTTGCCCACGATGGACCAAGAGACGGAAAAGCTGAGAGAAAATTACGTGGCTGACCAAAATATCTACTATCGCAACAGGAACCACACCGTCATCCCGGCGTCTTCGTCGCACGCGGCGGTAAAGAAGATCTGCTGGTCACTAAGAACCTCACACCCGGCGAAAGCGTCTACGGCGAGAAGCGCATCAGCGTTGACTCACCCAGCACAAACCCGGCCGACCCAGATGCCCCGCCCACCAAGACAGAGTACAGAGTGTGGAATCCCTTCCGCTCGAAGTTGGCCGCCGGTATCCTGGGAGGCTTGGACGACATTTACATTCGGCCGGGTGCGTCGGTGCTGTACCTGGGCGCCGCCTCGGGCACGTCCGTCTCGCACGTCGCCGACATTGTCGGGCCGACTGGCCGCGTGTACGCCGTCGAATTCTCCCACCGTTCTGGAAGAGATCTCATCACGATGGCCACACACCGCACCAACGTGATCCCCATCATTGAAGACGCCCGCCACCCGCTCCGATACCGCATGCTTGTGGGGATGGTGGATGTGATCTTCGCCGACGTGGCACAGCCCGACCAGGCACGTATCGTGGGTCTCAATGCCCATTTATTCTTGAAGGTCGGCGGAGGCGTGCTGGTCAGTATCAAGGCCAACTGCATCGACTCGACGGCCAAGCCGGAGGTGGTGTTTGCAAACGAAGTGAAGAAGATGAGGGAGGAGCGCATCAAGCCCAAGGAGCAATTGACTCTGGGTACGTATTGCATTTCCATTGTTTGTCGCTGTTGATTTGCCGCCCATCCATGGTATCGAAGGTGAGTGAGTACAACACATGCTAATACTTCTGCCCCTCCCACAGAGCCTTTTGAGCGAGACCACTGCATTGTCGCAGGCATCTACCATCACACCGCGCAATGATCGCCTAGTTGAGTGTTACTGGGTTCCGGTGGTATGATTCGGCGCAAGGTTGGATGGATGGCTGGATGGAAGGAAGGATGGGAAGCCTTCGATCATGTAAAAAGGACGGCGTTGTCTTTTGTCTCTCAGGCCCAAGAAATCGAAAAAAAGAAAAGCAATGCCATTATGACTTTCCTTTCCTGCTTCCCCCCTCCCCACAAACCCGCTTCGTTAACCGGCTCGGCTCTGCGTGTGACCTTTAAAAGCCGTTTTTCGTCCATCAAGTCTCTGGAGGGAGTGCTTGCCTGCCTGCTCGCTTGCCTGCTTCCGTTGCTCCCCGTCCCCGGTCCCCAGGCCACCAATGACTTCTGTGGCTCTCTGGTATTCGGTCTCAGGGAGGAGCAGAAGGTTGATTCACCGCCGCCGCCACCACCACCACCACTACTATTACTACTCGTTAAGCTACCCCCCTGGGTTCCGCGGAATACGAACAACGACTCAAATCGGTCAGCCAGTTGTGACTGGGGATGGAATCGATGGATGGATGAAATGAGGATATGGATGAGGATACATGCAAATGGAGTGTGATAAGCAGTTCGTCCATATCCGGAGCAGAAGGAAGAGCATAGAAGAGAAGAACAAGAAGAAGGAGAAGGGAATCGGGGGCTTAGTTGGTTGGATGGTTAGTTGCTCAGCTCTTGATCATACTGAGCGAACAACATCTTTTCGTGATCCAAACTCTCTCCCACGACCATCTCGAGGTCTTCGGCTCTTGCCTTCTTGTATTGCCACACTCGTAGCCCACCGAGTAGACCTCTGATATCTATCTCTGTAGGCAGAATCGTGCCTGACGGGGTGCGTGGCATGGCGTTCAACACATCTCCCAGCTCACTCGCGTGCAAGTCCACCCTGTTCTGTTCTTTCTCCATGATTTGGGCCAGTTTCTCCGCGCACAGTATCATCACAGTTCCCCCTTCGTGACTCGGCGCGAGGGTGTTCTGATTTGGTCGACTGATGGAGACCAGAACTCCTTTCGCTGTGGCCGAGTGCAAGTACGTTCGCCTGTTACAGATGCAAGCATGCATGTATGAAGCATATCGGAATATTGTCATTGCCTCCGTTCTCCATCCTGTCTCATAAGGAGCGTGGTTTTCCTCCTTCCTTCGTTGAGCCGGAGGCTCGTCTAAGGGTTGAGTTGTCCGACCCGCTCCATTCCCACGTATGATGGGGAGGCTCATCCTCGAGAAACAAGAAATCCAGGATCGAAGATACTCCACACACAATGCTTTTCGGACCTTGAGCACAAACAGGGCCGGATGAATGCAATGCTGGCAGAAAGAAGAGGAGCATTCAAACGCTTTGTAGGAAACCCCCCGGCTGTGATGCAGGTGCGATTACAAACAGCTACCAGCAAACAGCGCAGGCTGTTCGCTTGGAGTCATCCCACAGTCTCCTTTTTCAGGAGTTGACGAATTTCGGCACCCAAGCAAACAGCGACGTGCCTCTGGAGAACCGACGGGTTCACCTTCTGCATCAGCACGCTTCGCAGTTCAAACCTTGACGTAAGCTACAGCGAGCACAGTTAGCAAAGTCGTCTTGTCTTATAACAAATCCAACGCTGAAATGTGCACGAAAGGGGCCATAACTTACTAGCATCAATCTGCTTCACCTGCGGCAAGGCTAACCTCACTTTGTTCCTATATACCGCCGGCCCCTGCAGTTGTAAGGGGTTCATTTCGAAGTATACCGTCTCCAGATTCTCCTTGTCCCGCAGCTCGTTCTCGACCTCGCGGAAGTCGCTCAGTTGGTTGGAACTCGCCCACAATTCTTCCAGTTCTGTCAGGTGGGAAATGTTCTCGAGGTGCGAGATTTGGTTATTGGAGATGTCTAGAATGCGCAGCTTTTTGTTGTTGGACAAGGCATCCGCCGGGATGGAGGTAATGGCGTTGTGAGACACGTAGAGTTCCTCTAGGTTTGACAGGTCAGAGAGCCCGCCTATTGATGTAAGACGGTTGGATTTCAGGTCGAGCAGCTTCAGGTTTTGGAGAGGAGACAGGTTCCGGATCTCGGTGATCTTGTTCTTGCCCAGCCAGAGTTGCTGTAACTGAGTTAGGGTGTCCAGGTTTTCGATCTCACGCAGGCGATTCGCAGCCAGCTCGATCATGGTCAAGTTCGAAAGCCCCTCGAGGTTTTCGATCTTGGAAATGCGGTTCTGGACGAAGTATAACTCCGTCAGTGTGTGAAGGTGGTTGACGTGTTTGATGTGCTTGATCTTATTGAAAGACAAGTCCAAGGATTTGAGGCATTTCATGTCTTCGAGACCTTTGAGGTGCGAGATGAGATTGTCGTACAGGTCCAACTCTTCCAGTGTCTCTCCCAAGTTCTCGGGCAGCAGGATGGAAGTAATGGCATTCTGACGCAGGCACAGTCTTTTCAGTTGCGCAAAACGCTCGAGTTTGAGGGCAGGGATGGAAGTTATGCGGCAATGTACCAGGTCGACATCCTCAGAGTCGAGAGGGTAGTCATCCAACAGGTCCTCGTCGGCTTCGATCTGATCGACCGGAGGGGCATCTGGGTCTGAGTAGTCGGGATCGGAGAGGATTTCGGGGTTGGTCAAGACGGCGTTGCGAGGAGGCATGCGCAGTTTGCCATCCCAGCCATTGCTGTTGACGAGAGGCGCCGTGGAAGGAGACTGATGCTTTGTAGACTCGGGGGACGGAAGTTCGATGTGGGCGTGTTTGTCTTCGTCGTTGCCGTCCACTTCAGGCTGCGAATTGTTTGGAGGGGCAGGATTCTGATCCCGGTCTCGTTCCGTCATGGCGGCAATATACAAATGCGTTTGATTTGCAGCAGGGAGAATGTCAGTGAGTTCAATAGAGCACCTCAGAGTTCGCGAGGGATATGGGAGCAAGTACGACAGGCTACCAAAGTAAATGGTTTCTAGGAGAAGTCAGTTCTTGGTGAGGCCAGAGGGAATGTTGGCCACGCGCATCAAAATTGGAGATCCGTCATACGATTTGTACACAATATAACAGAATAAGGGAACCTCGCATCTAGGTTACTCAACCCATTCTACGTACAGTCTCTCCGACCGCCTGTGTGACATTTGCACAATGGGGTCTGCGTCGAAAGCTCCTTTACTTTGCACCCACATCATAAACACAGACCAACGAGTCACGTCCGGGATGCTGCAAGCTTCCTTTCGCAGACGACGAAGGGTCAGGGACAAGAGCGATGTGTAGCATCCAAGGCAGAAAATCATTGTGCAGCTTCTTCACGGTTGATACCCGCCAAAGACTGGAGATCTGGAGCTCTTCTAGCATATACCACACAAGTCCACATGGTGAACAAATCTCTCTGCGTTCTTCATGCTCGAATGGGATATTATACATCGATGATACCGCTGACCCAATGCTTTTGTCTCTTCATCCGAACACCGTCATGATCCGCTGTTCTAATACATTCATGAGAATCGCTTGGTGACCTTTGCAATGACTGTAGACACAATTAGCACGGTCTTCTCTCGTGGATGCTGGGTGACTTACGGTGCAATGCCACAACGCTGAAAATAAAGCCCAAGCTCAAGAACATGACCACCATTGGATCGACCTTCAGCCCAGGGCTCTCATCGGTGTATAATCTCAACATTGTCCCTGACGAGCCACCCGCCCCTGCGGCACGTGTGGAGGTTGGTCTGGCATTCTTGACGGATTCCTTGTGATCGGCGGCTGCACGACGACGGATAGCAGATCGAGGACCGCCAGGAGGCGAGCCGGCGCGTGCGATAGAGGAGGATCCGCTGGCTTTCTGCGCAGATGTCGCTGACTCGGGGCCAGACTCGGGGCCAGAGGTCATGGGAGATGCTGGTCTCGCTGAGGCCTGGAAACACTGTCAGTTCTTTCCTGTGTGGTGGTCGTCTCTGCACGAGTGTTGACCTCGCCCAGCAAGGAGAAGCAGGGTTTCGTACCATGGTTGTGAGCGTAGGACACCGCTAAGGGGGTGTAGGGAGGAAAATGCGAGGATGCCGTGCGTGCTGTGCTAGCCGCAACAACCGCAGTAAGAACAACAGCTGAGAGAGAGAGGAGCTCTGAAAGGGATAGAGAGGTTCAATCAAGCCGCGTAAGTCGTGGGCAAGGGAGTTGGGGAGAGCAGAAAGTAGTTGCGGCTTGGTAGCGAATTAATTAGTTGTGGACACTTTGCGAAACCGACGCCGCAGAAATTCTGGGGAAATTCGAGAGACACGAGAAGGAAGCGCAGATTGTCTTCCGCCCCTGGCGCTTGGCTCTGAAAGACGACTTAAAACTGCTCGGACCTCACGTGCGACTCACCCCGGCCGTGCCGCTTTTATAACTACTCACCTACGCACTTCGCTCACCTTCACACTCGCCCTTTATCCTCTCGACTCCCCACTCGCTTATCGCCATCGCTACGGGCAGTCGCTGTGTCCTCTTGCGCCGTCTTCGCGACTATTTTCACCGCCATCTACTCTGCGGTCCTTAATAATCACCTCCCGGGTAAGGTCGTGAGTATAGTTCTACCAGCCCTCATCGGCGCCCGTCTCCTACTATAGTCGATCCCACCTTTCTCACGGGCCTTAACGCCCAGGATCCGGCGGCGTTTACGGCGGTTCTGGTGTAACGCCGACTATCATCGGCGTAGGGTTGGCCGACTTTAGGCAAGCGTTCGTCCACACTGTCAGGCTCATCTTCATCATTGCCGCCGCGTTCTGCCTCCTTGCCACCCTGGGTGTCTTGTTCATCGACCCCTTGAAAGATTGTATGAATTATCGTGTGGAGGCGCCAGTGGAGGATCTTCATGCGAAGAAACTATAGCATGTGGACGGCGAGGCTAAGACCTGAGCCACGACCAGCTCTCTTCGCAAAAGTTCATACCATTTGGCAACCGTGTCGCCATAGGCGCAAAGCAAAGGGGGGTTGCTGTTCAAATTGGGGTCCTGAAGGTCGGACATAGTGTCATCAGCAAGGCACCAAGACCCAATGGTGTATGTCGCCGTACGGTAGTACACAGGGCTGATCTTAATGGAGACTGAGATTTCAGCCTCTTAAAACAGTGGCGAGAGCCAGCAATTTGTTGACTTTGCCCTGGAGGAACCACGATACTGGCTGTACGGTAGCGAGAGAGACTCAAAAAGAAACTCTTAACTTAAAAGAGGTGCTTCGGCATTGTCCTTCTCCAAATATCTTTCTCCTGAAGAGACCGAACTCGGTATTTGCCGTGCGGATATCTGGTCAATCCTTAAACGGTGGTCTGGGAATCCCAAGTATGCGGGAGCATGAGAAAAATAGCTATCAAGCAATTCGGCTTTCGGACCGAGACCGAGAACGAACAAGTATGAGGCAAGCCAGATTCGTCCAAGTCTTTCTTTCCTGGAAAATAAGGATACCTTTGTCTTAGTTGGCTCAGAAGGCTTTTTATCATGTTGGCAACGACTAGTCGCCGACAGTTTTCTCTTGTGAGAATCTCCAGCTTACCCGCGCATCCCTTGACCTCTGGACGTTTGTTTACATCCACGCTCAGCCCCGGGTCAGGGTGATCTGCTCAAGTGTTTGGAAGAGTCGAATCAATATGAGGCGGACGATTCTTGAAATCATCCAACAGCTTCAGGCTTACGGGTCCTGCGATGTGAGTCCCAAAGCGTACTTTATGATGCGCCAATAAGATATTCGAAGGCGTCTAGGCTCACAAAATTGGCTACTGGCTACTCTCAGGTTGCGGATGGTCTGACAAAGATCAAACACCACTGTGGCGGGTACCTCGAGGGACTTGTCATGTACTCGCCCAAATTCCAAGATGGCGACACCAAGATCGTCGGACAGGCGTTTACGGTCAAGTTTGTGCCAAAGTCGGACACAAATGCGCCTTCACTGAATGGACACTATGTATGTTGGTGGAGACACCTCGCCTCGTGCCTTACACTGTATATCTGCGAGTTCTGCACTTAACAATTACTCAGCTTGATATGGTCCCGGCCAACCACGTGCTGTTCATATCACAACCCACGCCACACCTCCATGCGGTCTTTGGTGGGCTTATGAGTCTTCGCGCTCAAAAGCTAGGCGCCGCCGGCGTCGTCGTGGATGGGAAAATACGAGACCTAGGAGAACACCGAGCTTTGGGCATTCCAGTGAGCTTTGATAAATTAATCCCATCTATACTTGAAACCCCACAGTGCTGATCCGAGCTTCTTTGTGCAGGTATTTGCCCGATCCGTCGGGACCACAGCACCTAACGAAGCGTACCGTGTGTCCGAGGTGAATGTCCCAGTGCAGCTACAGACTGACCTCCAAAACGTGTTGATTTCACCGGGCGACTTCATCGTGGCCGACCTGAACGGTGTGGTTTGTCTGCCCAGGGATCTGGCGGATCAAGTTTTGGACGCGATTCCTTCCAAGCTGGAGGCAGACGAGTTATGTGCAGAAGGAATTCGGAGCGGTCGATCGGTACAGGAGGTCTTCAAGGAGTTCAGGGGCAAATAAATGTCCTTGAGTAGGCCCACAATGAAAGCTCTGAGTCTCGCAAGGGCATATCAGGAGTAGCACAGCGAGCTTGTATAGGCAAGTAGGGGCACACGCTTATGTCGGCTGTGATCGCTACGAATCAATTTACTATATATGTATTTCAGGTCTATTTACTAGCTGAATGTTCCTCCCTAATACTATCTTGTTAATTTCACGAGATTTTCGTAAAAAGTACTACTATAAACCCTTATCTTTTCCGTCGTCAATCTAGTCTCGCCCTCAGACCTTTTTCCACTAGTAATATGCAGCGTCGGCCTTGGTTGCTTCGTAGCAGTTTTTCTATTTCACACTGCACTCGAAAGTATGCAAACATTTCACATCTTCTACAGGGTTATGGTCCAGGACTCCCGCAAATCCTAGGTATACTTCAACTTTTCCACGCCAGCAATCTCCGCCTCCTTATTCATGTTGTTGATCTCTGTGTCTGTGAACGGGATACCCTCCTTCAATCGCTTCTCTTTGTTCAGCAGCTCAATCTCACCCGGGAAATAGATCCTATCCACTCCGGCCATCTTCTCGCTGGTCACCACCCTCTGGTAGAGATATTCCATTCTAGCCCGAAAGTCGTCGAGGCTCATGAACAAATCCGGTTTGATAGCCACTAGAAAATGGCCGACGTCTGCAGGCTTACTGAAGTCATACGGCCCCCCGACGTGACCCGCATATGCAGACCCAGATAAGACACCTGAAAATACGTCCATCATGATAGAAAGAGCAGAGCCCTTGGGACCGCCCATAGGAAGCATGACTCCCTCTAGGGCTTTGGCCGGGTCGTCCGTGGGCTTTCCGTCCTTGTCTAGTGCCCAGTCCAAGGGGATCTTCTCGTTACGTCGGAGTGCTTTGTACACTTTGCCGCGGGCCGCAACTGATGGCGCCATGTCGAGAATAAAAGGGCGCCCCTCGGTGCCTCCAGGGGCGCCGCATGCCAACGGCGACACGCCCATCCTCTTGGTCTTCCCTCCCCACACGGGTTGAGCGGCAGAAGAGTTGGTAAACACGAGCGACATCATATTGGCGTCGACAGCTTGTTGCACCATCCAGGCCGCCATGCCGTAATGGTTCGAATGTTTGACGGAGACCATGCCAATACCATACTCCTGGGCCATTTCGATGGCACGTTTCATGGCCATGTGCGCCGCGATGAACCCAAACCCGTTTTGCGCATCCACTGAGGCGACGACCGGAGTAACTTGGCTCAGCGTCGGCGTTGCGGCCGGATCCAGAATCTTGTGGCGAATTCGTTCGATGTATGAGGGAATGCGGTTGGCCCCGTGAGTGTCGACGCCGCGCAGGTCAGCCTGTAACAGACAATTGGATATGATGATTGCATTCTCGCGAGGAACTCCGTTGGCGCACAGCACATCTTGAACAAATTTCTGGTGATCTTCGGGCTTTACGTAGTGCACCTGCTGGGCGTTCTCTGCAGATGATCCCATGATGATCTCTGGTATTCGTGGCGTATGTGAGTTGCTAGACTAGCTTAGTATCAACGCGATCTGTTCAACCGGTGAACACAGGAGTCTTCCACTGTTATATGGTTATTGTCCTGTCAACAGTCATGAAGAAACAAGTTCCTCTCAGAGGCCGTATGTCGGAACCAACCTAGAGCTGCTGGAGGGTTGGATGTTACTGCCATCGCGGACTCCTCCGCCCTCGAGTTCGGACTCGGTCCACAACCGTCGGTGCCCCGCTCCCACTGGCTCTACTTGGCGAGGCTGGACATGCCTTTTCATCCTAGCGAGGTTTGTTACCTAGGTACAGTAAGTTCAAACCTACCTTCGGGTGGTATGGTTTCTGCCAAAATGACAGAAAAAAGGCCTCGCCTCGAAGCCGACTGGATGCCAACACAGCCCATGGACTTGACGCACCGTGTGTTCGGTTGAGCACCGATAGTAGACCATCACCTTGCGGACTCTGGACCGCCGCCTGTGGCACTCGAACCCCACGGGGAAGGAACGACTTCAAGTTGACCTGTTCCCTCCTCTATCCTGCTCAAAGACTTATATAAGGACTGCACGGTTACCCTGCCCACGGGCGTCAAGTGATCGACTCCTTGGAAACCATCCTGCACGTAAAGGATAGCAGACGAGTTGCTTTGATCATAACTTCCCTACTCCTCAATTCACCTGACCAAAGTTTTGGAACGACTCCGGGGAACGAGTACGAAATTTTCAAAATGGCTGGAGGAACAGCAATCAACATCTTCCGGATGAAGGCCCTCGACGTCCCTCAGGGCGTTCTCAACTGGAGACTGTGGTTTGCCGTCGCTGCATTCGCCGTCCTGGGCGCTGCCCGTGGCATTGACGAAGGCCTTATCAGCGGAGCTTTCAAGTCGCCTGACTTCCAGGAGTTGATCAACTTCAAGAGCTACAGTGAGGTCGAGCAGACCAATATCAAAGGCAATGTCACCGCCATGGTTCAGATTGGGTCAGTCGGCGGAGCTCTCTTGTAAGTGGTGCAGCATCTTCAGAGAATGTCCTTGAGAGAGAAGAATTCTCCATTCTATTCGAAGTCTTCATTCTGACTATGCCTGACAGCGCCTTCCTGGTCTGTGACCGCATCGGACGTCTTTGGGCCACACGACAGCTCTGTGCCCTTTGGGTTCTGGGCATCGCCATATTCATGGGTAACAATGGCCATCTGGGAGCTGTCTACGCCGGTCGCTTCATTGCTGGCCTTGGAGTCGGACAGAGCGTCGTCGTCGGCCCTGTGTACCTGGCAGAGATAGCACCAGCCCCAATTCGTGGCCTTTGCACCTGTGTCTTCGCCGGATTCAACTATATCGGCATCCTGATCGCTTATTTCGCCAATTACGGTTGCGCGAAGCATCTGAAAGGAACGCAAGCTCAATGGGTAAGATTGACACCCTTCTTTCCACCTTCTTGCCATGTTCAGCGGCAAAATGTAACCTTGTCACGTTTTTTCTAACGCTAGTAACGCATAGATGGTTCCCACCAGTCTGAATTTCATGTTTGCTGGAATTATATTCTTCCTGTCCTTCTTCCAGTACGAGTCGCCCCGATATTTGATCAAAAAAGGCGAGCAGTTGAAAGCAATCGCCAACATGTCGCGCATCCGGAATCTACCCACTGATCATGACTATGTCGTGCAAGAAATCACCGCCATCACAGCTCAGTGGCATGAAGAGCAAGAAGCCACCAAAGGCCAAGGACCCCTGGGAATTGCCAAGGAGATGTTCTTAATTCCTCGAAACCTCTACCGCCTTTATCTCGGGCTGGGGGCGCAAGTACTTTCGCAGTGGTCTGGCGCGGGTTCCATTACAATCTACGCAGTCGATCTATTTGGGCTTTTCGGTATCAAAGGCAGTAACGAAGCACTCCTTGCCACTGCGGTTTTCGGCATCGTCAAATTGGTGGCCGCTTTGGTTTGCGCATTCGTTCTGGTCGATTACATTGGCCGAAAGCGTTCGCTGGTGTCCGGTATTAGCTTACAGGCTTTGTCCATGATTTATCTCGCAGCATTCCTGACTGTTGTCCCGCCCAGTCCGACGGAAGGCGAAGACATCCCCATGACTCCCTCAGATAAGGCTGCTAGCAAAGGTGCCATTTTCATGATGTACCTCTCAGGCTTCGGCTGGGCGCTGGGATGGAATTCGATGCAATATCTCATCGTGGCTGAACTGTTCCCCCTTCGAATCCGGGCAGTTTGCACTTCGGTCATCATGTCTGCTCATTTCGCCAATCAGTACGGCAATTCTCGCGCAGTGCCCAACATGCTGCTGCCGACTTCCGCAGGAGGTCTCAGCCCCGCCGGTACTTTTTGGTTCTTCGGTGCTATCACCATCTTTGGCGGCATCTGGGTCTGGATGAGTATTCCTGAGACTGCCGGGCGGGCCTTGGAGGATATGGGCAGCCTGTTCGACCTTCCGTGGTATAAGATTGGTCTTTATGGGCAAAAACATGCTAAGCTGGCAGACAACGAGGCCGTGCAGAAGGCCGAGGTCACCATTCAACACGTTGAATATGATACTAAAGAGCGCAAGTCAGAAGTGTAGGGACCACGCACCGCGAGCACGGATTGGGAAGATATTGTGAATGTGTTAATTGTAAGGCCTGCCACAGGAAGGTCATCGCAAGATTGAGGGGAAAGGATTGAGTGAGACAGACTATGCATTGGTAAGGAAGGAGGCTGTCTGAGATGAACATAGTACCGTGCGAAGAAGTGAATGTATGAAGCAGTTGCCGTTTAGGCAAGATAAAGGTTCACTCTGCAAAGGATATCTAGATGCAGCAAAGCACTTCAAATTCTCAACAGAGGCCCGCGAGCTGCGCTTCTGGGACTCTATCTAGATACTCGAAATATTGTAGAAGATGGCAGCAGGGCCTCGACCACGCTTCAACTCTACCTAGCCTCTACTTTCTTTCGGATCATAGTACATGTTACACTATATCTTAGTTTCTCATCTCTAGTCCCGATAATATGCTTTTCTTTTGTCTCGTGACGGTATTAGGTCACAAGAAGATGGATAATTTCTGCCCGTGCCGAATTTTGTGGCTGTCCCGAGATGTCCACCGGAGAGGACCGAGCGATGCGGTAAGTTACCCATTATCCGCAAGCTGGGTGAGTCGTGTCGCTCCGCATGAAGACCTGGAATGCCTTTATTCCCACGAGAAGTGCGAAGGGTCAAGCTGGCCAGCCATGTCGTCTCACGAAATTCCACCGAGTCATCTTTACTTTCGGGGTCTAATTGAGCTTCTTCATTCCCCTGTCTGTGAACTGTCAAGACTCTATTCCACCACCCTCATTCCCCGAATCCCACCACTACTTTCTATTATACCGGAGATCAGGAAGGAATATTCCTCATGGCGACTGTTGTCCACGTTGGTGAGTCTGCGCCCTCGACCGTTTCTATAGCCGGATGTTATGCAGACGACTAACCAAATGTCCTGTGGTCGGACGAGAATGCAGTCATGTTCAGATTTCGGCCCGAGATCACCCAAGAGCACAAAGACATGTTTCAGCGAGAATTGAAGAAGTTGAAGAACCTATCCTGCGTCAAGGACAACCGGTTGCTAGTCGGCGGTCCGTCAGTGACCGACCCGATCGCACGCAGTCAGGGCTTCCATTATTGCCTGGTCAGCTACCACCACAATCTGAAGGCTTTGGAAGAGTATCAGGCCAGCAAGGAACATCATGAGTAAGCTCCTCTCACATAGCTTGGACTTGGTCCCTGTCGGAATACCCTCTTTCATTATCAGCGGGACTACAGCTCACAGGTGCTTTCACAGTGTCACGAGCCGGCTCATGTGGCCTTTCATAGACGATGTTTGCCGCTTCGACTTCGAAGTGTCGCCTGAGGACGAGTATATGGTTGGTACAAGTCTACGTGGGATTGGAGAGGACAGTCAGGCCAACAGTGAGTCTGGGGGCTCGGAAGATTCGGGCAGCACCTACGAAACCGTTACAGAGCAAGGCATTTGAGAAATAAATGAGGCTCGAGCTACCACACGATACTTGGCCCAAGGCTCCGTGAGCGAGTCGAACCTGACCATAGCAATGGATTCCCGGATTCATAGATGTAGAAGGCAGAATGCAGGGGTACCAAGTAAAGCCTCCTGCTTAGACTTTGCGAGCTCTGTGAATCTGACCGGAATCTCTAGCTACAAAGGGAACGTGCAACTAATGGCGATCGTCGGTTCCCTGTTGATTACCTTAATTTCGCGTAGTCGCCGCTCTACTTTTTTCCTTGCGATCGGAAGCAACCGACTGGTATCGGAATACACTCCGCAACGAGGCGGCCACGCTTTCAAACGTGGCCGGTTTTGTGCGGGCTCGCCTGGGCTGATGGTGCAAGATGTCCTGATTACGGTCTCTAGCTTGCGGGTTGTACAAGTTTATGTTTACCATTAAAGAGTGCAACATTACACCTTTCGAAATGGCTCAAGACAAAGAACAGACCTACTTTGAGAGTTGGAGCCTAAGGAGGTTCCCTTTGGTATTGAACCATGGCTGGCAAAAACATTATTTCCGACCCGTCTGTGCTCATCGATGGAATGTGCAGGTCGATGCTCCTCCTGAATCCTGCGCTTAAATATGACTCGCAGTACAAAGGTGACTAACAGACTCCTATTCCAAATCAAATCGCCCCAAGACTGACAAGTTGCCAGTGGTATTCCAAGACAAGATCAAAGGGGAGCAGGAGCCACGCGTTACTCTCATCAGTGGCGGTACGTTAAAGCTATACTCATCGCCACTACTGGTGCCAAACGCTCACGCTATCAGGGGGCAGCGGCCATGAGCCAGCCCACGCCGGATACGTCGGAGATGGCATGCTCGATGCTGCTGTCTGTGGCTCGGTCTTTGCATCGCCAAATGTGCAGCAGATTCTTCAAGGGTTAGCACACGTGTCCTCGCCTAAAGGAACTCTCATCGTGGTCAAAAACTATACAGGCGACAAACTCAACTTCGGTCTTGCTGCCGAAGTCTACCAGGCGACGTCAGGGCATCCTGTAGAAATGGTCATGGTGCAAGACGACGTTTCGGTGCCCCGATCGCGCAACCAGAAAGTTGGTCGACGAGGTCTGGCCGGAGCGGTGTTCGTCCACAAAGTAGCTGGGGCCGCGGCCTCGAAGGGCAATTCATTGCAAGAAGTAGCTCGGGTGGCACAGTACGTGGCCGACAATACTGTCACCATTGGAGTGTCTTTGGACCGCTGCACTCCGCCCGGGCAAAACGAAGTGCGCCCTCTTTCGGGCGATGAGATGGAGCTTGGGATGGGGATTCATAATGAACCAGGTTCGAAAACGCTATCACCTCGACCGGATGTCATTACGCTCGTCGACAGTATGCTGCAACATCTCCTGGACCCGGATGACCCTGAACGTGCATATCTGGAGTTGAACGCTAACAACCAGGTCGTGTTGCTGATCAACAATCTTGGAGCCTTATCGGTCCTGGAGATACATGCAGTCACCCATGTCGTCCTCTCGCGACTGGAGGAAATCTACGGCATCCAACCGCAAAGACTGTATGTTGGGACATATCTGACAGCACTTAATACTCCAGGCTTCAGTATTAGTTTGCTTAATCTGGAAAGCAAGACGGGCAGCCCAGAGCTGACCTATTTGCTGTCACTGCTTGATGCTCCCACAAAGGCCTTAGCATGGACGCCCTCGCTGCTGTCAAAGCCCCCACAGCTCAGTTCCATCGGCAGCAGAATAGTCACTGGTGTCAAAAAGGCAGATCTATCAAGAGTGGAAAAGATACCATGCAAGCATCTTCCATCATGCACTCGCAGTATGTCAACTGACGGTGGAGCAGGTAACCCTTCAGTTATATCAACTTTGATACTCAGCATCTATGCTGAAGTCGCAAAACAGGAGCCCGAAATTACTCGCTTTGACACACTGATTGGTGATGGCGACTGCGGCACGACCTTGTTGTCTGGGGCACAAGCGGCTCTCGAAGTGATGCAATTGGAGTCAAATGATAGCTTGTCACACTTTTTGATCCAGGTCGCCACCGCTGTGAGAGAAACTATGGGCGGAACTTCTGGAGCTCTGTACGGCCTTTTCTTCGGTGCCTTTGCCAAAGCCGTTCAAGAGCATTACAAGCGTGACCGGCACCTTTCCTCTTTACTGTTCGCGAAGAGCGCACAAGATGCCCTGGAAACCCTCGAGCGGTACACTTCGGCCCGGGAGGGAAGTAGGACTCTGATGGACGCTCTTATTCCCTTCGTTCGGACATTTGTGGAGACATCTACCCGGTACAGTAGCCCTGCAAAGACTCTGGGAGAGTCATTGGCAGCTGCGAAGCGCGGCATGGAAGCGACCAAGACCATGCGGTCTTCGTTCGGTCGCTCGACGTATGTAGGGGCTGCGTCAGGTATTTCTGGCGATGAGACTCAGGATCCCACATGTGGCGTCCCCGACCCTGGAGCATGCGGTATCGTAGCCATTGTGACGGGTATATCGTCAGCTTTCGGCGGCAATAGTACTTAGGACTTCAATGCTTTCAGTGTCTATTTCAGAGTTTCAAAGCGTCTTTCGATAATTTCCCGATCAACAAAACGTATTCCAGCTGAACAGAAGTCAGCAATACCGCTAGAGCAATATAAGTATGCTAGGGCCACCACTCTCGGAGGAGCGAGGCTAGTAATCACACGTGGATTGTAGGAATGGCCCTGATTCCTGCGCTTGCAGATGGTGTCACACGGTTGGAAGTGTGAGCAAAGGCAGTTCATGCCGGACCGCTGATATGTAGCAGTCGGTCAATATCCGAAATAGTGGGATTGAAATTGATAGCACCGGCAGCTGTGCTTGAGCATGATTTCGGATGGAGTATCTTTGCATTCTATGCGAGCAGCACATCTAGACGCTTTTTTATCTTCTTCTTTCGGCTCTTATTTTTCGTTTTGTTTTGGTCTTCTGGACTATTTTGGACTTGTTAGGTCGCTCCCCTCCGTGTGATCGAGACTCCCGATACCTGATCGCTCAGGATGTCAGACTTTCCAAGCTGCAACTTAACGTGGCAGGTGCTACAAGCCGCTTCCAAGGGCAAATATGCCGTTGGAGCCTACAACTGGTGAGTGCAGTCATGGATTCTTTCTCCATCCATGTGAAGACTATCTAAGCAAGAGTGTGCTGTTTTATTGCTGCAGTTACAACGATGACGGGGTCATGGCGGTCATCCGGGCAGCTGAAAACAAGAGGTCTCCTGCAATCATACAACTGTTCCCGTGGACGTTGCACTTCCAGGGGCCTCAATTCGTCCAATATGTGGTGAACGCGGCACATGCAGCCTCGGTGCCCATCGCAGTCCACCTTGACCACTGCATCAAACAAGAAGACATCGACTTGGCATTGACCCTGCCGTTCGACTCGATCATGATTGATGCATCGACGCTGGAAGAGACTGAGAACGTAGCAATGTGCGCTCGAAACATTCAACGAGCCAGCAAAGCCGGCATCACGGTGGAGGTCGAGATGGGCCGGATAGATGGTGGTGAGGACGGCTTACCGCAGGTTTGCCAAGGCACGGTCTTGACGAAGCCGGAGGAAGCGACCGAGTTCATGTCCCGTACCGGCGCCCACTTTCTCGCTCCCAGCTTCGGCAATATTCACGGCGGCTATCCTGCTGGGGGAGCGGAGAGATCGTGGAATCTGCCTTTGTAAGTTGCTCACCGCGATGAGATACCACTTTTCCTCATCCGCTGACGCCGGGGCGCCCAAGACTGAGATCCCTCCGAGAGGCTGTACCTGATACGATCCCATTTGCACTTCACGGCACCCATCCGGTCGCGGATGAATTGTTTTCCAAAGCCATCCAATGTGGGGTCAGCAAGATCAACGTCAATCGGACGGTCCGCGATGAATACACTAAATTTGTGGCGGATAACGCGGGGAGGTTGGAATTGACCGTGCTGAAAGCCCAAGGAGTCGAGATTCATACAAAATCAGTGGAGCGGATTATGGATCTTTTCGGCTCGTCGGGCAAAGCATGATGGATCTCTGAGTTGTGATATATGTTGAACTGAACTCTCTATAGGCATCATGCACGGCGTCAAAATATGCAGGATGTTCCTAGCGTTGTCCTTTGACAAGCACTCTTTGCCGCTTCGGCACAAACGTGTAGACTAACTTTTCATTGGCATCTAGAAAAATACCACATCCTCAAAAGGCCACGTTTCTCTCAAGCTGTTTAGATGGGAGATACTTGTGCAATGTATAGTCCCTAGGGCTCGTCATGACCCCTCCTTCCGACCGTACATCAAGTCCTTCCAAGGGAAATCACCCATTGCTGATGACGGCATATGACTCTAGAAGATCCCTTTTACAAGTATCATGAGTCTCGGATGATGCATCCAACCCCCGCGAACCTTGCTGCTATCCCACTGGCCCCGCTCGGACCTGTCCGAGGGAAATGCGGAAAAACTCCGACACCCTTCCCACCCCTTCTCTCCTGGCTTTCATGTGGTGTGCTATCTCTTGACACTTTTCGAACTCCGAGGGGTAGCTCGAGCTGGACTTGGTCAATCCTCAGGGAACTTGACAATACTTGTTTTCCCCTGAGAATCTCTTTATACCAAGTATGGCATCTTCGAACAGGATCACGGATCCTGACCAACCCAATGAAGGGCCGGGCCTAAGTACGGGGACTGGTTCGAAGAAAAAAAGACCTGGAGCGTGCACTCGGTGTCGACACCGAAAGGTACGGTGTGATGGCCAACTTCCATTCTGCAGTAATTGTTTGAAAGCTGGGACCGAATGTGATGTTGGTACTTCCTCTACCCAAAGGTCAGTCCTATTACAGGTTCTCATCACACCCATAATGCGCCATATTCCGATGTCTAACCCTGCCGGTCATCATGGCCATGTTAAGACACTCATACTAAGTTCGTTCAACGAGAAAGCCTTCTCACTAGACTCCATCATCTCGAGTCGCTCGTGAAGACTCACGGGCTAGAGAGCAACCTGCAGGCAGAGGTAAGCACCACGTCTGATCCTAGCATCGGACGGATGCCATTGCCTCAACAACAAGGTGCACCTTCTGCAGCAGAGACATTTGCGAACCCAAACTCCGTCCATGGCGTTGCGCCGGCACCTAACCTCAACAGAAGACAGCCTGTTGCAAGGCCTGTTTCGCCCGCATTGACACATTATGATGCATCTGTCAGTTATGGACCTTCCACCTCCCCTTGTACGACAGAGGCACCCACCATAGGGACGCAGGAACCCATAGCCCACGAGGTGGGAATGCTGTCACTATCGAACAGCGTAGAGCCCAAGTATATTGGACCGTCGTCTGGGCTCACCTTCGCGAGACTGATTTACGCTGCTGCTCCCGAGTCCCAAGGCCTCCCGGTCACTCTACTCGGAAGCAAACAAGGTAGTACCAACAGCCCCAGCCAAGAACAGAATACCAGGGCGTCACTACCAGATGTGAGAGAGATGCGTCGCTTCATTGATACATATTTTGAGACCATCCATTGCCTTTACCCATTTCTGAGCGAATCAAACTTCTTGAAAACTGCAGAAAGAATCCGACATCTCCCTGATCAAGAGGTTCAACCATCTACCGCCACAGACAGGTCAATACCGGGCGCACCAGACACCAGATCAATCGATCACATTGATTATGCTCAGCTATTCCTGGTCCTCTTCTTGGGAGCCAGTCTTCTTGAAACACGACTGTCTCAAGACTTCAGGGCCGAGAGCTACCTCTCCACCGCCATGCTTCATGTCTCACTTGTTAGCCTTCACGAGAGCCTTCGGGGCCTACAAACCCTTCTTCTCCTCACCTTGAGCAGCCTTCACTCTCCTCATGGATTGAATGCCTGGTTTCTCAAATCAGCCATTCTGGCTGGTTGCATTGACCTGGGTTTGCAACGGAAGATTATCGTTCCTTGTAAGTAAATTTTCTTCCAACCTCGTCTTCCCTGACAGCCTCTAATAGTGCCTCGTGGTAGCAGCAGGGTTGACGCCTTCAAGACTGGATGAACATCGGATTCGTAGCGGCATATTTTGGTCTGCTTATTCACTTGATCGAACACTAAGTGTGGCGTTGGGTCGACCTCTAACATTTCGTGACGAAGCCATTGATATTGAATTTCCTGATGCAATAGGATCAGAAGAAGTTGACCATGGGGCTATCAATCTGTACTTGACTGCTCATCAAACGCAGGAGGGGCCTTCCCGAAAGAAACAACGGCTGACTCTCACTCCAGCCACTCCGGCGGCTTATTCATTCCGCTTTGACCGGATCTTCGCAGAGATCAAATTGATGCTGCACAGAGTGGCTCAATCGCCTTCGCGCTTCCCATGGCCGACCAACTTTGGAGAATGGCAAAGGCAGACCCATGCCGCCTTGTCTAGGATCCTGGATGACTCTCAACAAGACCTTGACCGACTGGATGCTCCCGGTCGTTCTCGTGGAGTCCACAATATTGCCGTGGTATCACTCGAGCTCAAATACCATCAGGCCATCATGCTGTTGTATCGACCGAGTCCGGCGATTCCCCGGCCAACGGCATTGGCCCTGAAGTACTGTTTCGAAAGTGCAGTTGGCACCATCTTAGCCCAGGCCGAGCTGCAGCGCTTCGGGAATTTTGCAAATTCCTGGTTGAACGCGCACACGGTCTTCATCTCGGGCATCACCATCTGCTACTGCCTGTGGGTCAGCCCACAGATCAGAGGCGTCACGGCGTCAACTACCTTTACCTCCTACGCCGACACGGTAAAGCGACTGCTGACCACCTTAAGCGCAACCTGGTCCGTTGCCTCTAGCGCTTTACAGAAATTCGAGGCCTTGGTCCAACTCACCGAAACGTCGTCTCAGTTAAACATGCCAGAAACCGTTCCTGTCAACCCTTCGATTGCGAAGGAAGGTCAAGGAGGGCCGTGGCCAACCGTCCCGCAAAATGGATTATCAGTCAGTGATGACCTGGACTGGTCAAGCTTCGATCTCGAATACGACAACACCAACGCCTGGCCGCAAGAGCTGCTCGACGTCCCGGACTGGTTTTCTTTGGCAGATTGGCTTAACGACTATAGCTCGGCGCCACTTGCCTGAGTTTCCATCTTTCAAGTGTGGACAAAATATGGACTAGCAGTCGTTATTGGGCTCACAGAACCATATAAAAAGATTTCTTCGCTATCAGCACGCAGTGGTCCTTCCAACTTTGCCCCCTGCGATGCAGGATCGCTTCCAAAAGGTGACCGTGGATCCCTACTCGTTAAGTTCGGTCCTCATGCTCTCAATTGGTCTCTGATATTCCTGAAGTCCACATCATATGAGGATGAGATGATCTCCAACAAGAATCAGCTGATGTCTTTTTTCACTTGGACGAGCAGCGCCACACGGAACCCCGCGAGAAGGTGCAGTCCCACCGTCATTGAATAAATACATGTATGTTGAGATGTCATAACATACTCTCATGTGTCGGTCTTTCTGTTTTTTGGTAGGATAGTAATAAGCAGTCGCAATGGCCACAGAAACGCGTTCACCGTGAGCTCCCTATTTGGAGATGGTCTCATCACTCTAACAACGGTATCCGAACTGCGATTATCTATCACAAGAATTACGTCGACAAAAGCAGCGACCCAATCGTATCGTAAGCTTTTGGCACCAGCCTCACGAAGGCGGGACATGGGATGGTAAGAACCCTGTGCATCTCAGCTAAGAGAACGATAACTCAATTTGTTCTGCAACAGGGGTTTTGTTGGTGGATCCGGCAACAGGACACAGAGGCCGGACAGACTATCGAGGGCGACCCGAACGATCAGAACTAGACAGTCTTGAGCTCGAAGCGTGCAATAAACGACATCAAGCGTCCAAATGACACAAACACGAACACGGCAAAAGTCAAACTTCGAGCCCTCAACGATCCAACGAACACCCTTGCAGTTTGGGGAAGCCGTACCAAGGTGGCTATGTTGACATTGCCGAAGGGCCAACTCATCATTACAGCGACGCGCCTTTTCCTCATTCCGTCGCCGGACTCCTCAAGCGTCACTGCTTGTTCGAAGATATCCAAAGCTATGTTCGAGAATACCAGAAAACTCTTTCCAACAGCGGCGACCGAAGGTCATTGGAGCCAACAGTGGCTATCCAGATTACAAAAAGTATTGCTGTGGCAAACTGGATGGTCTTGATCCAATATCTCCAAAAAGTCATTCACCAGGTTGACTGGAATGCGAAGTGGTATGACGACAGGATCAAGAAATTGTCAACATTGTCCATCCGATGTCGAGATTTCAGGGAGGAAGTTTCATCCAATATACGACAGCTTGGACTGCAGGGAGCTCGGGAAGCCTGCCTCGACCCTGAACTGCAGCGGGAGCATGACAATTGGTCGTATCTTCTCGCCGGGCTCGATGAAATCATCGTTCAGATACACTTATACCATGAAACCTTTTCGACTGAAGACAAAGAGAAGCGACAACAAGAAGCACATAAGAGAGAGAGAGGAAGATTGACAGGCGCATCAACATGCTAAATGTGCTGGGCGGCATTTTCTTACCGTTAGGTCTGGCGACAAGTCTACTCAGTATGGGAGGAGATTTTCTGTCTACTTTGCTGTTGCGATTCCACTAACGACAGCCTGCCTGTTGTTTGCACACCTCTGGCTCCAAAGGCCGCTAAATCAAGAAGGGCAAGATAGTCCAAAACAACATCCGGCAGATCAATATACCACGGACCAACAAACTGCAAAGAATCCATATATGGGCTCACTCCTCCCAGTCTGATCGGATAACATGTAATCTCGTTCTGCCGATGCGGAAAGCCGGCGCAACAACCTCGATTGAGCTGCAATCCGCACTAACGTGCATCCCCTACAAGGGAGTCTTTTGGCACGAGCAGCGGGACACGATCACTACGATAATGTGACATGCTACAGGACCTTGGTCTGGCAGATTTCCACCTTGGTTTCCAGGACGAAATACTAGTGTCCAAGGTCAAAGGCGCTATAAAAGGCGCTGAAAGAGGACCCTCGGAGCTCCCATTGGCTACATAGACGGAAAGAATTCTGAGAGGTTGGTTTCTCTACTTTTGAGCCGCCGCAGAAATATGACGAGGAGCTCGAGGATTGCGATGCGCTACCTCAGCTGTCATCAGAGGCTCAGGAGCTCGTCCGGAGATCAGCTTTCAGGAGAATTGTCCGACGAAGTGTTATGACGATTTAAGGTCGTTCTATCCTGGTCAAGCATTCCTCATCAACTCAGTGATCAAGGGTGAGATTGGTCTGGTCAATTGAGATGGTCAGGAGCGTACTCAGTAAGGAGTATTCGGACACGTTAATCTGCATGCCCAATCTAGTGAGTGATAACGTACACGAATCAACTTCAGTAAAGTCAACAGACTTATACCATGTCGGCCCTCGGTCCGCTCCCGAAATGCTCTGAGATCGTTGCCTGTCCTATAGACCGTTGAACTTCCGTGTTGCCGAGCATCTGACCCAGACCATCGGTAGCCGTCCTAGTGTTGGAGCTGTCTACGCTCACCAGCCCTTGCTCGTGGGGAACTGTATGTGCCGTGGGGAAGAAAGCTTGTTTGCTCCGTATTGTCGCTGGGTTTGAACTTTTTGCGGAAGAAGAGCCATGGGACATCCCGCTAAAGACAGTGGGAAATAAAGCCGTAGTGGCGTTGCCGACCTGTGAAATGGCTTGAAGAACTATAAAGATCCCGGTCGAGGCCAGAAACCTGTCACTCGGACGGCCCATCTAGCCCATGGCATCCTAACATCCTTTGTTGGACTTTGCCCTGGGGACAACATGAGGGTGCTATTCTGCTTGACAGCGGCTTGGACCATGTTTCAACTTAACTCTGCCACTTTGCCGGCCCATTCCTGGTAACAAACGTCTAGTCATGGACAAGTAGGGATGTATAGTGACAAGGCAGCAGGGACTCGCACATTCACATCATTGACCCCGACAGATTCCCATTGGATCCGGCTCGTGGTGAGTATACAAAACCTCCCTAAAGATACATGCATAGCCCTTAGACTGACGGGTTGACAGAGTATACGCCAAAACCCGCGACTGCCGCGAATGCGACAACGTTCCAAAAGAAAGTCGGCCAGTCTCACTTTGTCATTGTGCTCCCCAGCTTTTACGGATGCAACAATAGCGTGCTGCTGGATGCGCTGAATCACTTCAACGGCACAGCTCGGGGTGTGGCAGTCGTTGACCCACACACTGTGAGCAATGAGACGCTCGCCACCCTCAATGCCACGGGCGTCGTTGGTCTTCGGATCAATCAAGGCGGCGACGAAACCCCGGAGGAAGTGATACAGAGAGTCAAAGATAACGCCGTAATTGCCCGACAATGGGACTGGGCCCTCGAGCTTTGGATTGACCTGAAAATCTTCCAGCAGTTGCACGCGATCATCCCAGACTTAGGCGTCCGAGTGGTGGCAGATCACTTTGCCCATGCACGGGTCGCATCGGCGTCGAACCAGACTTCCTCGACCATCGACCCGTACACGATCCCCGGCTTCACCCAGGTGATTGACCTCGTGTCCCGCCGTCTGCTCTTTGTCAAGATATCGGCCCCCTATCAGAACTCCAAGCTCTACCCGTACTACCAGGATCTGGAAGCGGTGGCCAGGGCTCTGATCGCAAACGGACCGGACATGGTCGTCTGGGGATCCGACTGGCCCCATACCATAAGTGCCTCCAGCATCGACCCTGCAGACCGCATGGTTCCTCAGAACTTCCGAGACGTCGACGACATGGCCATGATCCTGCAGACGATGCAGTATGCAAGTAGTAAAGAGCAGATCCAGCGCATGTTTGTGGACAACCCTAGACGACTGTGGAAATGGTACGACAGCACTACATAGAAGTATGTCAAGATTACATCTTAAGTGTATGACGAGGAGAGACTCTAGCCAGTATCTTTCTGTTGTGCGAGTTATACGTCTAGACATTGCGTATCTTCCCCTGTCCTGTCTGACTTGAATAACTTGTATTCCATGGGGTATTAGCGAATATGACTTGAGAAGTCTTCATGACCCATTACGTATGAGGATTTGTCGCAAATTTTAACTTGGTATCCTTGGAGACACAGATCAAATCTCACGTGTTGAGCAAGTCGTGGGGAGTCCAAGGCCGCTGGCATTTTCACTAGAGGACTAACAGTAAATTTGATCCTGGCAGGATGTGAACCCACATCCCCACCGACGAAGATCAACTTCGAGCGACTCGACGGACGGTTTGCTGCCGTTATCCAAGTATCCTTTGCCCAGGCCGTGGTAACACGTACTATACACTATCCAGCTCGCGCCAAGCGAGGGGAGCCTTGGGTGAGCATAGGGCGGCGTCACCCCGACCCGATCCGGGGTGAGCGGCGAGCCAGTTTTACTTATCTTGGCAGCGTGGCAGCCTCTCAGGGCGTCACAATACAATAAGCCAAGGGAATTCTTTATTACTATTCCTCGCGGCCATCACTCAACACATCAAAGCTCAGGCAATGCACTCGTCATCCTCCTCCGTCCTGCCACCTGACATATCGGCTCAATGCTCACACCGACGACCACAGAGATTGCATATGGAAATGGGCAGCCCCCATCCACCATCACTGCAATACCGACGCAGGTAGGAAACAAAGCAACATCAAGTAAACTTGCTCGTCTCCTTGCTGCCCTACCTACAGCATTGTTCTAGCAATGCCTCGTCAAACAAGAGTCAGGCCTGGGGTTAAATCTCTCTCCCCACCCTCAGCTTACTAGTTGCTCACCGGAGAACTGAAGTGCTGACAGCAGACAGAGTAGGTCGGTGCAGTCAAGCATCTCTTGTATTTATTGTGTCTGTTTGTTTGTTTGTTCACCGCAATGCCTCACCGAGAAGTGTCACTCGCATGTCACTCACAGTTTGAGCCTCTCTCTCTCTCTCCCCCCTCTTGACCTTCGACCGCCATGTTCCCTGCCAACTTCCTCCAAATCATCCTCCATGGCTTGAGCTTTTCCACTACACAATCACTTGACCTGCAACCCGGCAAGATGCTGGCGACGCCGTCTCTTCAGGTGGCTGCATCTCTCGGGGCAATCCTAGGCTCAGTGGCTGCATCCGCGACCCCCACACCCTCATCCGGTGGCTTATTGGTGGACGCAGCGCCCCGAACGCCTCAACCGTACGTGCTGCCGAATCTGCAGGGTGACGCCGTGGATTTCGGGGGCTTGATTATCCGAACTCTGGTCCCCAATACAACGTCGTCGGGCGCCTTTTCTCTCGTTGGTGTCAACTCGGGTGCAGCTCCTCTGAACCTCGTCCACCGGCACCAAGAACTAGAGGCCTTCTACACCCTCAAGGGCAGTGTGCAGGTCTTCCACAATGCGGACACCGGTCGTGAGCTGCGTGCCAATGACTTTGTGTTCCTGGCTCCGGGCAACAACCATACCTATCGTCCCAATGATCTCGACTTCCAACTCACCCTAGGGATGGCTCCGGGGGGCATTGACCAGTTCTTCGCTGCTGCTGGCCTTCCCTACAATTCCGCCGCCCCGTTCGATCCACAAGATACCTCGCAGCTCAACGTGACCAAAGTTCTGGGGCTGATGCCTCAGTACAACATTGTCCCTGAGCCATTCAACACCATCAATCTCGATTGGACAAACGGCACCACGGCAGATGGCATGGACACCTGGCACGTCGCCGATCAGTCTTTGCCCGATGATCCCACCCAAGCATACTTCGTCTCCAGCAACCGCGGCCCCAAATACCTGCATCGGAGCTCTGGCCAGGTCATCGCGCAACTCGCTTCGGGCAAGCAGACCAACGACAAGCTCAGTGTCGCCAGCATCGCCATCAAGCCGCATCACATGCTGTCTCAGCTGCAATTCGACGTCGATCAGGCCGTTCAAGTCACTGAAGGCCAGCTGCATCTGGAAATCGGTGGCGAGGAGGTACAGTTGATCTTTGGCGACCTGGCTTTCATCCCCAAGGGGACATGCTTCAGCTATTGGTCAACCGTGAGCTTCACCAAGGTGGTCAACTGGGCGGCGGGCTCGGGGCTTGCCGACAGGCTGATCTCCGAGGCTGAGGCATGGGAATATGGAGTTTGGCCTGCCTGAGCCTCTTTTTCTTACGGCGCTGGTGCTTGTTTGATTCCACGAAAATGGAAATCCGGCGTTCTCGAGTTCCAATCGGACCTTCTCCAGTTGGATGCAGGATCTTGGAAAGCGAACAGGAATAAATTCAATGTGAACGATAAAACGACATAGCTATTTTTTTTCGATTATCATATATTCGTGTGTTTGCTCCGATCGAAGCGATGCAAGCTAAGACGTTCAATGCTCTGATTGACTCGAGAGAAGAAGAAAGAAAAACTACGCTGGCGTCTATCGTCCAAAGTACTTCAGCTCCAGATATCTCGCGGGCGTGTATACCAATCCGGTCACCACAAAGGCAAACTCGTTGGCCACATCGCCGCCGTAGTCACCGATCAGTTTCCCCAGCGGGCCCGTGTACCAGGTCTCGACCATGCCCATGCACCAGGCGACGATGCCCAGGCCGAAGGCGGCGAAGGCGGCAATGCCGTGGGGCAGGCGGCGGGGATCGTTCCAGGCGTCGAGGTCGTAGTTGGCGAAGTTGCGGCGGCGGAAGATGACGTGCTCGGAGAACAGGATGACGAAGTACGAGGTGCACCAGTAGCCCAGCAGCGAGAGGAAGTTGACGAGGTAGGTGTTGAGCTTCTCGCGGCCGCCGAGGGCGATGCCCAGGATGGCGGCGAAGCAGGCGAAGGTCCAGATGAAGCGCGGCACGCGGGCGAGCGGCCGGGCGAACTGCTGGCACGAGATGGCGGCCGAGTAGATGGAGATGACGTTGGTGTTGATGCCGGACAGCACGAGCAGCACGAGCAGGAACTTGGCGAAGCCGCGCGGGTGCAGCATGTCCTGGATCAGGAAGCCCAGGCCCTGGTTCTCGTACGCGGCCTCCCAGCTAGGTTTGTTGTTGAGGGCCGACGCCACCACGGCGCCCGCGACCATGCCGATCGAGGTCGGGATGCTGATGCCGAACGTCGTCATCAGGAACACCTTGACCCGCGACACCGTGGCCGGGTAGTGCACGTAGTAGTCGGAGGCCATGGTGCACCACGAGGCCGAGGAGCCGTAGACGATGGCGACCAGCGAGAGGGCGGTGCCGGACAGCGTGGCGCCGTGCAGGGACGACGGGGTGGTGTTGTCGGCGTGTCTGCCCGTCTCGCCGAAGATGATCATGAAGATGACGAAGAAGATGAGCCAGGCGTAGCGCTCGTAGACCAGGATGGCGTTGAGGCCGACGAATGAGATGCACAGCGCCACAATGGCCAAGATGACGATTCCCACGGCCAGGGAGACGTGCCCGTCGGCCACGGCGTTGAGTGCCAGACCCCCGGTGATGCACGACACGGCGGCCCAGCCGATCTGCTGGACGGTGTTCAGGGCGGCGATGATCTTGTTCGGGTACCATCCGAAGCTGTACCGCGAGACCGAGATCTGTCGCAAGCCCGTGGCGGCGCCGAACGTCGCGCAGTAGCCGGTCACGGAGCCGCCCAGGATGGAGGCCAGGATGTAAATGGGGATGGACTGCTTGAGACTCAATCCAAACTCCCAGCCCAAAAATCCGGTGGCGAAGCAGGACGTGTTCATGGTCCCGCTGGCCCAGAGCAGCGCCATGGTGAGCTGCTCGTGCCAGGGCACGGGTTTCTTGTCCTCGGGACGCTTGCGGTCGATGGCCTCGCTCTCGACGCCCAACTTCTCGTCCATGCGAGCCTCAAGCCGACGCAGCTTAGACAGGAGGCCATTGTCCTGGCGGACGGGGGTGTTGTTGTACAGCTGAGGGGACTCCTCCGACGTCGGACTGGACGTGGTGTCGAAGCCCTTCTCGCCGTCAAAGGCCTTGCTGGTCATCATGGCCGGTGCAGACGGGAGCCCTTTCTCCTCGTCGATAGCCATTGTGTTGGTGCACAGGGAACCCGTATGGATCGCTTGAGAAGGCGACCGGTGGAAGAAGAGGAAGACCACGGCGCAGGTGTCGCGTGAGACTGCGGTTGCGATTGCGGGGGTGAGAGAGCAATCCCCATGGCCGTGGCGCCCCCTGCCGTCGTATTTATCTTGTCATGGAAGTGGGATGCCCGTGCAGGGAGCCCATGCCACGTTCACGGCGGCCCGTTGTTGGAGGGCGCATCCACCTGCCCAATGTCGCTAATCCCTCGGTATATCATCACTTCCAGAACGTCTTCGATTCGCCGTGCGCGAGATAGCAGCCACTCCTGCCATTGGAGGGGCAGGCTGTCTGGACGATCCTCTCTCGGGCTGACAGCCTCAACGGGGCAAGGTAGCATTCGGCAGAGCTTGAGGGAGGGTGGAGGGTGGCGGGTCTTTGGTGGATTGTCAAGCATTTTGCTTGTGTGGGCTCGCCGAAAGCTTGGTCACTAGTTTGAGATCTGGTTTTTTTTTTCTTTCATCTCTTGTGGTCTGGGCAAAGTCGATTAGCTTTTTGGTCTTGACTGACTCCAGACCTGAGGGCATTGCCATTAAAGGTGGCAATTGTCACGAGTCGAGGACACTGTGCAGGCAGTCAGTGGTCGGGGGGGTGTTGATTACACTAATAAAAGTCGAGGTGGGGACGAGAGAGATAATAGAGAGGTGGGAGAGATTACATATTACGCCTGATGTTATCGTTCCAACTTCCATCTCTCCTGCATACGTAGCGCGTACGTCCTGCGGACTTTTCCACAACGCCTTTCACGAGGGATGATCCAACCCTGGACTGCAGCTCAATGTCGGCATCCAGGTCAATACCAAGATGCTCAGCTCCGGGATCCGAAGTTCAATTCGGCCCTATTCTGAGAAGAACTGGTCATGGCATCGATGTGAACAGTAAGAAGAACAAGGTAACAGGAGGTGTCTTATGCACTGCTTCTGGCGTGACTTGATACCAGCTCCATCCACTCTCTTCCCTCTCGGACTCCAAGCACCTATGACATGCAGATTTTTCAGGAGGGCCAACTGGTGTTGATGGAAGAAATTCCCTGCTGAAGACTGGGCAGCCGGGCAGTGTAACTTTCTCCAGCATACGTCTCGAAATAAGAGAAATCAAGAATGGCATCGGACTGCACTTTGCGACAAACCACCTGGGCCACTTCCTCCTCATGAAGCTCCAAATGCCCAAGATCCTTGCCTCGGCTCCTGGTGCGCCCATCTTGAATCCTACGAGCCCCTGCTACAAGATCAGTCCCGTCCGTTTCGACGACTACAACTTTACCGACGGCAAAGAGTATGATCCCTGGTCGGGATATGGTCAGGCAAAGACTGCAAACATCCTCCCCACCCGAACGCTGGCTGACAAGCTCCGGTTCACTGCCATGCCGTTCACCCTGGAGCCATTCTGACCACGAGCTTAGGCCGATACATCACAGACGTCGAAAAGTCTCTGGCGAGTATCGACCCTGTAGCTGTCAAGAACGTCGGCCGCCATTTCATCATGACCGAGGACATTCCCTAACCTATCGAGCAGGGCATCAGGGCCACGCCCATAGCGGCCTTGGATCCCACCTGGGAGACGCGAAAGTTGAGCCAACGTACGAGTACGGAGGAGTTGGTCGGTGAAAAATTTGACATCTGGTCGGGGCAAGACAGGATCAGAAAGTGCTTGGAAAGAACAGAAAGACTGCGTTGATTGGGCTGTGTCTGTTGCCATTGAACATCCATCCACCCTCTAAGTGCGGGTCGAAAATTATATCTAACCGGACCGTTGCCTTCCATCCCTCAATCAGTGTCCGTGTCCAGCGAGAAAGGTCAGTGGCTGACTTAACACACTAGAGTTGAGACCAAGACGACTAACGAAGATAAAAGAATTAATGACGGGATTGCCTCGCCTAGAGTATGCCTATGTCCAGCTCGTGGACAGGACTGCTGATTTTCCCCAGGGGAAAAGAGTGTGACTTGACACTTCAGACGCTGTACAAGGTTATCGACGAGAGCGTCAGCCAGGAGGAGAGCCTTGCGAAGTATCGCGTCCCGGGCCCTGACGCTGCATCTAATGTCCTCGAACAACTTGCATATCTGTGAGCGAGACATGCTTGACATGACTACGATCGGTCAACCACGGCGCTCAGGACTATTCCGGCTCAAGGCGACTCGACGCTCTCTACTCCTTGTCGTGGGAATGCAGAGAGGAGGGATCCTGGCTGGCTTCCAGACTCCGTCCATTTGTTTTGTCGTCAAATATCCTGTGTGAACGCCACCACGCAGCCAACGGACCGTCCTGAGCCCCAACTTCCTCGAGTCTTTTACACTCCCCGCCCTCGAAGACCCGATGAGGCCTTCTCTCCACACGCTGCCCCGTAAGCAGCTAGACACCCCGCCGGGACTTTCCACTTGTGTCTTAGGTGACTCTGGCTACTGGATACGGCAACGGGCATGCGGGCCGGGCAGTGAACATGCTGTCAGGGCATAGAGCATCAGAGCATTTTAAATACATGAGTATTACCATAATGGATGCAGGGAGTGATTCTAGCGGATAGAAGAAATGACTTGAATATTGCCTGAGCCTCCGACGAGACTCCTTCCTACCTCCCAAGCACAGCACTCAGGCCGGCCTCGTTCCAGGTTTGATTATTCTTGGATCTCGCGCACAAGGTTCCAAGCAACAACAAGCACGCAAGGATGGTCCGGACCAGCGAAATATGCGCCGCCCGGGTTCACGATTGTGTCTAGTCACTTGGTGCCAGTCCGACTCGACGCGCCTCATCTTCTCGGTCAAGGGAAAGGCAAGGCGCTGGTGCTGCACAAACTGGAGCAGAGGGCAGAAGAGTCAGTGGGGGTTGTGCGCCCAGTGTCACGGGCCTAGCCACCTGATCAGTGTTCTGTTGACTGGCAGTGAGACAGAGTGAGCAGCAGATACGACTGGATATCAGCCTGCGATATCAGCCTGCCGGGGCACGACAACTCGGAGGATAGGTATATAGCCGAGTGAGAAGGGGACATCCTTGTTCAGAGCCAGGCATCTCAGTTTCGACAACACAATGATCACCACGCGATCAAGCATAGCTCATGTAGAGATCGATCTCTACCTCGTGACGATTTACTTGAGAGATGTCGCACCAAGATTACCACATGCGAGCTCACCCTTCCTGGTACTCCCCGGCTGACCGATAAATCTACTTATTCTCTAGATACTTTCGGGTTGTCTCGACCAGATACTTGGTCATATCCTCTGGATGCGAAACATAGGGAAAATGGTTCCCCGGAAGCATCTTGATTGGGATGCCAGCCTTGGTTGCGATCACGACATTGTTGAAGAACTGCCACATGGGCGTGCCCGAGCCCACGGTCCAGTCGATCGGTCTCTTGTGCAGGTCGTCGTCACTGATGGGCGCCGACTGGGTCAGTTTGTTGATGTAGCCATGGGCCCAGCGAGGATAGTTCTTGCCCAGCCTCTCGTGCACCTCATCACCCAGAGCATCCCATGCGGCTTCATTTCCCGAAGCGGCCCTGGTGTGACGCGCCGTAATGGCTGCGATGGAGGAGTCGTCTTGGGCCAGGAGGTCGGCGATATGGCCCATGAGAAATGTCGGCGCCTCATGTGGCAACCCATTACGAACCCGCTCCGGATAGTCCGCACAGAGCGCTAGGACAGCCAGTGCACCAGAACTGCAGCCCCAGAAGGAGGCATATTGAATGTCTAGTTGGTCCATCAGGCCGATCACCATGGCAGCCAGCTTCTGGGCAGTAACGTCCTGATACGTTTCGGGCGGCGCGTTAGATGATCTCGACATCCCAGGCATGTCGAACGTCGTCACAGTGAAGCCCTCAGCAGCGATAAGGGACATGGGCTTGTCCATCATCTGACATTCACCCAGTCCATCTGGAATCAACACAACGTGAGGGCCTGAGCCTTCTTGTTCGTAATACCATGTGATCCCGTCCTTGGTGGTGACTGTCGACCTGGTGCGCGTCGAGTCCATGGTTGGCGGTATGTGTATGTCTGCGTCAGAAGTGGTGATGATGGACAAGAGTTCGGGCTTTGCATCTCCAACGGAGTCGTACTTATGACGGTGGGAAAATAAAAAAGCAGTGCACAGTAAATGAGCCGCATGCGTACAAGCGGGAAGGTGGGAAGGTGGGAAGGCGGGGAGGTGCTACAATGTGCCACTCCATATCTTGGATGGACGGCTCCAGTTCACGACTTGGGATAAGGTATCTTACGAGGGTCGAGTTGAGGCTCACCAGACCGTGACAGGTGGTAGCTAGGAAGTTGATGGAAAGTAACACCTACTTGTAGGTACCTGGCTATTATTGCCTCAGGTATGGGAAGAGATAGTGGCCTCAATCCTTTGAATGAGTGAGTCCTCTGCAGCAAATTACAACCAAAAAAGGGGGTGCATCATGACCACTGGCGACGAATGTGCGGGGCATTATCGTAGTGGACAAGGATAAACCATGTAGGAGGCTCTTGACAAGGAAAGCCAGGAGCGACGAGGAGGAGGAGGAGGAGGAGAAAGAGTCTGGAGCGAGAACCTGGAGAAATGATCCCCTTCGACCCCTAATGGGCACTATTAATTAATATTGTTAATATAATATCATCCACATTGCCCCGTTGCGGTCGCCTCGTGTGCACGGCAATCAGCATCGCCTACAAAATCCCCAACAAAATACGCGGCGTCATCTTGGCCGACAATAAGATTTGCCCTTTCTCCGCGCCTTAGCCGTTGAAGCTTGCGAAAAGCTTAGGTACAAGTTGTCTATTCATTGGCCCCCAGAAATGAGACAGCCGCACAGGCACAGGCTACTAGGCTAACTCTTTGGGCTGCATTCACTGACTGCTCACTGCTCGTCACGGGCGCTCAATACGAGAAATGGAGGCTAAGTCTCCTGCACGCTCGGCTGGGCGAGAAGAGGCGATTCGGTAGTCGAAAAGACAGACTTTGGAGGCTTGAGGCTGGAACTCTGCAGACCGTGTGTGCTCTTCTCAGTTCATGGCCGGCCCAGAATATTGTTAGAGACATGGCTCGTTTGTGTTCTGTCGTTGTTCGCTACGAAGGAAAAGGAACCCTTCATTCTTTTGCTCGCGGTGGGCTGCGTAGGACAGTCCACGTTCCTCTGAGCCTCAATTGCTGCTATGGGCACAAGAAGCGACTACTCCAAGGTACCTCACCAGGACCAGGTTGACAGCCTCTCAACCACGCCGTCCACGGAGAACTACAAACCCAGCGGCACGGCATCTGTCGACGCACATGAGGCCGTTGCCGTTGCCGTCGTCGGCCACCGCCACAGCAGCAGCAAATGGTCACAGCTGAGGAATGACTACTGGTTCGACGAGGTTGCCAGCTTAATCCTCGGGATCGTCGCTATTGGGGCGATCTGCGCCGTCCTCGCGACCTACGATGGACAACCTGCGCCTCGCCTGCCGCATGGCATCACGGTGGGCTCTTTTCCCAGCCCAGCACACATATACCATTTTTTTGGTCGGAGGCTGATCTGTCTGCATTAGCTGAACGCCATCGTGTCTTTTCTCGCGACCATCGCCAAAGCGTGCTTGCTTGTCCCTCTGGCGTCGGTGATCGGTCAAGGGAAGTGGCTGTGGTTCCTCAACAGTCACAAGCTCGGAGATATACAAACATTGGATGCGGCCAGCCGTGGCCCCATGGGCGCCGTACAAATGCTCACGACTCGACGGGGAGGGTGAGTATTTGATTATCAGAACCTCGCATGAGTCTACTCTCATGATGTTTGGTTGATCTAGCTTCCTCGCTTCCATATCAGCCGCGGCGGTGTTGCTCTCCGTCGGATTCGATGCGTTCGTCCAGCAACTGATCACCTACCCTTTGCGACAAACCTCGCAGCAATCCGACCTCGCCCGGATACGGACCATGGTAAATCGTGAGTGTCCCTGACTAGACTTCATGAAGTCGCAGTTTTAGCATGCTGCTTACCACTTCCTTTCTAGAGTCGACCTCGTCCATCAACTTTCTGGATCTCCCCTTCTGGTCCGCCGTCCAAAGCGGGATTTATGACGGCCAGTCGAGCCCGCGTTCGGTCCCCTCATGTCCCCAAGGGAGCTGTGAGTGGCCCGTCTACCACTCGCTCGCGTTCTGCAGCAAATGTGTCAACATGACGGACCATGTCACCATGACCACGGAACCGGGATCCCTGGTGCCCTTGAACGCCAGTCGCATCATTGAGCAGTATGTGCCGTACATCTCGGCCTATACACTGGCAACCGATGGCAATCAATCAGTCGTCGTGCTGCGTAACCAATCGGTCCAATTCCCAAACGGCGTGCCGGGCCAGGTCATCTTTTCGGTCGATGTCGACGGGCCCGCCATCTACAATGAGAACGGCACGGCGGAGATCCCGAACTCATGCGGCCTAGACATGAATTACACCACTGGCCTGGTCTGGCCGCTCAACATCCCCGACCCGGCGCAGCTGGACTTGTTCGAGCTCGGACCGAACACCTGGCTGGGTGGCACCTACGCCGGCATCAAGAACCCCCTGCTGGCCCTTGGCAGCATCAGCATGTATTGGAACACCGACGGCACACAAGTTGAGTTGAAGTCCGCCTCCGAATGTGCATTAACCCTTTGTGTGAACGAGTATCAAGTGAGTGCACCCGACCACGCTTAGGATCTGTAGAGTATCGTCTCGGACGACCCTAATAAAAGGTTAGACCAAAGTCAACGGCACGACAGTCACGTCCTCGATCCTGTCGACCACGTATGGTGAAGTCCAAGCCCACTCAGGCCTCGGGTACGCCACCTGGTCCGCCGAGGTCAACGGAACCACCTACTTTCTCGGCGACGGCATCAACTTCGCCCCCAACGACCCCAACGGCGCCGGACAGGACGGCGAGCAGCTCACGGGCATCATCCAAACGATGCTCGACGTCACCGTCGGGAACAAGTACTACATGGGTCACCTCGACTGCACGGTCGACCAGGACAACGCGACCAACAGGACGGTCGTGACCGAGTGCTACGCAGAAGACGAGTTCGACGGCACGGTATACTCGTCGACCGAGATGCAGATTATCGACACCACCCCTCGCGGCGTCGAGGCTATGCTTGAAAACATCGCCGCCGCCACGACCGACCTGTTCCAGCGCTACGGCAACGTCGACGTCACGGGCTCTGCGGTGGGGGCGGAGAACTTTGTCCAGACCCGGTGGTGGTGGATTTCGCTACCCGCAGCCGTGGTGGTGATGGCGATGGTCTCGCTGGCGGCCACGATGTACTCGACCAAGCGGCGCGGGATTGGGATCTGGAAGACGGCTCTGTTGCCGATGGTGTTCAGGGGGCCCTTTGTGGAAGATGGTATGCGAGGAGGAGGAGTTGGTGGTGGCGAAGGGAAGATCGCAGGGGGACACGATCTTGGTGGGGATGGGGAACGCCTCAGCACAATGAAGAGCGCTGCTGAGGTGGTCAATGTGGAATTGGTGAGGGAAGGAGACGTGGGATTGCGGTTGAGGCCCCGGAGTGGGATTTGAAAGAAAAGCATATTGAGGCAGCTTCTGCGGGTTGAAATACTGTTGGAGAGAACCTGAATAGTGTATGTTCTCATTCATAAGTCCTCTCTCCCCAAAGATGTAGCAGAGCATTACTGCACACTACGCTGTCGGCTTAGTCCATCCCTCGATTCCTTGACCGTGACCTTGCAGCCAACAGGCGAGAGATCACACACCCACCTGTCACGCAGGTCCCTGCAGAATGACATCCTCGCGACGGGTAGAGGTAAGCTGTTGTGCTGCGGGAAGTTCTTTCAATCGGTTGATTGCTCGAATACTTCGACACGAGATCGCTCTTCTCGGAAGAACTGCCTGTTTATTACATATGTACATGCATCAATGATGTGCAGCTTGAGAAATGCTGCACAGTGAGCAACCACAGATCTATATATACGCATAGTAGTAGTCTCGGAAAGAAGTGCCTGTCTCTTTTTGGGCAGTTCGCATGGAACTGTACCACAGACGTGCTGCATGAGACCTTGCCAACATATAGCCCGAAAGACCAGTTCCTCTCTTCCCGTTGGTCAGCCTGGTCAGCCTAGTCAGCCGTCGATGGCATGTCGAGCGTGCGGCTGAAGCGAGCACAACAAATAGTGGTCCCACGAAGCACGCGACACCTTTTTTACGAGCTTCAGCGTAAGAAACCATCCTAACAGAACCAATCACGTCCCGAGGACCATAGTGTGACGACGCGTTCTCTGAGGAAGAGAGGAGGGAGGAGGAGAAGTAGGAGGAAAGTGGTACATGTATCATTGCATGGCATGGAATTGAATGCATGGATGTCAGCCTCAGCTCTCCCTCGTATTCAACCAGCCAGCCACGCTCACACCCCCATGCCCGCGCCTGCACCTGCTCCTGCACCAGCAGCTCCAAGCGTGTGACCAGCCAGCCTAGCCAGAGGGAGAAGGATCCATGCTGCTGGACGCCTTCCACAGAATCAGGTCTGAACAGCCAGCGATATAAAGCGAGCTGCCCTGTCGCGTGCTCTTCTGCGTCCCCCAACAAAAAGCAACAGAAAGAGTCACAGCAGAAGTTTCTCTACAGCAGTCACTTTGCTTCCACTATTTACCAATCAATCCAAAAGTCTGTCGTCAGAACAAAATGGTAAACCAAACCCCCTGGTCCCCTTTCCCCCATCCGCCCCATTGATGTGCCAGTGCAGAGGCATTCTTTCATACACAAACACACACACATTTACATGTACACATACTAACTCATTCGTGTTGCCCGTGTCCCACAGCCTCACGACTCCCCAATCCTGTACCTCATCCGTCACGGCGAGAAGCCTCCCAAGGAGGCCGACGGCGACGACAGCCCCGGTCTTTCGGCCCAAGGCATCACGCGCGCCCAGGGGCTCGTACAGGTCTTTGGTCACGACAGCCCGTACAATATTGGATACATTATTGCGCAGAAACCCAAGTCCGGTATGTATAGCATGGTGACAGTACCTCAGTCCGGCGTCGCCGAACATGGCAGGTCCAGAGATTCGATGATCATGATGAAGATGATAATAGTCGCGGAAAATTAACCCTTGAGTGGCTCGACAGATGGCAGACAAACCCGCCCGTACTTGACGGTGTCGCCCCTCGCTCAGTCTCTCCAGCAATACAACGTCCCCTTCAACTACACCATCGAAAGGGACCACGTCGGCAAGGTCGCCGACGCCGTGCACGATTACATCAAGGGCAAAGGCGACTATATCGGCAAGGGGAATGTCCTGATCTGCTGGGAACATGAGACGTTGGAGAAGGTTGCGGCGGCCATCGGCGTGCAGGACGTGCCGGACTACCCGGGTAAAAGGTAAGTCTTCGACAGTCCTCTTCAGTTCTCTGCGAGTTCCTAGAAAGGGATCAGGTTTTCTGACAGATGTGAAACTCTAGATTCGACATCATCTGGACGATAAAGGCCCCGTATGACAAGATTGACAGCATCACGTCGGAGGATGTGCCAGGGCTGGACAATCACTCGGCAACTCCGTCCTGAGCGGGCCAATATAGCTCCCGTTGCTGCTTTCTATGGGCGTGGTGAGAGTGGGGAGCTGTTTGAGGTAGTTGGTGCGTATGCAGGAAAAGCCATTCATTTGAAGACTGTGCAAACATAATTTTGAGTTTTCCGCACACGGCTGGGAAGAAAGGGGCATCAATCCTCGCTGTCGGCCAAGTCACGTGAACTACGGCCCTGTCGCAGGGGATATAGCTTCAAAGTAAACAGAATTAGCAAAAAGGTCAAATGTAACCACTCACAAATACATCTGGTTGTGTCGAACGTTGCATCCAGAACTCAACTACGCTCCCGTGGCCGCGTTCAAAGGCGAAGTCGAGGGCGGTAAGCCCCTACGGATCGGAAGGAGCCTCGAGGTCGAATCCGCAACGGTCCAATGTCTTTGGCACGTCAACGCATCGGTTCCTCGCTGCCCACAACAACAGCTTTTGGCCAGAAGGGAGAGTTTGCATAAGTCTACCCCCTCTTCAACCAGCATTGACACCGTTGATATTGGCTCCGTGTCCGTCTGCTGTGAGGGAGCCGAGTCTGGAACATTATTCAGACCTTCGCAGCTCTATGTCCGGTGCCTGAAACGCAAATAACAAGTAGGATGAATATAGCCACGTTCTCGTTCGCATTTCGACATTGCGCCGTGGTTGAGATGGTGAATAGTGAAAGTGGTGGTGGTGGTGGTGGTGGTTGGCAGCTGGGACGAAGCTTAAGAACACCAAGTCCCATCACGTGAGATCACATGCAGTCACGTGGCTTGCTTACAGAGGTTGAGCCTGCATCTCATCCCCCGCTGGAGATGCCAACACATACTAGCGACGCCATGATTTCTCCAACCGTAGCTCTATGGCCTCTGACTGAACACACTGACTGGAAATTCTCCCGTCGGACTGACATGGCCCGACGGCGCCGAATGCCCGCCACGACGACAGCGGAGGAATGCCCGAAGAGGAAATGTCGCGGCGGTCACGCCCCAGGAAGGAAATGGCCGACTGCAGTGGGGTTGAGGAATGTTATACCTGGTGAGCGACTCTGTACCACTCTCTGTGCACCCGGATGTGTTGAGTGTGCTTGACACTGTAAACTCCCCAGTATATATCTCTGGGAACCTGGGTCGCCCGTGTCTCTCACACTGGGGAAAGCCACGTTTCGAATCGCTCAGGCAGTTCGCCTCTACCTCATCGCTCTGTCCCACCCCGCATTGGCATTTTCCTGAGTGGAAACGCAGAGTCGTGCTGCTCGCGATGCCGACCTCTAACGGTCATGGTGACATGACCGCAGCCATCACGAATGGCACCTCCAGTCCAAGCAAAGACTCCTCGGGGCTGCAGACCACGAAGTCCAACATTGGCGTCTTCACCAACCCGAAACATGACCTTTGGGTTGCTGAAGCGTCGCCAACCCTTGCAGAAGTCCAGGATGGAAAAGACCTAAGAGAAGGAGAAGTCTACATCGGCATCAAAAGCACAGGGATATGCGGCTCAGACGTACACTTTTGGCACGCCGGGTGTATAGGCCCTATGATCGTCACGGACGACCATATCCTCGGTCACGAATCTGCCGGCATCATATTATCCGTCCACCCCAGTGTCACAAATTTGAAACCAGGTGATCGAGTGGCCATTGAGCCGAATATCCCGTGCTTCAAATGCGAGCCATGCTTGACTGGCCGATACAATGGATGCGAAAATGTCGAGTTTCTCTCCACGCCACCCGTGGACGGCCTGCTGAGGAGATACGTCAAACACCCTGCCGTGTGGTGTCACAAGATTGGGAATATGAGTTACGAGAACGGCAGTCTTCTAGAGCCACTTTCCGTGGCTCTGGCAGGGATGGATCGTGCCGGCATTAGGCTTGGGGATCCTGTGCTGGTGTGTGGCGCTGGACCGATTGGCTTGGTGACACTGCTGTGCTGCGCTGCAGCCGGTGCATGTCCCCTCTTGATCACTGATATCGACGAGGGACGGCTAAAATTCGCCAAATCCCTGGTACCACGAGTCACCACGTTCCAGGTCCCCAGGGGAGTCTCTGCAGAGGAATGCGCCGAGCAGATTGTGTCCGCAATGGGCGGCATCCGGCCCCGCGTCGCGATGGAATGCACGGGTGTCGAATCAAGTGTCAACTCGGCAATCTGGTCGGTCAAGTTCGGCGGCAAAGTGTTCGTGATCGGCGTCGGCAAGAACGAGATGACGATCCCCTTCATGAGGCTGTCCACGCAAGAGATCGACCTTCAGTACCAGTACCGGTACAGCAATACGTGGCCGAAAGCGATCAGGCTGGTGGAGAGCGGGGTGATTTCGCTGGAGAAATTGGTGACACATCGGTTCAACATGAGCGACGCGGTTGCTGCTTTCCAGACGGCGAGCGACCCGAAGAGCGGAGCCATCAAGGTCCAGATCAAGAACGACGACAGTTTATGATTGAAGGAGGCAGGTTAGCGAGGAGGACAACTTAGGGGCCACAAAGGGGGCATAGGATGGGCTATGGCATATAGACCGCATTGAAACACTGGTAGATGGCCCGGAAGCTGCGAGAGAGCACACGTTTCTCTGCAATAAACCATATCGCAAGAGCCTTCTTTGTTTCTTTTCTTATTCTCCCTGGGCAGAATTGTCCTCCTCTATCTATATGCGAAGCTTAGTGCCTGCTCCAAACCCTTTATCCCTTCCCTCACTCTCACCTCCTTTCCTACGGTTGCATAATGCCCTTGACTTCCTCGCCCTTGAGCCAGCTGGCCACGGCACGAGCCTGCTGCTCGTACCAACTATTCATGGTCTCCTCCTCGACGTAGCCCATGTGGGGGCTCAGCAGGACGCGGCTCCGGCCCTGGGTGCCCCAGTAGTCGCTGCGGCGCCAGGGCGTGTTGTCCGTGGGGAGGGGTTCGGTTTCGAAGACGTCGAGGGCCACGCCGCGGATCTGGCCGGCCTCGAGGGCCGCGACCAGGGCGGGCTCGTCGACCAGCGGTCCGCGCGACGTGTTGACCAGGAACGCCGACTTTTTCATGGCGGCCAGCTCGTCGGCGCCCACGATGCCGCGGCTGCGGTCCGACAGCACGTAGTGCACGCTGAGCACGTCGGCCTTTTCAAACAGCTCGCGCTTCGACGCGGCCACCTGGAACGTCCCCTTGGGCAGGCCCCGTGACTCGGCGGCCTCGTCGGCCTTCTCCTGCGTCAGCGAGCTCGACCACGCCACCACCTTCATGCCGAAGCCCAGCACGCCGGTCACGCCGCACTGCGTGCCCAGCTTGCCCAGGCCCAGCAGGCCGAGCGTCTTGCCCGCCAGCCCGACGGCCAGGTGGGTCTGCCAGCCCCCGGGAACCGACTTGATCAGCGCGTCGCCGTGCACGAGGTCCTTGGCGAACCCCAGGATCAGGGCCCAGGTGATCTCGTTGGTGGCGTCGTAGCCCTTGACGGCGTTGGGCTTGGGCGCGGTGCCGACGACCGTGATGCCCCGCTCCTTGCAGGCCGCCAGGTCGATGGCCGCGTTCTTCATGGCCGTGGTCAGCAGCAGCTTCAGGTTCGGGAGCTGCTCGAGCACCGAGCGCGGGAACAGCGTGCGCTCGCGCATGCTCGAGATGATCGTGTACGGCTTCAGCCGCTCCACGAGCTGCGCGTGCTCGGCCGGGATCCGCGCATTGAGCGTGCTGGGGAACGAGTCGATCTGCACCTGGCCCGGTGCCGACGACAGCAGCGACTGGAAGTGCGGCAGGGCGATCGAGGCGTAGTCATCCAGGATGGCCAGTTTGAGTGGAGTTGACGAAGAAGAAGACATGGTCGATGATACCGATGCTCGCTGGGGTGGGTTTATTATACCGGGGACCGACCGTGTCGTCGCCGTTGTAGTACTCGGGCGTGCTTGCGCAACAAGGATGTTGGTCGTCGCGTTCAATCTGTGGACTGCTGCTCTGCCTGTGAAACTCATATATAGCTCTCGTTCGTCTAGGGAAAGATTATAACAAACCCCACATATATGTATGTATATATGTATGATAGTGCAAGTAATAGAGCCCCCAAGAAATTGAACCACGATGCGGCTACCATATATTTAATATTAATAACGCGATCCCCATGGCGCAACGTTTGTGGTTCTCGAGAAGACCCCCGTCGGCGATTCTCCGCTGAGGAGAAGAGGAAGAGAGCACACGCCTCAGGCGCAAATGCCGATGTCGCTCGCTCGCTGGCTCGCTCGCTCACGGAACAGAAGAAACTTTGGGGAAACAAAACCGACAGGCTCTTCCTGCCCTCATCCAGAGAGCCTTGCGCTGATTACAAATGCCCCGTCCGTGAGGGATTGCGTGGTGTTGAACAGGTCGGGGAGGGGAATATCAAGTCAGTCAGAACAGAGAAAGGCCTCGCTCTCTACATAATCTATTTTGGAGGGCTTGTGTGCATGTGTATGTATGCGTGTGCGTGAGACTGATATGGATTGAGCTCGTCTTGCCTTGTTTGTCACTCACTGGTCAAGCGACCCGAGCAATGCTAGACTCCAGCTGGACGAAGGGTCTCGATATCACATGCGTCCTTCATATGTACATCCTCCATACAGTACATACATACATACATACATCCACCGATCCATCCAGATAGTTAGTCCAAGCATCAAACAGATCCCGCCTCGCCGTCACCTCTTGCCCACGTAGGTCAATGCCGCCACCACCAACGCATCCACCCCGACATTCAAAGTCGGCTGCAGCACCGGCGCGAAGAAGGGGCTGTGGTTGACGGGGATCTTGTGTTCCGCGCCCTTCTTGACCATCTCCTCGTACATGCCCGCGTCGTGGCCGCCGAAGAACCAGAAGCAGTACGGCCTCCCGACGCTGGACCCCAGGATGCCAAAGTCCTCGCTCCCCAGCACGTTCTTGAGGTTCGGGTCGTGGTTCTTCTCGCCAAAGTACGCGGTGAAGGACTTGTTGATCTCGCCGGCGACCTCGGCGTCGTTGATGGTCAGCGGGAACGACGAGGTCGGCTCGATCAGGGGCTCCTTGGGGCAGTCCCCTGCGAGACACTCGGCCTTGATGATCCTCTTGACCGAGGCGAGCACCTTTTCGCGCCACTCGACGCTCACGCTGCGGATGTTGATCTTCAACACGGCCTCGTCGGAGATGACATTTTCCGTGCTGCCCGCCTGCAATGCGCCCACGGTGACCACGGCAGTCTCATCGGGAGGTACTTCCCGCGAGCGGATCGTCTGTAAGCGTACCACGACATGTGAGGCGATGACAACAGGGTCGATTGTGCGATGGGGCATGCTGCCGTGCCCGCCACTGCCGTAGATGGTCACTTTGAAACTGTCCGCCGCCGACATGACCGGTCCCGCCCGCGTGGCTGTCTTTCCCGCCTGGAGAGGAAACACGTGTTGGCCCAGCACAACGTCAGGGATGGGGCAGGCGTGTTTGTCGGCCGAGTAGAGTCCATCGTCCACCATGGCCTGGGCGCCGCACCCTCTCTCTTCGGCGGGCTGGAAGAGGAAGACGATGGTGCCCGACCACGTCGACCGGGCGGCGACCAGTGTTTCCGCGGCGGCCAGGAGCGAGGTGATGTGGAAATCGTGCCCGCAGGCGTGCATGACGGGCTTGACGAGTCCGTCCGTGTCGCGCATGGTTTTCGTGCTGGCGTAGGCGAGACCTGTCTTCTCCTGCACCGGGAGGGCGTCGATGTCGGCCCGGAGAAGGATCGTCTTGCCCGGTCCATTCTCCAGGATGGCGATCTGGCCGTGTCCGCCGATCCCGGTGCGTATGTCCAAGTCGTCGGAGAGTTTCTTCAGATGCTCTGTGATCAACGAGGCTGTTTCTTTCTCCTGTGTGGAGAGTTCCCCGTTGGCATGGCAGTGCTTGTAAAGCTCCTCATACGGGGTGAGATCAGGACGGTATTTCTCAATGATGGAACTAAAGGAGGATTGTGCAGTAGTTGATTCACCCATGATCGGTCCGGCTGAGAATTCGCAAGCAGCTATAAAACAAACCAGCTGAATATGTCGTGACTCGCAATGAGAATATAACGTCCCCAGCTTCAAAGGATGCTCGCTTCATGTGGTGTCATGGCATCAGTTCTCCGCACTATCGACGATCAAGGAGAAGTCCGCCGTCCACTCACCAAGCCACTCTTGGTATCCAATTGGCGAGCCTCCCCTTTATATAGAAGACGGCAATTGTATATGGTGCCGTCAATTGTATAACATGGTTCTCTCTCCACCTCCCCTCAAGCTCCTCATATAATATATATCGGCGTATCACCGTCCCTCGTATCTGGCCGTCGCATTCATGCGGCCCCCTCTTCAGCCTCAATCGCTCGTATAGTTTTGGTCCTTACTCTCTGAGTGGTGCGAACACTCTTCACGACCCGACTTTTGACGCTGGATGCCTTCTCCCGCAAGCTCGATGATCGGCTGACGGGCGCAGTCGGGATCTTTTTTGGGCTCGTCTTCGCAATCAAAGCGGTCGAAGACGACGTCGACACAACTCGTCTTTGCTGCTTGGCTGCCTTGCTCTTGGCGCTCGCCACAAGAGTCCTGAGTTTCGAGGGACGTCTGGCGAGGCCTCCCACGATGGTGGCACTGGTCTTTCGCGTGACAGCTTTCTTGATGAGCTTCATCTTTCGCACCTTGACCGGGCTGCTGGATTGTGAGCGACCCGAGACCTTGCGTTTTGGTGCAACCGCCACCTTGGTCTTCTTGGTTATTCGGCTGGTGCTCTCTTCGATAACCTCCGCGATCTTTCGTTTTGCGCCTGCCAGTTTCCTGTGGCCCTTGTTGGGCTCCTTTTCGGGGCTTTTGGGTTTGCGCTCGTCCTTGGTTCTGGGTCCCAACACTCCACGGCACTTCTGGGACCCGCAGCGACATTCTTGAACGTTCTTCTGTGAATAAGGATCGAAGTTATAGTCATAGGTCAGTTCTTCCCCGGTCATAATTCCTCGGTCGCCTGCAAAGAGTGCCATTCGGGGCTTGCCGTTGACTGTCCACTTTTCCATCTTGCAATTGGGTTCGCAAGAATGGTTGACGAATCGTGCAATGGATCCTCGAGTAGCATCAATGATCATGTTCTGATCAAAGAGCATCAAATAATAGCACTGCTCGGTGTCAGTGTCGGTGCTGAGCGTCCATCCAGTGTTCCTCTTACCTCGTTATGCTTATACATCGTCTTCATGCGGCGCTCACATTCCTCCTGGGTGATGATCTCTCCCGTGTACTCCACGATGATCTGATTAGGTTCAAACGTGCGGTTGCTTCGCACGCCATATCCCCGGTCTTCCGTCTTGATCACCTCCACGCCAATATTGTATTTGCCGCCCTTTTTAACTCGTTGCTGGAGACTGTCAAATGCACGGTTCCCACACTCTTCCGCCTTCAAATTACAGTTTTGGCGGTCACATTCATAGTACATGTATCGGTTCATGCAATTCTGGTCGCAACCCGTCTCAGGCGTGCACAGACAGGCGGAATCCTCATACTTCGACACCCGCCATGCTTGTGCCGCGTCGCCGACAAAGACGTTTTTGTTGACTTTTCTCCACTCGTCAGGCTTCGGCTGACCGGCAGGAACAGGGGAAAAGATGTCGAAAGGCAGCTTGAAGTCTCGACCATGGTCCAACAGACGCTCGCCGGCAAACATTGGCAGAGGCAAGACAGAGTTTTCCTTGACAGGTTCGGGAGGAGCCAGGCTCTTGCGCCTGCTTTTGCTTCCGGAAGGACGCATATCCAATTCCCGCGGCTGACCAGCGTAGAGCCCGAATGACAGCCATTTCTTTTCGCGCCGCCGTCGAGCGGGCACTGTCGGTTGGGCAAGCTCCTCCCTAGGAGCGTCACCCTCGCTGACGCGTCTCTTCTTCAGAACAGGTTCTGGGGCAGCCAGCTCTGTCCCTCCCAAGCTTTTTGATCGTGTTCCGTTGCGCGAATCGGACGCCCTATCCTTCCTCTTTCCAAGCACGCTGTTAGCAATAGTCGACATAACCTCTCCCGCCTTCTCCAGGACAGGCATTCTGGACGATCTTCTGGTAGCCAGTTTCTGTGCGACTTTACGGCGTTTTTCCCATATTTTGTTGTTCTCGGCCATTTTCGCCTTCCTCGCGGCCGCATTCTCTGCTCGGAGCCGCTGGTCCTCTTCATCGTCGTCTTCCAGAGTCCCCACTGTCAATTCCCTAGACCGGCCCGCTGCGCCGTTCTTCTCTCCCAGTATATCATCTTTGCCCTGCTTGGTGAACACCTCGCTCACGTTCCACGGCAAGTCCAATGCGGCAATGCCTTCCTTGACCAGTGTCGACTGACTCGCGTTCTCCAAGTTGACCAAGGTTTCGCCGCTCACGGTCCTTCCTTTGGCGTCCTCATCTTCCGCATCCTCCAGAAGCCCATTGTGACTTCGTGTCTTCATCAGTCGAGGACTGACGCGTCGGGCCCGACCTTTCGGGACCTGTTTCATGGTCGCAAGTGGGACATCTTGAAGGGACAGGTCAAGGGAACTCTCGGAGGGCGTAGGGAGCTGTCGTTGTGATTGTCTGCTGACCCTCGGCGTAATGACCATGGCGTCTGGGTCATTGTCTGAAGACGTAGAGCTTACGGCACGAGCGAGCGGTGGGCGAGACTCTGAGGGCCCGCGAGCTTCAGGCTTTACGTTCTCAATCCGTGAGCGGTAGAAGCTGAGGAGGGTCTGACGAAGCTGCATCGTGTAATCACGGGCTGAGCCCGGCGTCGAAGCGTAACAGGGTTGACGCGTCAACCACGTTCAAGCGAGCGGTGTATAGGGCTGTAGGAAGGCACAGTCTTGTGAGAAAAAAGGACATGGACTGAGAGACGCGTGCACAGAGTGAGTTGTGAGAGGGGTGCAACAAACAAGAGGCTGGATGCGAGATTGGGAAACCATATCAGTTCGGCCTAGTCGCCCAGGGGAAGACGCCTCGTCTCCTGAGCCAATCGCAGGCCCCTGGCCAACAAAGCCAACCACAGCACAACAACACCATTCCAAAACCCTACAGTCCCCAACTGGAATGGACTTCCCACTAATTAGGGCGACCCGGAGAGTGTGAGACACATTGGCCATGCTTCTGGTCCGAGCTTTTGATTGCCCATATCCAGCTTGGTGTGGGGGCCCGCTTACACAACATATTTGGATTCTCTTTTTCCCAGTCTGGTATACATTCTCCGCCAGCAAGGGCTCAATTACACTAGTATATACACCTTCATTTGGGGTCTTTGTTGGGCAAATTCCTGCCTGCAGGGCCTTCAAAAGTCTTATGTGGCCCCTGAACCGGCTTCATCTCCATTTCACCGTTCTGCAGCCGATTGCCCAGCCTCGCTTGCCGGTGTGCCTTCCGCATCCCAAACCGCTGGTCACCTTCTTCATATCGCTTCTTGAAATGCAGATACGTAGGTGGCTTGGGCCGTGCCAGCACCGAGATCCAATTTTTGATGAAGTTTCCCTGTGTGAAAGGTCGATGCCTCTCAGCCTTGGGAAATCTTCGAGATGCGAGATACTCTCGCGTAGTTTCGCCCTTGCCAACCAGGAGCAGGTGGTACATCCACAATGCGAACGGGTACGCAAACCCCAGCAATCCATAAATGAACATGGCGAAAGGGACGCGATTTCGGTTTATGGCGGTCCCGAAAGAGACGTGTCTCTGGTTTCGATAGGCAATCACATGGCCCAGGGACGCAAAAGCCAAATAGAGACCCAAAACGGTTGCCGTGCTGACGAAGGTGAAGAAGTACCGGTAGTTGCGACGGCCCACGCAATTATTGAGCCACACGCAGTGGTGGTCTAGGGTTTCGACACAATTATCGCAGACTCGGCAATGGTAACACCGTGGCGGTCGCCAGATGTTGCAGGTTTTGCAATACTTGACTGGCACATCCATCGCCGCTGTTTGCGAGGTGGCTAGTCGTACCATGACCCAGTCATTAGTGGGAGGTCCTAGGGCCAAAGGGTCCTGGTTGTCCTCCGGCGGAAACGGATGGATGTTTCGAGGAAAGACCTAGTTGCCATTAGCCGGTAAGCCTGGGTTAGAGGTGTGGTTGTGTCCTTACCCCCGGATCAACAAGAGAAGCATGAAGAAAAGAAGACAAACAAATGAAAAACAAATAAGCAAATATTATCGGGATGGCAGGAGAGACATGATGCCACAACCACGAGGCCCTGCATCGATCAGCTCTGTTACAATCAAGACTGAGACCAAGTCAACTCACGAATAAACAAAATACAAGATCGCGGGCAGAACCAAGAATATGCCGGTGGCGATGTTGATGGGACGATCTCGAGCGTTTTGAATGCGCCCTCCCAGCCAAAAGATGGTGTTGCCTTCAAAATACTCATAATTCTTGCCGAGAGCACTCTTTACCGCAACCTCGGTGTTGGTGTCGGGTGGATACGCGGGAGAAGTCGCATTCGAAGATAAAGGCAGATGTCCAGCCTCCAAGCGATGCTTGCTGGCTAGGCTCAAGCCAGATCGAAAAGAGAGAGGCGACTTCTGAGGCGGGTCGCCAGCCTTGAGAGTGGTAGCGATATTAAGCCGAGATGGCCGGTGCGGTTTCTGCGAGGTGGCTCCATTGACGAGCTGCGTGTCACCGTCATGTTGCGAGACAAAATCGGGAGATGCGGCATCGGCGGTGTCTGGTGCTTCCGATTGAGTATACTCGGTCGTGATGGATGGCGCGGGACGATGGCTCCTAGGCATCGCATGGAAGGGACCTTGTCTGCTAGACGCAACACTCCGAGCATCTTCATCCACATCCCCGTCTGGAATGGGCGCTGGCGGCTGCATTGTTCTTGCGCCGAGAGGTCTCCTCAACCTTTGTGCTTGTAGCCTTTGGGAGCTCATTGGCTTGAAAAAGCCTTGTGCCGTTAACGAGGGGACATGAGTGCGACTGCCCTGAGATACAGGGCTTTGCGGCCGACTCGAGCCAGCTGTGCTGGACGGGGCGGCAGGAGCGGCCGGGGAAGGATTGCTTCTTATTGAGCGGTTTGTAGGTTGTGTGATCCCTCTAAGATGGGCGTAACCGTGTTGTGAAGGTGGAGGATTGGGCAGCGCAGGGAGAGGGACACCCGACGGGGGTCTGGATCCGTACCCATCTTCAGAGATGGCCGACGAGATTTCGCTTCGAGCGGTCGAGGGTCTGACAGCCATGATCTCCTAGAGAAACGGAAGAGTCGCGTCACGAACGCAACGTCCGGCGCATATCGAGATTGTATGACAGGTACAGAGCAAGGCACAGGGGTGACGTTGCTGAGTCGTGGGTAGACAAAATCTGGGTCGCAGGGCCCAGGTCGCAATGAGTCGCACAAGGAAAGAGGATGCTCTTGAATTTATCGTCGCAGGGGTCTAGGAATGAGCGGATCTGCCATGACGATGCTGGTGAAAGTGAAAGTGAAGCTTTACAAGCCGGGCGATCAATAAAAGTGAGGCTGATTGCAGCCAGACACGAAGAACGTGAACAAGACATCGGATGCGCGTTTCCGAAATTCGACTTTGGGGATTCAGGGGGGAAGATTGAGATGGGATGACACAATCTCCAGGCACGGTCACGTGGACGTCACATGGTACGCTAGTCCCAGTGAAGCTCAGTCAATCAGACTGCGGAACTTCAAGTCGAACCTCGTCCACCATCTGCACCTCACACCACCGACAAGCTCCGGATCTTCAACCACGAGCTACCATCCACCACTCCTCTGTTGACTACCTTTCAAAATGGCTTTCGCGGCAACACTGGCTCGTCGAGCAGCTGCAAAAGCTGGGGAAGCTGGAAAAGACACTGTGCTGAAGAGGGGCGCCCGCCGAGATCCTGAGCTTTATGTATGCTCTCCGCCCACTCCGACTCTCCTGCTTCGAGCTGCTCCTAACGATGACTAGATCCTCCTCGGTATCATGTCCGGTGCCTTTGGTCTCGCAGGATTCTACTTCGGTCGCAAGCCTACCTCCGCCACCTCAGAAGCCGAAGTTTCGGTCGCTCAGAGCTCCATGCCGTGGCAGGTGGATCATGACCACGAGGATCACTCCAAGCACTTCAAATATCAATATCATCCCAAGGGCGACACGAACCAGACCCCCCGGAACGCACCTAGTGCTTTGAACACGGTTATTGTGCCCAACGTGACCCTACCCAAGGTGTGCCGCACTCTTGCCACATGCGAATCACTCTAACAGGTTGTTTTAGGCTGTTCACGATGCATTCAACAAATGGGGAAAGGAGAACTATTGAGGAGCGGTCTATGGTGTATCACCTCATGAGGTGTCTTGGAAGAAAATTGCGAAATAGAAAAACAATGGGTGACAGGCATCCCGAGGCTGGCACCCAAAGTGTACATACTTTCCAGGGAATGAAGCAGATTGTCCATCATCATTGTCCAGAACATGCCAAAATTTCGCAAAGTCGCCAAAGGCCAGTCTCATCAGAGCCTATAAAGATTCCACAGCCTCTCCGGAGTGTCCCGCTCTACAATCTGCACCTCTCTTCTTCCAATAAGGTACATAGGGATCCTTTTATGGCAAGGAATGTGCTGACAGATTCCACGCGCCTCGCGTCAGTTATGTCTTGTGCCGATTGCAGCCAGGCGAGCTTGAGATGTCGACACCACTAATCAAACACACCTTCCTATCGCCCGTACATGGATACGGACCGCTTCGTTAAATGATTCTGCCCAAAAGACATCTAGAGAGCATGGTCACCAGACCTGCCATCTGCTGTGTACATACGGTTCATTCTTCAAACAGCGAGATCTTGTTCTTTGAAGTCTTCAAGACTGATTGTCCATTGCTGTCATGCTAGTGATGCCCCAGTTCAACACTGCCTTTGTCCATGTTTGAGTCGACCTTCACCCGACTTCACGGAGACTTGATTGCGCGAGATCATTGTGACCTTTCTTAAGCTTTAGCCTACCATACACCCTACCTTCTGAATTGTCCATCCGCTTCACTCAGTTCACAATCTCATCCTGTTGACATCGTTCTTACAGCAGTTTGTGCGCCAAGAAGTCATCAGGCAACTTCACTCTCACTTCACTTCTGCCTTCCCCCCTTGTGCCCTTATTGCGACCTTGAGACCGACATAGAACCAGGAACGAGGTGAGCTGATGGTGCAGACATCTTCAGCACGTATGATGCGTGGGAAAGCCTGAAGTGGATCCTGTGCTTCGAGCTCGTTCGGGGAGGCTGAAAGCAGACGCCCAAGCTGCACAACCGTCGAGATATGGAACGGGATTCGTGAATTGGTCTTTTTAAAAGATGAAAATTTAGACTGAACAACAAATGAGGCAAAGATTCAATGCAGATGAGCTATTACTTGTGCCTTGGCCTTTTGATACTTCCAGAGTAATGTTTTCCGTCTAAGAGTATGATACCATGACATGCTATACTCACGTAAATTATACTAAGCTGATGACAGGCCTATGTGTTTCGAGAACTTTTGTTTCAAGCCTGCATTTTTGACCCTTATTGTACCCCTGAATTTTCTGTGTCTGCTCGCTGGTCATATCAGTGTTGATACTGTGGCTAGCCTATGATATCCTGGGATTCAAGAACGACTGCTCGCCAACTCGCTCTGAGCGGTAGCTGTAGGCCCACCAGCAACTGGGTGTTGTTCCCCGATGCTCTCCTTCTCCCCCTCTGTAATGTCATGGAGGGTGTGGTGATTGAGAGGCTCATTCGCGTGCTTTTGAGCTTGAGAAGTTGGACCGTCTCGAACCGGATCAGTGGAGCCAGTGATATCTTTCTCAGCCGCAGTAATCTTCGAGACGGTATCGCTTGAGCGTTTCAGTTGGATGTTGCTCGTTGGCGGAGGCGGGGGACGTTTCATTGCGTTCCTGAACGAGGATACTTTGAGCCGTGGCCGTGGGGCCACTTCTCATCCGTTCACCGCTAGTGAGTCTCTTCTCGCCCTCGGTGATATCGTGCAGGGTTTGGGAGTTGATGGACTCGCCAACATGAGACTGGGCTTGAGCTGTAGGACCACCCTTGACGACACTGTCAGAGCCTGTGATCTCCTCTTCTGCCGCTGTGATGGGGGAGATTGTGTCTGAATTGAGGACTGGATCGGACGTTTTGAAGGATGGCGGAGCGGAAAGTAGAGGCTGAGTCTTGGAAATGTGAGCAGTATAGAACTTTGAGAGATATGGCAAGCAGCACAGAAGCAGGAGATTGTACAGAGGGGCTGTTGGTGAGTGTTGGAATGAGACAGGAAATCAGGCGGCAGGGTATTTATGAGGACATTTATTGAGTAACAATTCACTGACGAAGCGAGTAAGCACTGTCTACAAGCACAAGAAGGAGCAACCCAGCATTGAGCGCGTTCGTGCTCAACTTCACTTTCTTCTGAGATTTCCCTAGATCATTTCTTAAATGCCTTACCGACTGCATGCCACCATTGCTGAGTCTTCGCGTGCTGAACCTGCTCTGCAAGCTGGAGAAAATAGTCCCCGAAGACCATAGATAGAGGCTGCGAGGGGCTGAAAGATTGAGATGCCCAAAGGGTAATGATGACGGCGCTGATATTAGAAGTCGATGTCACCAGGAAGTCCTTTTCAGTATCCCAGGATGCCAGAACGCTCCAAGGCATTTTTGGCGCCTAGATCAGCCTCAGCCAATGAGGAGTCATGCATGATCTGCGCTGCGTCTTCCGATGATTAACCGAAGCCCAAATTGTTTCGTGCTCCGGACACCAATGCTTCAAAGTGTCCACCGCAGGCTCAAGAGTTCTTCATACGTCCAAGGGGCAAGATGAAGCTATTCAGATCAACTATCCACCGTGATCTCGCTTTGCTGTCTTCCATACTCCGCATCTCACAGCCCCTTTGCACCAGTTGTGCTCATCTTCCCCCCCAATCTGACACCCATGCTTCTTCGAGCGCATCCTCAAGGCGTCCATTCTCAGTGCTCAACCGACCACCACCGAACTATCCCGGTCACGTCCCTCTCACTGCTGTAGAGCGGGTTGGCTTAGCAATTGGTAGCGCAGTCACTTCCATTATCGACCCCTACAGACATGACATGGTCGCGGCGCTGGGCGAAGCGACAGCCCAACCTTTCTTCATCTCTTGGTTGCGGAAGCGCATGCTGTCGGATCCAACCGGGCGAAGAATCTTACGGGACCGGCCCCGCATCACCTCCAAGACGATGTCTCTCGAGAAGTTACGGCAGCTGCCTGAGAACAGCGTCGGAAGAACGTACGCTGCTTGGCTGGACAGGGAAGGCGTCACCCCAGACACGAGAGATGCGGTACGATACATTGACGACGAAGAGGAGGCCTATGTCATGCAGCGATACCGGGAGTGTCATGATTTCTACCATGCGGTGACTGGTCTGCCGGTCTGGGTAGAGGGAGAGCTTGGCTTGAAGGCGTTCGAGTTTGCAAACACTGGACTGCCTATGACAGGGCTCAGTCTAGCTGCAATTGTTCGGCTGAAACCACTGGAGAGGCAGAGGATGTTCCAGATCTTCCTGCCATGGGCGTTCTCGAACGGATGGAAGAGCAAAGACCTCATCAATGTGTATTGGGAGGAGGAGCTTGAGACGGATGTTGGTGAACTGCGCCAGAGGCTAGGCATCGAGCAGCCGCCAGACCTGCGGGCAATTCGGAGGAAAGTGAGAGAAGAACGCAAAGCTGCGAAGGCTGCAAGAGCAGCCGCAGCAGAGGTCGCATCGACGTCTACTCTCTCTCCTCGACCAGAGGCGCAATCGTGAATGCAAAAAAGCAATATTCACCACGGGGTATCATGCAAATGCGTGAGGGCTTTTTCCCTCTCCCAATTATACATCCTTCAGAAGGTCGTCCAAGTCATCATCGTCCCATCCACCTCTGCGGACGACTTTCACGCTCTCCATGGTGTGGCCCGTCTGCTTCTCGTGCTCGGAAAGACTGGCCAGCATCTCTTTCAATTGATCTTCGGTGACCTTCTGCCGTAGTTGACCTGACCGTGCGAGCATGATCAGCCTGTTCTCGACGTCCGTGGCGCGTGACTCTTTGACCATGCGTATTCTCCCCAGTCGATCCGCAGCTTCTGGTTCGAGGATTTGTGACAGCATGAGGGATCGGGCTTCCGACTCTTGTTTTCTGTAAACAGTCTATCAGTTTTCTGTCTGTCCGTGTGTCATCGACCAAGGTCATGGTTCTTCCAAACCTTCTCTTCTCTTCATCGTCGCCGTTGTCGCCTGACCCTCCTCTGCCCTGCTGTTGTTTGAGTTGTGCCAGGCGTGCTGCCCTGATCTGTGCGTATGAATGAGTTAACTGGGGTGGATCATTTTCTCGAGGAGCATACCTGTGCCAAATCATCATCCGCCATGGTTGCAGAACATGAAATCCTAACAACGAGAAGAGAGAGACTTGCAGCAAAAAAGCCCACTGAATGGCAAGCGGGGCTGTATCTCCCAGATGGGTGCCAGTGGTGGTGCCAGAAGGCGCTGCTCGTTAGCTAACGAGCCCATGTGGCGGTTTGGGTGCCACAAACACCCTAACCGCCCAATTCCCTCCGCTTATGACGCGGCACATGAACTGTATCATCCCGTTTCCTTCACCGGGCGTTAACCGACAGGTACTGTACATCTCATCGTTCGGCTGACTGAAACCTTCGAGGATCTTCCGGTTGTTAAATACTTCGCTCCTACGTCGGCCACGGGGCATCCCAGATCCCCTCAAGGTCGCCTTATTCGGTCCTGATCTCGCGTTCGGGTTGATATACTTACCTACTCCTTACTTCTCAGGTCTGGTCACCTTTTCCCGAATTGAATCATCACCCGATCACTCCTCGCGTCGCCTCTCCTGCGCCGTACTTCCTTTGTCTGCAGCTTGCCCTACGCAATTAGCGGCAACCGGCATGCCTTGCACGACAGTTGCATGAAACAAATCGCCCTCGTTTCTCTTCCATTAGGGGATTATGAATGCTTGGGCATATCATGGGGCTTTCTTAGGAGCTGGCGCACCCAGCCATTCTCGTTCAATATCTTTGGGGCCACCTATGGGCGCGCCGCGAAATCACCTATCCAAAGCGCAGTCCGCTTCCAACCTGCGAACGATGGCGACCGTAGACTCTTCTCCTCCCGAGCCCCCGAAACCCCAGGGAGCCTCTCCAGATAACTCCTTCCGAACCATCGCAGATCCGAGGAATGCGTCAAATCTGTCTAGATCCAACTCAACGCCCTCCAAGCATCCCGATGTCAATGCTGAAGTTGCCGCTCTGAGCGACAAACTCATCAGTGCCATCAACCATCAAACTACCCTGGACGATACTCTTGCCCAGACGAGACAAGAGCTGGAGGCCTCAAAAGCTCGTATCGCCAAACTGGAGGCAGAAGCTAGGGCATACGAAGAGAGGATCTCGCGAGGAGACCTGCTCCTAAAGGAAAAGGTCGACGAACAAAAAGATAAGCTTACGGCGGAGCTGGTGGAGGAGAAGAAACAAAGGGCACAAGTCCTCCAAGAAAAGCGTGGAATAGAGTCAGAACTAGAAACGCTGACAGCCTCGTTGTTCGATGAAGCAAACAAGATGGTAGCTTCGGCGAACCGAGACCGGGACGCTATCGAGAAGAAGAATCAACAGCTCCGCGACCAGATCAAGGACGGCGAGGCTTTGATTGCTTCTCAGACAGAGCAATTGGCGGAGTTGAAAACCCTGATGCAGCAAATTGGCCCAGCTCCAGACTACCGAAGGGAACTTGATTCCCCCCGAGTGTCTCTGGCACCTTCAAGCCCTGGCGTGACGAGAGAAGGGGCCGATCTTGCTCGTCTTCTCGAAGCGATGAACCTGTCCCCTGTTACCCTTGAGCACGGTGAACTTGCGCCGAGCCCATCGACCACACTGACACACCTCGTCAAACCGCTCTGCCGGACAGATATCCCTGCGTATGAGGATTTCAGGAACTTGGTACAAACGTCGCATTTTCGGTCGCATAATCCTTCTCATGCCCCATCCAGAGCTGGCTCTGGCTCCTATGGCGGGTTAAACGTGATGGGTCTCGGCTCACTCAGTAATCACTCGCAACCAAACCTGTCACAGATCCCTCAGCCCGCAACGTCGAAGCTCGCCAATTCCCCGAATATGCCTGGGTCATTCAGTCCCAATCCAGATGCCAAGGGGCCTGTACCGCTGAGAGAAACCCGATTTTTCAAGCGTCTCCTGGTCGAAGATATTGAGCCGACGCTGCGTCTTGACCTTTCACCATCCCTCTCCTGGTTGAATCGACGCAGCATTCTTGCCGCCATGGGCGATTCCACTCTCATCGTCGAACCAATTCCCGAGGCATCCATCAAGCTGTACGGGAGGTACACGCCTTGCGCCCTTTGCGGAGAGAACAGGAAACAAGGAGAAAATCCTCGAACGCATGCCATGCGTGTTCGTGAAGGCGAAGGCGCGACTAGATGGTGTATCTGCACACTCTGCTTGGAAAAGGTGCGTGGCGTGGGTGACCTGGTCGCCTATGTCCGCATGGTTCGCGAGGGCGTGGTCAAGGTCGGCGACAAAAAAGATGAGGAGGACGCATGGGAAGAATTGGTACGGTTGAGGGAGCGCTTATTTTGGGCCAGAATGGCTGGTGGTGTCGTACCTGCATTCATCCCTACCCCGAAACAAACTCCAGTGGATGATGCCAGAATGGGTGTGGAGCTGGATGGTCCAAGAGATGACGGAAAAGAGAACGGTATATCTGGTGAGGGAGCTTATAGTTCGCCCCAACCTTTGACGATCGCGGCAGATGATACGTCCCAACGCTCAACACCTGGTACCGATGATGCCGAACCGGAATCTGCAGACGAAACAGCCGCGCGCCTCCAACTACAGCAGGGACTCAACGAAAGTCTGACTACGTTCGAGAATATCCGAGAAAACAAAAGGATAAGTATGGGCAGTCGACAGAACTCGACGACGCCGCCATCAACCCCCTCGCCAGCCAAGAGTCTTCCGAAGAGGGAGTCTAGTACTGGCGGCGGGATCTCATTCCCAAAGATCAATATTCCCAGACTACCACAAGGCTTCTGGGAAGCTCAAGTTAACACTCTTCGTTGAGCGCACGATGAAGCAGCCGGATCGGGCCAGGGTTGGTTCGGTTGGGGGCCAGGGAGGCAGGGAGGAAGGGAGGGGACAATGTATATTATAATCTAGTTACGCGTCCATCAAGACTAGGGAGCCGTTCATTTCTTCGGAAAGTCGGGTAAGATGGCGCTCGCGCGACCACAGCAAGGTCAGGATGCACACTCTTGCCAGCCTACGCCACCTGTAGGCCAGGGTTCGAGGTTCTTGGGACACGGAGCGTGACCCTAAAGCCTCTGTATATTAGCCTGTTGATATTTATTGGGCTGGACAGGTGCATACGTGGAATTCTTAAAGTCTTACAGCAATAAGAGAAGGGCCTGTGCGCAGCAACCCCTCAGGCAGTGGCAGCGTTTGTGTTTTGACCATTGAAAATGGAAACCATCCGAACGAGAACAATGGAGAGTGATCCCTCCTGTTCGCGGGAACGGTTGGTGACTGATGGAGTGGATTAGTCTCTATGTAAAAAGTTGGCCAGGAATTAACTTACATCGACTGTGGAGTTTTCTAACGGTCCAGTTTGCGGACGGTAAGAGGAGCATTGCCAGTAGTTGCAGGAAGGAAAGGATGTCGCTTCTAGTCCAATGGGATGGTGGGCTGATTGTGGAAGTATTGGTCGGGGTCTGTGGACCGGTGTCGTTGGGAGCGATGCTCTGGAATGGGCATGGAGGACACATTGGAAGAAATGTACTTGTTCATCGGTCGTCGTGTCTTTTCATTTGACCTTCTCCTGTGCTGGAACGACAGTCTGCCTTATACTCGTATATCCAATGTTCCGAAGTCCCATTTTGGATGAAAGTGCGCATTTGGAACTATGCCGCATCAAGGACTCGGAATAAACGCGCTAACTGCTTCTAGCACTCGGAACAAACGACTAAACCTATTCGCGACCTAGAGCCATGTGCCCTGCGCCTCTGCCCAATCAAATGCCTCCTGGAATCTGCTGCTTGTAATAACACATCACAGCTGCCCTATATATCGGGCGTCTCCCATCTCAACATCTCTTTCTCCCTCTTCTACCTCACCGACAGGCATCAGAAGGCTAATTCTGTGCTCTTTCCAATTCACGTCTTTGCGTTGTTCGAAGGCCGTCCTGGACAATGGAGTCCAACTTTGACCCAAGCGACTTTGAGTTGCCAGCCTTATCCCCAAACGAAGAATTACACTGGATGCAGTCCTTCGATCCATCATTGTTCGAAACGGAGCCCTTCTCAGAGCAGCCTATTCTGCCCGATTTATCCCAAGTTATCATCACCCAAGACAACAGCTTTGACAACTCCCCGCTCCATGCACTCCCGCGTATCCAGTATCCCAATCTGTCCGCACAACTCACACTTCCTGAGCCATACCCAGAGTTCCAGAATATCGTATCAAACACGGCCGTATGGAGCCCTCTGGCAGTCCCAATCTCAAATGAGCCCCCAGCACCTCCGAGCACATGCGTGCCTTCAGCTCTCATGTGTTCCCCGTTCGAACCCACCAATGTTGCTCGCATTGCCTCCAATCAAACACCGATACATGCCCCGTCCCAGAACCCAGTGTTAAGCGTCAATGAACAGCCAATGGTATTACTATCGAACTCCATGCCCCAAGGTTCTGGTCTGAGCCAACTTCCCTTCTCGCCGCATCAATCAAACGCTTCCAGCAAGACGGCTTACGCATCCAATGCCACCTTTCACCTACCAGGAATCGGTGAGAGAGCGGCCCACGTGGGAGAACCATCCAAGGCCACTATAGGATTACCAATCAATCGGAAACGACCGTTCGAACAGCAACTAGAAGGGGGTTACCACATGTCATGCTATGCATTTTCTGGGGCGCAGGACACCAAGAAACGACCGAAGTGGACTGAAGCCCGAAAGCAGAACAAGAAAGATCTTGACCTTTACGGGGGCGCATGCTTTCGGTGTCGATGGATGAAACTGGCTGTAAGTTGGCCTTTTCCTTTACTGGATCTCATTCTGAGCAAAATTCCAGTGTTCAGGCACACGCCCGTGCAACAATTGTCGAAAAGCCCTGAATGGATCCAAGATCTCGACGTATGGTTTCAAGTACGCGTGCACAGTTCACTTCAGGCTGTCCGATGTCATCGAGCTGTCTCAATGGAGTTCATATCTCCCTCTGTGCGGCCACAAGCACGGGAATTCACTCGACCTCTTTCAGTGTCTTGAGCCTGTTTTGCGACCTCTAGTATATGAATTAGCTGATATCGCCTCGCTAGAAGGCCAAAACGGCTTCTCCAAATGGCGCAGCGAAATTTTGGTACACCAGCCAAGGCGGATTCCAGAACGGGTATTTACCTCTTTTCTCGCTACTTGCGTGCTGGCCGGGAGGGCGTTCCGCCAGAGAGCCCAGACTTTCTCCGGATTCGAGTTTCTCGTTCAAAATATTCTTGTCAGCATTCTGGCAATATCTGAACTTGGTGAACAACTGCATGACAACCGCTTGGCCAGCAAAGAAACAACTGCCGCCCAGAAACGGACTCTCTACCTAAAATCGATGTACGTTTTGCGACGTTTCCTAGTATTGGTGATTGGTCTTATACGGCACCTGGACCACTGCAGTGACATCTCCACAAATTTACAACACATCACCGAGGCGATTGCAGCACAGATAGAAGTCATTCCGAAGCCACCTTACCTGGTGGCTTTATTTCGAGACAGCATCGACCGATTATCCGCTTTTACGGAGAATATGGACAAACAGATACCGACGTGTGGGAACCCTCGCTTCTTCGTCGAGGGAGTTGACGCTAAAGTCGCGGAGACTGATCTCGCATTTCTTTTGTCGGGGTTGAAATGTGACTCAGAAGGAGTCTACGAATTGCCCAGCGCGTCCGGATCTCATAAAATGAAGCGGGACCATGTGGAGACCACATTACTGTCACATTATCTCTCACTTGCATTCAACATTGATGGTGATCTCCTTCACGATTTCGGTCTCACTCGACGTTTATCCCTCCATAACATTCAACCTCAGGGTATGGTCTTCTTGGGTAATGTTGGCATTTCACTGACTTGCAACTATGCCTTGTTCTATACTGAGTCCATCCTCATACTCGTTCCTGGTGAATCGAAATTGCACTCGGAATCGGTGGCACGAACGTTTTTCACCATAGCTTCCACCTTGTTCAGCTTCTGGAAAACAGAACGTGTCGTGCCAGCTCCGTCTACGGAAATACACCGACAATTTATTTTCAACCTCTCCTACACTCTGGCACTTGAGCTGAGCTGTGTATGTCTTGCACAACAGTCGGCATGGGAGTCCAACTTTTGGAACTCTCTCCTGCTATATGCGATTATTCAATTGCAATCTGTGTATCAGGATTTGCATCATCTACGCGCGATTAGCAACAATACCCCGGAAGCGAGAGTATCCTTGCATTGCAGATTTGGACCGCAGCACCAAGATGACAGTATCTTCGAATGCGTCTTGGTGTCAAGGTACAGGGACGGACCTGAGACTGCCAAGACGAGACTCTGCGGTCTTCGCCACCTCCATCCGTGGCCTGAACCTTGTGACTCTTCGGACGATTGTCTCCTTTGTACGATCAGATACCATGAAGGACCTCTGTAGCATTGTCAAGGATAATGGGCTGGGGCAAAGCATGATTTTCATGGTGGAATCTCACCTCGGGATCATACGAGGGCTGAAGTGGCGTTGTTTCTGGCGCTTGAGGGAGTCTGGAGTCGGGCACAGAGGTGGTGGAAAAGCGCGATAAACAGCGAGACCAGGAGATGGCTCTGGGGACGGCTTGATGAAGCCTTCACAGAAATGCCAAGGTGCCTCTCCGTGGTGTGCACGTGTAATGGATTCCCTTGCTTCATATATCAAGAATCGACCTTTCCTGCAAAAAGAAGACTGATCACCACAACCGCATCCTAGGCTCCGTTTTTGCTGGAATAGTTCTTCCTGAATCCGAAGTCATTCCATGCTTCGTCAAAGCCCACGCTCCTCGCCCACCTCTCCCCCTTCTCGGGCTGCACGCTGTCCAACACCATCATGGCCAGCCGCCGCCACATGTCTCCTTTGATCTTCCACCGGTCGTCGTGCTTGTTTTCTCCATTAAGTTTGTCCCCGTTGGCATGCCCATTAACATGTCCATGTCCACCGTCCTCCACAGACGAACCAGCGTGTTTGCTACCGTTATTCTCATACGGGGCGCACGCCCTCTCCCCGTTTGCCAGCGCGCGGATGAACTTTGCCGTGTGCCCGTCGTCCATGAACCGGCTCGCCGCCGCGAACATGTCGTCCCAGCACAGCAGCAGCGAAGCCTCCCGGCCGTTGTCATTTGCAGGGTAATTTGCGATTTCGTCGAGCAGGAGCCGTGGCGCCCGCCGCGACGCGTACAGCGCCAGGTCCAGCCGGCCCTTCCACTCGACCAGCTTGGCCTTCGCGGGTGGGGCGATCCACTCCTGCGCGAGGAAGACGCTCAGGAAGATGCTGGAGTTGACCGCGTGCATGTAGAAGAAGTCCATCTTGACCACTTTCGGTGGATGTTGCGCCGCGCCTGTGAAGTACGCGTCCGCATTGATGACTTCCGCGGCGGCTTCTTCCAGGCTCTCCTGCGTGTAAGGTGCGGAAAGCCGCCACTGTGCCGCGTAGGCGATCATCTCGTACTTGGCACGGGCCAGCACGCCGTCACGCACTTTCTGCCCGTCCTCCCAGTGCGCGGCCGTGGAGACAATGGGGTCCTCGCGGATCTTGTCCAGCAGGTTCACCATCGTGTCGGGCGTCGCGGTCTTGGCGGCTGCAGCGGTGAGTTCGAAAAAGGCGTCCAGGTACGTCGAATGCACGCACGCCTGGGCCAGCGCCTCGGCCACGATGGCCGGCTGGTTGAACTCCACGCCGTACCCGAGGTGGATCAGTGGGTGGTAGTATCCCGCGAAGAAGCGGTTGAAGATGGTCGTGGCCAGCTGCGTCTCGTCGAAGACGTACTCGTTCAGCACGTCGGGGATGGATGCTGAAGAGAGCTTGCGCGTGAAGAAGGCCAGGAAAGTCGAGTAGTTCTCCGGCTTGGCCATGGTATCGAAAAACACCTTCGAGTTGCCGCCCAGAGCGTTGACGACGTCGTCATCCGCCGGCGGGGGAGGTCGCTGGTACGATGCATTCTGGTCGTATTGCTTCTGCAGTGTTTCCGCGTCTGCCCCCAGAGCGAACGAGGCGAGAATGTGGTGGACGATATGGTTGTGGCGGCCGACTGCGTCGAAGACAATGTCGTGTAATGTGTGGTTGTGATTCAAGAGCGAGCTGGTCGTGTCGGTGGCGTCTCGGTCTAGGGTCTCGACATGCACGATGGCCGGCACGTCGGTAGAGAGACTGATCTTGGACGCCGTTGCCATATTGCGAATGTTGGTTCTATACTTATCCCCCATGTTTCAGTTTGTTGGATTGCAGACGAAATGCGGAGAATGGTGGATGCTTTATGGCCAGATGACGAACATGGTGCTTGCAAGAGTCGTAGCATGAACCGATATGTCTGACTGGCGATTGGGCTGGTCAGCGAACATAACATGTGTGGAGAGTGGTTCAGGATGTCGTGGTGAGCATGTGATGTTAAGCAGTCCCCTGCCATCCAGTAGCAGACGCAATGGCGACATTTGGGTCAATATCATGAGGGGGATCATGCGAGCTTCTCCTCATTCTGAGCTCTGCCTTCTGACGTGAGCCAATTGTGGACGGTCGGATATTTGCCGATGGTGGAGGAAGATCCCTGTTTACTGGGGAGTGTATGGACAGGACAGGTCAAAAAGGGCGTCCCAAGTCAATTGGGAGCCCGAGGCCTCAGGAATGGAAGTAGATTTTGTCATGAAGACAAGTGCAGTGGATGGGGTTGCCGAGCTCTGAATGCACAACCTTTGTTTTGCATGGCATCCTCGGACGGGATTTGGTCCACCTTGCTATGTCTTACGACACAATATCTGTCCGCTAGGAATGGCGAAGAAAGCATCCTGGTCTGTGCCCCATGTCTTCCAGCCTTCCGAGATGCTCTTGATCTCGTCTTCCGTCGCGAATCCCTCCCGGACGGCAGTCCCCGTAAATCCCGGCTGTAAGATTCTCCCCGCCCAGCTCTGAGAGAACTGAGCCACCCGTTGCCCGGCGTACCTCCAGCAGTCCCACGTGGCGGTGATATCAGCCGGCGAGAAGCCAGCTTGTCGTGCCCAGACGTGACAGTATCGGCCGGCGTTGGGTTCGCCTCCGTTCGCCTTTGCAACTTGCTGGTACAGTTCCGCCCACCGAGCGACTTCAGGAGTCTCTGGGTACCAAGCGAAGGACTTGTAGTCTGCTTCCCGAGCAGCCACGATACCGCCGGGCTTGACGACTCTGCGCATCTCCTTCAAGATGGCGACCGGGTCTTTCACGTGTTGCAGGACCTGGTGACAGAAGACAATGTCGAAGGTGTTGTCCGCAAACGGCAAGCCATTGGCGTCGATTTTCTGGAACGTGAGATTCGTCAGCCCTCTTGACGAGGCGTACTGAGACGCCTGTTCGAGGACAGACTCAACCGCGTCACCACCGATGACCTTGCCCTCTGGTACAAAGGTCGCGAGATCTGCAGTGATGGTACCAGGACCGCAGCCCACGTCGAGAATGACGTGGTTTGGTTTGATATGGGGCAGAAGGAACGCCGCTGAGTCTTGAGCCGTACGACGCGCGTGGTCGTCGACAACTGATTTGTGATGGCCGTGAGAATAGACGGCTTGCTCTTTTGCCATGGCGGATCAGATAGTCTCGAAGCACGCTTCGCCAAGTTATGTCACCTATCAGAAGCACTATACTCTGTATCCGACACTAGAAAGATGAAAGACACCCAGGGCCTGACAGCAGAACAGGAGTATGAGAACCCATTATATCTTCATGACAATATATTGGAGAATCGATCAGCGAAGCCGATATCGGCAGCATTCTGTTCCACTGAATGACTGTCGTCCAGGGGCTGATTGTATGCTCCTTGCTGTTGGTCGCAGACGCGGTTGGAGACGAATTGGATTCGCTGAGTCGGATGTCAAGGAGTGCACTGGGATGGCACTCTTGAAGATGCGAATGATGTGTACTGAGGATTGAACGGCGAAGGCTTGACCGGCGCAAAGGGGCAGTGATAGTGCCGCTTTAGGCTGCTGGTGCCAAGACGCTAACTCAGAGTGCAGGGGGAATACTAGCTCAAAAGCAGCGTGACCGAGCCTCTTCCATGAATCTCGGTCTCAGCTGTCGTCGGACTTCTACCCTTCCTCGATATTCCAATATTGCCTGCCAGAGTAGTGCTCTGTCGGTGCAGGAGAGTGCAAAACTCCCATGGCAGCTTGCAATTGCCATGAATTACAAGAATGGACGGCCCTTCTCGCATCTTTAGCACCCTATGGAGCGTCCTTCGGTACATGTTTCTCTTGGTCTGGGTCGAGCCCTGGGCCAAGCCTCATATCAACGGCGAGACGACGCCCGCCACCTATGAAGCCTGGTACACCGGACAGTTCGAGTACGATGCCATCCATGGAGTCGATGAGTGGGTTAAGGTGGACCGTCACTCGAGCTACGACTGGCACATCCTCCGAACTTTGAAGCGAGACCTTGAACGAAGTCGACGTCTCGGAGATGAGAGAGGGTTGTGCAGTCAGCTCAGAGCTCAAAGCTCCCGTAACATGTGTCGCATTCTATCCCCCGCCTTGTACCGAAAATCACAGATACAAACCAAACGACTGATCCATGACTATGTGATGGAGGTGCGCCACTGCATCACCTACATTGCGGATCGAAACCCGGTCACCAATGGGGCTGCTCCCATTGTTCCGGCCCAGGAGAAGCGACAGGCCATTATTGACATGCGGACCGCACTTGGACGTACGAGTCTGGTGCTTCAAGGGGGCGCTATGATCAGTATGTGCCATCTTGGAGTGGTCAAAGCACTCTATCTGCAGCGGCTGCTTCCCCGGATAATCACAGGGACATCGTCAGGAGCTCTGATTGCTGCACATATATGTGTGACGAAAGACGAAGACCTGATTGGCGTGCTGGAAGCCACCAATATAAACCTCGACGCCTTCATTCGCTCTCAAGAAAGATGTGCCACAGGTGGACTCAAATCTTGGTTCAACTCCTCCTTCTTCGCCACCATCAAACGGCGGTATCAACGCTATCGTACCTCCCACCACGTGTTTGATATCGACGTGCTCCATGAATGCACCCGAGACAATCTGGGCGATATCACATTTGAAGAGGCGTATGCAAAAACCGGGAGAATCTTAAACATAACCATCGCCATGTCTGAAGTGGCCGGGACACCACAACTCCTCAATTACCTGACGGCACCTCACGTTCTTGTTCGATCTGCGGTGGTGGCGTCTATAGCAACTTCCAAAGCCATGTACGCTCCTGTCCACTTACTGTGCAAAAGTGCTACAGGCGATATCACCTTGTATTTTGCTGCCGATTTCTCCGAGAAAGGTTGCAATTTGCACCGGCAAGCCACCGTCCACCCGGAAGCACCGCTCACACGGATAGGTGAACTGTTCAACGTCAATCATTTCATCATATCTCAATCCAGACCCTACATAGCTCCTTTCATCCAACTGCAGAGTTTTGCCGACCGTCACCAACCTCTTGGGATCGTGGTTCGCTTCGTCCTGGACGAAATGCTGCATTGGCTGCAGGTTTTGAATCACTTTGGTATGCTTCCAACCTTCCTCCAGCGGGTCTTGATGGACGAAGTCGTTCCAACTCTCGCCTCGTGGTCAAAAATATCAATCACACCCCAACTCGGGCTGTGGGATTTCCTCCGCACCTTTGACACTCCTACACCTGCTAAATTGCAGAAATGGAGTGCTCGAGGGGAGAAGTGTACGTGGCCATACATCTGTGAGCTAAAAGTCCGATGCGACATCGAGCTGGAACTAGACATCGCTTATACGAATCTACGCCGGAGAGGAGGGATGGGATCGGTTATCAGACATAGAGCAGACCCATAGCATTTGCGTCAACGGCGGCCGGTTTCCGAAGGCGATTGATTGGTTGCCCGCTTCTAGCGAGCCGTTTCTTCTCCTCCTCTCACCCGTTAACCGGCTTGTGGCTGTGCAAGAATCGTGGCGTTTCTCGATTAATGCGCCGATCATGGCTTGCAAATGACATCATTGGGGACGATCAACTGGGCGGCGTGCTCATCATACCAAGGAGGGACCAGAACCCTGAAATACTGCCTCCATGAGCTTCTGAAGTGCTTTCTCCTCCTGTCACTACGTCTGTCGTCTACCACAGCTTTTACTGTCATCGATATCTCATATACACAATCCCCCTTGATCTTGCTCGAGAATGTCCCAAGCGGCCTTTGCCAACTCGACCGCACCTCCCTACGAAAAGGAGAAGAAACACCGAAAGTTAGGCCGTCTCCTCGGAAAGCGGGAGAAGACCCCGGAGCCACAGCCAGATGTCGGCCCTGACTCGGCGTATGCGTCAAGCGGTGCCAATAGTGCAGATGGTGTTCAGGGAGGAATAACTCCCGAAGGAGAAAGAAACCAGAATGAGATAATATCTGCGGAGAAGGATAGCGAGATAGCCAACATCGACCAGGGCAGGAATCTCGCATTGAAGCCCTCGACTGGGGAGGTCTTCGATGAAGATACCGGGGAAGTGGTCACTGTAGTGACTACGACTGTGAGTCCGCCCAGGATACTTACCACGCCGTGGGTTGTCCTTTTCGTTCGAATGCTAACGACATGCCAGACGACTACCACGACCACCACCACAACAAGAGGCGGAAAGAAGCATCAAGATGTGCAAAAGGATGTCAAACGCGAAGTACAACCCGGTCCGGGCCAGCAACCTCAACTGCTGGAAATGCCCGCAGGATCCACAACCCCAGAACCCTCTAATCAACCACCCATGACATCTACCAGCATGGCCCAAAACGGAAGGCCACCTGTGATGACAAGTGGAGGATTGCTTGCGGCTGACTCGCCTCCCATACCGGCCAAAAGTGCCATGAGGAGATCCGGTGACTTCTCACGGGATGCATACCCTGCAGACAATGGCCCCGTGAGCCCCGTTGATCCTCCTTATGCAAGACGCAACAGCGGAGAAATACCCGCCAGCCCCTCAAGGCACAACTTCAGCTACCCTACTCGGTCATCCCTAAAAACGGCTGATCAGCCAATGAAACATAATCAAAGCACAATCAACGATTTGCGGGCAGCGGCTAAGGGACTTCACGTCAGTTTTTGTCCCCGACTGTTTCGGGTACTTCGAAATCATTGTACTGACCCACATTACTCAACAGGGCGTTGGCGAAACTCTTCGAGGCACTTTTAGCTCGACAATCGACCGCCGCTTCCCATCCAAAAATCCCGAAAATGCCGCCCGAATCAACGCCCGTAACGATGAAATTCTCCAACGAGGTCGCGCCGAAATGGAAGGCGTCCCTGGCGGCTGGCCGACTCATGAAGCTGACGGGTTTCAACCCGGATATGTACACCACGAACCCATTCCAGCAACCGAGCCCGAGATGGCGCCGCCAGTAACGGGACGAGAGCGTTCCCCAGGAGAGAAGCCCGCAAGTCTGAGAAAGCTATTCAAGCGAAAACCGGTCGCCGAACAAGGTATGGCAAGTTAAAAAAGAGTCAAGTGGTCGTGAAGTGTGTCCTTGGCCTTTCCTTCTCCTTCTGCCACATTGGTCTCTTGCGATCATCTTCTATGTATACCCAGTTAGGGAGCAGAATTGCTTGGGATTAAACATTTCTGACATGTCAACCTCTCCCTTGCAGAGGCCACCGTAAATGACACACCACCCAACGGACGCCGATTTTTCTAAATTCGACTCAAACCAACAGACGAGAATAGCCAGGAGAATTGTCAGCACAGGATTTGACGGGCTGTACTATTGATGTGGACAAAAGGCGTGAATTTGGGTAGATATAATGACTGTTGATTAGCGTGGTTTCTGTCCTTCTACTGATGGTTTAGTCCGTTACCAGCATGTACACACAGTCGGTCACGCTTCTTGATTTGCTCGTCATTTCGGATTCGTGGCCACAATGACCCAGTACTTTGTCTCTTCCTCAATTGTCTCTCCAATCTCTGCGAATTTCCGCACAAACAATTCTTTGGCCTTCTCGCGGATCTCGGCGCGACCAAAGTCCTTGTACATGGCCTTGCCGACAGCTTTGTCGAAAAGTTCCTGCGCCGCGTCGAGATGATACTGTGCCCTCGCGTAGGCTTCGGTCTCGAAGATCTTCTCGACATGGAACCCTGCGTCAACCATCAGAGCCGCCAGGGCTTGCTGAGACTGCCACAGATGCGAGTGCCAGGGCACGGTCTCGCCGACGTGCGGGGCGATGGCCGAAAAGATGTTCATGACCAGATTTGCGTCCTTGGTCTGCACGTCGGTGATGAGGCGCCCACCGGGCCTGAGCACCGATTTCCAATTTTTGACGGCCCGGAGCGGGTCGGGGAGGAGGATCAGTGCCGAAGCGCAGGTGACCACGTCGAAGAAGCCGTCCGAGCCCTTTGGCACGATGTCCAGGCCAGTGAGGTCGCCGACGTCGTGATTGAAAAAAGCAATATCGAACCCTGCGGCTTGGGCTTTGCGTCGTGCGACATTCAACATTCCTTCGCTGATGTCGATGCCGACAACGCGCCCTGACGTGCCGACCACCTGCTTGGCGCCGATGGCCACAAGGCCAGTCCCGCAGGCCAGGTCGAGTAGGTTCTCGCCTTCCTTCAGATCCGCCCAGGTGATGTAGTCCTGCGCCTGACGCACGTGGACGTCGTTCTCGTCGTACTGCTCGCTCCGCTCATCGTACATCGACTTCACCACGTCCAGCTGTGACAGAGACATGGCTGGCTAGTTGCGCACACTTCCACGAGGGATATCAAACCGCTAGTCGAGACGATAATAGAACAGATGTTTAGGTGCAAAATATACAGGGGAACGTGTACAATGCGTAGATAAGGCGATGGAGAAATGACGTCGACATATGTCGGCCGTTACATCAAATCGGCCCTGAACCGGCCCGTTCAGCGCCAACTTCTCATCATTATGGTCCATATATCTTCGACCTGGAGACCTACTTGAGATATGGTTTACAAGTGGGAATCACGACACAAGACAAAATATGGTCTCATGGTATCCACAAATTATCCGGATTCTACGTCGCCCATTCTTGGGTAGACGACTTGCAGCTAAAAGGAAAAGCCACTGAAGCGGACTCGAATCTGAAGCCAGAACCATTCCGAGCTTGTTCCACGTTCAGGATATCAAGTGGAAGCCATCAAGGCTGAGGACGTAGGTGGTTCACAGCCTCACCCAACTCAAAGTCTGGACAAGAAGGCACTAGGTCAACCTCGACTAGGTAAATGGTCCTTGGAGAGGCAAGTTTTCTGTACGAAAGCGGAAGTCTGGTCTCCGTCGGCATCCACGCGCCTGCGAGGGCTGCGGGGCGACAAAAGTACCAAAAAGTTACCTAGGCAGTGGGAAGACGCTAACTCCGTCGCTTGGAGCCCATATAACTCACTTCTTCGTGGGATCAGGAGCCTCAACATGTCATCCTCTCGTTCAGGTTTACGGCAAAATGCTTCGTTTCGACAACAAGATCATTTTCATCACCGGTGTCGGCTCCAGCGGCGCCGGCATTGGCAATGGCAGAGCAAGCGCCATACTGTTCGCGCGACAAGGGGGCACTATCTATGGTGTGGATCTAAATCTCACCGCGGCGGAGGAGACGCGCTCTTACATCCTCTCTGAAAATCCCCAGATCGCAGACCGCATCACCGTCTCGCAGTGCGATGTCACCTCGGCAACGGATGTGAACAGAGAGGTGGGGAAGTGCGTGGAGAAGTATGGACGGATAGATGTGCTGGTGAACAACGTCGGTCTCTCCGCACCGGGATCGGCGGAAAACATGCCGGAAGAAGTCTGGGACAAGCAGATGGCGGTCAACATGAAGAGCGTCTTCTTGTGCTGCAAAGCTGTGATCAAAGTAATGTTGAAACAACAACCAATGGGTGGCGCAATCGTGAATCTCTCCTCTATCGCGGGCATACGATCTTTAAGCACAAACCATATCGCCTATGCCTCGTCCAAAGCGGCCGTCATCCAGTTCAGCAAGTCCACAGCCATTGCCCACGCCTCCCAAAACATCAGAGTCAACACGGTGGTGCCGGGGCTGATGAACACGCCGCTCGTGCAGAGCAGACTGTTAAAGCACCTGCCTCCGGGTGTGACGGAGGAGGAATTGAAAAGGAGCCGGGATGCGAAGGTGCCCCTGGGGAAAATGGGAGACGCGTGGGATGTGGCACATGCGGTCCTCTACCTGGCCAGTTCAGAAGCAAAGTATATAACAGGAAGCGAGATCGTGGTGGACGGAGGAGTCTCGTGTGGGGCGATAGAGCAGGCGAGGCTGTAGATGTAAAGGGGCTTTGAACGGATGAAGAGGAAGTCAAGACAAGCCATGCCAAGGGTCTTGGGACGGTATCCGAATTTGTCGATAGCCAAAGGGTAGATTTCACGAGGAGCAATGTTTACACGAATAGTAGAAATGAGCCGGGGGGGGCTCTTGGTAGATGTCTTCTAGCTGACAGATCAGGTTCGTCCCGTCTCTCGCTGGCTGTTTTCAACGTGCTGCACTCCCCGTGAATGGATCCCACGACCTCCTAATCCGTTCATCTGCTTGCTCATCTTCTTGCCAGCCATTGTAAAGTCACGAGTCCATCCAGCACAACTCCTCCCTACGGCAAAAGTCAAAGGGAAGTTTCCTGATTCCCTCATTGGTTCTGTGGACCGGGCTGCTACTCCGCTCATTGTCCCTCGGAAGAGGATTGTCGTATGCAAAAGACCTTCTTCCCCCCTCATACAGGAGGCTGGGGCCGCCCGCATTTACTTTCTCCGCTTTCCGTCTTCGGCGTCTTCAGAACTCTTCCTATCCCCCAAGAATACGGCGATGTAAGTGCCATCGTACACCAACGACCATATCCAAACATCAGAGGCTAGAGAATGACCGTAGCTCTAATAATCAGCAGATTGACAGGATGGGCCCCCCAGGAGTTGCTCCAACACCTGTAACAGTGCCTCGAAGAGCCGTTCGGAAGGCGTGTCAAGCATGTCGGATGCGTAAGGTCCGTCCATACCCCTGATTATCGCAGATGTCACTTCCGTACGAGGTTCTTGGCCGTCCACAGAGTTGTATATCGACGCCCTCTGAGATCTTCCATCTTGATCACAGATGGTTGAGCCAGGGCTGTTCAAGTCAATGTTACCACAGTCCCTCCAGACTACTTATGACTCTGCATTATTGTGAATCCGCGATTGACTCAGTTGACATCTCTCTCAGGCAAAATGCAACGGCAAGCGGCCTCAATGCGGCTTCTGCACACAATACAACCAGCCATGCCACTACCTGGAAGATAGGCGGCAGTTCAGCCGGCCGACAAAGGCGGAGATTCAAGGGAAAGATGAAGAGATCAACTCATTGAGGCTGCTGGTCAAGACGTTGAGGGAGACTGAAAGTCTTGAGGATGTTAGAAATATCCTGGGCCAGCACCAGCGAATGGTACACGGTGACCCCACGGATGATATTACCGACAGCAATGAGGCCTGCGAGAGCCTGATTAACGACCGCGTCACAAGGAATGAGGCACCGGCAAGGGTGTTAGGCGCAAGTGGGACAACAAGAATCCCTGGAGCATCAGATAGAGCCATTCCATTCCCATCACACCATCCCTCGACCGAATCGGAAAGAGTGGTAACCACCTTCTCGGCGCACGGTGCTTTTCCTTCAGCCATACCAGAGATACGGCCCCATGACGAAGGTCACGCAGCGACGCGACGCTACAGATCTGTTGAAGCTGAGTGGAATCACCGCGCCACGTCGATACCCCCCGAAACCCCAGATCAAAGCCGCCATCAAGAAGATGATCAAGAAGCAGAAGACAGCCCGATATTCCACGGACCCTCCTCCGCTATGCACGAGCTCTCCAACCGCGGCGACGGCACCCTTCCCGAGCATTCAAACTTCATCGGTTTCGGCCCCTACCACCGATATTCCGTCCCTTCCCAAGAAGGCACCTCCGCTTCGCGCCTCGCCAGTGCCTCCAGCGACACGAGGCTTGCATCGAGAGATTCTGACGACGACACTCTCACTCCTGAAGTTCAATCGATCATTTCCCAACTCGTTGCTCATGCCGCGCTGCAACGACATCGTGAGGTGGCTCATCTGTACGAACGACGATTCGACTTCGACGGCCTCGACCCTGAGATGGCAATGCATTTCTTCGATCTGCACTGGAACCGTCCTCATCTCTCATACCTGATTACTTACCGTCCAGCGGTGATGGACAGCCTCGCAAACAATGGCCCGTACATCAATAAACTCCTCCTCAACGCCATATATTTTGCCTCTGCCACGTACAGCGAACGGAGTATCTCGTTGCGGAGGGACAAAGATGACCCGCAGACTGTTGCTGCCCAATTCCTTGACCGGTTCAGAGAGTGCCTGCAAGAGGAAGGGATCGAAACTCCCAGTGTACCTTCCATATGTGGCCTGATCCTCATGGGCACCGCCCTGGTGTCGATTGGGAAGACCTCACCGGGATGGGTATACTGTGGCATTGCGTATCGGATGGTAATCGACCTTGGATGCCACCTGGAAAAGTCGTCACGCAGCAGCAACGGCAACTGCGGTCATTTGACAGCATTGGATATCGAAATCCGGAAGCGTGTATTCTGGACCGCGTATGCCAACGATAAAGTCCAGAGTCTCTATTTGGGACGACCGTGCTGCTTGCAGGTGTCTGAGAGCGACGTCAGTAAGAGACTCCTCGACACCTATGAAGAGACCGAGCCCTGGAAACCGTACATCGATCCGCTCTATTCCTCCAGCCCGACCTCAAAGCTTCTCGCGGCGTACGTCCCACGGCCCACATATGCGGTCAGCACGTTCCGGGCACTTCTCGACCTGGCGGAGATTGCGGAGATGCTCATCAGTTCGATATATGCGGTTTCATCTTTGAAGATGGCTGAAGAAGACAGAGTGAGGGCGTTTGAACGCATCGCCGAAGCATTAGAAACATGGGAAAGGAAGCTGCCGGTACACCTCAGAATAGAAGATGATCACCCAGCACCACCACATCTTCTTACCTTGCATACTACCTATTTCGCGTTGAGGATTCTTCTCCTGAGGCCATTCTTTCCAGGGGGGCACCTCTACCCTACCACAATCACCACTATCCCTTCATCCGACCGTACTTCCAGACTCACTTCAACGAGAACGTCGCCCCCACCCCAACAAGCCCCTTCAGACTTCCTTACCGCCGCTCGGCTCGATTGCTACTCGGCAGCCCTGTCCATCCGCGCTCTTGTCACCTCCTACCGTCGCTCCTTCACCCTAGGTCGAGCTCCGATCCGCTTGTCATATTGCATACTTAACGCCGTCATGGTGTTTATGCAGGATGCCCAAAGGAGTAAAGATCCGAGTAGGAACGTGGAGGAGATCAGAGATTGCTACGAGGCGTTGAAGGAAACCACCCCAGCAAATTTGGGGCTCAGGAAGCCCTTGAGGATCATGAGGGGTCTGGTGCAATATTTGGGGCTCGAACAAGATACAGCCCCGGAGCAAGTTCGAGCAGTGAGTGGTGGATTGGGGAGAGCGGGTTCAGACGGAGACACAGGGCATGGACAGCTGAACGCGGGGGGGAGTAATAACCCACGCACGAGGGACATTCTTTCCGCCTCCTTTCCGCCTCCTAGCAACAACCCTGGCGTCCCTTATTCGTCCCACTCACATACTCGCCAGGTGGTACATCCAAGTCACAGCGAAGTAGGTGGAGGAACCAGACAAACTCTGAGCCATCCACTGCCAGCACCCCAGCCTATGGACTTCTCTAAAGGAGTGCAAGGGACTGATGGTGCGGGGTCCCATGGATCAGAGGAGAACGAAGACTGGAACATGGACTGGAGTTGGAATACCGGGCTTGATGGGTTCGGGTTGTACGACGACGACGATTTCTTTGGGATACTCCAGCCGAGTGCGAGCTGAGGAGGTTTGAGATAGAGATTTCGGCTTCAGCTACTCGTAATTCTCTGAGGCGACAAGGGCAGGTATCTATTCAAGAAATATCTGCGAGGTAATACCTCGTATTCGGTCCGGTAGTCGGTGTGCCACGGCAACGGATCAACAGATGATCCGTCACATCACTTGGCCTCCAATGCTATGCCAACCTCGCCCTCTCTTGATGTATCCTCCGCCACCCACAATCACCTCAGACCTCCAATCTGCCACCATTGCAATACTCGATATAGGCTCAGATGCCGTCTTCATCTCGCCACCCTCCCAGCCTGTTTATCACACCGGCTAGGGGCCCGGCTAACTCGGCTCCATCGGCTGAGAGCCCGGGACCATGAATCATCTCCATCATTTCACCCACAGCTTCCCCTATGTCGATCACATCTCGCATGTGTGACCTCCGTCTAAGCGAGCCACTGGGGCGGGTGCAGCACCGCTATACTCTTCGCCATTCTTCTCCAGCTTCTCCACACGTAAACCCGGAGAAGCAGAATGTAGATGGGGAAAGGGAGACAGGCTACGGCCCAAGTTGCAGGGGATATAACACATGGCGTCTGCCGTCTCGATCTCATGATTGATGTCTCCAGCTCATGTTCCAGACTGCGCAGTTCTTCACGACCTCCTGGCCCAGCTCTCCTTTCCAGAGTATTTCTGTCACTTCTGACACAGCCTAGCCTACCCCTTTTGCTTGAACCCTTGCCTTCAACACCAGCTGTGTCTTTGACTCACACTCTGTGCCCAGCAGCATGGCGGACAAGGCACCCTATCTCGGCCTGCGAGGCAAACGCCTGACAACAGCCCTGATTGTCATGGTTGTCTGCCCGGCCTATATCATGATCGGGTATAACAATGCAGCTGCCGGTGGTCTGTTGACACTTCCATCCTTTGTCGAGACCTTCCCGAGGATTGATACTGTCAATACGACTGGCAAACAGCAGGCGGATAATGCAAGGATTCAGGGTAAGCTCCTGCTGCATTTGTGCTCTGTCGATTTCAAGTCGCCACTGTTATCCGTCGACGCTATCGATGCCACCAGCTCTTGTCTGGTTGCGCAATACGAGGGAGGCTAATATGCTACAACGCTCTTAGGCACCGTTGTGGCACTGTACACCGTGGGTTGCATGTTCGGCTCTCTTCTATGTCTGAAGCTCGGGGACAAACTCGGCCGCCTGCGCACCATCATGATCGGCTCCGTCATCGAAATCGTCGGCGCCACCATCATGTGTACGTCCTTCTCTCTGGGCCAGCTCCTTGTCAGCCGTGTCGTCCTCGGCTTTGGCTTTGGCGCCATCAGCGCCACGGTGCCCGTATGGCAGTCTGAGTGCTCGCCCGCCGAACACCGTGGAGCACTGGTCGTACTCGAGGGGATGTTTGCGAGCTGTGGCCTGGCGCTCAGTCAGTGGGTCGAGTTGGGCTTCTTTTTCGCGCCGGGCAGCGTGAGCTGGCGGTTTCCCTGGGCGTTTCCCATTGTGCTCGCCATCTGGATTCTCGCAGCTTGCATGTTCCTACCCGATTCACCGCGGTGGCTGGTCAAGAAGGGACGCATTGCCGAAGCGACCTCCATCCTCGCCATCCTCGAAGACCTGCCGGAGGACTCACCTGAGATTCAGGCCTCGATCCACGAGATGCAAAATTCTCTCGCAGAAATGGACAAAGGCAGCCTTCTGGGTCTGTTCCGCAACAAGGGTGACCGGCTGCTCAATCGCACCTTCTTGGCATGCTTCAGCACCTTTTCGCAACAGATGAACGGCGCCGGCGTGATTGGGTTTTATACGACAACCATTTTCGAACAATATGTCGGTCTGCCGCCCCTCACATCCCGCATTCTGTCGGGCTCGGTGTACACCTGGCAGATTGTCTGCTCTTTCTTGACCATCTACACCGTCGACCGCATCGGTCGTCGCCCTCTCATGCTTCTCGGTGCCGCAGGCATGGGCGTTGTATTCATCATCCTTGTTGGCACTGTTGGCCACGCCGCAGATTCTCGCGCATGCTCCATCGTATCAGCCCTGTGTGTCTTTTTGTATGGCTTCTTCTTCACCGTCGGCGCATTGGGGGTGAACTATCTCTACGGCACGGAAGTCGCCCCTTTGGCATATCGCGTACCAATTTACAGCCTGACCTCGACGACGCTGTGGAGTTTCAACTTTCTCGTGGTGGAGATTACGCCGATTGGGTTTACGAACCTGGGGAACAAGTTCTTTATCATCTTTGCGGTGACTAACCTGTGCATCATTCTCCCTGGTGAGTATTCCTTGTCTCCTTCAGAACCCTAGTCCGACGTCAGAGAGAGTCATTCATGACTGACTTGATTCGTTTACCTAGTGGTATATTTCTTCTTCCCTGAAACTCGCAGACATTCGCTCGAGGCTATCGATGCCGTTTTCAAGGGCGCCAGCAGTCCCTTTGACGTTGTCCGTCGTGCTAAGAAGCTCCCATCTGATGTCGTGCGGCGGGATGATGCAATCCATATGGTTGAAGCTGGAAAGTCGAGTGAGTCGAATACACCGGTCGAAGGGGAGGACTCACAAAATGAGAAAGCCGTCTTTCAAATGGTGGAGAAAGTGGCATAGATCTCTGCTCAGACAGGGAACACCAGCTGAGGTCTATAAGTGAACGGCGAGGACTGATGTGCACTGTAAAGTTGTTTCGTGCCGACCCGAGGCCCTCATGGGGGAGCTGTTAAGTCACTGGTATCCAAGCTGGCGCGAGTGCACATTGCTAGTTTTGGTATTGCAGTAACCCGCATGATGCTTGTTGGTCCTTTATAATGGATTGTGTTCCAGGTGCCCAGCTGGTCATTCATGGGTCATACAGGCTACGTACAACGGTCAAGCCTTGTCGAGCTAATTGGCGCATTCCTCGGCAATGCTTATCTATCTCCAAATGCGAGATCCCAAAAGAGACATACAGAGATGTCCAAGTGACCATGGTACACGCAGCCGACTGAACAATTAGCAGCGGCAAGTGGCCGATGGTACTGTCCCGACGAGGCATCAATTGGAGAAAGCGGTGGGCAATCCGCAACTCAGACCTCCGGGCATCGAGCAGTGATCGCCGGTATATAGCGCCAACAAGATGGCGCCGTCGGTTCGGAGGTGTACAACTCCGGCTTCGCTGCTTCCGGGCAACCATTCCCCTCTCCCATCTCCTACACACTTTGGACCGCGGGTACCAGCGGAGGTTTAAGATGCGAGTCAAATGGCAAGACGACATCGTGCCAGAGGAGGAGGGGAAGGGTACGTTTCTCTTCCGACCGACGAAGAACGTGGAGTCGATGGATGAATATCTCCTGGACACGGAGTAGCTGGATATGGAAGCATCTGCGTTCATTCGATCCTTATAATTACATCCATCGACAGGAGGAGATACGCAGGACATCTAAAGTTCTGAACGTCTCGCTCTCTGCTATCGATCTCTAAACAAGACCAGGTTCGCCAGTGTTTAGAAGCAAGCAGACAGCAATTCCCTCCAAGCACGACCATGGCTCCCCTCCTGGATATCAATTCCGACCCGCCCTTCTCGAGCGGATTTCTCGACATGAAGCAAGCAGCGGCCGCTATCAATGAAGTGCAAGTAGCCGATGGCGTCCCCGACACGCCCGTCAAGCGCCCAACAAACGGAAAGTCTGAACCACTCACCACGAAGGAGACTCCGTACGTTGTAAGGGAGGTGCCCATGGGCACGAGGAAGCTCGTCCGCGTCGTGTGCCTCGGAGCAGGCTACTCGGGGGTCGTGATGAGTATTGTCTATGCGCAGCGGATGACCGACATGAACGTGGAGTTCTGCATATACGAGAGGAATGCCGACATAGGCGGGACGTGGCTGGAGAACAGGCATGTCTTTCTCCTGCCAGAATTCCTACCCACCTACATTTCACTATGCATCGCCAGGTGATTGCAGACCCCTAACGTCTGTGCGTGTATGACAGGTACCCGGGCTGCCAATGTGACATTCCCGCGCACAACTACTCCTACTCCTTCGAGCCCAACCCCAACTGGCCCGGCTACTATGCTAGCTCACGGGAGATCCACGACTATATGAAGCAGGTCATCAAGAAGTACGACGTGGGGAAGTACATGCACACCTCGCACGAGATCTTGAGTGCGGTCTGGAATGCGGACCGGGGGCGCTGGAATCTCCGGGTGAGGAAGCCCAGCGGCGAGGAATTCGATGATCACTGCGAGATATTCATCAACGCAGGGGGCTTGCTCAAGTAAGGTCTCTCTTAAACGCGAAGTGGGAATCTGTGTCCAGAAGACTGACAAACCAAACAACAACGCTACAGCAATTGGAAGTGGCCCAACATTCCCGGCATTGCCGACTATGAAGGAAAACTGATGCACTCGGCCGGCTGGGACGAGTCGTACGACCTCACGGGCAAGCGCGTCGCCGTCATTGGCATCGGGTCGTCGGGGATACAGATCGTGCCGCAGATCGTCAAAGGTGCCCATGTGCCATCATCCCTAACATATAAACCGGGATGTGTATACTGACTATATCCCAGTCGTGGACAAACTGACCAGCTTCATCCGCTCCAAGACCTGGATCTCGCCCGGTCCAGGGATCAACGAGCCCGTCGACGGCGACCCCGAGATGGACGAACACTACCGGTACACGGCAGACGAAATTGCACGGTTCAACAACGACCCGGAATACCTGCTACATCACCGGCGCAGTCTGGCGGACCGCCGCGCGCAGATCTTCGACCGCGCGATCAAGACCAGCGACCTGCAGGCCAAGGCGCAGGTGGTGTTCGCGGCGACGATGAAGGAGCGACTCGGGGAGACTGAGCAGGGCCGGCGCATCGCCGACATGCTGATTCCGGACTTCCCCATCGGGTGCCGGCGCCAGACGCCCGGCATCGGGTTCCTCGAGAGCCTCGTGCGGCCCAACGTCGAGGTGATTCAGGACGGCATCGTCCGCGCCACCAAGGGCGGGATTCTGTGCAAGGACGGCCAGGAGAGGCTACTCGACGCCATCATCTGCGCCACAGGGTTTGACACCACGTTCAAACCGCGCATTCCCATCGTTGGCCTGGACGGCGTCGATCTGCGCCAGAAGTGGGAGGACGAAGAGCCCGAGGCGTACTTTGGCATCGCGGTGCCGGGGTTTCCCAACTATTTCTGTAAGATACCTTCCCGAACCCTGCTCTTGCATATGCTTCATTTGCCGCCCCCCTCGGTACAAAAGAATAAGAAGCCCCCTTACCTAACCACGAGAAAAAAACCAGCCTTCCTCGGCCCCAACAGCCCCATCTCCAACGGCACGCTCGTGGGCGGCCTGCAAACGACCGCGGCGTACATTTACAAAGCGATCAACAAGCTCCAGACCCAGAGCATCCGGTGCATGACAATCAAGCCAGACGTGGTGCGCGAGTTCAACGAGCACTCGCAGACCTGGCTGCAGCGCAGCGTGTGGACGGCCCCCTGCGCCAGCTGGTACAAGCGCGGGACCACGGACGGGCGCGTCGTCGCCATCTACGCCGGCACCAGCTCGCATTTCATGGAGGCGCTGCGGGAGCCGCGCTGGGAGGACTACGAGTATGAGTATGACTACGAGTACGGGGACGGGGACGGTGGTGATGATGCCAGTGGCGGTGGTGGTGGGTTTGGGTCTAGAAGGAGGAGGAGGACCAATCGGTTTGCGTACTTGGGCAATGGGCATACCGTGGCCGAGGGCCGTGGGGAGAATATGGCCATGATGCAGACGTTGGATTTTGATCAGTTCTGGGAGCTGGTGGCGTAGCATAGCTTGCGTGTGTATGTATCTATGTAGCTACCTAGCTAGCCAACTAGCTACAGTGCTAGAGTGCTTGAATAAAGTAGAGCAGAGCGAGGAGAAAGGGAGGAAGAGGCAAGGAAGGAAGATCCAAAAAAAACCCCGGGAAAGAAGATCCGCAGGGAGTCGAGGATTTTGTATGGTTTGTGTGTATGTATGTATGTGTAAGAGAAAGAGAGAGAGTGTGTGTATGTGTTTGTGTATGTGTGTGTGTGTGTGTGTGTGTGTGTGTGTGTGTTTTTGTCTCCTACATTGACATCCTAATGTTTTATATATATATTCCCCCGTTAGATTCGTGACCACCCGACGACGACGACGACGACAACCATTTACTGTAGGGTTTCTGTCCAAGCTGGCTGTCAATGCGGAACAAGGTAATAGTCCGTGGAGGGAGGAAGTGGTCATTCTCCAAGCAGATCCGTAACCACATATACCCCGGAATGCACCCCGGACGGCACCTCGACCATGTACCCCCCCTTCGACCTCTGGCAGGCACGCAGGCACGCAGGCACACAGGTAGATACACAGGCATACCAGTCCCGGAAGTAGCTCCTCACACCGTATCGAACCTCTCTCTCTCCCCCTACCTCTCTCTGAGTCTCTTCTTATTGCTCCGCGACCATCGCTGCCCACCGGGCCTCGTCGTCGCCTTCGAACGTGATCGTCGGGCCCTGGTAGTGTTTCCGCGCGTGGGCGAACCAGTTCGCGATGCCGAGCAGGAGGGCGATGCCCAGAATGACGCAGGTGTAGTCTGTTATTTGCCACGAGAGAGGGAGGAGTGGAGCGGTCAGTAAAAATCTAAACGCACGTCGAGAGGAAGAAACACGATGGGGTGGGGGAAGGGGAGGTCGGTAGATATATATATATATATGCGAATGTGCATGTATCCCTGGTATGATATATATCTTTCTCACGAATTGTGCGATCTGACGGGGAAAAAAGAAATACTCACTCATCGTGTTCGCCGACGTGGGCAGGAAGGGCGGGAGATTAAAGAAGACGGTGGTGACGAGGGCGAAGACGACCACGACGACGTTGGCGGTCCATCCCACAACCGACGGCGGCGCGAAGTAGCGGGTCCGCGGCAGGTATTTCTCCCCGCGCCGCCGGTAGAGGAGCAGGGCGACGGGGATCAGGAACGAGATCTCCTGGAGCACGATCGACGAGCCGATCAAGGCGTTGAAGGCTGTTGAATCCCATACCTGTTAGCGGGGGAAGAAGCAGACACCCCAGAGTAAAGAAATGGAATCGGCTTGCCAAAAAAAAGAAGGCAGTGACAAAATAGATAAATAAATAAGTACGCACCCGTCGTCGATGCGACAAATACGCAGCCACACACGACTAGGATGCCGTAGGTCAGGAACAGCGCATAGACGGGGACCTGCAGGGTCGAGTGGATGCGGGCGACGCGGGACGAAAAGACGAGGCCGTTGTCGCGGGCGAACGACCAGGCGAGCCGGCTCGATGTCTCCTGGATAGCGTTGAGGATAAAGACCGCCATAACAATGCTAACCATGATGAAGGCCGCCGTGAGGGCCGTGGATCGCAGGCCCTGCCGAATCACGACCCAGGGGACGTATCTGTTTGTGTGAATGTCAGTGACAGATAATATGTATTTGCTTCATTGATTGGCGCTTGAATCTTCGATTGAGAGAAAAGGGGGACATGTCATGCATGTGGATACGTACTCAGTCGTGGTCATGATGGCCTCGATGTCTGTCAATGCGTAGAGCTGGGCCACGGTGTACGCGAACGCGGTGGTGCAGCCGATGAGCACGGCGGTGATCATGGCCATCGGCACCGTCTTTCTCGGCTCCTTGCACTCCTCGGCGATGTGCATCGAGGCGTCCAGCCCGATGTACATAAAGCAGGAGGTAGACAGGCCGATGAGAAAACACACGCCGTCCGACCAGCCTGTGTAGTTGATGAAGGTGGCCCAGACGAAGCGGGCGGGGGCCTTGGGCGACGCCCGCACCATCAGGGCGACGAAGCTGGCCAGGAACAGCGAGATCGTGAGGCCGACTATTTGACAGACAAGTCAGCTTTCGGACTATCCAACACCAACAACGACGACGACAAACACAAGAATGATTGATATGGGAGAGAAAATGCGTACATCCAATGTTATGCGTCCACGGCGCGCGTTTGAGTAAAAACAGGTTGTTGAGGAGCACAAAAAGCGCCATGGCCTGGTAAATCAGAAAAACGTGCCACTGCTTGGTCTCGAACCCGGGGTTCAGGGCGGCCACCAGGGCCATGATCTGCTGGGCGGGGATGATGGTGACGGCGGCGCCGATGGCGATCCACGAGAAGATGGACAGCAGGCCGCAGGCGTACGACAGGCCCTGCTTGATCTTCCTGGGCGCGAGGATCGAGGCGAAGTGGTATTGCCCTCCTGCGGTCGGGTACACGCTCGCCAGTTCGGCCATCGAAATGGCGATGCTCATGTAGGCGATCGACGACACGATGATGCTGTAGATGAGCGTGGCCGGCCCGCCCTGTAAGAGGGCTAGCTGGATGCTGCCCGCCACGCCGGCCCAGCTGTTGCAGATGACAAAGGCGAAGGCGACGATGTTCCATTTCGTGAAGTGCGTTTTGGCCGGCGCACTCCCGATCGTGACGCCCTGGAGGCTCCCATCGCCCACGCTGACGAATTGCTGCAGGTCTTGCTCTGTAGTGTGGGTAATCTGTTAGTTCTGGAAATGGGAAAGAAGTCTATCCAGGGAGTAAGTGGGTGGTGTGTGAAAGTACTGACCACTTTCTAGTGTCTTGGGGGTTTTGCTGTCCATGGTGTAAAGGCTCCAGAGAAATCGTGCCACAAACCACGCAGAAGGAGGAAGGCCACATCTGGGGGAGAGGGTGGGATAACAATATAAGAATGGTCCATTGATAGATCCGGGCCCTTCGCTTCATTCGCCGGCCCGTGTGAGGGCTACCCATTATTGCAGTGCAGAAGGGGGAGACATTTAACCGCGCTTCGATGCATGTAATGCCCGTCACCGGATTGGGCCGAGATATGCGCATATGTGTGTGTGTGTGTGTGTGTGTGTGTGTGTGTGTGTGTGTGTGTGTGCGTGTGTGCGTTAATAGCTGCACGATGCTGGCTTGCAGGGACGGACAGGCTGTTGAGTTCCGATTCGGTATCAGGGCCATCATCATCCCGTCGTCTGCAAGGATATCCCCTCCATTCGTCGCCAACACTCCTCTCAATCAACCCCGCCACGAAATGATATCAACTTACCTGTCTGTTTTGTCTGTCTGGTCGTTGTCCATTTGCTGGCACCGCTATCTTTGTGTCCACCTGATGACACTGGTGTTATCTACCGCCCCTCCCCCGAGCTTAGGTGGTGGACTAGTGTCGAATGGGCAGAGACCTCGTACATCTCCTCACTCCTTTCTGTCGCCACTGTATTTATTTCTGTTCCGCGTAGCCCTGGGGATTCATTCATCTAGTCAGAAACAAGTGTTTGTATAAATCCAGGGATCACACTAGCAAAAACTTAATGTGGTAACATAGTTCCTTCCCGAATGTTAGACGTGAGATGTGGAGGCGGGGCTCTTTGGGAGGGAGAAGTGGCGGAATACAAACTGTAAGATCGGCGAAGTGCGTGTGCTGTGTGATAGCTGTGAACTAGGAAGACACCGCGGTTAAAAGTGAGTATCAAGAACCCCGAATAGGTCTAGTGCAACGCGGGGTACGGGGACCCCAGCACTGCCTGCCTAATTAGTATATATCTCATATTAATACGGAGTACGGAGTATCAAATACGCAATACGAGTAATGTTGATGACTATGTGACAGCTTTTTCACAGATTCGCCGACACCTTTTTGATCAGTCCCTCATCCTTGGCCCATGCGATGACCTCGTCGGCTGCACGGGAACCCGCTCGGAGTGCTCCCTCCAGGTACCCCTTCCACTCGTACGCCGTCTCGCCGCCCGCAAAGTGGATGTGCTTGAACGGCTGTCGCAGCGCCGTGCCGTACCGCGAGAGCATGCCCGGTCCCATGGTCGACGTGGGTGCGCCGCCCAGGTAGGCCTCTTCTGACCAGTTGACGTAGTTGACCTCGAGAACGTCGTCCTTTGCGAGATGCGCGTGCTCGGCCCCCAGTAGCTCCGCAAGGTGATCAATCACGACTTCAATGCGTTGAAGCTCACTCAGCGTCGCCCATCTGGCCGCCACTTCGCCCGCGATGAACATGGCCAGAGAGTACTGCTGGCGTGTGTCGTCCGAAATGTCCCAGGAGAAGCAGATCGGCCCCTTGAAGCTCGAGAACTTGCCCACCAAGCCGAGCTCCTTCCACCACGGCCGACTGTACGTGAGAATCATCTTCGCATATACGCCGGGCTTGGTGCGCGAGACGAGTGCCCTCTTGTCGTGGGGCAGGGGAGGTGAGAAGTTGATCCCCGCATAGGTGTTGGTCGGGATAGCAATAACCACTTTCCGGCAGAAGATCTTTTCCCCAGTCGCCGTGTGGACGAGGGCTCCTGCGGCCGTTTGGTGGATGTTGTCGACCGGACTGTTGATGAAGATGGATCCAGGTTTCATCTCATCAGCAAGACCAGTCGCCACAGCCGATGTACCTGCCAGACATGTAAGCGGGGGGGGAAGTCTCTCACGTCGATCCTTGGGTCGTTCATTCATTACCTTGCTTGATCTTGAGTGACTGGGCACCCTCTTCGCCCTCGGTCGCGATACTGATGAAACCCCCTCCTGACTTGATGTAATCCAGGAAATAATGCATGCCAATCTCGGCGGGATCGCGACCGACCACGGCGCCGGTGAAGAATTTCATCGCGGCCTTGGTCAGATCGTCAGTCAACCCTTTGCTTTCGGACCACGTCTCCATCGAGACGTCGAGGTTCGTGGGGAATTCATGGGACTTGCGGATGTCAATGTTCTCGCTTCCCCCGTCGATGACCTCGCACAACGCTATGTTGAACTGGGCGACCTGCTCGGCCTCGGGCTGGGTCACGAATCAATCAGCAAACACACCATTTCCAAACAACTGATCGAAACACAACTTACAGACCCAGGGCTGGCCCTCACCACCGTCCCGTCCTTGAACTGCCAGATTTCGTCTCCGTCGGTATATTGATCCACAATGTCCAGACCGAGCCGCTTGGCCGTGGCGTACACTTTCGGCTGCGTCTTTTTGTTGATCCAGGTTGCCCCCAGCTCGACGATGCCCGGACCGCTCTGCAGCTGCTGCGACCGGCTTCGACCGCCAATGCGATGTTTCGCTTCCAAAAGCACACAGCTCAAGCCGGCCTTTTGGAGGTCCCAAGCCGCTTGCACGCCGCTGAAGCCGCCCCCAACAACGACCACGTCGACCTTTGACGGCGTGGCGGGTCGAGCGAAGGAGCGAACGGAGGGCCCTGCGTACCGCGAGGCATGCCCTCCGGCCGCGGCCACCACTTCGATTTCAAGTTTGGCTCCCGGTATGGCAAGCTTCGTGACCGGGACCAGAGTCGTGAGTGGGCGACGCACGGTGCCATCTTCGTCGGTCATAAAGTCGAGAAACAGCGAGATGAACGACTTGCCCTGCTCAAGGGACCAGTCGACGACGTAGAAGGTGACCTTGATCACATCTCGCGCCGACGCGCCGGACTTCTCCAGTGCCTGCTGGAGGTTCTCGTACACCGTCTGGGCCTGCTCCTCCAACGACTCCGCAAAGCTGCCGTCTGGTCGCTGAGCGATGATGCCCGACGTGAAGACCAAGCGGTTGGATTGCTTCAGGCTGACGGCGTGGGAGTAGAAGCCCGGGTCGGGCATGCCAGGAGCGTCACTGAACCTCACCTCGGGTCTGTCGTCGCGAGGCGCCATTTCGGGGGATTGAAACTGTCCCGAGTGGTCAAGATCTGAAGCTGTAGTGTTGAAAACGCGCCGGGTTGAAGAAGTAAAGAAACTCTTCCGTCCTTTCAAGGTAGAGACTGGAAATGTTGAAACACCACCACCATATTTATATCCTCTGCATTGAGAGCTCCAGAAAGTGACACGCTGAGGAAGTCGACGAGCAACAACACGAGATGCGACCATACGCAGAACTGTGTCCCTAGGATATTGAAGTCTTGTTCCACTATCCTCTTTCCCCTGTGTGCCTAAACGGTGCCATGAGGCAGCTCATTTTGCAATCTTTGGAGGTCACGGGCAGAGAAGTGGTTGCCGCGATGATTTCCGTCCTGATCAGATAAGCGGCGCCGGTTCGACGTTTGCACCGCGGCTAAAGGGAACAAGTCTCTCCCTCTTCTCCTACATATCTTTGCCACCTCCAGCATTGAGTAAATACCCTAAATAATGAGACGGATCGCGATCCGCGCTTCCAACTCTTCTCTCTTCTTCCATCCTTGATCCGCCATCGAACCTCACACCGCGCTTGGTCCTGTCAAAGATGCCCAGACCGCCAAATCCGTCGTGGAGAACAATGGCGTCGTCGCTCTCGCAGTCCCCAGACGAATAGGTAATACACTTCCTTATCGATCCATGACGGACAGAATGGGTTCTTCCCCGAGGCGCGACAAGTCGGCCTACATTCGCACCAAAACGGGGTGCCTCACGTGTCGACTAAGGAAGAAGAAGTGCGACGAAATCAGACCGACCTGCACGGGCTGTGCTCGCAACTTCATCGACTGCCAATGGCCGGTCCCACCAGACTCAGACAACCAAGGCTCTAAGAGAACGAAGTCGATCTCCGGCGGCGTGAGGCGCAAGGAGAGGCAACCGACATCGAGGAGCACGAGTGTCGGTGCAAGCACTCACAGTACCGCCAGTCAACGGGGCGAACTCACGTTTGTTTTTGACCGATATTCACCCAAGTCGCCACCGGCACAGGTGCCTTCTCCTTGCGCAACACCAGTCGTTGATGTTGAGCAGCAGGACGATGACGATGACGGGGACGAGAAGCCCGAGTCCGTCATCTTGTGGCAACCGGTGACGGCGTCCTTTCTTAGCACCGACCGGGCTCTTCTGCTCAATCCCAGCTCATTGCTGTTGCTCCAACACTATCTGGAAGCCACATCCACTTTCTTGGTGGCTAAGCCCCTCTCGAGCAACCCTTTCATCACACTTGTCCTGCCTTTGGCCTACGCGGATGATCTCCTCATGCATTCTGTATTGGCCTTGAGCGGGACCCATCTCAGCTACAAGAAGCGGGAGGATTTGAAGATCCAATTGGCGACTCGTCAGCATTATTCGTTGCTGCTGCGGAATCTCCGGACGTTGTTTGCAGACGAGGCTTCTCATGATGATGTTCGCAGGACACTCCGCCTGCTTCTGGTGTTGGTTGTACTATGTCATGTTGAGGTGTGAGGCCCTCCATACAGTGAAAGGATGGCAAAACTGACAGTAATATTTAGGCCATCTCTGGTGAACCACATGGCGGCATCTTCCCACACCTACGGGCCGGCCGTGAACTGGTTCTCAAGCTCCTACAAGAGCCGCAACGGACACTCCACGATGACACCAAGCTGGTCAAAGGATTTGCGTTGGAGGTATACTTTTACCTGGTCTTGGTGAACAGCATCACGCCTTACGGCCGCGATAAAGCCCGCGTGCTCCCGGTCGACTCGTTGTGCTCGTCCTTGGACTTTCTCCAGGAATACGAGACCTTTGGGGTATTTTTCAGCTGCGGACAAGGCCTCTTCGAGATGATTTCTCAAGTCTCGATGCTGGCGACTAAGATACTGACGGAAGAAGAATCTGGTGTGAAAAGCCCGGACACCCGAGAAGATTCCTACCGCTTGATCAATGCGATCACCCAATGGGAGTCACCCCCCGTGGCCCCCGAAATGACGGAGTGGCAGGCAGAGCACGTCTGGACGGGAGAGATCTACCGGCACGCGCTCTTGATCTTCATCGAGGCATCCATGTGCGGTTCGGTGGTCAGCAACCCCAAGGTCATCGTCTCCATCCAGCGCCACATCGACATGGCTTTCCACCTGTTCATGCCCGTGGCCCGGTCTCCGTTCGTCACGGTATTGCTATGGCCGATCATGATCATCGGGTCGTGCCTAATCTGCGAAGACCAGCGCCGAGAATACATCCACGTACTGCGGACGAAACCCAAGATCGATATTTCTCAGGTGAGCGAGGCGGCAAACCTGTTGGAATTTTTGTGGGAGGACGAGGACGAGCGCGCCTACGGACCCTTTGGACTGCACTTCGTCATGAGAAAGCGACACATCAATTTCAGCATGGCCTAACGCCCTGTCTTTGTGCAGGTTCTGGGAGAGCGAGTGAGGCGCCGAAGGCAGCCATGACCTCATTGGTCTCGTCGAGGATGGGACGGTCTGGTGGCTCTCGTTGGTCCGTGAGTTGCACGGCCGAAAAAAATAGACCCTGCATCAAGTGCCGGATGAGTCGGACGCCCAGCCTCATGGCGCTGTCCTTCGGAGTCCTAGAATGCTACCAACATGCCTAGAGAGCCAGAGCAGCAAGCATAGGCGAATAGTGGTTAGCAGCGTGGGGGTCACACGAGGAATTCATTTCACCCAACAGCTCCCTTGCAGCTGAGATGCAGAGCTAGTTAACTCATGCAGGTCGGCAGCCACAATGCAACAAGCGATAATCCGAACCCCTTCACCGATGACTGACTTCTTCATATTCCCAAATGTCCCTTTTGTGAAACTTATTTTCTTGACTATCATCCTGGTCTGTAAGTACTCCGCATATCACATGCATATAGTATACACGGATGAAAGCAAACCCCCACGCTAGAAGGCAACCATCCCCTTCCAAAGCCCTTCTATCTCACCTAGGTAAACTAAAATGAGGCTCCTCTCTGACTCTAACTCTGACTCTGACTCTGACCTTGCTTGCTGGCTTGTTTCTCTCTTCTTGGACCAGGCAACCACTCGTATTTCCGTCTTGGCGGCTTGGTTCGCTTTCGTTCTGAAGGACTTCTACGTCTTGATAGCTTGTCCGGGCGCCTGGGTGCCTGACACGACGAGATGTGATTCGTCAATCGCTGCTTCGGACCTGGCCGATGAGGCTGTCCTGCCGGTTACACTGCCCTTTGCCCTGCCAGATGATATCGATGTTGGAAGGATTGACTGTCCCAATTACATAAATCTCCTTCTTTCCTCCAGAGTTGGCCTCTTCTTCTACCCATTCGCCCTGTGAATTGCAACCAAAACAACAAGGAAAAGCCCTTCTGGCGAGTACACAGTCTCCATAATCCCAAATCACGACAGAAACCCCATTCTACAAATCATATGCCCTCCGAGAGTCTCGACAGCCTTATCATATCTTTCTCCGACTTTCAGAGGTACAATGGTCACCACGCCTTACACACCCTCGAACTCCCTCGTCCCCCAAATGACCATTCGGCCATTCCCGTGGATTCTAAAGCTACTCCTCGAGACATCGCCCGATACCTCACACAGCCTGGCACAGATCCAAATTCGAACAATGGCACCATGAAAATCCTGCTCATTCAAACTCATAATCAGTCCACAGCCAAGCGGTCTGTGAATCTTCTGTCGAACCCAATTCCCTCATCCCAACAACCACCTCCGACCCAGACATTCCAACATCAGAAACAGGCCGAATTTGTGATTGATATCCTCAACAATGTCGACCTTCCACTAGCCGCGTTCGGGGCATACCTGAAAGCACACTTAACTTTTGTCTGTGTCCCCACCTTCTCCTCATATTCCCAATCCAATAATCGTCCCAGAAAGACAACTACAGCCTACTACTGTAGCGGAACTAGTTGGTCGGTTACGTGGTGTTATAACCGTGCAACTCGTCACACTGCAGCCGTCATGTGGTATCGTGAGGGTGACGGAGACCAACGAAAGAATGAGGTACTGACGGACCTTCTTCGTCTGCAAACCCATCTGTCTCATCCTATGCTCCTGGGTTATATCAAGACTAAGGTATCCTTGAGCTTTACCTTCGACATGTTGGACGATATGAATCGAGAAACACTCGCTCTCGAGCAAGAAATCGGGTTCCCCACCTGGAATTGGGTACTCGATCGCGTGGAAACAGGACGTGGTGTAGGTGAAACGCAAGATCAAGCTGTCGAAGGTTTCAATATCCTTTCGGGCAAACTTACCAATATTCGGTTTCGACTCAGGACTTTCCAGCAGCAAATCAAATTCATTTCGAGATGTAATAATCAATATCGGCAGTCTCTCGACCGATCCGCACCATCTTATAAATCAGCTCGGCGTGAGTGTGAGGAACTCGACCATTTCATGAATGTGATGTGGGACTATACATTCATTCATCTGTTTGACGCCGACTCACTGGGCGAACGACTCCATAATGCCATGGCCTCGGTCTTTCAACTGACGACACAACGTGATTCACGTGCCAGTCTTGCCGTGGCTGACATCAATAATGAACTCGCGTGGCAAGGGAAGAACACCAACAAGGCAATGAGGACTATTGCTTTCGTTTCTTTGCTCTTCCTTCCGGGGACTTTTGTCGCTTCGTTCTTTGACACTCCGATCTTCAATTTTGCCATACCTGCAAATCACAAACAGGTTATCGTGCCCCTACCTTTCGCGATATACTGGACGGTGAGCATCGTGTTGACGTTGGGTTTAGTGCTGGCATGGGTCAGCTATCTTCGACGGAGCAAGGAGATGGATCTGCGTGAACGAGAGGTTGAAAGGAAACAGTTTCACGAGAGGATCCGGCGGAGAATGCCGGGTGGTCCTGCGGCGATGTTGTTAGAGGGTAGAAACGTCAGCGAGAACGGGTATAAGGCCTTTCAGAGACGGTCCACCTGGGAAATCTTGATGAAGAGTCGGCCTCGTGATGGCCACAATGCAAGAGGTCGGAGAGTTCAAGAGGAGTTATATGGAATCCCGCTCCAGCATCCATACGCAAGCCCAGATGCTGGTATCGGGTCCTTGAAAACAGCCTATCTCAACCCCCGAGGACGCGATGAAGGCGGCTGGCCGTCAGCAGTGTAGGAACTTGGGGATTCACCGAGAGATTTTCTAGGCGAAGTTTCGGGGTTGGCGTTTAGGGCATATTGTCACATTTTCGGGAGCATATAATGATAGTATTGACGATGATGATGAGTATGATGGTCAATGAGCAAATACCTTCTTTGAAACAAAGCTGCGCGATTCCTGCCAAGCCTTGCATTGACGAGTCAATGATGACGAGGCTGAACGGCTTCAACTTGCCCCCCTTTTTACTCCACTCATCTAACCTCCTGTGTCATTGGCTTTCCGCCCTGGCGTCATGACTTCTCAGCTTCCACCTTTCCCATCCACAAAATGGAGGATTCCTCTCAAGCACGGGCCAGCAACCGAAATCCGCATATCCACTGTGATCTGGCCGATCTCTCGTTTCCCCTGAGGCAGCATGGCGGGGAGCTTCACCCGGTATGTTCCAAGGGACGAATCACCAGTCCGCTGCTGTGTATTTTCGTGCAACCTCACTTACTCACTATCCTACCCACCCAGGCACTCCAGGCAATTTCCAATGCCCAGGGTATGTCTCATGTTGATTTCTTTCCGGCAGCCAGCTTTCCCAGTGATCTCAGCGGTACAGGGCAGAGCTGGCTAGTGAGGTGGCTTCCTGCTTCAAGCTTGCCTGCATTCCCGAAATTACACATGTGATGATGCTTTTCGCATCAAGCCTTTCTACATTCGATTAATAAAAGAGCACCTGACATGATGGAATGTTTGCTATTGGGGAGTCTCCTCACGGGTTTGACCGTTTCCTAAAGGGTGCCGTGTTTTCTCTGGTTCACGCGATCACCATACCGCTGTTGCGCTTCCTGATTGAAACGGCCCTCCAGCTCCGCACCTTGGGTCCACCATATCATGACGTCCTGCTGTTCTTTGCCATAGTTTCAATCCCAGAAGCGGGGAAGTCTCTTGTTCCCCGTGTTAGACCTCCATGTTCCAAATGCACCCTGTTTCTGGACGATCGCCAGGCTCCAACGCCAGATCGCACTAACATCTCAGATCTAGAGGTTCTGGGCCTCACCAGGGGAACAATATCCGCCGTCATGGCTTGAGAGTACCTTGCTCCAGACAGTGATCGATGCTCGAACAGCCCGTTCCTGGAGAAACAAGCATTTGTCGAATGGCTGAGAATTGATCTCACCGCTATGTTTCAGATCGAAGATCGATCTGCAAAGTGACCAGGCACCAGCAAGGAATTGAGCCAGGTCAGCACGGACAGACCCTAGAAACAAGGAAAACAATGATTCATCAGGAGATGATTTCAGACATGTTCTGCTTTGGGTAGCTGAAGTGATGACGAATCCCGAGTTGCCAACAGGCTCCTGTTCATACAGAACAGAGAAGGAACGAAGAACAGCGAATGAGACATCACCGACGTCACCGACGTCACCATGGATGCATTGGACCTTCGTGAGGCACAGGCCATTGTCAAACCATTGATGAGCTGAGAAGCTATGACCAAAGAGCAGACATTCTGTCTATATAAACTGTCGACTCTCCCCGTCTTGCAGCACAATTCCATCATTCTCCATCACCATCATCATCATCATCAGCAAAGCAAAGCCGAACTCACAAATCACAAGCAAACCAAATCAAAACTCAACCACGACCAACATGTCTGACTACAAGCCCACTGGTACGACCCGTCTTCTATGAGTCCCTCCCTCCCTGCTTCATCCCTACGCTGTCTCTGGGGCTTACCCCAGCTTCGACCCTTCTCCCACTTCCCCCATCTTCCCTTTTCCACATGACCTCATTCATTCCATTCCAACCTACACATTTTTCAATTTGAAAATTTCCAACGCTAACCTATCGCCCACGTCTTTGTAACGAACAGAGCACGACGGTCTCCGCAAGGACGGCCAACCCGACCAGCGCGTGAACCAGCCAGGCTTCGCGCACGGCAAAGTCGACCCGCATGAGGCGGGCAAGAAGGGAGGCCACTCCTCGGGCGGCGGCACCTCGGACTCATCCAGCTCCGGCGGCAGCAGCGACAACCCCCAGGGCGCGGCTCATCTGGGCGGTGAGGGATTGCGCAAGGACGGCGAGCCAGACCAGCGTCTGAAGATGAACCAGGATTCTTGAAATTGATTGATCTGAGAGAAAGTGGAATGGGATGAAAATTGACTGTGGATGTGGCGGGCAAGCAAAGATGTACCGGGTAGGGCTAGATTGCGCCCAACGGCACTAGACTAACTCTCTGCCGTCACCACGTATACCAAAGAGCAAGATAAATTATGATAGGTGGCCATGCAATCTGCATCCATGTTAAGTCACTTTTCGAGATATCTGTTTACAAATGACGATTCACCCGCTCATTGTAATACTTTTCTCATTTCGTCGCTTCTTACGCACACGTTGCAACTACAAATCAGGGAAACCATAATTGATTGATGGTCAGTGACAAAGAAGATATTGGATTGTGATAATAAATTACAAAATGAATATTTGGTTCCGTCCATTTCAACCATCTCAAATCATATTCCCAAGGCGATTTTCATGTTCATTTCCCGTAGGTGCCTCATACTATTATACCTGTACTTCCATCAAGTCTTTCAATAAACATGTTCCCTTGTCGTCTTTGTCGGCCACTCAGCGCCAATGCTAAACCTTTCAAGTCTATCTTTCATGCATTTTCATCCATCCTGATTATAACAGTTGAAACATTGCCTCCCACGACAGCAGGCCGCCAGGCGAGGTCGCAATACGCTCAAAACAATGAAGTCAAAATTCATACCCGGATACCGACACGCTGGAAATGAATGCATCCGCCTAGGTGCCGGTGTAGTCCTGAGGAGCTGTGTTTGCAAACACGTAGTTTTTAGGCTTTTGTTGAGCAAGTTGTTGAGCAACATGGGCATGTTCCTCTTTTTGATTGGGAAACTCTTGAATGTAGAATTCCGTCTTCTTTTGTTCGACGTGGGATACAAAATCAACTTCAGACTTATTGTCCGAGGGCAGGACAAATTGTTGAAATTGCCCGTTGAGGGCATCACATTGAGGAAACCCAAGGGACGCGATATGTGTCACCGGAAACGAGGGCATCTCTGGAGACGTCAACGGGGCATCAGACCAGCTGCTGTTGGTGAGTGGTCCAGCTGAATAAGGAGGTGTGTAATCGGTAAATGCCGCGTACTGTGGGGGAGCAGAGGCAGGGGGGATGAGGGACTGTTGCGACTGGGCTCTGCTCATGAAGGCAGCCATCATCGGTGTCACTGGTGGAGATGCTGTTGCCATCGGAAGGCTTTGTGGCGGTCGCATAGAATATTGGCTGGACATGTCAATGGCTGGTGCAGCAAAGTATGGGTTCTTTTCTGGATCCATCACGTAACCGTTGGAGATGTGGTCCGGCGACAACAAGGGTTCTGACAATTCTCCCAGTGGTGTTGTTGCAATCGCCTGTTGAGCCATCAATTGATTAAAAGCGTCTGCTTCGGCAAAAGTTGAGGCGCACATGGGCGACCTTTGAGCTGAGCTGGCTTTCCGGATTCCTGCATATCGCGAGTGAAGACTTTGGCCAGCCGACTTCACGTGCCGAACACTATGTGGTGCTTGGGGGCTCATGATACCCTGGCGGAATGTCGGGGAAGCCGATGTCATCGCCCCGTAGGATCGGCTTCGCAGCGAGGCCGACGTCAAAGCTGCTGGTCGAGGTCGCTTGCGTCGTGCGGCAATATCGAGAGGACCACTCTGCGGAGGACAGATTCCCTCCGAGATCCGCTGGTCTGCCAGCAAGGTGGGTGCATCGCTTGCCAGGGCAAAGTGGCTGAAGTTTGTCGAGAGATCCTCAGTGGTCGAAGGACGCCGCGAATCGGGATATGAAGGCATAGCGAGACCTGGGGAAGGCAGTGCCGTTATGGGACTATGCTGGCTGTGCATGCCTTTCGGCGTAGCGAGATTCTCCCGGAAGTCTTCAGGTGTGACTACAAAAGACTCCTGCGCATAGTCCGCTACCGGATCACCGGTGGTCGGGTCTTGAGTAGGGGGCTGTTCCGCAACCTCATCGTCGAAGCCAAAATCAAAGGATGTGTCCTGAAACGTGATCGGAGAGGGATATGGCACGGCTCCAGCGGTACGATTTGGCCAAGTTGCCAGGCTACCCGTCGACGAAGTGGTGTGTGGATGATTTAGCCGAATAGGAAGCTGCATAGATACAGCTTGCGTCGGAATATCTAGAGAGGACATGACAGCAGGCTGCGGCTGAGTCAGTTGCTGAATTTGTGCTGCTTTGGCTTGACCCAGAGCACGTTGCAAAGACTTCCAGCTCGCCTCCTTTGGGTTGTCGATAACCTTAATGGGCGAAGGTGATGTTTGTGCGGTGGAAACTGATGCCGCGGTTGAATTCGTGCTCGACTCCTTCGTAGGTGAAGGAACGGAGGATCTAGGAGAGGCAGTTTCCCGCGCGGAGACTTCGGCCAACACGAGATCCCTCGGTTCTTTTGAGCCAGACTTGAGTGCTGCGTGCTGGGCTTCGTATTCCTCTTGTCTCTTCTGCTGCTTTGCTTTTGCTCGACGATTCTGAAACCAGTTCTGTATTGACAGTTAGCTGACAACCCATGTTCATGCCACTTGGTTAACACGTACTCCGACCCGGGTAAGCTTCAAGTTGGTCTGTATTGCCAATTCCCTCTTTAACTGGGAGCTGGGCTTGTGATTCGCCTGAAAATGGGCTTCCAGGATCTCAGCTTGTTCCTTGGTGAGTCTTGGGCGTGTCGAGATCTCCTGGGTTTCTCCAAATTCATCCTGCATCATGCCGGCGTCTGCGAAATCTGCATACTCCGCTCCGTTGTAGGGCATATAGAAATCATCAACAGGCTGCTGGGCGTGATTCATGTAGGCTTGGTACTGGACTTGAGGGTAGATGAACTGTGACTGAGGTTGGGAGGCAAACGCAAATGCGTTTTGTTGCATGTAGTCCATGTTGGCTGCCTGTGAGAATTGGTGGGTAATAACGACAGGCTTTCTTCAAGGAGGTCCCTCGGCAGTGACTCGATATCGTCTGCTTAGGTTGCAGAGCCGCTACTTCTTTCCCCCAAAACGGCCTTCCTGTCTGCGAGCAAAAACAGTCGAAGCTAGCCGATGCGTATCAGTGGTATCAAGATGGTGAGACAGTTGGATTGATCAGGCATGCGGCATTTCCATGGGCGGGACAAGGAAAAGGTGCTAGAATCAGGTTGAGGGGTCGGGGCTCGGAGTCAGTAGTAATGTTGGTTTGGCTGAGAGGGTAAGGAGCGACTGGAGGTGAGAGAGACGGTGAAGAAAATAAGTTTGTCCCTCAGTATGTGAAGGGAAGGAACGGATAGGTAGAAGATCTGTGTAGGAAGGCGACGTGGAGGACGTCGCAATCGGTGGCTCGAGTCGAGACCTGGTGTCGACGATAGCGACACAGTGAGGGTTGAGGTGGTCCAGCAGTGGTACGGACAGGACGATGGAGCAGTTGATAGATAGGCTCGATAGAAGTAGTCCAAGAGGAGCAAGACAAGTGGGCGGACTCGGGGGATTTTTAGATTTAGAGGCGGCGGTCGCGAGGGATCAGGCGAAAGGTACGGAGGGTACGTCGCACCCTTTAACGAGGTTCCAAGACCGGGGGAGATGGGAAAATTTGAGTCAAGGCGCCGAAGGGGGCGTTTTTCAAGTTCAATGAGATGGTGATGGGGAGAGTGACACGGGAAAGTCGCTGGAGCAATGGAAGAGGATGTCTTGATCGCCCTTCGCCCAGCACACAACAAAACAAAATGTCTGTGACCATCGAGAGCGCGCTCTGGATCTTTTGATCAATCGCGATGTGCGAGAGAGGAGAAGACTCACTTTCTTGCAGAGCAACAAGAGACAAGCAAGCCAGTTCCCCACTGCAAAGAATCGTAGTGGAGGAACCAGCAGCAGTCAAGCTCCTCGAAGACGACAGGGGCGTCAGGGGATCCATGAAGCGGAGACGAGCCAGTCAGCCACCGCGGAACCCATTGTGGGTGGAGTTGGAGGCTAGCCCGCAACCATCAAGGTCCTGATAGCCCCTACGGGCATCAAGGTTAAGCATTCAGAGAGAGTTGATGTTTGAAGGGGGGGTGGTTTTGATGGGGGGAAATAGGCGCTGAGAAGGGCACCAAAAGGTGAAGAGAAGACCTCGTACGAATCGTGAGTCAGTCGAGTTGTCCCAAGCTGCAGGCTGCTGCAAAGCTGGCCTACGGCGGAACGAAGCGCCCTCGGGAAAGGGACCAGTCACTGAATTGACCACTGAAACCACGTCAGACGAGCGACTGCATCCCCCCCATTTGCACCCCCTCCCCTCCCCTCCTTCGGCTGCTGGTCCCTGGGCACAATTACGCGCACGTCTTCGGAGCACCATCCCCCAAACTCACTCTCACACCAAACAGATTGACTCTCGTCACTCCCGCGCTTCTGTCTTCCTGTGCGTGTGCTTTGCTTTGATTTGTTTTCCTGCTTCGTTCTCGACCTGCGTTGACTTTTCGATAGTTGCCGCCTCGTCCCGGGGAATGGGAACGTTGACAGACGTCCCCTGGTCGGACCTGGTCGGCGCCAATGCAGGAACAGTATCGACAACAAGGGATCCCCATGCTCACAGTCAGCCAGTCTGCGGCAGCAATTTGGGCCCAGGCTAAGTAATCGAGCTCCACCCGGTCCCTCAAACACCCTGGCTTCTTCCTGGCCAACTTTTTCACCTGCTCTAACCCGTTTTGCACAGGTCTCAGCCCAGAGAGCCTCCTGTGGCACAACGATACACCAAACAAGGAAGGCCGTGGAGGTGCCCTACCAGTGGGAGAAGGGTACATCCGAAACCCTTGCTGAGGAGGCGTTCGAAGGGAGATGAGCCGAGATGAGATGTGGCAATGCGCAGAAACAAAATCACCACCAAAAGACAAAAAGCTTAAAGAACAAACACTGCCAGGCTCACAGCGAGGTCGTCAGACTGTGCCATTTTATTTTCGCCTGGACCCGAGAGTCGGACGCGTCGAGAGTCAAGATCTGTCACATGGATGACGTGCCGGTCGCCTGTTGTTAGGGGATTTCGGAACTTTGGCGAACAAAACAACAGTCTGGCCGCTCCGAGTCCACAGACCCCATTGAGTCTCGATTCTCCTGTGGCCTCCTACCCACATCATGCTGCGAAGCGATATCGATTATATGCAGACCGGGCGCCTCTGCATGGCCTCATATACGTCGAAACCCTTCTCAGACGCACTGTGCAGACTCTGAAGGCGAGTCGACATGTCGCCAACGCGCCCGAAGACGAGGCAACACCTCCATGCCTCATTACCCCCGCAACTGCGAAAGTAGACATGCAAATCTTGGACGATCATTCTGCTCCAAATGGATGGTGATCCTCAGTCAAAGATACACAAGCTACCGTCCCCGAGGCCTTGGATCTCGGCTCATCTCGACTCGACCCGTGTACGACGGAATCCTTACCCCGTATGTAGACAGAGAGATGCACAACACAATCTGTACCTGCAGCTGTGGCGGAGGATCCCGCAGCAACAGAGGCAGCTGAACCCTAATCCACCTCCTGCACAGGTAAGCCGAAGTCCACTCCTGGTGCTCCCGTCAGGGCCGTCATCCACTCAGAGGTCGCCATGCGTAAATCACCCTATCACGCATGTACATCACGAACCACCGCCTCTGCACCACTTAGACTTGGCCGTTACACGCTCAGGCATCGAGGTGCACGAAATTTTGTCCTCTTACACGTCTTTTTCGAGACGCGCGACAACAGACAGAGATGGCACTCATGCAGGGGGTTTCTTTCCTGAACAGTCGTCTCAGCTGCAGATTGTAGGCCCTGTGCGTATGATACGTGCCACGCGGCACCGTGTTATCCCTTTGCTTTTCCGGCCCTTGCTTCCCTTTTGCTTCCGGGCCTTCAAAATCAGCCCTTGAAGACGTGCTGACATATGCAAGGAAGTTGGGACTTGGAGTTCAACCACAGGGAGCACAAAATCAAAGACAGCAATTTCGCATCGCCCCAACTACTAACTAGTGCTGCCTTCAGCCTTCGTTCAAGTCACCAGAAGGAATCTGTCAGCCTTAGAGCACTTCTACACCTTGGTGCCGACGCCTGCTTTCCCTTTTATCTCGGTAGCGCAAGTTCCTTCCCTTCTCTGCCTGGGCACTCCCGGACAATGATGTTTCTGAGGCTAAGATAGGCGACCCATGTCAGTTTTTCTCCGCCGCTCCTCCAGAAATCTTCCGGGCTTCTCGCTTGATGGTGAGCCGTTTTGTACGCCTTGAGCCTTGCTGGTCCGGCATCCACTGGAAGCCAGCCTGTCTGCCACTCGGGCTTTAGCCCAGTAGCCGAGCCTCGTTACCTTCAGGCCTTTCCGGCCCTAAGGAGTCTCGCCTCGACTCTTTAATTTTCCTCCCGCTATCGCTAGAACCAATCGGGTTTCCACGTTGCACTTCAACGCTTTCCTGGGGTGTCCCTGGCAGCACATATCGCTCCATGTCTTGGACCCTCTGTGTTGTCGTCGACGCCATTGTTCGTCTTTTCACTTTCATTCTTGGTGCTGATTGCTTGTCGACTCGAAGACATCAGTACAAAAATAGACATTTATGTCCCTTGAGGATCGTGACGTTGTATCTCGATGGGGATTGACAATAACCTTCCGGGCGATAGAAACCTCGTGGGATCATGGGCTTTCGGCATTTTCCGTTGTGTAACCGTGCTGCTGTGCCTATATGTAAACAATGTTCCTTGGAGCAACGAGTCAGGTGCACGGTGTCACGGAGCGCACGATGCACGAAGACCCGGCTCCATGGTAGGACAAGAAAAGTACTGCTTCAATCTCAGACCCAGGCTACCGGGCAGTGGTAACTATGACCGGGCCTTTTCTCCTCTTCGGGCATCTGGTGTCACATATCCTAATGGTAGGTTTACTTGCGCTCTCCTCTCTCGATGCATCTTTCTGAGAGCTGTCGCCATCTGGAACATTGAAGACCATGTGATTGGGTCTTCCCCGGACAAGTACTACCTTGGGAGCTCGCGAAACGAGCAAGATGACCGCATTCAGCGATATCGGGATGTACGAGTAGACAGCTGTGAGTTTATTCTGTCCAGTCCACTGTCCCTGGAATCACATAAACCGATGCAGTTCCAATGACATGAATCGAATAAGCTCCCCACAACTTCACAACTGCGAGGAGGCCAGAAGCGACGTGATGGTAGTTCAAGGTGTCGCTGACCGCGGAACATCTACTGATTGTCATGAGAGCAAATCTCACACAAGCGTGTTTCATTCAGAAAACAAGAGAAGCCAAAGTTACTGACCCTTCAAATCTCAAAATCGGGTTGATAGATCCGAGAGGGGATGTGTCCGTGGTGGCATGGAAGTTTTACGGAGCATGACATGCCTGCGTGGAAGATTCGAACCAAGGCTAGAGCTGTGTGACGGAAAGGTGCATGTCGGGCGCATGTTTCAATGAATGGTATGACTACCCTCTCTATCGTCTATTGTCGCATTTATCTTGGCTCTATATACAACCAGCCCCCGGTGCCCAAACCCCAGACTCCAAACGCCATGCTGAAAATGCATGCACCTTTGCCGAACAAGCCGACCAGCAAGGGGTCCAAGTTCGCTCGTCAAAAGGTATCAACCAATCCATTGACGATCTCCACTTGCACCACTCCATCTTTGAAGTCCTTCAGTTTGACACTTCTCAGATCTTCCACGATCCAGTCGGCTCCTGCGTCTCTCAACTGGCCAACAGTGTGGGTGGTGGCCAGTCCTATGACTTTGAACCCGGCAGCTTTTCCGGCGCGGACTCCTGCGGGAGCATCTTCGAAGACAATCATTTCGGCATTCTCAGGAAGCCTCAAACGTTGGCGGCCGAGTAAATAGCAGGTCGGGTCGGGTTTGCCGTTTTCGACATCCTCTGCCACAACCATGGTGCGTGGATGGGCAAGCTTCAGCACCTCAATCCAGCCGTTCACAAGGCCTCTTGTTCCTGAAGTGACGACTGCCCAGGGCACATTCACGTCGTCGAGACTTGCCAGAAGTTTGCGCGCGCCGGGGATTTCGACGGCATCTTGACCGAATTCTTTGGGTATGAGACTCTCTTGGTGGATGATATCTGCAACTCGTTTGTCAGTGTGCAACCGGCCACCTTGGCGGGCATATTCCGACGCCTTCAGAGACTATTCTTACATTCCCAATTTGCTTTGGACGGATCGTACATCTTGAATACATCAATGCTCCTCCGTCCATGTGAGCTGGCGAGGATAACGTTGGGATCAACACCCATGATTTCACCTTGCTTGTGCCAGTGCTTGATGATGGCTGCTGTGCTGTCGATGATTGTGCCTGTCAAGTGACTCAGCCGGAACCCTTTGTGAGTCCAGCAAACCGTACATACCATCGAAATCCAACAGGAGACCTCTGGCTGAGGCGACCACGGGTGGCGCAGAAAAGTTGGATTGTTCGACTGAGCCCATTGTAGGTGTGGCTTCTGCTCGAACAACCAGGGTATAAGAAGGGAAAAGTGCGAGGCGAAATTTGCAAATATCAACGAGATAATAAAGGAGTCTATATGTCTATAAAGTATTTCGCTGCCCACCCGATGTTGAGTACGTTGAATGCCTCTATATATGTTTGGTAGATACCGGAAACGACCTGGGTGAGAGATGTTCGAAAGGGTTCCTCCCGTGGCGGCAGCATTACTTGATCTGGGACCCTTCCGCCCAACAAGGGCGGTAAAAGGTTTTATTGGGACCTCGCCCTCGGGTTGAAGATGGCCCGGAGGGATTCTTGGCGTAGCCTGCGATCTGTAACTTTTTTCCACATCGAAATCAGCCTGCCAGCCATAAAAGTTCTTGCTTTGAATATTGTCTCCGGCGATGGTGAAGCCATGTAGGTGTAGTATGGTCTCTTGAAGTGGTCCAGCTGACTTGTTTCAGTCTCTAAATCCAAGCGCACGCCTGTGCGGCTGCGGCATAAGATCGAAAAAGCCAGTGCGGCGAAACAGAGGAAACTACGAAAAGAAGCAAAGAAGGTCGGCTGGTGGTCTCCCATCAAGATATGCTCTTGCTGATGTCAGTCATACAGAATCCTCAATGGAAATCACGTTTAAAGAAAGACCCCGGCATTCCCAACCTGTTCCCATTCAAAGAAAAGCTCCTCGAGGAACTTGAAGAGAAGAAACGCTTAAAAGCCGAGCAAGGGCAGAGGTTACGTGAGGCCGCCAAAGAAAAGAAGAATGGCGGAAAAGATGCGCAGGCCGAGGCCGAGGATGACCTGATGGAGGACGAGGACGAGGACGAGCTGCTAGATGACGACATGGATGAGGACGACGAGGAGGATGCCGACCACAACGGTGCAAATCCTCTTGCAGCTCTTGTGGCGTCCGCACAAGCGAGAGCTGCCGAGTACGACGGCGGGGCGTTAGCAGGAGACATCGAAACTGCAGATGGCGACGTCGTCGCGGAGGGAGTTCAACTTTCGGAGACGATAGCCTCGGACCACCGAAACCCGGACTCATCACGGAAAGCGTTCGACAAGATTTTCAAACAAGTTCTCGACGCTGCAGACGTTATCCTGTACGTCCTGGATGCCAGAGATCCTGAGAGTACCAGGTCCAGAGAGGTCGAACGGCAGGTCATGGCTGCGGAGGGTGGCTCGAAAAGACTGATTCTTGTGTTGAACAAGATTGACCTGATCCCCCCGTCTGTTTTGAAAGGCTGGTTAACCCATCTACGACGATATTTCCCCACGTTACCACTCCGGGCATCGGCTCCGGCGTCCAACGCTCAGACCTTCGACCACAAGCAACTGACCCTGAAAGCGACCTCGGAGACACTCCTGCGTTCGTTGAAGTCCTATGCCGCGTCGAAACAGCTCAAAAGATCCATCTCCGTGGGAGTCATCGGATACCCCAATGTGGGCAAATCCTCCGTCATAAACGCCTTAACCTCCCGTCTGAATAAGGGGACGCAAAGCTTTGCGTGCCCCGTCGGCTCTGAGGCGGGTGTCACAACCAGCCTGAGAGAAGTCAAGATCGACAGCAAATTGAAAATCCTGGACTCGCCCGGAATCGTGTTCCCCTCGACGGTGGACGGTGAAGGCAGAGAAGACAAGCAGCGAAGAAAAGCAGAGCATGAGGCGCGACTGATCCTTCTGAATGCGCTACCGCCGAGTCAGATATCGGACCCCATTCCGGCAGTGAAGCTCTTGCTTGAGAGACTCTCCGCTTCGGAAACGCTGTACGAGAAACTCTTGAAGTACTATGGCATCGTGGCACTCGGGCCGTTCGCGCGGGGAGACGAAACAACAGATTTTCTGGTTCAGGTCGCCAGGAAACGAGGCAGGTTAGGGAAAGGCGGTGTGCCCAATCTGAGCTCTGCAGCGATGACGGTGATCAACGACTGGAGAGATGGGAGGATCCAAGGATGGGTGGACCCGCCCGTGTTGAAAGTGGCCGACGACGAGGAGATGGTCGAAGGCCAGGGCGTGGACAGCAGCAAGGAGCTGCCCACGGGCGTGGACCGAAAGCAGATTGTCAAGGAATGGGCGGCCGAGTTCAAATTAGAGGGCCTTTGGGGGGATGGGTCTGCAAATGCGAAGGGGGCTGCTGGGGGCGACGATGTTATGCAGATAGAGTCATGAGTCTGTTTCTTCTGGGCGTTATTCTCGGACACGATGATATCAATATCCCAGGCAAATCAATGCACGTCAAAAGTTCACATTCAACAATCCCTGCTGTCCTTGAAGAACTAACTCATGGCGAAACGTTGGTAGATGTTGCACGGGAAGGCTTGTCCTTGAGCTGTGGTCGGAGAATTCCTTCCTCGCACAACAATATAATTGATCCGGCCTTTTTTCGCGGTCGCGTCGAGGGGGCGATTGGACCGCGTCTCAACTCCTCAACTCTCAACTTTGGGAACATGATCCAAAGACCATTGTCCCATGGTCCCCATCTGTCTCTAGACAGGAAGTAAAATTACCACGCCCCTCATCTCTGCAAATTATCTCCTGCAAATTGGAGCGAGCGAGCGCGTGATCGCTGCATTCACCGAATCCAGGACTGGTCTGGTCCTCAGCACTAGACTGCAATCCTCCCTCGTCCTGTGCAGGACCCCAGCCTGGAAGTGAGGACGTTTGGGTTCCAGACCAGGACAGATCGACAGCACGCACGAGGCGGTGTATCGACAATTTCTATCCTCCCGAAAACGAGGTCTCACCCGAAGAAAAGAAAAGCCCATTGCACAGACCCAGCTCTGGGACATTTAGTAAGGAAAACCTTCGCAGACCGACCGACACGGCCAGCTATGCCGCCACGGAAAAGCGGTGCCTCGACGGTATCCGCGGCAGAGACCAATGGTGACGTCTCCACGCTGTCCAATGCAACGAATCTCCCGGCTGCGTCTTCTGCGCAGCACGCGCATCCGAAGACATCAAGGCAGTCCGGAGGTGGATCGGGGAGACAAGATGATGGTGTGGGAATTGATGTACGTTCGCCTCTGATATCCTGGCATTGCGCAACCCGCCTGGCGTGGAAAATCCCCTAGTATCAGAGCAGTAGCTGCAACTATGTACACTGACGGTATGGCCATAGGACCTCCTTCTCCCTCGCTCCCTGATATCCCGTCTCTCTCGCGGGGTCCTCCCACCCAACACCTCGCTACAAAAAGACGCCCTTCTCGCACTGACCCGCTCCGCCACCGTCTTCATCTCCTACCTAGCCCACCACGCGAATGAACAATCGCAACTACGGCACAAGAAGACAGTGGGGGTCCAGGATGTCATGGCGGCGTTGAAGGAGATTGAATTTGGCAATGTCATGGAGCTGGGTGCAGTGGGAGAGGACGGGAGGACCGGCGGCAGGCTGGAGCGGGAGGTGCAGGCATATGAAGAGATGGTCGGTCGGAAGAGGAGGGGATACCGAGAGAAAGTCAAAGCCCGGGAGTCCGGCGGGGCGGAGGGAGACGGGGAAGCCGAAGACCGGGGAGAGCCCAGTAACAAGAAGATCCGGCGTATGAGCGCCGAGGAGGAGGAGGGGGACGAAGAGGAGGACGAAGAGGAGAGGATGCTGGCGCAACAGCTCAACGGAACCACGGGGGCCGACGAGGCCCCCTCCGCCGGGAAAGGGAAAGCCAAGAGGACTAGTCGGGAGCAGGAGGGGATCGCGGTGGTGGTGCGGAATGGCAAGGGGAAAGACAAGCATAAAGTGAAACTAGGCGATGCAGAACCCGCCGACGGAACCGAAAATGAGGACGTCGAGGACGCCGACGACGGGGCGGAAGACGAGGAGCAGCAGGACGAAGATGAAGAGGAGGTGGAGGACGAAGAAGAAGATGAGAATGAAGATGAGGACGAGGACGAGGATGAAGGACAGGCCGATGAGGAGGAGGACGACGATGACGACGATTCCAGACAAGCCAATGGCCGGGCAACAGGGAGGGTCGGACTGCTGCCCGACGGCAACGTCGAGATTGGAAGCGAGGACGAGAGTGACTATTGATTGATTTATTGATTGATTGATTGGACTCGCAACTCGCGCCCGCTTCCTGAATCTTGTCTCTACTTATTACTTGTACTGGCTACTATGTACCCTCCCTCTCATGTCACGACCATGGCTGCAAAACCCTATGAAATGAAATGAATGGTACATACATATATACTAGTTGGGATATTGTTATGTCCTGTCTGTCTGTCTGTTGTCCAGTCCATTCGACATCCGGCAATACTATTACCACGACATACATCCCTTTCTCTCTTTTTTGGGCTCTCTCTCCCTCCCTCTTTCCCTCCCTCCAAAAGTGTCACATGTCCGGCGACGGTTCACATGAGATGCGGCAGCTGGGGAAGTACATAAGTGTCTGACTGACTGAGCACGTTCTGCAAGATTACCCTACCCTACCCTACCCGGGTCGATCGGTGGGTTATACCATCTAGCTATTTATCTATCCATAGGGAATGGGAAAGGAAGACAAAGTAAGTAAAGTAAAGTAAAATAAAGTAAGATTGGATTGAGCAGCAGGACTGGCTGGCAGAGGATAGATAGACAGAGATCTACTCGATCTATTCTATACCACCCCGGCTGGGCGGCCGAGAATGCTTCTCCGGCCTTCCTCGATCACGCTCAGCGGCGCGAGGACGCTGTAACTGAAACTGGCCCTGTCCCTGTCCCTGTCCATGTCCACGTTCCCGTTCCTGAATGTGTCGGTGCTCGGGGCTGGAGCAGCAGAAGACGCCGGTGGTGCGCTCCCATTATTCGTCAGGTTAGCAGGCCGCCGTTCTCCTCTATGACCGTAGCCATAGCCATAGCCATAGCCATGGTCATGGTCATGGTCATGTTCATGACTACTACTATATCCGGATCTGCGTTCTGCGCGTTCGAGATCTCGAACCATATGGACTCCGGCGTCGTGGCGCATCATCCTCACGGCAGTGGAACCACGCCCGCTCGAGCGTGAAGAAGGCGGAGGAGAAGAAGAGAGCGCGTCGTCCCACAGCCAGCGCTCCTCGCCGCGAGGGCCGTCCGAGGCGCGTCGGCGGGGCACGCCGTTTTCGAGGACCCGCAACATGAAGCGCTGCATGGTGAGGATGGCCCGCTCCGCGTCGACCGAGACCGTCGTGTGCGCGGCGCAGAGGCGCACTCGGGGCCGTGTGCTCGCCCGGCTGCAAGGTTGTGGGATCGAGGGCGAGCAAGAGCTTGGGGGTCGCGCCGACGAGATGCGCGGAGCAGGGAGGAAGGGGTTTCCGTCCTTCTTCTTTTTCTTCAACGAAGAGGTCGGCAGATGAGAGTGAAACCGGTGCGACGTGATGATGGGATCCAGACGGAGACGAGCTGGTGGGTGGTGGTCGGGATTACGGTGAGGACGAGGCCGAGCAACCGGGTCGACGACGACCATCCACACGTCGTCATCAGCTGCACCCTGATCTCCTCCCAGTGGACGGCCGTTGGGTGTGGGACAGATCGGCAATGCAATGACGCCGCGCTTGCTGGGCGACGGGATGTCGAAGCCCGTCTGTGGTTGCGCCGGTGCTCGTGCCGTTTCTTGTTTCGCCGTGACAGTTCTCTCTGTCTCTGGACGAGACGGTAGGGTAGATTCCGCTCTCTCTTGGGAAACCCCTTCCACGTCGTTCTTCCACGTCGCACGCGCCACCTCGTCGGCGTCGATGTACACGAACCCTTCATCATCATTATCATCTTCCGCCGCCGCCGCTTCAGCTTCAGCATGAGCCTCGTCACTTCCCTTGGCATTCACACCACTCAATCTCTCGTCCTCAGGGCCCTCGCCTTTCTCGAACTCGGCATTCCTTGCCCGGACAAAATCCAGCACCTTCTTCAGACTTCTCCACCACTGTCCGAGATCACTCTCCAGGTCGAAAATGACCGGCATCGGGGGCTCCGGGCCCCATTTTGCGTCGTGCGTGGCCGATGTCTCTTTGACATAGAAACTGTCCCCGACACACAGGAGCCGGAGGTCTGCGTCGTACCACGAGAGTGAGTCCGGCGTGTGTCCGGGCGTGTGGAGGATCGTCAGCGACGTTGTGATGATACTGGTAGGCAGCGTGGGCCACAGAGAGGGATCTGTGTTGCAAGGCGAGGGGGACGAGATCGTAGTCGGAGGTGTAAAGACCACACGCGACATGTCCTGGGCCCAGATTCCCACATCATACCGCGGTGCCTGGAGACCGAGCTTGTCGCACAGGCTGTGGTCCTGGAGATTGGCGTAGGGGGTGATGAAGGATTTGCCGTAAGAGGAAGAGAGAACGGTCGTCGGAGGGCGGGCAGCAGACTCTGTGGTCAGCAAGTCTCTTGGTCGGGGGGCGGTTGAGGTGGGCGGTAATTTCCCGATGCCCATGATGTGGTCGTAGTGACAGTGAGTGGTCATAATCAGGTAGGGTATCCTTCCGCCGGGGTTGATCGTGTACTCGAGAAACGTGCGGATATTCCAGACCTCCGGTTCAGCACGCCCGTGGGACTTCTGCGCTGGAGGGGCTGAACTGTGATGTCGGGGCGTCTCCGTCCCGCACCCCGTGTCGCTGAGGATGATGACTCTGTCTCCTTCCGATCCAGGTGCCCAACAGACATTGCTGTGCCCAAGACCAGGGCTGTGGCTGCTCAGTGTGGCCGACGAGGAGGGGCTGCCGCATATCTTCGCGTAGATGTGCGGGAATTCGCCGTACCGATCAAACTCTCGGATGAGGTACGTCTTCGAGTTCGTGCAGCCGCTGGTCTGGATCACTTCAATTGTGTAGGGACAAGCGGCTGGCACATGGAAACCTGCTGGAGCTTCTTGGCTCATCTTGGGATACGTGGGAGGCACTTACTTGTACAAGCCAGCAAGATAGAGAAGTGGTGAAGTGGTGAAGTGGTGTTAAGGTAATACTGGTTGGTATATTGGGGGAACGTTGAAGCTAATTACGAGAACCTGTTGGTCTGATTGGTTGAAGAGCGAGAACATAGACGAACCCTTCTGACCACATCCTCTCGAGAGATAGACCAGTAGGCAGATCTTCAGGAGTCATCCATCAGGTCGCCTGCCATATCATCGTCGCCTCTTGCCATTCTGTCCTCGATGTCCTTTTTTACGCCCTCTAGGAAAGCCTCCATTGCCTCGCCCGAACCCATGGGTACTCCGCCATGCCTCAGATAGCCACCATTTCGAACCGGGATTTTGAGAGTCTCGCTCACGATCGGCAGACCGCCTTCTCTCAGTGCGATGGTCAGACTGGCCATGCTTTGCATAAATTGCGGCGAGTGTAACACTCTGCGCAACATCGCCTTTTTAGCTTTGGTCAATGCCTGCTTCGCCGCATCCTGTTCCTCGGGAGTTGCGTTTGGATTTTGCAAGGCGGACGTGTCAACCGAGGCCTGCACCATGTCCGACAGCAGAGGAGGGAGACGTGCAAGTAGACGGTCCAACACCCTGTCGTCGGCCTTTTCGACTACTGGCACCGTCACCGAAGGGGCCAGCAAGTCTCCAAGGCTCGCGAACAGGTCATCCTCAGGAGCTTGTTGTAGCCGGCGTCTGTATTCTCGTTCTTGTTCCATGGCTTGAAGAAAACCCCGAACCAAGGCGTTGGCTTCTGCCCCACCAGCAGCCGCCCTGATGTGGCAAGTCAGACAGGTGACTTTGCAGCGCACGGCATGGGGGACAAGTACCTACGCTCGTCCGCCGTCCGCTCCGCCCTCGCGTGACTCTTCGCCCTCCTCTCGAAAATCCCCGCCTGTGGCGTCTGGGCCAGCTCCGGGACCGCCTTGCGACGGGCGACGATTGGGGTTGTGATTGGTCCCTTCCACATCCTCCATTGGCTCGCCCCCGTCGTCATCTGGAGGCAAATTCGCCATTTGTTCGTCGACATCGACCTCTTCGCCCTGAAGGAGATTGTTCACGATCTGGCCTAGCTTCAGGTCTCGAGCGGACCACCATTTTGGATCGCCTTGCGGGTGCTGGCTGCGCGACTGGAGCCAGAAGAAGTGTCTCTGCGAGCTGGAGGTGAATTTGAGGACGTAGATTCTCCCGCCTGCGGGGCTCTTTGGGTTGGAAGGATTTTCCGCGCTGGTAGGCAAGTAGGGGGTGAACGACCCATCCAGTGGCACCATGAGCAAGTCCAGTTGCGGTTGATCCAACGGAGCAGACCTCGGTCGCCAACACAAGTGGAGGAGTTCATCCGCGTCTGCGTAGAGGTAGAGGTATCCGGGAGTTGGGAGAGGTGTAACTCGTTGAGGGTCGGTGCTCGTCTGTTGAAAAAGAAAAAATTAGGCGTCAGCAGACCGAAACAGACAAAAACAGGAGACCTCAACGACTCACATCAACCTCACAGATCCCGGCCTTGAACGTTAAGATGGGTGAAACCGACATGTTGGGCGTATGACGAAAGGCAAGCAAATGCGCAAAAGTTCTATGAGAGAAAAAAAAGGAATATTGACGGGGACTGTGACCTCTCTGGAACTCCGACGTAAATTTGAAATGCGTTTACACGCCACGGTCCTGAATTTGGAGAGGTGCTTGCAATGACATGGCAATTTGGATAGAGGACGACAACAGGTGAAGCCTAGCACTCCTTGGTTCATACGCTATGCTGTAGGGACGACCTGGTAGGGTGAACCACACACCTCCTAGAATGCAATAGCAAACAGCTTTCTTGGCAGGCATTCAGTCACGTGAGGTGAATTTCCATCGCCCCCCCCAAGATTCGGCGCCTGTGCGGCCCACGCCAAGACCTGAAAGCGCACACTTTCCCGATTCTGCGCTGCATATCGACTCTCCCACCACACAATCCGACGAACAACACCACGAAACTTCATCCTCGCATCTCCAGCCCGCGTGGTCAAGGTTGAAGGTCCCAAAATGTCTTCCACGGAGGCCAACCCCGCCGTCGTCAAGAAATTCGGATCGGGCGAGCGATCTGTGCCCCATCACTCCCAGAAGGCAAGAAAGTGGTATCCCGCCTACGACGAGCCTCAACGCAAGAAGGTAAGTCAATCCAGAGCCCGAAAATTTTGGAAAACCCTTCCCAAGAGCATCTCCCGTTCACTGTCCCTCACCTCAAGCCCCCGACACCTTCTGGACACCGGGGAAGAGGCTGGTGTTGGTTGCGACTTCATGTGCTCCCAACGAACTCCGTCGACTGACATTTGTTGGATGAACGAATCTAGGCCCGCAAGACGCTTCACCCAGCCAAACCTCGAGCCTCGCTACAACCTGGCGCGGTCCTGATCCTCCTGGCCGGCCGATTCCGCGGCAAGCGAGTCATCCTCCTCAAGAATCTCAAGGAAGGCGCACTTCTCGTGACCGGTCCCTTCAAGATCAATGGCGTGCCTCTCCGCCGCGTGAACGCCCGATACGTCATTGCCACATCCACAAAGGTCGACATCAGCGGCCTGGACAAGTCGACACTGGACAAGATCGCTAGCCCGGAGTACTTCGCGCGGGAGAAGAAGAGCAGGAAGCAGAAGGGTGAGGAGGCGTTCTTGAAGCAGGGAGAGAAGCCCGAGGTAAGGCAAAGCCCGCAAACGTCCCCCCTTCCCCTTGACATCTACATACATCCACCCTACGAACCGAAGAGACTTCGAACTGCAGAAATTGACAATTTTGTAGAAGAAGGCCCCCGCATCCCAACGTGCCGCCGACCAGAAGACCATCGACAAGCCCATACTGTCCGCCATCAAGAACGAAGAGTTCCTCGCGAGCTACCTCAAGTCCAGCTTCAGCCTGAGACACGGCCAGAAGCCCCACGAGATGGCGTTCTGAGCTGGGGCACAAGCCAGGGTCATTTCGACTTTGGTGGGGAGCCCAGCGGGAGCCGAAACGTGGTGTTTTTGGTTGGAAGACGGGGCGGAGGGGAGTGTGTGGGTGCTTGCTCGCTTGCTCGCTTGCGTGCGCGGGTTGCCAGCAGCATGAGATCCGACAGGTGGGCAGTAGAGTGGAGTGGAATGGAACTGGGAGGTGACCGAGATAGAAATACCGAGATTCAGGGCGTTTTATGATGTGTGTATTGCCTGCTTGCACCAACCACCACTACCACAACCACATCCACCCAAAGGCACGGATGGATGGCTGGATGGATGGATGGGATGGACGGGGCGATGTTTCTCAAGCAAAGCTAGCAGCCAGCCATTCCTCTTCCTCACTACTCAGGGAAACGGGCGAAAAAGCAGAACCAAAAAAAGATATTACCACCAAGCTGAGCTGAGCTGTGACAGACAAAAAGTGGCACGCATAGTGGAGGGCCGAGGGGCGGGTTTGATCCATGATGTTGCGCGATCCAGACAGAGACAAGAGACAAGAGACAAAAAAAGAAAAGGAATAAAGCCCCCCCTTTCCCTACCCTTCCTCCCAACAACATCGAAGATCTCCAGAGCTTCTTGCAAATAAATTCCATGGCCGAGTTGACCGGTAATGAATGACACTGTTTTTTCTCCTCCTCTTCGTCTGGCCCCCCAAAAGAGAGGGAAACTCCCAGATTCTAGGTACGAAGAAATGTGTGTCAAGTCGTTCAACGGCAAGGCTTACTGAACGGGCCGCTACATCCATCCTGGGACTAAAACAAAGGACCTGGCTGAGTTCCTCCATCAGTTCTATGCTATCCATCCCGTGTGTAGTAGTAATGTCGTCGTGGACTATAGCTGCTCCATTGACATCGCTTGCTAACATTCCCGCCCAATCGAGCCAAATCGCATTTCCAACCATTTTGATGTCGACAAGCGTGACATATAGTTTAATTTCCCCTTAGATGGCCAGTGACTCTTCTGCTTCAATCGTCGTCGCTTCGGTTCCTCGTCCTCCTCCGCACGCCTCCCTTTGCATCACTGATTTTCCCGTTGACCCTCTTCTTCGCCCTGTCCTTCATCTTCTCCATCCTTTCCGGCACGTCATGCTTCTCTGCTTCGGCGACCACATCGTCAAAGACGTCCGCTCCAACAGACGTACCCATCACCCAGTCACACAGGCCCCAGGGACCGAAGTTGCCCTCCCCACCGCACAATAGGTGGCTGTCGGTCCGGCGTGCTATTCCTCCGAGAATAAAATTGGTGGGCATGGTGGAGTATCCGCTATACGCAAATGTCTCCTCCACCGAAATGAGGGTAAGGTAGATCATATAAGTCAGGAGGTGAAATCGGAAGAGCACCGCGGGGATATAAGTCGGCAAGAAGGAGCGGGCGAGATAGGCAGCAGGATGGTCGTAAGAGGCGCTGAGCGGAAAAGGCGTGGAGATACCAGCGAGGGCGTGGTACCAATCCCTGTGTGCCCGGCTCAGGGAGATGGTATGCTGCCAGTCGTGCAGCACATATCTGTGCAAAACGTACGCAATGATCTCACGGAGGAGATAACCCCGTGCAAGATCCTTGATGATACCCCACGGTAAAGGGAGCGCTGTTGTCACGCGCAGCGCAGAACGCCATAAAAGGACGCGTGTGAAGAGGAGTTCCACCAGGGCCTGGATCAGAACACCCAGAAGGATGTTACACATTGACCAGCCCAGCATGCGTAGCAGAGCCAGTGTCCTTTTCCGGTTGGCCTTCTTGAATGGCAACGCGGAGTCGCCCAGTGCTTTGAAGTTTTCGGCGGCAGAGGGCACAAGCACATCGAAGCCCAAGAAGAAAAGAGACGGGGCGATGTAGAATAATACGCGCACTGCCAGCGTGGCCACGATCTCAATCCGGAGCGGAGGGTGTGAGAGGACCAAAGTTGACCAGGTCAAGTAGAAGAATAGGATATTGAGGGACGTCGAGTACGAGGACATTGTGGGGATGAGGAGGAAAGAAAGCATGGGCAGTCCAATGAGCGCGTCCATCATGGTGCGCAAGGTTGTGTATGTCGACGAGAAAGGGGAGATGGTGTAGCTGTAGAGAGTCTGGGCGTATGAAGGCGGCGGAGGGCAGGAGATCGCGTCAGGGAGGTAGGACGCCCATGATTGAGGCAAGTAGCAGGCCGGGTTATACGACGAGGACGCCATCGGGGGCAATGCTGGATGAGGTGGGAAAGTCTATGGGCTATCGACTTCGGGTCATCGAGTCGACCTTCTGCCCGTTGGATAGAAGAAGCATATGGCCCACGTTTGAACCTGGCGAGGATGCGCAGCGTAATGGCTGGCAACACAACAACAATCGATGGAGAAAAAGCGTGGTGGAGGGATCTGACGTCATCGACGGCGATTGAGCGCACGTGACTCTGGGGTATCCCAATGGTGCCCAGCCACAGCAGCCACAGCAGTCACGCCGTCCCGACGCCACCAATACCACGGCCGTTTTTAATCATTTGCTATTTGCCCCGTCTCCCATATTAAAATGCCCGTGGTGGGCGTTCCGTGGGAGTGTTGCACCGTTTGGGAAGCAATCACCCCCTAGTGCACTTATTGGGTGAAGCCGACCCAACCCCACGTTCAACCAGCAAACGCAAAGTGCTTGCAAATGTCAACCTTCGCCTGGCACCATTTGGCTTCCTCGACATGATATTCGGGCTTCAAGTCGCCGAAAGAAGGGCCATAGGAGCTGTCACCTAGGCTTTTGTCAAGACTGATCGGGCAGGAGGACCCAGCCAAAATTGACCCTTACTGACCGGACCAAGGATGTCACAACCCTTGCAAAGCAATAGTCGAGCTTTTGACAGGCGCCTCCGACTCGACCCCTGACGTGGGTCCGCTCGGCGAACTACAGCTGACCTGCAGGGTGCGGTTTCCGCCAAAGGGGACTACGATAATGGCCGAGATGCGGGGCTCCGTGGTGGTAGGAACTCCAGAAATCCAGAAAAACCCAGAGAATCAGCGAGGGGCGAACGAATGTGGCCCTTCTGCTTGGACATCCGTCGCCGTAATAGGCAGCTGCTGTTACCTTATACTGCTCTGGGACACCTCCCCTCATGGGCAGGACTGAAAGCACAGGGTCCATCGTAACAACGTCCCAGTCCTTGGTCCTATCTGCACAGTGGCCGAGAAAAGCTTCTCCAGGCCGCAGACGGACACATCTCAATGGCAGGGTGGGCATAGGCGTTGGCTAGAATTGCACGGTGAGCCAGTCACTTCACCAAGGAACAATGAAAAGATGGTGGTCAAGGTCATGTTTACCAGTCCTCCCTACAAGGGTTGTCAAGCAAATCGAAGCTTTTGGAAATGACGGGTTGAAAGCCTTGTGTGATTTTCACAGATCTCCACACCAGGGCTGCTGCTATCGGAATATTCTATGCCCGTGAGCGTGTCTTTGGCCAGGATTACACCAACCGCACTCTTGGTCCGGGGGTTTGATGCGGATTGGGTTTTGAGATCTAGTCGTGGGCCTCCAACAACTCGCCTTGGGAAACTTTGTGACGCTTGTTGGTAGTGCCTCATTCTGATAGAGACGTGTCACCGGCTTCCAGTAAATGTAAGAGATAATCAAGGGCGAAATGCATAAGGCTGTGGAATCTGCAAAGTTGGAACGAGGGTAGCCGGCAAGGCGACTTTTCCCTGCACACAACCGAGCATCGGCTGACATGAAAGAACTTGAACTGATGCAGTCGCCAGGATGAGCAATCTATGGAATCCTATTGGAGGGGTTGCTGTCAAGTGGACATCCACTCGAGTGTCTGGCCTTCCGAGGGCTGGCTGACATGATTCGGATTGGTGGATCTTCATTCGTTGTGGGCGAAACTCTAGGGACATGCGCTTGGACATGCCGGTGGCTGCCATCGACAGCCGAGGAATCAAAATCTAGGACAATCTTGTGGGATCGCTAGGAGATACACGCGACGCGGTGGAATTCATTCCAAGTGGGATTGAACATGCGACTTTCCAGGACCTGCCAGACATGTACCTGGCTGTATCGTACTGGAGCTCTGGAGTCGAGCAGTACACCACCATCGGCGCAAATCGTTAATGGATGGGCTGGAAATGCTGTGGAACCAGCTTGTTGAGGTCGGAGGACACACCTCGTTGTAAAGGGTGGGTGGAGACACAGCTTGAGTGGAAAGCCCATTCTGACTGCATTCCCCAGCCCATGAGTTCGCAGGCAGTTTGCATAGACATTTCCTGCAGATGCATGATCTGCAGGCGGGAATGCGATGCACAGGTCGTGATCTAGAATACTCGACCACGTCTCATTCCAGCGTCGACTATGCGGGCTAGCAGTAGGAATATCCTGGGAGATGGTGATGTCAGTACGCACGACATCAAGCCCCCTGATGACTGTCAAGTGCTGGAGGTGGGTTCGAGCCCGTGACCAGTATTGGCTGTAGGCTCGCTGGATTCCTGCAGTATGGTCAATGCGCCTGCATTGCCTGCACTTGGCATTCATGCCACCGTCGGCCATCTTGGGCTGTTGTGGACATTGTTGAGCACATACCTTCTTGACCGAGCATGGGAGAAATGGAGAATGCCTCAAACATGAAACGCCACCACCCCCTTACACATCCTCGGGTTGGAGTCGTTGTTCTTTGGACCAGAATCAGTGGAGTCGTTGTTCTTTGGACCAGAATCAGGCCAGAAAGCTCTCTCAACCTCATCCCAGATACCTCCTGAAGTTGAAGATGTCAAAATGCAGGCTAGAGAGCATTTTTGGGGCACTGATTGTTCAACTCAACCATGTGAATCGATCCTCAAGTTAGAGAGAACAACTTTGCTTTCCCTGAGGACAAGTCATCCAGAAGCTCGCCGCCTGTCGACGGGTTTGCATTTGACAGCCACCCCACTTTTGATGCATATGTGGATTGAGACAAGGATGTACGCTTGCAGCAGTCGACCCCCCTCCATTTGCTGGCGGTGACCGCCTCTGTCATTCCATGTTGAGAAAATTGACATGCTGCAAGGCGACCACTGCAATGCAAGCACTTCAACTGATTGAGCAATCGATAACAATGCGGGCTTGCATAATCGTGAATCGTTGACCCTGATATCGAGCATCGTGCAAGGCTGTGGTGAACTGTTTGTGGATGCGTATGACCAGCCTGCTCAATTTTGACCTCCAGGGAACGAAAGCGCACGGGGAGCTCTGTTATCACCTGTGTCGTTCATAGAGATCTGTGGTGGTCTGGAAACAGTCAATCCCTCTCGCGCCTACGAAACCTTCATTTGTAGACTTCCCGCTTTTCGCGCCCGTTGCGAGTATCAAGGTGGCGGGGCTTGCCAGAGGCGGTACAACCTCTATTCAAGCGCGACAATCTCGTAGAACCCGATCGCCAACCCCCTGTGTCGATCACCGGAGGTTGTCACCGACCGTTTGATCTGTGCTCTCGACTGCCCATCGAACAAGGGCCCCTTGCGGCTGTACCAAACCTTAGAGCCCGACCCTATAGAGAGGCCTTCCAGGTTGGGTTCTCCATGTCTCAATGAGACCTCTTTCAGGAATTCGGGGTCGACGGATCTGGATTTGACTGACTCAAACTTCCATAACCGCAGAGGCCTAAGCTCGTCAACACACGCAGGTGGAGCGGGCGACCACAACTCGCGAACATCGCGAACCATTCGGTGCGAGACACATATTTTCGCCTTGCATTCTGTTCGAGACATACGCGCCCTGTGTGTAGACGTCAAATAGGACGCAGCAGACCTTTTATTCTCACCCCTTCCCAGCTTTCTCACATCCCTCCTCACCAATTCTTCCCTCGCATCGAGCGCCGACGAGATTCCACAGACAAATGCAGAAAATGTCTCTTGATAGCCGAGCAGTCGGTTCGTAACACCTCGGGATTCTGAGATAACCGGAGGACAGTATGCTAACTCTCGGGTGTCCAGCATATCAGCCGCATCTGAAGATCGAAGATAGCGCTTTCGAAATGTTGCATGAGCTGGATCATCCAGAATTCGACAGAGATGCCTCGCTGGAACTTGTGGGAGAATGTCCCTTACTCTCGTCCGATTTCTTTTCTTCCGATGCAGCCAGTACAGACTCTGGTGGCGTACGTCGGCCGTCGCTCACATCTTCTTCCACTTACTCGGCCTCGCCCGAAGCATTCTGGACTCCATCAGCACCGGCGGCGAGCCCCATGACCCCCATGCTGGTCGAGCCCAGCACATATTTGAGATCGAAAGAATATGTAAAGCCCGCATCTTACCTCACTGACAATCGCCACATCTTCCATCATGCGCAAGAAGATGAGCCCTGCCCTCGCAGATCTTTGTGGGAGACTCCCAGATACTCTGGTCTGTCAATGCTGGATGGTACTCATGAGCTGCTTGCTGGGGAGGCTGGCCGTCCATTGTACCATCCCGACATACAAGGTCTGAGCTACGGAAACACCAATCTAGTGTTGACAAAAGCGATATTTGCTGGACCATCGAACCCCAATGCATGTGCAATGATGACAGCAACGGACGACGATCTGCTTCCATGGAACTCTGCAGCCGTCCATCCTCCTGAAGAGACGATAGCACCAAGGCTTGCCTTTCGTGCAACCTTGACAAGCTCCCCAAGTTACAAGGTTGACCCGTCGACGCCTCCGAAGCTGCACATACCTCAGTCTGCAATCTTGAGCAGCAGTCCCTTATCGGTAATAGCGCCGCAAATGCTGCCGTCACAACATGGGGTGGAGGAGTTACCGTATGAATCACTGCAGCATATCGTCAGTCCAGTGAAAAAACAACCAACAAACACTGATCGGCTCCATCGGCGCCCTTACGAGCGAAAGCGTCCTGTTGGTCCATCATCTAAACCCAAAGCAACACCCATCAAGTCCGGTATGAACTGCGACTATATCATCACAACAAATGAATTTGCCTGTAGCTATCCCGGATGTATCGACAAACACACCGGAAAACAGAAGCGATTCAAAAGGCAAGAGCACAAGAAGCGTCATGAGAAGACTGTACATGAAAAGTCTACTCACACAACTTACAAGTGTTGGGTCCCTGAATGCAATAGACCATTCTCGAGAACAGACAACCTGAAAAGTCATCTGAGAAATACTCACTCCAAAAAACCCGGGGTTCGGGGAAACCGATACGTCGCCACATTGGACAAGAACAGCGAGTTCTATGATCCAGATTGGGTTGGCGAGCTTGACAAGAACGGATATCCGATCCATTGACATCGCCCTCAGGGTACATGTTTATCATGTTCACTTCGATGTGCCACACCACGGATGATGGTATCTCTGAAAAAGACACTCTGGAGTGACGGAGTGACGCGGACCGTTCCATGCCCGCTTGTAGTTCAGTCTCCAGTGATGTGTGATTGAAAATATGGCGCTTGAATGTATCAATAGGTGGAAAACTTGTGTTGCGTGGCAAAATTGTGATTTAATAGTTCTCGAAGTCGGCATTGTGACTTTGCATTTGTACGAGTACTGGGAAAGGAACAATGCATTGGATGGACACTGTTTGACTTCATCGTAACATTCGGGGGGAGCGGGGGTCAACTGTCTCTGTTCGAGGACAATGTGTAAAATAGCTGACACAAATTGAAGAAGGCAATTAGAAACCAAAATGGAGCTTGTAAAGAACCCTGTCCACGTAGGATATTTTAGCAATTCTTGTCAGCCAGAAATGGTGAAGCCGAAAGTGAGACAAAAGATTGCAAGAACTTTGCGCGGTTGATGGTGACGCGTGCCCAGCCTTTTCGCGCCTGAGACGCGTTTGCGGTCCCCGCGACGCATCAACCAACCAAGATGGAGACAGAGCCTTTGCATGCAGCGAGGTTCACTACACAAGAGTACATTCTCCGCTATGGACAGGGTAATACAACTTTGGTAATTGGATCCTATCAGCCACCACATCATCTGGACTCTTCCTGCTCCTGCTTGACATGATACACTTGTCTTCGTCCGCCCCAGCTCCCCGGGAAGGGAAATACGCTGCACAGAACATGTGCTCCACCCCCTCGTCTTACATCTTGTTGCTAAGGTCGGCTGGGTTGTGCTTGCATGCACTACAGACAGTGCCGCTTGTAACCCTTTTGCCAACGTCGGTTAGTGGTCTCTGACCAGGCACTATAGAAAGCTCTGGAGATTTTCTCACAACCACCCATGGATGGACGGCTTTCGGACTCGCTTTCTCGTTCTTGAACCATAGCTTCTCTCTCAAGATGTGACCGGATGGAAGTTTGCCCCTGCAGTGACGCGAATGAGACGTCTGAAATGGTTGGGTTCGAATTCTTCAGCTTGGAGTGAAGGAAAACCCTCTGTTTGTGATCGGGGGTCTCGTCAAGTGGTGAGGCTTCAGCAACTTCCGCCAGTTCAATTCTCCTAGGCACATAAAGCGGGACCTTGTTGTACCCAGGCAACTCCCCCAACCCGAGTTCGACCTCCGGAGCCACGTTTGAAGATAAACTCGCGTGATCCTCTTGGCTGCTTCGAACGGAAGCCCCTTTGGACACGGGCCGCGCTGTAGAGGATGCAGAGGGGCGCTTCTTCGAGTCATGGCCATTCCAGATGACTTCAGAAGACGAGCTGGGCGCGTCCATGTACACCACTGGTCTCCGTGGAGGGACTATCGTAGCGCTTACGGATGAGATTGATCCTGCGTGAGTGACAGGGCGAGAGGTCGATTGCGATGTCCGGCCGATGCTTGGGGCAGAGTTGTGCCTGGCCGATCCACTAGACAAGCTAGGTCGACTGACTCTTCGGCTTCCAAAGGCGTGACTGCGCATCTCTTCCACGCTCCCAATGGAAGAGGCCCTCGTGAGACCCTGACGAGAGAATGCCTTCAACGAGCGTGGGCCATGCAGCAAGCGATCTTCGGCGACGTGAATCGAGTTGACCGTCGAAGTGGAGGCGGCGTAGGTATAAGTAGGGGCATGCGTGAAGTGACGAGGTAAACGCTACATCAGTCAGTGAAAGCGAAGAGGAAGAGGTTGGGCGGACAAAACCTGGGGGTTTCCAGAACCTGAAGACGGCGTAATACTGTCTTTAATTGTAACTTCATGAAGATCTCTGCGAATAAGAGAGGAGATCTCGAAACGTCGTTAGATGAAACCTCTTGGGCTGACGCTTATCGCCCTACCTTTGCCATCTCTTCCAGGCATGAATCTGATTCCTTGAGCTTGCAGTCGTAGTCCATCTGCTCCACACCGGTTAGCAAAAGCTGGTTTTTCGACGTGAGCGTGATGGCATACCAAAGGTGCGTTCGCCTTGCCCTCGCCACAATCTTCCCCGTTTGACGACGCGCAGGGGTCCTGGACACAGATATCTGCTGTGAGGTCCAATTGTGGCAGCGATGGCCTGGAGACGTGTTGCGAATGACTTGACGAATCTGACGATGTTTCTAGCGACTCTCGTTCTTTGCGCGTAAAGAAGCCATTTGGTATTTTTTTCAACCTCTGTGTCATTTTCTTGAATCGGTCATTATTCTCTCCTAGTATGCCACCAAATGCCATCCTCATGACAAACTTGCGGGATCGTGCCTCTTTTCGACTACCCTCCCCAGGCAAACTTGTCAGGATGGCCTGGTCGTCGAGAGACAATCTTGTGGAAGTAATCTCTTCAATAGAAAGCTCGGGGTTACTCGTCTCAGTGGCAGTAGTTGTGCGGAGGACTCGTGGCCACAATTTCTCCGGTATTTCGTCGAGAGGAGTGCTCGGGATGCTGCTTGTTCGGGAGGTTATCGACGCTCTGGCGGACAAGGCTGGGCGAAAAGGAGGAGGGGAACAGGTGTTTGTTGCCATCGTCCTCAAGGGCGATGCAGATGCCATTCTTTTCGTAGGGATGCCTATGCCTTTGCCTACATTTCCACACGGCGATGTGGAACGTGGACCGACGAAGGAGGAAGGAGGAAGCCGTGGATTGCGATCGTGCATCCGGTGACCCGGGAAAGTAGACTTTTCCATGAAAAGAATTGCTGAAGCACTGAGGAGGGAGGCTCGGTAAATGTAGGTGGTGGTGGCGAGTGATAGACTGTGATTTATGCGAACCTCGAGTGAGTGCAGAGACAACCTCGGAAGAAGGATCACTCGTTTGCGGTGATGAGTGCGAAACTGACTGTGTGAACGAATCGAGGATCAAGGAGAGCGAGTCTCATGTGTCCATGGCCACGAGTAGCAGTAGCGCAAAAGGAAGAGAAAGTAAGACCGAACAGAAGCGGCAGTGTGTACGATGACCCGTGAGTGAGAAGAGGGATCTACTCTGAGGTTCATGAATGCCTAGACAGGCAGGTGCAGCAGACTCCTTCTAACTGCCTTTGACTCTTGCCGCCCTCGCTTCAGCTTCCTGGCGCTCTGCAACTTGCTGCAGGAAGTCCATTCTTGTCAGATAGCCGTCTTTTGCCTTGGCATGTGTGTCCAGCTCCTCTTGGAGGCCCTCAGTATCAACATGTTCGGCCCAGTCCATCTTGCTCTTCTCAACAACATTGAGTTTAGGGCCTTTGAACTGGACTTCTCGGGTTGTTCTGGACGTCCAAGAACCCTTGAAGGCGTCTGAATTGTTGAAATTGGGATCGAAACGGGACACCTTGCGCAGCGGCCGATTCACGACTTTACCATCAGCTGCTGGACTCCCAGCCTTTGAGGAATCTTGCTGAGACAGCCACAGCCGGGCCTCTGCCGATGACTTAAGCACCCTCTTTTCCTCAACGTGGACCTCACCTGCGAACTTGTATGTACGCTTGATCATAATAGTCTCGTCACCACCGACCACAGGCACATTTTCCTTGTCAGTATCCTTACTCACAGAAGCGGCATCCGGAGGCCTTGCTGTTTCGTTTGGCTGCACCATCTGGTCAACAGCACCACCTTCCACCCGGGGAGGAGGAAGTGGACCTGGCCGATTCATCTCCTCCCATATTTTGTTTACGTCGATTGTGCTTCCTTTGCTTGAAGCGAGTTTGTTTTTCTTTCTCTCTTCCTTTTCCTTCGTCAGCATGCCCCGGGTGCGGGCTCGCCATCCTTCCGAGTCGTGTCCACTCTGCTCTGGGACTCCATGCTCATCTTTCTTGCCTTTCCTCTGGCCCTTTTTGTGTTCGCGTACTGTGGCTTCGTCCCCCGAGTCGAGTTCCGTGATCAGGTGTTCCTGTCCCTGCAGGTTTTCGAGTTTCTGCCGTTTTCGGGGTCGAAGGGGCGCATCATCGGCATCTCGATCATCGTCCTCAGAAGAAGAGGTCAAGCCTTCGGGGCCGGAGCCATCCACCTCAAAGTCACTGTCAGCCTCTTCGTCATATTCCTCCTCCAAGTTCATGTCATGATCTTGTGGATCCGTCATGGCGCCAAGTCAGAGTGGTCGATGAGGGGTGAAAACTTGGGTCACCAACGCGTGGACTGAAGGTACAGAGAGGCGAGAGATCCAAACACCAGCTTTGGTAGTAGGCGAACGAAGAGTGGGAAAGTATGCCGACTATTCGAACCAATCATGGATGCACCGCCTCGCTAATAAGCGAGCAATCCGCTTGGCGACCAGGCGGTCACGACGTCTTACGCAAGACCATCAACGTCAAACACAAAGATCCAGACCGTCCATGACTACCCTCACCTATGAACTTTAGGTGTCCGATACTCGCCTCAATAATGTGGACCGGTAGGCAGTGGTGGCTAGCCGAAGCTCTTGATCAAGTGCTGGCATCAAGCCGGTCTTTGTCCTCCGGGGCAGCGTCGCTATCGTCTTTAGGACGCACAGAAGTTGTTACAAAAGCTATTATGAGTATTCAGTTCCTTGATAAGACCATTCATCTTTTTTGTTTCACGTTGTGCATATGACTTGGCTACTGGAGGGACAAGCACTGCTGAACGTGGAGACGCGAAGACTATGCTGTTACCAATTCACCAATCTACCAGCGTCCCTTTCCCTTGGCTCACATTAAAATTCCACCCATCCTGCATACGAGACAAGGATTCACAAACCCTCCGTGCCCGATCCGTTTCATCTTTCACAGCTCGCAGCCAGGCGAATCACCTGGCAAGGCCGCCACCGCTCTCGGCCGTAAGCATACCAGCAAGGCTGTCACAGCTGCAACATCGCACATTATACCCGTTTCGGTCTCTCACAGATCTTGCAGGTAACTGCTAAGAAAGAAGTCTACGAAGTGTCGGCTTCCTTACGTCCTTAACAGACGTGAAACGGAGAGACTCAAAGCAGGACGTCTTGGTTGTCGCACTTGGCCAAATTTATAAAGCAAAGGTGAGGAAATCATCCAAAGCAGAGTCTGCTAGGTGTTTGCCATGAGTATCGGTAAGAAAGGCAGCTCATTCGACCAGATTTACTTGAGTACAAAACACTGTGACATCTACAGTAGTAAGCTATCCAGGTCTTTTACTAGTCTTAGACTGTCAAAAACAAAAATGGGTAACACGGGTATGACGGAGGCTACCATTGCCCACTATAATGATTGGCCAAATAGCATGGGAGTGAGTATATCTATCTGCATCATGGACAGTCCTAACTGGTCGCGTTTACAGTTCGATGCAAACTATGAAGAGAAGACTCCGGTTGAGCTAAGAGTGCAAGGCATCATTCCAGTTTACGCAGCAGGCACTCTGTTTCGTACAGGCCTTGGGCCAAGGTCAATCCATACATCGAAGGACACAGAGTTCAAAGTCAATCATTGGTTTGACAATTTCTCCCAGGTCCATCGTTTCCAGATCCACGCCCCTCAGCTGGACTCTAAGAACGTGCGGGTCACTTACAGTTCTCGCTTGGTGAGCGATGGACTGATTGAAAAGATCAAGAAGACCGGAAAGCTAGATGGATTCACTTTCGCTGCAAAGTACGATCCTTGCAAATCCTTATTTCAGAAAGTACAGGCCGTCTTCCAGCCGTCAACCCCTCCACCGAAGCCGAACGAGGTGAGCGCTGCGGTAACCATGTCGGTGAACTTTCCCGGCTTTACCAGAGATGGCCATAGAACAGAGGGTCCGAGGGACCCCGGCCTTGCGATGACCTTATGCAATAAAACAGATACCAATATTTTCCAATTTCTTGAACCGGAAACTCTGGAGCCCGTTGGCATCGCCTACCAGGCCGTCCTTCATCCTGACCTCAAGGGCGTGGCCAGCGGTGCACATGCGAAATCGGACCCCGAAACAGGTGACGTCTTCAACTACAATCTTGAATTCGGACGCACTGGTACATACCGCCTGTGGCGCACTTCGGCAGCCACTGGGAAGACTTCCATTTTGGCGACATTTCAATACGCTCCGGCGTACCTTCATTCTCTCTTTCTGACAGAGAATTATGTGATTTTGTGCATCTGGAACTCGTTCTATAAAGCGGGAGGTGCTTCTATTCTATGGAACCGAAATCTTCTGGATGCTATGGTGTGGGATGGGAAGCGGCCAACCACCTGGTTTGTGGTTGACAAGCGGGCGCCGGAGGACGGTGGTAAGGGTGTTGTCGCCAAATATATTTCCGATGCGTTCTATTCGTTTCACACCATCAATGCGTACGAGGAACCATCGAGATCCCAGAAAGGTGCAATCGACGTCGTGTGCGACCTGGCGGCATATGAAAACATGGATGTTCTCCACCACTTCTATCTCGACAACCTGATGAGTGATCACCCCCGAGCACACGCCTATGCAGATTCAATGAGTTCCAGTTCACGCCCAAGCTATCGACGATATCGGCTGTCGGTCATACCATCGACACCAAAGCCCGGGCCGTTAAATGCCAAGCTAGAGTACGAAAGCACGAAGACCGATGGCCTTGAGCTTCCCATCATCAACCCCAAAGTGGTGACAAGGAAGCATCGGTACATGTATGGCATTTCTGACACTGGGAAGTCGACTTTCGTCGACGGTCTTGTCAAATACGATGCCGAGACACATGCGACAACTCGATGGAGTGTCCAAGGCCAAAGCCCCGGGGAGCCAATATTCGTGAAAGACCCTCGATCTCAGGACGAAGACGGTGGCGTGCTCTTGTCGGTCGTCCTCGACGGACCTGGAGGAAAGAGTTATCTCCTTGTGCTCGATGCAAAGACGATGACAGAGGTTGGCCGTGCGCATGTGGACGGCGTGATTGGGTTCGGATTCCATGGCCTGCATGTTAGTTCCAACGAGCCTGTGGGCAGGTTCAACGGATTGCATTTATAAACAGTGATCCCAGTTAGAGAGGGATCTATATGTATGGCAAAAATGCATACAATGATGGATGCAAGCTACTCCAAGCTACAGTATGTATCCGAGTGGTGTTTGGCGTTGCGGATGGATTTTCCGAATGCCGGGTCCCCCACAAAGGCGGGTAACACCCAGAAACTTCGTTATGATGCAAGGTGTGAGGCCACTAGGCTGGGGGCCCGCTGGGTGATGGCTTGGTGACAGCTGGTAGTGGTTGGCGGAATGACGTTGGTGTGGCTGGACAGAAAGCTTTGACGTGGGTGTGTGGGAGCTCTCGCATTGCTGTCAGGCACACACAACCAGCTTTCAAGTTCTATCACTGCAACTTCACCGTGATAGGTTTGCAAGCCTCTTGTTGTTCGTTTCCATCATGCATCTTGTCTAGCCTCTGACCATTCCTTTCTTCTTCCTCTCCCTCCCTCTCCCCTCGTGCCTGCGCTTCTGCCCTCGTTGCCTACCTCCTCACGCGACCATAACTCGACAGACCATTATGTCGGTTTCAGACCTCATTGACTGGCTTAGTCTAAGCAAGACTTCGCCGCAGGTCAAGGTCACGACCCTCCCGATCACCTACTTCAAATTCCCTCCAGCACCAGAACCAACGACTGTACCTCCTCCGCCAGTAAACGAACCGACCCTTGCGCACCCATTCACGATTCCCACGGACGTGTATAATGCCCTCCTCTCTCCACATGTTCCAATCACGGTCGCACTGGTGTATATGTCACTGGTTTCCTTCCTGAACTCGGTCAACGCGAATCGCAAGTACAAGCCATGGGCGTTCAGTAGGACATATGTCTTCAAATTTCTCGTCATTGTCCACAATATCTTCCTGGCTGTTTACTCGGCATGGACGTGCGTGGGTATGGTGAATGCCTTGCGTTTGTCTCTGCCGGAATGGAATCAAGACTGGAAGGTCGCAGGAACAGTGGACGCCCTTTGCAAAATCCACGGACCAAGGGGAATCGGAAGTGCTGCGACATACAATGCAACCACCAGCGCATGGCAAATGACGAATCGCGTATTGCACCTAGCTGCTGATGGACTTGGTCCTGACAACACAGATGTGGGCCGTATCTGGAATGAAGGGCTGGCGTTCTATGGATGGCTTTTCTACCTTTCCAAGTTCTATGAAGTTGTGGACACACTGATCATCTTAGCTAAGGGCAGGAAAAGCAGTCTCTTGCAAACCTATCATCACGCTGGAGCGATGCTGTGTATGTGGGCTGGAATTAGGTATATGTCTCCACCCATCTGGATGTTTGTGCTCGTCAATTCTGGCATCCACTCAATTATGGTAAGTCGACCCAAAAACGTGATTGAACATTTCCCACTGACATAAGTATAGTACACATTCTATCTCTGCTCAGCAGTTGGAATAAAGGTTCCCAAATGGTTCAAGCAGACCCTGACGACACTACAAATCACACAATTCGTTGTTGGCGCCACATATGCTTTCTTACACCTCTTTGTTGCCTATCAGATTCCAGTCAGCATCCCTTACATCCATCATGTTGGAGAAGTCGCCTCGAAGGTCATGACAGAGGCTCCCACAGAGATCACTTCGAGTGTGTCAACGGCAATCTCGACTGCTTCAGCCGGTATGGGAGCTTGGCTGAAGAAGGCACTCCTACGAGGTGCAGGTTACGAGGGTCTTGCAGAAAACGTGTTGAACGAAAAGGGCCAGCCATTTGGAGTTGATGCTGTCCACATTGTTGAAGATGTCATCAAGAGAGAAGAGACAAGGTACAGGGAGGAGCTGCAATGGGTTCAGTGTCTGGACACGAGTGGCCAAGTCTTTGCGATCCTGCTGAATTGCATGTACCTCTTGCCTTTGACGTGGCTGTTCTTACAGTTCTTCGTCACGTCTTACCTCAAACAAGTCGAGAGGCGGCGTAGTCGATCAGCCAGCGACACTGCGATGGTCGCGCGAAAGAGCTTCCAAGATGCATCGAAAGGCGTGGTGCGACGGCTTAGCGAGGCTGTTGAAGAGATGCATCGCATCTCTGAAGATATTGGAGACGACACTGTGATTGTGGATGGTGATGAGGTCAGGAGAGAATTGAAAGAGGCTGCGGAACAAGCCAAGAGCACGGTCCAGGCACACTCAGCAAAGGCCAAGCAGGCGGCCAGCGCTAACTCCGAAAAGGTGCGACAGGAGTTTCAGCGTGACATGGAAAAGGCCAGGAAGAATCTACACGATACCGCCGAAAAGGTCAAGAGTACTGTTGCAAAGGTCGGGGACGATGAGACGAGAGAGAGTATCTCAGCAAAGGCGCAAGCTGTGGCGGACTCTACCGCTGAAACGGTGGAGAAGGCCATGGAGAGCGTCAAGTCTACGGCGCAAATTGCTACAGAACAAACCCAGCCAGCTGTCGATTATGTCGCGGAGAAGGTGGGAGAGTTGAAAGCACAAGCCCAACCTGCTGTTGACTACGCCACAGGCAAGGCCGGAAATCTGAAAGAACAGCCCGGACCAGCCCCTGATTACGCCGCTGAAAAAGTGACTGAACTAAAAGAACGCGCCGCTGAGGCGTCCCAGATGACGAACTCCCAGTCTCAAGAAGATGCCCAGGAAGCCACAAAGTCAGAAGGAACCGCAGGTGACGAAGAGAAAGACACTGCAGAAGTAGAACCAGAAGAAGCCGAAAGCAAGGCTGAGTCTATCAAAGAGGAGATCGAGGAACATTTGGAGTCGGCACAAGACACGACAACAGAAGAGGCGCAATCTCAATCATCGGTAGAAAAATTCACATCTGAGTCGAACTCCCCAAACGGAAATGGCACCGCCGGCGAAGAGGAGACTGGTCCCAGCGCGAATCTGAACCAAACACAGTCTGAGGAGACGACGGGGGTAGGGGCGCGCGAGAGTGAACAAGCCAACAGTGAGAAAAGGGAAGAGGACAAGATCATAGATGAAAGTCAGGCGGTAAGGGATGAGGATGTGGACGTCGACGGTGACAAGAAGGATGAGGATGAAGGCGGTGCGAACGGAGAGGGACGCAGCTGGGCGGAAGTTGTTAAAAAGGGTTCCAATGGGGAAGGAAAAGAAGAGACAAAAGAAGGAGAACTTGACAAAGACAAGGAGGGTTGGGGAATCTGAGTCGATCACCGAGCACGATGCACACCGCAGCGAGCAGGGCGGAGACGGAATCAGTCCTCGACAACAGACATTTCGAAAGGAGATGTCTGGGGACTCCTGTGCCCAAGTGCACACGGGAGCATTCACCCAAACCTCGGGGCTCTCGAACGCATACGGTCCATGTATGCTGCGAGACTGGTTCACCGAAGTGGTTTCCACATCAGCCACGCAAACGAGGCGGGCAATGAATTCTGCTGCAACCAACTCGATGGACTCCGTGTCAGAGGCTTCGTGGACTCCCGACATCAAACAGTGCCTGCGAATAATACAAGAACTACCTTCCTAGGCAATTTAATGAATAATTCCAGACAAGGAGAGGCCATCAAGTGGATTGATCTACCTATTGTGTATGTATGTACCAGGTAGATAGCCAGGTACCCCCTCCTGATCAATCAATCGGTCAGGCACCTAACAAGAAGGAAAGAAGATACGCGAGCTACATAGCTAGCTGGCTAGCTACTAGGGAGGCAAGCCAGAGCAGAGCGACTGACCGAGCTCAGATTGTCCCGGTTCGTCCCTCCAGAATTAATAATATCAGTCACATTTTGTTACCTTCCCTGCCTTCTATTGCTCAGGGCTTTTCCTGTATATATCAACGCACGCAAAGGCCCGAGACAAGCCGACCACCCGTCACCGTTGCAGAGAGACTGAGGATGAACAGATAGGCACCGAGTAGTGGAACATGATCGAGTCGACCATGTTTCTGCAGAATCGTGTGAATGCCTTTTTCCGAGCCACAAATAACCCCTGCCTGGGCCAGCTGGGGGCCCATTGACAGAAATCGACCGACCACAGCTCACAATTCAAACATCATATCCCGCGGTTGAATTCGACCAAGCCCCCTTCTCCGCCCTTGTCCCAGAACTCTTCCTCCAAGCTCCTCGCGCTAACGGCCTGTCGTTGCGGAAATGCCCCTAACGCTAAGGGCAGGGCAAAGATGCTGGTGGTGAGGATCAAACCCAGGTTCACGGGGAGCACCATGCGCGGCCTGGACTTCAGCCACTCTGTTTTCTGGAGCCGGACCAGGATGAGGGGAGGAAGAACCATGATCGGCGTTGCATTGAGGACGCGGGAAATCGCTGTTTCACCCACTGCCAGAATGGCGGCTTTGCGAGATTTACCTAAAGAGGCGACTTCCTTTCCAGTCTCCTCACGTTCGGCTTTTTCTTGCTCGGTTTGCACGGGGAAGATGTCGATGCCACGGCGGATTTCTTCGGAGCGCATGAGAAAGACGTTCAATGCGCCCGCGCTGGCCACGGCTGCGAAGGGGACGAGGCGGCTGAGGACAAGTCTGGTATTTGGGGAGAGGCGTTTCAAGCGCGGGACAAGAGAGTTCAATCCCACAGCGACAGAGCAAGAGGCAGAAACTGCCATCAGGTATGATTTCACCAAAGTTGACGTGCTAAGCGGTGAAGATTTATTCGCATTGGCCGAGTTGATAGCGACGTTGAGCGACTGGTTGATAATCTGCCAGGCTACTGTGCCGGTGTTGCTCAGGTTGGGTGTGAGCATACCCGCGGTGACGACTAGATTCGAGATCACGAAACAGGACATGCGGAATGGCAGGAAGACTGGTTCGCCGGTATCTATCCACCGTCAGACACTCTCTCTGAGAGGGGTTCGAAACATGATCCAACCTGGATGTAGTGTTGAATCCACGATCTTTTTGGCATTCCATATCTCCGGTGTCATGACTTTTGCTTCCCCAGTCTTATAGGACGTCACCAGTCGCTTTGCATTCTCGAGGCCAGAGGAGGAAACGAATAGTGTCCTATGAGTCAAGCAAAGGTCAGCCCCAAGGCTTCAGGAAAGGACGGCGGGTGTATATGCTGCGGTCAGTTGCGCTGTACCTTCAGCACCATTTGATGATGGCACAACTGGCCGCCAGCCCGGAAAATTTCAGATCGACACTTCATAGTGACACGCTTGCTTCTGTCCTCACCTCGGATCTGCTATCTGTGCCGACTGCATGACACGGCCCCAGTACGTCGAGAGGTCATATTGAGATGCTGGGAGATCTCGATTCCCGGGGAGTGAGGCGGACATTGTGGCGCCAGCGCCCCAATGCGACCGCGAAGACGTGTGAGAGGATTAGAGGCAGGTCAGGAAACCTGGATTAGTGTCGTTATGAGCTGCGAGAGGAAAGGAAATGAAAGAACGTCGGGGTTGTGTGCACTATACCGAGTATTCTGTTACTCACTGCGATTTCGGAGGGGCGGTCTACAGTACAGGCTTGCAGGGTACAGCTGCTGAGCTCCACGTACTAATACTCATGAGGAAGGTGTGACGAGGTCTCACCTTTTCGCTTCCGATGTTAATATGGACAGCTTTGCAGCTTGACAACGCTTGTTCTCAAACCTATGTAATGAGTGACTGCTATGGAGCCATCCATCGCTATATGGCTCGGTTTCCAACAAGCTCGGCAGTACGCACACCACTCGCAGCATTTGCTCTCGTATCCATTCGGAATGGTGTATATCGGTGTGAGTCCCTGAAAGGTCCAACCGGGTTGGCGATCTTCTTGACAAACTGACCTTCCCTAATCTCCCCCTCGATGCCGCCAAATGCCCCATCTGTACACCATCCCATCATCCTCCGAACACGGTCCGACATGGTGGCCTCGACTTCGGGCCTGATTGACAGGAAGTTGTTTTCCTGTTGCCGGATGAACGACCGCATGAAGAACATCAGAATCACCGGCCGCTCCCCGCTCGTCATCCTATTTGGACCTGTGGCGTGCCAAAGTCGACTTTCGAAGACGAGTGCTGTCCCTGCTGGCCCTTCTGCCGCTACTGTACCGTCTATATTGAAAGGATCTGGGGCACGAGAAAAGTCAGCAGTGTCCTTGAGATTACGATTCCACACCCAATGGGGTAGTCGTCATCTATGACTTTGCAATCGAACCGCGAAGTATGCGAAAGATTGACTTACCATCTGGAGCAATGGCACCGAGGTGACTGCCTGGAAATACCCGCGTTCCACCATTCTCTGCCGTGACATCGGTCAAGAACCACATGATATTGATGCCGAAGTACACGTTCCGGACTGGCGGTTGAATGCCAACCTGGTCGGTATGCAACATCATGGGCGTATTGCCTGGCCGTGCAATATTCGCACTATAGCTGTGGACCAGGAAGTGATCGCCCAAGTTTTCCGGAATGACTTCATCAATAAGGGGATGTTCTAGCAGATCAAGAAACTCCTGTCCTTTATTGATCAACGTCCAGATCCTTTGATTGGGCCCGTTTGGGCCCCCGTCTCTCGCAGCAACCCCGGCTTCCACCTCCCCACATCCTTGTTGACGAATGGCTTCCGCCAGAACATCGACTTGATCTCGGGTCAAAGCGTTTTTCACCAACCCGTAGCCAAACTCTTTCAGGTCTCGCCTGACCTGATCGATATCTTCGGTTGGAGTAGGCAACCTGGCTCCAGGCTTGGGTGAAGCAGGGTGTACTGGATCCACAGGGCAAAGGGCGTCGGCGAATTTGACCGCAACCTTGATATCGCCTTTTGGTAGCGTCGATTCATCGAAGAAGCCGTCCTTGAACAGAGCAAATCGCGGCTCCAGCAGACCCTGAGCGAAGGCAATGATATAGCGAGGCTTGATTTTCACGCGGCAGTCAGGCTCTCCATCAAATTTCTGCAGGATCCGAGGCTCCTCTCGCGTGTCAATGTAGATTGGCCCACTTTCCAAACCAATATCCAACCCAAGAACAGCCTTGACTCTGGTCATCTTGGGCAATCCATTTCGAATCACTTCGAGCGCTTCCTCACGGTCGTCCTTCTTCTTGGAATGAGGCTTCCAGTTGGAAAACATGCCATATCTCAAGCCTGACGTGGGAAAACTTTTCATCCCATTGGCAATTCCGTTTGTGGCTACGGTGTGAGAGCCATTCGTTACACCGTTTGGGTGATTGACCGCTTCTGATGGGCGTGAGGCGTTCATCTTCACCTGAGTCCTTCTGTCTCGAATGTTGAAAATAGCAGTCGGTCCTCATCTTCGGAACGGACCTCGTCCATGATATTTTGCTATACCCAGGAGCAGCTGCCAGCCCAACCGGCACGTAACACCTTAGTCATGCTTTGCGCAGTCATGGAGACGACGGGAAGAGGCTTCGGCTTCATCGCCACACTAGTCCAACCAACAAAGAGACGGTGTCCTGAGAAACAGTCCATCACTCAACGAGTGATGGAACCCCGCAGTCATTGACGGTATGCTGATTCAAATCTTTCTGACTCGAGTGGACTTACGACCCGATCTCTCGTTTTATTAGACTTCCGAACATTTCGTCTCAATCGAATCGATATCAACCTAGGGCACCCCGATCGCAATTAAACATCTGCTGATGAGCATTCAGTGGAGGACAGAAAAGCTACCCTCGGTTGTAGAACTTTTGCTTGATCTAGCCTTCAATCCAGACCTTTCTGGATATCCGCGGCTCTCCACTGCGGCCACTGGGAATCCAGCAAATTGACCCTGATTTCCCCATACACTATTTCCCGCATCTATTGGGCAACCCCAGCAGCAGTGAGCGAATCCATGGATGGAGCTCTTCCTGCTTGCCCCAGTGGCGGGGTCCAGCAAATCTGGGGTTGCCTTGCTCATCTACTCCAGGATATTGGTTCTTCGGGTCTCCGTTTTTCTCTCAACACGGTTTGGGTTATTGTGGGAACTCCCTAGGACCCTTGCTTCCCGTCGTACTTATGCTCTCTGTAGCAGCCAGCCCCGCAATTGCGTCGTGCAAGACGAAGAAACAAGGGTAGGACTTCCCTTCATCTTGGCTCTACGTCCTCATTTAACTCTTACTCAGATTTTCCTATGTCATCAACACCCCGACGAACGCTCAAGGGTCAGTCTAACAGCATGAAGGACGACTGTGACCAGTCCAAGAGCGGCCGGGGAGGCCGTTCAGGCCGGATGAGCAATGAAGATAGGAAACTTAGGAATCGCCTGTCGCAGAAAGCTTTCCGAGCCCGGCAGGCTATGCGGATCAAGGAGTTGGAGGACAGATTGGAATCAAGGCCATCGTCTAAAACCGAGCGCATCGCAGAGCTCGAGGAGCGAAATGCTTTCCTCGCCAACAGGCTGTTCGAGTGCCACAAGAAACTCGAAAGCCTTCAGGTTACTATCAAAGCCCTGTCAGAGACTACTGCAGAAGCGCTTGACATGGTGGTAAGTATCGCGATTAGCTCGACTTCCATTTGATCTCGCACAAGACTGATCCTTTCCGCGAAAGATCAACAAGGACAAAATCAAGGACTCTGATGCCAACGAAGAGGTAGAAGACGACGTTCCTCGCCCAAACTCTGTGCCCTCATCAGCCTCAGATGTCTCATCGCCGAACACGAGAGACACCACTATGTCTGGACTGGGGGCAGAGTCAACGGGCGAGGGAGACATCGTTATTCCCGGTCTGACTGTCGATGCCACTCAACACCGCTCAGTAGTCTCCGCGACTGCAGCAGATTGGCCTGATACGGATGCAGGTTACGATGAGATCCCCGACGACTTCAAGGACGCCCTCCAAGCAGCAATAAGTCACGATCCTGATATTTTTGCCTCCTTGGATTTCTTCAGCTCTTCCAGCCCTAATACCGGCGCGGCCGTCAAAGACGCAAGCAATTCCTTTGTTTGGGAGAACATGATGGCGGACCCAATTATGCAACAAAGAATATCTTTTACTCTCCCTCAAATGGGTCCGAATGCATATTCTGCTTCTGAGACTCATGGTCCAGTCTTGGTGCGGGGCCCTCACGGGCGGCTATATCGGACAAGCTCTCCCTGGTCAGACCATATCGTTACTCTCGAATACTTCTTACGCCAGAAGTGGAAGTCATTAGCTGTTCGAAGGAATAAAAGAACTATTCCATTCGAGGGGTACGTAGGCGCTTTTGCTTTGATCCGTGGAGCTTAACTAATCGGACCTTCAGTCTTCCGAGCTCGGTTTGCTTCATGCTGTCCTCGTTCATATGTTTATCATGGCCGACTATGACGGCCTGGCACACCTACACCCGAGCTCATGGTACTGTCGGCAGCCTTATGGCGTGGCGTTTGAACCCGACACCAGAGATGTATGCGGCCATTGACCCTGCTCTGACTCCGACGAAACTTCAGATGACAGTCCACCACCCAGCAATTATTGATTGGATCCCCTTTGCTTTTCTGCGTGACAAGCTGATCATCTATCATTCTGCCAATCCGCAGCTAGATGATTTGATCTGCGAGATCGGCAATTCATATGTCATGGAAATTGATCTTGCGCGGTTAATCGCCGGCATACCCTCTACTCGAGGCTATGTTGGGGTTTGGGATCTTGTGCGAGCGATTGCACCAGAAGCCACATCAATTTCAGACGCCACCAACCTTTTTCAGCCGGATTTTGAGAATTCTCCTGAGGTCATTGACGATTTCGATGAAGAGGAAGAGTCGAGCAGCGGTGCTAGTTCTCTGCCTGCGCCTAACGCAAGTGTCCTTTTCGGCTCGAAAGCACTCGCCCTCAAAGCATTCAAGTTGATGGGCATGCATAAGGGTGTTGGAAACTTCTTACTCGCCGAGCATTTCTTCGACAGGCATCCAGAACTCATGGACCCCACGGTAAACATCATTGCCCGTGGCGTCCCGCTACGCCCCGGGAATCGGAAGTTCATGATAGCGCCTCAGCCCTTGGATTCAAGCGTCCTTGGCCGGTACAAGGAGTTGTCTTCGTGGTCACTTACTGTGTCCTCGGCTATGATAACAGCGATATGAAACCCGGATCTCCTCGGCTCCGGCTTTACTATATGGGCCGTTGTGTCGGGCTGTCGAAAAGTTCCCCGCCACGGAGTAACTCACCGACAAAAACGTGATACTCTGTGATACTGTTTCGGCGACGAAATGGTAGCCGAAAGTGTGGAATCTGCCAATGTGGAAAATTTGCATTGAACTAAGAAAGAGAACGAGAGGCGAAGATGGTTTGGTCGGACGTACATGAGCATGAGCTGCCATTCAGCTGCCGACTTGCCTGATTTGGAACATTGCAACTCTCGTGGCGGTTGGATTTGTGTCGGCTTTTCGAGAATTGAAAAAGGATTCGAATGCTGAGTAGCGCCCTTGGCTACCGTAGTGCCTACGAGAAGCTCAATCTACCGGCCCTGCCATTAAATGGCTTCAAATATGCAGAAGGTGGGTGGGCTCGATGTCCAAATCATGACACCCAAATCTCTGGGAGAATCTTGTACCATCCGTCTTCGCCCAGTGCAAGCAGTCGGGCTTCTCTGGACTAGTTACACGGCACCAATCAGGAAACAAGACTCGGTTGAATCAAAACCGGCTTCTGAAGGAGAAAACACAAAAGGTCGAAGAATTTGTGGTTGAAATACTCAAGCCGCATATATTTATGTTTTTGACCCTCTTCAAGTAGATGGTCAGTCTCTGGGTATCTTCCGTGGTGTAGCAAAGACAGAGTCTCTCGCTCTCTATACTTGACTCATTCGCTGGTCCAGGATCGTTTTATCCATATCTATCTTTGAAGACTCGATTGTCGTTCTTCTGCAAAGCACTATCGATGTTAGATGTGGTTGGACGTGGAACACGGTAGGTACGGAGTAGACCGATACGTGAACTTGGTAAACGGGGAAGCCGGGTGAAGCGTGCCGTGCCAAGGCATCGGATTAACGTTTCTTTGGGCCGAAATCAGTCATCGATTTAATCACACGAGCGCTTACCACGACGGTGTAAACAACCTGGTCCCAGCAGAATTGTCCCTGCCAGAGTTAAGCCTCCCCTTCATCATGGCACCGAGAGAAGAAATATCAGGCGACGAGTCTGATGACTCCCAACTGGAATGGGAAGTGGAACAAGGCATCCCGCAGGTGGATGACCCGTTCATCCAAAAATACATGGCGGGGCGCCAGGCTCTGATAGAACAGGAGAAAAAGCAACGCCATGACCGAGCATTCAAACAGAACATGTCCCCGATGGCAAAACAGGCAGCCAAGATCATGGCTTCGATTCGACGACGAGAGTTGCAGACCGTCTGGACCTCCGAGTTTGAGGATAGCCTCGCCGATAAGAATGGCGGCAACCTCTATCCCGGCATGATGTTCACTCTGGCTCGGGATCGTATGGAGACGACCGAGTTGTGGAAGATCGTCGAGAAGATGCCCAAGGGTGCCCTGCTTCATGCCCATCTGGACGCCATGATTGACATTGACTGGCTAGTTGACCAGGCTCTCGCGGAGAAGGGATTCTGTATGGTTGCTCCTGAAGGGCTGAGTGACAAGAGCAAACGGACGTCCGGTGCACTACAATTCAGATACTATCCTGACGAGGTGGTCAAGAAACAGAAAAGCACGGGGAGCATCTGGAGTGCAGGGTACACGCCAAATACGCCTGTCACCATGCGAGAAGCACAGAGGACATTCCCGGACGATGATCAAACCTTTAAGAAATGGCTGATCAGCAGATGCACCATTACCGCCGAGGAGTCGTTATGCCACCACCATGGCCTGGATGCTATCTGGAAGAAGTTTCAAAGTACATTTCTGGTCATTACTTGGATGTTCACCTATGAACCCATCTTCCGCCGCGCCATTCAGCGTCTTCTCGGCCAGTTGGCAGCGGATGGCATTATCTACGTCGATTTTAGGATCGCATTCAAGTTCGAATTCCGAAGGCAGGGACGGACCACGGGTCAAGTGGGCAAATTTGAAGATTTTTTCACAGCTCTGGGCGAAGAGATCGAGAAGTTCAAACAGTCGCCTGCTGGCAAAACCTTCAAAGGTGCACGTATGATATGGACCGTCATCCGTAAATCGGACAATCGAACACTCGTCGATTCGATGAAGGAATGCATTCGCATGAAGCAAAAGTTCCCTCACATGATTTGCGGCTTTGACTTCGTGGCTCAAGAAGACCAGGGAAGGACGCTGAAACATCTCACCCCACTCATCTTCTGGTTCAAGAAGAAGTGTGCGGAAGCAGGTGTTGATTTGCCTTTCTTTTTCCACGCAGGCGAGTGCCTAGGTGACGGCGACAGTACGGACAATAACTTGTTTGATGCACTTTTGCTGGGGACTCGACGCATTGGACATGGGTACTCTTTATACAAGCACCCTTTGCTGATTGACATGGTCAAGGAGAAGAAGATATTGGTCGAGAGCTGCCCGATCTCGAATGAGATCTTACGACTCTCCAGCTCTATTCTGTCACACTCTCTTCCGGCACTGCTTTCACGAGGCGTGGCGGTGTCCCTGAACAACGACGACCCGGCAATCTTGGGACACGGGAAAAATGGCTTGAGTCATGATTTCTGGCAAGCCTACATGGCCTTTGAGAACCTCGGATTGGAAGGTCTAGCAACGATGGCCGAGAACTCTCTAAAATGGTGCGCCGTGGAGGATCAGAAATTGGGTGAGTGGACCAAGGGTATCACCGACGGTTATCTGGGTAAGGGCGTCAAGGCAAAGCTACTCAGAGAATGGAGGAGCGAGTTCGAAAAGTGGTGTCAATGGATATTGATGGAGTATCCCCTAGAGGCCGAGGAAGAGGATGGAGAGGATGAAGACGAAGAGGAGTCCGAGGAGGATGATGAGGATGAAGAAGATGAGGACGACGAAGACGATGAAGAGTAGACTGACTGCCGCCGGCATTTTGCTGTTGGTGATGTTGGTGGTTAGAGGCAACAGCACATCAACCGTGCCGTCTCTCTTGGTCGCCTGTATTTCGCTCCTCAACTGAATGTGGCGATGTTCTAGATGGTCTTCAACAACGACAATGACAAGGTACTCAGCGGGATATGCTCACTTTTGACAGATAAAGGACACACTCTTCTTTTTTGTTCTCCTGTTTCCCAATCTGACTGTTTCAAAGTCAATAGACTGGTGGAGAGGCTGAGCACTAAGGCGCATCAGGCTGTGACGCTCAGGGCTCTTAAGTCTGGCCGGCCCGACCCCTGCACCGTTTGCTGTCGACGGTGTTGGGGGTGGTTCGTGCCCGTTTGTTCTCGTTCGGACATTGTCATGGGGTGTTTGAGCGCTGAGAGGCGCCTCGTGTGACCACCGAGGGAACGCCCCCACTGTACCGCTGAGGACCCAAATTCAGTGGCTCACAGTGCCCAACGCTAGCTACCTAAGCACTTGGGGGTGCCCCTCGTTGGCTGCTAGCTGCATCATCCCGCCGGTACTTATCATGGGTGGAGTAGGGTAGCCAGTGGATGCTGTCAGTGGGAGGTGCTTCGAGATCTGCCTGTTTTCTCCGACTCCCCCGTACCTCATTCCAACCGTGCCTGCGTTTGACCGAGCAGTCGACACGTTTCCTCCACTGCCTCCATGGAGGACAGCTGATATGTTTCCTCTGGCCTGGACGACGCAAAAGACGTCTATTTGCGTCTGATTGGAGCAAACACAGGGAGACGCGGGTCCACGCCGAGAGAAAAGCCCCGTCGCCTCTTAACCTCACCTTTGTGCTGATCTCTGATCTTCCCTGTCCCTCATGTTGACGTCCATGTCCTTGTCAAACACCTGGACTTTACTCCTTCACCGTTGGACGTCTGTATCATTTCTCGTCCTCCATGACCCACCCACGATGACAACGTTGCCCTCATAGCCATCGTACCTAGGAGGAGCTGGGAAGCGCTGATCGTGCCCAAGAAGAACCATGTCGTACTTCCTTCCTTCTTACTTCCAGAAGCGGCTGCTTCGATATGCCCTTCTTCGTCTCGACTTCATCGACTCCGACGAGTTCGACCTCGATAACCTGGGACTGAAGTGGGGCCAACGGACCGTCATCGAACTCAAGAATGTTGGAATTAAAGTCAAGAGAATCATCGACGTCCTCCAACTTCCTGCCGCCTTCGCCCTGACCCATGCCTCTGCTAAGCTTCTGCGCCTGACTCTCCCGGCGGACCTTCACATTAGCGGCATCGAAATCGAAGTGGAAGGGGTTGAGATAATCGTGGCGATTCGGCCAGAGCATACCACAGCAGTTACGGCGGTGGGAAAGTCTCGTTCAAAAGCAGGATTTCCGAGCAGAACGGACCGTGCAAATCTGCCCAGGTCGGCTTCTCCTCCCGTCCATGACCCTGGTGGCAGATATGGAGGGGCAGGCGGACCACTGGAGTTGTCTCAAGTCCTTCCCACGTCAGAAGATCTGGCCGCGTCGTTCCTGGAGGCCGAGTCGCCGGGAGAAAGAGATGAACTACAAGCTGCACTTGAGTCACAGTCTCAGATGCATATGCAAGAATCAGTGACGTCTTCCGCCTCGAGCGAGGATGTTGGACTCGGCATGCCGGGAGGGCTTTCGTTACCTACCTTTGTCGCCAACTTTCTGAAAGGTGTGGCAGACCGATTGTCTGTCAGCATCAAGGACGTTAATGTCGTCTTGGAAACGGATCTGTCATCTGGGAACGCTAGCCCGGTTGAGAACACAAAGTTCATGTTATCAGTTGGGAACATCGCCGTGGATGCCATAGACAAGCCGGCAGACCCAGACGTCGAGCCAGATACGAGACGATCAATATCCATCGACGAAGTTCAGCTGTTTGTCCTGTCCGAGTCCGAGAATTTCTCGGAATTTTCTGGCTTCAGTTCGCCGAAGATAGCCAGGTCACGGCCTCCATTGTCACACCCTGCTAGTGTACGGAGCGACAACAGTGATCTCATTAGATCAAGCACCACCAGCCTCAGTCAGCATACCGACTACCCAAAATTCTCCCCGGCGTCATCGAGTAACTCTGCACTTGGTCTTGGACTCGAAGATACAGCGCTGTCAGAGTCCACCGTCTTCGGAAGACGGTCCAGGACCATCCCTGTCCTACCCGACTCGACGCATGAATATGAATCGATCGACAATAGAGCTCATGCCGAAGAAATGCGGCGGTCCATCCGCCGAGACAGCGATGAAACGTTTGGAACCTTGGACAACCAGTCGGAAGACTTAGCGGAATCTAGAACATTCACTCATGACGAGGCCGAGAGCATGTATATGAGCGCCATGAGTGGGCCACTGAGTATGCCGGGTGGTTTTGCTTGGTCCCAACCTATCCAAGAAGCTGGACCAGAGCAGCTCGAACAGCCTGGAGAAAATGAAGATGTATCAACACCGGTGAACGAGCAAGCAGAACCACTGGGTGATTTGTCCGGTGCCTCTGTCACCGGACCCCTACAATCCATCAACGAACCCGAAGGATCGAGTGGCGAAAGCGTCCTGGATAATAGCCTGGCCTCATGCTTTCGGTCTCGAATTCTACGCGTGAATTCCGTGAACCTCAAGGTTCCCCAACCCCATCACGAAGAAGCCCCGTCAGAAGCTGAGCAACCAATCCATCCACAGCGTTTGAGCCATGCTTCTCAGATCCGCCAGATGCATATGAGTGGGAGAAGTTCCCCAAGCACCTTCCTCAACGAATCCCGACTCCAAGCTATACGCGATATGGGTCAGAGCCGGACTGTGGAGCGACCAAAAGACAAGCTGAGCATCGACATTGGAGAGATCTCAGTGGACCTCGATATTGTGCTCTGCAGAGTTCTCGTAAGAGCCTCGCAGGCCGTCACTGACGCAATTCCAACGAAGCCCCCCCAGAAATCGAAAGTGTCCACACCAGCTCCTCGCGAGACTGTCATCCCCGATATCATCATCAAGAGTGTAACCCTCAATTTCTGCGAATCCGTCCAGAGAAAGCCTCCTAGCAAAGTTGGAGTCCAAACAATTGAATCAATTCTCTCCAGTCAGGAAGCTCTTCTGAAGGTGTCAATCACTTCGATAAGCTACACGGCAAACTCCACGCCGGAGAAGAGCCAGCGACTATCCGTCTCAAAGATTGTCGTGAACCATGGCGCTCGGGAGGTGCTCACGTTTGTTGACTCTATCAATGTCCGAGACTCGATCGCAACCAGCTCTATGCTGAGGCCTCATGATGTCGTGGTCAACGTGACAGGAAATCGATATGAGGTCCAAATCAAACCCGTCTACATTGTCCTAGATTTGTTAGTCATTGACGATGTGCTCAGCAGAAGCGGCGGTTTGAGCTCTTTGCTAGATTTGGGAAATTCCATCATGTCAACACAAACTGTGAAAGGCCCGGCTCCTCCACCGACCCCGGAAACTTCGAAACTACGCACCGTGAGGTTTAATGACCCTCAGAGAAGACCTAGAGCAGACAGTGATCCCTCCTCAACTTTGCCCAAGGTCGATGTTCGCGTCTCAGGAGCAGTTTTGGATTTGATTGGGTCCGAATCTTCTATGCAGATCAAGTCCTCAGCTATCAAAACAGTCTATCGAGACAACAATGTGAAGGTGGTCATAGACGGAGCTGCGCTCGAGGGTCCGTTGCTCACCGGTTCCCGAGCTCGCGGAGACATCTACGCCAAAATTCGCAATATCGAGGTGCACTACTCGAATTCCCCAGACGATGATGATCTGGACAGACTTTTGTCTTTGATCACACCTTCCAGCGACAGATACGAAGAAGACGACGATATCATGGTTGATACCTTGTTGAGACAGCGGCGGAAAGGCGGCGTCTTGCGATTGGCTATCGGAGATCTTCAAGCAGGTGCTGCAGGTCTGCGGTGGGTCCCTCATCTCACCAAACTCACCGATGAGATCTCGAAACTGTCGTCAGTTACAAAATATCTGCCCGAAGATGATCGACCAGGTATCCTCACCTTTGGGCTTTTGAAAAAGCTGAATTTCCGATTCGACGTCGATGAGAAGTTTGGGCCGATCAAACTCCAGGCCGACCTCATGGAGGGAGCTCACATCAACGTCCCCTCCCTCGCTGCTGCTCAGATTGCAACCTGGTCAGTGTCGAGAAGCGAGGAAGATGTGCTGATTGGCGATGTGCTGTCTCAGAGCAAGACTGTCATGGGCCCGCCCATGTTCATGTGTCGATTTATAGCAGACGAAATGGAACCGACGGTTCGAATGAAGCTCTCAAACACTTGTATTGAGTACAAAGTGCCGACAATTGTTGCCCTTACCTCGCTATTCGAACGTCTCAAGGTCGATTACGCAGGCATTGACAAGGAGATTGCTTCCTCACAGCCCTCAAGTCCATCATTGTCAACCACCGGAGATGCAGGCAGTCTAGCGCGGAAGATCAGATTCTCTATAACATTCAGAGACTCGGCGATAGCACTTAACCCTGACAAGGGCCCCGCCAAGGGTCTTTTCGTGCTGACGGACGCTATCATCCGGCATGAGAATCAGAAAAGGGGTTCGACGGACAACTTGGACATCAAAAAAGCTTCCCTTCTCATCATCAACGATGCTTCGACTGTCGGGCTGGAATCGGGAAATGTGGACCACAAGCTGTATTTCGAAGAAAATGACCAGGTCCAACAACTCACAAAGGCCGGATTCGTTCCAGTAGGGTCAATATCTTCAGCATCTGCCCTCATCAAAGTGGTTGAGGACAAAGTCACATCAGAAACTCGACTGGACGTAGAGTTCCGCAACAACCTTCTCTTCATCGAGACTTGCGCCGATTCCACCCAGACTATGATACAAATTTTGGGCGGTCTTGCGCCACCGTCACCGCCTTCGAAGGTGGCTCAATACCGAACCGAGGTCGTCCCAATTCAGGATATGTTGGCGTCATTTACCGGGAACGCTTTCGTCTCAGAACCTGGACCGTTGCTCGGCCTTCAAGCCTCGAGCAGTATCTCCACTGGCGAAACCTCTTTGAACGGCAGGACTGAAGCTGACCAGGAGGAGGAAGACGAAAACGAGTTCATAGCGGGCATGTATGGAGACGCCGATGATGCTGACGACGAGTTGACAGCGAGCCATGTTGAGTCAGATCTAGGACGCTCCATTATGTCTGAAAGCGTGCATATTGCCCCAGTTGATGCCACTGGTTCCGACGTCGGCGATGCTGGTGAGAGCGTGATGATGCACAGCCTGCTAGATTTTAGAGCGGACCATTTTATTCCGAAGTCAACGGTTGGTGGCACGGCCCATCGCTGGAATTCGGTCCACAACACCTATGGTCTAGCAAGCGATGCGATCTTTGAACGGTCTCCACTGAAGCTTCGCGTGAGGGACGTCCACGTTATCTGGAACCTGTTTGATGGATACGACTGGCAAGCCACGAGAGATACCATTTCGCATGCGGTGAAAGAGATTGAGAACAAAGCTATGGCGCGACGTCCGCGGAGCAGCAGCCGAACGACCGGCGTGGACGATGAGGATGAGTCTGTGATTGGGGACTTTTTGTTCAATTCGATCTACATCGGCATCCCAGCAAACAAGGACCCCCGAGATTTGGCGAATGCTATCAATCATGATATCGACGACTTGGTGAGTGAGACCGGAAGCTACGCCACTGGGACGACGGTGACTGCGACCACGTCGCGGCGCACGTCAGGCACGGTCCCGAGGCAAAAGAAGCTCCGGCTCAATCGCAGCAAACATCACAAGATGACCTTTGAACTGGAAGGCGTCTCAGCCGACTTCCTCGCATTCCCTCCCGGAAGTGGCGAGGTGCAGAGCTCAATCGACGTCCGCATCAAGAAGATCGAGGTCTTTGACCACGTGCCTACGTCGACTTGGAAGAAGTTCGCCACTTACATGCAAGATGCCGGTGAACGCGAACACGGGGCCAGCATGGTTCATATCGAAGTTCTCAACGTGAAACCGGTCGCCGAACTATCGGCCTCGGAAATAGTGCTCAAGGTCAGCGTTCTTCCATTGAGACTGCACGTTGACCAGGACGCGTTGGATTTCCTCACCCGGTTCTTCGAGTTCCGAGATGACAGCGCCCCCGCGTCAAGCGGGTCTTCCAGTCCACCATTCTTGCAGCGCGTGGAGGTGAACGCTGTGCAGCTCAAACTCGACTACAAGCCCAAGAAGGTGGATTATGCCGGGCTGCGGTCTGGACGCACGACCGAGTTCATGAATTTCTTCGTCCTCGACCGCGCAGATATGGTCCTCCGACGGGTTATCCTGTACGGAGTGTCTGGGTTCGACCGGCTGGGTATCATGTTGAACAACATCTGGACGCCGGACGTCAGGCGGAATCAACTCCCCGGAGTGCTGGCCGGTTTGGCACCCGTCCGACCTCTGGTCGACGTCACCAGTGGGGTGAGAGACCTCATCGCAGTGCCCATCCGCGAATATCGCAAGGACGGGAGACTGGTCCGCAGCATTCAAAAAGGAGCCCTCGCGTTTGCAAAGACAACAGCGACTGAATTGGTCAATCTTGGAGCCAAGATGGCGATTGGCACGCAGCAGATCCTGCAGAATACGGAAGACCTGTTTGTGGCCCGGGAACTACAGGGCGACCTGGACGAGGACGACGAGACTCGCAAACAGATATCTCTGTATGCCGATCAGCCCATTGGCATCAAGCAAGGGCTCAGAACGGCATATGCCAGCTTGGAACGAGATCTCTTGATTGCCCGAGACGCTGTCGTGGCGGTCCCCGGCGAAGTCATGGCCAGTTCTTCTGCCAAGGGAGCGGCCAAGGCGATCCTGAAACAGAGTCCGACCATCATTCTGCGGCCTGCCATTGGAGCCACGAAGGCGGTTGGGCAGACACTGATGGGTGCAGGCAATATGCTGGACAAACAGAATTTGAGGAGGATTGATGAGGTGAGCCGCCGTCCCCCGTCCTATGATGCGTACGGATCAATACTGACGAGCGGCTTAGAAATACAAGCGGCATTGAGGTCCCTTGCTGCCCGGTCCTGCTCGGTATTTGTTTGCTAACTACTCCGTTCCGCAGGGACATGTTTACAGAGCGGGGCGTTGGGTGGCAAATGTGTTTGCTGTACGCGGATACCAGCATATAACATGGCGTTAGATGTTTGCATGGGCGGAGCGAAAGGAAGCTTTGCTGTTCTTTTCCCGTGTTTTTCCTTGCATGATGGTCCGCGAACAAGTGACCGGTGAATGAAACGGCGCCACGAATGAAACGAGAGAGCACATTGCCTCTTGGGCAACGATATGAACATAAATTGGAACGATCACAGAATGTGCATGTCACGATGGTACACAACCTTTGCATGGCGTTGGTGGCTTGGATGTATGGTGGATTGGATGGGTGTTCAGATAGGCCAGGCGAAAGACGACGGTTGAGTCCCTACCTACTGTAGTTCACCAGAGCCGTATGCCGCACATACGAGGGTATTGTCTGTGTCTGTGTCCGTCACTAGCCTTCCACTGCCCATATGCTTGTCTGTCTTGTCAGGTGGCACTCCCCGGTTTGTGGACATATCTGACCACCCCCTGATATCGTCGGAGGATGGAGTGATGGGGAGGAAGCAGCACAGCGAGCGAGTCTGCCTCGAACGACTCCTGACAGACAACACCCCGTACTGCCCTTCCGTCCGCTCCATACAGTAAGTGCGTTTTCCTCGGAGATCCCTAAGGGAGGCGACACACATGCCTGCGGTCCCACATTACCCGCATCTCGCGTCTATGTACATATGCTCGCGCTCCCGTGAGAAAGGATAAACGCCATGCTCGGTACATGCGTGTATATGCACCGAGCACAATTTGAATTTGTCCAATCGCCGTGGTTGTTGGTGGCTACCTTTGGACGCTACGTCTCTGCCTTGTCTCAAGTGACTCTTCCAGACGCGCGCACAAGAGGTAGATGATGCACGTCATGACATTATTTCACGGGCAACCGAGTGCGGAATTTGGCAAGTGTTGCCCCTAGAAGGTCTGGAAGTCGCGGGTAAGCGCTGGTGGAGGCGGCGAGGCGGACACAGGCAGTGTTTTGTTGGGGGGGATTCTCCCTAATGACTGCGGACACGGCACAGCCCCGCTCAGCCACAAGCCTACTTCGTACCTGGCCTAGTGAACACTAGCCTTTAGTCCAGGCGCCTCGCTTAAATGCCTTTAACTGATCACGCCCGGCGCTGGGCCAATGACAGGCTGTGTAACTTTTGACGCAACGCTCGTAGCCGTTCACGGCAGAAATGCCAGAATCCAGAATGGAGTGCAATCAAAAACTGTTATTGTGTGAGGAACTGCTTCTCACCCGACTCATTACAGCCCCTCGAGGCTGTTTCAGGGCAGACTCTCCGGCTGGCTGTCGGAGGAGACCATGGGGGAATGGCAAAAGCACGTTACTCTCGAATTATATATAAAATGAAGAAGGATGAAACAGCTGCAGTAAGTAGTAGTAGACAATCGAACGAGCAAAGTTCACTCTTGACTCTTCACTCTCCTACTCGTTTCACGTGGCCTGCGCCTGCGTCACCCAGTGACTCTCCCTTTACGTCACGATCAGAGACAAAGAAAACAGAAGCAGAAAACAAAACACCATGGCAACCCCCATCCTTCTCTCCCGTGACTCTTTCCACACCACCCACAACAAGATGGACCACCTTCTTCGCCGGTTCAGCTCCAAAAAGTCCTCGATGACCAGCAGAGGGAGTCCATCCACTGTGTATTCCAGACAGTCAACACCAGCCCCTTCCCCCTCGACGGCTGCTTCTACCCCAAGACCGACTGCATCACCCATCGCTCGGGCCAGAAACAACAACAGCAACAACACCAACCCCTTTCCCACCACGATTCCCACGCGTCGTCCGCCAGCCGCTGAGCCACCCCCTCCTTACTCTCCTCGCTCAGATTCCAATACCAACACCAACGTACCTTATTCGCCAGCTGACCTGTCCACTCCCATGCAAGTCGCGGATGACTCGCCCTACGCCTTCCTGCGCACTTTCGACACCATCTTCCTGATCGATGACTCCGGTTCCATGGCCGGCCGCTCGTGGCGAGAGACCTCTGCAGCATTGGCCGCAATTGCCCCGATCTGCACGGCCCACGACCCGGACGGTATCGACGTCTACTTCCTGAATCACCGCAACCCACACACCGCGGGCGGCCTAGGTGGGTACACCAATATCACCACTACGGCGACGGTGCAGAGCCTGTTCCAAAACGTGCGACCCCTCGGAGGAACACCCACCGGGACGCGCCTCAACCAGATCCTCAAGCCCTACCTCTCGGAACTGTCCGACTCGCTCGAGCGACAGTCCCGCAATAGCAACGAGGCCGAGGCCCCAGTGAAGCCGCTCAACATCATCGTCATCACCGACGGCGTGCCCTCGGACGACGTCGAGAGCGTCATCGTCCACGCCGCCCGCAAGCTCGACGCCCTGTCCGCCGAGCCTTGGCAGGTGGGCATTCAATTCTTCCAGGTCGGCCGCGAGCCCGAGGCCCGGGACATGCTCTGCGAACTGGACGACACGTTGAGCGCTGAATACCACATCCGGGACATGGTCGACACGGTGCCCTGGAGCGGCGAGGACGGTGAAGATCAAGGCCTCACCGCCCAGGGGCTGTTGAAGGTGTGCTTGGGCAGCGTGGTCAGACGGTGGGATCGGCGCCATGTGTAAGCAAGGCAGCAAGACAAAACAAAAGTGATTTTACTCATCCTGGATCAATGAAGGGGTGGGTGGGTGGAGGGATGGATGGAAGGAAGGTTTTTTGTATATTTATGATTCTCAGAGAGGGAGTTCCTCCTGACCTTGCACCTCCTTGAGTGTGCGCCTGTAATACTTACCAGTAACTAGCATCCTCGTATGCCTCCGGCATTCAACGACTTCCACCCACCAGCTTATCATGATAGAAAATCAGATAGACGAAATGCATGCATTGCATTGCTCGAGACTAATTAATGTTTTTCTTTACCTCTTCCTTCCTTTCTTTCTTCTGTGTCTCCTCTTGCCAGTGACCCTGGCCCAGATAGATAGATAGAATATTAGCCCACCACCACTCTCTGGACGCCCCCCTTATTCAGTCTCCCCGGCCAGATGAAAAGTACTGAACGAGGTAATTACTTACAGATAGCGGAGTGTGCCGTATTCCGTATTCCCTGACTGGCCGATGAACGAGCCGGATTGTACTGTATGTATATATGTGTCCCGCCCCGTGCATGACAGAAAATGCCAATGAAATCGCGCGTTATGTACCTCGGCGAATCATGTCCGAGTACATGTATACATACTCTATGTACTGTACATGTTTCAGGCCCGCCCGCCCGCCCCCCTCTCCCTTGACTAACAGTGCGAGTACTGAATGACCATTGACTATATAGGTATAATAGGTGGCTTACTTACTTCAATCCCAGCAAGACGAACGTAGGCCGGAACTTGAACACCAATCCTTACATCAAGGAAGGAAGATAGGTTAGATACATACATACTAATACTACTGTATGTAAGACGATTCGGCAGTCTCGTAACAATAACACCTCTTGTTCTCTACTGTGTATGTACACAGGGAGCGACGACGAGGACGGAGCAATTGGATTTAGTTACGTGGACTCAGGCTCCGTACAACATTAATGTCATGCAATTCAATGGTTGGGTGGGTGTGGATATTGCACACAACAATAAATACAGCACAAGTTGTTTGACGCCTCCTCCTTCCCTTCAAGTCCCTCCGGCTTGAAAGGACTAATCATGTAATCGCAACTCACTTGCCATTTACTTGCTCTGTTCTTCCCATCACGATCACTTTTATGTGTGTGTGTGTGTGTGTGTGCTCTTGAACCATCGAACCAAATTTGACCCCCACGCCATGTCCCGCGGCGGTATTAGTAGCGGTAGCATCGATTCATCCATACGCCCCTTCCTTGCCGCTGCTGATGCCACAGTTACCCCCCTCCTTGGCAAAAGAGATCAGGAACAGTATTAATAATACTGTCGTATTCGTCATGGGACGGTGAGCACTCGAGAGAGTGGAATTCAATTATGGCGGATCCAGTCAGAGCAATAGCACATATTTCTGCGCGGAACATCGACACCGACGGGTCTTGCTTGCATGTCTCTCTGCAGAAAGAGACAGTGTGTTTTGAACTTGGTCTTTGACGACCCTCCACAGTCATCGGCCACCTTCTCAGTAAGTTACCAAACTCACGTGTCCATCGCCTAAAGCTGCACACGCCAGCAACATGCGGTGCGGATGATATGCCGTCGCCACTATTGGAGCCTGATGCCCCCTGCCCGCAAGACTGCCGCCCACAACATGCGCCATCCGACTGCTTGAGGGTTCAAAGGTCCCCAATGTGTCCCCGTTCGTATTGAACGATTTCACTTCGTGTTTGTCGGTGCCCACAGCAAAAACCGGAGCGTGTTCATGGACGGAGAGACTGCGGAGCAGGGTCGTCGAACCTCCTGCCAGCAGGGATGCTGCGGAGCTGGTACTCCCAAGATTGCTCGCACCATCTCGGCCATGTTCGAGCTTCAAGGGCGAAGGAGTCGACGATGTCGCATTCAACGTCAGAACGGACTTGTCATTCCGCAGATCCCACAGCTTCACCTCACCATTCCGGCTTCCAGAAATCAGTTCCCGCACGCCACCACGTTGCATGTGAATATTCGTTATCCACTGTCGATGCTCGCGCCAGAGCCTGACCATCGCAGTCCGAGGATTGAGCCGCTGGTCGAAGACGCGGATCACCCCGTCTCCAAACCCTGCGATGAAGATCTGTCCTGCCACCTGGTCGCTAGTCAGGCTGGTGACGCAGCTAGAGCTGCGTGCCGGAATGTCCCCGACGCAAAGCTCCGTCGCGGCGTTCCACACTTTGATAACTTTGACGTCCCCTGCCACGAGCGCTTTGCCCTGCCCTTGTTGCCAGTCAAAGACCAGCCCGGCATTCTTGTTGCTCGGGATCAGCTCCGTCAAGGCTCTGAATGCAGTGATCACCTTGACGTCCGTAGAACTTTGATAGTTCCGATAGACCTTGAGTACCCCGTCGGAACTACCCACCATCAAAAGAGGCTGATCATCCTCATTCAAGAACTTGGCGTCATTGATTCGGCTTCCTGTGGGATTTCCATTGCTGAATCGACTCAGTTGTTCGTTGTTCTGAAAATCCCAAACAGTGACCGTGTCTTTGTCGTCGGTGACGGCAAGGTGGTTGTCAAATTGATGGAACGTCAGCTTCATGGGCTGACTTTGGTTGTTGAGAAACCCTTCGTAGCGAGTCCATTTGGAGCTCCCCGCGACGCTTTTCAGGGGCTGATTGTCGGCGATGATCTTTTCGTTGCGGTTGCGCCGCCAAAGCCTCGAATTGTAGTCGGCAGAGCCGGGCTCGTCCGGGTCATTGGGTCTCATTTGCGGTTCGCGGAAGTATTCGGTGGACCAGTCTAGCAAAGAACTCTGAAGTGGAAAGCCAGGTCGCTTACCCAGGTCTAGAGGAACGAAACCCGCCGAGGTAGGCAGAACGGCAGAGTGATACGTTCCGGGGGTGTTTCTCGCATCAGATGTTTCCGGGGGACGGCTCCACTCAGGTGGGAGGCGACTTCTAGGAGTGTTCACAGGTTGAACCAGTTCTCTCGTTTTGGTGGGAGATGTTTGAGGACTGTTTTCCTTGGAAGAGGCTGACGGGTTAGGAGAGCCCGTACCAAAGGCGAGGTTGCGGAGCGAGCTGCCTGCCCTCTTCAGACTGAGCGACAGGTAGCTCTGCTGCTTCGCCAATGTCGGAGGAGGAGTGCCGGGCTGTTTGTCGACCAGCCTGAGTGAGTCCCGGGATGGAACTTTCTTGACCTGGGACTCTTCCTGTTTCGCGAACCGCAGCAGGTCATCAGTGACCGCCATAGCCTCCTGATTCATGGGCGTATTGAGCAATGTCTCATGCACGTGATCTACAATGATCGAGGCATTCCGCGCAATTTCTGGATGTGGGTCGGCCGACAAGATCAAGATCTGAATCCAAATCGAGCCATAAATTGTGTTTGCAGAGACGGGCATGCACTTGGAAGAGTCGCCACTTCCAAAGCCGCTCGACTGGGACTGCTTGTACGGATGTCTGTCTCTCTCATCCACGAGTTGCTCTAACGCAGCCACGACAAACTTGTTCTGGTAGCGCTTCACAAAATGGGACAGAAAGACAACCAGCTCTTTCCTCACCAACGTGCTGCCATCCGCTGTCATGAAAAGGACCGAAGAGGCAATGCCTTCCTCGATCTGGGACACCTGATCAGTGAGGTCTGGAATGCCGAGGAAGTTGGTTAGAGCATGGAGCATGGCGGCTCGAACTTCGGGAACGGGATCAAGTGACAGTTCACAGAGTCTGGCGTGAGCCATGCAACGGATACCCATCCATTTCGCATCCGCATACTCGCACCACAGCATGCTGAGACACAAACAAGACCATTGCCGGAGCAAGGGATTTTCAGGCTCAGCCATGTTGAGCAAACAGGCATTGAAAAGCTCGGGCAACAGGCAGACTGTCTGCCCCGGAGGATATCTCTTGCAGAACGTGGCGACTATGAATGCACACATGGCTCGATGCTCGCTGGCATTGCCGACCGGGATGTCCGACCGCGGATTCATGATGGAAATAAAATAGTGAATGCCGTTGTCTTTGAGCAAATCGTTCTGCACCGTGTAGTCGACCGCCATGATTCGCGCCCAGATGAAGACCATCACCGGCTTGAGCTCTAACGAGGCTGCTTGGAGAAGCTTCACTACATAAGGGAAGATTCCAATGCTCAAAGCTAGATGAACGGCCCACGGTCCGAGATCCAGGAATTTGCTGAGCAGAATCAAAGCGCGCAGTCGGTGCACTTGGCTGAGGAGAACTTGCAGAACGATCGGCAACTGGTCCGGCGCACGATCTTTGGTAGGGCCCGAGCTGAGATACACCTCGAAAGCTGTAAGCTGCTCCGAGAAGAATGTCGAGTGTTGGTATTCATAGACTCGTTTCCCTTCTTCGGCTTCACGGAGCATGGGAAGCTGCGCCAACACCATCTCCATGGCCAGGTCCCAACTTTGCCAGAGAGGATGTCGGTGTGTCTCTGGCAAGGGTGGCGACGATATAGGGTGGCAATGATTTGCCCTCATTATACGTTCACTCAATAAGAAATTGCGAAACAGTGCTGCAACCATAAGATCTTGACGGAAAAGCTTCTTGAACAAATGTCGTGGCAGGATATTCCAAGCGATCGTGTCAGTGATGGCTGTAAAGATCCAGTTGAGCTCTCCCAAAGGGCTTCGTCTGTCCTGTAACCTGCCGGGAACAGGTATTTTTCCATCTTCAATGGCAGGTCCGTTGGGGAGTGGATTTTGCAACACAAAGTATCTCAGGGCAATATCTATCGGCGTCGTCAAGCAACACGTGAACAGATCAGCGGGCAGATCTGGATTGGTGGGCAACATCTCAGTTCTCCCACAAGCCGCCAACTGGATGCAATCTCCATAGTTCTGGACAGGGGCGTTCGGATCTCGTTTCTTGAGCTCCTCGGCTTCCTTTTCATGCTTGGCCAGAAACGTGTCGAAGTTGTAGACAATATTTCCAGCGTGAGAGACATCATAGACAAACAAACTGGGCCCTCCCAGCCACGCCTGCAGGTCGTAAAGCCCCACCGGGATATACTGAGTGTAGTTCTTGTTGAAGACCCAAATTTCTCCCGAGGGAGTAGGCAGCGGCACGCCGTGGCCGTTGTAGTGAAAAAGCACCCTCTCATCCTTCGCATTACGACGCAAGGAAATGCAAAACCGTTTCGTTTCGTCAATTGAGGGATCGAGGTACTGCTTGTATCTTGTCCGCAGACTTAGGGACTCGTACTGCTCCTGCAGGCGTTTACCGATTTGCTCCATCGTCTTGGTCGTCCCTCCACTACTTCCCGTCGGGTCGACCCAGGCTTCGAGCTTTGCCGTGGGATTCGTCTTGATCACATCAGGAGGGTCCACACCGATGTTGAGACAGATGGCCAAGGCTGCAGAAACGGTCTTCATACGATCTTTCATGCGCCAGTCCACGCTGGGAAACTGTTTGGATTCCTCCGACAACGAACCATTGCTTTCATGGCGCTTTTCCGTGTAGTACATGTAAAATGTCGAGTGTAACAGTGACAGGTATTCGTTCGACGTGTACTCATCATCCCAGCCATGCCGAATGTGCGCCTGCTTATCTTCTCCGGTGGCTTTCGTCGGCGCAAGTCCCTCTTTGCGCCGTGGTCCAAGGTCGCTCTTGGTACGCTGTAGTAAGGCACTGGGTCTCGCTGTCAAGTAGTCTTCCGCCTCTTGAGGTATTATTCTTGGTGTGGACTGCCCGTTTTGCTGTCCTCGACTGGGGGTACTGAGCAGCGACGACTGTTTGAGGACGGAGCTCGAGGGAAAGCGGACCCCATCTTCGAGCATATCGTGAGGTGTAGACTGGTCCCCTTCTTGAGTTGCAGGTCTGCGGCGGTTCACGTCAAGACGCCCCAACCCGCCAGACACTGGGCCATTGTGAGAAGCCATGGTCTCCGCAACGAGTGTATTTAGAACCGGTTGGCGCATGTCCAACGAATCATGGCACTTGGGCACTTGGAGCCCTCATATCACAGTGAGAAGCTTCTCAGGGCGTCGAAACATCGGTAAGATCGACCGCTTGACAAAAATGGCGGTGATTTGAGAGAGATGGCAGCTCACGGGAGAGAACAGACTGGTCGTTCAAGGTCGTCCCTTGAGAATTGCCGACCGGTCTGGGATTCGTGGTAGTTTCGTAGTTTCGTGATTGGATACAGATGGTAACGCGTGCTTAGAGTCATGTGAATTCGGCGCATTCCAAAGAGTAGACCATGCCTGGTGACCACATAGACGCCTGACCAGAAAACCTGCCTCGTGCAAGATGCGGGGAGGCGTAAGTGCCCCAGCCTTGCAGAACCAGCGAGTCACGGTCACGTGAGTATCTCGCAGCCTTACATGTCGGCCTTCACTGCAGCTCTCATCTCTAAACTCGTCCGACATATACGAGATGGGTGCGCCTGCTGATCCTGGTCGCATGTAGTTATTTATTTGACATCCATTCATCTACTTGGGGATCCTTCCTGCCAAACCCCCGTAAAACCACATTCCAGCTCTGACCCCGTATCTAACAGTTCTGCGCTTAACGACCTGGCAATTATAAAACTACATTGAGCTCCTAGCCAGTAGACAGCTCCATGAAACGTGTTTCATCACTGTCATCCGCATATTGGGCTCCCAGAAGGCACAACAACTCCAATAAGACTGTAAAAACAAAGGTCGAGGTTGTGTACACACATTCCCAAACCCTTTCGTTAATGGCACATTGAACATGAATGAACATGGATCAGGATTCCATCAAACGACTGCCGACGTTTCTCTTGTTCCATTTTCCTCCTCTTCGAGTCGTCGTCTCCAGTTGGCGAGATTATCACTCAGCTCTGCCCCATGGCTCTCGGTTGTAGGGGTCCTCTCTGAGTCGAAAGTTGTGCTGAGCCGATAATTGTTCCTGCTCGTACTCTCCCATTGAGACCGGAGCGTCTCAAGTTCGGAAGCCAGGTTGTCCAGTGCGATAGACCCTCGTTCGTCCGGAGACAAGGCGTCATCGTTGACCGAGACATCGGTTAGCGTCGAGGTGCTTTCCTCTCGGTTGTGCCCGGCCACATTGATCCCAGGGGCCACCGGCTGTAATTGCGATTGCCGTCGGTAGTTTCCCACAGACTGTCCCACTTGATCAAGGAGCATTGTCACACGGCTTTCTGCCTCTTCCGCCTGTTTTTCGAGCATGGAATTTTCCGACTTGAGCTGTTCCAGTTCCGTGCTCAGTCTCTGCGCGGTTTGAGAGAGTTCCGCATAGCTGGCTTTCTGCCGATCCCTTTCTGCCTGTATGGTTGCAAGATCCGACTTCAGCGAAGTAATGTTCGCTTCAAGCTGAGCAATTTGCTCGTTCGTCTGCGTCTTCATCTCATCAATGGAAGATTGGAGTTGCCTCCGTTCGTCGTCCCAGGCCGAAGTGTCTGCCGCTGTGCCGGAAGCCGCACTCGTGCTTCGAGCAGTCTCCAATTCGCCCGTCAGCTGAGCGTTCTGGGATTTGTATTTGGTGAGCTCCTCCTTCATCTTCTTCAACATCTTCTCAGTGCCCTTGACGTAGTGTACAGCAGACTGATAATCGTTTTCAAGCTGCTCCAGCTTCTCCTTGTAGGTGCTGTCAGCCTCTTGCATACGAGCCTCGAATTGACTCTTTGTCTCTTCGTGGGCTTTGATACTGGCTTGTAACTGCTGGTCAAGTTCTCGGAGCCGAGCTTGCTCCGGTGTGCCAAAACGAGAGCTGGGAGAGTGATCAAATATGGGCGACCGTCTCACGTCGGAAACGTTCATGCCGCGCTCACCCAACAGATCCTTGAGTGCACTGTGTTGGACCGCGAGTGCACTGGCGTCTCGTTGATGCATTTCGAGGTTAGATCGTAGTTCTCGAATCTCCGCTTGATAGTTTTGTGTATCTCGCAAAGCTGTCTGCAATTGTCGCCGAATCTGGAGCGCCTCGCGACTGGACTGCTCTTGGTACGCCTCCAGCCCGGCAATCCGCTCTTCGGCATTGCGAAGCTTCTGTGCAGCCTTATCCGCAGCTTCCTGATTGCGCTTGGCCAAATTCGAAGCTTGCTCCGCGGATTCGCGAAGAGCTGCCATCTTCTGCTCGGCCACAGCGTCTTGTTGAGAGCCGGTGTCGGAAGATGACAGCTTGGCTAGACCGGCGAGAAGGGCCTCGCGATGAGTCGCAGCTTCTCTGGCGTGAGTCTCAGCCAACTCTTCGGCATCATGCAGCCGCTTCGTGACGGATTCTAGTTCCGTGGTCCTGTCCTCATGCTCGGCTCTCAGTTGAGATAGCTTTCTCTCAGCAACTTCTCTTTGACTGCGTTCTTCCTCAATTTGGCGTTCGTAAAGGCTTACTTTGCTAGTTGATGCGGCAACGGCGGCTTCCAAAGCTGCCATGGAGGCAGTATGACTCGCTAGCCGAGACGCTGCGTCCTCGTGTGTCTTCGCCAAGCTGTCGTGATCGATCCGCAGTGTCCGCAACTCTTCTTCAACTTCAGCTCTGCGGCCTGCCTCGGCTCGAGCTAAGCTCTGAGCCTCGTGTAGTTCCGCGCGTAGACCTTCAAGTTCTGCCGGATTTCGATTCTTGCTCAGCTCATCGTAGCGGAGCTGCAGGGCGTCCATAGACTCTTCTGCTAACTCTCGAGCTTTTCTCTCAGAAGCAAGCTCGTTGTTCAAAGAATCAAGTTTAGCTTTGTGCTCAGACTGTGCAGCGAGAGCCAATGCGAGGCGGCGTGTAAGGTCCGTGAAACGTTCCTGCTCATCGGGTTCACGCGTCGCGTCCGGCTGAGGCGTACTGCGCTGGCTTCCGCCATGAGCCGCAAGCTTGGCTCTTGCGTATGCGGCTTCTGTGACGGCGGCGTCGCGCTGATGTTCGACCTCGGCGATTCGTCTTGCCATGGATGAGGCTTGTGACTCCATAGCCTCTTGCATCTTGACAATCTCGGTCCTCATCATCATGAATGCTTCCATGAGCGGCCGATCGTCATCCGCAACTTGGCTGACGGCACGATCGTCGAAAGTAGGGCTGGAGGAGGTGCCAGGGTGGTAGCCTTGCTTACGAGCCAGGGCCAATTCCGAGGCATACCAGGCGTTCGTCTTTTTCGCGGTTTCCAGCTCCTTCAGTAGCGCCTCTTGATGGGCATTCATCTTGGGAGATTTGGGCTCATCGCCTGGCATGCTACGTAAGCTTCGATTATCACCTTGTGGTTCCCCATGATGTCTGCCCGATGACGAGCGTCCCAACAACCCGTCCTCGGTGCTATCAATGGAGCTCTGGGCTCTTTGGGATCTTAGTGATCGTTGTCTGGCAACCCCGCTACCCATGAGAGGAGCTGCTTCACCTGCTTCCATGGCTTTTGCTTTTGACTCTGTCCGTTGAGTTGGAGTCCTGCGGCCAAAAGTGCTCGGACTGCCTTCCCGGCTAGGTCTGATATTCTCTTTTTGAACATCTCTCACTGCCGGAGGTTGTATCACCCCATCTGGAGGTGCGGTTCGAACTCCATCAGGACCAGCTGCAGCACCCCTTGTGTCGAGTGGAGGGCCATTGTACCTCGCCTTCGGCCCGTTCGGCGCATTTGGAGGAGAATGGACACCATTTGCACGTGGTGTTGGCGCTTGTCCTTGAGGTGGAGGTCCAGCCGGCGCCTGTCCCATGGAGGCCCGTGGTAGTCGTGACTGTGCGTTGTTTTGGGCGGCGGGGTCTGGCCGTTGGACCGGACCACCTGAGAACTGTTCGCGAGTTGCATTCTGACTCCTTGCCCCTTCTCGAGATGTTGAGCGGATGGGCATCACAGACCTGGCTTCCGTGCTTGGTCGTCTAGTTGGGCTGCTGGGCTGCCTCGAATCTGCAGGCTGGCCGGTGGCTGGTGCATCGTTTGGATACCTAATCTTTGCGGTGTCTAGTACGTAAACCATACTGAGCTCTGCAGGATCTCGGGGCGCGGAACTGGGCTCCCCAGCGAGAACGATGATCTTGTCGCGGTACGCTGTCATACTGTGACCAGACCTAGGTGAAGGCGACGGGCCCATGTTCTGAAAGGTGTACCATCGCTTTGATGAGATGCGGAAGGCCGCCAGATCACCAAGATCTGTGCCTTCTTCAGTCCTACCGCCAAAAATATACATGACGTCGTTGACCAAAGCGGCGGAGTGGCCTTCACGGGGCGCAGGAATATATCCAATGCAGTCTTGCTGCGTCCAGACATTGGCGACGGGACTGTAGGTCCAGACGTCGTTGAACCATTGAGTGCCATTGGTGCCTCCAAATCTATAATCGCATTGATTAGACAAAATCCCACCGACCATTGGGGGTCACTTACAGGAATAACTGGTCGTTATAGCTGACAATGGTGTGATTCGTTCTTGCAGCAGGCACTTTCGCGGTCGGGCCGACAATGTCGTCGCCCGTGTTCTGCAGCAGAAACTCCCACTGGTTTTGGGGGTTTTGTAAAGCGTTCAGATCGAAGGCTATTAAGTCATTGAAGAAGTAACCCTCAACCTGACCGCCAAATATGTATATTTTGGAGCCCAGGATATTGAGGGTATGGCCATACCGCCCAGAAGGCCTTGGACCCGGAGGCGATGCCCGGGACCACTGTCGAGAAGCTGGAGGATATGAGCAAGGCCCACTCACAGAGGAACGCGATATCAGTCCACTTACAAGTATTAAGCAGGTACAAAGTGTCGTCAAGCACGTCGTTATCATCCATCTTGGTATCACCACCAAAGACGATGAAAGCATTGCCAACCAGCAAACTTGCGTGTCCGACGCGGGGGCCGGGTCCTTCGGACACTGTTGCGATGGGATAACAGGAGAGATTTCCACCGCCAGACTCGACCATCCACAAGTCGCCTCGGACCATGGAACCATTGATGAGGCCTCCCATGATATAAATGTCACCATCTTTTGAGGCAATCGCGTTCACGGCCGCACCGTAGCGAGGGAAAGGATTGGACTGCGGAGTAGGGAAATTCAACCGCCGCTGCGACCAGGGATACAGGGCAGCATTGGGAACTTGAGTCGGCTGTGAAGCCGTTGAGGGTCGTGTCTGCAGAAGAACCATTGTCAGTGTTGCCATTCAATCCCCATACCAGACAAGTGTTGACGAACCCCAGATTCTGATTCTGATCTTTCGCGCCGCGGGTAAGCGGGACCACCGACCAAGGTCGAGTTCATTGAACTGATGGATCCATTCGGATTGGAAGAGGGATTAGAATTAGGAGGAGGGGATTGCGTTGATCTCTCGCCTGTGCTATCTATTGAACCGTTCGGGCCCGAAGAGGCAGGGGTGGGAGTGCCGTCGGAGGTATGAATATTTCGACTGGCAGGGGGTAAGCCCGACGCGGGCGGCGCGTTCCTCCTGCTTTTGAAGAGAAACGCCATTGTTCGTGGTGTCGCAGTGTTGAGACTCGGGAGGCAGGGCCAGATGAGACACGGTATATTAGATGCGCAGGACTTGCGCGGAGCGAATCATCCACCTCATTCAAGCACAATCCATCATCTCGGCAGACACCGAGGGGCGGCCAGAAAGGACGGGAACCGTATTCGAGGACCGCGGCCGCGACAAGGTCGATGGGTTTTGCCAGGTGGTCGATGTGCTCTCTGCCAGATGCAGTTCTGGCTGCCAAGGGTAGGCTTATGCAGGCACCGGAAGCCCCCCAATTAATTCCAACGCGATCCAAGCTGGTGGACGCGCTCGTGCAGAAGAAGTCAGTGCGGGAAAAAATCGCCAATCCGAGGCAAGGGCCCAGTACCACACGGACAAGTGACAAGGAGAAACAGAAGCGACAGGAACAGAACTGGTGATGATGATGGCGACGAGGAAGAATATGGGCTCAGGAGAATAATTATTTCGGTCGAACAAGAGCAGTGTCGCCCACTGCGCAGCCCTGGCACCGGCCGATCGAGAGACTACTGGGCAGTTTGGCACCCACGGCACCCTTGGAGGGATTGAGGGCCCCCCGGGATGCTCCAACTTCCCAATCCCGGGCACCAAGCCATGTTTCAGGAGGCTGGTTAGAGTCTAGCCCCGAGATGCTCACCGCTAACCGGCTCCTCTTCCATGCGTCTCTGGCGCCCATGAGGCCCTAAACAAGCAGCTCAAAAATATGTTCCCCCCTTATTATGCATTTGATCTTCTGCTAGGTCTCCATCCTATGGCTGCAGCCTCAACGTTGACGCCGTGGCAGGGAAAGACAAACGCCACACTTCCCTTGTTCGTGGTGTTCGCCGCCACCCATCATGATGCTATCTCAGCCGCAAGTTTGCGGCTAGTGAGGCTCTCTGCGTTCTTGTGCCTTGGTTGAGGAGAACTTCCTTTCTGGTAAGGTTTCCGGGGCTGACGATTGCGGCACGTGATTGTCGATCGGCCTTTACCAGGATGATTGGAGGACTCGTTTACCACCTTGACGACATCCATCGCCTTGAACAAGCCCTCCAAACGATATATGTCTGACCATAGACAAATCATCACGACGAATCACTGCTTGGTACCGGCTGCCAGCCAACATTTGTGTGCATCCTTTACAAAACTTACCTGACTCACCGGACTCCTGCTGGTCACCTGGACTCTTATCAGTCGGAGTCGAGATCATTGCATATCCAGTTTCACCAGCGCTGTCCCAGATCAAACTGATGCCGGATACGACGTTGCCAAACCTCCAGCCCTTCCTGGTAATCTAAACAGTGCTCTTGGGCGGCGCTCTGGTCTTGGGGACAGAACAAAATAGTTTAGACACGCTACGCTCTAGAGGGGTATTTCGCAGAGTGGAGTGATAAGTCTTTCAAATACGAAACCCCCAAACTCTGACATATCCCGGAAGTCCGAGGTTCCACAAGAAAGGAGAAGTGTATAGCCTTGTCCACCTCCCCCACCAGCCTCGCGACACAAAAGGAGTCAGAATTGAAACCAAAGGAACGAGTATCAACACCGCCAGAATGGCAGATGACGCCCCAACCCAACCTGAATCCTCTGCCGAGGTCGACCTCAAAACCTTTGTTGCGCAGATGCCCAAAGCGGAGCTGCACGTTCACCTCGAAGGGTGCCTCACACCTGTTCTTGCCCGCGCCCTCGCAGCACGGAACAACCTGCCTGTTCCGCCGTCTCTCGCCCACATAGAACCGTCTCACCCGGAGGCGGGCTACGCGTTCAATGACCTCTCCTCCTTCCTGCAGATATACTACCCAAACATGGCCGTCCTGATCACGGCAGAGGACTTCTCCGACCTGGCCCTGAGCTACCTCCGCATCGCGCACTCCCAGAACGTAAAGCACGTCGAACTGTTCTTCGATCCGCAAGCCCACACGTCGCGTGGCGTGCCCTTTCCGACCGTGGTCCGCGGCTACCGACACGGGATCGTCACCGCACAGCGGACGCTGGGGATCTCCGCGAGTCTGATCATGTGTTTCCTCCGCGACCACAGTGCGGAGTACGCCATGTCGACCCTCATGGAGTCGCTCCCGTTCAAGGACAGCATCATCGGCGTCGGCCTGGACAGCGACGAACGGGACAACCCTCCCAGCAAATTCGCGTCCGTCTTCCAGCGTGCCTCCCGCGAGGGCTATCTGCTCACTATGCACTGCGACATTGATCAGCCCAACACCCTGACGCATATTGGACAGGCGATCAACGAGATCCAAGTGGACAGGATAGATCACGGCACGAACATCATTGACGCTCCAGGACTGGTCGACACGATCAAGACCCGCGGCATCGGACTGACTTGCTGTCCAATCTCCAACTCCGTTGTCACTGCTGATTTCAAAGGGCGAGAAATTCTCAACCTCCTGCGACAGGGCGTCAAGGTCACCATCAACAGTGATGACCCAGCCTATTTCCGCGGTTATGTGAATGAGAATATGTTAAAGATAGCCGAGGGGACCGATGTGACGAAGAAGGAGTTGATTCAACTCCAAAGAAATGCGTTCATGATCAGCTGGATCTCGAGTTGGCGGAGGAATCATTTCTTACAGATGTTGGACGAGTATGAGAGAAAGATGTTAGGCAATGTAGAGGGAGAAGCTCTGGTAAACGGAGTTTGATGACTGCTGACCTAATCTGTAACCGCCCGAAGGCAGCAAGTGACATGGCCAAAGGGTATCTTTACGCTAATAAACATAGAAGTCAACATCGGCATTTGCGTGAGTTCCTGCTCTGGTCTTTTTCACAGCCACTAATCCGACATTTTCGTGGTAAATTCGACCTCGCCAAAGAACGTCGCCCGCAGCTGCACACTTGCTGCAATCTCGAGAATAAACTCTTGAAGAATGATGGCATTGGTCAATATATGGCTGAGACTGACCTGGTTCCTCGAGCCCAACGACCAGGCATCTGGACCGCTTGGAGTTGCAGTTCCGGATGCGCCACTCGCGTCCAACAAGACGGGACGTTTATCACCAACAGGGCTTGATGTCTGCTTGCGGCCTGCATGTACGGGTAGGGATTCAGAAGCCTCTTCCGGTGCCTTGAAATTGAAGAGCGCAACTTGTGTCTTCAGAAGCGGCATTGATGGCGGTGGCACCAAAGATGGCGGCTGCTGAGCTGATTCCTCGCTTTCCTCGTATTGTGTTGGGACTGATTGTCGAAGGGGCGAATGACCGACTGTGTGCTCAGTGGTGCCGGCCCGACGCGTTTCTGACTTGGACAAAGCAGTGTCGATGGACCCAAAGTCCTTCGTCGCTATCTTCCGCCCTCGCGGAGTTATCGGTGGTGACTGAGACTTTCCAGCAGAAGGCGAGACGCTTCTGGTGCCTGAATCAGTCTCCCTATGCTGCCATGAGGAAGTCCTTGGATTCTGAGCAGCGGTGAGCGGGTCATCCTCTGACAGTTCCAGTCTTCTTCGAAAGATAAGCTCATCCCATTCAGGGAATTGCGAACGCCATTGGCGTACTTGCTCAATAAGTTCGCCAACAATGAAGGTGACGTTGGTTGTAGAGCAGTCTTCACTATTCGTGTCCTTCCCTGAGCGCAGGAGCCACCCCTGCAGGTTCATATGCTCACAGGCAGCCAAAGCCATGACAGCCTCAGTCAGATAAAGGTTCGTAACTGTGTCATTCGCAAAAAAGTTTCGAAGTAGCGTGAGTAGAGCTTCGAAGAGCTTGCACTCTTGGGCAATGGACAAGTCTTGTTCGTCCGTTCCCTCCACGTCCGCTAGGTTCATACGCAAGCAGCTGTGCTGCTCCAGGAGAATCTGCTCGTCTAGCAAGGCTGCCTGATATGACTCGTCCATCTCGGAACTGTTGGCTATCGCAGCAGCATAATCAAACAATTTGAGCAAGGAGCTGTTCAGCCGTTCAACCCCGTGTTGGCCTGGAGACGCAGACGTGGGTTCAAGCTTGAAGAGACTGGTGAGAACGTGGCTGTGATGGTTCTGAATGATGACTGATAAGAGCTTGAGACAAGCATTGACAGTTTCCGAGTGTCGTGATCTGAGGCTCATTACCATCAAGTCGAGGAGATTGAAAAGATTTGGAGAAGGGCTGTCGGCGACTTCTGCAAGGGCTCTCAAGTGATCAATAGACTTTCGTCTACTAACAGACATCCTCTGTCTTCGATGGCTTCTTTCTGTAGGCCCACGGGGCATACTCGGTGACGCCAGAAGGTAACGTAAGATGCGGTCCACAAGCTGATCGTGGTCAAGAGCAAGGAGGATACGGGATAGGTGGGTTATGACCGCGGCGGTAGAGCCACCCTCGACATCCGATGACTCCAAGAGCGATGGATAAAGGAGCTGTTGGACAAAAAGAACCTGGAAATGGTCGAGCAAAGTATCACTGACTTCCGCTGACTTGCAGTGGTTCAAGGTATCCTGCCAGAACGCCAGATAGGTGAAGAAGGCCTTCATGTCCTGCCGAAAGACTTGCGGTACCGCAGTGAGTGACGCAGGTGGTTCTGAGCAATCCGAGAGGCAGACAATAGGAGGTGCGGCGACTTGGCCACCAAGGGGAGTCGACTGTCTGCTGAGCCTGCTGTATAGGGCACCCAGACCACTAGCCATCTGGGGTGCCAGATCACTCTCGAGCATCCATGTTTCCAATGGCTTAAATTTGGAGGCGGTTTCCGTCAGGTATAACAACGCTGTGCGAGCAAAGTCGCCCACCGGCCCGTCGTGATGGACATACTGCACCAGCACATGAAACAATGGGAATTGACTTCTCCTAGAGTCGTCTGCCGCATTGCGTCCACGTGTTGGCTCTCGGTCCGGATAGAACCAAGCTGGAAGAATGTCTGGGTCGAGCCGAATCTTGGTAGCGATCTCGAATAGCAATTCCACCAGGTCTGTCTCCAGACGTTCTTCGACGATAAGCCTTCCTCCTATTGTAGCAAAGCATACTAGGTCCAACAAAGACCTCGTGAACAGCTTGCTGTCCAGCAACCCTTCGGCCTCGCCATTAATGAGGATATGGAAGAGTTGTGCAGAGGACTTGATGATATCGGCATTGGCAGAGGAAACGGCGAGCTTCGTGATTATGATGTACACCTGGTTCGAGGCGACATAGCGGAGGCAGGAGTGCGGTGCGGCTCTGCGCGACTCATCGTGGAGAATGCTCTCGAGGCGTTGGAGGAGTTTGACAGTGTAGCTCAATGCGGCTTCGTCATCGCGCTCGACGCTGCCGCTGCGCCAGGTGTGCTTCACAGCGTCAATGAGACCAAGTTCGTTGAGAGGAGGGGCGCACTCACTGTCAAGGCATTGCAGATGCTCTTGCAAGATGCAAGGCGCTCAGCTGGTGTATTTGTCCTTTGTTTTGTTTGGTACGAGCCAGTACCGGCAATCAGGCGAGTGAGCTAGCCAGCCATCTTGATGTTAGACCGCTCAATTTCTCGCAATGCACGCGTGTTGGGTAAGCAACTCACGATATCCATGCCTTTTGCCTCATTTTGAAACGAACATTGGGATAACAGGTATGTCTGATGGTGATGTCGAAGCAAGAAGCCAGATGAAGAAATGGATTTGAATCAGCAAATGTCGGAGGCGTCCCTGTGACTAACTAGCCCAATGTTTTTGTCGTGCCTCCCTCGCTGAGACCAGCAGCCGCTCTTTCTGCTGGGTTCCTCGATGGATAAAGGACTACCTTCCCCTACTGTCCTTGTGCTCTCCTCCTCTGCCACAGCGTTCCTCAATTACTAGACTCCATTGTACCACTATTGAGTCAGCCCGGCGCGAAAGCAGCGGCATTTAACATCGGATTATTATATCAGAGAATCTTGGTTGTATTTCCACCGCCATGGAGGGCCCTTCAAGTCTGAAAGGCCCAGGTGTAACCTTCAAGTCATCCACAACACCTGCAGTTCGAGCACTTGGGCAAGAATCCGGCAAAGAGGAGGAACTCGACAGGATACACGCCCAACCGGGACCCTTTGACTCCCACGGTGTCATCAAACCATCCAAAACGCACACGGGATTCTTCTCTGAGCACGGCCACTCCCTCTCTCACGTCCGACCCATTACCAAGCATCCTGGTTCATCGGTCACAACATTCTTCAGTGGTTTATTCACCACGATCATCGGCATATCGACGCTCGGTGCCAGTATTACCTTCTCCTATGTCTTGTCCAATAACACCTCCACCCCACGAGCAGGAAAGCCAGTCTTCAGGGTGGAACAGATACAAGAGTTCCTGGCCATCAGCTGGCTCTTATTCCTTCTTGCGTTGACTATAGCCTCACTTGGCTCGACTATCTTGACCTTCTTCAAAGACCATTGGATTGCAGACTGGGACGGGCTGAACGGGAAAACTTCGCAACAGAGTGTTCAGAGGTACGCTATGGTTGCTGCTGGACTGATGGGCGGTCTCATTATCGGTGCGTTCGTGTTGCTGTGCCTGGTGGTTGTTGCATACACCGCTGTGGTCGGCTGGATTGCCTTGGGGTTTACCAGCCTTGTTGGAGTTATCATCTTTCTGGCACTGATGAATCAAGCTCCGTGGCCGTGGCGGAATAACACGCCGTCTCCGAGCCGAAGACATCGCAGCGCAGGTGGCCACGACGAACGTGATACCGAGGAAGGACCTTGATGGGTGGGTCAAGAAAGATGTGTTGTGCGATACGTGATCGTGAAGTTTTGGCGGACAGGTATACCTGTCTTCACGCAGCAGTCTTTCTCTCCACAGCTGCAGCTCCGGCAAAATAACCAGCTTGTTAAGGTCGTCTTCATAATCATACAAAACTCTTCATAGCTCATCGACCGAGTGGTTTCACATCAGTCACTTTCATCATCAGTCTCCACTTTCCGCTTCTTGCCTCCCTTCCCCTTGCCTTTGGGTTTGATATCTTCTTCGCTGTCTTCACTCTTAGCCTCCGACTTGGCCCTGCCTTTCTTCGAGCCTTCATCGGGGATGGCCTGACAGATCTCGTTCAAAAAGTCGAACTGCCCGTCTTTCATCAGCGCGGCCTTGAGATGCTGTGCTGTAACTCGTTTCGAATTATTTGCTCTGGCTTCGGCCGCGCCCTTGGAGACAAGAGTGATCATGAACAGCTCCAGCGCTTTGGCTATGTAAGGGTTAGAATAACGGAGGGGGCTGCGGAGAATAGATCCCAGAACTCACAAACTGCCGTGGGTGTGGCTTGGGCAACTTTGCCGACATCTTCGTCTGCTTGCATGATACGCTTGATGCGTGCAACAGGGAATTTGGTCCTCACATCGATCCCGAATGCAGGGTCTGCCGTGGCGACGGGCATGACTGGTTGTACAGGTTGGACTTGCTCTACCTTGGGCTGGATAACGTTCCTTGTTGCTGCATTTAGGTTGTATTCTTGTTCCAGCGCCTCGGCGGCTTTTTGTTGCCGGGTTCGAGGCATGTCTCCGTAAGGGGAGACGGGAACAGCCGACTGTGATGGCTGGCTCTGGCCTGTGCTCTGACGAGGCTCAAACGCAGATTGAGAGTAGTAGGACGATGGCGGACTACTATATGCCTGACCCGACTGTTGAAATTGACCAGGTGGACAAGGTTGAGTGGGAGTCTGGCCTGGCAAGCTCGGCGTGCGGAAAGTTTGAGAAGAAAAGTGGGCTTGAGAGCTTTGTGGTTGAGGGCGTGAGCCAAAATACGACGTCGACGGGGTGGTGGATGTCGCTGTTGACGGGGAAAAAAAGGGCGAGGCGTCGTAGCTGCCTCGTGGAGTGTATGAATAACCCGAAGAGAAATTGGGATCTGGTGTGTGGTAGCTTGGGATTCGGGTTAGCCTGGGCAGTGGGGCGTTTGCAAAGGTGAAGCCTGATAAATCTGGACTGGAAGGACGGTAGGATGACTCGGAGTTGGAGTTGTCGTGTTCTTCATTCATTGCTCGGCGAATGAAGGGTGCAGCTGGATGGTGGTGCAGAAATCCCGGGGTAATATTTGGTCAGTACCTCGTACTAGTAGTATTGGTGACGGTGAAGTGGAGCGTGTGCAATGGGCAACAAGTCATTTTGAATGGGCAACAGGGTCTGGGTGATTCAGACCGCGCCGACCTCCATTGTTGACGCTGGGAATGACAGGGAGGGAGGAATATGTGAAGGACGGACCAGTCAAGCCGTCACGTTGGTCGAGGTTGATAGAGGGCGAAGTGGTACAGTGCAAAGTGCAGTGCTGGTATCAAGCGGTACTATTCGATACAACAATGACGATGACGACAGGGAGGTCGAAGCGAAAAGAGGGGTCACGTGTGTGGGAAAAGGAACAATATAAGTCCGGAACCTGGGTGGGATGTTGTTGTTCTGAGCAGACGAGTCATGCGATTCAGAGACGTGCAGCGGAGGGGTCGGAGGGGCCTTATAAAAGCTGAGGTCAAGGCCTTGCAGGCGTCCAGCATCCGCTGATCAGATCAACAGGCCCGGAAACACGCTAAGTATGTGGGCCAATCAATTGAGTCGCGTGCAATAATCATGGCGCCCTGCCATTTTTTCGCGAATCCACAATCCCACCACACCTGCGCTTTGCAAACTTTGCTATCCATGGACGCATACTGGGGCCCCTGCGTCCGAATGACCCTTTTTCTGCAAATGTCCTACTGTATGTCCCTGCGAACAGAACGACAATCCACTTTGCCCCCCGTCCCCTTTGAAAACTACGGGACGAGCTTAATCAATGATCAGACGCGCGTCCATGATACGCGCGCTTTTGCTTCAGCAAGACCAATGAGAAGAGCAATGACAAGGAATGACACTCTAGGTGCCCTGCAGCCTCGTTGAATCACCGATTGCCAAGTGATGACAGAGCAATCTGGAGATGGTGGTTGAAGACAATTCTGCAAAGCGACAACCCAGCCAACGTGGCCGTGGTCGTTGTCCTGCTAGTCCAACTGTCATCGATGAAAGACCTTTCCAAACTTGATCTAATCTGATGGCATGACTGGATTCAACCGAGATGAAAGGCAGAGCCATCGCACATTACAAACTCGAGGCGAGGCTAGAGGACTGAATGAACTCGGTCATGATGTCCAGCCCCTTCAGACGCTCGTCTCGAGTCTCTCCAAGGAACAAATTCACAACAGGCCAGGCATGAATGCCTGCTTCTTGCTCAAGAAGTTTGACTATAGCGCCATTCTTCTTCATGTGCTCAGCCATAGCTTGGATCCCAGGTGCAAAGACCTCTTCAGCCCCGTAGATGATCCGGAACCCATTCAGTGGTGAGGCCTGTTTCCAGCGCCCGGTACAGAGTCCTGGCGATATTATACCGTCACTCATTGTCGCCTCTCCCGCATACTGCTTTGCGTACAGATGCAGGCTATTTCGATCCAGGTAATCACTGGGTGTGTTCCGGTTCAATTCGGACACCAGATGAGTCCAAGGCGAAAGCAATATAGCTAAACCTGGTCGACGTAGCGCCTGCACTTGAGGATCTTGTTCAAGATGGCCCGGCTGGAGGAGCATGCTCAGGATAAGTGTTGCCCCTGCCGAGTCACCACTCACGCAGATCTTCGCTGCCGAACCATCCCCGAACGTGTCTCGAAGAAAAGTGTACCCAGCACGCGTCTCATTAAATTGGACCGGCCACTGCGCATCCGGAACGAGGGTATATTCCAAAGCGAACACCGCAGGGTTTTTGAACCCACTTTCTTTCAGTCGAGTTGCCCAGGCCATGAGAAACTCGAGATAGAAATATGTCGAACCCATGGAGAACCCGCCGCCTTGAAAAAAACATCAGCTGACTTTGTTGCCAGGCGAAAGACACCCGTGACTGACCATGAGCATAGTAAATGATGATATCAGGGTCGCAGTCTGGATCATCCACGATCCACAGACCTCTGGCGCCGTGTCTAATGACCTCTCGATAAAACATGGGGCAGTGCAGAAATCCATGTCGCAACAGACGGAACCGAAAGAATGGATATGCGACCCATTTGGAAAAGAAGGCTCTCCCTACACGGGCAGGGATCTGTGCAAAGGCATATCTAACGCAGTGAATAACCACGTCCTGGAAGAGCGTCGCATGTTGTGAGAAGGGCGAACGAAGGTGTCTTCTGGTGCAATATCGTTCGCATACAAGCTGGTATGGAAGGTGGAAAACTGTCTCCCGGGATCAGTGTCTGTTGCGATTTTTCTAGAGTCATGGAGTTTCCGCACTCAGGAATGGGATTACTCTGAGGATCACACCAATTAAATCGCCAATGTCTACTTGGTAAAGCAGCTGTGGAATTAAAAACAGGACAAAAGCGACGCAATCAATTCCGCTGACTGGTCCTAAGATCATCGTGGTCTATTTGTGTAGCATGAGTGAGGTTGGAATACTGAAACTTTGGCCGACCTTTTGTATATTTTATCCTGCCCTCGGACATCTACTCTGTCAGAAAAGGTGGTACGAGGATGATTGGAGTCTATTCTAACTAAGTCCATGCAGAAAGTGTAAGCGTCAGAGAATCTAACAAGCATCGGAGTGGGATTTCAGCCATTTCATGCATTTCTGGTGGGCAACTCAGCCGAAAGATTTGGGGTCCAAGGACGCTAGCTTGATCTGTCTTAGCGGAAGCTGGAGACGCTCCTGCAGCCGCGACAGCCCTTTTTTTTGCCTTTCGGAGGCTTCGTCTAGGGCCCTTAGGCTCTAGGCTCTGGTGGCTCTCAGCCTGGCTCCCGGGCTGCGCAAAAAACACCACCTGGTGCCGCTGAAAACTTCCTCGCCATCACCACCGTCTGAGTTTGACACGCCTTATATACCTTGACGCTGATATGCTTGTGAATCTATGGTCATTTATAGTCTAGCGATTGTGTCACAAGTGACTGGCGACGCCCCTGCCTCCTGTCCTCTAATGGCGTTTGATCTTTCCATTCCTTCGTCGACATCGCAAGCCTGGTCCAGTCCCTCACCATCAACGAGAGCCAGCTGGTCTGCATACCCTCTTCCAACATGGCCGCCGTTGCATTAGACGCTTCTTTGGCCAATGTCCTGAGGTATGTTTAGACACTTGATGTGTCTGGCTGGTTGTCACTGACGTTTGTAGTTCCTTGGATTTGGACAAAGTGCCCGAGAAATTGAAATGCACGCGCTGCCACAACTTCAACCTCAATCCGTACAAGACGTCTTGTTGCGATGTCGGCATCTGCGAATCATGTTAGTAGCACCGCGAGCTCTTCCACTTGGCATTTGACTTAGACCAGACAGGCTTCAGCACTACCCGCGGCTCCAGTTGTCCAAAATGCGAACATTCACCATTTACCGATGACATCTGCAAGCCGAGTAAGGCCATGCAAAAGACCATCAAGGTGTACCTCAAGACACAAGAGAAGATGAAAGTGGAGGAGCGGGCCAAATCCGATGGGCAAGAGGAGGCAATCCTCCCATCAGACACTGGCAAACCCGTCGTGAACGGTGGCAGCCAAACAGACGGGGTTGTGGCAGGGGTGCTAGAGGAGCAGCCACCAGGAGACACCCCAGAGAAGGACGAGACGCCTGCTGTCGATGTCCAGCCGTCTATCGAGGTAATCGCTCAACCTGCAATCCGTCGATGACCACTTTTTCTAATTTTCCCATTTTTAGGAACCTGACCTTGAACCGGCCGATAACGACGACGATATTGAGATCCAGGTGGAAGCCGAGGATGAGCATCTCCAACCACTTCCCACCCGAGTCAAGAGTACAGAAGACACTCCTCAACCCCAATCCGTCAACTCGTTCGAGAACAAACCGAACTCACAAGATGTGAGCAAAAGTAACACCGAGGGTTTCAATGGCATGGACTTTTCAAACATGATGAACGGGTTCGGCAACATGGATTACAACCAGATGATGCAAATGATGACGGCGAACGGGATGGGCTTCAATCCAATGATGGGTGAGTTCGACCACTGTCTCAAGGCGCCACCACATTTTCTGACTGCGCTTCAATAGGTATGCCTATGGGAATGAATCCAATGTCAGCTGGCATGTTTGGCGGATTTGGCGGTCCAAACGGAGGCATGAACATGAATGGGATGAATGGCATGAACATGGCTATGAACTACAATGCCAACCAAGGAATGTATGGCTGGGATGGCCAGAACAACAATATGTGGCAGAATAATAATGCAAATGCATTCCCGAATGGCATGGGCAATGACTTCGGTTCCAACTATGGTTTCAATATGGGCCCCTCTGGCAACTTTCAACAGCCCTATGCCTCTGGTGATTTTCAAAACGGCTACCACGGCCGCGGCTATGGCAGAGGCCGTGGCCGTGGCCGTGGCGGCTTTGCGAGAGGTCGGGGTAACTTCAACCAATACTCGCAATACCAGCAACAGGGATATCAAAACTGGCCCGGTCAGAAGCAATTCGATAACCGCAACGGGCAGCCTCCAATGATGCAAACCAGCTCCGCTGACGAAGCCGCCGCCGATGAAGAACGCCACGACAGCACCCATGATCCCATCGACGAGAGTCATGAAGATGATGAATTCGCTCCTGGTGGGCAGGAAGAGGTTCAAGAGGCCCTTGGAGAAGACTACCAGAAGACTGCGAGCACCACCGCTCCTCCTGAAACTTCCGCTGTTGCAGATGGTCAAGCTGTGAAAGAGGTGAAACCTGCGTCGAAAGATGAGCCTGCGGATGTTGACACAGTGAATGTGACAGCCAGGACCGATGACCCAGAAAATGTTTCACCACCGGTCTCGGAGCCTGTGAAAACAGCTCCAGCAGAAAAGCTGATACCGGAAGCTTACAGCGAGGACCTGCAAGGCCCAATGCCACCACCGTCGGCGCCACTTGGTCCTTCGGCTCAATATGGTGATCATGGCTTCCGCTCCCGAGGACATGGTAGATTCTCTTCTCGCGGCCGTGGCTCCATTTCGATGCCAAATGGCCATCTTACTCCGCCAGTAAAGCCACTTCCGCAGACATCTTCTCCCGTGGAATCAAAGGGGGTGGGCGTCCTCGGTGCGCCAACAGGTCCTAGAGCGATGCGTGAACCAGCTGGACCGGTGAGGCCACCGTCGCGACCTGCCGCAGCCGGGTTTCAAATCATGGGAAGAGCGTCGATGCCGGCCCCTCCGCGTTCGGAGTCTCGAGATGTCGAGAGAAGTCGTAGCAGGACCCCTGAAAAAGACACGGACAGGTCCAGACGGCAATCCGTTCAGGACAAGATGGCCAACTCGAAATACGAAGGAAAGGGGCAAGACGAGGCAGATTATCGTGACTCCGAGAGGGCATCCAGGAAATCATCAAGACGCGGTACATATGATGATTATGATCGGAGCGAGCGAGAACCTTCCTATGCGGAATCGGATTCTGGTGATCACAAGTCGACTTCGCGACGCAGTCGAGGCAATAAGGAGAGAGCGTCAAAGCAGCAGTCATCTCGCTCTTCGCGGCGACATCACGACGGAGATGTTAATGGCGACTACGAAATGAACGATTACAATGATTCGACAAGGTCCAATCGAGACGATTACGAGGTAGATACTAAGAGCAGACATCGGAGTAGCAAGTCCTCTCGATACGACGACAGGGATCGGGACAGGGATCGGGATCGGGATTGGGAGCGAGATCGAGATCGAGATAGAGACCGCGATCGAGACCGAGACCGAGATCGTGACCGTGACCGTGACCGTGACCGTGACCGTGATCGTGACAAGACGCGAACCAAAGAGCGAGATCGGGAGAACCGAGACGACAAACACAGAGATCGGGACCGTGACCGTGATCGTGACCGCGATCGCAAGCGCTCTCGACATGACCGCCACCGTGAAGACGGGGAGAAGCACCAGGAGTACGACTACGACTATGATCACGATCAGCAGAAGGATGAAGCCGTGGATGAACCCGAGTCGCGACATCGCTCCCGGCGTCACAAGAAAGATCATCGTCGCGAAGTCGAGGATCCGAACGGCATCGATGGCTCAATGGTCAATGGACGCTCACACTCTCACCGCTCCAGTGGCACCGTAACACCAGCGCCAACGCAGTCCGCTCAACTCGAAGAGAAAGATCCACACACCCTCGAACGCGAAGCGAGGAACCGTGAACGCATGCTCAAAGAACAACAGCGGCGCGAGAAGGCAGCCAAACAAGCTTCATCCTCTGGCGGCGGCGGCAGTGCAGCTGGAAGAAGAGTCACATACAAATACGAAGAGGACCTCGAGAGAGGGCTGGTTGAAGGCGAAAGGGAAAGCCATGGGAGACGGTGGAGGTAGGACCGCCGCTGTCACGGTATCTATTGTGCCTGGGGAAGGCTTGGAGCATCGCATCCTGATGGTCTACAGAGACGATCCGAATGTTGTTGCTGCTGAGGATGCTTCCCTCCCGCTCCTTTCTCCCTCATGAATTGTTCCTTGTCCCGTTCACGCTCTTGGTTTCGGCTGGGGAGAAAAGCCAGTGAGCGGCACCGATCCACGTGTTTCTGCAGATGGACGGATGAAACGGCACATATTGATTTATGATTCACGGGCGTCATTTTGTCATGCCACATTACTTACGAATCGTGTTTGCTCAGAATCCCATCGGAGGAAAGCCTTGTACGGGCCAGATAATTGAGAAGAAAAAGAAAAGACAAGAAAAGAGAAGAGAAGAGACGAGAAAAAGTCCAAAAAAGGCACACTTGATTTGCGGATATGTGTGTAATGAATTCAATTTTTTGCCCAGGGCGGGAGGCGGGAGGCGGGAGGTTGACTGACATACATAGGCAACGCAATACCCTTGGGGAGGCGCAAGGACACACACGAGCACAATGGACTATCGAAGAGCTATTATCGGCTCCTACGAGCTGCGACGGGCTGTGGGATCCGGGGGATAAGGGTTTTAGGAGGGGGGGCGACAGCGGCATGGCATCATCAATCACTCACTCACTCACTCACTCGGCTCCACGGTTTTCTATCATTCGTCTTTTTCATATCACAAACGACGTGTGTACGTTTCTACGGATGGGTTCAAGCGAAAAGCTCCCCTGTACGCGAGGGATGGGAGGGGAGCCAATTGGGGATGGATGTACTGTACTCGGTACCACTCTGTCTGGCGCAGAGAGGCGATGGATGATTCGAGATTTGAATCTTTTCAACAAAATCCTCGGTTCGGTTCGGTTCAGGTCAAGTCAATCAAAGCCAGCTCAAGCCAATCAAAGCCAGCTCAAGCCAATCAAAGCCAGCTCAAGCCAGTCAAAGCCAGCTCAAGCCAATACATATTAATAAATCCATTCCCAGAACATTTGCTTATGAGCTAGCTCGTTGTTTATTTTTTCACCTGGTATATTATATATCGTCAATTCCTCTTTGTGCTTTTGATTTGTCGTTGTCTCAAATACACAGACGCTCATTCAGCATCGTGCGTATCCGTGATATTCCGCTGCCGGGGAAGAGTTCTCCCTGCATTCCCGTGGACAACCTCGTGCCGCGCCTCATTTGGTCTGTTGTTTCGCCGCCACTGCGGCGGCCTCTGCAGTGGCAGGTTCAGGTTGAGGTTGAGGTTGATGAACCGCCTCATACGACGCCGCCCCGACTTTGGTCTTGAGCTTCGACAAACGCCCAAAGATGCGGCCCACGGGATTCGATCGCCGGCGCTGGGAACCGCCGCCCGGGACCACTGGGGGAGAGAGCAGCAATGAGGAAGCCGGCCGAGACGAGGAAGACAGGGACGACGAGGAGAGAGAGGATTTGGTGGGGGGATGGCTTTCCGAGACAGCCTGCCTGGTATGGGTCAACCCTCCCGTTCGCACTGCTTTGGGCCAGGGACACTGCCGTGGCTGCGGGAGCTTGTACGTCTGGATCGTGTAGCTCATGGTGTGCACCGGCGCCGACCGGGGATGCCGATTCAGGAGGCCTCTCTCTCCTCCCCCGCCGCGCTCGCGCCGGCTTTTGCTCTGGATCTGCTCGACCTTGCTGGCCAGGGCCTCGGCCTCCTCGTCGCGGTGCTGCCATCTCAGACTGTCGGCGAGACTCTCCATCGCCAGGATGGTCGCCGGATGCTCCTCGGCGAGCGTCTTCTGGCGGACCCGGACGACCTTTCTCTCAAGCGCTTCTGCCTTGGCCGCGTTGGCCTCGGGGTCTTGCAGTTTGTACGCTTCGGCCAGGTCAAACATGCTGATGAGCGTCTCCAGGTTTTCCTCGCCCAGGACGTCCTTGCGAATCTCCAGCACTTGCTCGAACAGTGTCTGGGCTTCGTCGTGTCGGCCCAAGTGGCCGAGCGTGACGGCCAGGTCGCGTGTCGCTCGAAGCGTGTCCGCGTGTTCTTTGCCCGGGTTGATTTGGCTCCTCTCCGTCACGGCTAGTAGCGTGGTATACGCCTCCTCGAAGTTTCCTTGGATACCATCCAACGCGGCGAGATGGCGTCGTGCCCGGAGCATGGCAGGATGCGTCTCCTCCACACCGGGCTCGGCAGCCTTCAGTCCCTCCACCTGCACTTCCCTTGCGGCCTGAATCTGCCCCTGCTCAAGGAGAATTCGAGATAAACTGGTATAGCTCGCCAAAGATGAGGCATTGTCAGGCCCAAGGGCTTCTTTCCAGTTGGTAATTGATTGACGGGCCATTTCTTCAGCTCGAGCGTGATAGCCCTTGACTCGAAAGAAGGATGAGGAGTGGTACTGCAGTTCGGCCTTGGTTCTGATCCCTGCCTTAGACTTGATCTCCACGTCCAAAACTACTCGAACGTGAGGCAGGTAGGCTTCGCACTTTTCCCAGTCGTCGTGCTCTCCTGGAGGAAATACGGTGGCAACCGCAAACAGAGCCTTTTCTGCCCATTCATCTGCGGTGCCCTCGCTGGCCAGCCAATGCCGCGTAACCAACTGAACGATGTGTTGCATGCTGTAAGCTTGATGCTCCTCACCGGCTATCGTCGTCTCTGACTCTTGAATCAAGGAGAATGCTTTCAGAAGCCCACATGCATCTTCAAAATAGGTGTCAAACCTACTCTCGTCATGACCTACAATGAGAGTGTCGGGAACATAATTTCGATCCAAGAAGGCCATGAGAGATAAAATATCGGCGGCAAGACGATTCTGTTCTCGAATTTGCGTAAAAGACATCTGCCATGTAGCCGCTACTGGTCTGTCTACGCCCTGGACGTCCCGAGTCAGGATATCAAGGGCGTTTGCTTTTTTCTCAAATAGCTGCAAAAAGGCGCTGATCCTCATAGAGTTCTTCGAGATATATGCGGCCGCTTGAGTCATTGCGAGAGGTACTCTTTCGAGACAATTTGCCAGTTTCTCAAGATCACCCCGTGTATATTGGTCCCCTGTAAGAATCTGTGTTAGCATATCAATTGAATCAGACGAGTCCATGGGCAGGATTTGGTGATTGAACGCTCCCAGAGCTTCGCCGACATTCTTGTCTCGCGCGGTGACCAGGAGCGCACCGTGCTGGCAATTTGGAATATAGTCTGTCAGTTTCGCCGCGAAAGTCTCCTGATCACGGTCTGCTGGGCAGTCCTGGAACATGGTCACGTCGTCGGCATTTTGTAGGATCATGAGCCACGGGCCGCAGAGCCTCTCCCGGCCTAGCCACTCGTTGACCAGGGCCAGGGTGTCGACTTGATGGGAGTCGGCACCGGGTATATCGAGTTCCTTGGCCAGCTGCAGGTATGACTGATGAAATCTTTCACGACTGTTGGCATGGACCCAGAAGATCGAGATTTTATCATAGTTGTTCCGGATCCAGTAAACATATTTGAGGGCGATCTGTGTCTTTCTGTGCCAGTCAGTGATGGTTCTATTCCGTCCCTTCACATTGAAATCCGAGAACAAACCCAACACCGCCGAGTCCATACAAGGCCACTCTCTGTTGTGACCCTAATCGAGGTTCTAGATCTTCATCCAACTTCCTCAAAGCCTCCTTGCGACCCGAGAATCGTAGATTTGCCCCGTGTGGAACAAGCCCTGTGTATCTTGTCAGTCCGGGAGACGTTCTTTCTCGAAAAGCAATACCGCACATTTTCCTCTTTGAGATGCATAGACACCTTGCGGATCTCGAAACATCTCCTCTCTGAATTTCTTCACGGCCTGATGGGCAAGTTTGACAAGGTTGGGCGCGACAAGCTGATATGCTGGACTTTCTGGGCTTTCAAACTTGCAGACATTTCGATGATCTGCTTCAACACTAATGACGTTCTCGATAGCCGGGTCAAGCTCAAGCGTAGCTGACTTTTGGTCCACTATCTGTCTTGCGTTAATTTCCAGGAACCCAGACACAGTGCCAAAGACGAACCAGCCCAATTCCTTCCATTCTCAATGATTCACAGATGCTCAAAATCTTGTACTTCCCGATTTGATTCCTGAAATTTTCACGAAGCTGATCTGATAGGATGGAGTTCTTTTGCAGATGATCGAGAAAATTATTCTTCGTGTTGCCCGTCACCAACTTTGCAATTTCAGCCGCTACCCTGCCAATTCTAGCATGTTCGCCCCCTCGATGCGGAGTAGCGAAGAAAGCGAGACCGAAAGTGGCTTCGCAGATGTTGGTATAGGTGTCGTTTTGTTTCGCGTGGACAAGTGCCTGATTCGATGCTCGATGCTGGAGTCAGCGTAAGAGGGACTTGCGAAGCATGCGGGTTGTGATACGATGCCTATCACAGAATTGACCATGGTTTCGGTTCGTGATGATATCTTTCATCGGATTGGGGGTCCAGGAGTTGACAATGGGTAACTCGGAGGAAATTCACACTCCTGAGGTCTGTAGAAGACAATACATTCGACTTACACTCTTCACGACAATACCCCCAAGGCTGTGGGCAAGAAAGATGATTGGTCTGTGCGGCGGATTTATCTGCGCTCTCTCTGTACTCAGCCGATGCAGCAGGTTCACAGCCTGTTCTGTGACTCCAGCTGCGGAAGTGTCAAAGGCCACGTTGGAATTGTAACCAAACACGAGCACCCTGGCTCTGACACCTTTCTCTTCTAATGCGGCGGGAAGAAAATCCTTGAGCCAGAGAGCTCCATTCGGTGCTGTCCAAGTCTTACAGGCGTGGTCCTCGACGTTGATCGGGTTGAGGCCGTGTACAGCGACAATGCTCAATGGAGTTAGCAAGCCGGGTCAGCCAGTAACGCTGGGAGAAGCTTCCGCTCACTCCAAATTTGGCCTCTCTGGGCTATAGATCGGTTTAAGGAAATCCCGGTGTGTCGGAGCCTGTTGAGACTCAGTCCGTCTTCCGATAATGCCATCAGAGCAAGTGAAATCTAAACCCCTCGACCCTTACTGACCATTTTCGGAGAGAGGCACTCGGACTTCTAGGCGTCCCGATCAAATCACACGAGGCTGTGTGAGGTCTCGGCAAAGAAACTTTGATGTCGTTGATAGCCAACAGGAGCGTGTCAATTACTCGACGCAATGCTCGTGTTGGAGGTGGTTTTTTCACAGTCTCAGCCAGACCCAATACCGTCAACTCGTGATTCAGAGAAGATGTGGTTCTCTACCTCAATCCAGAGAATAGAAAGTCGAGGTATCCTTGCATCTCGGCCAGCCACCTGACGATCAAGACCCGCACATTGGTGGTGTTGGTGAGGCTCATCGAGCTGCATGTTGGCATTGATGGACGGAAAATGGCCCGGAACCCCGCCGTCGTCCGCATTTGTAAGGCGCTATCTTCTCGCCTTGCAGCAGCAACCAGTTGTAAGGGGAAAGAGGTTCATGATGTTGGGACTGGATGCAGTTTAGTTCATGGGGCCGAGAAATCGGCTCAGGTGACAACTATATTACTAAGAGCGCAAGCACCACCTGCCCAACCCGCCACGCCAGCATACTCTCCCTTGTTCGCGGTAACACTCCGCAAACCACTCTCTCGGCTCTCCTCCTAGGAAAACCATGAGTAATGCTACAGTGTGCTGGCTGGACTTGCTCAGATGTGTGGATGGTGATGGGATATGGCCACCAAGTATCTGGAAAGGCTGGGAGATGCGAGGTTGCCATCCATCCCTTTCCTCGTCTCGATCATTCTCCGGAGAGAGAGCATCAGATCTCTTCGCCTAGCTCTTCCGGCCCCAAACTCATTGACCTCTTTCCAAAGGGGAGAGCATCAATCAGGAACGACCATCTCCTCTCCAAGCGATGGTAACATACGACCAACATCTCCACGGATTGTGCAGAAATCTCACGTTCCCCCAACCTCTTTGATCAAGTCCGAAGACAGTGTCTAACAGACTTGGGGTCCATCCAACATGCGTGGCATCGGGTGGACCTCATTGAATTGCCGTTGACAAGCAGTTGCGAAGGACTTCCTGGCGCCGGACCCTGTGTCAGAATGGTCCTAGCAACAGTTATCTGCCTCTTGGAAGGTTCAGGATCTGAAGCGTCATTGACCAGGCGGGTTAGCCGGCCAGTTCGAAGGCATTGCAATCATCCAGGAAACCTATGAGCAATACTGCAGCGAGCAGCAGTCTGATTGAGTTTTGCGGGATCCTCGGACTGACCACCGGCAGCCCTCGCATATAGATCTCTAAGATTGAAGTTAGCCAAAATGACTGCAATCCAGGGAGGATTCGGATTCTGACCTTGTTGGGATTCTTTCGAGAGAATAATGAGGCTGCGTTTCTATCAAGTTACTTGGCAAGATATAAAAACATATCGATGTTTGAGGATAAAAAGAGGTCAGGAATGGTTGTCCCCAGATGCCTCGGACTGTTTCCGAACAAGGGTCGGAGGCAGAGAGAGAGAGAGACAGGACAGAGATTCCCGTCTGAACCACCCGTCGGTCTTGGGTAGGAACTTATTTCGATACCGGTGGTGCAGCACCCCGCTGCTGGTCGGGAATTCATCCACACGGCTATTCATCTAGCCTTGTCATCGCTTTCGAGACCTCGTCCACATGGCGATAAACTCAACTTTCTCCTTGACTCCCAGTCCCACTCTCTTGACACGTCCCAACCTCGCCAGAGCCTCGGCAACCTTGTCCAAGAACACTCTTTCCTCCTTGGTGATGGACATCTCTTGGTCTTCGAGCCCGCTTCCCACAAGGGTATCGGCATCGCTGCTGGCGCCACCATCTGACGAAACCAACGTGTCGAAGTAGTTAGCAGTGTAAGAAGACGAAACTTTTGCTGCGACGGCAATATCTGGGTCTGGGGACTTTTTGCTATTATATAGAGCCTCGGCAATGCGGATTCGGAGACAATGGGACGGTTTGCTGCAGAGGTTCCAGAGGAATGTCAGGTAAGCGTGGGGGATGGGTGTCGTGACATCTGCGGGAGTGTACCGGAGGGAAACGGGAAACACTCTTGTCCGTGGAGGTGTTGCCAGAAGGCTTGGACTCATGGGCAGGATGCCTCTACCATTCGTTGTTGTGCATTCTGGAAAGACCACCACGACGCGGCCTGGATTTCTTTTCAGCATTGTTTCAATGTCAATTAGTTTGGCCCCAGGCGATGGTGTCAGCTTTGGGTGACAGAAAGTCCGGCGGATGGCTGTAAAGAGGGATATTGGTTCCACCAGCCGAGAGGAAGGATAGGCGGCTGCGAACACCGGGTCGAAGATGGCGGCCAGATACAGCGGATCAATGGGTGAAGCGCTTGATGAAGCAATCACTGATCCTTCTTGAGGAATTCTCGACTTGTTCTGTGCAAGAGACCTGCACGACATCAGCACGTGCTTCAGCGACACTCGTATAGTCCATACCCTTTCTTCACCCCGTCGATTTGCAGATCGATCCACCATATCCCGGGTATGCCCAATATGCACCACAGAGAAGCTTTTCTGCCCAAAATACCGATAGGCATCCATTGTAGAACGAGGAAGTAAGAGAGCGCAAAGACCAGAAGTAGAGGCACACGACAGACGAAGAGGAATATGTGCAAGGGTAAAGCGAAGCCCGCAGGCTCGGTCGGGATGGGAAGGAATGGAGCGATGCCGGAACCTAAGGATGAAGACAGATCAGCACACCGTTCCATCTGTTTCTCTGTTCGCAGCAGACGGATACCTTTGTCACGAAACTGTGAGAACTTTTCCATTTTTCTTTAGGTTTAGACACGTTGTACAGGGTCCTGGAAGGGCTTCGTAAATGCGCCGCAAGAGTTTCAGATGCTAGAAATGCGAGAAGACCACAGGTGCACCATGACAATGGAGAGCTTGAGTGACAAATAATCGGGAGGTCATCTGGTCATATTGTGCGTGGGCGAACCAACACCAGGGCGACTCAGGTGAGGTACCGGGTACCTTCGCGGTCAAGGTTTGATAAACGACAGGTGGACCAGAGTGCAAGGCTTCCTAGGCTGTGTGGATACAGCAAGTCATCAGAGCAACATGTTTGGGTCAATGGTACGATCATGTACAGTAATAGTGGGAATCGAAAGGTGAGAAAACGTAGCACATGCCATTTCGCTATTATTGCAGCCCAAAACCATGACATGGAGGATGCGAGGTGGTCCAGTGGCTTGGCGTCCGGCCCCTCTTCGACCCTTCTCCATGGTGTAATAGTGCTTGAACACTCTTCGGACCAGGCAGGGTATTTTCTGTCCACCCGTATCTCGTACTAGACTTGCCCATGTCTTTTTCTGGTGGGAAGGGGGTTGTGAAGGGGGGAAAGAGGGCATGTGAGTGAGTGCATGCGTTCATGCATGGGCAGCCGTCCCAACATATTCGGTCAATTCGGCTCACCACTCGGGTCCCCCTTGGAGCGTAGGAGCTTCGTTCACCATCGTCAACCGCCCATGGCATGTGGCATGACGGACATTATATCCAGACTTTCCCTCAGCCTAGCCCACTTGTGGCTTTGCTGGGCGAGCCTTGCATAATCCAGACGTCGCGACTCTATAATGTTCCTTGCCGGCAATTGGGGGCAGGATTATAACGGGAAACCCGCGCCTTCTCCAAGGCTATGCACTGAAGAACCAAGTGTGTTTGATCATTGGAAGGTGCTGTTCATGATGGACAGAGCCACAATGTATTACCCGTTGTGGAAACAGCCATGGACGACGAGACGTGTCCTAACATGGCGCAAAAGCGCTCTATTTGTCGCGGTTTTTCACTCAGCTGACCGTCTCTGGAACTGTCCGCACCTTGTCGAATTAATCTAAACCAGGAAACAAACAGACACTGCCCCTCCAGGAAAACTTGAGATTTTGCAGGCGTGACGAAGGCATAGCATGCTCGAAAAGACCTGTTCAGCCACCGAATAGCCACTACCGAGGACGAAAGCTCAGTGTTGCCATCATGTCCGATCTCAAAGAAAGCAAAAGCCCTCTGCTCGGCAAACCCAACGAGCTCCAGTCAACCCAGCCAGCTACCACTCACAAATCGCCACAAAGCGTGTCAGAAGGCTTGGGGGACAGCGGTCCACCCCCACCTGAGATTCTCCGGTCAATTTCCAACAAGGAATTTCCCGCCTGGGGCGAATATCTCGACAAGGAGAAGCCGAAGGAATACATCATGTGGAAGTTGAAGATGATTGGTGAAGGCCATCAAGCCATGACAAGTCAGAATGCCGGGGTTGAGAATCAGCAGACGAGTAACGGATCGGGAATGGGGGAGCCGTCTTCGTCTGGGTCGAGCAGCAGGTTGCAGCCGGAGATTCCCAAGGGAGAGCAGAAGCATGGCGAGGTACTGGCGGCCATGAAGAAGCACCATGTCTCGGAGGAGAAGGAGAGCTAAACGACTCGTGGCCGAGCGGACTGAGGAGAGGCAATTGTCAACGAGGACGGATGAGGATTCGCTTCCAGGGCACAAAGTGGCACAGATTCCAGCAGGGCATTTCAACTTGAGAGTTTGCATCACCGTCCCACTCATGTGCTTCCCGCCACGGATGTCGACACCACGTACCATCGCCTGTGGGCTTCTCACTATGTCGTCTGAAGAATAGCGGGACATTGTGGTCTGGGAGTGCGCGAATCCACGGCTCAAAGAGATAGATCAAGGCTCCCTGGTGGTTGAGCACCTGTGATGCTAGACACATTACGATGGGCACGAGCTAGTTCAACAATACAGGACGTCAATACGTTTAGCAGCTCACTTCAAAGCAGACCTCTTGCCCGGACCCCCCTCAGGCTGCACCTTGTACGGTATCCACCTGATTCATACTTACCTGGTACCTCTCCTGGGCCCATATGTAAATACAGCCATTCTCAAACCTTATAGTTCGACGGAATACCCTACCAACGGCAGAAGGTCGGTATCCATCTGGGAGACGAGAGAGGAATGGTGGAGACGTCGTCGTCGTCGTCGGTTTTTTTTTCCTTCTCCACGACCCTCCATACGCGGAGTTGAGCGACCTGCCCCTTCAGGTACAGTACTGCCAGCAACCCCAGAGGCTGTTAATTGATTCTATGACTCCACCATCCATCCATCCATCCCACCTCAATAATAATGACCCTGACCCTCATTCATGCCCACGGTAGACTTCTTGACACGGTAAGGCAACTCGTATCGGTTCTCGCTCTCTCGGTGGGCGGTACATACATACGGCCAAAATAATACACACGCCCAGACCAACCTTGCACGCTCCAGGAACGCCGTTCTTGTCGAAAGATCATCATGGCAGCGCCCCTCGACGTAGCGGCCATCCGAGGCCAATTCCCGGCCCTGGCCCAGGACCAGGTCTTTATGGACAACGCTGGTGGCGCCCAGGTGCTCCAGACGGTCATCACGTCCATCTCGGATTACTTGTCCAGGAATAACGTGCAGCTGGGCGCGTCGTACCCGGTGTCGCAAATATCCACGACCAAGTTCGACGAGGGCCTCGCCGCGGGCGCCAAGTACATCAACGCGTCGCCCAAGGAGGTGGTGTTTGGCCCCTCGACGACGCAGCTGCTCCGCAACCTCTCGGTCGCCTTGAAGGTCGAGCCGGGCGCCGAGTTTGTCCTGTCGAGCCTCGACCACGAGGCTAACCTGGCGCCCTGGGTGCAGTTGGCCGAGTGGAAAGGGTTGACGGTCAAGTGGTGGATTCCTACCAAGAACACCGACTCTAATCCTAAGCTGGAGCCTGAGGACCTGAAGAAGTTGCTCACCGACAAGACCCGGCTGGTCTGCTGCACGCACACCTCGAATATCCTGGGCACCGTGACCGACGTGGCCGCGCTGTCCAAGGTCATCCATGACACCAACCCCAACACGCTGTTCTGTGTCGATGCCGTGGCGTACGCACCGCACGCCCCGGTCGACGTCAAGGCGTTCGGCGTCGACTTCTACTCCTTCTCCTGGTACAAGGTGTATGGGCCGCACGTCTCTATGCTGTACGTCAGCGAGAAGGCACAGAAACAGATCCAGAGTCTGGGACACTATTTCAAGCGTGGCGACACGCTGGAGGAGATGCTGGGTCTGGCTGCCGGGAATTACGAGTGCATCCAGGCGGTGCCTCTGATAGCCAAATATATCGACACAGTGGGCTGGGGCGCCATCACCGCACAGGAAGAGAAGATCCAGGAGATCTTGCTGGCATATCTGCGGTCGAAGCCCGACCAAATCAAGATCTATGGCGAGCCGTCCTCGGACAGAAAGCTGCGGGTGCCGGTCATCAGTTTCAGGGTCAAGGGTCAGAGCTCGTTGGGGATTATTGATGCCATTGAGGCGAGGTCGAACTTCGGCTGCCGCAGTGGTCACTTTTACAGTAAGCGACTCTGCGACAACGTGCTGCGCATCCCAGACAGCGATGACGGGGTGGTCAGATGCTCATTGCTGCACTATAACACGGTCGAGGAAGTTGAAGGTCTGGTCAAAGTCCTGGACGAAGTCATCAAGGAAGGAGCAGGGAAGCACGTCGAGGACCCGGAGAGGAAGAATGTCGCGAATTGGTAACACAGCCCCCTGCAGAAAATAGATAGCCCTCGCAAAGATTTTGGTTGTGGTTGTTGTTGTTGTTGCTGTACACCCGGCGAAATCATGCCGAACCGTACGAGATCTCGCCCTGCTTCATCATTGTTTGCCGGTGGAAGGTCAAGATCTGCTTCGAAGACCATGCAAGTCGTAAGAAAACTAGGGTATGCACAGGTTGTTGCATTAATAGCCTTGTTCCCTTGTATCACCTGGTGACTGCGTCAAGCTGGCACCAACTCCGATGGGCACCGAGACCACTCCTTCCCGATCATCCCATGACACAATTCACCGCCTCAGCGCTCCTTTCGCCAAAAGAAAGGAAGAAAAGATCCCATTCAGCTTCGGAGCCTGACTGTATGTAGACCGAGCCCATCCTGCAGATCCAACACCGTGCGTCAGTGCAGGCATCGCGTTGGAGACGAGGCTTGCATCCCTGCTCGTGGCGATGCCCCATTAGGTATACAAGCACCGGTAAGAGCGAAAGATCGATCCTGTACAGCAGGCCGCAGCAGCGCCTAGGACAGCCGAAGATGTCAACTTGAGCAGCATCCTCGTCTAGTTCCGGTAAGGATTTGCGTAGAACGAGGCAGCGACTCATGAGACATCTCAGCCGCTTCGATTTTACCACATTTCTGGCATAAATTTGTTCCGAGAGCAGTTTGACGTCGGTGGGCGGTTTCTTACCTTTTGACAGCAACGAAACGGCCGAGAGCCCGGCAGCCTTCCACCTGTAAGCAGCCACCTCCAGACAAACCTATCGATATTTCTCAGGACTTTTGACGATTAGCTAATTTAGACTCGTTAATAAGTCCGTATGGAGACTAGGATAATGAGTTCGGAGCTCGAAATCGGACGACGACCACAACTCGTTCTGGAGATTGTGTATACGGGGAATCGGCTGCTACCCGAAGGGGATATTTTCGAGGGGCCAAAATCTCCCCTAGATACACCCTGACTGGCTTGCAGGTCTCGACTCCGACCTTTGTTTGTCACCATCCTCGTGCATGTAGACTGCGGCGAAAATAGACAAGCGGCCGTTCAGGGACTTTGTGGTGCATGCGAGGGTTTTTCATACTGGATGTGGCTATGGCTTGAGGTGTGCAAGGGTATAAAAGAGCTGGACTCTCTCATGTTGAAGAGGTTGCTTCCCAATAAGCCATCTGTCCCAAGTTCAAATCAATCTTCTCTGTTTCGTGAGCGCCCACAGTCGCCTTTCCAAGTCTACATCACACAGATACGTGCCAAAATCTTCGAGTCTTGCATCATGCAGTTCCTCAGCACCGGAAAGCTAGTCGCCCTCCTGGGTGCTGTGGGGGCTCTACCCCTGGTGGCATGCCATGACCTTACTGCCCGTCAGGTCGAGGACATTTCGACTGCACAGAACAACTGGGCAGCCGACACCGGCGTGGTGTCGACGTTCTTGTCGAACGCCGTCACATTCAGCGGGGCGGATCTCGTGGCTCAAGCTCAAAATGCTCTTGATCACGAAAACGACGAGCTCAAACACAAGGCCGCCCTCGATGCTGTGTTCCTTAATGTCGCCAACCCCAACTCCCTGGTCGTCCAGGCGAACAATGTTCTTGTCAACCAAGGAACCTTCGAAAGCGTCGTGTCCAACCTGCAGAATTTTGTGACGTTCGGCGCAGATTTCGATGCGGAAGAGATTGCCGGTCTTGTCGGTGATATCAACAATGTTCGATGCGCTCAGGTTCTGCCGGCCATTGACCAGTATTTCCAAGCGGTCGGGGACGTCCTCCAGAACGGTATCGATGTGTTGGCTGTTCGACCCACCAACTGCCCCTCCGGCACCAAGAAGAGGAGCGAGCTTTGAGTCGTTCTCATCTGAATTGTCACTGGCGGTGAAATTGGTATTGGTATTGGTATTGGTATTTGAAGAGGGGCTAGTAAAGGCCGAATGACTGGGTCGTTTTATTTCATGTCGCGAAGAGGCTGGTAGGGGTCCATAATTTGAATACGCGTTGCCTAGTTCGCTGGTTCGCGTTCACCCTCCAGTGGGAGTCCTGGTAGAGCAGCAAACTTGAGCAAACTTTGAAGCTGAGCATGGTCAGAGAATTTGGCTCAGCGGGCCTTCTGCCACTGATCAATTGAACATCTCTCCTATATTATCCAGCTTGAATCCCTCTCGAATGCATTCAATCGTGTCAGTTCAGCCCAGTTGCTCGCGTCACGGGGTTTTTCACGTGAAGAGCTTTGGCGCCTGGACTGGAAAGTTAGCCGACGCCAAGCTCTTTTCATCACGTGCAGAGCGCACTAAGCCCAAAACAAACAATTGTTTACAATGGCTCCATCCTTGAAGACCTCCATGACCTACTCTCCAAATGCATGTCATTTGACCGACACTCGACAACATCGGTCCCTGTGGGGGAATTGGTCATGGTTTCCCTTCTTGAGTAGCAGAAACTGGTGGTTTGTCACGGTCCAACACGGATTCCTCTTCAACATGGCAGAAACCGAGAATGTATGACCGTCCCTGTCCGATTCAGAGTATATGGCGTTGACCAGGAACTGCAGTTCGTCTCTCAACTCCCCCAGCCCACCCGGCATGGGGTCCCTTCACCTCAGAAAGCTCTGGCAGAAGTCACAGCATCGGCCACCAACTCCCGAACTGCCATGCCACCTCCAGGATTCACCGGCCACAAGCGACAGGGCTCAAATCGTACGCTTGGTTTGCTGCAAGAGATGGAAGATGTGTTAACATGGACTATAGTACCCGAGCCGAGTGCCAAAAGAAAGACACTTGCTGAGCGCGCCGGCGAACCTGTCAGAACCATTATTGCGGCTCCAAAGACCAGTACCAGCACGGGTACCGGACTATTGCCCACCTTTCAGTCTCGCAATCCTTCAACATTCTCGCAATCATACCGGAGCACCTCCAGAAACACCTCAAACTCTTCGGCGGTGTCTACGTTCTCGGCTAGCGTGGGTACTGCTATTCGGCAGCCTGCCGTTCACCCAACATCAAACATCGCCCGTCCGAAATCATCACTCGCAAAAGACAGAGGAACACGATTGGCCGACTCGAGGCCCGCGACATCATTAGGAACCCGTGGAAGGAATCAGGATGGCCCGAGTAATAAGTGTATGGTTTCCCTTTTCTCCCAGCCTAAACGAAACGCTCTTGCCCGTGCTCCCGTTCTTGTTTGTGCTCCCGTGAGGCTTGGACCTGTCAATGTACCCAAAAGAAATGCTCGGAATATTCAACCACTGAGGAGGTATAACGCGTCTACAATGCCGCTCAACCGGAATGTCTCGGCAACATCCATTACGGAACGGATGTTGGGTCTGTCTTTGACTTCTCAGACGCCGACCCCCAGACCACCCCGGCTAGATAGTCCTTCAAGGCTTCCTCGTGCTTCGCCTCGACAGCCAACACCTCCATTGAAGGAGTTCTTTACCCCAGCACCGTTTCCCAAAGATCTTTTTACTACTCCTCACAAAATTCAAGCGAGAGCATTTCTAACAAAAGATTCTAATCTAGTGGCGTGGGACCCCGAAGAAAAATTTGGCAACATCGAGAGAATGTATGAAGATGTCTGCAAACATTACAAGGAAGCCATGGAAGACAACATGGAAGCAAAAGAGATCAACAACACTTACAAGTCCACCATCGCGAATCTTGAGCAAGATCGGAGAGATGCCACCGAAGCTATGATCGCTCTCAGGTGTGAACTTGAAACTACCAAATTTCGCCTGCAATCTGCCGAGCGAGGGACCCAGGAGCTCAAACGAGACCAAGAGGCCGAAATTGAAACCGTCAAACATCAGCATAGAACAGAGCTCGAATGTGTTCGCCAATCCCATCGAGAGGATGTGGAGCGATTGAAGGCGGACCACAGAGAGGAGATTCGCGAGTTGAAGAAACGGTTGGAAGACGAACTCGAACATGAACGGACGCAGCGGATCCAGGCATTGAGCCAGGTGTCCACACAAGAAGCTCTGGAGAGACAACGACATCAAATGGATCTCGAATCGAAAGAACACGAAATACGGAGTTATCATCTGGAGATTGATCGACTCAAGGCGGATCTTGAGAGAGAAAAACTCCTCAACGATGATCTCCGCCGCAATCTGTCCACGGCAGGTGACAACGCAATGAGCATGGAAAGTGCCCGCCAAGCGCTCCAGGCTAAGATTGAGTACCTGGAATCAGACAGCAAGTCTCAGTCTGAAGCGTATGCTGCGATGGAGAGAAGGATGAATGAAGCTTTGGAGAAAGCGACAGAGTGTGAAGAGAAGCTCCGGAAGGAAGAACTCCTTCGACGCAAACTGCACAACCAAGTGCAAGAATTAAAAGGCAATATTCGAGTCTTCTGTCGTGTCCGACCCACCAACGAAAGTGAAGCCGGCGAAGAGACGGCAAAGATCACATTTCCCGAGTCGGACGAAGAAGTCAGAGACATTGAAATCAAAGGCCCTGAGGAGACCAACAGCCTCGGAAAAGTGACGACAAAGACACATCAGTTCACATTTGATCGAGTCTTCGACCCGTGCAGCAGCAATGCGGAAATCTTTGAAGAGATCAGCCAACTCATTCAGTCCGCGTTGGACGGCTACAATGTCTGCATATTTGCCTACGGGCAAACCGGCTCTGGAAAGACGTTCACCATGTCTTCTGAAGACGGCATGATTCCACGAGCCTTGCGACAGATATACGCTACAAGCAAAGAGCTAGAATCTCGGGGTTGGAAATACACCATGGAAGGCAGCTTTGTTGAAGTATACAACGAAGAGCTGCGAGACCTTCTGGGGAAAGACTCCGACAACGTGAACAAAAAACACCAAATTCTTCATGACAGCACGACGTGTGAAACCACTATCACCGACGTGACCACCGTCAGCCTTGACAGCCAAGATCAAGTCGAAGGCATCCTTGCGCAAGCGATGTCCCGTCGCTCAGTGGCCGCCACAAAAGCTAACGAGCGCAGTTCTCGAAGCCACTCTGTTTTTATCCTCAAACTTGCCGGCTATAACACAGTGACGGGCAAGAGGACCAAGGGCACGCTAAACTTGGTCGACCTCGCCGGATCAGAAAGACTGTCTCATTCCAAGGTCGAAGGTGCCCGGCTCAGAGAGACACAAAACATCAACAAGTCGCTCTCCTGTCTAGGCGACGTCATTGGGGCACTTGGCCAGCAGCAGGCCAACGGCGCATTCGCCTCTCGAGAGAGTAGCAACAGTGCCGGCTCCAACCTGTCGTCCGCCACAGGAGCAGGCGGAACACACATCCCTTACCGAAACAGCAAACTCACCTACCTGTTGCAGTACAGTCTAGGTGGGAACAGCAAGACCCTGATGTTCGTCATGGTCGCACCAGAGAAGAAGTGTCTCGCGGAGACGCTCACGAGTCTGAAGTTTGCCGACAAGGTATCGAAGACGAAGATTGGGGTGGCAAGGAAGACGGCAGGTGGGAAGTGAAGGCGAGATCGTCTGGTTTTTGCGTGTTTATCATGTGTTGTGTCGGTTTTTTTTTTCAAAGCAAGCGGTGTTTGACCTCGGATGGAATATCGACCTGATGACCCAATACATTTCATGTCATGAGGGGAAAATGTGCGGCGTTTGGCTTCTATGGTTAGGAGATTTTGGGAGGGCTTTTCACTCGTTGATGGCTGGACTGATGAAGAGAGGCATTGTCTTATTTTACAATCATGCTTTGGGGATCGAACTGGCGGTTGTGGTGTGAGTTGAGTCGAGTTGGGGTTGGATAGGACGCGGAATGGAGGATTGGGATTGTGTTTGTATACAGGCAGAAATGACAGGCTCGAATGAGAGACCATCTTTTCCATAAGCAGCGCTCTCTCTCTCCCTCTCTCGGTTCCAAAGGCCTTTCTTCGTCTGAGCTGCTCGTCGCCGGTGGCAGCTACAGTTGAGGCTTCGAAAACCTCTTCTCTTGGCCATCCTGATCTACACTCGAGACAACAAACGACAAAGGGCCTACCTCCATATTAATATACTATATGTCACGATGGATGGTACATATGATGCTCTATCATTGCCTTTACCTGGATTGAGATTTTCTCTTCTCACCACAATCCCTCACTCATCCCTGGGCCACTTTGACATTCTTTTGCGATCCCCCGGGCAATCCACTCGGCAATGCCCATGGTGCTGATCATGGGGTTGACGCCGCTGGCCGAGGGCAGCACGCTCGCGTCGGCGACATACAGGCCGTCAGTGCCGAAGACCTTGCCCCGGGCATCGACGACGCCGGTCTTGGGCGAGGACGCCATGCGGCACGAGCCCATCTGGTGAGCCGAGCCGGCGGTGCAGGGCCCCGGGTCGGCGACCCAGCGGCGGCGCACCTCGGCCAGGTAGGCGGTGAAGGACAGCTCGTCGATGGCCGGCGTGGCCTTGGGGTCCCGGTGCGACGGCCGCACCCAGCGGTCGACGGACGGGTGGGCCGCGTCGATCTCCACCGCGCCCTGCACGAACGCCGCCTGCATACCGCCCACCATGCCGGCGAGGAGGTGGCGGCGATCGCGCGCCGACGGCGTGTACGCCACCCGCGCGCGTCGCCGCGTCGCATCCTTCGGGTCGATGTACACTCTGCCGGTGTCGGCGTCGCGCGTGATGCACACAAAGCCCGTCGAGTAGCCGTGTTTGGCGGCGTTGAGCCGGTAGTCGATGGCGGCGGAGAGTGGTGCACTGCTCGTCGTGCCACCCAGGGCGTATTGCGGCCGGAAGGGCAGGGCGAGCAGGCCGAAGCCCGGCGTCGAGCAGATCACCTCCACCTTGGGCCCGTGGTGTTGGCCGTCTTGGTCTTCGAGCCCCGTCATCGCGACCGTCAGAATAGCGCCTTCCCATGGGTCAGTCCGGTGCGGCCACGTCGCCCAGACCGTGTTCGTCGGGTGGAGGTGCAGATTGGCGCCGATGTGAGGATTCTTCAGCCCGCTGCGGAGGAGGACCAGGGGCGACTGCAGCGTTCCGGCGGCCACGATGACTCGTTTGGCCGAGATGGCGAGTTGTCGGGTAGTCTTCCGGTCGCGGGACGTCCATGTGGCTCTGACGCCGGTGGCCGTCTTGACGCCGTTGTTCGCCTCCTCGGAGAACACAATCTCTTCGACCCAGCAGCCCTCGACGAACTCGGCGCCGTGGGCCGCCGCGTCGGGGAACCAGCAGTTGGCGGGCCCCTGCTTGGTGGCACTGGCGCACCCGTAGGTACAGTAGCCGCAGAAGTGGCGCCGGGACGCCGTGTTCTGGGGCACAATCTGCACGGCGACACCGAGTCGGCGGGATCCCTCGAGCAGGGTCCTGTTGGCGAAGTTGAGCTCGATCTTTCTGAGACCTTCTGGATCTGTGCTCTTGGCGACGCCCATGCGCTCGCAGACGGTGTCGAGGCAGTCCTGGTATTCTGTGCCCAGGAAGTGAGGAAGGTTGTCGGCCGCCCACTGCTCGCGCACCGGTCGTGGAGGCTGCAACGAGGCCGACCAGTTGATTGTGCCGCCGCCGCCGAACGTGCTCCCCGCCAAGATGCCGATGGACGCATCATCCGACACCATCAAGCCGCCGTTCTCCATCAGATGCTCCCCCGCGTTGGCAGCGGACATGGGGAAGTGTGTCGACGGGAAGTGATAGGCCTTCTCGAGGACCAGGCACTTCAGACCGGCTCGGGATAGATGTGAGGTGACGACGCCGGCGCCGCATCCAGATCCAATAATCACCACGTCGGCCGAGAGTGTCGTGGACGTCGCTGGAGACGCGAAGTCATGAAATTTGAAATCGTAGCTGGGGTTGCGCTCGATGTGCTTGGGGATGTTTGGGAAGTCGAGAAAACGGTACAGATTGGGGGAAGCTGCAAGCCAAACCTGTCTCGCGAGGCCGCTGAGGGACTTGTGTACCGCTCTCAGTGGAGGTAACCTGGCTACGGACCATTGGCAGACGATTCTGCAACGGGTCTCGAGGTCCTGCTTGTGGATCGGCGTGGTGTAGCCGGTCAGGATATAGGAGCCCACAGTGGTATTGAACAGGGAGAGAACAAACGCCAGTGCTTGTGCGTCGGACGGAGGGATGTAGAGCTTGATCTTTCGGACTATGCGTTGTCTGTATTCAGGATCCGAGACGGCGTCCTCGGACAAGTATGCTCGCGCCACATCCTCAGAGGCACTTTCTGGCAGATACGACTTGAGCTTGGAAAGTGCCTCGTGAAATTCTGGAGACGGGCCTGCTTTTGAGGTGGCAGGGATAGATGGGACGAAGACTTCCAGGATCGAGAAGAGAGTGTCCCATTGTTCCTCGGTGAAAACCTCAGTCTCGGGTGCTGGAGGCAGAGGTGCAGGAAGAGAGGCGAGATGGGACAGGTTCTCGGTCAGAGACATTGCGAGACTCTGGCGCGACAGAAGAGCTTGTTGTTGGTGTTGGTGTTGGTGTTGGCACTGGGAGAACAATCAGGCCGGTGGATATCTTGTATTGATCTTGCGCCGAGACCGAAAACCACGAGGTCTATAAATTAACTGCTGTAGTTTGCATTTCGCATTGGGCATACCACTGGCCTTGGGGTCAGCTTATGGACGGCCTGTTATGTACTTGCAGAGACGCCGATGGATGATAGGTGTTGACATATACGCAGCGTACGTCGTAATTAAATTACTCGGTAGACAATTGTGATGGGGGGCCGGTAGCACGTGTCAGCACTTAAACGGGTTCTCTTCTATGCTATGCCGAACATGCTATCGTATACCTGAACTAGATTATTGATCTGTTGAAGAGAGAACGCTGGCACGGTCGGGCGGCCGCTGCTTATGGCAATACGCAGTCCATTGGATGGTCCGATCCTGAACACAGCAACCCCCAGACAGAGAGCGGCCGTTGGTCCGTTTGAACGGCCCGTCTCTGAAATCAAAAAGGCATAGACTCGATGGGCATTGTCTTTCGACGCATTCCTCATAACTTGGCACACGCTCAACACAATCAGCCCTCGGCCTGAATCTCGTAGCTGTTGGATTTGTGTTTCGGCTCGAATCGAAAGTCAGGATGAGCAGGACCGAGGAACATTTCACTTTCAATCCTTGTTAGTGGTTCGGGCTGCGAAAACACGGATTCGGGAAAGTACTCACCTAATCTTGATCCAGTCCTTGTAATTATCACTCGCCATCAACGTCTCAAGCTCGTCCCGTCCGCGGTATCGAGGAGGTCGATCTTGAATGTTGGGGGGCAGGTACTCCAACAGCCCGATAGGCACGTATCGGCACGCGAAGCTGAGCCACTGCAGCAAGAACCGTCGAGTCTGTCCCACGCCGATCTCGTCACTGCCCCACGCCTCCAGGCCGTATCGACAGAAACGCTCGATGAGCTGCAGCCGTTCTGAGGACGACTTGTCTAAATACTGCCCGGCGGCAATTTCTTCAAAGAGCCACGGCTTGATGAGAGCCCCACGACCGGTCATGACGCCGTCGACGCCCGCGTGTTGAAGGTGATCGTAGTAGTGCTCATGTGAGAAAACGTCGCCATTGCCGATGAAGAAGACTTTGCTCTTGCGGGAGCCTTTGTGGCCGTTAGGTTGATCGCGCTCGTCCGGCTCGTGGATGGTGTCAGCAGAAGCATCTGCCTTCTCGTTAAGTTTCTGGATCAGAGATGCCGTCTCTGCAATATAATCCCAGTCTGCAGAGCGAGTGTATCTTTGCTGTCTAGACCGTCCATGGAGAGTTATAGCCGCGACACCGCAAGGACTGCCTTCTCCGTGCCCGCTACCTAGGACCAGTCGATCGACCAATTTCTGTGCAGTCGGTTGCTTGTCCCGAGTCCCTGTTCGAATCTTCACGGTGACGGGTGTCTCGCCCGAGACCACATTCATCCCCCGAAGCATCTTCTCTAGCTTAGGTGCCGAATCCATTAAAGCCGACCCAGCGCCATCTTTGAAGACCAGATCAATCGGGCAACCCACATTGAGATCGACCACCCGAAGACCTCGAGGCAATAATGTGGTGAGAATCTCGGTGGTTTTGACCGCTAGCCAAGGTTTGTTGGCCGCAATTTGCGCCCCAAATCGAAGGTCCCGCTTCTGATCATATTCGAAGACTATGTTGTCGCTGCCTTTGATCGAGAAAGTCGGGGGCTGGACCTCTGATTCGTGTGCTTTAAGGAGAGCCCATTCCGACTTCTGGCCCTGCAACAACGGTAAAGACATGGCCATTTCCGAGTAAGTGAACGTTGCACCTAGAGAAGTACACAGACGCCGGAATGGCAGGTTTCCCTGCGTGGTCAAGGGTGCTAAAATGGGCGTCTCAGGACCAAAGTACAAACGACGTTTCTCTGATGTTCGGAGGGGAGTATCCTGGAAGCCAGCCCTCGAATCTTGCGTGTCCTCCTCTTCGCCTGCTCCATTCCGACCCGACTCGGGCTCCGGGGAGGAGGAGTTGCGATAGGATCTGTTTCGTCCTCGACCTTGGTCGGCTGGGTTTTGAGTGTTTTGCTCGAGCCACCGCAGATATTCATCTGACTTGGGCGTGGGGACTTTCTTCTTTGTCAGCTCGATCCTTTGCTGAGAAGTGAGGGAATTTGCCACCCCGGCCTCCTCGTCTTCGGAGGTAGTCTCGGCATATTTGGCCATTCGTTCAGCATCCTCGACCAAGACCAATTCCACTCGGCCGTCACCGTGGTCTACTTCTTTAGAATGAGATCCAACAAACCGGCATTTCCATCCCACCGGACACTTCCCCTTCACTTCCCATACAGGACACAGTCCGTTAAAGGTGGAGAGATCCTTTCTTTTGTAGTGGCTGAGGTATTTTCGGATGTCATGCTCGAAACGACACTTGTCTCCGTAGGCACATGGATTTGGGGAGAACTCGGGTCTGAGAGCTCGACTGGAACACAACCCTACTTCGTCTCTCGACGTGCCGAATTCGCGGGCCTTGTTTTGGCCTTTCTTCTTCTCACGACGGCGGTTACCTTTGCTGTTCTGGCTCGTAGGTGGCCGATCATTGTGGTGAAACGCTTCAGCGGCATCATCATCAGGTATTTCGTGAGCCAGTTCCGAGCCAACCACGTCAGACTGGAGCAGGAATTCTTCCTTGATAGGTACTGTTCCCTTCCTCCGTTTGCTATCCTGTGCTTGTGTCGTCGGATCGATCTCACCAGCCTTGCGCTTAACTATAGCCGGGGCCCCATCCGACGATTGGACAGATATGACGTTTGCAGAAACATCTTTCGACGTGCCATTAACCGAGACGTCAAGTTGATGCTGGTCTGCAGAGTTTTCCATCGTGCCACACAGTGACCAAACACTGCTCAACGTTTCAGGTGAACTCAAGCCTCCTTGTTTGAGACTGCCGTGAGATGTTACCTTGATAGCACCTTGAAAGACAAGGAACAGGCTGGGTACGAGGGTGGTAGGCAATATGAAATCGGGAGATTGTAAGGTGTGGGCATTTTCAGTGACAGTTTGAGAAATTTCGCCAAGGCCTCGGAAAATCTACGCGACTGTTTATCCGGCATTGTCCAATTGTTTTTGCTTGACTTTTCCAACGCTCTGAAAGCCCAATGCCTGGTGCTTCTAAAGCCTGTGGCACCACAAGAAGTTGCGAACGCGTTCTGCTGCTAGCCCCCATCGACTCTGCTAAGCCTCCGGCGAAGATGATAACTCCCAAGACCGCTGGCCCTAGTCTAAGTCTGCTCTGAGCGTCAGGAGATGTGATGTTCCCCGAGAGCACGATTGGACAGTTCCGTGTGCAGGTTCAGAAGTATCTGACAAAAGTGGAGGAAGTGACGACAGGATGTCCTGGTGAATATTCCCTCTACAGTACTGGATCTATTGATATTGACTTGAAGGATAAACTGGCGCCCTAGTGGATTGGATGCTGCGCGGTCGACAACAGAGCGGAAGCTACTTGATGCCCTTCCTGCACTTCTAAGTGGTCGTTGTCGTCTCGAAGGATTATAACATCCATCCAGGACGATTCAATTGGTACTTGATGCTCCCGCATATGGTAAAGAACGCTACTTAGTATACGGACACCTTCGAAGTCCCCACCCGTCCCTAGGCAACCGCGTTTCAACTCCCTACACAGCCTCACTCATCTTGTGATTGACAATTGAATGTCTTACCAGTACCGACGACTCCATGAATCAATGCTTCAGGGGGTTATATATCCGCGTGAGTCCTGTTTGACAGCGTCTAGGTTCTTCGGTAAAAGATTCTTACCTTTCTCCATCCATCCCATTCCCGTTTCCTCACCACTCTGATAGCATTTTCTCGCCGTCGAGGCTTCGATATCATCATGGTTTCATTTAGCAAGCCCCTACCGTCACTTGATCTTGAGTCGACTATTCGTCTCCTACTCATTCTCAACAATGCCATAGCTCTCAGCCTCAGCTTCGCCGTAATGTCTCCGATTTTCATCGTCTTGGGTGCTGTGATGGCTGTATCCGTCCTCTACAATCTGGGCGTCATCCTGCTCGGAATCCGTCGAAAACTTCCAAGATGGAGCGACAACAACCGCAACGGCGACGAGGATCTCCGTTGCCCATCCATCGTACAATTGGCCATCGATACGCTCGGGGTCCTTGCATTCCTCGTACTGTATGTTTGCAGCACCATCGAGACCGCAACTGCCGACGGCTGGAGATGGTCCCCAACCTTGCTGATGGCATATGCATCCATTGGAGCCTTAGTCGCCTTGTAAGTCAACCAAACCCTCACAGAACGGACACGCTGGACGCTGTGCCACTTTTTGATGTCATTTGAGGCTTTTGACACATCACGTCTGACAATTGCTATCAGTTTCATGCATAGTTGGGTGGCTGTCACCAATCTCAACCGATACATTCGGTATCGACAGAGCCTAGGCCCACGGTGTCCGCATTGCCATCGAGCAATTAATAATATTGTTGGGCCACAAATTGCCCTACCTCCGTCAGCCAGTGAAGGGTGCCAGGGACCGGCTTTTCCAAGACAAAGCTTCTCCGCGAATTCGGTCGGCGAAAACGAAGCAGACACGTTGATCATGAAGACTTGACTCAAAAGAGCTTGGGGCAGAACTTGAGTGCAGCATCAACTTCAACATCAAATTCCGCCACAATCGGCATGGCTCACTGAGTGCATGGCAGCTGTTTGAGGAGCCTCACCTCGTGTTTCAAAGTCTTCGTGTAGGGGCGGCGGATAAGCAGCAGGTCGAGTTGTCTAGGTCCGGTGGAAGGACAATTTCAGAGCGGTTTCAATTCGTTCATTTGACCTTGGAGGGATTTCTCAGTCCCAAGATGTTGCGAGGTAATCGTAAGAGGCCAGTCGCTCATTTAGTGGTCTCTTCTCTCCGTAATGGTCACCGTCACAGCGCCATGAGAGACAGTGTCATTGCAGGAATGGTGGTGACGTGTGAGATGCGTATGGGAGATTAGAAAGCCAGCAACAATAACCACACTGCGCCTTCGAGGCAAGCTCGTGTTACTGCATACAGCAGAAGGTACCTCGTACATGGCCACCATCGAGAATGCTGACCATGGAGGCACCGGTGCCGTCAGCTTGGAACGAGTCACGTGGCGGGAGCGATTTTCTCTTTTAGGGGGTTCTCGGGGTCTGCGGTACCGACAACGAGGGCATCCACAACCTTTTTCATCTCCCACCAATGTGCAAGTTCGTCTGTCTCAGTCCAGGTGGCAAGCCTGTCACTGCCCCCTGTCTGCAAAGTTCAGCCTGAAGCACTGCTCCTGTCCCCAGTCTCATAGGTCCCCGCCACTCTGGTACCATCGGCTTCCACGCCTTCCAGAAGCCTTTGGCAGCCGCAAGGGGAACATCTGAACCCTGGGTGGCTGAGTGGCCACTCACTGCCTTTGGGGCAAAAACTCCGAGAATGCTGACTTCGACAGAACGAATCCCGTTGGTCGATGACAGCATTGACGTACACTGCTGCCGAAGCTTGCAACCGCACTCTTCTGCCGGCAAATTCCCCTGGAAAGCCCACGGGTTGGTTCCCCAACAGGCAAGATCTCGCGCTTCCGTTCTCCAAGGTTCCTACATAGAACGGCAGAAAATACGAAGAAGGCACACAGGGTCACATGAGTCTATAGGGTGTCTGAAAGAGGCATGGAGGAGGTTTCCAGGGGCGAACAGTGGCTAGGGCTTCATGTTGTTGATCGAACTATCTCCGAAGGGTGACGTTCGCAAGGCTTTGAAACATTTTTCAAACCCCATGCTCTGATGCATCGTTCCAGCGTACCCCGTACCTTGCAGAGAGATGATGTTGGCAGAATGACACATGCCCGCTCCATCGAGAGGCGTTGTACACGCATCAAACGGCTCCACCATGCTCCGCAAGGCTGTCTACAAATGCCGCATCTTCTGTTGGCCATCGAAATGCCACCCGCCAGTGCGTCGAAGGCGACGCAAGTTCTGATGCAGCCTTGCAAGATGGGACTCCCGCCGGGTTATCCCACCTTGGGTCCCGCTAGCGATGAAAGGGTGATGTGAGTAAATATTGATCAGAATTCGGCGACCCCGCGGACGGCTGCCATCCATACTTCGCTCTGTGGCCCTAATTCTTACCCTTACTTGACCTAAGGTTCTAATTCTTTACTGTTGTACTGTGAACGAAAGGAGGGGCAAAACTTCCGGGATCCAGAGTGGCATTCCCCTCTGGCGAACAAGACCCATGCAGAATGGGGTCATAGCCTCGAAATGATATGCAGACAATGGGCGAGCTGCAATGACGAAGCGAGGATCTTGAAGCATGCCCAATACCTGCCTGCAGAGATTGCTAGCCACATGCAATATGATCGAATACAGAGCGCTGGGCACGGGATTCGAGCTATGGTCGAACTGGCCCAACTGATTCAGAGAGACAGACTCGGCAGAATCGCCCAAGCCTCGCCCACCCTCTCGCAAATAAGCATCAATACAATACGTAACTGGGAACGAAAGAGGAATTTGATCATCTGGCGAATGCTCGGCTTCCCAGGCGCGCAATCTGGCTGGTTGACCCTTGCTGACGGATATTTTAGCCATTCACAGCAGCCAATCTCTGCCGACTCTGGAGGTCATCGCCATTGCATCGGTTGACGAACCAGCTCAAAGTAAACCTCCGGAGGAAGCTCTCTCTTGCTTTATCTATGCTGGGATCACCGATATCAAGCTCGTTACTTTGTACTATGCTGAAGCTATACTCTCGATTGCATCACAATGCGATCAAGCACCAGCCATATTCGTTCAGTCTGTTAGGCCGGCAGGCAGGCGATGGACCGATGCTAACGGGATGTTTCGTGTAGCAAGCAACTTCCCATACCCGAAGTGAGAGATGACCAGATTATTGGCCTGAAGAAAATGCTTAGACTATTGGCCATGGTCAGATGGCGGAGCTCATTTGGCATCCGGCTGCCCGTTGACTTCGAAGAAAGCCACATGGATGCCCACACGAACGCCACAAAATCTCGCCTTGCTGGACCACCATTCCCGGTTTGTAAGTGTCAGCGACAAGTCAAAGGCAAAAAGCGTCGAGAGACAATTAATAAACTGCGGATTTGATGCTCCTCGGGCAGAGGCCCGATTGAGCGGATGCACGACGCCTTTTGACCACCTCCCACGACGTGGGATGGGCGCTTGAAAAAAGTCGTCAGAAGGGCATCTTGACCGACAACCGGTGGATACATTGGCTGAGAACCCTGCATCCCAGGGCACTGGCAATAGAGGAAACGACCCAGACGACTGAGAGGGGCCGCCAGGCCCATCACGCCTTACCCAAGAGGGTTGATGGGTGCTCCGGCCGACCCACGGAGCAGCAGTTACGGTCAGGAGTGATGGGATGGGGACTCCTTTTGCGGCAAGACCCCGAAAAGTTACATTTTCTGGTACCGCGGAATCGGTGCAGGCCGGGTTCTCTGAAGAGAAAGATTCGTAGTCACGGTGGACGAAGAAGACTCAACCACAGTCCTCGGTAGGCCCGTGGCTTGGCTAGAGACGCCAAGGACAGAGATGAGTCTACATACGATACTTCGAAGCAAATTGTAGTGTACAGAGTACAGTGTGGGACATGGAGAGGTCCCAGTCGCACCGGTTGTAGGAAAACCCAGGCTTGAACCGGGCCTCAGGCTGTATGTTTCCTTGCCTGTATAACTATGAAACTGTTCTAGCTGAAGATTCGTCTTATTCACCGAGTCCAAATACGAGGCTAGCTTTTGCGATTCCGGTTCCCTGGCCGTTCCGGTGGTTCCTTCAGAGTCTTCCTTCGGCTTCCAGCATCGACCTCCAACAGTTGTCACGGCTGTGGAACGAGGCCTCTCGGGCAGGTCGAACCAATATAGACTTCGAGAATGCTAAAGAGCTCGGTATGAGTTGGTGGGCAGCGAGGGTGTTCGATGACGCCGAAATCACACCGCCGAGTTGTCGTCTGCAGAGCTAATCCTAGCTCTACAACGTGATAGACAGGAGGAGGATGATGATGATGAGGAGGAGGAGGAATGGTCGATCGTCACAGGGATTAAGCAATTCGTTCATCTCGAAGATGCTGGGATGAGGTAACTCGTAGGTGCAGGTGGGATTGACGACGAGGACGTCGTTGGTCCGGGCTTCCAGAATGGCGAAGGGCGAGTCCCTCGTTCTGCTCGAGCGCTGGTGGGCACCCACTGCACCCACCATCCACTACCGAGGGTCCGGGTTGTGAGTAGAGTTGCAATTGTGGATGCGGATTGTAAGTTTGACGTGTTGGCTAAGATGAAGGCCTAGCGGCAGTGGGAGGAGCCTGGCAGGCGCAAGGATCTGGGAGCCGAAAGTGCCCATCGAGCCCGTACACAGCACGACAACCACTGCTCGTAACGACTCGACTCGCATGGGACTAAACCCGTACAGACAACGTACCAGCCTGTATCAAACTACATACCTGACTACTCATCATCCTCATCGCCGACTCACCCTTCTATCCTCTTGCCCTCCAGCCTTCCCACGCCCAACACTTATCGACGACGCCTGTGCTGTAGACTCTATCTACACGCACTGAACTCCCCCAAGCAGCTTCCCCACCTTATCGTCGCTCATTTTGCCCCATCTCCAACCCTCAGGACCGTCGCCACGACCTTCACCACCACCTTCTTCACGGCGACCTCATCACGTCACCGTCCTCGCCGACTCTCTCTTCGACTTTGTACTCCCGGCGACGACAGCTACGTTCGGCAGCCTCCTCTTGATCATCTGCTCCGACCTTATCCTCCCGCAGGTCTATGTTAGAATACGAAGAGAGTCCTCCGCCACTCAATCACTCGCCCTCTCCGAGTGACCGGTCGCATTTCACTTCTCGAGATACGACCCCAGTTACACCCGTCGGTAACGGGCCGTGTTTTGGCAGGAAGACAGAGAAGGATACGCTTCCGTGGTTTAGGAAACCCATCGACGTCGGACGCACCACTACGAGACTTTGTTTAGACACCGACTCTTCCCTCCTCGCCCCGGACTTTGACGACAACTCCTTTCCAACCTTCGGCGCCTCGCCACCACATAAGGGTATGGCGAGCGTAGCCAACCCTCTTGATATCTCCGTGAGACAGACGTCGACTTCGCCACGTGGCAATCAGCCGTCCAACTTGACCTCCGCGCTGCAGCGGAGTGACAGTGAAGAGAAGCGCATGATGGCCAACCCAACACCGGAGACAGCGCTCAACCGCCCCTTGCCCCAGATGCCGTCCAGTTCCTCGAATGACTTTGCCAATTTTGAGCACGGAGCGAGGCCGATCTCGGTGAAGGGCATGGCGCATGATCGGGCCAGACGCGAGAGCCTGGCTCAGAGCCTCAACGCGGGCATGAGCTGGGGAGGAATATCCGTGGGAAGTTGGATACGAGACGAGTAAGTCCCATGATTGACGCTCTTTGAAACGTCTGGCGTGCTAATATGTGTGTGAAGTATGGTCATGTCTGGAACCTCGCCCTTCACGTTCAATTCGCCCTCGTTCCATTCCTCCTCCTATCTACCCAAACTCGAGGCCAACTTCATGAAAGACTTCTCTTGCTGTGGCCTTACCCTGCCCACCTTACACGATCTTTTACAGCACTACGAAGAAGCACACGCGCAGAAGGATCCCCAGCAGTCCAGCACCAACCAACAAGCCGTTCCGGATAGCCGAGCTGCAATTGCTGCCACGACAGCCGCACAGGTTCAGCAAGAAGCCCAACAGCGCAATCAACAGCAACAGTCACACAATGGCCCCGGTCGGCCGTTCGGGACGCAGCAGAACGCCGCGCAGAATATCCACCGACCGTCGGGCTTTTCTAGCACTTTACAAACTATCCCGGACATGGACACAGTTGAGGACATGGAAATGGATGACATTGATGGAGCTGATGAAACGACGCCGCCGCCGAACCTGTACACTCAGAACCAATCCCAGACTTCACCCCAGACCTCTTTTGCATCCCCCGTGCAACAGCCCCAAATACCTCAACTCAACACTACCATGATGCAAGGGCATCAAGCCTACAGACAGTCCACTCCCAATACACCCGTGGCGGCAGGGCGCAATGCAACACGCTTCCCGGGTAACACTTCATCCACGCTGATGCCAAACCCCATGCAGCAGTTTCAAGACCTGCAGACCGGATATCGAGGTACCCCGGACTCGTCCGCTCCCGGCACGCCTGGCGAGATGGGTGAGGGGATGATGGATGGTATCGACGACATGTCGATGCAGAACCTCGCCTTGTACAATGGTCTCCCGAACGGGATGGGGGGCTATAATTTCGGCATGAATAACGACATGATCGATCTCTGCATCGACGAGCCGTCCAAACGTCTGTTCTCGACCGGTAACCAGGGCGTGAGTCAAGGGCAAAGCGCGCAACAAATTGCGCAGAATCGACTTGGTACGGGCCAGTACGGAGCCAACAGCGAAATTGCAAGGACAATACGCGAAAGGCAAGCCGCTGCCGGGCTACCCGACACCACAACAAACATTCTTCCGCACGAAGAACCTAAACCCTTCCGATGCCCCGTAATTGGCTGCGAGAAGGCGTACAAGAACCAGAACGGTTTGAAATATCACAAAGCGGTAAGTGATCACGAACTCGCGATGTGTCAGTTAACTAACCTGGAGCTAGCATGGTCACAATAACCAGCGACTTCATGAGAACGGGGATGGCACATTCTCCATCGTCGATCCCGATACCCAGGCACCTTATCCTGGCACCATGGGAATGGAAAAGGAGAAACCCTACAAGTGCGATGTTTGCCAGAAACGGTACAAGAACTTGAACGGGCTCAAGTACCACAAGACACACTCACCGCCTTGCAACCCGGAACTTCAACTGAATGCGAACAAGACTCCGTCACTCGGTATGCCCAACATGATTGCTGGTCAACAAACAGGCAATATGGGAGCTGGTCTCTCGGGTGATCTGTCCATGATGTGAAGATACCCAGCATGTAACGACCACAAGAGGCTACGACCATCCGATGCGCCCAAGCAACTTGGTCACGTTTTGGATTGGGATCACTATTCGTTTTCATATTATTAATTGATGAGAGACGGCTGAACATGCATGACGGGAAGAGCAACCCTCACGACACCAAAAGCCGGTCAGGCTCAATATCGTACGTGATGACAAGCAAAAGCGATCATCAGAGGCCTCTTTCCCGGTTGGACAGGGCTCAGACAGAGATGTCATTCGGACGGCCCATCTCCGACTGAATGTTTGGAATTTGTGCAACACAATCATAGACAGGTGCTGTTGGGGTTATCTTCAAAAAGTTTACAGTGCTTCGAATTTTCAGGGACAGGGTGTCCAGATCCGGCGCCACGAAGCACGACTGGGGGCAAACTGCTCGGTCTCGACCTTTTCTCGACTCGACCACAACGGCGTTTTGGTACAGGACATCTGGATAGAAGACTTCGGCGACAGCTCCTGACAGCCCACGTCTTCCCAGCGGAAGATTGGTTGAAAGACGGTGTTTCTTTGTACACGAGTACGTGCAGAGTGGATTTTGTGGGCTTGGGCCAGTTCGGTACATTCAGATTTAGAGACTTTTCTACGTTGTGTTGAGGCTGAGGTTTTGGAGGGTGATGTGTGTGCGTGAACGACTCACGAGCAGCAAGGTCAGTCTCCTTTCTGGAGCGTTATGGTGTGGATGATGAAGAGATTAGTTGAGTCTTGTGGTGGATGAGTGCCTGACAGACGTGCAAGAGCATGAGTTATCTTTCAGCAAGAGTTGTTGCACCATAGAGCATCGCGTAGCTGCAAGTTGGATACAGTGAATAATCACAGACAATCACAGTCGTTAGAGCAAAGCGGCGAGTCCTAAGCACCTAGCCAAGTATTCAGTGTGCCTTGTTGGTCAGCGCTTTTACTATTTCGGTGGAAGCTCGTGACAAAGCACACGAACCAGAGTCCACCTGACTCGACTGGTGTCGCGCTTGGTGCAGCCTTTCCCAAATATTTGGCAGGGATCGGCCGATAAGCACGCACAGGAATACCTTGTACTCCGTAGGGCTTAGTATTCCCCATCCGGAGGCGAGTGCACACATATGTACGAGCAATGTGAAGGGATTCGGACGGTTGAAGTCTTTGGAGCAGAATGTTCTGGAGAAACGTGGCTGCAGGGTATCGGTAGGTATTCTGGATTAGCTACATATGTTGAGTGCAAGATGGCGACAGAGTTTTCAATGGTTTCGGGAAGAGGGAGTGGAGGGAGGGATCAAGGCTTTCTGAGGCTGTGGGCTGAGCTGGTGGGATGCCCATTACGCCAAAAACAGGGGCCATGCGAGAGGATGAGGTACTTTGTGATATGTACTCTGTACCGAGTACTCGTTCTCGGTGATCTCGAGGGAATTGCATTGAATAGCAGTAGTTCGTAGTTGTTGATTCGTAGGGCTTGTACAAAGGAGACCTTCCTCCGAGTGGTGCTCACGCAGAGAGAAAGAGAGAGAGTACGGAGAACTGAAAGGGGCTCTCAATTGATCGGGCGTGGACGGCTTCAGGTTCGAGACAGCTCTACTGGAGCAGCTGATGGAGATGGATAGAGGCGCGCCATAAGCCCCCAGGCGCGGTTCGTGGTAAAAAGTAAAGAGGCGCAGCTCAGGATGAGTAGAGTGGTCAGAAGATGGAGACGGAGTCTTCTCAGCTCCCTCTCACGTTGACAGTGGATGCATCGACGCGTCGCCGCGGTCCACAGTGCCAGGGCGATTAATATGCTTGTTTCAGAGCGCTCGGCCAAGCTCTCAGACATGGGCGGGGGCACCACAGGCGGTAACTGGCGAGCTGGGTTCTGACTACCGCCCTACGCAGTGCTCCTTGCTACTTGGTGCTACTACAAGGTACTCCACGAAGAAGACCTACCACCACCCACCACCAACAACCACCAAAGTTACTGTACCACGCCCGCCCTTCCGTGGAACCACCGCCTCCAGCCGCCCATTCTGCCCCTGGCGCAACGCAACCTGGCATCTTGATCTGCAACAATCTTAACGATTACATGTCATTTATTTACCCCTACCGCATAATCCAACACGCTTTTTGAGAGGCCGAAAGAACACCATCGTCGCATCTCCCTGCGACTGCGTATCCTCCCTGCTAATAAGCCGTCCAACGCCGCCACCACCGCCGGCCCCTCCCCTTCGTCCTTCTACGCCATTCCCTTGGGAGCAAAGTAATATCGACCTGCCATTCCTTTTGCCTTCCTCCACACACGACAAAATCATCCAGTCTTTCGTTTAGTGTCGACTTCCAGCGAAACCTCAACGATCCTTTTCAAACAGCCCGCAAAACCCCTCCTGGCTCATTCCTTGCCTCGAGTTCACGAGTCCTTCACGGAGTCGGATCAGCCGTGTCGGTTTTACGAGAGCTTGCGACTTTTTGCGAACCTTCGAGTCAGAGAGTCTGCTAGATGCACGGAATCACAACAACGACGGCGCAGTGAACATCGCTCCTCTCTGATTAACATCGGCAATAAAAGAAGAAGAAGAAGAAGAAAGTAAACTGCTCTCCCGCGTCTCGCACATCGGCGTTGTCGTTGGTGGATACGGAACCCTTGGTGTCACGATCTTCGAGTTGACGAGGTTGAAACAGCCTGAGAGGGTGGGCGAGAAAGGCAGAGAGCAAAAATGGTGGACACTGCTGATAGCAACAATGCCCCACATATGGTGTTCAATATGCTCGAAGACAAATATATCGGCCTCGCCTTGGCCATCGTATCCACGCTCGCCATCGGAACCAGCTTTGTTATCACCAAGAAGGGACTTAACGACGCCGCAGATAAGCACGGCTTTGAAGGAGAAGGATTTGCGTATATGAAAACGCCGCTGTGGTGGGCAGGGATAGGCTCCTTGGTGGTGGGCGAGATCGCCAATTTCGCCGCATACGCCTTTGCGCCCGCCATTCTCGTCACACCGCTGGGCGCGCTCAGTGTGCTCATTGGAGCCGTGCTCGGTGCCTATTTCCTGGGCGAGGAGTTGGGAGTTTTGGGAAAGCTGGGATGTGCGATCTGTCTGCTCGGGAGCGTCATCATCGTCCTTCATGCGCCGCCAGACAAGGAGATAGAGACGGTAGATCAGATTCTGGCGTACGCGATCAAACCAGGTATGGGAAATATGCGACTCCGGTCGGCGCACATGAAGTGGAAGAAGCATGGCTAACTCTCCCTCACAGCGTTTATCATTTATTGTCTGGCCGCGATTGTCTTCTCGACCGTTATGATCTACAAGGTTGCGCCGGTGTACGGCAAGAAGAACCCCCTGATTTACATCTCGATTTGCTCGACTGTCGGATCGGTGTCGGTCATGTCGGTCAAGGCCTTTGGAATTGCAGTCAAGCTGACTTTTGCGGGCAACAACCAATTTACACACCCTTCGACCTACGTATTTATGGTGGTGACCATCGTCTGCATTCTCACGCAGATGAATTACTTCAACAAGGCACTCAGCCAGTTTTCGACCTCGATCGTCAACCCCTTGTATTATGTCACATTTACCACTGCCACGTTGTGCGCGTCGTTTATTCTATTCCAGGGGTTCAACACGACCGATGCTGTCAACACCATTTCTCTCCTCTGCGGGTTCTTGGTCATCTTCTCAGGGGTGTACCTACTCAATCTATCGCGAGGGGACCCTGATGGCCATCGAATGCTCAACGGGAAAATTGCAGATGAAGATGGGATCCCGACCGACCCCTTGGCAGGCCTGCAAACGCGGAGAAGCATGCAGGCGAGAAGGAGTCTGGATCCGCACCGACGGAGCAGCAGCCTCACATTCAGCCCGGGAGGCCTATTCTCGGGCGGAAGTCGACACGTGAGCGCCGAGAGTGCAGGGCTGATGCAACACTACGATGTCGAGCACGGTGCTTTTGGACTGTCGGATCTGGTGGAAGATCCAGAGGAGATCCGGGCGACCTCGAGTCGACATGGGAGTCCCAGAGTAGGAGGGGAGCAAGTGACGAGGATACACGATAGACCTCATCAAAAGAGCCTGGATCGGTGACATTGGTGATTGATCGATCTCGACTAGACTTGGATCAGAGAGTTTCTTCTGATTGTAACGATATCCATGCATAGGTAACGGTTCATTAGCGACGAAACAGGCTCACTAGGCCCAGCATTTGCCAGGATAAAGGGTATGACCAAGGAAGGAAAAGGCGGGCAACTGAAAGGGGAGGATTGATTCATGCACGGGGGCTTGCCGTCAGGCCAGGAGGAAGGTTGTACTGTATATTGGCATTGGGCACACATGATGCAGCAAAGATTGTATTGGCCTTTGAGAGTTTCCAAGTCTGGGTGACAGTGAGCACGTGTTTTGTTTTGTGGCGTTGGCTCCATCCACTTTTCACTTTCGACTTTCCACCACCAACCTGCTTCTACTGTATCTGTATATTATTCCCACCATCTCTTCTTCCCGTGTCCATGGCCACAAGAAGCTAACACTCGTTCCAAACACAATCAGCCCCAACAGGGCGAGCCATCCGTTTCACCATGGCACCCTCCTATCCATCTCCAAGTCTCAAAGCATCCATCTCGCCACGCACAGGGCCCCAAAAAGGTACGACTACGCCTCACCACCACCACTATAGCCCATGACAAACAATAATCCCATGCATCCCGTGCGCCTCGTGTTTGCATCGTCCAAGAAGGCCGCACCACAGGCTGATCCAAGGCGTTGCTTGCGTTGCCATTGCGCCCACCCTTAATTATTTCTTTTGCTGCATGATTCCATTGTTGGTGCCACTGTTCAGCCTATGCTTTTTCCTGGAGCAAACGGCGTCTCTGATAGGAGGAGCCGCGCACGTGCGCTATTGCCCGTTTCCTGTCGCTCGAGCACATCCACGGCTCTCTGTCACGCGACACCGGGGCACACGACAGTGGGATGCGGCGGGAACAAAGAGGCTCCATTGAACGATCGAGCTCCGGGCATTACGCGACGGTACCTGCCCATGTGTTTGCTTTTTCCTTTGTCTGTTTGGTATCTGCTGCAAGAGAAAATCGTTGGCCAGCGCGATGCAACCCGACTTACAAGGACCTCTAACGCATTCTTAGGTGTGACCATCTTTGACGAGCCCGAGCATATCCCCGAGTCCAGTATCAAGGTCCTCGCGGATGACCAGGGTCACGGTGCCGGGACCTCCCCCACGCTCGTCGCCTCGTCCAGCCCCAGACTTCACCGCGCCAGTATTTCAGGAAAGAAGATGACCGGACGACCCGCCCTGCCTGGTTCCAATTCTTATTCTTCTCATCTCTCTGCTCCCGGTGCTTCCCTCCACAGGCCCATGTCGCATCTCCGTCTCGACGCTAATAACCCTCGTGACTCAGGGTCTGAGGGCCCGGGCACCATCACTACCGGACCGGCAGCAGAGGGTAAAACGCCCGACGTACGTGCCATCCTGGCCCAGGTGGCCGACTGGCTTCAAGATGAGAAGGCAAAGCGGCAGAAGCGAAGGCACCATCGCCATCACCATCATCATAACAAGCGTCCGAAGACACCCGACGAGCAGAGCGACGACTCCAAAACCCATGATGCTGTGCTCGACGGCGACCAAGATATGTCGCTGGAGAGGCTGGAGAGCATTCTCCAAAACTTCTCGTCCGGCCATCCTTCGAAGCTCCTGCGCAAGTCGTCGAGCTCTCTCCTGAGAAGGGGATCCGTGGGCAAGAAATACAAGCAGCCTCGCTCCGTTCCGGCTTCATCAGACACGGAATTCTATGGCGACGACATATTAGTCCCGAATGTTGAGGCGAAGCTGGACAACACCAAGACGATGGCTTTCACTGGCGGTTCAGCAGACGCGGACACGAGCGACAGTGCGAGGAAGCAGGACTACGAGCACTGGGTGACCTTCAAGAAGGACATTGTCCGCTTGACGCATACGCTTAAGCTCAAGGGCTGGCGGCGCATACCCATCGACCGAGCTGCCGATATTGATGTTGCGCGTCTGAGCGGTGCCCTGACCAACGCCGTCTATGTCGTCCACCCCCCCAAAGACATGTCCGAATACGATGCCCACAATCCTTCTGATCCTACTACTGCGCCTGTCCCGGTCTCCCGGCGACGCCCTATGTCCCTCCTTCTTCGTATCTACGGCCCGCAGGTCGAACACCTGATCGACCGCGAGGCTGAACTGGGCATTCTCCGCCGCCTCGCTCGGAAAAATATTGGACCTCGCCTTCTGGGCTCCTTCGAAAATGGCCGTTTCGAGGAATTTCTCCACGCCATAACCCTCACGGCAGAGGATCTGCGGACCCCAGAGACTTCCAAGCAAATCGCGAAGCGCATGCGCGAGCTTCATGAAGGTATCGATCTGCTCGAATCTGAGCTCGCTGCCGGCCCGGCGGTTTTCGTGAATTGGGATAAGTGGGTCGACCGGTGCGAGAAAGTCATCACTTGGCTCGACGAACAGGTTCATCAGGCGGTGAAGGAGCTCGCAGACGGAACAGCAAGGCGGAAGTCGAGAATCAATGCACGCTACGTCCGGCGCGGGTTGATCTGCGGTGTCGAATGGCCCGTCTTCCGCAAGGCATACGACACATATCGGCAACGACTGCTTGAAAAATATGGTGGCGTCGAGGGAATCCGCAAGCTGCTCGTCTTCGCCCACAACGACACTCAATACGGAAACCTCATGCGGCTACAACCTTCTGGCACCTCACCTCTTCTGAGACCGTCCAACCAACACAAACAACTCGTCGTCATCGACTTCGAATATGCAGCACAAAACCCTGTAGGGTTGGAATTCGCAAACCATTTTACCGAATGGTGCTACAACTATCACAATCCTCCTGACAAGAACTATCAGTGTGACACGAGACGGTATCCGGATGAGCAGGAGCAACACAGATTCGTGAGGAGCTATGTCATGCATCGACCCCAGTTCAACCCTGCGGCGAGTGCGACACCCAAGATGGAGGGTCGGGAGAAGACCAATATCAGCGACTTCATGCTTGACGCTCGGACCCCCGGAGGTGGGACCCCCAATGCATGGGGAGGGAGCAGCGGGTTCGAGGGGCCATCTGAATCCGACTATGACAAAGAGGAGGACGAGAGGGAAAAGGCTCAGGAAGCCGAAATCGATAGGTTGTTGCAGCAAACGAGGCTGTGGCGGGTCGCCAATTCGGCCCAGTGGGTGGCCTGGGGCATTGTGCAGGCCAAGGTGCCGGAGCTGGACGCGTTGGAGGAAAGGGAAAAGGAAGAGAAGAGCCTGAGCAAACGTATCAAAGAGAGGAGGAAAGGCATGACAGAGATGGTATCTGCGGGAGAGCAGAAGATTGTCGAAAAGATGAAAAATTTGGTGGGTAAGGATGGCGCTGGGGGACGCCATCAAGTCGAACATGCCAATCCAATGTCCGACCCTCTCACTGAAGAAGAGAAACGACTACAGGTGGAGAGTCACTGGGACCGACCAGAGGGAAGAGCACAAGAGGAGGCACGCCATGAGGGCAATGGAGATGTTGTCGTGAAGCAACCGGCGGACGCCCCTGACCATCTTTCCACTAGCCATACCACCATCGACGAGAACACCGAAGGGAACGCCGATCTTAACAAGCGGTTACGATCAACGGTGGCGCGGTGCCTTTGCACCCCCAACTTCAGGCTCAACCTCAAACCGAACCGCTCCAAAACGGTCACGCAGAAACGACCCCGGAAGACGGATTGTCTCGCCCGGATGATAGCCGCTCAAGCTCCCCCTCCGCCGTCGATGATGAAGCCGAGGAGGAATTCGACTACCTCGCCTACGCCCAGGAGCGCGCCATGTTTTTCTGGGGCGACTGCCTCAGGCTCGGCTTCGTCGCGGAGGCCGATTTGCCCCAAGATCTCGTCCGAAGGGCCAAGGTTGTGCCGTATTGAGAAATGGGCTTGTTTGTCGGGTTTCCTTTTTTGCTTGCAACACGGAGGAGCAAGGGGTTTGCTGGAGCACAAGGTCCCGGGAAGAACGACCAGTGCTGCGGGCTGTGAGGTATATGGACAGTACAGTACAAGGTGCGAATGTACCGTACCGTATGACACACGAATGAAGGGTGATTTATGGGATATGTTCTTTGGTTTCCCGCGTCGGGCGTTACCTCACCCTTTTGATGGTGGTGTCGAGATGTCAGGGGGCGTCTCGCGAGGTCTTTTCGTCAACCAGACAACAAGCCAATTCCTTATTCTATGATTCAACATCGGGTTTTTCGGACAGAAGAATGAATGAATGCTTGGGCGGGAACCGGAGGCGAGGCAATCAGAGCCAGCCCCCGGACAGGGATTGGACGCAGGTGATCACGACGACGGGCTATTATATCATGAGGTATGTATGTATTTATGTATGTTATGTAGCGTTGTTTTGAGGCCCGCCTACACATACAGACATGTACATAGATCGACGATACCACATTTTATGTTATGTTATGGTATGTCATATCATCTTTCTTTCTTTCTTTCTGTTTCTTTGTTCTGGTCTGGTAATCTGATCTGACCTGGTCCGTCTTCACACCATGACTCTTATGCTGCAAAGGAAAGGAAAGGCAAAAAACCCCACTCACCCATTCATTCATTCATTGGCTGTTGATAGATAGACCATCTTTCCGAAGAGGGATCAAACATCATTCCTCTGTCCTACCTTTGTACATATTACATGTCTGGATAGACAGACAGACAGACAGACAGACAGACAGACAGACAGACAGACAGACAGACAGACAGACAGACAGACAGACAGACAGACAGACAGACAGGCAGGAAGGGCGCCGCCGCTGTCAACATTGAATAAATGCACTGCGGTGCTATATCTCACTCTGTATCGGATTCTGGATCACTCTCTCTCTTAGGCACGATATGGTTCATCTATTGCTATCGCTCTTTGTCTCTCTCTCTCTCTCTCTCTCTCTCTCTCTCTCTCTCTCTCTCTCTCTCTCTCTCTCTCTCTCTCTCTCTGGTTCCGGTTTCCACACATATCAGGCGCCTAGCGGCACCACCACTTCGGTCCGGTTTTTATCGCGCAATATTGAACACAATGAATGAAGAAATGCATCCGTGACCACCCACCCACCCGCTGAGCACTGAGCACTGAGCATGGCTGGCTCTATATCACCATCATATGTGCATCCTTTACCCTTCTTTCTCGGACACGCGCAGGCACACATTGCGTGCGCATATGAACAGACCAAACACCGTGCAGTTGTACGAACACGGCAGCTCCCCTTGATCGCTCGCTCGCCTTTCCACTTCCAGGTGTTCAGAATATGGATGGGCCGGTGATTGTACATATGGAATTGGGGACAGGAGCGTTTGCTGGCCTGAGCTAGTGCAGGAGTTGTTGTATGTACACCGAGATCGAGACGGCCATTCCCAAGGGGGTTTGCGACACGGGTGGCTCTTGTTTTGGTCGCTGTCTGAAGTCCCAGAACCCGCTGCTCGTTTGGTGTTGGGAGTTGACACATTCAACTATTCCTGCCTGCCAGACGGGGGCCGTCTCGTGCGAGACTGACGCTGAAGAGAAGGGTGGCATCTCGAGGAGGCGGAGACGCATGTACAGAGACCATCGGCGAGGCTAGACCTTGGATGCTGTGGACATGGAGTGTCCCTGTCCGCCCGCAAACGATCGACTGTGCGGTTCTCTTTGCATTCTCATCAGGGGCATCGCACGCGCCTCATACTTTGATCTTCACGCCGCTCTTGTTCAATCCCATGGCGACCCCGGTAACGACCACGGCATAACCCATCAACAGACCCATTGCCGCCAGTGGAGGCATGTCGAGCGTGTTGAAATTCAAATTGACCAGCCCCGTCAAGAGATTCGCGATCAAAAACACGGCGAGTCCGTTGCTGTTGTAAGCCGCCAGAATGCGGCTGGTCGCAGATCGGACTCTGTCCTTGTCTTCCGCCTCATATGAGAAGCTCGGCCCGCAGGCTTCCACCACCCCGACGAGGAGGATTTGGGCATTGTTGAAGGCCAAGACCCATAAAACGTAGGGGAGGTTCGCGAGGCGGCGCGATACGGTCAGGTTGAACGTGTAAAGGCTCGTTGTCAACCAGTAAAGCGACGCGTAGATGAGAGACTTGATGAAAAGACTCCTCAGCACCAATTGTCTCTCGCGACGCGTGACTTCCACTGGACTCAACTGCTTCGCAACCCCAGGGGCCGGCTGGTTGAAACAGACCAAAAGCAGTCCGGCTCCTCGCCCTGCGAGGAAGATGGCCAGGTATCCGGTGAAAGAAAAGACTCCTTCTCGGTTTTTGGATAGGAGGCCTGGTCCGCGAGGTGAGATCAGAATGTAAGACAGCAGGTCTGTATTATTGAGGACAAGTTCGTAGATGACAGCAATAGTGAGGGCGAAGGCCTCGTAAGACTTGAATGCCCTGCGGGTCAGGCTGTCAGATATCTCTGTGAAGGGCGGCAGTAGTGCCAGTGTGAAGAAGAAGTTCCAGTGGACTCCATATTCGGTGACGTGCTCAGCGTAGTCAAGGCCTTTGACACTGTACAGGCGAATGAGGCCGAGGGCGAGCAGGGGGATGGAACGCCGACAGGCCTGAATGAAACGATTGGCAAAGTTGGTCGTGGAGGATGACACGGCATAGACATTGGAGCTCGCGCGTACCACAGCTCGGGCAGAGACCACACCAGCGGAAAAGACAAAAGAGCCCACGCCCAGGTCCATAAGCGAGGTGCCCCAAGTCTCGACTTTGGCGTAGCGGCGGGGAAAGATGGGGAAGTCGACGGCGAGGATGGCCAGGCAGGTCACAACGAGCATGGACCCGCGGTAATGGGTGAGGAATGGTCGGACGGGGAGCGCCAGGGGAGCATTGGAAGTGCTGGCAGCGGTGCCATTGACAGCGACAGGGTTGAGTTTTGCTGGCTTCTTCGCTGTCCTTGATGACGGGTTTGCTGGACCGTCCGAGAAAGAAGCCGACTGTCCACCGGACTGGAGGAAGAGAAGCAGAACAGCAGGGGTGATGAGAAAGAGATTCAAGGCCAGGGGAGCTGATGAGTACAGGGTGATGGCGAACAAAATGGCGCAGACATTGAGCAGGAAGTCGGCCACCAGAGCGACAGGAGAGTATGGCGTGAAGAATGAGTATCTTCTCTGCAAAGCAGTCCAGAGAAACACGGCGGCCTGCCAATATCCATTAGTGTGATTGTTCTCGAGTGGAAGGCCAGCAGAACCATACTGCGGCAACGAGCGTGACCAGGTTGATCTCTGTCAGGGAGCTTCCATAGAGGTTGGACACGAATGCCTCCTTACGAGCCTTGTAAGAAGCTGCTGCAGATGCGGCCATGGCAAGAGAATTGGGGTTTATTTAGATCATTCTGTATAATAATGGGCGTTGTTGGTGATGATGATGATGCAGGGAAATTCAGAAGAATGTTGTTGTTGACAGGTGGCAGCACATGTGATGAAATGACACGCCACAGCCTCTACAATTCGTTTCAAATGACAAATGACAAATGACATGGCAAAAGGGGGACATCGCACTGCACCAAATTCCAGAAATCTAAACCTGCTACCTTTATCCTCTTTTCAAGCATCTGGGAAATCTCATTCGGTCGTTTGGCCTTGGTCTTTGGGCTTTCGCTGTGTGTGCATCGTGGTAGCATCCGAGATCAAACCTCAATATACGTGCCAATTGATAGTGTTCTGGCCTTGCTTCAGACAAGTAGTGAATCGGCGTAGAGATGCTCTTTGCTCATGTCGAGCAGAATCAGATACTGTTGTGCGACCGCCCACCGAGAACCCATCGTTTCCAACACCTTCCGGAGAATGTGGTATGCATCTCCCATTTCCTGTTGCCCGGTCTCGTTGGCAAGCCATGCGTAGATGGTCGCCGCGAAGTACAGACAGTCCCCAAGCAAAGGACTCACTGCTGCTGGGTTTGAAGTCATGTCAACGTGCCACAGCTGGCTGAAACGAAGCACATCTGCGGCGACCGACTTCAGCCCTGCAATTGCGATTGTCTGCATCTCGGTCTCTTCAACGGTCCGGTAGCCGCGGTTGGATTCAGTACAAGCAAACGGGTCGCTGAGGTGTAGCAGGCTGCTGTAACAAAGGGCCAAGGGTGTTCCATAGCGCTCTGGCGAGTGATGGACGTCGTTGGGAAGTAGATTGGCCAAGGCCTGAAGCGTCCGATGGAGCTGGATTGCTTCGGAAAATCGCATAGACGCATCTAGAAGCCTGTCATTGAGAAGCCGGACGAGCCTGCCGAGGAGGTGCGTCGCTTGGCACGTTCGTGTAAATGCTCCGGCTTTTACGTTTGTGGGCGAGGACACGTAGAGAGGCTCACTCGTCGTTATCTGGCCTTCGTCCCAGAGCTCGTCGTCGGCCGGCAGCGTGTCGTTGACAACAGGGTCGTCGGTAGCCAAGGGGTGGCCTGAGGAACCGAGATTGACATATCTTGACCAAGGGTAAGCGTCTGATCCGCACGGGGTAACGGGTGTACACACCTATCCAAGAGCATAGTTGCCCACCACGTTCGTTTGAATTCCTCCAGCTCTGCCCACGCCCCCGTTCTCTTCTTCAACATTTGAGGAGCGTGTTGTCTGTCGTTCAGGCCCAGTGCATGTCCTAGCCTTGCGCAGTGTCCCGTACTCAGGTAAGCGGCTGGGTAGATCGCATGGCCTACCTCGTACGCGGCGATCAAGATGTTCGCCTGCAGCAACTGTAGGGACATCAACCCGCTCGATTCAACCATGGTGGCATAGCCCTTGGTGAGATTGTACAGTGGTGATCGAATGCTCTGGGAGCCCCCTTGGGGGACCTGGATGATAAGCTTCATCGATAGGAGTAGGAGTGCCAGGTCGAGGGTAAGCTCCATTGCAGGATTGGATAGGGTCAGCTGCAGGCGCTTTTTGGAGATGAAAGGAAGCCAGGTATGAATATTCGCAAAGTACCGGTCGACAATATCCTGGATGTCCAGGATGGAGACTCCCACCGTCGCCGCAACCTCTGCCGGGACGGCGATGTTGGGTCGAGGTATGGTCAGCTGCGCCTGCGCGTAGACTTCGGCGTCGAGGAAAAACGCAGCCGGGAAGATGACATTGCTGTCGGTCGCAAAGGCCGCCTCCCCCCCGGTGCCCGGACTCCTGCTGAAAGAGCGTATCGGGCCATGCCACCCTTCCGAGCGTCGGCCTTCCAAACGGGCTTCCAGGTCGGATATCTTCTGTCGCATCAAAGCAAAGTCTTCAGAGGTGGGATTGGGGGCGGTTTCCGAGTAATCACAGGGTCGGGACATACGCGTACACAGCGAGCAGCTGGGCAGCAACTTGTCGCATTTTCGCTTTTGTTTCCGACAGGAAACGCAGGCTTGAGGGGCTTTATCAAACTGGTCTGCCGTGTCAACCTCCATGATGTGGTGACACACAAGGTCTTTCAAGAAATCCGTTGAGCCCACTTGAAACGAACGGAGACGTGGATGGTGAGGAGGTTGGCGGTCATGCGGCCGCATGCAAAGGGTCCTTCTGTACCATCGTTTATAGACTGCTCGAGAAGCCCGCAATATCCCCTGTGGCGTATAGTTCGATTTTACCGGAAATACTCGTACAGTGGGGTTAAAAGAAAGTCACACCCATGCTCCCTTTATGTAAGAGCCAAGAGCATCCAATTAGGAAGTCATTCGCCAGTTCCTTCTCCGAGAACCTTACATCCGGTGAGTGGCGGTTTTTTTTTCTTTCTTAGATAAGTCGCCAAAGTCAAGATCAACGTGAGAATATTCCAGAGTGCGAGTCCTCAACTCAAGTACAGCGTCGACGTTCCCGAGATATCCCCCTTACCCCCTTATGACGTGTACTTCTTTTGCAGCGCCTTTGCTATCGTGGTGAGCTGGATGTTGCTGGTACCCTCGTAAATGGCCCCAATCTTACTATCCCGGAACATCTTTTCAGCGATACCCTCACGGACGAAACCCATGCCTCCCATCCATTCGACGGCGAGTCCACTGACTCTCCCAGCCACTTGACTGGCATACAACTTTGCCATGGCGGCATCTGTGACAAAGTCCTCGCCTGCCTCCTTCTTTCGAGCAGCGTTGTAGACCAGGGCCCGGGCTGCACAGATCTCCGTGTAGGCTTGGGCCAGTTGATGTTGCATGCCCTGGAACTCGCCGACCAGCTTGCCGAACTGCTTTCGATCGTTCCAGACATATTTGGCAGCATTTTCCCATGCTCCGAGAGCCAACCCTGTCATCTGGGCACCAATACCAATCCGTCCTTCGTTCAAAAGGCCAATGGCATACTTGTAGCCCTGACCTTCCCGGCCGAGGAGATTTTCCTGGGGGATTTCGACGTCGTCAAAGTTGATGACGCAGGTGCTGGAGGCTCGGATCCCGAGTTTCTTCTCCTTCTTGGCTATGCTGAAGCCCTTCATGTCTTTGGTAACAACGAACGCCGTAATACCCTTATATCCGGCTTCGGGGTTAAGGTTGGCGAAAACGAGGAAGAATTCAGCTTCCATTGAATTAGTAATCCACATCTTAGAGCCGTTGATCTAGTCTTTGTAAGTAAACAGAAACGATGAAGCGGTTTAGAGGATGGTAGACATACCTTGTAACCACTTGATGTCTTCTCTGCTTTGGTCTTCAATGCAAAGGCGTCGGAGCCTGACGCGGGCTCAGACAAGCAGAACGATCCGACAGTGTTCGTGGCCAACTTTGGAAGCCACTCCTTCTTGAATGCTTCGCTGCCATATTTGAGGACGGCGGTAACCACCAATGTGTTGTGCACATCGCACAATACCGACACTGACGGGTCGACCCGGGCAATCTCTTCAATTCCCACAATTGCAGATGTAAAGTTCATTCCCGCACCCCCATACTCTTCAGGGATCTCAAAGGCCATGAGGCCCTGCTCGAACATCTGCTCGACGACGGCCGGGTCCATCTGTTCTTTTTCGTCCATGTCCCTCACCTTTGGTGCGAGCTCTTCACTCGCCCATCTCGAGACAGTCTCTGCCAGCATTCTCTCGGTCTCCGAGAAGTGGGTGATGGGTGTCGGAGACAGGGAGGTCGTGTCGATGTCATCGGGCATGTAAGGTTCAGCATAGCGCCGTTTTGAGGTCGTAGTGAACGTCCGCTTGCTGATTTCAATTTAGCCAGAGTAGAGATCGAGAGGGGAGGTAGAGCATACGGTAGAAGGTTCCTTCGAGGCAGTGACCTGGTCGCCGAAGAAAGAGGTCTGATGCACGTGGTAGCTTTCGCGAGGGGTCGCAATGTTCTCGGGAGTGCAGCCATGTTGACGTCGGGGATAAGGTGCAGGAAGACAAGGACTGAGGGATTCGAGCTCAAGTCCAGAACGGATCTGTATATAAGACACCGGGGCAAAGGCTCGGTGAACAAAATTCAATACAATTCGTTGTTGTGCTGCGCACTTGGGGGTTTGATGTGATTCCTCGGTGCTCGGCTCACCAGCAGCTGCCCCCCTGCAGGCGGGCAACACGCGGATATTTAAGGATCGGCGACTTCTCGGATCCTATTTTACGAGCCAAGAACGAGAGCCAGCAGCGCCATCAGAGCCACCTACAGAATACGAGTAGGCTTTCCAAACTGATAGAGTATATGCTATTTGTCCGGGTCGCCAATAGTACCGGCACGTCACGACCTTGCCGAGTCCGAGTACTTAACCGTCTCGTCTCCAGCTCTGCATCCCTCCTGACCACCGCCTAGAACACCCAAGGGCCCAGCAGCGTGTGGCTGATGCTTTATGTGGCTTGAACACAGTTGTGGCGCAGCTGGACTGTGACGTCGCTCACTCGCAGGAGGTGCGACCCTTTGGCGCCCACTTCTGACGCAGTCGTCCATTCAACTGGCGACAAAACGATGATGCCCAGGATTCAAGTCCAAGCAATGGATATATTAAGAATCTGCGATAGCCGCCCAAGATCGCGACCTTGAGGTTTGTTTCTTCCTTTTGTCTCCTATCTTTCCCTCGCCAGACTTGCTCCCGCCCTCTTCTATCCTTGCCCATTGAGCGCTCTCGAAAGTCACCGGAGACTCAAGGTACCATCTTGCATTGTGATCATGTCTGCTGGCCATTCCGAGCCGCAGGTGCTCTACAGCGTCAACAACATCTCTGCATTTTCCGTCCAGAATGGAGAGGAACATCTGATCACGACATCAGGCCCCCAGACTTTGTCGCTCTTGATGGTGCCGACTGCATCACCATTTGCCGACCTGTCAACCACTGAACCGACCAGCGCGGCGCCCGAGGAAGACTTCTACCTCCACCTCCACCTGCCGCCTGAACTAGATCTTCCGCTGCCTGCAACCACCCAGATCTATCACAAACCTCCCAGCAGCTACCTGATACCTCGCTGGGATCTGGGACCCGATGCGGGTGCCTTCATCCGGCTGCAGTTTCCTTCCATCGGCAACGGGCCAGGAAAGGTAACGCAAGACGAGATAGACACATTTGAGACCATCCTCGCCCAGTGTACGGCATTCCTCGAACGAGTACACAGTACACCTCCGGGATTTGAGCGTTACGATCCGGGCAACTATCGGCCAGGAGAGGGCTACATCGGAACACCGAAGCCGGAAAAGGATCGTAATCAGCAGCATGGGCAAATTGTGCTTATTGACGAAGAGAATGGAAGCGTCATCGGCGAGCTGCAAGATAACTACACATTAGTGGAGGAGACATCGGTCAAGCCTGGTTCAAAGAGTACGTGCACGGCTTCATTCCCCCCATCTTTGGCCGATACTGACAAATTCACACAGCTCCGGTCCAGATCCAGCTACCTGTCGAAGGGCAAGGCAACCAGATCCGAGTCGACAACGTTCCTGAAGACTACCTTGCCATATCGAAACATCCTGCTTATGCGAAGTCGCGAGTCGTGCAAGGCTCTGCGACCGCCTCAAGGCTCATTGTGACGAGTTCCACTTACTTGGCGAATAAGCTGTCATCAGGGGCAGATTCGTTCCAAAAGAATACCCAGCCTAACCCCAAGCCCATGACATTCTCACCTGCTACCCATGCGCGCATCCGTCAAATCCACTCCTTTACTCAGGGCGCCGTTGGCCTCAGTGCAAAGACGGTCGGTCAACTGGGTAGATATGCCCAGAATTTTGGGGCCTCACTCGCTCGAAAAGGGGAGAAGACCAAGAAGGAGGTGGGCAAGGAGTATAAACCCGGCATTCTCAACAAATCCATGATTGCCTTCTCTACCATTGCTGACGGCATCGATCAGGCCGGTCGCAACCTCTTGGCCTCCAGCTCCGCGGCGGCGACCAATGTAGTGAGCCACAAGTACGGCAAGGAGGCTGGCACCGTAGCGCAAGGTCTGGCTGGTGGTGTCAAAAACGTGGGCCTTGTCTACATTGACGCAATGGGAGTGTCACGTCGAGCAGTAATCAAGTCCGTGGCTAAGGGCATGGTGGTCGGCCGGATGCCAAACGGACAGCAACTTGTCGTCGGCTCAGGCGATGGAGGAGTTGTGCCGGCTGAAGCATACATGCCCGACGAAAAGCGGAACGATTACTATCCCTCCTCCTACTCAGGGGCGTCGCAGAGCGGCGTGAGCCAGGCGGGATATGGAGTCGAAAGTTATGGCAATGCGACCAATGCGCCGCCTTCGTATCCTTCGGGGATCGGTGAACCTTTGGGTTCAACACTGCAGGGACAACATGTGCGGGAGAAGTGATGACACTCTGCAGATACTTGTATTTTGACGTTTCGTGAGATAATGGAGGGCATTGCTTAGTGATGGGGGTTGACTTTTCGAAGACGAGCGCCATCCTGTTTCAAGCTGGATGAAACAGGCCCGTGCCCGGCTTGCACGCACATGAGAATATCTGCCATGTACCCGCAGTTCGCCTTTCTCTCTTTTTGGGCTGGATTGAGCATGGATCACAGGATTCCCGCATTGCATGCACGACATCTGCCGGGCAAAAGTGGCTGAAACAGAGATTCGACGTCGTTTGACTCTACCCGAATGCTTCACCGCCATTTCGTCACTTTGGGTTGCCGCTGGTGCCGGTAAACTTCAACCATGCCTGTCGCACGGCCTGGGAGTTGGACACAGCACTTGATATTGACGACTGTGTCTGCACCTGTAAATCCAGCCCACCAACGTCGAAATTGTCTTCGCTGCACGACCTAGACTTGCATTATGCACAGAAGCACCGGCGCCGATGTGCTGCAGTATGCAGAAGTTCACATGCGCACGTCGATCTCGAGGCTCAATAATACAGGTGGGACCTGCCGGGAGATATATGGGGATTGGGATCTGGAGGGGCCTCTAAGAGTAGGTGTGGCGTAACTGTATTGGCCCAGACGGAACCCCCCAGGGCCCCAGAAGGAGTTTGTTCTGGCCCCCGACGCGTGGTTGGCTGGGCAGCCCACTAGCCACTCTGGATGGCCCCGAGTCTCGGTGGCTCGCCCGTAACCCCAAGCAAATCACGAGTCACACCCTTGGGCACATGGGCTGGTGGGCGTTATTCCGCCCATTGCGTCTGCGCGTCAAGGGCCCCTCAGAGACTCGCGTTTCGAGATCCTCGCGCGAATGAATTTCGCTTGAGAAATCAAGTTACTCGTAATTGGAGGCAGCCAAAAAACCCAACTCCATCATCTCACCATCACTGTAACCCTTCGAGTGTAAAGACCCATCATTTTACAAGAAGAGGGAGCAGGCCATGAGATTGTTCTAACGCCGTTGACGCGATGATCAGCTACGTTCACGTGTAGGGTTGATGATTGTTGACCTCAGATTAAGTGGATCTGGCTGGGGGCCCCTATTCTCGGCGTCACTGTCAAGTGCCATTCAATAACTGGGAAAGACGCGGGTTTGGACAAAGACTTGTTGGAGGGAACAGGCTGTCTGGGCTCAATTGAGAAGGGAACACAATCAGATTCAAGTTTTCGAGCAGGGCGCAGGGCTCGGGCCCGGACAGAGGCACTGCTATGCCACAACGCTCCCGAGGGAGTTTGACTTTCTCATTGACATGAGGCTGGTCCATGTGGTTCATCCCGTGCCTAATGTGGGTGGATTCTCGGAGACTATGAGGCATCGACGCGACGCACCCTGCAGTGCCTAGAGTTATAGAGGAAGCAGGCACCGTTGGAGGGCACAAACAGGTACGCAGCAGAAGAAGGGCAGCTTAGTAGAAGTTCGGAGTAGGTGTTCGGTACCCTAGCAGCCAGGTTATGATTAACAAGAAATCGCTTGCTGGTTAGCGTTGCCAATTTTCCGGCCACCCTTTTGGGGGGTTTTGGGTGGACAAGCGAGTTGCGCTGCTGGTACTGGGATGCTGCGTTGTCCGTCTTCTCACCGGTCAACCACAACAACTCACAATCTGTTCTGCCGCACTTCTCCCACCAAACAACAGCACTGTACTTTTTATTCGATCCCTAGAAGCAGGAAAAATAACATACGACTCTCCTTTTCTGCCTCACCGCCTATCTTTTCTGCTGGCCAGTCACAACGATCCACCTCCTTGAGCGCCTAAAGTCGATTCTAACCTGACCTCACCTCACCTCGCTCGGTTTCGATAGATCTGCTGCAACTCGCGATAATGACTGCGGTCCTGCGTGTGCCTCGCCTCACTTTGTTCCCTACTTGTTGACGTTTGGCCGGCTGGCCTTCCTTCACCTCGTTGCAGACGTCGCAGGCTCGGCGTTCGCCCTTGACCCTTCGCCCAACGTTTTGTTGTCCTTTTGGACACTCGAACACTAGCTCCCTGCTTCACTGGTGCCAACAGTGACCTTCCGACCTCACAACAAATCGCTCTCTCGACGCCCTCCAAACCGCGCCGTCCTGTTCATAATTCGCGCCTCTGAATGAGTTGGAACGGTCTTTCGGTGAGCAGGTCCTGAGTCTTCAGCTTAGAGAATGGCACTAACCTCCTCGCTCGATCTAGTGTACAACCCTCCACTTCTACACGTTCCTGCATCCTTCAGACAACCTCCCCTCAACCTTCACGTTTGACGTATCCTGACCGTGGTTCTTTGAGGGAGTGGGTGCGTGGTTGAGGCCACGACTCTGGGTGGTTGAAGGATGTCTATGGATATGGCCGCAGGTCAATACCGGCAACATATGTCAAGCGCTGCTGCGTATTCGCAACCCGAAAGCCTTCACTACGAACACCAACATGGCGCAGATCCTGAACGCTACTACACCAATCAACCGGTAAGTCGAGTGCGCCCTGATTCAATTTCGACCGTGGTGCTCGGGGATGACACTAATTCGCACGCTTTTCAGTATTATCCCTCGCACGAAGACGACGGTCTGAACTACTCGTCTCATGAAGATCACAATCCTATCACCACTGCCTCCTACGACAACCCAGCCACGACCTTGCCGTATCACATCCGCAATCAGTCTACTGCCCATGATCAATATGATGGCGCGCCCATTCCTCCTCCTAGGACATCTTCTCAGCAGCAGGGCTCTCCACGCGCCCCTGTAGCTCCTTCAACTGCTCCATTGGAGGCAAGAGTAGCTGCAGCACGACAGGTGAGACAAAATGCACCAGATTCGCACGCTGGTCGGGTTCAGAATCGTGTCGGAGATTACAATGAAGAAACACGAGATAGGTCTCGGGATGATACATCAACGGCCGCTGCGTCCACTGCACGTAGCCGACGAAAGGGTCCTGCCAGTCCCGACGGTCCACACCGTGCCGCAAGCACACGAGAACGAGGTGCACACACTGCGCCTACCCAAAGTCGGTCTGAAGCCACCATGCACCCATCTAACACCGCCGCCTCTCTGGCACGCGAGTATAGCGATGTGATCAACAGAGTGGTCGTATCTGATCCACAAGAAGATATTGAAAGAGCCCAAGAAAGAATTGCCGAAGCTCAACCCATGAACCCAGATACCCGAAACGTCCCCGATCTCGATGATGATATTCTGCCTCCACCAGGACCAGCTCGTCGCCAAGACTACTCCAAGTCATCTCGGCGCAAGGACGTCCAATTCGGGGACTACGTGCTTGGTCAGACGCTTGGTGAAGGTGAATTCGGTAAGGTCAAGTTAGGCTGGAAGAAGGACGGAAGCACTCAGGTGGCGATCAAGCTCATTAGGAGAGAGACGGTCGCCTCAAACCCGACACGACTTCCCAAAATCTATCGCGAGATTTCCATCTTGCGTGATCTGGCGCATCCGAATATCGTCCGACTCCATGAAATGGTCGAGACAGAACGACACATCGGCATCATTTTGGAATATGCCTCTGGAGGCGAGCTGTTCGACTACATTTTGAATAACCGATATCTCAAAGACCCCGCGGCCAGGAGACTGTTCGCGCAGCTTGTTTCGGGAGTCGGCTACCTCCACAAGAAAGGCATTGTCCATCGTGACCTGAAGTTGGAAAACCTCCTGCTCGACCAGAATCGCAACATCATCATCACAGATTTTGGATTCGCTAACACATTTGACCCCAAAGACGACCTGTCTGATGAAATTGTATACAACCTTGGTAACAAGGAGTTTATCCGGAAGTTCAAACTCGATCGACTGGATGCCCGCGGAATGAGAAGAGGCGACCTGATGCAAACCAGCTGTGGCAGCCCTTGCTATGCTGCCCCTGAACTGGTGGTCAGTGACTCCCTCTACACCGGCCGGAAAGTTGATGTGTGGAGTTGTGGAGTTATTCTGGTGAGCACTTGTAACCGCAAAATCCCTACTGTCTGTGATGCTAATGGCTTTTCAAGTACGCTATGCTGGCAGGATACTTACCCTTCGACGACGATCCTGCAAACCCTGAAGGTGACAACATCAATCTCCTCTACAAGTACATAACCACCACCCCATTGACGTTCCCGGAATATGTCACGCCCCATGCGCGAGATCTTCTTCGCCGAATTCTAGTTCCAGACCCTCGAAAGCGGGCCGACTTGTTTGAGGTTGCCCGACACAGCTGGCTCAGTGAATATCAGCATGTGGTGTCCGATATGACCAGCAGTACCACCAATGTCGCCGAGATTCCGCAGGGCAGTGTTCGAGCTGGTAAGCTATTCATTTGTGTTGTTGTAGTACATCACTAACCCGTGGCAGAAGATGAGGAACGGCCCGCCGTCAATAGAAGTGCGTCAGTACGTGAAGTACCAGCGAAACATAGTCGGGCTTCTCCCGGCGCCCTTGTGCGCTCCCCAGAGGGACTGTTGCACGAAGGCGACGAGGAATCCACCGGTTCACGGAGAACCCGTCATACACTGCAACCCGAATATGTCCCTCCCCAGACTCATACGGCTCGTGGACAAACTGGCGTCGCAACAGGACCAGCAGTCAGTCACACTCAACAAGAGGCAACTCGTGTTGTCGCCCCCATGCAGCCAATATCGTTGTCAAAACCGCTACCTCAGGATCCACCTGTCGAGTCTACGCGAGAAAGAGTGCAAACCGCTTCGCAACAGAAGATGCCGCCTGTCCGTCCCGTTCGGGAGATTCCAAGATCGGTCTCGGACTCAACTAGCGCCTTTGGCAGCATTCCAGCACCGACGAACCAATACGTGACCAGGCCTAGCACCCAAGGATCGATGACATCTGCAAGTGGGCCAGTCAACACCAGATCCGATCTTCGTCTTCCGTCCCGGGGATCGTATGGTCAGCCAGTGGCACCGACAGTGGCTGCAACCAACGTCCAGGGTCGGGTTACGCAACCAACCAAGACCAGTCGGGGTTACAACATTTCTGGTCCTCTGCCACAATCGGGCGCCCAAAACTCCATTGGACAACCGATGACGACGCCGATGCCGCCGCCTAGCTCGCAGCAACCACAGAAAGCCGCTCACCACCGACGGTCGAGTACATTGAGTGGGCTCGGAGAGCGACTCTTTGGCAGATCCAATTCTGTGGTGAAAAAGGACGTCGAGCGACCAAAGAATTCGCGAAAGTACCCGCCTACCAGCATGAAAGAGTATCCATCGGATGCACAACCTCGCATGTCAACAGATTCGAAGCGATCTTTCTCTTTTGGACTAGGCAAGAAGAGGAGCACGGACATGGAGAATCAGGCGCAAACAGAGAAGCCGGTACGACGATTTTCACTTATTCCTAGTTCGATGTCATTCAAAGGTCTGATGGGGGGAGTTAAGGATGAATATTCCTCTAAACCGAGCACCCCGCAAGGTGAGCGCTTTGCTCCGGCGGCTTCGAGTCGAGCCACCGCCAGCCAGGAACAGATGAATCAACACATTGCGAATACAGATGGACAGTATGACGAACCGAGGGCGGTCAAATACAACAACTTCTCACGACCACCTCAGTCCCAATATCAGGCACCACGCGTCCCGCCAACACAGACCATGAACGATGTCTATGGTGGAACTGCTGTGTATGCTCCGCAGGGACAGAGTGTCCATCAACGTCAACAAAGTGAGCCTATGGCGCACATGATGGCGTATCCCGAAGCTGTTCAACCAAGCGGTCGACCATCAATGCAACAGGGGCGCCCAGCTCGAGGAGTACTGGTCAAGAACAACCGCAAGTTCACTGAAGCATACGACCACGAGCAGGGGCCGACGCATCACAGCGGAAGGTCCGGGGCTGTTAAGAAAGTCCAAGATTTCTTCCGTCGACGTCGAGCACCCACGGACGCCGACTACCGATGAACGAGCCGGTTGCGCTTTAGACAAGTCGTGTTCCTGTTCTGCAGAAATGAGAATGAAGATTCGACCAAGGGTCCGGTGGAAATGGGTGCAAAGGGGTGGATATCGACTTTCTTGTAATCAATTAATCAATTGGCGGACATTATTTTTCCACCCCGTATCAACCTGGGTGCGAATTTTGGCAGAGGCCGTTGCATTCAGCAACCACCATTTTGTCTCCCTTCCACACTGAAAGATTGGGCCAGTGAATGGCATTGGACTTGGAAAGGTCATTCTTTGTGTCAGAGTACAAAGCACGTCAGATTCATGTCGTTAGCTGGCGGCGTTCGATCTTGGCTGGGAAGGGACTACTAGGATTCAAAGAGAGCCAACTGTTGAGACTATGCTGGAGCTTCCCAAGACGTGGGTCTTGACATTGGGGGTTTTTTGATTCATTGCAGGCACGGATGGGTGAAGAGTCTCGTGGGATCGGAAAGATGGATACCCCCCTACGTAGCATTGTATGATTGTGTTTTGAACAGGCAGGATGAACAGGCAGAAGCACAAGCACAAGCAGACACAACTCCCCCCAAATAACAGAGATACATAGCTACGTGGCGAAGCAGATTGTCCTCGGAATATTGCTCGGGGTAATATTCTTTTGTCCATGTGCAGTGGTGGTGGTGCGCTCCATCTCAAATGTTGCCAAGCGGCGACTTGAGCCGAGTCGGTCAAGCTTCGTGGAGCTTTTCTTGTTCCTGGATCGTCCTGACTGCCACCTTGTCGCCGTGGAGCACCGTCACCATTTCCTGTTTCTTCACTAGGCGCTGACCTCCTCCCCGCAATCTGCAAGTCTGTACTCAATCACCACGTCACCTGCTGCTGGACACACCAAACAGGGTCTGTTGCCCCGCGGGGAAATTTCCAACTGGCTGTTTGCCTTTACGGAGGTTACATGGCGAGCAATACAAAGCTACCACAAGCTCCTGCCTGGTGACGAGGGGCGCAGTGGACGAGAGCGCCACTGACGAGGACTGCCAAATCCATCATCTCGCTGGTAAGCAAATGTCACAGTGAGTTTCCGGCTGCCCTCAACACAGTCCCCTTCGTCCTCGCTAGATAAATCCCCGTGATCCTCCCTCTTCCCTGTGGACATGCGCAAGCCCTTTGTCAATCGTGTCTTCAGCATCCACTGCTTGTCGAGCAAGTCTGCAAGATGAGATCGACATCTGTGTTTTCCGTCCTGGTTCTTGCGCCTTGCCTCGTCGCAGCCCAGTCTTCCACAGCGACCAGCGTGAAGGCGCAGTTCACTGTCCCAGCCAGTGCTGACGATGGCGTCACCCTTCTCCCTAACATCGATGACCCTACTGCCGCCAATGCCCAGGTGAAATGTCCGGGCTATACGGCCTCGAAAGTGAGCACGTCTTCAACGGGATTGACGGCTCATTTGACTCTTGCTGGCACTGCCTGCAACCTCTATGGGACTGACGTCCAGGACTTGGACTTGACGGTCGAGTATCAGACCTCGTCCCGGCTCCACGTCAATATTCGGCCGTCCCATATCACGTCCCAGAACCAGAGCTGGTATCTGCTGTCCACCGACTATGTTCCTGCTGGGACCCAGAGTGGTGGCTCGATGACCACCAGCGACTTGACGTTCTCCTGGGCCAATGCAAACACCACGGGATTTGGGTTCAACGTAACTCGCAACAGCACCGGAGATGTGCTGTTCTCGACGACAGGGACAAAACTGGTCTTTGAAAACCAGTTCATTGAACTTGTCACCCACCAGCAAGAGAACTACAATCTCTACGGTCTTGGGGAGGTGATTCATGGCTTGAGACTGGGCAACAACCTCACTCGGACCATTTATGCCGCCGACGTGGGTGATCCAATCGACCAGAACTTGTACGGCAGCCATCCGTTCTATCTCCAAACCAAGTATTTCGAGGTCGACAGCGACAACAGTACAACTCTTCTGACTGAGCAGCTCAATACGACCGATGCCACGAGCAACTATACCTCCTTCACTCATGGTGTGTATTTCCGCAATGCCCATGGCATGGAAGTGCTCTTAGAAGCCAACAATGTGACATGGAGAACGTTGGGAGGCAGTGTTGATTTGTACTTCTTCTCCGGACCAACACAGCCGGACGTGACACGTCAATATCTCAGTGTCATAGGCTTGCCAATGCTGCAAAACTACTGGGGATTCGGTTTCCATCAGTGCAGATGGGGCTATCAAAACTGGACCGTCACGGAAGCCGTCGTTGACAACTACGAACGCTTCGGCATCCCGCTGGAAACAATCTGGAACGATATCGACTACATGTTTCAATACCGGGATTTTGACAATGACCCGGTCCGCTTCAACTACTCGGACGGCACAGCCTTCCTCCAACGTCTCCACAGCAGAGGCCAGCATTATGTCCCCATCATTGACTCTGCCATCTATGTTCCCGATCCAACCAATGCAAGTGATGCGTACCAGCCATTCAATGACGGCAACGACACCAATTCATTCCTCCTGAACCCAGATGGGTCACTCTATATTGGCGAGGTCTGGCCTGGCTATACCGTCTTCCCCGACTGGCTCCAACCATCCGCCCGCGCATGGTGGAAGAACCAGATTGTCACGTGGCATCAAAAGCTTCCTGTCGACGGTGCTTGGATCGACATGAGCGAAGTTTCCTCGTTCTGCGTCGGAAGCTGTGGCACTGGAAATCTCACCCTAAACCCAGTGCACCCACCGTTCGGCCTTCCGGGCGAACCTGGCAACATCATCTACGACTATCCAGAAGGCTTTAACTTGACCAATGCCACCGAAGCCTCATCAGCTTCTTCGGCTTCCCAAGCCCAGGCTACCCCGACGTCGACCGCCACAGCGTCAAGCTCAAGCTCATCTTCAACCACAGTAAGCTATCTGCGCTCAACGCCGACGGCAGGACAACGCAATGTCAACTATCCCCCCTACGTGATCAACCACGTCCAAGGAAACCACGATCTAGCGGTACACGCCGTCTCTCCCAACGCCACGCACCACAACGGCATCCAAGAATACGACGTCCACAACCTCTTCGGCCATCAAATCCTTCAAGCTACGTACGCTGCGCTCTTAGCTGCGATCCCCAACAAGCGGCCTTTTGTCATCGGCCGGTCCACGTTCCCCGGCTCTGGCACGGTGGCGGGCCACTGGGGCGGCGACAACGCTTCCAAGTTCTTTTACATGTACTTCTCCATCCCCCAGGCCCTCTCGTTCAGCCTCTTCGGCATCCCCATGTTTGGCGTCGACACCTGCGGCTTCAATGGCAACTCGGACGAAGAGCTCTGCAATCGCTGGATGCAGCTCTCCGCCTTCTTCCCCTTCTATCGCAACCACAACGTCCTCTCTGCAAATTCCCAGGAGGCATATGTGTGGAGCAGCGTCATCGACGCCACTAAGACGGCCATGAACGTGCGATTCCAGCTACTGCCATACTTGTACACCCTATTTTACAATGCGCACACCAAGGGTGACACCGTCATGCGTGCCCTAGCATGGGAGTTTCCCAACGATCCTAGCCTCGCAAACGCAGACAGGCAGTTCTTCCTGGGCCCGTCGATCCTTGTCACCCCAGTGCTCACGCAAGGCGCCACAACCGTCAACGGCGTGTTCCCGGGCCTCGTGGAAGGCACCGACACGTACTATGACTGGTACAACAAGTCGCCCGTCGCGGTCCCCAGCAGCAAGAACACCACCATCGACGCCCCCCTGGGCCACATTCCCGTCTTCATCCGCGGCGGCAGCATCCTGGCGACGCAGCAGATGGCCATGACGACGCGCGACGCTCGCAACACCTCCTGGAGCATCATCGTCGCCCCGGGTGTGGATGGTTCCGCCAACGGCTCTCTATACCTGGACGACGGCGAAAGCCTGTCTCCCAACGCGACCAAGCTAGTCACCCTGACGAGCTCGGCCTCGGCACAGAACGGGTCGTCGTTCAGCCTCAACGTGACCGTCTCAGGTTCCTACACCGGTCTCGACCTCCCGCTGGCCAACGTCACGTTCCTGGGGGTGCAGACCGCACCGGCCAACACCTCCGTCACCATCAACGGTCGTGCCGTCGCCAACGCCACGTACAATGCCGCGAGCAAGGCCTTGAGCATCACCGGCCTGAGCAATGCGCTAGGAAGAAAAGTCTGGAGCGGAAACTGGACACTGACGGCGTAGTGCGTCTGGCTAGAGGAGACGAACAAGGGAGAAGGGGTGTTGGGAGGGAGCACGATTCGATGGGAAGAGTTGAGGAAACCAAAAAATTGGACCCAGGAACCAGAACAAGGTCTCGGCTCCAAAAGTATCAACACACGAGACGAGCTATAATTGTGCGGCTCTTTTCTCATGTTCAGAGAGCGCTATTCTTTCTGTATCCATCCATAGTCTAATCTCTGACTTATGTATGCTCTTCTCGACTCTCCCTCCTTCCTCCTCTCTCGCAGTGTGCCACCTTTTCGTGCTAATAATTACTAGTTTAGCTGCCCGCTTCGCCAAACCAAGAGAGCCAGCCAGCCAGCCTAATTCACATATAGTGAGCCTCTGCGGCCATTATTATATATTGTTATTACTTGATTAATTAATTAATTATAGCCCAGTCTGGGATTGTTTGTCCGGAGGGAGGGAGATTTGATTGGGAAGACCAACTGACTGACTGACTAACTAACTAACTAACGAATTATTACTGTCAGAAGTTGGAACTGGGGGGAGGGGTGCGGGAACGAAGGTCTGCACTGCAGGATCCAGGATATGAGTGAGGCAAGCAGAGACGGGAGAGATGAGATCACATCACCCTGAATGGTGAGGTTGGTGAGGTTGAGGGCGGAGCTGGAGGTGGAGGCTTGGTAAAGGAGTAAAGGAGTTAGCAATGAGCATAGCCCTAACGTAACTAAGGTTCGCCCCGAGGCGCTTTCCTTGCCCAGTCAGTTGCCTTATTATGTAATAATTAATACCAGACGTCTCAAGCAGTTTTGTTTTGGTGGGTACAAAGTTGCAAATGCGACATTGTTCTCGGTATTCAATTGTCCAGGGCCGTCAGCCGCACGGAACATGTGGTTTCACATCCTTCTGGTTCACATTGAATGCATCATGTCTCAAATTTTAAGGAGACGCAGTTTGACAGTCAGCCTGTTCGTCCCCTGACAGATCAGTTCCCTTGCATCCTCTGGCGAGTGCTTCTCTCGGTGCCGCCGATACACAGTCCAGCATTTCTCAAAAAGTCTGCTCAGCCTTGACTTCACCGCATGCGTACATGTTATCTGGCAGCACGTGTGGCCTAGCAGCCAATTTGCACTGTGGGAGAGACGCTGTGCACACATTCGTGATCGGCCCATGGTGGTCCCAATCTTTACTGGGGCGGGCATTTGTCAAGCGGTTTCTGCAGTGGTGAAGAATTTCTGACTTTCTTTCCGACACCTGGCTTCCGCACATTGTCCTCGTCGCTGCTGCTGTCGTCCAGGGAAGAAGAAGAAGAGCTGTCGTCGATAACCTCAACCCGAGGCTCTGGACCATGTCTCTCCGACGCCTGAGTGGCGCTCAATTTGGTCTTTCCCTCCAGCTCGGCCAGCCTCTCGTTTTGTTCTTTCAGTACCCTCAGCAACTCGTCCTGAATAGTCTTTTGCGCCCTCTCAGTTTGCAACACCTGCTGCCTCGCAAGGTCGATGATTGTCTCTCTGGCGGTGATGAGAAGGACAGCCATCTCGGTGGGCTTGATACCCTCCTGCCGTTCAAGTCTGTGGAACACGCGATTCAGGCGGATTGTTGGAAGGCTTTCGCGCAGTCTCTTGACCGCGTTAGCTTCGACTTCGACGCGGCGTTTGAAGGCCTCGGCCTCTTCATTATCGCGTTTACGCTTCCGTGATTCCACTGTAGTAGCTGGAGAAGGAGTCAGTCACATTGCGTGTCTATGAGGGCGCGAAATCAAGGGATTTGCTCTCGTACCTGTCGGTGTGTCCTTCGGTTTGGCCGGCTGTTTCTTTTTCTTCTCGTCCTTGTGTTTCTTCTTGTCTTCTCGCTGTCGAGCCTCGTCCCCGTGACGCTGACCTTTGCCGATGTCCGCCGGCCTCTTGTCATTGCCCCTGTCTTGCAGCTTGTGCTTGCTATTGTCTTCATTGGACTTTCTCTTTTTCTTGGGCTTGTCTTTTTCCGTCGCCTCCTTGTGGCCTGGAGTTGGAGTTTCGTCACGCTCCGTGGCGTCACTGCTGCCTGAAGATTCATCGTCATCTGTGCCTACCGCTCCGTAGAAGGAAGGCCGAGCATTCGCACGATTTTTCGCCAACGCCATCTGTTGAAAGATGTAGCTAGGGTTCGATTTCGGATCCTGGGGGACATCGATCGTGGTTGTCAAGCGCGGTGCCGATCCAACGTCTACACTCTTTCTTCCTGAGAGCGCTGGTGACAGTGCTGACAATTTGGAGGCCGAGCCAGGTGCGGCTGGCGCCACAGATCGTGCTCGTCTAGCATGGTGAGCCCATGGATCAGTTTTGGTGAGATCAACAATATCTTGCGTGAGGCTGTGGGATTTTTGTGGAGTCACACTCAAATGGCGCTTGCCATGTGGATGTTTTCGTGATTTGTCTCGGGCCATTTTGGAGCAGAGAAGCGAGGTAGCAAATAGTCACCGAGTCTTTGCTCAGACCAAAGTGAGAAGAGAGAGAAAACTGAGGTCAAGAGGCCCTGGATGCAGTCAGGTTTTCAGTCAGCGGCCACGCCAAGGTCAAGTGAAAAGAGGGCGCAGGAATGAAGTCGGTACCTACTGGTGACAGGAAGAAGTACCTGTTGTTCGATCCTGACCAAGCAGGGACCAGATGCAGGGAATGAAGTCGAGGCAGCTGGGGAGGAAGTAGACTCCTCTGAAACGTCTGTAGGAGTGGTTTGGCTGTTGTTGGTCAACTTATGAGAGGATTATACCAGACCCTCCGAACAAGGACCAAATGTGAATTGAATCTGAACAAGAAGTGCACCATTCTTTGTTTCTTTTTAAATTCGTCATCGGTAAAGGCGTCTGCAAAACGGGACCAAGGCAGGGTTCTCATAAAGGCAGCGAATCTCATTTCTTAGAATCGGATTTATCTGAGTCTGAATTATGGTAGAATCATCAAAGGCCGTTTGTACTCACAAAGGGTAGATGAATGAATGGACTCCTTGTCTCCCCTGCAAACTCGTAGATCTGGTTTCCGATATCCTTGGTATCATAAAGCACTTTTTCTTATGCAACAGCAAGCATCGCTCGAACAGCTCCATTAGGGTCAGCCGTGCCAACCTTCTCGAGTTTCCCCCAATTTGCCCAAATATCGGCCTTCATCTCTTTCAGTCGCTTGTGCATCTTCCACAGGTCACTCATGTCCTTATCGTCACGCTCCTTTTCCTCCATTTGTGATATCTTGTCGTAGAGATCTTTGTATCGTTTATAATACTTTTGAAAGCGTCTTGCCTCCTCAATCACATCTGCCCGTTTCGGTCCTGGTTTCTCGGGGCTCGAGGACCGTTCAGAGTCCGTTCGGACAGGAGCAGCGGGGCGCTTCAGGGTGGGGTGATTAGTGACACCATTCGTAAGAGGAGTTGAGTGATTTGGAGTGGACGTCTGTTGCTGATGCTGCCGTTTAGTGGGACGCTCATCGTCGGGAGGAGCCGCCTTGCGCTTCACAGCGCCTGAGCCAGGGCTTCTGCCCCTGGATACGTTCCTACTCTTGTCCGAGATGACGGGAGAGTATTTGTTGCCTTGCTTCGTTTGGGGCATGTCGGTGCTGGACGGCGGAGATGATGGGGCGGAAGAATGGTTGGATGCCTTGCTGGAGCTGGAGTTATCTAGATCGGTCGAGGTGGTGGGAGGTGAAGAGCCAAGAGGTGATGGCTTCTGCGGTGAACTGTCGTTTCGAGGCCGTGGGGAGATGCGAGAAGCCGTACTTTCCAGTTTTTGATGATTTTGAGGTTTCAATGACTTGGACGAGCCTGTGACCGCAGAACGAGGCTTATCACTCGCGCTGTTACTACCACTGGCTGACGATGAGCTCGAAAGCGAGGATTTGTGGGCAGTCTTTTTGGGAGAGGCGGTGGTCAAAGGCGACTTGGCTGATTTCAAAGGACCGGCTTCTGGTTTTCTCTTCACCGTGGACGTCGACTTCACGGTTCCTGCATCGGGCTTCTTTGGCTTGGCGACAACTTCCGAAGCAGCTTCGGCTTCTTCATCAGAGTCCTCAATGCGTTCAGAGGACTTGAATTTGGCATCTGGCTTAGCAGATTTCAGGTGCGCGGAATCCTTGTCTCTACCTTTGACAGTACCACTTGGATCGCCCTTCGCTGCAACCTTAGCGGGGGCTTTCTCTTTGCGCGCCTTTTCTGCACCCCCCGGCTCTCGGTCTTTCTTTGCTCGTGCCTTGACATAATCTCGGTCTGACACCTCATTCTTACTCTCGTTGCCGTCCTCGTTCGGACGGTCAGGCCGAGGGGTGGCGTGACTGGATACTGGTTTGTCGAAGTTCAGCTTTGACAAGATCTTGCCCTTGCCCCGCTCCTCGATAGGAAGTAAGAGCTGCCAGAGAGGGTCTTTTTTCTCTACTCTCATCCTGTCATATGCTGTAATGGCATGATCAATAGCTGCTTGTCTGTCCTCCTGCGACCGATACGGGAATTTCCAGACATCCAGTTCACGGAAACTCTTTTCCTTCAGCTCTCTTTTCCCTTCCTCTGCTTTCGACTCCCATGACACCTTATCGAGCAGTCTGTCCATGTCATCCCTGGTAGCATGCAGTTGATCGCAGATCGCTTTCGGAGTCATTGGCCGGACGGCAAGAAGATGCACGAGGGGTATGCGGATAGCATCGAGTCGGATTTGATCTTTGGTCGACATCCTAGAGGACAGGGGGGCCGAGGTAGGGCCTAGCCGCGGAGAATACGAGGCATTGAGGAAAGGGCTCCCTGGTGTAGATCTGCTCAAAGGCCCTAACAAATGGTCTTTCCTTAAAGCAGAACCTTGTCCCAACAAGGGCGATGGCTTCGCATCTTTCCGTAGTCCCTGCTTCAGGTCCTCTTTCAAGCTTGTCTCATTCGACGCTCGTTCTTCCTGTAGAGATTTGAGGGTGCTCTCTAGGGTAGCCAAGGCCTCGTCCGCTTTTGCAGTATCCTTCTCAGCTTTCTTGACCTCGAGCCTATGGCTTGACTTGCCGGTGAAATATAGAGGGGCCGTATCATCGTGGGACTTGGAGTAGATCTCCGTGGGAAATGCGTCAACGTTGCATTCGAGGGTGACTGTTTTCTTGCCGAACTGCACCACTGGTTTTTTGCCATATCGGAGCCGAACTTGCTCGTTATTTTTCAAAGACTGAAGGATGTCCTTGGTCACGGACTCAATCAAGTCTAACCGGATCACCTGGGTGGGCTCTTTCGTCTGTTTACCCTGTGGGTTGGATTTGGTGTCCCGCCTCAATACAAGCCCCTCCGGGGGGATATTAAATGTATCCATGTGGCAGAGGAGAAGGAATGGACGTCGTCAAGGTGGGAGGTTTGTAGTAGGGTTTGTACGGGTCATTCCTGGTGTTTCGAGAGTGCAGTAGGGCGGAGTCAGGGAAAGATAATAGACGTGAAGGACGGTCGGCTCGCTGCACAGCAGTGACAGCAGCTGGCAGACGGCGTCATGACACAGAATTAGAACAAAAGAAGTGAATGGCAGTGAAGCTGAACAATGAGAGCCAAGTATGGAACAAAGCCACGAAGTGTCACAGCAGAGGCGAGGTCAAAGGTCGAGGACGAGGATGAGAAGCAGGACAAAGGCATGCTGACGATTATTGGAGGGATCAGGTGTGGAGAGGGGACGAGGATGAAGCGACCTTGGAAGCACGCGGTCGGACAGTGGGACAGGCCGTGTATGGCGATTTGCTTGAGGTGTGTGTTGGTGGGCGAAAAGGTTCAGAGCGCGGGAGCGGTTGCCCTTCGATCAACAGCCGATTTGGCTCTGGCCGCCTGAGGACAGAGGACAACGGAGAAAGTTCGAGGAAGCCCAAGAGCACCCTAGGGACGCCCCAGGCTAAGTTGACGAGCCAGGGTCAGAAGCCATCGAGCCCATCGAGCCCATCGAGCCCTGTCTTCGGCAACTCGGGCAGCTCTGAGTGGCTCACCCACGATAGGCGTGAGCCACATTCTTCAGGTCTACGCCCGCCATGGCTAGCCTGCCGCCTTCCCGGGGCTTTCTGGCGTTGTGTCAGCACTGGAAAAGCAGCTGGAGGCGTTTCCCTCCGTCACACGCAAGCATCAGCCCGAGGCTCGAGCCCAGCTACTTGGAGAGTTTTGAACATCTCCCGCTCCCTTCTCCCGTTCTTGGCCCTGGATGAGGGAGTGTGCAGTAACCCCTCGAAAACTGATCGGAAAGTTAACTACTTGCTTCCGAAAGGATGCAAGAGAGGCGTGTTTCAGCGCGACGCAGGAAGGCTGGATCAGATTGATATGTTTTAGAAAACCCTCCGACCCTGACGGAGTCTCAGCCGTGCAAAGGCGTCTAAAACGGGCACAGTCAAAAGGATTGGATAGAATCGAAGGGGCCGGGGACCGCGCATCCATCGCCAGCAGGTTTTTCGCCACTGACGACCCTCAACCCTCCATTTGTGCCCCAAAAGGTTGAGTTCGGCTCGGGCTCGCTCGCTCCCCTTGCTCCCCTTGAGGTCAACCTGATGTCAAGGTTTCGCAACCAACAGGTCGACTACAGGTTTCTAGTCTTGCCGCTTGACAGGTTCTGTGTTAGGAAAATGTGGTGTGAGGCCACTGGAGCTAATACGGACGGAACAAGTACTTGTAGAGGTACGATACCCAGTGCACTACTTATGTGGGTGGCGAATGGTCCGTTCCTCTCCATTGAGGGCTTCCAGTCTACGGGTAGGACCGCACGTACAGAAGGAAAGGGTCATGCATCGTGCTGCAATATTCCGAACACAAAACTGTGCCTTCGTAAGATCTTACTCTGGAGATGCTGACGGGACCGTTGCTGAATCGACCTTCCATTTCAGGTACGCTGGGCTAGAGGGCCAGACACAGCTGGACATGCAGGAAAAATCACAACTGTGACGCATTGTGCCTGACAAATAAGCAGGCGAAATCCTGGCAAGAACATCCCCAGTGTGCCAGTCTGCCCAGACCTTAGATTTCAGGATTGTTGGAAGAGGAGCAGCCAAGTTATCGTGATAAAGCAGATACACAAATCCAGAGCACCCTCTTCCTTTCCGAGGGCGCTGATGCCTGCTCGTGCTGAACTTGTGCAGAAGGTAAGAATATTAATAACGGTGTTGCATTGGGCTTTCATCACCTTGCAGGTAGCACGGCGAGAGTGCAGGAGGCGCTAGGGCGGGTACAGGTGTGCCCAAACCGCGGCCGGGGTGGGCCAGGGGTGACCGAGAGGGACGGGGTCGCGGAGGGGTTTGGGGCTTTTGATGAGAAACCAAACCAAACGGGAGGTGACCCCGGCAGGTGCCCGGACAGCCCCCAGTGACTCGTATTATTATTCTTTGCAGCAGGCAACTCAGCGACCGCAGGCGCTTAGCTGCGCCAAAGTCCCGTGCTTCGCGCCTCTTTAGCCCGTTGGTCTCACCCACCTGGAGAAACGCCCGCCTTTTGTGCAGATTGTCCATGTTGCATACAGCCTCGTCGAGCGCGCATCTTTTCAATAATATATCCATTTTGATGCTTGGACTCTTGTGTTTCTGATCTGCCTCCGGAGCCTTCAATATGTCTCTAGGTACGTCCGCACTCTCGCTCGTGTGGATATCCACGGACGCCACACACTGTTTTACAACCCACGGAATTTTTCACCCAGAAACGCTGACTTGTGCCACCAGCCTTGGATGAGCAGACCCTCCAACATGTGGCCAGCAATGGCGAGATGGACTAGTATGCTCCTTCTGTCGCGCGAGATTGGGATTTCTGAGACTTACTTAGCGCCAGTGAAAAATGGCCGGCCATCATCGAACCACTGCTCCAACGACTCAATGAGGTACGCCATTCCATGAGTATTGGTCTTCCCACAATTGACACTCAATGTATAGATCGTGTATACCGAATTTCCTATGCCACGGCCATATCCAATAATAAATCGGCCGGCTCCTTCTTCGCCAACTCAAACACAGCCGACTCAGATGGGTGATTCCAATCCCATCTCGCAGACACCATCGACACCTGTGCGGACCCTTCCTCCCGTTCCACCCTTTCCAACCTCATCAGCAACCTCAACAAGCCATGTGCCTGATTCACTTCCTCCGTCCCAAGACGCTGAGGTTACCGCCCTGCATGAACTCCCTGCCCTGCTGTTGCAGATTCTCAATAGCGTAATCCATACCCTTCGATCATCATTCTCAGAAAGACCACCTCATACAATACAGCGTTTGGCAGAGCTCATCCTATACCCTACTAAACATTACAAAACCCTCCCTGCGTGGTTGCGGGCCATCGACCGAGTCGTCAGTGTTAGCAGTCCTGCGGATATTTTCCCACTTTCCGAAACTCCCCCTGTGGTGAATGGTGTCAATGGGGATGGGGGTGGGGGGATCCTTTGGAATAATGGCGACGTGCGCCACGGTTATGACAGCAATTCGCTGGGCAGTGATGAGAGTCTAGGCGGCGCGCTCCTGACGCCGATACCGTGGCTGCGGAATGGGATCAATGGTGGCGAGGATTCTGGAGAAGATTCAGGTCCGCTGGATTCAAACACCAGTACCAGCACAGATTGCCTGGATGACTCGTTCATCTTGCCAGTAACACAGGGCGATGCAGAGTCGTTGGTACCGGAAAGGCCAGATGGCGCGGTTACCCAAGGCGAGTTGATCCGCATGGAACAAGAGGCTGGCGTGGTGCCTGTGACCCGGAACCCACCAGAGACACACGTGAGCGGGACGATGGAAGAGAATTCGCTCATTGATGAAGGGGATGTGGTGCCTCACGCCCGTGGGCCTGACCTCGTAGGCTCTGTGGATATGGGCAGGGTCGACGGTCAAGACGTGGAAATTCACATTGGAAGCCCTCCCAGCGAAGAAGGACAAGAGAGGGCAATAGATGCGAATGATGCACAGACAGTCCTTCCGGGAGAAACTCATACTTTGGGTTCTACACCTACAAGTGCAATATCGGTAAGCGGACCTGGATCAGCGGCTGATTCCGATGATTTCGAAATCGTGCTCAAGGACGCCGTTGAGGGCGGCGATGCGGATGCCATGCAAGTCGATGAGAGGCGCGGAGATGGCGAGAAGCAGCAGAAGTCACAGTCGCCCACGGAAGACGGCGACATCGTTCTTGTGGATGCGGACGGAAAGACCGACGACGAGATCGAATCAAAGGCCGAAAACTCGGGCGAGAACGTCGGACCGGATGCTGTGGATGCCAGTACTGTGACTTGAACAGAAGCCTCTCTGCACTGGATCCAGGGACAGGTGCAAAAGACACAAAAGCCACTATTCTGATTCGAGTCAAATCTCCAAACAGGGCTTGGGAAGCTTGAATCTACCGATTGGGAAATTCGACCTCGCCACGGGCGGATCTGTACTGCGTCGACCTCAACCACGCAGAGAATGATGCTGAGGTGAAATGTATCCTTCCAACGACTTTACTCTGGCGCGACCTGCAGTGCCGCTTTGCCAGGTTTGGAATGCATTCGAGACTTGCCGTGGCATCAGAGTGTGGAAGAAAAACAAAAGGCAGAGAATTCCCTGATCACTTCTGTGAGGACGTGGAAAATGGTCAGTCCGATTTCGGAGAGGCTGGATCCATCGCTGGTCTGCCAAAGAAGTATCTACACCTCAATAGCTTGCCGATACGTATCATGAACAAGGCAGAGAGGCATGGGCGACGTCCCAGATGGGGAGAACAAGACTGGACTTTGAAACAACTGCCACTTTCATTGCATGCAAACATCGAAATATATATGTATATATCTCCGCGTGGTCCCATTCGTGTTCGTGTGCGTGTGCAAATACAACACCCTCTCCATCTCTTCTCTATGTCCCTGTTTCATTCATTCATTAATATTGTACATCGAAATATGCCGGGTTAGGGCGGCCCAGCAACGTTCGTTCCTGCGGATGTTTGTCATTGTCGAGCCAAAGCGGAAATGCCAGCCGCCCAGCTTCGAGAGATGCTGATTCAAGTTCTAGTGGTGCTCCTCGAGCCACGCCGACCTGAGATGGACACTCTGCGGGTTTTAGCGTGAGCTACTGAATGTACAAGGTTGTCGCATCCTTGTACAGCCGCTGTCCATCACATCAGAGCCGTTTGGTTCGTTCCGAATGGCCCTTTCGTAGAGTCAAGTCTCAGCGTGACCGAAAACACCCGATTCGAGGTTTTGTTCTTTGCGTCAACGCCGTTTCAACTCGACTCTCGCTTGATATCAGTAGCTGGCAAAATACCGTCGAGTTGAAGAGGATGGTCATTCTCCATTGCTTCAGACAAGGCGACTTTTGTGGCCGTCGTTTCATTGTTGACGCTTGCCGACGCCGCTCCGATAGAACCGCCATTTTCTAATGGAGTTGATCTGACGCCTTCGGCTTCTCCCTTTGCCTCAGCCTTAGCCGTGGATTTGGGCCATGCCACAGCAGGACTGCGATTTCCCACTTCCGTGGATGCTGCTTCGGCGTCCGCTGTCTCGCCGTTCCTCCGACCGACCAGCATTGGACTGTCATTTCCCACCGCCATAGAGGAGGCTGCATCGGCAGCTTCTATCTCGCCAGTCCTAGCGTTAGATGCTGCAGGGCTAGCGTTGCCCGCCGCAGTCGATGATACTGCATCTGTTGCAGCATGCCTCTTCTTCTCCTTCTTTGCCCACCTCAGCCCGCAAGCATTGCATAGCGTCTTCGGACCATTAGGCCCTTTCCTCCATTCGGGACTGTCGAGCGTTCCACAATCTGTGCAAACATATTCCTCCGTGCTTTTCACTTTCTTGTGCTTCTTGTCGATGTATGAATATCGTGCATCAGCTTTATCAATGGGAATGTGAATACCCGCGTCGCCACGAATAAGTGCTGGAGAAGTGCCACCAGTTGATATACCGTGGGATCTCTCGCCCTCGCGGTAGCGGAGCCCAGTCAACATCTCAATGGAGTCAACATGTGAGGAACCTTCGTATCGGGCCATTTTATCCCGTATGGAGTCTGGACGAGCGAAAGCATTGGCCTCGTCCAAAGCCTCGCGGGTGAGGGCAATATTTGATACGGTTGGTTTGGCAGGCGGTGGCATGCCACCATAGTCGGGGAAATCTGGCCTGACACTCGTGGATGGTGATGTAGGCGGAAGGTCGGCAGAGTTTGATGAAGCTCGGGACGCTGAGGCTCCAGCAGCCTGCTTGTGATAATGCTCTTGTTGCGCGTCCGCATCCTCGGCTTCCTCGCGTTTTAAAATTGCAATCCTGGCTTGGAGCCTGAAATTTTCAATCTTGTGCTCCAGGAATGAATCCAAGAGTTCGGAGGTTCGGGTTGGATACGGCCGGGCCATCATGAAAAAGCCCCGGCAGAACCCTGTGTGAGCCAGAGGTGCTCCTGAAAGTTCGAGTTGAGTGATTTCGTTGGTGAGATGCGGATGGCCGTGGCACTCAAATATTCGGTATTTGTTTTCAGCGTCGCGGAACCGGTGGAAAAACCGAACAGGGTTTCCAGTAGCAATACTTTCATTGAACTCGCGAATGAAAAGCGAAGAGTCGTCAGGATGAATGAAATCTGATATTGATTTGCCTATCAGTTCTTCTGGGTCGTATCCGGTTAGGTGCTTGGCCGAGGGTGAAACGTAAAGAAGTCGGCCGTCAGGTGTAAGAATATACAACAAGTCTTTGAGCTCCTCTAGTAACCGCTGGGTCCAATTCTTTCTCCTCGTAAATTCGGTCACGGTGTTAGAGTTGTGAGGGTTTTGGAAGGCAAAGTCAGTGGTAGGTAAAGGTCCAGCACCGATGCCATTGGCGGGCATAGAGCTGTCAGGGGTGTCAGGTTTACTCGAGCCATCTTGCATCAAGCTCGACTGTACGGAATCCATTGGATCAAAAGGTGTAGGTTGCATAGAGGCCATGTCGAGGGACAAAGTGTCAGAGTAGACACTCATATCTGTGGCGCCAACCATCGACGCATCTAGCATGGCTGGCTGGAGACTGAAGGAGTCCATCATAGGAGCTGGCTCGGGCTGGAACGTCCCCATTCTGCACAAACGAAGCAACGGTGGGTCTTATGCTCAACACCTGACGGACGATGTCCAGATTTTTTTGGGCTTGTTTTTTCCCTGACTTCGGGGAGCCAACAGTTCGTCGGTACCTGGCCCAAGGGGCTTGCTGAAGCAAACAGGACGCCCACAGGTGCCACCAACTAGAAACGCGGGGGAGGCTGGTGCAGCGAAACCAGCAACGGAGGGCTCGGGGGGACACGGAGCACACTCATATAAACGGAAAATACAGCCGAGGAGTGCCCACTGGAAAGTAATCCAGGGCTTGAGATGATAGCGACGACTTGCGGTCTGATGGAACTCGCTGCAACGATGGAACGCCGACAAGAATCAAGATCGCAAGATGGCTGACAGATCTGATCTTGCCGGGTTGAATGTTGCCGACAACCTGTCCTTGCCAAGATCACGTGACATGGCGCCTGTGGGGGTGTGGGGGTAACTCAAGGCGGCCGCGCTAGATGCGACGGAGGCCTTTCGCCGTGTGTAATACATCGCGTTCTTCACTTTCGGAGCGAGACGATCATCAATTGTGGCTCTTCCATGTGCCTAGACAGATCAGAAGGTGGTGGTGGCTTCATCCTGCCTGATTGAGGACTCTTTGTACGTTGTGCATAAGTTACCGAGTGTCTCCTACTGATGACCACAGCTCTCCTTACCTTCCTCTTGCCCCGAGCGGCATCTCATCAGATCCTCAGACCTTGACTGTCCATTCGCCTTAGCAAACATGTCCCGGCTTCATGTGTTGAAGATCTGCGGCATTCGTTCGTTCGACAACAACCAGGAACAACATATCAAGTTTGAAACCCCGCTAACCCTCATCGTGGGCCAAAATGGCTCAGGAAAGACTACCATCATCGAGTGCCTCAAGTTTGCCTTCACCGGTATGCAACCTCCCAACACGAAAGTGGGAGGTGCCTTCGTCCATGACCCCAAATTGAACGGTGACAGCCAGGTCAAGGCGTCGGTCCAAGTTTCCTTCAAGTCGGCCAGTGGAGCGGCGCTAACTGTTTCTCGGCGGCTGGAACTCAACGTCAAAAAGACCACACGTTCCTTGAAGACGTTGGAATGCTCGTTGGTCGTGAGCAGGCGCGGCGAGAGAACTGTCATGTCATCCCGGGTGGCCGAACTGGATTTGATCCTTCCAGAATATCTCGGTGTCTCCACCGCCATCATTGACAATGTCATCTTTTGCCATCAAGATGAAAGTTACTGGCCTCTGAGTGATCCCACCACCCTAAAAAAGAAATTCGATGAGATCTTTGAGGCACAAAAGTATACAAAGGCAATCGAGAACATCAAGCAGATCCGGAAGAAGCACAATGAGGAATTAGGCAAGTACAAAATCTTGGAGGAGCACGCGAAATTGGACAAGGATCGAGCCCTCAAAGCCCAAAAGAGAAAAGAAGCTCTTTCAGATGAGATAGAGACACTCCGGAAGAAAAGTGAGGAACTGGAGAAAAGGATATCTCACGCTCGTCGGATGGCAGACGAGACTTGGAGGAAGGGCGAAGAATATTCGAAGATCCTCGGCGCGCTGGAAGGGAAACGGATCGAGGCCCAAGGCAGACAATCTACCATCAACGATCTCAAGCTCCACTTGGTGGAAGTTGCTGAGACTGACGAGTGGCTACAAACGACCTTGTCACAATTCCAAACCCGACAAGAGGAGCTAGCGGCCGAGCTGAGTCGGGAGCAAGAGGCATACATCGAGCAACAAGACCAGATGAAATTTCTGGGTCAACAGCGAGAGGAGAAGGTGAAGTTAAAGGGCAAGTACGAACAAGAGAAGGAGGCACACGAGCGTCACCTTGAAAGACGCAAACAGATGGTGAGAGAAGCTGCAGCGAAACATCAAATGCGGGAGTACGAGTACTTGGACGATGACACCCAGGTCGAAGACTTTCTGGCCAAAATCAAGAAGATCTCCAAACATCAAAAAGAAAGTCTTGATCGGGTTAAGCTCGAACACACCGCGCAGCGACGGGACGCGCAGACTCTGATCAACAAACTGACCGAGCGAAAGTCGGCCCTTCAGGAACAAAGAGCCACTGCAAGAAGACAGATGGACTCGAATGACCGCGAAGCTGCAGAGTTTCAGAGGAGAGTTAATCAGATCACGGCCGATGAGGGCAGCAAGGCAGTAGCTGAGTCGCGTATTGACGATCTTCAAAAAGAACTGCAAAAGACACGTGAGGCTGCGGAAGCGGCCGACTGGGACAGGAAGATCCAGAGCGCAAATACAGAGCTCCGAGGGTTCGAGGACGTGAGCTCCAGACTGAGGGATGAAATGGTTCGATCCTCAAACAAGGCACAGGAGCTCGCGAAATTGTCTTACTCGAAGCAAGCCTTGAAGGACCAACAGAAGCGGCTTGACACCTTGCTAAATGCTCACAGTGACCGGATCACAGTTCTCCTTGGCAATGGAACATGGTCTGCTGATACGATCGAAGAAGCTCACCAGGACAACCTCAGAAGCGCATCAAATGAAGTTTTGGCGGCTGAACGAGAAAGAGATTCGATCAACAGAGAGTTGGAACAGCTTCAATTTAAGCAGAAAACCGTGCGCAAAGACCTCTCGGGCAAGGAGAGCGAGGTCAAGATGTGTGAACAACAACTCCGCGCTGTTATCGAAGACGGCCCCGAGGGCTATGAAGAAGCACTGAAACAAGCAGAAGAAAACGTCAAAGAAGCCAGAGAGAACAGCTCAGGTTTCAGCGGTCTTCACGATTACTACCAGCAAGTCCTCGACGCCTGTTCGGGAGACAAGCCAGCGTGTCGCACTTGTATGCGGGGTTTCACAGCCGGCAGTAAAACATTAGCGGATTTTCGAGAGCGTATCAACAAGTTGATTGCGAAGACGAAGGCGCACGCAGAACAGTCCGACCCTGAAGCGGCGGAAGTAGAATACAAGCGTGTTCTAGATCTTGGTGTTGTTCATCAAACCTGGAAGAAGCTCGTTGACTCTGAAATTCCAGCTGCTACGCGCGAGACGGCTGATCTGGATGCTCAGCGACAGGCTCTGTTGGCCAAGTTGGAGAATCATGACAAGAACGTGGTCCAAAAGCAGCAGGTCAAGCGTGATATCGAGTCCATCGGTCAAATTGTCTCTTCAATCAGTAAATGTGACATCGAAATTAAATCGCTGACCACCCAGGTGGAGGAATTGTCTGCCAAACAGAGCCAACAAAGCAATACACGGACATTGGAAGAGATTCAAGAGGAGTTGAGTTCAACTGACCAAAATGCTCGAGGAATGCAAAATGCCATCGACCGACTGAGAACCGAGCAAGAGCAATCTCGAGCCGGCATCTCCAGCATGGAGCTTGAGCTACGCGACCTGAAAAGCGTATTGAATGATATTATATTCCAGCTTGACAAGAAAGCTGCGCTCGCGGCCCGGGTGGAGGAATTCCGAGCAAACAACCAAAAGCAGCAAGAGATCATGGAGAATCTCATCGAGGAAATCGAGAAGCTAGACCCTCAGATTGCGACTGCCCAGGCCAAATACGAGGATGTTGATCAGCGTGCAACTGCCAGAGAACGCGAAATGTCAGAAGAACTCTCCAGCTTGAGCGACACGGTCAACAACCTGGATCTCCTCAACGACCAGATCCAGGCCTACGTGGTCCGTGACGGGCCAAATCAACTGGGGCGTGTCAACCGGGAACTCAAGAGTCTGGAGCAGGAGCTGGAGAATCTCCAGAGCGAGCAAAGCCGACTTACGCGCGAAATCAACAAAACCAATGAACGCATCCGGGATGGTGAGTCTACACGGAGACGGTATTCTGACAATCTTCGATTTCGACAAGAGAGCCGGGCTCTTGCACGCCTGCAAAAGGAAATTGAGGAGCTTGAAGGACATAACGCCGAAGTTGACCGCGACCGATTCCAGCAGGAATCACAAAAGTACAGCATGGAATACAACAGACTCTCCACGCTCCAAGGCGGTCTCATGGGTGAAGTCAAGTCTAAGGATAATCAGCTCTCGGAAATCCTGGAGGACTACAAGACGGATCTGAAGGACGCCCCGCAACGGTACAAGGAAGCTCACATCAAGGTAGAGGCAACCAAAGCGGCTGTAGAAGATCTTGGACGATATGGGGGAGCTTTGGACAAGGCAATCATGAAATACCACAGCCTCAAAATGGAGGAGATCAACACCATCATTGAGGAGCTGTGGCGCAAGACGTACCGTGGCACTGATGTGGACACAATCCTGATTCGAGCGGAGAATGAGTCGGGGAGAGGCAATCGATCGTACAACTATCGGGTGGTTATGGTCAAGAGAGGTGCAGAAATGGACATGCGAGGCCGCTGCAGTGCCGGCCAGAAAGTCCTCGCAAGCATCATCATCCGTCTCGCCCTGGCGGAGGTGTTCAGCACACACTGCGGACTGATTGCGCTGGATGAGCCCACCACGAATCTCGACCGCGACAACATCGAAAGTCTCGCCCAGTCGCTGAAGGAGATCATCGAGTACCGACAGCAACAGTCCAACTTTCAGCTCGTGGTGATCACCCACGACGAAGACTTTTTGCGACAAATGGAATGTTCAAAATTCACGGGGACCTATTACCGAGTGTCGCGAGACTCGGCCCAAAACTCGATCATCGAGCGACAAAGCATCGCAGAAGTTCTGTGAGCTTTTGTCCAGACATTTTCATACGCATGCCATGTGCACCGTTATCATTCGCTGAGTAGGTCGGTACCTGGCAGGAGATTTTCATTCTGCCGGTCGGCGAAATACTATTTTTCTCGGAGGCGCCATGGTACCTGAAACAAGTGACGTGGCACTGGAGCGCGTTCGAAGAGGATTGCCAACAAACCAAAGACCCAGGTGCAGCTGGATACGTGAGTTTGTTGAGTTGATGGAGAGAGTGAGACAGTGTAGTCAGACCCGAGGAATGGAACAGGCATGTGCACCCTTTTTGGCACGGGCTTCAAAAGGTGAAAATAAAGTGACAGCGCCTGGACTTGTGGCTGGGGACTTTGACCTTTAGGAGGCTTAGTGCCAGGAGACAAACAGTGGACCATGGGTGTCAGTGGCTGGCGCTGCAAGGGACCACGAACCGGGAGGGGAGGGGCTCCAACAATACGAGCGCCCAAGACTAACCCCGAAGGTAAGCGAGACACAAGCGCCTTGCCTCCTGGGGGGCGCTGCGAGAGGCACAAAGCAATAATGCGAAGCTCGGTATGCGACACTCATTTTTCCAGCATCGAAGTTCGAATGGGCCGACCAATATGGAAGTAATTCATGGAACAGAGGCATCCTACGTTTCCTGGAGAGGGCGGTGAAGCTGTCTTGCTGTCTACAAATATGCGCCCAAATTCCTTGCTGGTCACCAGACTGGGACTGCCCCTTGACACGAGAGACGATGGTTGGTCATCTGGAGCCCTCGCCTTCGGGATCGACAGCAAATCAACAAGACTCTCCCCCAGTATTCTCCATCTTGCTCAACATCGACAAATTCTCCCTGGTCTCTCCCTGGTACCGTTTTGCCACGCCACACGCTCGGGCCTTGGGCTTCCAGTGTGTCAGTCTCGATTCAGCCGCTCACCTTGGTTTCGCTTGGGCCGACTCTCAAAGCAGCCTCATCCCATCGCGATTACCCCGAACCTGAGTTCAGCCATTTCGATTCTTCTTGCTTTCAGACTTATCCACTTCCGAGAGTGTTGTTTGCCGGGTCCATCACAGCGGAGCCCAAAAGAGGAGACAGCAAGAGGGCCCTCTAGCTTCTCTCGACTCGCCTCTCTGTTACTTCGCCTCCTCCTTCCCCTCCAGCATGATCCCTTTACAATGCTAGTCTACCGTCAACATAGACCTCCAATCATGTGGCCGAGGCGCCAACCGATACCTGTTTTTGGTTTCACTCATTTTCTGCCCACCACTCGCTCGAGCAGACAACTACTTGACCCAACCATGCAGCCCACCACTTCAAGAAAATGCTATACCCACATTTACCAGTCGTGTCCAGACATTCAGGATCTGTGCTCTCAAAGATCCATTACGTGACAAGAATTCCACCGCGATCTCATGGTGAATCTAGTCCCTGTCGAGCCTCATCTCCGTCATCTTGTGTTCCCATCCCTCCACTTTCGTCGATCACCACCTCACGGCATGTCCCTCTCCCAGCTGTCCATTTCTCTTCTATACCACATGATGTGCAATCGTGACCTCTTCCAACGTCTTTCCCCGCTTTTTCCTTCCAGTACTTCTCCATTGAACCAGTCAGGTCACCAACACAGTCGTCATTGCCTGCTGGACCTTGCACGATAAAGGGTCTACGGTTGTACACAGTTGTTTGATCTCAAGTTCGGTTTCTTTTTTGTCCCAGCACAGAGCAGCAAGTTGGTCTTATACGAGACTTCAGTCAATTGTCAACGTTTGCCATTGTTCTCCCCAGTCCTTGTCACTGAACCATGGGGCCTGGGAATGCCATTCTCGTCGTTCTCCTAGCTACTGCTGCAGTCACGTAAGTCTTGCAAGGCCTCCTATTGTGTCTGAAACGTTATTGATGGCTCTCTCAGCTCGCCTCTGCACAAACGGCAGTTCTCATATGGTTCAACTCCAGTTCGCGGAGTCAACATTGGTGGCTGGCTCGTCCTCGAACCCTGGATAACGCCATCGATATTCCAACAATTCGGAGGCAGTGTGGTCGACGAATATACATTATGTCAGCAAGCGCCAAATGCTGGAGACATTCTTCGCAGCCACTGGGACAGTTGGGTTTCTTTGGGTGACTTTCAGAAAATTGCAGCAAATGGCTTCAACACCGTTCGAATCCCGATAGGGTACTGGGCGTTTCAGAAGTACGAAGGTGATCCGTACATCCAAGGTGCAGCGGACTACCTCGAGACCGCCATCGATTGGGCTCGTCAGACCGGCCTGAAAGTCTGGATCGACCTCCACGGTGAGCAAGATCATTTATTCAAACACTTGTGGGACGCCGAACTCATTTTTCACGCTAGGTGCGCCTCTTTCGCAAAACGGTCAAGATAATTCAGGCCAGCGTACCTCTACGCCCGGCTGGACAACAGGCGATTCGATCGATGCGACACTCGACGTCATCAGACAAATTTCCCAGCAATACGCCAGTCCTGCATATGCAGACGTGATATCAGGCATCGAGCTTCTGAACGAGCCGTCGATGGGTAGTCTGGCCGGTGGACGGGGCGCCACACAAGGTTACTACCAGTCAGGCTTCGGCGTTGTTCGACAATCGGGTCAGACGGCTGTGATCATTCACGATGGTTTTGTCAACCCGTCTTCGTGGAATGGGGTCCTGACCGGCCAGGGAAGCAACGGGGCCATTGTCGACCACCATGAGTACCAAGTCTTCAACGACGATGAGGTGGCCATGACTCCTGAGGAGCACGTCGGCTACGTCTACTCGCAGGCCAGCTCGTGGGCGCAGGGCCAGGACAAGTTCGTCATCTGCGGCGAGTGGACGGCGGCCATGACCGACTGCGCCCCGGCCATCAATGGCTACGGCGTCGGCGCCGCTACGACGGGACCTACTCGCAGCGCAACTCGGACGGCAGCTACACCAGCTCCAACTACGTCGGCTCGTGCGCCAACATCAACTTCATCGACCAGTGGAGCGATTACAACAAGACCTCCACCGCCAACTACATCCGCGCCCAGCGGGACGTCTACGAGAGCCAGATCCAGGGCTGGTTCTTCTGGAACTTCAAGACCGAGGCCGCCGCCGAGTGGGATCTGTTCAGGCTGATTGACGCCGGCGTGTGGCCTGCGCTCAGCTAAGCGAGCGGTTGGGCATCTTCACAAACGCACCCACCCATAGGGTTTCATTCCCAATCTACGCGAAAATGGCCACAAATCCCACCGACCGATCGACAGACGAAAGACCCTTGAATGCTGCAGCGGTTCCGCCATCGCCACGACTTTAGTTACACATACAATAATCGATTTTAATGACGTTACGAGAAAGGAGAGAAGGGGCCGACGGATCTAGTTTCTTAGGCATACTACATACGTACCCGCTTCCTGCCTGGGCGGTGAGAAAACTGCCGCGGAATCTATCTATCCATCCATCCCTTTCTTTGTTCATTCATTCATTCGTTTGTCAATGCATGTGGGACCAGCACGGCCGTCAGCAGGACGGGAGAGGCTCGCCGCGCGATTCAGGAGACACGGAACACGGGATGCTGCTGAAAGGCAGAGTGCGGAATGTGGAATCATAAATGTGAAAGCGGAACGCGGTGGCGTGCTGTAATTACATGCATGTACTCAGCTAGGTATGTATGTGGTAGGTATTTCTGTACCTAGCTAGCTAGCTACCTACCTACCTACCTACCTAGCTTTTCGCAGTTCCCCTCTCCTCAACGATGTAATGAATGAAAGAATGGAATCGAATAGAAAACGACAAATATGGGTTGAGTTGGTTGGGCTGGTTGTTCGTTTCTGGAGTGGACGGGACGGGACGGTCTCGACAGAACAATAGACAGCTACACAGCCCCGAAAAGCGGCAGCAGAGAGAGATCAAAAGACAGATACCTAGCTAGATACATGGTACTACTTACCGTATGTAGGTAGGTGGTTCGTTCTGTGGTCGGGAAAAGGGGCGGCGGTTGCACACGGCGGCGGCAGCAGCAGCGGAGGAGGAAGGAGGCCATTGGAACATAATCGATATATCACATTACACATACACATCCCATCACATCACATCACATGACGGCGTCTCACTTCGTGCCCTTGCTACTGTATACCATACCCCCCTCTTGGCGGGTAGATGGTTAGATACCTACCGTATCTTGATTGATTAGGAGGAAAGGATGCCGGGGCATTGTATGCGCACATGACATGGGAATGAAAGGAAAGGAAACCAAAGGCATGTTTCTAGAGGGTTGTGTCCTGGGTTTCTCCTCTAATAGTACCGCGCATGACATGATATGACCTGGATTTTTGCGGCGCCAAAATGGCAATCCTTCCGTGTCTCATCGTGCACCGTTTCCCTTTCCACGTAACCACAATCGCTAGCGAGATATCAAAATGCCATACCGCGGATCACTAGGCGAACTTGAACATTCCGCCGAACCCCCGGATCTTATCTTCGTGACTGCATTCATTCAATGGCAAATCCCTCACTCCGTGCCTTAATCACCTTTTCAAAGCTCACCTCCTCATCCAATCCTCCCTCTAACAGCCTCACACCCGTCACGTCCACATCCACAAACGTTCTGCTCATCTCAAAAGACACCGTCATGGGGAAGAACTCCGCATCGTCATCAGCCTGGGCCTCAAACTCGAAGCTGCCCGAGCTGTTCTCTGCGTCGATGACGCCAATGGTCCACTCTAATGAGTCGCCTGTGACTTGATATACGGCATCGAAAGATGAGACACTGGGTTCTGATGAAGAGTAGGGGATGGTAAGGGTGACGTCCCGGAGGGTTATCGAGGCCGGGTTGGTAAGCTCGTACTCTATTGTGATGGTGTAGGTGCCATCGGAGGAGGATTTGTTCACCCACGCCGTCAAGGTTAAAGGAAGGACATCGGTGCTGTGGTCGGCCGGGGCGGTGGCGCGCCATCTGAGCACACCGATGCTGTTGTTCGGGGGGAACCGTTTGGAGGTATCTTTTAACTGGATGACCTTTTGGCTGGTAAAGAGGTTCTTGTCCACATTGGGATGTGTGCGGAACTGGGCTTTCAGGGGCCCTTCGACAGCTTGCACGGACAAGGCAAGTTTCGTCAAGGCTGAATCAGTAATCTTCAGTTGTAGATCCCCTTTGACCTCCAGAGACTTCAGGGCGCCTTCTCGCGACAGCTTTGCCGACAGTGTCTCTGTAATGGCGATCAGAATGGGCGTGGTAGGGGAGGACAGCGTTGGGTCGTGGGTGCTCGCGGTAGGGAGCCCGCGCACAGGTAGTTCCGCTGAGGGCTCGGCTGCGGACACTTCTTCTGTGCCGATTTCCTGCTGAACCTGCGCGAAGGCATTGGATGTCTTGGATTTCTTGCCCAATTGCATACCCTTTGTGGAGCGTGAGGTAAATTTGTTGGAAATTTTGTTCTTCTCGGCTTCGTAGGTGTCGTACGTGGTCTCTGGCCGGGTTGGGGGTGTATAGACAGGCTGCTGGGGCATTTTGGGTGCGACGCCACGTCCGTACGCAGCAGAGCGCGCAGCCTCTTTCCGCTGAAGTTCCAGTTGTTTCGCCTTGCGCTTCCGCTCTTCTGACGCTTCCAGCTCTTTATTGCGGGCAATGATCTCTTGAATTCTCTCTTCGTGGGATTCCATCTCGAGAAAGGTCTTGATCTGGCTCAGGGAGAGATTTTCTCTGTAGCCCATCGTGACGAGCTCGTCAAAGGCGGAGAGAAGTTCAAATGCATTGCGCAGGATTTCCCGCTCCTCGGGTTTCTTGCAGATGGATGTGACGACCTGGCCGAACAAGTGCAGACTGTCAATGTCTTGGAGGATGTTGGACTGTTTGTTTGTGATGAGGACAAGGTACAATTCGTCGAGAGGCTGGTAGACAAATCGGACATTCTCCTGCTCGACGGTAGTGTGTTGGGTGGAGGAGTCGGCGAGCTTGGGGAACGAGGCGAGGAGGGCTTCAATGCGAGACTTTGGGATCTCTCTGAATGAGCGAGAGAGCAGAGGCTTCCCGCCTCGCGTACATATCGAAGCAGCAAGGACAACCATGATGGAGGCGGGGGGAGGATTATGTTCGTTGGTGTGGACGGTGACGGGGAAACTTTGGGGGAGAAGTGAGGCCAGATGTGTATATCGCAGACGCCAAGCCTCGGATTTGAGGACACGACGCGGTGTGAATTGAAGGCCGACTTGTGCGCATGAGCAACCCATGCCACGTTACCATCACATGAGCTCAACAGTCCTATACCTATTGTCATTCTGGTATTCTTCTGTTACATGTCGGTGTATCAGTCCTTTGTCCTTGTGATGCACGCCGATGGCAATCTGCTGGACGCAGCACAACACCACTCAACAGGAGAGTTACAGCAAGCAATATCGCAGGAGACACCAATGTCGAAGTAATAACTAAGGCGAGTGGGACGAATAACTCTAAGCATAGTATATACACACCCCAACAACGCCCAACTGACGCCGCTCCACGAGCCAACCTGCAGGTACTCAGTACGGCGCATGTCTCCTTTCCTTTGGTCTTCTCGTCCTGTAATTTTCCTTGTGAAAGACCTGTGCACCTCAACCGGCCTCTACTACTCTGGACTGACATCTCCAAAGCATGTCTTGTGCCGGGTCATCCAATCTTGGGAACGCACGCTCCTTTACTCATATCCAGCAATGCGCACTGAAGGAGCCTCCATCGTGCTTCGAACGGCCTATTCATACCGAGGAGGCGGTGCATTGTAAGAGCTGGCAATGCTTTCAGGTCGCTGGACGCCTGCAGCCACGCCAGAGTCACTGTCCCAGCGTGTGACCGGATCCCTTTCGTCGTTGCCGAGCAGAGTCTGGTTTTGATCTGGAGTCGCCTCGTATCCGGTGCTCTTGTAGTATGGGTGTTCCTTCTGCCTCGAATCGACGATAGAAGCATCCGCAAGGTTTGTACTTTCTTCAGACGGCCCGGCGATGCTCGGCTGATCTTTGGCGCCCCGTGCTCTCCTCCGCGCGAGCATACGGAGTACCATTGCAAGGATGCCACAGAAAAGACTGATGCTGCTGAGAACGATGACCGCTATCAACCACCCTTTACTCTTCTTGGTGTTATGGCCATCGTTGTTATTGATGATCACGAGACGGGGACTTCTTCCCATGAGAGACATTGTGTGAAGTTGTATCCTGGGTAAAATAAGACCCAGCTTGTGTATGACAGCTGGAGAGCTCCCTCCCCTCTGCGATTGATTCGTGGTGTAGATTGTCGTGAAGCTCGAATTCTTATGACCACAAGAGATGCAACCTCATCAACTAGACACAGCCCAGATTTTGAAATACCTGGCACGCGGTAGAATAGGCAAGATTTGGCGCAGCAACTCTCAGCTGCAAAGGCGCAATGTCAACGAAGATGAAACAACAGGAAGACCAGAGATGGTGGGCAAGCGACTAAGAAGGGAATGGGCGAGACCAAATAGACATGCTGTCGTGCCGGAGCTGAAAAGCCACCGGGAGCTGCACAGCCATTGTGGGCTCCTGGAGGAGCCTTTCTCTGTAACAATACGAGACATCGTCGAGCTGAACAAGGGCCAAGATAGGGGACCGGTTGTCGTCAGCAGCGGTCCAGAGTCCGCAGGAATTGGGCCAGCCCTAATATTGGGGCTAGCGTATCTCCTGGTAGGGCTTTGGCCTGTGACAGGAGGAGTGTGATTGGCTGCACATGTACGATAGAGTCACATAACTGGTTGTGAATGTTCATACGGAGCTAGCCTAACAAATCTAGAGACACAGGGCCAATCAGAATAAGGACTTTGCTTTGTCATCCAAGGATCGAGCCCACCACAATCCACTACATCCTACGACTAAATCCAATCCTAATGATCCCTGATCCCCCGTAATCTCGCCGGGAGGCCGGTCCTCCTCGTACACGATGGATTTGGGAGGTATCGCTGAGGGAACACCAGGCTGATCCCATGACATGTGCCTTTTCGAAGCGCGGAGGGGAGCCAAGAGGGCCGAGAAGTCGAGAAGGCTCGGTTTTCGTTAGTCAAGCCTCGCCGAGCGGAATGTCTTGGTGTCTTGGGGAGCTACTGGCTAGGACGAAGCCCAAGTCTAAGCGAAGGGCCTGAGAGGTGTCAGAAGCTTGGCAAGTCTTCTGTCCCGAAAGAGAATCAAGTGCTCGCTCTCATGATCTATGCTGTCGACCCTGCAGTCAGCAGACACGGTTGAATGCACTGCGGCACAAATGATGAGCGAGAACACAGCCGTACCTCACGCCGAGTGTTCGGGGCTGATTTGCACTCTCGAAAGTGTCCGTCCGTGACTGAGTTCTACTTCAGTAATAACCGAGGCCGGTTGGGCAGTCCGATGAGAAACAGCAAGTTTAGGAACAAGAAAAGGCCAAGAAGACCTTGTGTGAAGCTTTAGCAGCTGAAGCAACTCGCTGAACCTTTCGTTTTGAGGGTGCCTGAGTGAGTGAGTGAGGGCCCTGGCGCGTCTGGTAAGGTCGTTTTTGGATTAAGTTGATTTGAGCTGCCGGGAATATGCGTGAACGTGAACCAAGACCGGACACACGCTGGGTCTTTTCCCAGCCGCGACTCTGCCTTGTCAAAGCTTCAAAAGGCCCCAACTCAATTCGCCAGCTTATTATCCATGACGCTCCAATGAAACACCACAGCTTTCTAGCCATTTGCCGCATCAGCTGTAGGCGGTATTGCTTTGCGCCAGACCGTATTGGCCACAGAGAGTATGATGCTTCAGAGCATACAGTCGCCCATGCTATCGCAAATGCCCACGGAGACGACTATTGCATTACAATCGTGGATGCAGGCACCTCGTGCAACTGACTGGTTCTGTTGCCGGTCAGAGGCGCGTCCACTCAGATCAATCGGTTTCCGGGTGAATGCCAATTCTTGTAGTACTGCTGGATACTGTCCATCCCTAGGTGTAGCACCCCTTGGAAGGTCCAGGCGCGTGAAGTGTAAATTTCGGAAGAGAAACTCGCTTATAGAGGGTCAACGAGCGCAGAACTGAGGTTCAGACAAGCCGATGGTTACCAGGAACTGGCTCTGCAAGATCGTCGTGACTGGCAGTCAGTTCGCTCGCCCGACAATTCCGAATATATTACGACAATGGATAGCGCTGTTCTTAAAGTGCTCTTTGAGGCTCACTCCAGGGTTTGGTCTTGGCAGACAGACACGTGTCACGACGCGTAGCGCGACTCGGTCTGCACGGGATCTGCATGGTTATCACACCGCCACCACCACAGGTTCACTGTTGACAATGAAGTCAAAGTGTCATTTGCTTTCATATTGGCTTCTGTGAGCCTTGTGGCCTTGCCATCATGAGCATGGCCACCGCCCCAGCAGCGGAGCATGGATCCACTGTTCCCCCGGGAACAGAAATGCAGAGCCTTGGGCATTGCGGACAATAAACCCTGTCAATTCACACTTTTGTCATTTTCACGCCAGGCAACGCCATGGTATGTGCACGTACCCAAGGATGGACTTGGTATGATTTGTCTGCTCTGACATCTGGGATCGACACTAGGCTTGTACAAGGTGCTACAAACGCCGCAATGCGCAACTTGATGCCCTTCCAGCGTCTCCTCCCGCATATCTAGCAGAATGCGAGACAAAATTGGCCAATGAGGATTTCGCGGCACTTGATGACAAGGACGTCCCTTGTGGAGATTCACAATCATCTCCCTAGAAAGTACGCTCTCCTGGATCGCGTCATCAAGGCTCGAAACCTTCATTATAGCCATTTCTACGCCGAAATCATGGATGGAGTATGGCCATGAAAAGTATCCCAATGCTCTCATCACGCAGAAATTGACAGTGCTGAAAGCTTTGGAACGTCTAACGCAGCGCGGGATTGAGTGGCTGACATCAAGTGGTCATGTTTCTATCGAGATGCCAAAACATTTGGCATGCACTGAGGCGGATGCTCTCGAAGACGAGATCCTCTTCCCAGGCGACTTTTCAAGCTCCTCCGGCAGTCGACCCTTGGAACCCATCGAGAGCAAACTGACCAAATTCGAGGCAGGCCGGATGAAGGACAATGTTCTGAAACAGTTTGTTGAGCGCAGCGACTTCAGCGACGACGAGTCCGATGACGTAGACTGGGAATCTATCCAGGAAGATGCCGATCAGATCGACCACTCTAAACAAGACAGTACCACAGGAGAGGGTCAGCTAAAACCGTCTTCTCATTAACCAGCGAACGGTGAGCCGGGAGGTCAAGAAAAATGGGAGAAGAGTGCAGCTGGGGTGACTGAAAGTGTGACTAATAGGTGAGAGTGTTTACTGAAGTCATTATCTCATTCATCAGCTACTCTGTGGGAAAGTAACGGAATATGTTCGATGCTAACAATGTCCAGGTCTTCAATATCGTTGTCTGATTTCCTTCCCCACTATGACTTGGCCATGGAGATATTGGATTCATTGGACCCGGGCCCAGCGAGGAAGACTTGGATCAGGAAGAGGGTTACCTGATGTACAATGATATGTATAAATCAAAAGATAAGGTTCACAACAACGCATCGTAACTGCTCATGAGATCTCCTATCTATACGCCCTGTCCCACTGTAAACTCCACCTCGCGAGGGGCCTAGAAGAGGTGCTAATTGCTCATAGTCTTCAGAGAAGCATAGCACGGATGCGATTTGGAAGCCGGCTCTCAGGACAGCCGACGCGATTACGTTCCAACTCGTCACGACGCTGCAAGCGATCCAGCGCTCTATAGTGAAGTGTTCCCCTCTTCTCTACACAAACCCTTAAGCAGCTGGAGTACCATCCAGAAACTCACCCTCGGGTGACCAAGGACATGAAACGTGCTTGCACCGTGATCTTGCTCTTCGGTTCCAAAGCTACTCCGTTCCTTGAAAGCAGATCCGGTAACAAGTACAAAAACTCCAACCTCCTCGATCAAAAGAGACCCTCAAAACAACTCCCTGACCATCGAAGTTGCCAGAGCACCAAATACCGACATGAGTCATTCTACAAACCATTTCACGAAGCAGTTCGGGCGGCCCGTACCAAGAAGCCGGCGACTCAGTACGATGAGCTTCCTTCCGAATGGGACATTTATATTGGCCCTAAGATCGCACAATGTATGTACCGCTATGATCCTCCTCGTCGGTTGTACACATATTGACAAGACTCCCCAGTATTCAAGAACGGCGTGATTTGCGTTTCATATACTCGAGATGTAGAGATTCTGGGGCTGCCTTTGCGGTTGAAGAAGACGGCTGCCCCTTGGACCTCTTCTTTGACTATCGGGCCTCCCTTGCTAGGCTCAAAATGCAGCAAAGGGTCATGGTCAGTCCTTATGCTCTCAGTATCGACTCATTGCGCGACGACGCTCGAAAATTTGCAGCATCACAGTCCGCCGCGCGATTTGCATTGCTCCGGCTGTGGTCAACACCTTATTTTTCTATCCATTCATGGTCTCTTGGTCCAAGCGCCCAGCACACGCCTTTGTCGACTGCATTGGTCGTGCTTGAAGTGGAAGTTCATGTCTACGGATATGCCTTAGTCGGAACACAGCGTCCACTTCAACATGACTGAGAGGTTTAGACCTTTTATGTCTAAATTCGGACAGGGAAACGGACTCAAAGTCCGGAAGGATGTTGTTCTTGTGATGGGAGAGAACGAAGAGGAACTCTTGAAACTCGCGTCTGCAACCACCTTCATTGTGCAGACACGGCCTTGGCGGCTGGACATTGATTTCTGCAAAAGCTTCGCCAATATTGATGTCGAGTTTCTAAATAGTCTGAATAACACTTGGTTTGTTTGAACATCGACGATCTCTCAACGATAGTGTGGTGGCATCGTGGGCTTCAATATTTTTCTTGTCGAGGGCTCCATTCTGCGCCACCGGCCCTTGGATTTTCTCTATACTCACATCACCTATCGTGGCTATCCTGTGTCAGACATCTGCGTTCCTGAACCATAGAAACAATGAACCGGGTACCGCATAGCTGAGGTTCTAGAGTCAGAGCTTCAGGTGGCCACTCAATACATCGTCATTGTGCACAGTGCACTTTGCACTTGATCATGCCAAAATAACCACCTCGCCAGATTAGCCTTGGACAGGCACCAGAGCGGCGTAGGAATGATTGTGTATTGTAATCTTTGAACTTTCGTGTACAATGCTTGGTGAGGCTGCAGTGCAAACAGTGCAAACAACCGCAAGCCTTTGAGAACACTAATCCTCTTGCGCACATGATGCTTGGCAGGCAGCATCCAAGTGACTTCAACTTGGAGTTCTGTTGCCTTCGCATTTCGTCGTCCCCCTTGACTCATCCACGAACACCCTTGAATTTTTAAAGATCGTGAAGCATTCTCGAGAGGGCACATTCTTCCACTCGTGAAGTTGTCTCTTCCAGCTGTCCCTCGCTCTGAGCAACTGAACCTAAATGAACTTCGCTGCACCGCTCCCTTCGATTTATCACCCTGGATCGGTCTGCCTGCACCACCAAGCGCCACAACCCTCATTCCCACGACGGACGAAAGCCTTAGCAGTGCAAAGAATAAAAGAGTACGGGAAGACTTGGGGCGTCGCATAACCGGTGGAGTTCCTGGTCCCGTTCGCGATGGCTGCAATCCCATCATTTGCCTTTCCAGACATGGACGCGTCGCAGCTTGATGACAAGATGGACGTAGCCTCTTCGCCTTTTCGACAGCCCGACGATATCGACATCGACCTCGATTCAGTCCGTGATGTTTCCGTAATTGGCTCCCCCCACGACGACATGGTTGATGACCCTGCGGAGCCTCTGAATACCGCTCCCGATGTTATGGAAGATCAACTCGATGAGATATTGCCGGATGATGATATGAATGACGAACAGAACGTATCGATGCTAACCGAGCAAGCTGATCTGGACTACAACATGGATGCCTCTATCGAAGATGCTCAAGGTGATGAAGACGAAGATATCTTGTATGAAGATGAGGAAGACATCAGTGCCGTTATACAAGACACCGAAGTAGTTGCTGAATACAACGCAACTGAGGATCAGCCACAGGTTTATCAAGAGGTGGAAACAGACATCATCCTGGAAGAACTTGGAGACCAACCTGAACAACAAAACCCCACGGATATAGATACTAATCCAGATAAGACTCTCGCCGAGGACGCAAGCGTTGCGACCCCAGGAGAAGACGCCACGCAAGTTCAAGATGTAAATCAGGTTTCAAAAGCTGAGATACCGGACACCTCCCGAGAAATTGTGACTCTTCAACCCGAGGCGGACCAAGATCCCGAGCAAGCGCAAGGTGAGCAGCGTGATGATGCTGCAGAACCCCTAGACCAACATCCGGAGGCCGCGACTGGTGAACCTGCTCTCTCTCTCTCTGAAAGTGGTCATCCCGGAGCTGACACTCAACCCACCACCGAAGCAAATGAAGTCGAGCCCCAAGACCAACATGAGGAGACGGTCAAAAACGAAGACGACAGGGCATCTCCCACCGTGCACCCTGTGACGCTTGTTTATCTAGAAGAAGAAATGTCGCTTTTCCCGCCCATGATCGGCGACGCGTCTAGCGTGTATTTCCTGCCTGATGCTTCATTGGCCTTCGAGCCCCTGGACAAATTACTGGCAGCCTGCCGTGAGATTCTGACGGGGACGCTGGATCATGATGATGAGCTCGTGCTTGACGTGCCTGGACTAGGTCTGCACATCTGCGAGGATTCCAAATATGCTACTCAAATTACGCTATCTCAAATTCTCGACGTCTACTTGCAGCTATGCAATAACCACGCAGGTCAAGCGGCGCAACCTCTGTACTGTCACTTGAGCAGCCGAGTGAGCCTGGCATCGCAATACGCTTATCTCTGCTCTGCAGGAGCTGAAGGAAAGACCTATGCCGAGATAGCCGCCGACCATTCCGAATCTCCGGAGCTAGGGGGAAGTGAACAAGAAGCCAGAAACTACGAAGGACGTCAAAATGAAGGCGATCATTCACCAGCTAAAGGAGAGACAGAGGCCGCTGCAGAAAGCACGCACAGCCAACCGTCTACAGCCCATGCCAACGACACACATACCTTGGGTCGAGAAGAGCGTGCGGAGGCTGAGAACCCTCCCGACAATGTCACCCACGACATTGTGCCTAAGGCGAGCGATGTGGACCGATCGGAGACCCTTGCGGGCACAGGAGCGCATGAGCCGGCTGAAGAGGTAGAATTGCTTGTTCGAGCCGACCAAGAGGTCGATGAGCCCCAATACGTCTATGACGAAACTCGAGAGCCCGAAGATGGTGGGTCTGAGCATGAGGTGCGGGCTGGAGCTCAAGATCAACCTCAAGAGGAAGAAGAGCATGAAACAAACAGCTCACATACAGTGGAGGCCGACGTGGGCGAGACGGACCTTCAGAATACCAAGGCATCTGACGCTGACGTAGAAGGTCTTGGGCAATCCAATGAAGAAGCAGAGGATCTTTTCCAGCATGAAGAGGATCGACCCGAGCCGGGGTCCAACTACGAACCTTATGGCGATGAAGAGCTTTTCGTCACTCAAGATGAATTCGGTGAAAACGTGCTGGAAGATCTCTCCGCAACCAATCAAGAAGACGACCCAACTCCGACGCTCCAGAACACAGACGATACGGACGTATCTCAGACGCAACCTTTGCCCTCCAGCAATGCTGACACCCTGAATGAAGATTCCTCGCACCTAGCTTCGGCTGGTGACGCACAATATCCGGGCAACCTTAGTCCTCCCATGACTCCTGTCAAAGGCAATCAAGCCAAGCGGAAAGCCGAGGAAGATGATGAGCTTCTTCTTGATCTTGACACACCAGATCCAAAGCGTCGACGACCTTCATGATGGACCTTGTCGATCTCTGCAACGTTTCACTATCCTTTCTCGGCGGACACCGGCAATAGCAGATGGCCCAGTCCAACACGATACACCTGCCACACGACCCCAGGACGCCAGCCAAATTACCTCCACATCTACTAATCACGGCAGAATCTAACCCTTTTAGGTTCCGGCGTAGGATCCCTTCTATTTCTTCGGCACACCACAGCGATCCACGCATGTGTTCAGCGCGGGCCATACGTCACTGTTCTGCAGTAAATTTCCCCTTTATTCCCCTGTGCTACTAACCATAGATTTGTTGCATTCACAATCGGCATTCTGCGTCGAGTTTCATCGAGGCTTACTCGACATCCACCCTTGACCTATGATGCCAGGTGTCTTACGAGCTTGAAAACATAAGGTCGATTGGGAGGAACATGTACAATGACACGATCGAAATTTACCGTGACTGCAATGGTTGGGTGGGTGGGTTTGCAGTTCACTGTAAGTTAACAGAGATGGAGAGGATGGGGGCAAGGGTCTGGTGGGGTAGCGGTGTTGGAAGCGAAGAAAAGTCATGTTTTCATTTTGCTGCGGTGTTGTTATTGTAGGCACTTTGCTGGGAGGAGGACGACAGGCCATGTCTTGGGCTTTCAGCTTCACACAGAGGAGAAGATCTGGACGCCGGTTTGAGGGGGCAACCGGGCAGGCAGTATCTTTTGCTGGGCGACACAGGGCCGTATTTTGAACTGGTTGATCTATGGGATTTCGCATACATATATGCACGTATTCTCCATTGCACAGGTTCTCGAGGCAATAGCTTTGTGTTGTCATCGTTCAGCTTTGTTCCCACGCAATAATCGTAGGGACGTAGGGACGAGAAAGAGTGGAAGACGTTCGCCCCAGCCAATCATGGAATGGCTATTTCGGAGCAACGATATGGTACGTGTACCGAATATAAAAAGGCTAACCTACGGACCGAACCCCTCGACCCAACTTCCACACCTCCTCCTGTTTTCCACCCGAAATCTCTCGAAATAATGATGATGCAGACTCTGATCACTCAAGTTCTATGCCGATAGGTCCTCTCGTTGGCAATGATGAGAGTCGGTTGAACGACATCCTCCCACGCATAGGAGGCCCAGTACATGGCAGGCTCTCACGCATGGCCACGGGCCGCTTTCGGGTTGGCACCTACGACCACCTTCTCCTCAGCCGGGCCGAAGCCGCTCGACTCGCCGTCACTGGATCTCTCCTCGGTGACTGCGACATCGGTGGCGGCCCTGGATTTCATAAAGGGGTAGTGGCCCTTAGTCTCCTTGAACCTCAGCAGGACAAAGCCCGCCATGACGACGATCCAGAACACGTTGTATCCGATGACGCTGCCGTAGGTGGCGCTGTTCTGCCAGCCCAAGAGGGCGTTGAAGATGCCCCAGCCACCGCCGCCGTTCAACACCGGGTTGCAGCAGTTCACGTGCCAGACGCTGTCCCGGATGTCATATGACCCCGGGCCGGAGCCGTTCTCGGCGGCGTCGCCCCCACTAGCCCTGTTGTAGGCGTGAGTTTCGAAGTACCAGATGCTCCGAGAAAAGAGACCGGCCGCGACGAGGTAGAGGAAGCAGGTGCTCGCAATGAGGAAGATCTGCAGGGGAGCCATGTTGCCACCCTTGTAGATGATGAAGCCCACGGCGCACCCAGCAGCGAGACCGCAGACTGTGGGCAGCGGAATAGAGCTGGCCTGGACACCGAGACTGACGCCCCCAATGAAGACGATGGCCTCGATCCCCTCGCGCAGAATGGTGATGAAGGGAAGGAGGAACATGGCATACTTCTCGGCCCAGCTCTTGATGCGGCCACTGAGTTTGCCGTGTCTGTTGTCCTTGGCTTCCAGGGCCTTGGCCAGCTTGACCCTCCATTTGGCCTGCATTTTGGAGACGCGCAGCAGAGCGGCACCCATGATGGCAATGATGATGGAGGCAATGAGCGCAAAGACACCCTCCCAGACGTCCTCGGTGGTGCCCCAGGTGTTGGTGCCGATGCCATAGAAGGCGCCGATCATGCCGCAGCCTATGATCAGACATAACACGAACCCCACCAAGACGCCGTACCAGATCTACCAGATACCGACGGTAAGGACACGACCACTCACTCAATGTGTCGGGTGGAGCTTCAACATACCTGGTTGCGCAGTTTCTTATAGACGGTCTTGTCTCGATCTGGGCCCAGCTGCTGCTTGAGGAAGGATAGCAGGATTGAGACGACGATAGTGGTTTCCAACGTCTCTCTGAAGACGATGAAGAAGACGGGGAGGGCAAAAACTTGAGGCATGGCTGGAGATGGGTGAGTGGTGGGTGGATGTGTGATTTCAGTCCAGGTAGGTGAGTTATAGAGTCTCTATCGCCTTGCCCGAGAGGATTGGTTCGTCGCGCCTTTGAAGAGGAGGCAGAGAGGATGGGAGAGAGGATTGGGAGGCGTGAATTTGGGAGGATCGCATCTGATAAGATTATGAGCTTTGGGCAGAGACAGCATTGAGCCAGTGTCTTGGTGGTGCGTCGTACGTCGTGCGTCGTGCATGGTGCAAGTGGCGGCGGTGCGGGACTCGAAACTCTTGGCCACGAAAATGTCACAATCCATTACTGTGAGTAAATGCCAGCCTGCGCCCTTCCCATCCATCATTCCACTCTCTGCCGATGTCGCTCCCCGGAACAAGACTCTGAGACTGCTCTACCTATGTACGAATCCCCTTGTGCTCGACTCTCCTCTGGCCCGCCGTCAAGGCCCACTTCCACCTGGCTCCCACAAGCGACGGGAGAAGCCCGCTCACTGGACAGAAACTTGACGATCGCCGCAGGGCCGCTCCCCCCGCGAGCAAAGAGTCGGTCGATTGGCCGATTGACTAATTGGGATACCCAGCTTCTGATGAATTCCTCCGTCGGCTGATACCCCGGCTTGGTCTGGAACAAGAGTGAAATTTTGCCAGCCAAGAGAAATTCTCCGCCCTCCTTACTGCTCGCTGGCTTCGACTCGATGCCCTTGTGGGTACCTCTCTCGCTTGACAGCACTCGACAGCAAGGTTCGTTACACACTTGGCAATCCTCATCAGATAAAGAAAACTGACCGGAGCTCAGCTGCGCACGGATCCACTAGATTAGATCCGAGCGGTTGATGCTACTATTCAATTTCAATCTGGCTGGCTTTCCGCCACCTCCATCCTCTATATCGACGCTGTCGCTTTCCACGACAGTCCGCCGAACGAGTCTCTGTTCCTCTGTTTGTTCTCTCTCTCTCTCTCATACCTACCTCTGCCAGCTCCCACCTTTTTCGCTCGATATCCCCATGAGCTTCCCCATGTCTTGATCCCAAGACCTGCCAGCACACACGCTTCGGCGGACCAGCTTGGCGACGACCAAGCATCAGCCTGTCCTCGCGCACTGGAGCTCTGGGCCACTTCTGCCAAGGGAACCCTGCGCCGTCAAGCTCTTCTTTACATGTCGAAGGTTTTCGTCTTGGCTGAGCGCTTCACCTCCCGGCGTCGCTCTCCACTGTCCAAGCCCGACGAGCCCGCCATCCAGCGGAAATCCCTCAGACCACGAAGGAATTGATGGGTCTTTCTTGCCCTGATGATCGGGCGAGTCGATTGATAATCTTATCAGATCGTCCGCCTGACTGTTCAAAAATTTTCTGCCGCGCCGGAGCAGTATCGGAGCGACGTCGAGGGTGGCCAGAGCGTTGCAGGGTTTCCGCTCTGCCGGCATAGAACGCTCGAACCCTCCCTTTCAAAAGATCTTATCTGATATTGATAATCGATATCTTTTTTCCCTTTTCATCTGACGAGCGCGTCTCAAAGCCAGCAACCATGGCTCTGTGTTTGTCAAATTTCCTCTTCCTATGCACAGCCTTCTTGCTGTCTTTTGCCTCTGCTGCAACACGCGTGTATAACTTCACTGCTGGTTGGGTGACCACCAATCCCGATGGCTTGTTCAACAGGACGACCATCGGCATCAATGGCCAGTGGCCTTTGCCCCGGATCGAGGCCGACGTGGGTGACAGGGTGATTGTCCATCTGAAGAACGATTTGGGAAACCAGTCTACCTCGATTCACTTCCACGGACTATTCATGAACGGCACCAATCACATGGATGGCGTTGCGGGGACGACACAATGTCCGGTGCCTCCTGGAGCCCTGTTTACCTATGATTTCAACGTTTGCCCAACTCCTGCCCCTGAAAAGCTGACCCCCTGGACTGACAATGAAATCAGGTCACTCAGCCAGGCACATACTGGTACCATTCGCATGTTGACGGGCAGTATCCGGATGGATTTAGAGGGCCCCTTATCATTCACGATCCAGAGAACCCATATGCAGACCTCTACGACGAGGAGTTGGTGTTGACGCTCTCAGACTGGTACCATGAGCAGATGCCCACGCTGATCAAGAAGTTCATGAGCGTTACCAATCCCACAGGTGCCGAGCCAGGTACGTTGACACCAACCGTTTTGGTTCTTCATTGCGCTGAGTCCACGGAAAAGTACCACAATCGGCTCTCATGAACGACACCCAAAACCTCCAAATTCACGTGCAACCCGGCAAGACCTACTTCTTGCGCATCATCAACATGGCCGCCTTCGCCGCCCAATACTTTTGGATCGAAGGGCACACTTTCCGCATCATCGAGGTGGACGGTGTGTACCACGAGCCCGCCGAGGCGAGCATGATTTACGTGACTGCGGCACAGCGGTATGGTATTCTGCTCACCACAAAGAACGAGACGGACGCGAATTACGCCATCATGGGCTCGATGGACCAAGATTTGTTCGACGTCGTCCCCGAGGGGCTGAACGAGAACGTGACGAGCTTCTTGGTCTATGACGCGGACAAGCCCCTGCCAAAGCCCAAGTTCATTGATGAATTTGAGCCATTTGATGATATGGAGCTCATCCCCACCGATGGAGAAGAGCTGCTTGAAGATCCTGATCTGGTTGTCCAGCTCGATGTGGCCATGGACAATCTGGGCGACGGAGCCGTAAGTACAGTCCCCTATAGATGCAGCAGAACTTGACTGACGGACACGGCGGCTTAGAACTATGCATTCTTCAGCGGTATCACCTACGTCCGGCCCAAGGTGCCCTCCCTCTACACGGCCCTGACGACGGGCGACCTTGCGGCCGACCCCACCGTCTACGGCGTCAACACACACCCGTACGTGCTCGGCCACAACCAGGTGGTCGAGATCGTCCTGAACAACCAGGACCCGGGCAAGCACCCGTTCCACCTGCACGGCCACGCCTTTCAGGCCATCGTCCGCGGCGAGGAGGAGTCGGGCGACTACGACGCCAACGCCGTGATGGACGGCAGCCTGGTCCTGCCCCGCCGCCCCATGAGGCGGGACACGCTCCTGGTGAGACCCAACGGACACATCGTCATGCGGTTCCGCAGCGACAACCCCGGCGTGTGGTTGTTCCACTGCCACATCGAGTGGCATGTAGATTCAGGGTTGGTCATGACGTTTGTCGAGGTATGTTTCGACAGATATCTGTCTATCCGTCCATCCATCCTTTCCTTTTATATCCCCCAACTCTCCCTTTTTGCCTGTCCCTCTCCTTCCTCCGTTTCCCACCAGTCCCGTCTGTGATACTGACAGCCCTTTCCAATCTCCACCACACAGTCCCCCTTGAAACTGCAAGAAACACTCCACATCCCCGAGGACCACTTCTCCGCATGCGCGGCGCTGGACCCTCCGATGCCGACGGCCGGCAACGCAGCCGCCAACACAGAGTCGCTGCTCGACCTGACTGGCGCGGCGGTGCCACCGGCGCCGCTGCCCGACGGCTTCACGACGCGCGGCATCGTCGCCCTGACCTTCAGCATCGTCGCGGGTCTGTTGGGCGTCGCCACCATCGTGTGGTACGGGCTCGGCGAGATGGGGACCATCGAGGCCGCGCGCGAGAAGGCCAAGATCCAGAAGGTCGCGGCCGAGCGGGGCGTCGTGTCCCGAACTAATACCGCTGGCACGATGACGCCCGTGGTGTCTTCTCCCACTGTCGGTGGCGCGAGCGGGAGCGGTGTTCAACCTCGTGCCGGCGGTGTCAGCACTGCGGAGGAGGCCAGGTGATTTTACATACATACGCGTAGATGGATGATATCATATCAGATATATAATGTGTGTGTGTGTGATGGATGACAGAGTCATCTGGGGGTGTTCTTGTCTTGGAGAAGCAGCGTCAGGGACGGGGAGCAAGCAGCAGAACTAACAACTACATTTTATATTCCTGTCATAAACGTATCTAGACGCTTTGTCCACGGGGGTTTCCTTTTCGGCACCTCCCATGTGTTTGTTCATGATCATAATCGTGGCGTGCCACAAGCACCCACTAAGAACTCTTCTGACTCAAGGTAACCTGATCCGTCACCAACATGCCGGCGATACTTGCACTGGTCAACGTCGAGAGAACGCCGGAGAACAAGGCCGAGAGCGCCACACGAGAAACGTCGCCGGCACGAGAAGGTGCGATCTGGCTGAGCACGCCGATCTGGGTACCCAGGGAGCCGAAGTTGCCAAACCCTGCAATGAACAATGAGCATCAGTCGCATGAACAGAAATTAGCAGTCCACATCGCACGTAGACGTGCAAGTGTTGGGAGACTCACCGCACAAGGCGTAGGTCGCAATCAGCCTCGACCGCGGGCTCATATTGATATACTGTGGCTCGCTGGTGAGAGAGTTATACGCCACGAACTCGTTCGCGATGACCTTGATCCCGATGAGTTGACCCACTTGGAGCAGGTCATCACGAGGCACACCCAAAAGGAAGGCCACAGGATAGCATATGTACCCCAGGATCAGTTGGAGGGTTAGATATGGTCCGCCATCCTGGGTGATGTTGATGTATCTGTTGCGTAGAGAGACCCGTCAGTGGATTTGGTTCTCGGAATATCACAGACTATTGGTTAGTCGATATCAGACGACAACTTACCTTCCCCACCACCCGAGAAGGGCGTTGATCAACCCAATCAGTGCGATAATACAAAGCAAAGTGGCCACAATCATGCCCGCGATCTTGATACCAAGCCAAGCGCCATTGGCAAAAGCGTGCAAGGCGTTCGTTGCGCGGTGTTCATCGTCGTCAGGGATGACCACTCGGCCTGAGGTAATGGTCTCCTCCGTTTCCGGATATCGCATCTTTGACACCGCCAACGACGCCGGAATCGACATGATACATGAAGACACCAAGGCCTGGGGATTCAATCCCAGCCCGATATAAGCGACTAGCACGGACCCGGCAATAGTAGCGAAGCCAGAGCACATGACTTGATGGATCTCGGCCAGGGTCAAGTGAGGCACGAAGGGGCGCACCAGCATGGCCGATTCTCCTTGACCAATGAAGGGAGAAGCTGCGGCCACGACAGCCTCGGCACCCGAGACACGCAAGGTCCAGAAGAAAAACACGGCGAATTTGCCGATGAACCATTGCAGAATACCCAGGTAATACAGAACCTGCACGAGGGAGACGAAGAAGATGATCGGTGGGACGACTCCGGTCAAGAACCAGTGCAGATCAACCACACTATCCGCCGTCAAGAACGAGGTACCCTGGTCTGCGAATCCCAGTAACTGGCGAGCGAGGAAGGAGATGAAGTTGAAAATGTCGTAACCGGCTTGTGTTCGGAGCACGAATACCGCAATGACGAACTGCGTCAACATGCCGCCGATGACAGTGTGCCAGCGAATCTTGCGGCGATCACGCGAAGTAATCCAAAGAAGGGCGATCATGACGGCAAGCCCCAGGAGGGAGATAGCACGATTTCCACGAGTATTATCGGCAGACTCTTCGGAGACAAATGACCCCACCAGGATGACCGCGAGAGCCACCAGCGCGGCAAGCCAGATGCGGAGCTTCTCTGGGATAGCCTGGTAGACCTTGACACCCGTGTTGTTCCAGACGAAATGCATTGGTCGGGTGACGATGGTAATGGGCACCCAGAAGAAGATCAGGCGCAAGGTGATGGCGAGATAGAGGAGGAAAGGTTTCAGCCAGCCCAGGTCGTGGCGGTGCAGGACCAACCCAGCGATCCACCATCTGCGGCCATAAATGAGGGGGGTTATCATCACAAACGGCTCAGTATAACTCACCCGGTGAACAGCAACCAAATGAAGAGGTGGACAAAGATCTTGTATTTCCCATATGCTCTTGAAAAGCGATGCCTCCTCCCGTCGTCTGCTGACCCGTTGGACAGAACTCGGGTGGCATCCACGTCTCCTTTCTCCGCATCGCCGGTACTGATGAAGTCCTTTTCGTCGACTGGTCCCGAGGGTCCCCGAAGCTTGTGTTTGACATAGTCTTGAGGATTTTTGCTCCCAATATGTTCATCGATGGTGGTGCCATCCGCGTAGAGGACTTCGTCACGGCGACCGGTCAACGAAGGCCGGCCGTGGTGGACGTGCCTGTGTTGATGCTCGTGGGAGTAGTGCAGAGCCAAGTCCGGGTTCTCATCGACGTCCCTCTGGAGTGAAGGGTTGTGTCCATGGGCGGGAAAGTCGCGGTGCGATCGGTGGTAGTCTTCTCCCTCAATGGGCGCATTGGTAGAGCTCATATGGACAGCGTCGTCATTGACAACCTTGACCTCCTTGGGGCTGATGGAGTCTGGGTCTGAGCTCATCCTGCAGGTTGTCTCCGCTCGTGTTTGTCGTCAAGGTACTTGGAGAGTACAGTGGACCGCAGGAAAGAAAGCGCAACTAGGAGGACAGGAACGAAAGCGACAAAGGTGATCAACCAGGGAGACATGGCGGAGTTGGGGGTATGAATTATGTATTTTTTTTGCCTCGTTCAGGCCGTGAGCAAGTGGGTGGTGAGCACCGATGCTACAGGGTTTGGGGTCTTCGAGCATCCGTAACAGGATGGTAGCTCCGACGAGTTGCAGGGGTATGTGCGAATCTCAATGCAGGGTGGATCGTAGAGGTAGTGGCTCGTCGTGGTGATCTGCCAGGCCGAGGAACATGATATAGCGGAGGAGGGAAAGATTGAGGAAGATGAGTGGTGGGATATAGGCGGAGGGATGGTGGTTCAACGCCACTGGCGCTTCATCCATTGCAACGCTACAAGTCTACAGGTCTTGGCATTCATCGTGCGTCACGTGCGGCTCTCCCCCCGACCGTGCTGCTTCTATAACCACTTGATGCGATGCAACATGGCAAGTCTTGGACTGACGGTGATTCTCGCTGTTCCGTCGAATCAACGATCTCCTGCCTTTTATGTTCCCTGGTCACAGCCTGTGTTCCAGTCCACACTTCGGTCACCTCCGCCTTCTGGGCAGACCCAAGGATTCTTGGGCACCCCATTTCGTGGAGGACGAAGGTGGATAATGAGGCCACCAAGAGATAAACGAAGGCTCGTATACGCCGTTCTCCTGTTGACATTGGCCACAATCTATGGAGCGTGCCTGTAGCCTCGGCCCCTCCCAGACGACCTTCCGGTTCGGAAAGCACCATTTGATAGCCGGGATGATAGAAATGCTCACTGCGGTGGAAAGCTGCTTCTTCGTTGTATGAGCAGAAGTACACATTACTGGTGTGTACGGTCGTTCCAGGAATCAATGTGCTTTCTCTCTCGCCGCGCCCTTGCCCTCCCAACTCCTCGCTATCAACCAAGTCAGTACAAAAGTAGATGTGAACGGGTCCCATGTGAACTCAAAGCTCGCTGCCAAGCAACGACCCTTGCAAGGCCTGGGGACTCTTATCCTCGCCTCTCGTGCTCAAGATTCCAAATCGCAGAAACACTTCGGAGCATGTGACCAGGATGGAGATCACGATCAGGACTATGATAATCCAGTTGATCCGCGACATCTTATCATCAGAGATGTAGTCGGACAAGACCTCGGTCAAGTCCAAGAACACTCGACAACGTTCGTTGAGGATCTGGATCCGAGGTTTGATCTCAAGATACTCACGTACCGCGTTGTACAGCGGATGCAGGGTAGGCTCGCTATCCCAAATCAGGTTGGGTACGTCGAGGACATTGGATGCTAGATGGGGAACAGGGTCAGCGCATGTGTCTCTGACAGATAAGCCGAGGGGGGACCCTTACACAAATTGACCTCCACTCGACTCTTGTATAGACCTCCGAGTAGCTTGATAACTTCTTCTCGTTTCAGTCCTAGCTCTCCTGTCTTGGCCAACTTGCCAGGAACGTCTTTCGCCGCCTCCATCTGTGCAGCCATGGTTTCTTCAAAGAAACTCAGCTTGGTGCTCTGGGCAATGGCATGGCTGATGGCGAGCTTAATCATGTGGTCGCCGCTGCGGAGTGTAATCATGTCGTTGTACACTCGTGGCCGCAAAATCTCGTTGTTGTACTCGAAGTGGAAGTCCTCCGTCTCAAAATCTTCCTCGTCCAGGGCATTTGTTGTTAGGGTGATCGGCGACACGATATTGGTCTTCTGGTCCACAATCGTGGCAAAGGCAAAGTCGGCCAGAACATCTTTTTCTTGCCTTTCACTAAAGTTCCAGAATACCACCACTCCATAGCTGAACACAAACATTTCCGCAAAGCGGTATGCATCTGCAGGAAGACTGGCGCCGGGACTGTTCGATCGTTGTGAGTGGTCACTCTCTCTCCGCTGCCCGTTGAGCCGTGGCCGGTCCAGGTCGGTCAGATCAGCGGAATTGGACTCAGAGGGTTGCTCGTCCGGCGTGTAATTACCTCTCACAGAATGCTCCTCCTCTTCCTCTGCATAATATGGTTCTCGGTAGTCTCTTTGCTCGCTGCGGGCAATCTCTTCATCCAGGACCGTGCCGCCTTTAGCGCTCTGGACGGGCGGACTGCTTCGGATGCGGTAACCTTCATTTCCTGGTAACAGTGGCAGGTGATATGCGCAATACAGGCAGTCATCGTACAGCTTAGCTCTGGCTCCATGTCGCTGCCGGACAAAAGTGGCCGTAGACTGCAGCTTATATGCTTGAGCGGTGCAATAGGCCGTAACTCGGGGAAGCTCCTTTTCCGTACGTCTTGCCTTGGGCAACCTTTCCGCATAGCTTTTAACACCTTCCTTCCCGGGTTTGCGATAATCCTCGTCGTCCCTAGGAGGACCTTTGTCGGCATCAGGCCCAAAGTCACCTTTCTCTTCTTCTTCCTCGACGGCCTCGGGCAAGAGAACTAGCTTTTCGGACGTCTTCGTAGACCGAGATGGCATATGCGGGCCGACATAGCGGCCGGTGAGTCTTGGATCGACCGGCCTGCCGGAGTTTGTTCGAAAGGCTCGCGGGCGTTGAGGGTGCCGGTTCTGGGCCGAGGGAACATCGGAGGCATATTGGAGGACACTGTCGACGGTGATGAAGCGAGCGGGTTGTTGTCGGCGGGTCTGGGGGAAAGGCCTGCTTTCGCGAGGATCGGACACCTGTCCCAGCTCAATGTCAGTTATCGCATCAGCCGACATGCTAGCTGGGTGGCAGTTGGGAGTGCCTGGGGGGGACGAACCAAAACACTAGGGCCTCTTCTGGCCGTTGAGCTTGGGGGAGCCATATTGCTGCAGATGGTAACTGCCACACTATGGTTGTGTCGTGCAGATTGTGAGGGAGGAACGAAGCAACAACAACAGAAACATGTCATTCGTCATGCCGAGCTTCCTTACGCAACGGTGCAGCGGAACCGCCAAGAATTTTTCATTGCCCACCGACTCTGTTACAGTACGTACTCTAATTAACTAGGGTACGTTTCGACGGAGAGCCAGCCTACAAATCCCCTCCATATCAGATCTGCTCCCTGCGTCCTCTAAGGACTGATTTGCAGTCTCTCATCCATATGCCTCAGTAATGGTCAGAGGCAGGCATGACTGCCATTGGCACCGGATAGGGTTTTAGCTTCCCCCATAAGGTAGGAGCCCCAGGAAACCGCTTCCTGACATGCATCTCCATCCGACAAACGCCGTAGAAGCCTGAGACGTGATCCGCAATCACCTGAGCCCGCGGGTGCCCGTTGGGTGCCCGTTGACATTTGATCGAACGATTCAGCAACAAAAGAATCCGCCCTCGGCGAGATTATCCGGACCCGCTCTGGTAGTTCACTAATAAGGGTGCAGCAGCCACAGGTTTCCAGATGAAGATAGATCTCGTCGTATCACGACCTCACTGCACGAAATGCAAACAGCCACAGCCTATACGCACTGACGAGCATGAATTATGTCGCTTCTCATTTATCCCTGACATCGCTGCGAATGATCACGAAGAGTGCGAGCTTTGGTCTGACAAATACATGAGACGTGATTGGTTCACTGTTCCCTCTTGTCGGTAGAGGAACGTGTTCAGCCGTGACCAGACCACTGTTATTGAGACAGTGACAGCATACACTGGAGCTGGAGAGCATCTGAGCAGCATCATATAAGCGATGGCTGTGAGTCGCGATGCGTTTCGCGGAGTATCCTACTCGACCATGGCCGAGACTTCCTCGACCTTACCACACACTGGCAATGAAAAACACCGAGGAAATGGCACAGTGCTGCGTGATCTTATCATTGGCTTCGCAGATGGGCTTACGGTTCCGTTTGCTCTTTGCGCCGGACTATCATCGTACGTGGGACAGAGAACTCTAGGCCATGGGCGGGAAACCAAAACGGGCTCTTTCCCTGGCGAGACTAACATTGCTACAGTCTTGGATCCTCCAAACTTGTCATAACTGGTGGTCTTGCCGAACTCTTCAGTGGCTCCATCTCCATGGGGCTAGGAGCCTATCTGGCCTCCATTACCGACAGGCAACACTATGACACGGAAAAAACGAGGGAGGAAAGGGAGGTGCGGGAATCGCCGGAAGAGGAGATGGAGGAGATATACCGCATTCTCTGCTCGTATGGCCCTCAGAGAGCAGACGTGGCTCCGTTCGTCAATGCCATGAGATCGTACCCCGACCAATGGGTTCAGGTATGTTGCTTGCTGTCGCTCCAGTGACAGTTTCGACATCGGGTTTTCTACTTACCCTGACTTATCAGTTCATGATGGATTTCGAGTTGAAGTTGGAAGAACCAGCTCGGCGTTCCGCATACGTCTCAGCAATTGTCATGGGAATTTCCTATTTCATCGGTAATCCTCCTCCTGTCCTTCCCGTCTCTTCCCCGACGCTCTTCAGTCTTGTCTTTATCAACTTGCCGCTGACCAGGGATTTTCCACACTATCCAAGGAGGTTTACTGCCCATGATTCCATACTTCGCCATCCACCACGCCACCAACGCTCTCTTCGTATCGATCGGCCTCACCGCCATCATCCTGATCGTCTTCGGGTACTTCAAGTGCGCCTTTGCCGGGTGTGGTCGGAGACAGTCAATCTGGGGCGCGGTACAGACGCTGTGTATCGGTGCTGCCGCTGCAGGGGCGAGCTACGGGATAGTCAGGGCGGTGGATTCGAGTAACATCAGCTGACATCAAATACTCATTGATGAAAGTGGTGAAGGAGGCTTATCACAAAGGGCCACAAAGAAGTTTGGCGATCAACCTATAACAGAACCCAACATCTCTCGGGAATGAGTTCCAAGGAGACACTGGCAGTGCCAAAAAGAGGACTATCATCCTTGTTGGATACAAGACTGTCTTTTTATTTTAGTGGTGGTGGAAGAGAAAAGAAACTCTGTTGCCGGTCCCTTCTTCCCCTGCACCGCGTAATATATCCACCACTCCATGTTCCCAAAGTCTACCAGATTTCATAGACCAACTATCTCTACCCTTCCTCCCGCTTTACCATCACGTATTGCTGGTGTCGCTGGCGTTGGGTGGTCGGGGGGGAGGTCTCCGTCGACGTGCGCCATTGGTTCCTCAAGACCCCTTGGGAGAGGCAACTTGGACCTGTTTTCACAGTGTAGGTGGTTATCTGGTCATTATCGTAGGTGGCGACATCTAGGGAAACAAGGCAATGTCAGATGGTGGATGGGAACCGTGGCCTTTCTCTCTCCATGTCGAGGTTTATCGACTGAACCCCTCCTGCCATTGCCAGTAGAATTGAGTAGTGGTCAAGAGCTTGTTCCCATCCAGCCTCGTGGAAGAATGCGTCCATCTAAAGCAATAAGTTTCCCCTCCTTCTGCAGCGCTCGACTCAATTCGGTTGGCTTGCAAGAAAGGCCAAGTTCGAACCACCAGCCTTGCGAAATTTTATTCCTTCTCCCCCTGCAGGTCTAGGGAGCTCACGTCCGCGGCATGCTGCCGCCACGGGATTTTTCATGACCGCAGTTTCCGCTACGTGGTCTCCGGAAACCAATGGCCTTGTTCCAAACCTGGTCGCAAATGATTGCCTGTTCCGAAGCATGCGCCTCTGGTGGACTCGCCTGGGTGACTCACAGACGGCTTGAACGGCGCGAACGACTTCAAGTCCGGCAGGACTTCACTTACCGTATCCCGAAGACCTGCCAACGCCGTTGCCCCTTGTCATTTGAGGCAGTAGGCAGACATTGGTTGCCTTATAGTTTGTCCCGCGATATGATGGTTCTACCGGACAAATGTGGCGCCTCAGTCAGCGCCATCCAAGACGTCAGCGACCGAGGCCGACGGGGCGTCTTCATACAACTTTTGGCGAGCTTGGTCAGCCAGTGTGCCCTGGGGTCCAGTCTTTTCCTCGCGTCGATTGAGGAATGACAGGTATGTCTGCCAGATCACGGCAAAGAACCCAGAGAAGGCAAATCGCAGATGGGCGGGGATAACGGTGAAGTTCACTGCGGTGACGGCAGGCCAGAACTTCGCTGAGCTCACCACGCTTTCTGGCACGGCTGCGACAATTCGGTGAATAACGACCGAGGGAGCTTCGCCCGACAACAGAGCCTGCATGCCGAAGAAATATGTGTTAAAGGCGGGCGCAAAGAGGAATTGTTGGATGGCAACTTTGACCGTAATCGACGCCCATCTTGAGGCATAGTTGAAGTGGGTGCCCAGGAAGAGGAACCTTCGAACCAAGACAGTGTTAATATTCTGCCCTCCCCCTGATGTCTGGTGGTTTTCTGTAGCCTACCATTTGTAGCCTGGTATAGCCGCCAGACTGCCCACCGTGATCATCCTCAGCGTCCGCAGCCCATCATACGGTTCTCCACCGACCTCTTGCGCGAGCAGGTCGCCACAAAGATATGTGCTCACAGAGGTTGTCAGGGCGATCCCCAGAGGCCTCCGTCTCTGCATCCGACTGAACCAGGAGAAAAAGTCCTTGACAGGGCCGAGACGGTGATACCAGAGCGGACTGGGGACGTCGATGATCGAAGCTTCGATTGAGTGTGGGACTTCTGTCACTACTTGGTTCGGGGTATGGGGAGTCTTCTGCAGTTCGGCTGTCTTGATTTGGTCTTTTGTGAAGACATTCCTGCTGAAATTCCGGTGTCGGGGGAAGAGATGGCGTCGGCACCCGCGTGATACTAGTTGGGTTATCATGACTGTAGAGAAACTCCAGAACAGGCTGCCAGCCTCGATACAATTGGACTACCACATGGTAGAGTCGTTGCTCCGTAGAGAAATCTCAATCAACGTGCTTCTGTAAAGGACGCGATCGAGGGTGGGTGAAGCAAGAAGGGCGAGTGACGTCATCCAACCCACGCAAAAAGGGTCGATGGAATCAAGATGGAGATGGAGATGGAGCTATATGAACAAAAGACTTTTGATATGAACCCTATAGAACTGCCTGCATAGTACATGTGTGCTTCGCAAAATAAAGTTCGTGATCCTCGACCCCTCCACCTGAAGGCTCCCTACTATTTTCAGTATACGCCTCCAGTCTTGTATGTGACTTGGTCTGGAGACCAGCGTCACTTTCCAAATTGATCTGCCATCATCTCTTCTTGTGGTTTGTCTTGAAAGTCGGGTGTTTGGCCGAGCACACTCTGGTCTGGGCCCTACGTCTCGCTGTTAGGCTCGACACGAACGAAACGGAAACGAATGATGGCAACTCACCATACCCGCCATGCCGGTTCCACGCATATGTGCATCGGAGACATCACCAGAGGGCTTGCCATATTTTGACTCATAACGCTTCAGCTCCTCCTTTCGGATTTCGTCTGCATCATACCCAACCCTAGGGTCCACCTTGTTCCATGCTTCAGACTTGTGTCTCTGGATGGCGCTGGTTCGACCAAAGGACGGCCCTCCAAAGGTATTGGGAGCCCGGTCTAGCTCTTGGCCTTTGCCACTGCCCAGTTCGTCATGAGCATCTGTTGCTGGCGCATCCCCATTCTGGGGGCTGAAATACTGGGGATCTGACGCCTCGAGTTTGTCTCTCAAAGCGCCCTGATCAGCTCCCATGCCAGACATGCCTTCGCTTTTGGACACCTTCAACTTATCGAAGAAGGAGGACATGTTGATGACGCAAGCAGGCTGGATGCGTGTTTCGGTGAACTAATGTCGTTGCCTGATTGTCACAGAGACCTCTGGTTAGAATGAAGATGTTCAATGCCACTTCCTTACCGTTATCATTGCGTATTCGGGCACGACACAACATGGCATATTTGAGGAGGGTGCGTGTGTCTCCAAACCCTGAAGACGTCATAAGGGTAAGGCGCTTGTTGTTATTGAAGACGATCTGAGCTTTGTGGCTGTTGATATCGATACCTCAACCTCCAATAGGAGCACCGCATCTAATGTCCTACAGGGGCCCCGTTGATAAGCTTCGTTGCTCCTGTATGACACCGCTCACCAGGGGTTTCGGCACCCTTGCAGACGGGGCAAAGGAATGCTGATGTAGATCCAAGTCCATGGATAAGTAGCTTGTCCCCAATCCATCCACGTGGCTGAAGCTGAGGAGTATGTGCATACACTGTAATCGGTATGGGAATATCCAGATATTCCGAGCAGCCTTGGCACTCCAGGCCGGATGCGGATTTTAGTTCTCCCGATGCCGTTCGCCTGACTCCGTATCAAGCGATTACTCCATACAACATCCCCGTTCATTCTTCCAGAGCCTTCCTTTCCTCCTTGTATCACGGGCAGCCTTGGGTTGTCCTGCTAAATATGTATGATTATCTATGACTGCCATACGTTCCTACGGAGCCTCGGCCGATCCCCAGCAGCCTGCGCTCCCATCATTACAAGTACATCCCCATGTCCCGCATCGCCCTCGACTCTCCAAGCGAGTTTCCCCGACATCAGAACCCCTGTCAGCCTTGACTGCTACATAACCCCCCAAGATACCAACAGCTATGGACAAGCTACCGGAAGAGATTCTGATTGAGATACTCGACTACCTCGACCCTGAAGAACTTGTCTCCATCCAACTCACATGTTCCACCTTGTCCAAGTTGGCACGTGCCAACCCTCTGTGGAGGCACAAATGCTTCGAAAAGTCTCCGAGTGCCTCCATGAGGGCCACGAACAGTATCCTAAATACCCTCACTAGTGCTTTGCAAGGTCTGACTCTATCAGAGCGCCCTAGTCGATCTCGCGAGTCTCCTTCAAACGGCCATGTGCCGGAACGCATAGGAGAAAGCGCCCGGGCCCGGGCTGTCAATCAGTGGGATCTCTCCGCCGCAGGGGAAAGGGTGGACTGGTACTCGGAGTATAAGTCTCGACATGCTCCCCTGAGTGTTGACTGGCTCATCGACGACCCCACAAGACACCTCGAGATCAGAGGTGTTGCTTCGCTCGGCACAACGGATGCGACCCTGGGCTACCTGGAGGACGGCAGCGTTTGTATCTGGGATCTCAGTCGAGGTGCCTCGGGAAGGAGGAAATTTCGAGAGCTGGGACGGAGCAAACCATCAATACTGTTCGCCGACACCAATCAGCCAAGCGAGACGCTGGTGGTGGATTGTGTGAGCACCTTCCCGTCACAGCAAAAGGCTTTCGTCGCCGTGGGCGATGTGTTGAATGAGATCGATCTTAACACTCTATCTGTGGTATCACACGCGAAGTATCCCTTCCAGATCACTGCCCTGTCGCAGTCAGCCTATCCCGACCTGCCCCTGACAGTTGGCACTCAGTGGAGCCTCCATATCGTCGACCCTCGAATCCCCGTCAGTCCGACTTCTCAGTCTTCCCATGAGCGGACAGACGAAGTGACCTGTACACCGGGAAGCTCGACGGCAATCCTGCCCGACATGTCAGGAGATGCGTCAATGCTACCTGCCATCTTCGGCACGTCGCCCCCCTCATCGTCTATTGCTGGACCTTCGACACGTTCTTCTGGGTCACCCAGTTGGCGCCCTTCCCATCGTTTGCAGAATCCTCAATGGATGGGCTATGCCCGCGTCGAGCCTGGACCGCTGTCGATTCTACACCACGCCGAGAATGAAATTCTCATTTGTGGAAGATTCCCCAGTATATTATCCTACGATCGCCGATATTTCCCCCGTCTTCAATATGTCATCCATTCAAGCGCGAGTCTCTCATCTCTGACCTCGATACCCTACCCACCAGCCGGGGCATCTCCCAATGTAACAGGCGACGCCACTCTCGTGGCCTGCGGCGAATACAGGGGTCGTGGTTCTCTGGAGCTCTACTCCCTGCCTCACGTCAAGCCCGGACAAAGACAATCCAAACAGGACATCTCGACCAGCTCCAGCCCCTCCGAGGAAGACGACGAGCTAGACATCAGCCGGAATCGCAACCTGACTTCCTCCGACGGGCTCTTTAGCTACAAAAACCGCCAGGACGCGGCGAAATCGAAGCTCCTCTCCGTGGCGTCGCAGGGGACTAAGATTGTCTTCTCCGACTCCGAGGGCGGCCTGAAATGGGTCGAGCGGGACGGCCACAGCCTCGTGCGCCGGTGGAACATCAACGGGTATCAGATGGGCAACGGCGGCGCCGTCGCGGCGACCTCAGCGTCCGTCCACGGCGACGCGGTCGCACGTAAGATCGTACCGTTGACGGCGGTGTCGGCCTCGGAGCGCGGCGACCGCGGTGACGCCGACCTGCTCGTGTGGACGGGCGAGAAGATCGGCATCGTCACCTCGGACCCGCAATTCCTGGACCACGAGGAGATGGTGCGCGAGATCGAGGGAGGGGACGACGTCGAGGAGAAGAGGCGGCAGGCGGAGCGCGAGAAGGAGGAAGAGTACTCCAAGACCATGCGCCGCGCCCTCGAGAGGCAGGCCGACGAGAGGCGGTGGATGAGCCAATTCAGACTGAAGAGGAGAGATTATTTCTGACCACCCCTTCCACACTCTCTTTGGGCGCTCGGCTGAGGGCGTATATGGATGGATGGGTAGCACGAGGCTGGCTTGGCTTACCCTCCCCCCGGTCCGCCCCAAAATTGTGTCGGCTGGGGTTAGTTATTACTTTTGGACAGTTAAAAAGACGAGACAGATATAGAACCCCCTGCCATTGACTATTACACACACACACACACATCCTCCAGTCTGATTATTATTTATTTTTCTTCTCCCAGCACGTTCCCGTCTTACGTACCATCGCCATCCCGCTGAGATGGGAAGAGGGAAATCACAGCATATGTCCTCCACCCTTCCCTCCTCCGAGCAAGCGGCCTTATGACTAGGGAGACTGGTTGGTTGGTTGGTTGGTTGTACTGTTATACATACACTGCAGAAGCCAACTACATAGCTACCCGAGCCTGTACCACGGCGACGACGACGACGCTCGCTCGCTCAATCCCCCGATCCCTGCTCCCTCTCGCCACCCCGGGTCCGAGTCCAATTCCAAATCGACCACCACATTCGCGCGTCATGGCTCGGGTCGGATGCAGATCCCCCATGCCGCCGTGGCTGGTCCTTCAATCTCGTCATTGCTCATTTCCACACGCCATGTACGCATGCATGCGTGTATTGCTTGCCGCTCCCGCTAAGCGGTGAAACCTCACAGGTTGAGAAGACAGAGAGGAAGAAAGAAGGAAGGAAGGGAGCAAAGAGAGAAAAGACTGATTGAGGAGGGCCAGCCAATTCTCTTCCTGTATGGCAAGAGCCGAATTAAGCATGTAGCCAACTAAGCACTGGATTAATCGTTTTTCGAGTTCATATTTCCCCCTGTGAGCGGCGAACGACACATCGATGAGCCGCGTGCCGTCATCATGAAACAACGGTGTCGTATTGATAGCAGAACGGGCCCGCCGTGGTGCTGATCAGCTCCCTCACCGTGATGGGATCCAGTTGAAAGTAGCCCCAGTCCGGCTCAACTGAATCCAGGGTGACTACCGGTGACTCCGGCGTGTTCAGCGCAGTCCCTGTAGAACCGTCTAACTGATCCGCCAGGTCAGGATAGTTGGTCTGCCAACTCCAGTAGACCCTGTCGATCATTGTGTGCAGGGGATACCAAACAGGATCCTGGGCCGAAACGTGGATACTGTCCATCTGACCTCCGACGGAGAAATGTGCGCCTGAGTGGATGCCTAGAGAAGCAGATCCAATGACCCCGTTGAGGAGCAACTCGAAGTTTGAGGCGTTGGTCGCATGTGCGGCAGCAATAAGTTCCGTGGTGTTGGTGTACGTCTGAGAGACGTAGGCGTTGAGGTCGCGCATCAGGCAGATTTCGTTGTAAGTGAACGCGTCGGCCGGTAGAGTGCCGGTGGCGAGCTGCGTTGGGTCGATGAATTTCAGCGGCGCAATCATATTTGCGAAAGGCCCGTTCGTGACACACCCACCACCTGTACCATGAGGGATGGTCAACTGTGAGCCAAGGGTGATTGGACCGGTGTCGTTGTAGATTCCATCGCCAGACATGGAGTATTCGGAGCCGTCGAAGATGGGGAACGCGGTAGGGTCGGAAGCCGTGGCGGCAAAGTCCCAGTATGGGAATGCTCCGGTATAGCCACAGGTCTCTTGAAGGTCTGTCTCATAAATCCAGAGGAAATACCGATGCCAGGTCAAGAAGAAGGCGTCAAGGTGGACATATTGTGTACGGTTCACGTGGATGACGGCATAGTCCATGTACCTGTTGATGGCTGCGGGATATTGAACAGGGTCGAGTTGAGACGGCTGGTCCATGAGACACTTGACGGCGTCCGTGTATGCTTTTCGGTCGGCGACAGGCATGCCGTTGAAGTCCACCCGGGTCCTGATGTTATCAGGGGTACACGATGAGTCCCCTCTCCCAACATGTCTCGAGGGCAGTGCAGAGCTGAACGAACCGAACAGCAAGGCGGCAGTAGTAAAAATTGACAAGAGCGGGTGTAGCATGATAGGCAACGTAAGCGAGAGTGCGGTGTGCCCGTGTATGAATAGCGAGGGTCAGCAACACAACGGCGAAACGGGGTTGTACTTATTCTTTCGAGAGGAAAAACATGTCCGCGACCGGCGGGAGGACACTCAGACCTAAATATCAGACGAGTCAAGTCACAAAGCAGAGTGGCAGTACGCGTCGAGCATGCTCTCCGATATAGCTGATAAATCTGCAGCACCTAGCCGTGTGTAAGCAGCAACGGCAGGCGAGGTGCATAAATGGTCCGCGTATGTGAAAGCTCTTTTTTTGTGGCGGGCGAGAAGAAGTGGAGGATCTGTGAAGGAGGTGCGGTTTGCATTGTTGAGGGTAACAGACAGGGTTAATTGAGGAGGCTGGACGCCTTGATCACCATTCAAACTCCCCAAGGTCACCACCGCTGGGAGCAGAGCCAAGCCACTGTTGGTTAGGCGTTCGTATCTGGCCATGAGCTTAACCGGGCCTCATCTGCGCTCTGAGAGTTCGCAGAAAGACTGGGGTTCCTTGGCGAGGGCAAAGTCATCGATGCTGGTCAATGTCGTGTGGTCAATGCGGGGGATGCGTCTGGCTGGTCCGGCATGCTCAGCCTTCCATTGATTCACACCCACTCTTCACGCCGACTCCGCGTGGGGTCTGGGGAAAAGACTTTGCTCTTCGTACTTGCCTTGCAGTCTCTTCAAGATTGGCACGAAGTTTCGGTGGAGACACGGACATTCGCTCACCATCGAGTGGGACTCTGATGCCCACGGCAAACCGTTCTTGCTGCAGTAGCACGGTGGCACCGACACTTGGCAAACGTAGGGTTGGGTCTGGCCTGATCTTCCTTTCCGTAGCTTACTGACTTGTGTCAGTCGCTGAAGGTTGATGTATCTGTCTCCGGCAAGTGAGCAGGGCTCAAACGGGGTCGGCCCATGTGGCCTGAACTTGTCGCCGTATAGATTCACATGCGCACCAGGGCATGGTTCCTGGCACACCAAGTTGCACAGCTGACGCGGTTCGATTGGTGGGCTTGAAAAACCACCCCATTCATCACCAAAAGCGCGGGCAGGAGAAGTGGATCTCTGTGGCTTGAGTCGTCAGTTGGTGCTGAAATACCTGGTGATATTGGCATGGACGAGACGTCAATTTGTCCCCTTTGTATGCAGGCGGCCTTCACGCCATGTGTGTTCGATGCCCTACTGGTTTAGAAGGTCCCACCACCGGGTAATCAGAAATATGTCCGTAGTTGAATCTTCCGTGGAACGCATATCGGAGAAATATGCCAACCAGTTGTCCTCGTCATGGGTTTTTGATATTGTTCGTACGGCTGGCGTGTTCATCAGTTCTAATGGCGGCAAGCCAAGTCAACGCCGGGGCAAACTCAAACAGCTTCGGGGCACCTTTCGAAGATTATACAAAATTCAGGTAGTTTCAACTTGCCTGTAATTTCAATGAGCTGGAAAGGGATGTGTCAATGTGGGTGGAACGCGATACCGCAGAAACGAATCGAGGTGTCCCACACATGAGCCAGCCACGCATGGAATCCTTGCGCCACATCTATTATCTCAATTCCCAAGGCACCTGGATACTAGTGGATAACTGGAAGTGAAATGAGACTTTATCGCGTCCAGGGTTTCGCATTGCCACGGGTGGTCTTGGGTGGTGTCCTTGACGGCGAAGTCTTTCTGAAGAGCGAGAGAGGCGGAGATACTCAAGCTGCGGTACAAGAAGCCAAGACGGTATCTCTTCTTTTGGGCGGTCGGGCACGGCGAAGGAGCTGGGCTGGCATGTCATTCTTCATCTTTCCGATTCACTAAAGGGAGATGATGTCCCAGATCCTGATACGGTAGGCATAGATGAGGACTCCGGCGAGTTCTGGCCGTGTGTTGTCGCTGAACTGAAATCCTCATCTCGAGGTGGAGTAGCACCTTTGATAAGACAGTTTCACAAATGAGGAGCTTGCCTACAAGTACAACGCAGACACTGCCTTTCGGAGCTTCGAAGTAGGTAGAGAAAGCTGGTGATATTATGCCCTTCACTCTTCAGGAGGCAGGGAAATGAAGTGGACGACTGCACCAAATATTTCGGCCCCCATCACAGTCACGTGGAAACAGTCACGTGGGCGCAGCTGGACTCGGTGCTGGCAGTTCGCCAGCCAAAAGGGCAAAAGACCCGAGACCCCGGAATCTGGCAGCAAGTCCTTGCAACACTGAGACTACGAAACTGCGATCGCAATATTAATTAATATTTCTTCATCAAAGGCGCAGGCATTGAATCCAGCCCTTTTCACTCCAAGCACAGTCCCATCCCAGTCCTTCATCAACGCGTCCCGTCTCGATGGTCCAGGTTCTCTCATTCTGTATTTTTTCGTCCTCACCCTCGCCCTCATCCTCCTCCCTTCGACCTTCTCCAACCAACCAGTGACATGCCGAAACGTGTCGCAGACGAATATATCACAAAAGACAACGGCTCTACAGCGAACACCCCCACCGGAGACGACAAACCCAAAATGTCAACAGCCGCTCAGCAGGCACGGCGAAAGTGAGTAGTTTTGTCCAGTACACCCGTTGATGCCATTACCTTGTCGCGCTTATGTTGTTGTTGCGCTCCTGAATTCGATCCCCTCAAAAAATCCATACATTCCTCCGCCCTGGGCACCCTGCTCCAGTCGCTTGGCTGCAGTTACCCATAGGCTCTGCACTCGCCACCTTTACTTTGCCCGGACCTCTTCGCGTTTACTGACGCCTTCCATCAACATCATTTACTGACTCTCTCTCAGGATAGCCACGCCGCGAGGTCGGCTAGGCGGAAGCCGCACGTCTCATTCCTCCTCCTCCTTCGGCACGCCGAATCCTTTTTCCCAAAGCACAACCCAACAACAAGCGTTTCCTACGATGAATGGCGCTGTCGCCTTTGGCACAAGCCAGTCTTTTCCTCAAGGGTCTGCTGCCACTAGCAGTTCTTTCAACTTTCAGCCTCCGCAGGCGAGCTCCTTCAGCTTCGGTGCGCCCACTGATACGCCCAATCCCTTCGCGACTTTGAATGGAACTGCGGACGCGCAGGATATCTCAATGGAATCGCCTCAGAAGAAGCCTTCATTTGGGAGTGCTTTCGGGTCAAACAATTTTTCCTTTGGCCAGCCGTCAGGACAACAGTCCAATGCACCCGTCAGTTTCGGTGGAACTCAGACTGCAAATACAAATGGGACGGGTTTGTTTGGGCAGCCCTCAAAGCCCACAGAGCCCCCTGCTGCAACGAACCCTTTCGCCCAGCCTTCCCAAACACAGCCAGTATTCGGCGGGTTCGGTCAGTCGTCGTCGACGGCGGTGTCCCAGACACCGACGTTCAACTTCGGCCAAAGCACATCTGTTGCACAAAGTCCCCTTCCCGCTTTCGGCACCAAACAGGATGCTGATACGCAATCCTCGGCCTCCAAGTTTGTCTTCGGGCAAACCAGTGCTACGTCCCAGAGTCAAGGCACTGGATTCTTTGGCTCCAGTACACCAGCAACCCAAAGCGATGTTGGCAATATGTTTGGCTCTACCCCAAATCAGTCATCTAATACTGGATTCCCATCATCAGCACCTAACAAGTTTTCTTTCGGTCAAAATTCCGGCCTTTTTCCCCCATCGGGCAGTTCCTTTGTCAACTCCAGCGCCACGAAAGCGGACGATGCCAAACCGGCCACTTCTTTGTTTGGCGGTCAGAACACTTCTCAGCCTGCGGTCGAGGCGCAACATCGACCTTCGTCTCCAGAGAAGCCAGTTGCTTCAGGATCCGCTGAGCAGTCTGCTAACCCTTTCGCGGGGCTTTTTACGGGTGCCAGTGGCCCAACTCCGGCTGTTTCTGTATCAAAACCCATATTTAACCTTGGCGCCACAAGTCAGACAGCTACGTCCACGGCTGAGAGGCAAGAAACCACCACGAGTAAGTCGCCCGTCGTCTTTGGAACCTCCGCGCAACCCAAGCCAGCGACCGACGCATCCGAACCGAAACCATCAAGTACGATGTTTAACTTTGGCTCCACGACGCCAGCAACCGGATCGACGACCTCGAGTATCTTTGGGGGATCCGGAAGTTTTAGTCGGCCTGCCATTCAACCGGAGGTGCCAAAAGCTGGTCCTTCGTCGGAACCTGCCGAGCAACCCAAGAATGCTGCGCCGAGTTCGTTGTTCGGCTTTACCAGCCCGTCGACGCCTGCCTTTGGTGGAGAATTGTTTTCCACTGTACAAGGTCTTGAAGACGGCAAGGCCGCTAATGCGAACTTGTTAAGCAAACTGAATAAGGCAATTGAGGCTTCATCCCAACCTGCATTCAATGCACAGCCCAAGGCTATGCAGGAGTCCAGTCAGGCTCAAACACCAGATATGAGCCCGTTCCCCAGTGCGCCAAATTCCGGCGCCGAAAGAAATAAGGGCGCCGAAAGAAATAAGAGTTCTGCAGAGCCAACTTTTCCACAGCCGTCTTCGGCTCCCCATGGATTCAGTGGTCTGTCCCGACCGGAACCTCAGCAATCTCAAACAATTCAAAAGTCTTCATTCGTACCCAATGTCTTGTCCGCCACCGCTGCGCAAGCCAGCGGTCCTTCAGCGTCAGAGCCAGCCCTTCCTGCAACGAGCGGGACGGTACAAAAACCTTCTGAAAATGCAGAGAAATCTGCCATGGATCTGGAACCGGTAAAGAGACCTGTATACACAAAGGCCCCTTCACGCGTTCCTGGTCACACTACTCCCGAGAAATTCCAAGAATTTGACCGGGACTACCGTCTTCATTCTCTGAACTACGGCTTCCAGAAGAAGATAGCTGCTCTGGACCCGCGCTCGCAAGACTTTGAACACATCATCAGGCATTATGTGGCTTCACGTGAGAGTATTGGCGCATCATTGGGATTGTTTGTGCGCAATGTCGCAGGAACGAAACGCAAAGCCGATCAAGTCGATGATCGTGAAGCAGAACCCGATCAGAACAAGAGAACCCGAGAAACCAGCTCTTCACAAAGATCGATCCTGTTTGGCCCCCAAACTACCACTGTATCATCAGATGCGGCCATGCCCGTGACAAACAACGCTGCGAATGGTGGTCAGGCATCTGCCACGGCGGCTAGCATGCTCAAGGACAAGGTCGCTGGGGTTGAAGCGAACAACATCTCTGGTAGTTCGCCAGCTACTCCAGGGTTTAAACCGTCAACCCAATTTGCAGGATTCACTCCGACCCCGGTTGGAAGCGCTCTCCCTCTTTATCAAACGAATCAGACACAAATCATGCCCTCATCCATGCCCTCGACAACGCCAACGAAACCACCACCGAAGCAACCAACCTTTGAAGTTCCCAAGTTTGGAGGTGGCAACACAAACTTCCTTGCTGCATTTGGGCAGAAAGCAAAGGCAAATGCTGACAAGTTCGAGAAAGATCTGATTGAAAAGCGCAAGGCTGAGGAGTTCGATTCGGACGAGGATGATGAGGAGACATTCCGCAAAAAGATTGAAGAGGAAAACCGAGCAAAGAAAGCAAAGATTGATGCCGTCGCAAAGGCGGGGTTCAAACCGATCTTTGGTACTAGTAATGCCGTCCAGCCTTCGAAGGAGAAGGATGCTACCAAAGCTTCCTTCACGGGGTTCTCCTCCTCGGTGTCTTCTAATCCCTTTGCTGCGCTCGCATCCAAAGGTGCAGACGCTGAACAATCGACAGCCACAGACGCAGATGAGAACGAGAACAGCACATCAAGTCATGACCAAGCCGCAGACAGTTACGAAGAAGAGACTGGTGACGATAGCCATGAAGGAGACGAGCCTGAAGATGACCTCCCTGAAGATGAAGTTGCCGAAGAAAACGAAGAAGACGAAGAGGATGAGGATGACAACGACCTGCAGGCTGCCATGGATAGGGCAAAAAACAACCCGAATGCTGGAAAGAGTTTATGGGAGCGCATTGAGCCAAATCCCAACAAAGACAAAGCCACACCAACGAACGGCGAGAAAACTAAGTCTGAAGCGGGAACGCCTACTGTTACGCAAGCCCCGAAGTACCCCTCGTTTGGTTCATCGACCTGGGGTTCTCAAGTGGGCAAAACGACACCTGAACAGCCGTCGGTTTCTCCCTTCAGTTCCTCCACTGGTACATCGACTCTCAAGCCAGCAAGCGGGTTCCACTATACTCCAACTCCAGGAAGTACAACACCTACACCTGCCTCTGGTACTTCCATCTTTTCCGGTGGAGCAACCAGACAGGGTCCAGTTCCAGGAGAGGGTTTGTTTGGCTCTCGACCAAGTACGCCGAGCAACGCAGACAAGAACACCAGCCTCGCCAAATCGGTTCTCACTTCTCCAGCAGGGACCGACAACACGTGGAAGGAAGTTGCACCTATCTCTTTCGCAAATGGAGACAAGCAATCAAGTGCCCCTGTTTTCAAATTGACGGCAGCCTCGCCCGGCGAGAAGGAGAAGGAGGACTCGGCTGCGTTCAAGCCGCTCAGTACTCTCTTTGGCACGGCGACCCCGGGATCGAGAGGCTCCGACACACCGAGTTTGGGCTTTGCATTCGGTGCCCCCACTCCCTCACCGGCGCCTGGCTATCTGGGTGCCATTTCTCATCTTGGAGGCGGCTCCGTGGCTAGTTCTGCTGTCTCATCTCGCGCCACCTCGCCTGGCCTGACAGATAACGAATCTGTTGCTACAAACGAGACCGACGAAAGCACTGAAGATCCACAAACTTCGCTGATGGACTCGCGAGCAGGAGAAGAAAACGAAAATTGCCTTTGGACTGGCCGGTCCAAAGCCCTCGTGTTTTTCACAGAGGAAATGGCAAAGGACACCAAACAGAAATACACTCCAAACGACTGGAACTCGATGGGTGTGGGCCAGGTCCGAGTTCTCAAAAACAAAGAGACCAACAGAACCCGTGTGGTATTCCGCGTGGACCCAAGCGCTAATATTCTTTTCAATTCTCACCTTGTGGGGAGTACGAGCTACGAAAGTGTTCCAAGCAACAAGAGTGGTGCAGTCAGGGGGGCATTGATGTACAAGGGAAAGATCGTGCGGTTAGTGTTGAAATTGAAAACGCCAGAGATGGCGAACGAGTTGGCGAAGATTCTGGAGGAGAACAAAAGTGCTTGAAATTTTCCCGAGAATGTGTTTCTAATTTGAGGATGGACGGTCGAGCAAGAAGGGAGCATCGCATGTACCAGACGGGGAGATTTGCACAGCGATGGAGTTTTCAGGCCCTCCTTTTTATCAATGTACAGCAACAAGATATGTGTGATATGGCGCCACCGCATCTAAATCATCGCACCAGACGATATTGTATATGTCTGCCAAGTCGAGCTCTTTTGCACAGAAATTGTCTCTTTTGAATGCCATCAGGGATTGTTGAGCGGAGTCTCTTGACACTTGATGCTCCCTGAGCGTCGCGATGTAGGCGAGGCATGGGATGCACCGTAGAGGAATACACGTCTACGCAGAATATGGAATCAAAGGATAACTGCTTCCTCGAAGTTTTGATATTTCTCTGCGATGGTGCTTTCGCAACAACACCTCTTGCCGTCGCGGAAACATGCCAATAATAGTTACTAACGCACGCGGAACCTTTTGTGGTGGTCATGGTATCTCATCCTCGTCTGTCTTCCATCTGGCTGGCCCCCTTCTTCTCTCCCAACACGGATCTAGGACATTTTTGCGAAGGGGGAATCGAGTTCCTTTTGACCGCCGAACGTCACACTCTCCACCAGGTCCTGTCCTCACAATCCCGCAGCAACTTTTCACATACGGTGCAGCTTAGCTCGCTAGCTCGCTCAAGGAATCCTTGCTTCTTCTTCTTTTCGCCTACGAGTCCTCAACAACGACGGTCTGCAGACCCTTGGCTTCCCGCTCCTTGACGTTCACGGCCTGGACGTACGAGTACAGCTTCTCCGTGGCGCCTTCCTCGTCGTTTCTCTTCCGCGATATGCGGACCCGGAGGCGGAAGGGGACACCCTTGATGCCGGACTCCCACACCTTCTTGTTCAGTTGGGGGTCGAGGCGCACGTCGTTGGTTCCCTGGAAATTGAGAAGAAACGAAAAGTGAGCAAACCGTATCATAGTTCCAGCATTGGGGAGAGTGACTCGAATAGGCGATGAGTCAGGACAGACGCAGGGTCAAGAGAGAGGGAACCTTTGTGCGGTACCCTCGGCAGGGGAGTCAAAACGTACCATAGCCTGTGTCGCGAATCTTCGGATCTCCTTGATTGCGCGGGGCGCTCGCTTCTTGAAGCTGACGCCGTGAACCTTTCATTTTTGTAGAGTGATAATCAGTCTTCCGTCCATAATGCTTGCAGGTGGGAAAATATAGACGAGAGAGGGTAGGAAAGGAATTGAGACGAGGCAGGGCGAGCAAGCCGTTCGGGTGGACTTCATAAAACTGATTCCCTCATGGCGTGGTGTATCCATTCTCCTCTCTACCCCTTCCTCCTATTCTTCTTATCCCTCTTCCGGGGGTTTCGAGCGGTTTCACGGAACAGGTGGTAGGAGACATACTCGCTTGTGCAGATGGATGGTGTACTCGCGCGCGACGACATCTCCAATCGCCGACCGGGACTTCTTGGACGCCGTCGTCTTCTTCGGCTGGGTCTTGGGGTTGTCTTTCGCCATTTTTGAAAGGAAGGGGGGTCTTCTAAAGTCGAAAGTCTGGGTTAGCTGCAGGGATTCCTTGCTCGAAGAATCTCTCGCTCTCTTTTTTGGGCGATCTTTGCGGAAACCTTTGACAAGATCTCACGCAGAAGAGGAAAATGGGTGGTGCAGGGGCGAGCAGAGGAGTGTGGTTTTTCTTTTACATACTGTCTGAAGTGGCGCGAAGGATGGGAGACACTGGCGGGATGGTGAACTGGCTGGCAGAAGAAGACATCTGGGATTGAAATTTGGATGTGCGCAGTCAGTCCAAAAGGGGAAAGGTGGTGCCAAGATTTCAGTCACGTGAACCCGTACTTTATGGTAAGTTTGTAATTCGTCATTGGGAGTGTCTTGAAAAGGCGGAGAAATGAACACCATTGGGCGGGAGCAAGTCGTTCCAGTTCGACTGTTGAAAGATCAGATCTACTCCAGTATCTATTCTCGTCTTTCCTGCTGTGCGTTTGGCTGGCAAGGACACCTCTATCTTTCATTCGTCGTATCGAACTTTTCCAGCACTCACGTCCGGATAGACATCAAACCTTCTCTGAGTGTAGATCGGGATGCCTTTTCTCGTCTCTTCAATCTTTGCGCCATCAATTTCGGCATAGACAATATCCTCGTACTCTTGAGCCTCCACCAAAACTTCTGCATTGGGATTGACTATCATCGAGTGCCCATAGGCGTGATAGGTTGCCTCCATATCTCTCGCGGGACTGCACATGGCCACGTAGATCTGGTTGTCCATCGCCCTCGCACGGGCCTGCAATGTCCAATGCATGGGACCCGTCGTCGTGTTGAAGGCCCCGGGATAAACGAACATGAAAGCATCCTTCCTTGCAGCTATCATGGCGAGTTCGGGGAAGCGAACATCATAGCATATTGCCAGTCCAATCTTACCATATTCCGGTATATCGATGATGGTCACTTTGTTTCCAGGGGATAAGACATCACTTTCCTTAAACTTGATCTTTCCTGGTATATCGATGTCAAACAAATGTGTCTTTCGATGCGTTGCCAGAAGTTTTCCTGAGGGCGCGAAGACAAGGGAGGTGTTGAAGTATTCCTTCGTCTCCGGGACGAATTCTGGTATACTTCCGCCGATCAGATAGGTCTTGGTCTCTGCGGCAACCTTGGATAGCATATGCCACGAGGGTGACTTCTCTTCGGAGGGAGGCGAAGGTAGGATGGTCTCGGCATATTTGGGGAAATATTGACAGCCGTATGGAGAGTTGAAGCATTCAGGGAGGACGATCATGGAGGCGCCCGCCTTTGCGGCCTCGACAACTTTTGAGCGGGCATGTGCCAGATTTGCTGCTTTATCACCTCCTGTACACGTATCAGGATCATTTCTTCGGGTCCAGTTTCGAAAAAGGTACTCACCACTTACCTGACGCGAGCTGCACGAGCGCAAGCTTGAAGGGCTTTTTCAGTAGACCTGCCATGGATTGGGGTTCGAGCCGTTGGGCAGGCTTGCTAGGGTGAAAGTAAAGAGGATATAATACTTCAGAGGTGGTTTGCTTCTCTTGAACTTCATGCAAGACGATCAGTGGCTGGACAACGTTACGGAGAAGCCGAGTGTTTTGGTTGCGGGGTCCTTGGCTAGAGAGAAGGTTGACCGAGCATCAACTCCACCTCACTGAGGCCCTTAAGTTGACCAAACGCACCTACCTCAAGTGTCCTCAGCGGTCTGGAATGTTCAATATCATCTATTTTTTTGGCGATGACCATCTGACAGCCGCCTTCAATGCAACAAGGAGGCGGTTCGTCTTGAGGTTCATTGCAGATGACCGTCAGTAGGCCTGCTAGCGAGGGATCAGGCATTTCACGCGCAGGATGGATCCGAACTGCGTAGCTGAATGGCAAGCGATCTCTGAGGGAGAGTGAAGAAGTTCAGTGATTGCTACAGTGAGCATCGTGAGACCCGAACTACACCAAAATGCACATTTCGTTTGTCCCAGCTCTGCCAGACCCTCGTCTCTCGCACTTCCCATTTTGCCTTTTCCGAGGATGGGACAGGTAGGTACTTTCCTTTGTTTGAAGGGTGAAGTTGCTTCGTCTTCGCTCTTATCTCCTCAGTTAGACTTTCCTGCTTCCTCCTCATCACATCTCATCCTTCCTTCGACCAAACACCTTTCTTGATCTGCTCTGCCCGCCCTGCCACGACGTTGTCCTTTTATCAAACATAAAAGAATCCAGAGTCAGTATCACACTCCCCCGTGATGTTCATCCCACTCATTGGTTTTCCAGCCAGTTTGTGCCGTGTCGAGCGAACCCTTGACCATGACCGACCACGCCACCAGCGGCAAAGCTGAGCCTGCCCAGACAGTCACAGCCGACATTAAACAGAAGGAGACCAGCACAGAATCTGCCGAACCTCCGTATGGGGGTGCAGATCACCAGGTTGCCACGCCTAAGAAAGAGGAGAGCAGCTTGACCAAGCAATCAGGAAGTGCCAGGAAGCAAATTCGCACCCCAGCGACATTCAGTGTTGCTACGGAGGATCACGTCCGGGGGATGATGAATCAGGCCCGTAGAGTGCTGCATGAAGATGGAAACGCGAGTGAGGCAGGAGACAACTCCAAGGACATGGCTTTGCTGGCCACGAATCTCGTGCAGCTCATGAATGCTTCTTTCATTGTGAGTGCTCTTTCTTGGTCATCTGCTTGATTTCTGCGCGACTGATTGACCTTGCTTAGGCCACTGACACCATCGTTCGCGCCATTGCCTACATGAGAGGTGACAGTCAGCTTTCTGCTCGCAGTGCTATCTTCCAAGCCAGACGTGATCGCCGTGCGCAGAAGGAAGCTGAGCGACCACTCAAGGACGTGAAGAACAGTTCCTCGCGCACGGCTTCCTCAGGTGGTGTGGGAGCTGGGAACAAGTCCGCCATGTCAAATGGAAAAAGAACCTCTGACAATACGAAAGTCAGTGCCGACGCCGGTCCAAACCAGGAAAACACTCCACCTGTCAGCGGGGACCAGCAACACAAGTTACAATCACTTCAGCAAAAACTCAATAGGAAGAAGAGCCGCCGGGCCTGGAACAACCGACGCCCCTTGCAAAAGCCAAAGGATAGCATGAACTCCGAGGTGCAAGGAAACAAGGCAGATGTGACGAATAGCACGGTCAATGGCGTGATCGAATCAAAGGACAATGTGGAAAAGAAGATAGTGGTGGGGGAGCACAAGCCCGAGACGTCTGGAGATGAGGCTATCGTTAAGGCTGATGGTTTAATTATTACTGTCAAGGCCTGAGACAGGCGCCGCGAAGGAAGCTGTCATACCGGCAAGAAAGGGCGGTTAACATGAAACAGCGGAGAGCCACAGTTGTCATTCAGATAAGGAGTGGGACTATGGAACATCATACTGGCTGTACAGCATCGACGATGGGACAAATGCAGAACCTGACGCGCAACAGGGCGAACACACCCAGTTAGCTGGCTCACAGTGCGCTGCTACAAGCATTAATGACCATTTGAGGCGGTAGATGATCCTCCATTCGTGTCATAGTGTCCTCGATCTGAATCGACTGAGTCGGACGTAACATAAAACCTCCACCATGATGGTTTGACAGCCTTGCCACCCGACAACTTTGAGGTCTTTCTGCTCGCTACATGGTTGAGAGCTGGTCCATGAAACTGTGGTGTGAAGCGTCTCCCGGCACATGCTTGCTAGAGTCTGCGTATTCCCGTAGCCAGCTTTGGTGCGTTCTCTGCAGCTCTCTACCAGCCGTCGGGCCTTTATGGGTAGCTTTGTCGATGGTGGCAATTCCCTTCGCATCAAACGTCATGTTGAGTGAGCTCTCTTCCCACCGCTCGGGAGCAGGAGACGGCGACGACCGTGGTGACAGGCTTCGCCGATCGACTCGCCATTTTCGGTATGTCTGCAGGACATTCCAAGGGAATGCCATAAGCTCCTGGCAGCGGTGGGCCTCCCCGCAGGTGTCGCACTCAACCGTGGCGATGGGCTCGAAATGCCGTCTCAGGGCATCTAAGGAGTATAGACGGACGGTGACGAACCCGGCGGTGTCAAGTTCTGGGTACAGCATCGACACCACGACCACGGCACTGTACAGGTGGGCCAGGAAGAGAAGGATGAAGGGCTTCGAGCCGCGGATGTCGCTGAAGGAGATGGCCTCGCGGCTGGTCATCCCGCAGAACGGGTGGACGAGCCAGAATGGGTCGTATTTTTGGCCGTTCAGGTGTTTTGCCTGGGCCATCCGGAGCATGTCTGCCAGACCCCGCGCCGTGGTGGCCAGCTCTTTCATGTGCCTGATGCACACGGTCAGCCGGTTCATGGCGGTCAACCCCTGCTCCAGCAGGAACTCGACAGCCGCTGTGGCCGACTGCACCGTGACCAGAGGAGCAGACGTCGTTGCTGGCTCGGTGCAATAAGAACCAGTGCTTTGTTGCTCCGGGTGGTCGGGGTATTGGGTTTCTGCTTCGTCAGTATAGACGAGTTCGTATAGCGCCCGTACTCCGGATGATGCGGCCCATGGGCGCATGGCGTCGACCACGGCGGTTGTACCCTGCAGGACTCTCCGCAGATCGGCTGGGGTTGGCTGGTTGAACATGAAGCTGATGGACGCCGCCAACACGCCGTCGGCATTCTCCTTGGAGAAGCATGCCAGCGCCTGTTGCAAGCCTTTCAGAGCCAATGACCTGTACCACACCGCGTCTTCCATGACGCTTGCCATCTTGGTCAACTTGCCGATACGGGTAGCCGCGGCCACTATTTGCGCGTATGCGACAAAGTCATACTTTGCTGTGGCTTGGATACCTCTGTGTTGGGGGTCGTTAGTGGAAACTTGGGCCCCGAGAGTCGGCTTCGGGGCAGCGGGGGGCATGCATACATTTCGTAGGTATCGTACCAGAGGGCAAATTTCCGCGCTTTATTCTGGTCCAAAATATCTCCGAGGGAGGCAATGTAGTAGAGATACCGGAGACCTCGCGGATCCAGGCCGTGCCAATCGAGGGATGATAAAACCTTCAGCTTTGGGAATGGCGTTTCTCCGCTTTCCCTCCAGGTTCGACACGCACTCTCGATCGACTCTACCCAGGCGATGGACCTCGCATGGTCTAAAGCGGTGCCTGCTGATGAGCTTAGGTAGACGCACGCTCGCGAGCCTCGAGCACAGTTTTGGCTCGTGTCCCCGTTAGTGTCGGAGTTGCTGTTTGGGGTAGTTACTCACCACGTAGGTCTGGCCTGATCACATCTCACCCGCCGGGACAGGCAGGTTCTACATCCGTCCTTGGATTTACCATGACTCCTTCGAAGGATAGCGGCATGGGGAGCCATGATCTTTTTGCACCCGACAACTTGATTTGGGTGTGTGTAATACCGGCTGTTTAGTAAACTTGACAAGAGTGAGAGACTTATTTACCTTGAGAGGTTTCTACTACCCCTTGAGAAATCGACCTGTTCCATCCCTCTTAATTAATGGATTTCACGGTCCCCACTTTGCCGTCAACGAAGGAAGGTTGATATCATTCCATCCCCTACATTTCTGGCCACAAGCACTCCTGGCCCGCTCCCCGTCCACTGCCTCCCTCCCTCCATCGCCACCAAGGCACTCCCTCGACGCACTCGGGCGTGCCGTAAGAGGGTACTGTTACCGTTTACCACATTTGTGACGGCCCGGTCGTGGGAAGTGGGCAGGCAGGCAGGCAAGCAGGAAGAGACATCGATACACACGGAGGACGGTATGCAGACAAACACCGTGAATTCCAGATCAAATGTGTACACGGTATATGTGATTAGGGTGTGTAACGCCGTTGTGCCTCCTGGAGGGGTCCAAGCCTCGATCAAAGCTTTCCCCCCTTGGCGAGATCCTGGGCCTTGCTTCGCGTCGTGTAATGTTTAGCAGGTCGGCGGTGCAGCAAGATCGCCATTTACGTCTGACTGAAAACAGCAAAACGTAGGGCGGTTGAAATAGGCAAGAGGCGCTCCGCTCCCATTGGTTGACGGCGGCGGGATCGGGGCAAGACTCGCTTAGTCAGGCCATGCCAAGGGCTTGGCACGGGTTTACATTATGTAACACCGCCGGAATCTGTCACATGTAATCCTCCTTGCCTATGGCGTTTTGTGACTGTGGTGATCTTATGGCGACTAATGCCTTGAGCCGCAGCTTTGTCATCTCATGTTTTGTGGTCACAAGCGGGGAACATAGCCCTGCGATAGCTCCGCAAAAGGCAACCATAGCCTGTGAGTGAAAAAGGGATCTCCAGCCCCCAAATCTCGCGAGCGCGGCAAGATGATCCATAATCTATTCGCCGACACCGGGGCATGGCGCATCACAGTGGTTCCATCCAGCTCTAGCGAAAAGCTGGGGGATAATTGGTCGCAATCCATCAAGCCTGCTCGTTCTTCTCGCTTAGCAAATTGACAGTCAACAACCTAAAATTTCCCGGCACAGAATAGAGAGCATCCAGCCACTTCTGGAACACACTAAGCCAGAATAGAATTTCTTGCGGCCCGCCGAGAGGGCAACCCGTTGTTTCCTCTCGTGCTCGACGAAGGAGTTGTGACGATACTGCAAAGCTGGATACTACCTACGCATTAGCTCTTCCTGGCTAGTTACTAATGGAGTACTACAACGTCACTAGCCGGCGGCTTTCAAGTTTTCAAATGGCTATTGGTAGGTGTCCCTCCAGAATGCTTTCCGCACCACGATCAAAATCATGTAGATTCGTTGCACCTCCTTAGTATGAGTCGAGTTCCCGTCACAGCAGCTCATGCTCCGCAGCGATTTCTTGAGATACTGGTATTATGTAACGTCGCAAAAGCTTGAGATGCCCCCAGGCAAGCAAGAAAACGGGAGAACACCTCACAGTATGAGGGAACCCCCCAAAACGAATGCTCGACAAATTTGGTTGATCCGCATGGCCAATCTCATACCCTACTACACGAAAGGGCTCTCTCACAAGCGAGTTCGCAGGCGTTATCAACCGTGCGATGCGCCCAGGTGGTATTACCATCTCCTCGAACTTCCCCTCATAAACGACACTCGCCTGTGCAGACAAGAGCTCATACGTATTATTTATTGCTACGGGGGTCTGCCTGGTAGCAATAACGCACAGACAGAAGAAATGGCACCGTGCTGCCTGCAAGCCGCGAAAGGCGCGAACATCCTAAGTCTGTGGCTGGAAAAGGCGAAAATAAAGTTTCCTGCGTTGTGGCTCTATTTGCGGAAACGCCACCACGGTTAAGCTAAGCCTGTTACGGAAGTTAAGGTGCTGCGTTTGAGAATGGTTTATTACAACATTGTATGTTAGTCAATTGTTGCCGCGCATTATGATATGATATGATACGAAGCTGATTCCAATCTCCCGTTCCACACAATGAACGGTGGCTGTACATCGGCAAAAAGTCCCGCGGCCCATAGAAATATTCTTGGCGGGGGCTGCCCAGCGAGCTCACGGCGGGCAATGGGCTCTCTTGTAGCGAACCCTGAGAGCGCATTTCGACCAACAGTCATGAGCGTTCCTGATCATAGCTGCAGTGGCTGAATGTGTCTGGGTTAAAGGCCCAGTGCCGCCTCTAGGACCGTCTATATACATCCCTGAGCGCGGGTTATTGCCAGCAGTTCTGGCGAAACATTCTCCAGAACCCATGATAAACTGTATCTGGTAGTCTCGTACCGTGAGAACCACGACCTTATAGCTTTTAATCTTGATTGAAGTCTTTCTTGCGCCTGCATCTAGCCCGACCAACACGATCAAGTAGGCAACAGCAACTACGAGTTGATGTAGATGGAGCTACAGTTGCTTCTCCAACCGTACCTTCAAAGTTGTCCAGACTGGCCGAACTCGACCCTAATCGCCCCATATTTATCCTGTCACTTATCTCCTCAGGAGCCTTCTCCTCCTCCGGGATCAGTACGAGTCCTATACTCTACAGGCAGCATAATTCACCGGGTCCACAACACAGCGCCACCACCGACACCATTCCTCTGCAACGGGTTCTCGTTCCCCTTGCCGTCCTCCGCTTTGCTCACATATCCGACCAGGTCCGTGAAGCCGCACTTCTGATAAAAAGCCTCTTTGCCGTCGGCGGCCATGACGCACGCAGGAACATCGCCCATTGGATCCAATCGCGCCATCTCCAGTCCACGCGCTACGAGCTCCCTCCCGAACCCGCGTCCTTGGAAGCTCGGGTGCACGCCCAGGATCTCGAGCGACCAGTGTGTCTGCCGGTGCGGCGCGCTCATGAATCGTATGCTGAATGGCATCAGCGTCGGGCCCAGTGCCCAGTACGTCAGCGGTCGAGGGTTCTCGGCTGTTGGGCGGACGGCAGCTTTATTGCGGAAGAGAAACCTTCTGAGGCGAAAATATGTGGACAGGATGGGCTTCACCAATCGACCTATGTAGAGAGAGCGCGAATGTTAGGTGGAACAGCGATTCTTGCGTTAAGAAAGAACGATTGACTGGACGGACTCACGTGGATCCCACCGTCCCCAGAGTCCATTGATGTGGAATGCTCCTTCGCCGGCACGTTCCCACTCAGCGATACCAGTGATAGTTTCGCCATCCTTTTGGACGGATGAATTCGGCTTCGACGACGATATCTTGAGAGCTTCATCGTGTGAGAGTGCCTCACCAGGAGTTTCCTCGCCAGCTCTGGTCTCATACGAGACCATCAGCACCTTCTGGTAGTCGTACCACGAAAGCCACAGGCTCTCGCGCAATGCCCGTTCGAAATCCGCCGGGTGCTGCTGTTGGAAAGGGAACAAGACCTGGAACAGACGATCAGGTCCGAAGGCTGCTGCAAGGACCGTCGCCATGACGGGGATGTCGGCCGCTACGGCTCGCCGGACGGGCATGTTGTCTGTCGAGGTTCGCAGGGGCCAGCTGGTGGTTTTCGGGTTTTTTTAGAGCTAATGATCGACAGCAGTACTAGCAGTTCTTATCAGGTCGAAAAAAGACGGAGGTTGCTCACTCAAGTCGAACAAAAGTTCTTCTGTTTTAATACTCTCAGAGAGGAAGGATGGGGTACATATCTCCACGCAATAAAGGGGTGGGCCCAGTCCAGATGGCTACACAGCACGCAGCATGATGTTATCTGCGCCAGGGCTGGCTAGTAGAGTTTGTGGGTACTGTGTAGTTCATTTCGCTATCCTCACGAGCCCACATCGGGCGGCCTCTACTCCGCTAAGGACGGGTGGTGTTAAGAGACAGGAAGTCCTAGTCTGATTCGCTCAACCCGACCAGAAAGCATGTCTCCGGGAACCGTTACCGTCTCCCGTATACTTTTTGCTAGTAATAGCTCTCTCGAACTCAAGAGAAACCTTAATATGAAGTCGACATTCACATTTATAGTCGGCAAGGGTTCGAGGGATCCTCAGACCCGATGTCGAAGAAGGGGGAACAGAGAGTAATCCAGGCAGAGGTTACGACTACTGGCGCTATACCAAGCACCGAAGACGAGGTCAGCCTATTTAGTTATATACTTTGCGAAAACTTAGTGGACTCCGGGGTTGGCATGTCTGTCTCTTCTCATCAGCGTGTAGCCACCAAGCTGAATGGTTTTTGGTCCGGAAATCTGGACAATTACCATTTGAGATCAGAATCTGTTCCGAGAGTGTGATCGACGTGCAATGTTGTACAGTGACTGACGCAACACGAAAGTGACGAGGAAGTCTCTTTAACGCTGCTCGTGACGAACTGTGTACTCCACGTCTTTGCGAATGATGAACTCCTCACTGTTGTGTCTCCCGAGCGAATCCTCTTCATGCGAGACATTCGATCTGCCGTCGTGGTTGAATCCCTCGTTGTGTGGTCCTTCGACGCTAGCGTGATACCGCATGTGGTCTGGGGGACAGAAATTGATGCTTGTGCTCTTCCCCAAGACTTCGCCGGCCTTGTCGTTTTCCATCCGGGTATAGTTCCTCGTGTCGTTACTTTTGGTCCCCTGGGCGGCCAGAGAGTCCATCTGGTAGGAGTGTCCGCCCGAACCGTATTGGCCGGCATTGTATCCGAATACGGTGGCCTGTGTTGTGTCGAATTTGCGCAGGTACTGGTTTAAGGCCGGGATGGCGGCAGAGAGGAGGGAGTAGACGACCTCAGCCTGGCGAAAGAGCACAGGACGTGTGAGTGCAATGCCTGCGTTGGATGCCGAGCTGAAATCCGAGACATATTTGATTTGCAGGCCGATGAGGACAATGATTCTACAACCGATCAGTCAGCATATGCAACGACCATGCAGGATTCGCACCGTACGGCAATCTGAGAACAAAGCATATGGACGCTTGGACTTTTCTCTGAAGAGTCATGTGTAGTGGGAAGATGACGACGAGGGAAAGACACCAAATGACCACTTCCAGCAGCGCGTCGAATAGGCCAATGACGATCCAACGAGTGACCTGATATCTGGTCAATGATTCTGGATCTCAAGCATCTGGGCTTGACTCACCAATCCTGAGCATTTCTCTGGACCCGATCGAATAACTTCAGTCGCCGTACACCCAACTGTGGCAGCAAGAATTGACCCTAAACACCATACTCCGCAGATAGCAATGGTTATTTCGCAGTAAAGATGTTTCTCATGCTGCCCGACGGCAAACAGACGCCTGCAGAGCCAGATGGCGGATGATTTGCCCCCGAAGAGGGCTAACAGGAAAAGAACGTCTCCGGCTCTCAGCGACTAGCAATCGTATCAGCTTGGATCTGCGTCAAGGCTTTCGTCAGACATACATTGGCAACTGTATGTGTGTCACTGGGAGACAATAACGTATACGAAGAGCCGAAACCGCCGTCGACAGTTGCAACCATGATGGCAATGAATTGTGCCACCGCGATAGTCTGTCGATCATGAGCTTCCTGTGCAGAACTGCCATGGTGAGGTCTTTGAACAAACCGTTGCCGCGACTGAGAGCCAGTCCTCGATGGCCATATGCCTGTATTTGCTCGCAATACGCATTGCCAGCACCATGAGGGAGTAGGTCAGGAAAAGAATGGTCATCGTCAGAACGATCCCACGGTGGTCATTTTCGGTGTGGTGATAAGGGCGCGGGCCCAAGGCAGGTGCTGCTTCGGAGGAGGTACTCATTCTCAAGGCTGGGGCTCGATATCATTGAATGAAGCTCTCTGGCGACACTGCACTCTATATGTCCAGCGTGCGAGCTCTCAAGGGACTGGAAGCGAGGTCTTGTCCTAGGGCACGCAGGGCTCCCGCTCCCTGTCACTCGAGAAGCCGCAAGTTGGAGGCAGCACTAGTGCAGGAGATCGTTTCCTTTCTTATGGTGGTACCTTGCGCCAAATCCTTGGTGGCTGGCTCTGACAGTGCCTGGTCGCGCGATACCTGGTCGAAACGGGACATTTCGGACAGGGTTTCGAGGCTGCAAAGCTTGTCCTTGAAAGCTTCAAGCCTGCACCCTTTGCATCTACTCAGCTGATGGTTCCAGGAAGGCCGCACCATTGGGGTACACTATGGCAAGTTAGGTTGTCATGAGAGGTCTACCAGGGCCAAGGATTGGTTGCTGAGCCTTCGTCTCTGCAGTAGCCAGGTTGATTCCCCTGATGGCACCGTGGTGAATCATCCCTCTAGAGATCGCTAAAGCATGATGAAGGTGTACCAGCGTCATTAGGATGTCTCTTTGAAGGCTCCCAGATACCCTGTCGGCTGTTGAGATTGCCGTCGAGCAAGGCAGTTCGTCACGGACTTCAAAGAGTTCAGTTCTCGTACGTACTTGGGAGGACAACGCACAGACCATGTGTCGGCCTTTTTTCCGGAACCCACTTGCCATTGCCCCGGCATATCTCTGCTTTACCCACTGGGGCCAGTGAATGTGACGGGGGCCATGTAGCCCACCTATACAGGCAATGATGGTCCCTCATTCGCCCCCAGACATTAGGGCCGGAAGGAACCTTTTATACCGCCGCGCCGCCCGTGGGTTAGATCGACTGCAAGCGAAGTTTTGAGGAGGTTGCGTCTTACCGTCTGTACCCGTGCGGGAGAGTTCTTTTGTCGACTAGGAACGCATTTCCGCAGTGCCTGAGTGTGATGAAGGGCAGAAACAAGCACGACACTTTCTGCTATAAGTACCCAACGCTGTGTTGACTACTTCGTTGCAGTGACTATACACTGGCGGCCGTCCTGACTTCTGCCCAAATGACTGAAGCTCTTCAGTGGTCCTTCAACAAACCAGACATTTCCTTAGAAGTTCCTGTGCGACGCTCAGTTACTCCAGAGGAGATTAGCTTTTGCTGTTCCAGTGATAGGGGTTTTCGGGGACATTCTGTTTGCGTTGCTGCGAGCTCTCGGGCGTTCTCGTAGTCCGCATTTCCCCTAGTCTCGCATTCGTCCAGGATTTTTTGCCAAATGAAGACTTACTGAACCCATTCTCCTTGATCAATGTCCTCAGGTTAGCCTGCTTTCAAAGTGGGACCACGTCAATCGATACAGCATCATGCTACCAGGAGTGTCGAAAGCCCAGGATCATGCAGAGGCCGTAATTCCGACGGCGGACAACAAGGGATGGATGGTGGATACACCGCGACATGATCACAGGGATCTCAATGGTGGACCAGTTTAGTCCGAGTAGCTCATGCAGCTGTGTTGGCACATTGGTCTGGGATACTGATATCCTGCTTCTCGACCAATCAGCTATCTCTTTGCCTCGATTAGAGATGCTACCGACCAGCTTCCAGGCGGTTCAATCTCGCTGCGTGGAATCAGGTCATGCTGAGCGTGAAATAGTCGGTTGTAGGACCCTTCGCTTGAAAGATCGGTCCTGTTTCCAGCCCACGCTGTCCAAGCCCTGGAGAGGTTTGCTGATTTCCCCAATCGTTGAACCACTGAGCCTCGTGGCAAGCCCTATGTGGGGATTGGAGGACTCCTTAGACGGGAAAGGTCTCCCTGCAGGAGTCTTCTTCGAGGCATCTTGACCCGATCTACTCCTTCTCTTCAACTGTTTTCTTCTCTTCTCTCTTTCGTTTCTCTTCCCACAAGTATTTTGTATCCCAACCTCACAAAATGGACAAGTCAATCAATTACAGCATCGATGCGACCGAGGATGTCAACGACGAGGGCCTCGTCCTTGATGAGAAGACAGGAACGGTCGCGGACAGGAACGCCATGGCGCGTTTGGGCAAGGAACAGCTCTTCAAGGCCAGTTCAAATCCTTGCTTGGTCTTGGACGCGAGTTATTGACAGATGAACAGCGTAACTTTGGTTTCGTGTCTATCTTCGGGTTTGCCCTTATCATCATGAGTACCTGGGAAACGATTCTGTCGACACTGGCCTTTGGGCTGGGCAATGGCGGGCCTGGGGGGCTTATCTGGACCTTCGTTGCGGTATATATCGGCTTCGTCCTCGTCAGTGTTTCCATGGCGGAGATGGCTTCCATGGCTCCTACCTCTGGTATGACGGCTTTGCGTGACCCTGGAGAGAAAAACAATGCTAACATAGCTGCGTGACAAGGCGGACAATATCATTGGGTCTCTGAATTTGCTCCTCCAAATGTCCAGAAATTGCTGTCCTATTTCATCGGCTGGTTTGGCATCCTCGGTTATCAGATTGGCACAACCATTGGCGCATTTGTTGCTGGCACCATGATTCAGGGCTGTATCATCTTAAACAACCCTGACACATACCACCCTCAACGATGGCATGGAACCTTGATCGCAATGGCCATCACCGTTTGTGTGGCCTTATTCAACATCTTCCTTGCGAACCACCTGCCACTGGTCGAGGGGCTCATCTTGGTGCTTCACATCGCCGGGTTCGTGGCTATCTTGGTGCCTCTCTGGGTTATGGCTCCGCGTACTCCAAGCTCTGAAGTGTGGACCTCCTTCACGGATGCCAATGGATGGGGGAGCAGTGAGTTTTGCTCAAAAGTTTGACTGAAGCGCATTCAGCTAACCAGTGGCAGTCGGTGTCGCCTGTCTTGTCGGGATGATCACCAACGCTGGTGCAATGGTTGGAGGTGATGCCGCAGCGCACATGGCCGAGGAGCTGAAGAGCGCCTCGAAAATCCTTCCAAGGGCCATGATCTGGACTATAGTCGTGAACGGACTTCTCGGATTCGTCATGCTTGTGTAAGTGGGACTTCCTTTGATTCAGAGATTGTGTCGTTAATCAAGCTCCAGCACATTCCTCTATACGTTGGGGAACTTGGACGACGACCTCGCATCACCGACAGGCTACCCTGTCATTCAGGTGTTCGCCACGGCTACTGAGTCCAACGGTGGTGCAGTCGGCCTCACCGCCATCCTCATCATCCTCAACGTGTGTGCCAACCTCACCACCATGGCGGGCTCCTCTCGTCAGCTGTTCTCTTTTGCTCGAGACAAGGGAGTTCCTTTCCACCGTTGGGTGTCTCAGGTTCCACCTGGATACGACGTCCCGGTCAACTCCATTATTGTCTCGGCCCTTTGCTCATGCGTTTTCCACTGCATCAACATTGGCTCGTCGATTGCCTTCAACATCATCATGTCCATTGGCACGGTGGCGCTGATCACGAGTTACATGACCTCAATTGGCAGCATGACCTGGAGGCGAATTCGTGGCCTACCTCTTCTTCCGTCCAAGTTCTCTCTCGGCAAGTTTGGCCTGGGGATCAACGTGGCCGCACTTTGTTTCTGCGCGGTGGTCTACGTTTTCTCATTCTTCCCTCCACTGCCAAATCCACCTGCAGCAGCCATGAACTGGGCCTGTGCCGTGTACGGAGGAGTTGTGTTGCTTGCTTTCACTTACTATATCATCCGCGCAAGACATGTGTATGTTGGCCCTGTGGCGTATGTCAATAAGAACGCCTAACTTCAGATCAGAACGAGCCACCACGGAGCCACTGTCGCAGGTATCGAGACGTCTAGATCACTGAGGTCGTCTGATGGACTGCAGAGTTACCTTTCTGGACGTCCATCTAGCCAAACTAAAACGGCCTCTTTGTCGTTCGAATTGAAGAAGATTGTTGGGCTTGTTTCCCTTCCATTCATTTAAACATCAAATCTATATCCAGATCACACCAACAAAGAGGCAGGTCAGCCGAGTGCCAAGTCAAGCGGCTCCTTGGCAGTCTACTAACTTGTCTCCCTCCAATATGATGTTCGAACTTGGATCTCTCAGACGTCGCAGCTCACTGGTACAAATAATTTCTGCCTTGGAATCAGGGTAAAGATGTTTACTCCAATCGCTTGTCGCACTGTTGCTGTTTGTCTTAGTGAGGGCTTCGAACAGGTATAGCGGTCGCCCTACATGCTTAAGCGAGCCAGCGATGCATCCCCAGGGAGCCGTCCTCACCGCTCCGATAAATCTGCTGAATCTTGCTCTCCATCCCATCGACAATATTCGGGAGTTTATTTCCAGTAATTATACCTACTCGAGGCGACTCCAGCCCCCCCTGCCTATGCCGCCGTTGCCTCTACTAGCTACTACTGCTACCCTAACTAGATCTTTGGCTTTCGCTAACAGAGCAGCCCTGCGAGATGAGTTTGTCAGAAACCCAGGCACGTCAACCAGACATTGTCATCGAGGCAGACGACGTTGACTCTGCTCTTGGAGACGACCTGTCGACCTACACGCGCTCTCTCAGATCGAGTCTGTTTCAAGGCATACAGGAGAATGGTAGGGCCTACCACAGGTACAAGGATGGCTCCTACATCCTCCCAGAGGACGACCTCGAGCAGGAACGCCTGGATCTACAGCACGAGATATTTTTGACTACGTTTGGTCGAAAGCTTTTCCTTGCCCCTGTTCAGCGAGCAATGCAGGAGGTCCTTGACCTAGGGACAGGGACTGGCATTTGGGCAATCGGATTTGCCGACCAGCATCCTGAATCGAATGTCCTGGGCAACGATCTTAGCGCAATCCAGCCGCGTGTTGTCCCTCCAAACTGCAAATTCGAAGTTGACGATTTTGATACCCCCTGGACGTTCAATAGAAAGTTCGATTTCATTCATGGGAGAATGCTTCTCACTTCCTGCTCTGATTTTCCGAGGCTCTTCCGCCGCGCCTTTAATGCCCTGCAGCCTGGTGGATGGCTAGAGATGCAGGACCTCTACATGCCATTCTTGTGTGACGATGGCACACTCGATGGAACTGCCTTCGGGGAGTGGAACGACAGATATATAGAGGCTTGTGTAGAGCTTGGGCGAGATCCCTCCTGGACTGCGAAGTACGAGGAGTGGATGGTCGAGGCGGGATTTACAGGGGTTCGGCAGGAAGTTTTCAGGTGGCCCGTCAACCCCTGGCCGAAGAACAAAAGCCTGAAGGAAATTGGTGTCTGGAATATGATCAACATGCTCGAAGGACTGGACGGCTTCACAGTTCGACTCTGGACCACGGCGTTTGGTATGACGGCCGAGGAAATTCGAGTATTCCTTGTGCAGGTGCGGAAGGATTTGCGTGACACCAGAATCCACTCGTACTGGCCCATGTGAGTATCAAGTCGGCGTGGGAAGCTGCAGCCGAGCTGACCTCTGTATTTGAGATACGTCGTGTATGGCCAAAAACCAGAGGACTGACTGTCAAAATGAACGAGTTGCTGTTGTCGTTATCTGCATATCCTACGACTGTCTGATGCTGCAAATTTAGCGATCTGACCAGTGCATCTGGCGTCAGGTACTGAGCTGGCGAGCGTTGGAAGCAATTACAGGTCCTGCAATTCGACTCAAAGGATTCGATGGCCTCATCTGATCGCTGCTGGGCGATATGCAGCTGAAGCATCTCACTATCCCGCAAGAATTTTCTCTCGACGACGAAGAGAACGCCTTCTATCCGTACAGCTGGATGGTAATGGGATACAAGGCGACAAATTCTTGCTGTCAAGGCTGAAAGGAACAGAAACGACAGCAACGAGCTGTTATTCGGCTACCAGAGCACCGATGGATTCTTCTTTGCCCCTCAGCTCTCTCCTATGGATGCATTACGCATGGCCAGGGCGATGTGTGCAGGACCTGTTGACGGAGGAAGACCAGGATATGGCTTGAAACCCGATACAGCATCCCTATGACGAGTGATGAACATGGGGTATAGACGGCAGAAGAACGAGATGGGTATTTCGATGTGGAAAAGGATCTGTCTTTCTTCATACACATAACCTGGCCCACTTTCTTCTTCACACCGCTGCTACAGGCCTGTCGTCAATGTTTGCTCCCAACTGCGCCAGAAGGACTGGCGTTGTTACAAGGGTCCCCCGCAAAATCCATCTTGAGCCGATACTCCGCGTGGGGATACTTTACATCAGTCCCATCCACGGTGCCATGCTAGCCATGGATCCCACTCTCCACTTCCAGCAAGGCCATTCTTTCTCGTTGGGAGTTCTCCCATACCTTGGGACCACTTATGGTATCTAAGGCTATGACACGGTAGGGGCCATCCGTGTTAATGCCGACATAGCCGCCCACGGAATGTCTATATTCTGCCTATATATCTGTTTTACCGTACAGCACCACCTATCGGAGAATCGCCGGCCCATGGATTCACATGAAACCCGTACATGGCCATTGGCATGGCCCATCTCCGAGCTCGAAGAGGCAGACTACGTCTGGGGTGTCTCGACTGTAGACCCTTTCGTCCTGATGGTGCTGCTTGACCTCTCACAGACCTTGATGCGGCTGATGGGCTCCATTCATTTAGCCTATATCGTACATCGGCGGCAGGTGTGCTGTTGCCAGGGCTGCAACCATAAAAAACACACGAGTGCCAAGTGTACGCTCCTCTTCCACCATGAGGTTCACCCCAATAGTGGCCGATACTGATATGGATACCAAGGCATACGACATCACCCACTCTGAGGACGTTGCCGGGAGAGGGCAGCAGCAGCACGAATATGGCGACGTTCAAGGCACGGCGCGCATACACGCCTCACGCATGGAGGAGGCACTCCTGCAAGAGAAACCCAGACCACTACGCAAGAGCTTCTTGAAACTGTATGCTTGTATCTTTATCGCATATCTGTGCTCGGCGACCAATGGCTTTGACGCGAACACTTTTGGTATGTACCAGATACCTTGCAAGGAGGGAAAGGCTCCCCAGCGCTCAACGTGAATCCCAGGTGGGCTGTCTGCGATGCCGCCCTTCATCGACTTCTTCGGCATCAACTCCAACAACCAGGGCCTGATCGCGGCGCTGTATGTCATCGGCAATGTGGCCGGCTCCTTCTTCGCCGGTCCCTGCTCCGACAAGTACGGCCGGCGAGTGGGCATGGCCATCGGCTCGACGGTCTGCATCGTTGGCACCATTCTCCAAGCCGCAGCCCAGAACCTTGCCACCCTAGAGGGGGGCCGGTTCATCTTGGGCATGGGCGCCGTTCTCGTGCAGACGGCCGGGCCCAGCTATGTCGTGGAAATGGCGTACCCGAAGTACCGTGGGCAGCTCACGGGGGGTTTTCAGGCTTGCTTCTTCTTGGGCACAATCATCTCCACATGGCTGGAGTACGGCTTGTACTATATCAACACCAACTCGTCGTTTATCTGGCGGCTCCCGCTGGCTGTGCAGGGACTGCCGTCCATTATCATCCTCTGCTGTGTCTGGTTTATCCCGGAGACGCCTCGATGGTAAGTTAACACCCATGATCCAACCCACAAGGAAGTTGGATTGACGTTACGGTCCCCCCTTCTTAGGCTACTCGCCCATGACCGCATTGAAGAAGCGAAAGCCGTGCTGGTCAAGTACCACGGTGACGGTGACCCAGGCTCGGTGGTGGTGCGAGTTGAGCTGGAGGAGATGATGGAGGTGATCCGCATAGACGGCGCGGACAAGCGGTTCTGGGACTTCCGCGAGCTCTTCAACACGCGGGCCGCGCGATATCGCACCTTCCTGGTCACCTGCATCGCCTGGTTCGGCCAGCTCGACCTCCCGCCCACGAGCTACTATTTCCCGCTCATGGCCAAGACGGCCGGCATCACCAGCGTGCACACCCAGCTGCTCCTGAACGCGCTGCAGACCCCGATCATGATGGTTGCGGCCCTCTGTGGGTTGCGCTTCGTCGAGAAGCTGGGCCGTCGCAAGGTCCTGATGGTTTCGAGCGCGGGCATGTCGGCGTCGGTGGCCATCATCACCGCGTGCACCGCCAACCAGGCAGGGAAACCTGCAGTGGGAGCCACGGGAGTTGCTTTCCTCTACGTTTTTCTCGTCGTTTTTGCCTTTGCATGGGTAAGCAAGCGGTGGCCTCCACACTACCCTTCGCTCTTAGAATGGGGGGTTTCCTCTCGCTAACGACCACGGTTTTACCTTGTATAGACCCCCATGCAGTCTCTCTACCCAGCAGAAGTCCTCACATTCACCGCCAGAGCCAAAGGCAAGTCTCTTGTGTTTCCTCTTTTCATACACACGTGCGCCCCTGTTTTGGCACAAAGAAACTGACTGAAACCGACGACTGACTGAAAAAAAAATCCAGGCATGGCATACCTGAACTTCATGGTCAACTGCGTCAACGTGCTCAACACGTACGTGCCGCCGGTGGCGATCGCGAATTCGGGCTGGCGCTTCTACATCCTGTACGTGGTGTGGGACGCCTTCGGCGTCGTCGTCATCTACTTCTTCTTCGTCGAGACCCGGGGCCGCAGCCTGGAAGAGCTCGACGAGCTGTTCGAGGCACAGAACCCCAAGCAGGCCAGTTTGGCGTACAAGCACGTCGTCATCCGGAGTGACGGGACCATCAAGGACGCGCCGGAATGAGTGGATGAGTGGAGTAAGTGAATGGATGAATGGATGGATGGATGGACGAATATCTTGACAGGTTCCCCCTCCTTCCTATCTCACCCGCGCGGTAGGAGCCGAGCAGCGGCGGGATAGGCAGAGTATGGTGGTGATATTGACACAGGACCAGGATAGTGAATCTGGCTTGGTCAGGAGGTATCGCAGTATTTTGGGGGCCGGGAAGACAGTGACGGACTGTTTCGAGTATACACATTTCGATACAAGTAGAAGTGCGGAATGGTGGGTTGAACGAATAATCGCGTGGCAGGACCCCCCCTATCATCTATTTGCCCCTAACAAGACTATCTAGCGACAGAATAGGGAGCAGTGTGGGAACCAAGCAGTTTAGGTCCCTATTTATCGATTTGTCTACTCCAATTCACACCGACTCGAGACTGTGAGTACTTTCTGGGACGGTTAGGGGCCACTTGGCACCGATATTCGCCCGGGAGTAGGAAGTGGTTCCTAGTTACCTCAAGCCCTTCAGACCTTTGGCAAGCCAAGGGCCTCTCTCCTTCCCGTAGAGGCGGGATCCAGATAAGGCTTCTCCCCAACACCCGAGGCACGTACACCGACTCTGACTCCGTCGACCAAGTGAGTGTCAGGCTAGATGGAGGAATTCTGTTAGCGACATGCTCGTTCTGTATTGAGTTTGGATGTTGTGATGAGAAAATTCAGGTGCTGGGCAAGGCTGAGGCTAAAAGGGGCCAGCCAAGCTGAAGCGCACCGACCGGGATCTCAGAACAAGGGCGGTGACAACATACCGTGGCGGCATGCAAAGTGCATGCATTGCTCCAGATGGCACAGGCCTGCTTCGTCCAATGCATTCTCGCCACACAATCGTGATTGCGTGTGATAAGCCTGAGGACGTAGTCGCGAATGATCTGGTCCTCATAGTTATAGACATCGTTGATCCGTGTCACATGTAATCCGACCCCCGCAAAAAGAGACTTCCACCCTGTGACTGGGTGTGTGCGGATAACGGGGTGCACAGGGGCGAATTTGTCGCCGACATTCAAGGGTGAGCCGCGGGGGGACCTCAGTTCGTAGCCACCTGCATCAGCTGCGGATTTGAAGACTGGTTGCGCACAGGTGGCAGTCAGGGTCTCGAGGAACGCGGCGAAAGGTGGAGAGAGGCGGTCGTAGCTGGGTAGGAAATGATGTTAGCGGAAGCTGTGAGGAGCAGAAGGAGGGTTGGCCATACAGTTCATATCCAGAAACCCAGAGCGTATCTCCACCGGATGGCGGCGTATCTTGCATGCGCAAGAAGCTGAAATCCGCCGGACATTCCTCGAAGAGACCTTTGATAAATCACGGTCAGCCCAGTATATCGCGGTCGGTTACGGTGGAGAACGAACAATCACTGTGCCATTCCCGGCTCAGGTCTTTGGGCTCGCCCGTGCTGTTTGGCCGATTTTTCATCGTCGCATATAGTTTCTTCATGGCTTCCGAGTTGATGACATAGCTATTCCTTGTCAGCACTCTGGCGACATTGATCTGGGAGGTCTTCTCACATGTTCTCGTCTGTTGTCCCATCTGCCATGGGAATGTTGTTGGGGTCATTGTAAAGAGGATGGACATGCAAGCCGTGGTCCTCAGGTCTGCCCGTCAACTTGCCCAAGAGGTACGTGATCTTCTTCTGCTCTTCAACAGTCAAATCATCTTGAGGCGCGCGAAAGAAAACAACGCCACGTTCGCAGATGGTGATGGCGAGATCCCGAAGCTGATCTTCCGAGTTCGGGGCATTGAGCATGTCCTTGAGTTTAGCCTTGGTATATTCACGCCCGATGATTGGTGTCACGTCGACATATTCGAGGTGGTCGATGGACCCGGAGTTCTTCAGCGGGGCGCGCCGTAACTTCATATGTGATATAGAACCCATCGTTTTCCTGACTGTATGCGTGACTATGTGTTCTGCTGTACCGTAAAATGATTTCCTGGTCTCAAAGTACTCAAAGAAGGGCGGACTGCGGCGACGTTGAGAAACGAGCTCTCCAAACATGCTCCCTACCCTCAATATCAATCAACGATCAGCAACGTGGGGCTACACAGGCCATGTCTCTGGCATGAACCGTATGCGGAGTCTTCCACCAACATTGATGTGGGGAAGGGCGTTAACTGTCAGATTGGAGCAAGAGCCTTCCCCATGGGGCTTGTTGACGGTGCTCCATCTGCCGAAAATCTGAGGCACGAAGGGGAAATGTTGGCTTGCGTTTCCGGTTGCGCCTCTGTCCGCAGAGGACTCGGCTAGCCACGCTGAGCATGCTCAATGAGGAACGTAGAACACATGACAATGGCCACGGTTGGTGAGGGAGGAGCAATTAGCCAGGAAGTCGAGAGGAACCGCGCTGGATGTGACGGCCACTTTCCGATTGAGGCCTGGCAGCAAAATACAACTGCCGAGATATCTGTGACTGGCTCGTTCACTCACATTGCGACTTGGCTTGCGGCTGATCCTCATGCTAGCTCTAGCAGTGCCTGACCAGCATTTCGTGGCAGAGAGTGTCGTTGGAGAAGATGTACGGGGAGAGGACGGAGAGCCACAGAATGTGGGATTCTCCATGGCGCTGACATTGCGAGAAGTGAGAGCAGAGCGTGGGTGGCGTGTCATGTGACATCGCGTCATCATCCAGCGCGCACGGCACGTGGGTGGCACGTCTCACTGCTGGCTGCTGTCTCCTCCCACCCTTGCTCAGTGGCCGCGACCATCCTTTGGTTCCTGGCTGATTGTCTCCAAAGGTGAAGTCGATGGTCTCCCGGGGGTGTTCCCGAGCCTCTCGGCCTTTCATGGTCCAAAATGGTCTTCACGGATACTGAAGACGACGATTTGGATGCCCCGCGCATCAGGCGAGAAGGTCCACATCGTACCGAAACCATCGCAGAGGAGGTAAACAAGAGCTTAGGTGAGAGGACTGAAGCCAGTCTAAGCATGGCCGACGAGGACGAGACCACAGACTGCATAACAGGGTACGACGATCAAAAAAACCCGAAGCGACCTCGATTTGAGCGAGCACTAGCCACACAAAATCCTTACGATTCCGCCGATGAAGAGCTTGATCGACTGGAGCAGGAATGGACGGAAGTTGGAGAAGAGAAGGCCAAGAACAAGACATCAAGGACCAGAAAAAGCAGAGGATTGACTGCTAAAATCGTCGACGCCGTTGACAATGAAATCGCTCCTCGCCCGAGGTCTACGAAGGCGACAGGTACAACTGGAGTCGGCAGAAAAGGGCCCAGCAAGAAGCGCCGGAGGACAAGAGAGCACGGCGATTCCGACTCGGAGGAGGAGCTCATGGAATGGACCATGCCAGACTACGTCAGGAACCGAAGAGCAAAATTTGACGAACGCGCAAAGCAATTGCGAGAAGGCGGTTTGGCTCTCCCACCCATATACGACGATGTGGATTTCTCGGACAACGAGAAGCTGAGGGAATTGAGGGAGCGGCCGGATTTTCCCCTATCAACTGCATCCAGGGAATACAAGGATATCGAACTGCATTATTCGCTTGGTCTCATCCCCGCCCCAATTGCACAGTTTTTGCGAGAATATCAGGTTAAGGGCGTGGCATTCATGCATGAACTTTTCGTGTACCAGAAAGGCGGAATCCTGGGTGACGATATGGGGTTGGGCAAGACGGTACAGGTGATTGCATTCTTGACGGTGGCTTACGGCAAGACCGGGGACGAACGCGATCAGAAAAGGATGAGAAAGATGCGCAGAGCGAAGCGGTGGTACCCAAGAACTCTCATTATCTGCCCCGGCACACTCATGGAGAATTGGAAAGATGAATTTCGCCGTTGGGGTTGGTGGCATGTTGATCTTTACCACGGGGGCGCTTCACAGAGACATGATGTACTCTTGCAAGCTCAGGCGGGCATGTTGGAAGTCATGATCACGACATACCACACCTATCGAGCCAATAAAGAGGAAATCAACATGATCCAGTGGGACTGTGTTGTTGCCGACGAATGCCATATCATCAAAGAAAGAAGATCTGACACCACCAAAGCCATGACTGAAATCAATGCCCTCTGCCGCATCGGTCTCACGGGAACCGCAATTCAGAACAAGTACGAAGAACTATGGACTCTCCTCAATTGGACCAATCCTGGCAGACTTGGGCCGGTCTCGACGTGGAAAAAATCTATTTGTATACCGCTTAAGTTGGGCCAAAGCCACGACGCTTCACAGTATCAATTGGCGAGAGCCAGGAAGACAGCGAAGATGCTTGTCCAGAACCTGCTTCCGCAATTCTTCCTTCGACGGACAAAAGCCCTTATCAAAGACCAACTGCCGAAGAAATCAGATCGGGTGGTATTCTGCCCTCTCACAGCGACTCAGGCACAAGCATATGAAAGCTTCCTCGAGAGTGACATCGTGCAATACATCAAGACAAACGGTGATCCGTGCATGTGTGGAGCGCAGAAGAAGGCTGGATGGTGCTGCCAGATGAAACTCAGTGATGGCAGCCCCTGGCAGAGTTGGGTATTCCCTGCAATCGCAACCCTGCGAAATCTGTCGAATCATCTAGCCATTCTTATCCCACAAGGGTCGGATCCAGCGGACAAACAGGCGAAGGATCTTGAGATGCTCCAGATTGCAATGCCGGACGAATGGAGACAGATTTACCAAACACGGGACAGCATCATGCATACTGGCAACCCCGAGTATTGCGGCAAATGGCGAATACTGAAAAAACTTCTTACGTTTTGGTATGAACAAGGTGGCAACAAAGTACTGATCTTCTCGCACAGCGTCCGCTTGCTCAGAATGTTACAGAACTTGTTCATCAGTACAAAATTCAACGTCAACTATCTCGACGGGAGCATGCAATATGATAATCGGTACGCAGCTGTCAAAGAATTCAACACTGACCCAACACAATTTGTCTTCCTCATCAGTACTCGAGCAGGAGGTGTTGGGCTGAATATCACATCCGCAAACAAAGTCGTCATCGTCGACCCGAATTGGAATCCCAGCTATGACTTACAAGCACAAGATAGAGCTTACAGAATTGGTCAGACGAGGGATGTGGAAGTCTTTCGTCTGGTCAGTCAAGGAACTCTCGAAGAGATCGTCTACGCCCGCCAGATCTACAAGCAGCAGCAAGCAAACATTGGTTACAACGCCACATCTGAGCGACGGTACTTTCAGGGCGTGCAGGACAGCAAAGACCAGAAAGGCGAGATCTTTGGAATGAAGAATCTTTTCGCCTATCAGAACGAGAACCAGGTTCTGCGCGATATTGTGAACAAGACCAATATTGCGGAGTCAAAGGCCGACGTCCGGGTCGCCAACTTGGAGCTTGAAGAGCATGAACTCGAAGACGTCAACGCCGATGAAGACGGAATCAAGAATGAAGAGGGTGTGGCGCCTCGAATGAAAACCGATCCAGATTCGGAAGACGCAGCAATGTCCCAACTCGCAGCTGAAATCGTCGGAGAGGAAGGTCGATCGTCTTGCTCACGCTCCAAAACGCCCTTTGGCTCAGCGAAACCGGGCGTCAAGAAACATGATCCGGTCCAAGCTATCCTCTCCTCTGTCGGTGTGTCATATACGCACGAGAACAGCGAAGTAATTGGATCCTCCAAAGTCGAAGCGTTGTTGTCCAAGCGAGCGGAAGAAGCCGCAGCCAAGAATATCCACTGGGATACCCAAGAGCAACAAGCGAAAGTTTTCATGGATGACGCGTCGTCGCCACCGCAACGCCGCAATGAAGACGTGTACGACTTCGCCTACGACAATCCCTACCTCGAAGACAACCACGATGGTACCCTCACGCCCGATGGCAGCAGTGTGCGATACAAATACCGCCCACCCCAGACCGTCCGGAAACGACAGTTCTGCAGCATGGCTAGGTGGGCCGGCTACGGAGACGATGTGGTGTCTTTCGCGTTGGTGGTGGAAAACTGGACCCAGGCAGAACGAAGAGAGTGTCTTGACCGTTTCTATCGCTATCGGCGAGATGTACTTCGCGGATTTGTAAAGTCGGGGAGCTCAAGCGAGGGTGTGAAGAAGGAAGGGGTTAAGGAGGAACATGAGGAGTTCAAGGTCAAAGAAGAGGACGCGAATGGGAATGTTCAAGCTGACCCAGACACCACGGAACACGTGTCGAGGGTCAAGATGGCCACGGTCGTGAAGAACGAACACGATCCAGGCCTCATGGACGTCCAGGCGGCAAGCGAGGATGAAGATGACGAGCTTTGATGTTCGCTCTTGGAAATGGGTACACAGGACCTTCCTCATGAAGAAGACCACGATGTGACGGCTCACGATGTTGATGACTTTGTAATACCCTAAATTATCCCTTCTGGTGGACTGGACCATATTTGATGGAGATGCCTCTAGATGTGCCTCTTAGGGAGCGCCGAACCACACGGATTCTCGAATCTTGCGTTTGAAAAATTGGGAGGACGTGATGTTCAACACATGATTGTCTCCTAAAAGTGGGTGCCTTTGCCCATTGCTGGGTGCTGTTCATCACCCTGTTCCCTGCCCGACCGACCGCCCGCCACTCCTAATTCGCGATATCTTTCACATGCTTCGCGCCCACAGTCTCGCCAGAGGGTCCTTTTTCAAGTCGTTACATCTCCATCGAGACCGGGACCTGCTGGGCGCCCGGGATGGGTTCGTCCCAGACCCAGCGGTCCCGGGTGTAGAGCTCGACGGCCGGTTTCGGCGGCGATGTCGCGAACTCGTCGAACAGCGTGATGCGCACCACTATAACACCACCCGGCCAAGGCAGGAGAAAATACGTCAGTTCATCTGTTTGAAACTATTGCTGGGCCCCCCATTTCCGAGTGAAATGGCCGTGGGCGAAGAGGACAGCGAATGTCTGTATATATACTCACGAGCCACGCCGGGGATAGCCTCCTTAGCCAATCCATATATCGGGCTGCCGCAGACCGCGCAAAAATGACGGTCGACGGTACGCCCACTGTCGGTGTCCTTGTCGGCGTAGTGCATGATGGGGCCTGCGAAGGTGACCTTTTCCAGCGGGACAGGCATGATGAAACAGCCCCCTCGGTCAGGATCAGTCCTCTCCGCGCCCGTGTCTGCTGTGCTAGGGGCCGATAACATACCTGCACCGCTAGACTTTTTGCAGTTTCGACAGTGGCATGTGATTCCGTTGAGTTTGCCGTCATGAACGATGTCGGCTTCGACGGTGACAGCGCCACAGTTGCAGGATCCGTGCATTGTGAAAAGACCTCGGTGCGAATGGAGTTCCAAGGGGTTTCTGCTCTTTGACCATCGTGATCCATGGGGAAACCCTGTGGTTTATATGTAGATATGTGAGCGGCATGACAAAGGGTGGGGAGCATTGTTCGAGAACGGGTATACGGGCGTAATCGAATAGTCTCTCGTAGTCTCTGTGGGATCTCCAGTCCTTTCGATCAATCGACCGTCTCACATATTCGTCTTGATGGTATTCGCGGCCTCCATCAGGTCTCTGGTGCAGTGCAAAACGTTTTGCCTATAGCTTATATCCAGGCCCGCAGCAGGTAGGCATACGCACGTAGGAAAAGTGGGCTAAGCATGTTAGCAGCACACAGTGTACCGCTGTGATGGGTCTCATACTTGTAGCATGATACGCGTGGTAATATGTATGCCGAACGGTATAGGGTATGTCTGACTGAGCCGATTGATGTACGCCAGCTGGCGTAACACCGCTAGACGACGAGTAGATACGTCGATACTCAATCAAGCATTCTCCTTTCCATAAAGCCCTGTGGTCTGACAAGACTAGTCGTGAGCAGCCTCCCTCCCGGGGTCTCTGGTACGAGTAAGATGGGAACTGGAAGATCATCATGACTTACGTCGTCCAAAGCCAATCTGTTCAGAGATCGATTCCTCTTCCAGGGGCATGGTGGCTAGGCCCAACACGATCATGGGAAACGGCCATGCTGGTGACACAGAAAACGAGACTTACCAATGTGGATACTTGTGTCACCCCCTCACGATTGAGTGTTCACCTGCTGATCTGGTCCGACGGCGTGTTTGATTCCAAACGGAGTAACGGGCCAGGCCTCATCTTATCTGGCACTTGGGACTTCCATCTGTGGGGAGATGAAACCAGCAAGCAAGTACGTCTGTGTTTAGGAAGAGTCTGACACGATGACACAGCCCTAGAAGTTCACCGGGGGTGCGAAATGTTGTTCCTGGCTGACTCTTTCCACCAGATCCAAAGTTCGCCTAGATTGAGAACAAGCAATGACAAGGTGGTGTGGAGGTGTTTCCAGATCGAGAAATCTTGTAGCGTTCCCTGAATACGAGGAGGTACCAAAAGGGTGTTCAACACTCCATTGCACAAGAGGCAACCAGATTGGCTGAAATATCATACACGGAAAGCAGACTCAACATCAGCAATCGTGGGCCAAAATCCAGCGAAGGCATCCTGGAGGCTCGACTCTATCTTGAACCGGTTAGTCGCCTGGTTCAAACCTTTGTCAACGGAAACAATGGGACTGGAAGTATCCGACAAAAAGATGCTGGGGCAGTTGGAAAAAGCTCGTCAACAATTCCTGCCGCACAATGGTTGTGTGCAAGCAGGATCTTATAGCTGATATACCTCAGCAGCCAGACTTAAAGTACAGAGACAAAGCCGCATGCAAGTCTCCCGTTGTGGCGGTTTCCACGGCCGTTTGACAGACGCAAACAGTTTGGCTGCTTGGTCAACACATTTGCGCCATATAAGAGGGAAGTGTAGGTGCATGGGGTGCATGAGCAAGCTGATCTTCGTTCGTTGATGTTTTCCTCACCAGTACTTTCAAGAAAAGTAACATCAGTCGCCCCTTTCGAGCAAAGTCATCACAGCAATATCTTACGCCAGGGGCGCAGACGACAATTCGTTCTATAGTCCACGAAGATTCAGCCAGCAAGATGGGCGACAATGGCAGCGCCAAAATATGGATACCGATGACGGTTGTTGGCTGTATTATCATCTTTCTTGTTGTGGTCTGCTGCCCATTGTGCCGCGGTGACGACTATATCGAACGACAGCCTAGAGGAAGAACACCATCACGCCATTTGCCGACAGGCTTACCTTGGGAAGAGATCACCACGACCAGCTCGTTTCCAACTCGACCTCGACCAGTATTTCTGGGGCCACGCAGCGGACGACGTGGTTTGAGTCCATTGTGGGGGGACAGACCGCCAAGGTACTATCCTGGAGTCAACATCGTCGAAAGAGAGCCAATCTTCGTGCGCAGGTGATCAGCTGGAAGAAGACTCGGAGAGAAAGGGTCTAGAACTGTGTCGACAAGGACGTTTTGGCAGTGTAGTCACAGGCAGGGAGGGATTTGTGTTCGCATAGCTGTGGACGGAAATTGTGAGTCAAGGCACATACGACAAGACAAAAGTTGTCAATCTCTCGGGAAGGTCCGGGAAAGGAGACGGTAACGAGAGGGGGACGGTTGAAAACGTCGTTGTTGATGATGATGATGATGAGGATGGTTGCTTGTTGAATTCGATGGTGTTGGAGGTTGGAAGTTGGAGGAGTTTCGCGGGTGACTGCGCTAAGCAATTGAATTGTTCACACCAGAACTCCTCGCTGCCAGTCCACAATTCACCACCCAAGCCTACAATTCTCTGTGTCCACTGCTCGTACGTATGTATGCCTTCCAAGTCGAAGCTGCTGCTCAACAGACCACAAACAGACAAGCACTGCTAAGCCCTGCCGGCCGGAATTGATTGACCCAGATTCGCAACCGACAACGCCGAGCATGTCACCTAGATTTGTTCCACAAGTCCTCATCGAGTCTCTCACCTCACCTCCTCAGAATGACACACGCGTTTTGCTAGTTCAGAAACAACTCCCAGTACCCTGCACAGCTGCGGTATTGCCTCTTTCGCCGGACAAATCGACTAGAATCTCCATAAGAGGCTCAGCAATCGAGGGACTGGATGGACATTTCGAAGCATGCGTCATCTGTCGTGCCAGAGGACTTGACCTTAGCAGGAGGCTATCTCTAGTCTGGTTTGTCGGCTGACCTTGAACCATTCACGGAATACAGTCCAGTATCTCCTTGACCGGTTCTGCCCAAAAAGCCTCGATGCAGCCAACCTGTCAGCCTAACCAAGCCCCTACTGACAGTCCCCGGTGGATACACCAGGCTGGTGGGCTGTTCTCGATCCCCTTAGCCAAATGATCCCATTGCCTGATAAGATCGTCCAACGCAGAGAAAACGTTGCTATTGGGACTCCCCCCCCCCCCAGTCAGCCAACTTCTTGAGTGCTTGACGAGGAGGCTGCTACTAGACTGAAAACGGAATCAGCCGTTTCATGCATTGAAGTTTACTGGTCGCTATACTCTAGCTGCCCTCGCCTTGTCAATGAGAGGAGGAGAAAGACACAAGCAGGGCGCATCCAGGGCCCATTTTGACATGGTGTGGTGCCTAGGACTCTGTGACAGTTCTTTGCCTGGCAGGCCTCAACTGGCACTTGTCTAGCATCAATCTCTACTGTAAGCAGAGTATCTTCGCGGCGTGATTGACAGCCTCGGCCAGGTGAATCCACAACATTGCACAGGCACTGCTTGCAGACATTGTGCCTATGACTGCACAGCCTTAAAATCCTCGTTGAGAATTCTCCTTCTTTCCTCTTTGCTAGCCGTTCCTATCTCTCACGGTATAAACAGATGTCCGTTCAGCCACGAGGCAATAGTGGTGGCTGTGAAGTGACTGCGCCTTGGTTGGCCTCGACACTACGACACAATTTCTGCCTATCAACAGCCTTGTGAGCGCCTTTCCAAAACATTGGGTCCTGGCGTATGACTGTCCCAGGGGCAATGGTCAGCCTCACGAGAGTCGAGCTTGAAGATCTGCTTGTTCAGCCATTCGAACAGCCAAGCTATCCAGGATGGGCGGAGGAGCACACAGCGAGTTGGTGTACGGTGCACCTACTTTACCATACGGAGAAATTGAAGATCAATACAACAATCCCGCCTCAAAGTCACCACTAACTGGAGTGGCCATTTCCAACTTGATACATGACGACAATACGCCAAAAGTGTTAGATCGAGTCAAAGCGATAGATGCCTGGATGGAGACTTTCTTGGGAGGCGGGCAGTCGGCGAATACCTTCTCTCTGGACAGCGAGCTTCCACTTGCCTGTCATTTGGACGACTCTAAGCGTTACATTAATCCAATCACAGGTCAATGGGTGACATCTGACTGGCCTGATAAGCAAAGTCCGTTTTGCTGCATACCCAATATCTCTTCTGCTTCGCATGGAAGCCAGCTCTCTGGAGTGGAGGAAACTTATAGATCATTAGACGGTTTTTCCGGGTATTCAGCTAAACATCACAGCCTCGACAGATCACCGCCATCAGCACAAACGGGCTACCCGCCCGATACAAGAACAAGAACAGCTGAGAGCACGTCGCTCGGCTCAACCAGTGCTGAACCTCCCCTGAGTCGGACTGGCGCTACCGAGGATCCAGGACAATCATCACTGAACGGGAAAGGTATTGACCGTCCGGTGAAATGCTTTGAGAAGGAACCGGGATTGATAAGATGGAATCGATCTTTGGACAATCGCAATGTTGTCTCAAAGGGTGAACACCATACCGGGCTGACGCTGATGTCTGAGGTACGGCGGGCTCGTCACTTAGAGGGCGAACAGCAGAATGAGTACGAGCAGGGTCGCAAGCATGCCATGGACCTCACCGAGGACATCCGCAAAGATCGTCCCGAGCCTCTTGAGGGGATAAGACCAATGCAGGCGGCTGAAGACGACACCGACTTCCCCAACCAGGAAGAGATGGAGGCCATGTTCGAATCTGTCCGCAGGCTGCGGGACAAATTGGACTTGGAAGCCGACTCAGTGGTCCGCCAAAAGACGGCACGACAAATTACGGCGCAAGAAGAAAGAAAAGAAACATCGAACATGCAGGCAGAGGACGAACGCCGGCTCGAGGAGGATTTCCTGCTCGCTCGCGCTCTATCCGAGATTGAGAACGAGATGGAAGTAGCGTTAGAATGGAACACCTCTCAACTTCCAACCAGACCACGACGCCGTTGCCGAGAACCCAATCCGTTCCGGTGGTTCAAAAGGGCATTGAGACTTGCGGTCAACCATTTGCCGGCTCCGAGCTCTGATAGGACTGGACACGCAAGCAGAACTCCAGGAAAAGAAATGTCGCCAGCTGCGGACCTGGGCACCCTCTCAACGAGTTTGAATATGGCAAGAAACCTGCAAAGGACGTGGAGACAAGAAACTCACAAGCATGAAGGCGTCACACGTCATGCTCAAGAAGAAGCCGGCTCCAGGGAACGACGAACACGTCGAGGAGTGGAGCGTCACCGTCGTGAGGGAGGAAAGCCAATTCAGGCAGAGCAAATGGGACAAGAGGAGCCACGGAGGACGCGCCTGGCCAGCACGGCCAAGTGTAGCGCCTGTATCGAGCTTCTCCCAACACACCAAATGTGTCGATTGGAGTGCGAGCACTACTACTGTCGGCCATGTCTGGAGACAGCCATCCAGACGGCAGTCAAGGAGAAGAGGGCCTTTCGATGCTGCAGCAAGCAGGCCGAGCCCGATGTTGTTGGCCGGTGGCTGCCCGCACGAATGTACAACGCCTACACCGCCGTAGTCGAGGAACTGTCCACACCCGACCCGACATACTGCCACAGCTGGCTGTGCTCGGCCTTCATACCCACGGCACACTACGTCGGCGATACAGCCCGGTGCCCGCGCTGCTCGAGCGTGACCTGTCGGCTGTGCAAGCAGAAGGCGCACGGCCGCGTCGTCTGCGAGCAGGACGCCGCGGGCCAGGCGCTGCTGGGCCTGAGCGAGACCCGGAAGTGGATGCGCTGCCCGCACTGCAAGACCATGGTCGAGCGCTACTCGGGCTGTCTCCATATGACCTGTCGGTGCGGCACCCAGTTTTGCTACAACTGCGGGAGGTATCGGTGGCTGTGTCGAGGGTCGAGATGTATGCGACGGTGATGAGGTCGATACACCACCATTCCTAGGGCTGTGTAGGTATGTATGTATGTATAGATATCTATATACATACACATTTCCATGGACAGTTCGCCGTCTGCGCGTCTGCGGGGAGATTGAGCTGCATGAGGTAGAGAGAGACTGAATGAATGCTTTGAAGGAACTGCTTGGGTTGATAACAGTATGTTGTTACTGTAGGTAGGTCGGTAGGTAGGTCGGTAGGTAGGTCGGTAGATGGGTCTGTAATAAATAGGTGGAAGGGGCAGTTGTTGTGATATACGAGGGCAGGAGAATGAATAAATATGTTTATCCGAGACACAAGAAGAGCCATATATCCATTCAATCAAGTATACATGTAGAACGTCCACGGGGCACCAAGTCACAAACAGCCACGTGTGTTTTTCGGCATGTGTATATTTATTACCCTTGACACGGGACCGATATATGCACACACGTAGCTCCACTGCCGCCGCGCTCTACGTCAAGGAACTGCGAATACTGGACGGAACGAAAGGACATTGCTGTTATTGATTGCATTTTGCTGGCTTGTTGTCCCTTTAATGGGCTCTGATCTGACGCTGTTCAAGCCCCAGTTCTTCTCTCTGTTCTCTTCTTACATCCATCCTCCTCCGCTGACTTGCATACTTTCTTTTCTTCCACGAGGCGCTGCTGATCCATGATCGACAGCAGGGCGGCCACCTGTTCCGTAGATATCTCCCGTGGTCACCACTCGCCCCCCGCTGCATCTTTCGCTGTGCTGTCTCCTACTATTTATTGTCTTCTCTACCGTCCCGCCCACCCCTCAGGGACCAGGATCGCGCCGACCTCCTCGACCCCGCGCTCCATGACCAGCAGGTTATACGCGGCGGCGGCGTTGGGCGTGTCCATGACGTCGACCTTGATGCCCAGCTCCTCGGACAGGTAGCGCCGCGTGTCGCGCGAGAGCATCCACAGCCTCCGTCCCGTGCCCAGGAGCAGGAGGTCGGGTTTGGGGTAGAGCAGCGCGAGCAGGCCGAGCGTCGAGGGCGGGAAATTCAGTAGCCCCCGCGCGTCGAGGAAGGCCGTGAAGCCTTGGGAATGATCGCCGGCTCCGCCTCTACCTGCCGTGCTTGGGCTTGGACTTGTCTTGCTTGTCGGAGTATCAGTGGTACTACTATTCGTATACAGCCACGGCTGCCACACGAACGCCTCGCCGGCAACGAGCATGATGCCCTTCCCCCCGGAGGTGTGCACGCCGTTGTTCAAGTGGAAGCCGTCGCCGGTGCAGGCGTCGATCGAGGTGGCGGGTTCCTCGACACCCGCGCTGGCCAGGATGTCCATCTTGGCGAAGTCGGTCTGCGTGGGTTCCTTGGACACGGGCCCGCGGTCGTGGTTTCTCGGTGCGCGTGGATTGATCTGTCGTTGGGGGCGGGCGCGGCTGGTGGAGGAGGAAGTGCTTGGGTTAGATGTGGACGAGGCCGAGGAGGAGGATGATGGTGCCTGACGACTCGTCGAGAGGGCTCGCGCCGCGTGTCTCGTCGAGGAAGAGGATTGTGGGACGGAGCTGCATGTTTGACCTCGTGTGAAGCCGATGGCTAGGGGATGTTGCTGCGCTCGTCGAGAGGATGGGTTCGTTGGGCGGAGGAGAGGGAGTCCCGGTGATGCGGTGGTTGCGCGACGCAACGCACGGAGGAGATCTGTCGACGGAGCTCGCATCGTCTTTTCCCCCTTTCCCTGAACTCTTTTATGTAGGGAGACACGGTCGAGTTTAAGCACTGGAGTGGAGGAAGAGCTTCTCGCTGTTCCAGTGGTATTTCAACGCCGCCGTGGTGACGATGGGTATACTAACACGGCCAACAGCAATGGAGTTGGGCGCCAGCGGGGAGGGGCTGAGTATGTTGTGACCAAGGACGGTACTTAGGACGAGGCAGGAGGCATCATCACCATCATCAGGCGTTCATCGACACATAGACTCGTGGCTGTCGTCGTGCGCCATTGGAGTAAGGAGAGACAAAAAGTCATGACAGTCAATAATAATTAATGCGTCCGCAGTTGGGTTCATGACTTCATCGGAGCTACAGCTACAGCCAATCAAACGTACCAGCATTTGCCATTGCATATTGCATGTAGAGGACTTTTTGTTCTCATATGTACCTCGTATTTGCAGATTGGCCTCATATATCACAATGATATGTTCGCGTCCATCTGCCCCATCATCACATAGCCTCCCTTGTTGTTATGCCCAGCAGAAAGCGACAGAACTCAAAACCACTCATATTGATTTGTCTTCGATGCCTCAAACAATGCACCGACCAGCCTACATGCCTTGGACAATAGTTGTAATGTCACACCGCCATGCACAAAAAGAACAAGCATTAAATCAGACATGCCCGACTTCGACCTTCTTGCTTCACATGCTTCGTCGTTTTTTAAATTATCAAATATGTGGTCCAAATTCGCAAACTTACAACACACACAATCCAACAACAGCAACGACAACAGCAAACAGACTTCCCCTGAGCACGGTTTCACTCTTGCCGCCAATCTGGCCTGCACCGTTGGAAGAGTCGCCTCCATCACCTTGGACAAATCCTGTCGACGCAGCTCCGGTGGCGCTGGCACTGTTGCTACCCGAGCCAGAATCATCACCGCTTCCACTCCCATCGTTGCCTGTGGTGTTGTCGCCACGGCCGCCGTTGCTGCCAGTACCGACACCAGAAAGGCCGGGAATAGTGGCCGGTTGACTGGTATTGGACGAACCGCTGGCGCTGGCGGTGTTGCTGCCGGCTGACATGTTGGTGCCGGTACCAAGGAACGATTTAAGCACGGTGTTATCGTTGGTCACTTCGACGGTGTTGTTGGTCATAGCCGGGTCCGTGAAGATGTAAGACTTGCTGCCTTGCACATTGGCGCCTGCAGGTGGATCGTAGCACTGGACGGACACCGAGTCGAACTGGGCGTAGTAATAGCCGTTGGTCATGTACGGCGAGTTCCATTGCACCAGACCACCAGCCCATTCGATGGTGCCTTCACCGTTGGACGGGAGACCACCCGGCCACAATGACAGCTGCACTTGGCACGGCGTTTGGGGATAGTAATATCGGTTTGCTGTTGCATTCCAGGTATCTTCACGGTTCAGGGTACGGACTGCGTTGCCATCAATCGACCAGGTAATGCTGTCGGGTTGCCAGTCGATTTCATAGTCGTGAAAGTTCGCATGTACGTCCGAGAGGCCGGTAGTATTGCCACCGTTGGTGTCTAGAGTTTCGATTAGTATATTCCTTCGTACTCCCAATCGACACCACGTTACTTACAGACAGGAACACCCTGCGAGTAGAAGTTTGTTTGGGCACTGGTCAACTGGGTACCAACAAACTCGAAATCAATTTCGTCCTTGGAGTTACCGAGCAGGATGAATGCAGTGACGACACCGGCACCGGCAGAGGTGGCAAACCTGGCGTTTACCTTGCCATACCACACGGAGCGTGTGCTCGCCAGCAGTGTCCCCACCGTTCCTTCAGCCATGGTCAGGAGCACCGAGTTGTTATATTCCAAGGGACTGCCGGAAGACACCCAGTCGGCCTGCGTGGCATCTCCGAGGTACTTAGTGTTGGGCACGACACCGTCAAGGTTACTGAAGTCATAGGTTTTCGATTGACAGACGGGCGCGGGAACGCAAGAATCGAGACTGAATGAATTGACGGGATCACATCCCCCGAGACAGTAGGCGCCAACACCACATTGACCATATTCTGTCGGTCGTCAGCGTCTTGACTTTTAGAGCGGATCAATGAACATACGCGAACAGCATGGGGTATCTGAAGGACATTGAACACCACCACCACAAGTGGTCTGAGCAAAGACCGCCGGTGCCAACGCGGCAGCCACAAAAACGAGCGAATACAAGACTCGGCCCGCCATTGCGTGTTTTGTTTTTATTCTTCTTCGGGTTTAAAAGGTCGGTCGGTTGGAGGCGTATGCAGTCGTCAATGAAAGGGCGACGGCAGCAACACCATACAACGGGTATACGAACGAATGACCCCGGAGCGCGGTGCAAAGAGAGATTCGACCGTGGAAAATCGAGTGTCACAACAGGCCGGGGATGCTTCTGGTCGTACAAAGAGAACGAGATCAATAAGATTCGTCAGATGTTGCTGAGCGAGCGAGCGAGAGATGGAATCCGCCGTGGGAAATTGGGGGTCGAAATCGAACAAAGAAAGGGCCAACAACGAGCAGCTCCCGCCAGCAGCAGATGACCTGCTGGACGCGTTGGGTGCCGAAGGGCAATGAACGAAGTTAGCGAGAGTGAAGTGTGCGCTCTGGAAAAGGAAGAGGCCAACGAAGGAGGTATTACAACTGATGATGCTGATGTGCAAAGAAAAGGACCAGGATGCAGAGAAAGAGTGTTGAAGGGGGAGAGGGAGGCGAGTGATACGGAACTGGCGCAGGCGCAGGCGAGGCGAAAAAAATAGAGACTCGTCGACTGGTGTTACTATGCTTGGATTGACGCAGGTGCCTGTGAGTGGCTCTGGATCAGTACCAGAAGCTCTCTAGGCCCCGAGATCCAGGCCCATGGGCGTCCTGACTGGTTCGGGGCGTCATCAGGGGTTGCATTGCGTGACGCGGCGCGTGAAACATGGCGAAGAAATGCCCAGTGGTGCCCGGGAGCCCTTGCCCTTGGGTCCAGTCCAGGCACCCTTCCGGCGGTGCTGGGTGGGACTTCGACGACCCCATTAATCCAAGATCGGTTAAGAGATGGTGGCTGCGGCTCAGGTGATTGGCGGGGTTTTGTGGCTGCGAGTCACCAGATGTTCGATCGTCTTTGTCAATAAAAATGTACTTGGTAGAACATGTCTCAGAAGGTGGGCAATTGATCGAGGCCAAGAGGACTCATAGCACCCCTTCTCAAGGGATACCATGATATTCCAGGTTGCCACCTCGATGGCCGTGACATATGGACAGTTGTGGCTGGAATACCCCAACCTGTTGCTTGGTCGGCGCCACCCATGTACAAAGAGGCTTGCCGCTCAACACACCATCACCACCACCGTTATCATCGTCAAATCCCACTGCGGAGCATGAAACCTCGAAGCCTCGCATACTCCCGCACCTCACGTGTCGACCTTCCCTCGTACGTACGACTCGACGACTCCATACATACGGCCACTTAATACCTGGAGCAGTAGTGGGTCCCAATGCGAGTCATGCAGAAGACATAAACGACGAGATCGTCACCACCACCACTGCCTTTGACAGTCGGATCGATGCGTGTCAGTCCGTCAGATATCAAGATCCTCACAATCACAATCTCACTGATTCCAGGAAGGAATTCAACCGACCACACCTGACGCAGCATGTTTAAGTCATCACGGTCATCCACACGAGCTCCTTTTGCTACCGAAGCTGACTTCCAAGTACCTATGCCTGACATGGCTGTTCTAACCCTTTTCTCTTATTGCCATAGCTCGTATTCACATCTCCTGGCTTCTCAGTATAGACCACAGAAGTTATAAGAACAGTAAGCTCGGAAATTTCCGCATTATCATCTGTCAGTGTCCAGGTGGCTTGTCAGCACTGGTCCTGGCATAAGCACATACCTCTCTGCGATAGATAAAAGAGTCAAGGTAAGGTCACCAAAGCATCCCATCTACCACTGCGTCGACAATACAGGGTTCGACAACCAGGTAATAACGATGGGGTCGATTGAACCAAAGAGACCATTTGAAAAGGTGAGACTGATGGGCAGCAGACCATGCTCAACCTCAGACTGTCCCACTTGCGTGCCGGACGGACGTTTGTCAAGAAGCTTACCGGCAACAAAACATAGGTTGTAATCGCGGGAGCCGGTCCCGCCGGGTTGCTCCTCGCCCTGCTGCTCTCGCAACATAACATCCCCTCTGTCGTCTTGGAATCATGGAACCGACTGGACGAGCGACTCCGGGCGACCCAATATGGAGTTCCCGCGACCAGGGTCTTCCGGCGTGCGGGAATCCTCGACGACTTGCGGGCAGAAAGCATCGCGAGCTTTCCCAGCATCTGCTGGCGTCGAGTCAGCGATCACCAAAAGCTGGCTGGGATTGACCTCTCCGTCGTCAAAAACCACCCTGACCGCATGACGATCCTGCCCCTCAACCAGATCATCCAAATCATGTATCGACACTGTATGGAAAAGACCAACGGGCTGGTCGAGGTCAAATTCAATCATAAGGTCGTGGGTTCAGGTCAGGACGACAACTCTGCCTGGGTTGATGTCGAGGTTGGAGAAGACGGGGAAGGCAAGGAGAAGAAGAGATTTACCGCCGATTATGTTATTGGCTGCGATGGAGCGACCAGTGCAGTGAGGAAATCTCTGTTTGGCAGAGAATGGCCCGGCCAGACGTTTGATTTCCGCTTGATGGTCCAAAATGTCTGTTCCTTCCGAGCCTTCTCTTGTGCGTTATATATGGACGCCAAAGACTGATCAGAACAGGTTTGGTACGACGGCTTCGAGAAACATGGCTGGGATGGAGGAAATTATATGGTCGACCCGGACTTCTGGGGCCTGATCGCGAAACGAGGCAAAGGGGGGCTCTGGCGTGTCACTTACGGTGACAGCGTGGTCGGTCTTTCCGATGAACAGTACCTGGAACGGCGGAACACCGCCTTCAAAAAGTTACTACCAGGCCATCCCGAACCCAGCGAGTACAGAATCACACAGACCGACCATTTCAGGATCCACAACCGTTGCGTCGAGAAAATGCGGGTGGGACGAATCATCCTCGCCGCCGACGCCGCCCACGTGTGTAACCCATTCGGTGGCTATGGTTGTATGACGGCAGTTCTGGATGTCGGTGCCCTGGCCGACTGCCTGATCGGCCTGTACGAGGGCAAGGCGGACGACAGCATCCTTGATTTGTACGCCGATATCCGGCGCGAGAAGTTCCTGAAGTATGTGGACGCGAGGTCAATGAAGAACATGAACAGGATCATGCACACCGATCCCTACACGGTTCTGGAGAGCGACAAATTCCTGCAACTGCTCAAAGGGCTGGAAGGAGACGAGGAGGCGACAAGGGCATTTCTGTTGGTACGTTTAGTTTTTTCTCGCCGTGTTCAGATGCAATGTGCTCACCAGGCTCCTCAGAAACATTCCAGCATCGAACACGACTTCACTCAGTACTATAAGGAAATGTAGGAGGGCTGAAAAGGAGAAGCTACTGTGGAATCAGACCACGTTGTTGACGGGGGACATGTATCTTGGCTTCCACGAGCCGTTGTTCTCGACCATGGAAAAAGGGGCATAAATGGTTGTGCTCGCATGAAGCATAGCAAATAGACTAGTGATACTTCGCGATTCTTGGAGGACCAGAAAGGGCGTAGTAACAATCCCTGATTGAAGTGTAACAGGGAATAGGAGACCAAGAAGCTTGACGAGCCTGGGAACTAATAATACGAGAAAAGAACCCGCTGTTGGGTCAGAAAGCCGCTCCTTGTGAGCGAGTCCAAATCTGGAGCGGTTAGATGCTCTTCCTTCCGGTGTCAGCAACGAAGGCAAATGAGTAGGATATGCTGAACTGCTTTGTCTGTAGTGCTGTGGTTTAGGAACGACCGTGCAAACTTCTCTCGTTGAGACGAAGTCACTTGATATTGGTGTTGGTATCGACTCAGTCTGCCAGCCCGTTTCAGGGTCCATCACATGGTCCTCGCAGTGCCAACGGTCTTGGCCTGCTTAACTCTGTGCTTGGTGACGAGGCAACTGGTTTTTGTCTTCTCCGTGAGCCAGGCTTAGAGTAGACACCCCTGCATCCTCGTGCCGGTTTGGTTTGACTAACGAGTACTCCGTAGACCTCGTGGACTCGTTTGTTGGCGCTTGTCTTAATCACCACGGCTGGGGACTTGTGGCTGGGGAGAGTTTAGACATACTGTACGAGAGCATTCCGCGGGCATTCAGCGTGCGGTCCTTCGATAGCAAATACATACCTATCTCGCATGCGGGCAGACACATGCAGTATGCAGTGTCGCTTGGCCATAGTCGGGGGCAATCTCCGACATCCGACTATGGAGTTAGCCTAACGTAACACTCTGGCTGCAAGATACAGAAAGCAGACAGCAGAGCAGGAAGGAACAAGCTGACTCAAAAGCTGCACTACGGACAGTCCTAGGCAAGGGTTTGTCCGTAGAGCATCCGGAGGTGGATCGTGAACTTACCAGAGTCTGGAAAAGGTTTGATAACTGTATATCTATCTCTTCCAGCGAGGATCTGTCCGGGCCGACATGCCAAGAGAGGCCAGTTTATAGCCTCGTCCACGTCATGTTTCAGAGAAGAAGATTGGCATTTGCCGCCTGCAATTGTCCTCACTCTGACCTTATGTCAGCGGTAAGAAGGTGAATGGATTCGAAGGCGCCAAGACTGGTGCGACAACTTTATGCAGCTAGAGAGCCTCACTGTCCATTGTGACGGTGCACGGCTTCAGACTGCGCCATGTAGGGGGCTGATAGCAGTGGTGGTGGTGGTGCTGCTGCTGCAGCTTTAGCAGGTTGCCAGCTGATGTTAGTCGCTCTCCCATCTCAGATCGGTACCTAGGGCAATCGGTGGCTGGGCAAAGGTCGGTTGTCGGCAGTCCAAAGATTAGATTGCGTGCCCTATCAGATTCCGTATACTCACTCACATGGGGTACGGAGCACTTACTGTAGATAAATGTCTCGCACATGTACGGATTTTCTACTGAGTATATTGTGAAAAAGCGGAAGTTCCCAGTAATCTGCCGCCGGACATTCCGTAGCATTCGTCGTGAGAACCTTTGGTGTGAACATGGATGGTTAGCAGATGTGTGGTCGTCTGACCACATCTTCAACAGTGAGCCATTGTTGCAACCTCGTCGTCCGCAGCTGGTGATTCATGCCCAGCAAGGTCTCCCACCCCACATGGTAGAACAGCCGTTTCCAAGCATTGGCCAAGACTCCGAGCTGAATTTCTTGTTCTTCTGAAGCTGGTCAAACAATTTCCTGAAGTAAGCCTGAGGTCCTCGCGGTGGCTAGCGGTATGTGCCATTCAGGAGAGTCGGTCATCGGGTGGCACAAACATGTCGGGGTCGGGGCCGATCGTTGTCTCGACTTGCTAACGCAGGGCCCTTTTGTGCGAGAGCCGAATGTGGCTGCTTAGATATGTGAGCAATATTGGACGCGCCCATCCACTCCGGGTGTCGAATTGGACAATAAGATCAGGTACCAATCGTTCGGTCATGGGGTTCGCCAGGATAAGCACTACCCAGATAGGTTGCCCGCTGAATCTGGAATGCATGTACCGTAGACCATCTAATACCTGCAGGGGACACAAAAAAGAGGGTATTGCTTCTTTGCCTCAAGCATCTGCCGTGTGATCCTCCTGAATTAGCATCGTCCAGCTCGACGTGTAGAAACGAACCAGTCTCGGCGTGGTACAACGGGCAGACCAGATAAACCCCAACTGTATGTCTTGCGATTCGGCCTTTGGGGCACTCGTTGGTTGAGGAAGGGTTCTGATCTCGGCCAATATGCAGGCCAAGACAAGCGAAGGTTAGAGGGTGAAAAGGAAGGTAGGCACTAGGTCGCCCGTCCGAGCTCCGGAATGGAGGCTGCCGATCGTGATGTAACTTGGGGTGTTTGTGGCTTTGCAGGCGTACAAGGACCGCGACGCGGCAGCGCGACTGAGATTAACGATGCTGTCTCCTCCCCGACATCCGTTCCCTGCGCCTCGTCTCTTGTTTTCTCGTGTTGCTTCTCTCGTAATAAATGGGCCAGTATACTGACAATGAGAGCAAGGGGCATTGCGGGGGGCCTAGGGAGAGCTGACAAGGTCGACTTGACGATACGGGGTATTTGGTCCTTGTGGGTGTCGCAGGGATGAATTCGCGCACTGCCCGTTGTTAGGCAAGACGCCAAGCAGCAGCCAAGCAGCAGCCAACCGTCGACCAGACTCCACCGGCTTCTTCCCCTCCACGCTTGAAGAAAAGGGTTCGCTAGGTAACTGATTATCGTCCGGCGGGTAGTGATTAGTATCATTTCCATCCCCTTTTTTTTCCCACAGAGGTTGCTTTCGGATGTCGGTGGTTCTGATCATCGGCCGCTCATTTGTCCATCAAGCCTCAACCACGGTACCTTACCTATCGCGCCTCTTCTTTCGCTAACCTGTTCCTCTCGACGGCCCTCCACTCGTTCGAGCTGTTCGCCACCATCATTCGTTCCTGTTTCATCACTGCTGTCCGTGCGTCCAGAAATCGCTCGAAGGATTTTGCCCGTCAAACAGGGGGGGCCGGGGAAGATATGGTTGTCCAGGTACACCGTCTGCCAAAGAAAGACACGGGAGGTCTGCTTCGTAAAGAAATGCTCGGGACACAAGGAACACACAGTCGTAGAGTAGTGAGAGGGTACAAGCCCGAGGCTGAGCTGGTCGTGGTGCACGTTTCCGCAGGCAAATCTGATCGTCGTGCTAGAGATTGGTGGAACTTTATCCCTCGTGTTTGGTTCTCTTTGCGGTGTCCGGACACGGTGCTTCTGAGTTTCTCGTCAGATCAGCCGTCTCAAAATTGAGGGATCCTCTCAGACGGCGGTCGGTGACCCCATCTTCTGAGTTGGTCCTGGTCAAGCGATTGAGAGATGGTCTAACACAGTATAGTCGGCTTGGTTGGGGCCGTGCATGTTCAAAAGTGGATCTGCGCGACACAGGAAATCTCGTAGTTTCTCCTTAGGGTTGTGGTAACTCTCATCGCGACCCTGGTCCAGCGAAGCTGGTCCTCCTTGAACCCCCAATGATCCGTGAGTTCGCGCGTCGTCGATAAAAAGAAAGATAAGTCTTGCTCCAGCCCCTCGTGGTCCGACTTCATCAATCCAATTCCCCCTACTCCTTCTCTTGCCTGTCTGTCTGCCTGCCCGCTTCGTTGTGTTTGGGACTGCTTCAACCTGTCAAACTTATCAGTGACCAAGCCCTCCGTTGCATCGTCTTACCTTCCGGTTCCCCTTTCTCGAACAGCCTTGACGTTGCCCACCTCAACATCCTCGATATACCGAAATGGGTCAGACAGCATCGCAACCCGAGACGGGCAAGTCTCTCAAAGTCATCGGCGCCGGTCTCTCCAGAACAGGAACCACATCGTTTGGAGCAGCCTGTTCCTACCTCCTCGATGGCCCCTGTTACCACGGCGGCACCCAGATGCTGAACTCGCCCGAGGCTCACATCAAGCGTTGGATCGAGATCATCAAACATACCCCCGTGAAGGATGAAGCCGACCGGAAAGCCTTGACGGAAGGTGTCAAGGAGATGCTGGATGGCTACGTTGCCTGTACCGATCTGCCCTCCAACGCCTTCGTCGAGGAGCTCATGGAGATCTACCCTGACGCCAAGGTCATCTGCACCGTGCGTGATCCCGATAAGTGGTGGAACAGCTTGGCCCCGATCGTGGAGAAGGGAAACTTGACCGTCTTGTCCTGGATTCTGGCACCTCTCCCCACGCTGCGGTGGTTCCGAACGTACCACGACGCCCTTGACGACGGCCGTGTCGGCGAACTGTACTTCCGCCCCGGCGAGCCCAAGAGACCGACCAGGGCCATGTGGGATCGACACATCGAGCACCTCAAGAAGGTCGTCCCCAAGGAGAAGCTGTTCTTCTATGACGTCCGTGATGGCTGGGAGCCCCTCTGCGCCATCCTCGGGGTTCCCGTGCCCAAGGACGTTCCCTTCCCCAAGCTGAACGATGCCCAAGCCATGGAGGGCTTCATGAAGAAGAGCGCCCAGCGGGGGATGATGGTGTGGGCCGGTCTCTTTGTTTCTGCTGGTGCTGCTGCCTTTGCAGCTGCGAGATACGTCGACCTGATTTAAAGGAGAATGTTGATTGCTGGAGGCTTCCTTGTATTTTTCATATGCGACCATGGCTGCTATCGTCACCCCATGTTGAGGCAAAGACATATGCCGGCAGTTGGAATGAAAGGGTGCACAGATGGTTCGGTCGGTTTCGAGATGGTTGACGTGTTGGACATCAGTTTACTAGGCGTTATGGGGGAGGAACAAAACGGTAGAATGATCGGCGTGTTTTGACAACGGTTGTCAATGACTATTCCTGGTTGCTGTGGATGATTGAACATCCCAGATTGGTGGCACATAGATGGACCTCGGGGTTCTCTGCGGACAGGTCTGGAGCTGCTATGATTATCTCTTGTAATGCCTGAATGTTGAGTGAAATGATGCATCTCCTTAAAACAGTTCCGGGACGAGTAGATGAGTGCATCGGGTGCCGGTGATCGTCCACGTTCAGACGCTCAGCCTCGTTCCTCACTCCGTGAGGCTGAGAAACTCTCGCCCTCCACGTCCCGAGAAGCGATTGATCTGCAAAACCCAACATCGCAGAATGTTAAGGGCCAAACTCTCGGAAAGAAACGCTCTGGCAAGACAAGGAGAAGAGCTGGTAAGGAGGGGAGATGAATGAAAGCAAGGTCTGTGTCCGCTTTAACTACGATCAATCAATTACGCAGACATCCCCTTTTATGGCGCAATAGCCGCCAAGCGGTTGTCAATACTCGGTATGGCTGGAAAAATGCCGGTGAGTCTTGTGGGCATGATCCATGATGGATTGCTCTATTTCCACGTACTCGTCTGGTCGCATGGAAATGCATGCTCCTACCAATCCTTCCGTGGCCCCACGTCAGTGAGCACCTCCATCCGGTTTCGTAGTGTAGCTGATACCCAATCTGGCAGGATCCAAGAACTGCTTTGAGAATGTGGTTAGGCTCGTATTTTCAAGTCGGCAACCTTTCAGGCGTGTTGTTTACCCATCAGGCTGAGACGTGGCGGTTGCTTTGGGCCTTGAAGCAGGGGACAGCCAGCCACAAGTGGGAGACATTGTGAAGACATTTGTCATTTGCCATGTGGCCACGTGCCGACCCAGTCGAAGACAGACATACTCGCACGGCTATTTGCACACATAGCATTGTTGAGGCGTGTCATGCCTAATAATACTTGTCACTCCTCATCTCCATCCATTGACCGAAACCACGTCTTCAATTGAGCGCCCGCTCACCCTGAGACAACCTGGGTGGAGGCATGGAACGGAGGATCCAAACATCGAAAATGGCACAGCATCGACGGTGACCATATGGACAGGCAAAGACATTGACTCCTGTCTGTCAAAGCGGATAAAAAGCTAACCAAGGTAATCTTGCGGCCATTCGAACATTCGAGGTATGGCTTGGTAGAAGCAGACGCGAGGTGTGATAGAAAATCAAAATCGATGTAGGCGACTCCCAAGCGGCTCAGCACCGGAGGGGTTAGATCATGACATTATTACGGGACTGAGAAGCAGGGAACAACAGAGCAAGATGTCGTGTCAGAAGATGGAAAAGCACAGCTCACATGGGCTCGGGGTGCTCGTCCTCTGCGCACGTGATTCACCACCAAAGGCGCAGTCGGTGTCTCTCCGTCGCCTGCAGATTGATTGCCTTGTGATGCCTGCGCTTGACTCGATGAAGTCACAGTCATCCGCACAAGGCGACAACTCATTGATGTTAGGCTGTTATATGGCTTTATCAGGTTGACTTCGCAGGTTTGAGTCTGCAAACAAGAGTAGCAGCTGTCTTCGTCGCCATGACGCGAGAGGAACCCCTACTCGCCCGGCCTACCTCGCCCAACTCGTCTACTCACGGCATCGAAGAGGAAGACGCCCTCCTCACCGGCCAGCCCACCGATCGATCTCACGCGAATAGCAAGCGGAAATGGAGAGAAGTTGGCCTCTTCGTCTGGGCTCTCCTTGCAACCATCGCCGTCATCATTCTCGGTGTGGTATATCAGCATGAATCCACAGTCGGACGGGCACGGCCCAGAACGGGAGGATGGGGTCCGGATGGAAGACCATCTGGCAAAAGAAATATGATCTTTATGGTCTCGGATGGCATGGGACCAACGTCGCTGTCAATGACACGCAGCTTCAGACAATATACGACCGGATTACCCATAGATGATGTTCTGATTCTTGACAGACATCATATCGGCTCCTCGAGGACCCGAAGCAGCAGCAGTCTGGTGACCGACTCGGCTGCGGGCGCCACTGCTTTCTCATGTGGACTCAAGAGTTACAATGGTGCCATTGCGGTCCTTCCAGATCACACCCCCTGCGGAACAGTCCTGGAGGCTGCCAAAAGAGCGGGCTACATGACTGGATTGGTCGTGACGACGAGAATCACCGACGCTACTCCCGCCTGCTTTGCCTCCCACGCGAATCGAAGAGAATATGAGGATCTCATTGCAGAACAAATGATAGGTCACTATCCTCTCGGTCGCGTGGTGGACCTGATGGTCGGTGGTGGAAGATGTCACTTCCTGCCCAACACAACTGAGGGCTCGTGCCGAGCCGATGACAAGGATATCGTGGCCATGGCCAAGGACAAATACGGCTTTACATACGTTGACAACCGGAAAGACTTTGACGATCTCAAGGCTGGTGACGTGCAACTGCCGTTGTTGGCCTTGATTGCAGACGGAGACGTCCCCTATGAAATCGACAGAGTGCACGTCTCTGACGTCTATCCAAGCCAGGTTGAAATGGCCCGACTCGCACTCAAGGCCTTGTCGGCTGCGACAAAGGACTCTGAAAAGGGGTTTTTCCTCATGATTGAAGGTTCTAGGATCGATCATGCTGGACATTACAACGACCCAGGCGCCCAAGTGCGAGAGGTCCTGGCCCACGACGAAGCCTTTGGTGCCGTTCTGGACTTCCTCGAAAACGAAGAGACGGAGGGCATCCTTGTGTCCACCTCTGACCATGAGACTGGTGGTCTAGCTGCAGCTCGCCAATTACATGAGACATACCCGGCGTACCTGTGGTTCCCCGAAGTTCTTGCCAACGCCACACACTCGACTGAATACCTCGCGCGCAAGTGGAACCAGTATCTCTCGTCCAGTGCTGATGCTCCACGCAAGGACAAAGGGTCCAAACTCCGTGACCTAGTAACCTCCGATTTGGGCATATCAGATCTCAGCCAGGAAGAGATTGATGGTATCATCGATGCCACCCCGGTCTGGCCTCCCTTGTACCACTTCTCTGACATAATCTCTCGTCGGGCACAGATCGGATGGTCTACGCATGGGCATTCGGCGGCGGATGTGAACATCTACGCTTCGCACCCGAGTCACGCACCAATGTTAGTGGGCAATCATGAGAACATAGAAGTGGGTGAATTTATTGCGGAATATCTCGACCTGGACCTTGGAGTTATTACGGCAGAGTTAAAGAGCAAAAAGGTCAAGACTTCGTCTCTGGGCGGAGATGAGGAGGAGGACTGGGGGGAGTGGATGGGTCCTCCTGGTCTACCCGTCAACCTGGATGGAAGCCTGGTAGCACTGGATGCATATCACGGGGATTTCAAGCATCGGAAACGCGAGGCCGAGGGAATTGCAGGCTGCGGGTGCGGCATGAAGCACTAGTAATATGAGCCCGGAGGAAGCGTGTTCATTCTGACCAGGCATCCGGCGTTTGACGGGAATGCGAAGCGAGGGACCAGCCAGCATATTCTATCACACAGGAGATCATATGTCCGAGCGTTTTACCAGAGAATTCGTCGAGAATTAACCGAGTTTCTTCCAGCGATGGCGAGCACTAGGTTTTGAATGCAAACCAGATATATGAGCCAGATTGATATACCAGAAGCATTGATTAATCCAGCAAGCCCTCCCTCTCCCCTGAAGTCAGGTGTTGTTGACCAATGATCAAATTCACTACTCCGTGTTCCGATGGGCATAAGGAACATACTGTGATGTAGTCCCTCCCCTGTGTGGGCATTGCCCTCACGGCCGTAGTCCGAGTATAATGTCAGCCTCAGCCAGCCTCAGTCTCCCACATGTAAAATACATACATACATCGCCGGATGTGGAGCGAGCTCACGAATCTATCGAGACGGGGAGGAGAGGAGAGGAGAAACTCTCTTAATCGTTCTTCCATGGTTCTCTAGTCGGCGTCACTTGATATTTTGGATCCCCGTTCCATCCCGCTATTCATGTCCATGTCCATGTCCACGTCCCTGCTTCCTTCCTTCCTTCCTTCCTGGCTCCATCTGCCTGCCTGCCTGCCTCGTGGCTCGAGCCTCGTGGCGTGCCGAGGTGGTGTCAGGGGAGGAGGAGGTGGAGAGAGAGGGGTCGACGGGGTGGTGGTGGTAGGCAGGCAGAGGGTGGCGGTAACAGATGCAGCGGGGTGAGGGTGAGAGTAAGAGTAAGAGTGAGGGTCAGGGTGAGCGTAAGAACGGGGTGCAGAGATCTCGCATGACCGTCTCGTGGTGTGGGCGCATCGTCTCGTATACCTCGTACTCGATAATCCACGAGATGAGGTGAGGTCCGCTCCCCGTATTCCCCCAGCCTCCCCACCGCCCACGAACACACACACACACACATACACACACAAACCTTACGAAAAACCCTGGTCCTGCCGCCACGACCAGCAACGGTGGTGGCGGCGGCGGCGGGCAGGGGAAATTCTAAACACCCCAGCCCACCAGCCAGCCCTGTCCCCGTGAACAAGCCAGCCGACCGGCCAGCCACAATCTTAACTGGACCTCCTTGCCAGAAATAAAAAACATGGGGAGAAAGGAATACTGTAGCCAGTGCAGAGTAGAAGCAAAGGCAAGGAAAGAATAGTGGGCGGGGGAGGATGTACACGTCCTTTTAAGTGTAGATACATATTACATGCATAGAAGAGCAAAGAGGGCGGGGAGTGAAGTGGAGTGGCGTGGTGGTCCTCGTATATACCTAACTCGTACAAGTAAGACGTTTTTTTCCTCGCCTCCCCTTCCACAGGATGGGAGGGAGGTCAGAAGATGACACCTGCAGGACGCGTTGACAATCAGATCCGATCGGATCACCATGAAGACCCCATTCTCTCCAGACATTCCATCATCCAGATCGATCATGAAGGAGTCAGGTACCAGGCCCAAGGCCGGAGATTGCGGGGGATCTGGGCAGCTGTTTTCCGTGGGGGAGATAAATTTATTTCTTCGTCATGTAGGTGAGGCGCCTGAGGTGTGTATATATATATACATTATATATACCCCGAACTGTGCTTTGTCCTTTACCATTTTCGTTCAGGAAAGGGAGCGCGGCCGCTTTAGGGAACCTAAGCAGATTCCCTGACCTTACGCCGCTACCTAAATTTCCTTGTGACTGTGGGCCTACCGGTGCGATAGGGCGCGCGGTTGAATCGTAGGTCGCGACGGCACTTCGCTTGCAACAACTTGATGCTACCCATTCCTTTCTCCCTCATCTCGAGCAACCATAGCACATCGAGACGGTGTCACCGGCACCGTCCACATTGCAAAACGGCGTCAGCCTCAGTAAGCTCAATACTCAACTTTGCTGGAGGGCTGAGGTTATACTGAGAACCCCGCTAACCTGGTACGCTGGTTAGTTGGAAACCCTTGGGCTCATGGGCCAACTTCCCCGCCATCTTCCGCCTGATGGTTTCTCGTCGCCTTAATTTTAACCTTGTCAACATCACCTTAACACTTTGACACCTTGGCCCCCTGGCAAGTATCGGCGTCGATCATAGATTCGCGCTCCCAGATATGGAAGCCTCTCAACGCACCGAAACAAGAAATTAGGCTCTTCGTTCTCGCACCTCCGAAACATTTGGGGGAGCGGCCACGAGGGGAGGTTGATAACGAAGTTACCGGATTAGCATCCACGTTTACGAAGCGCTATCATATACGTGGGGAGACCTAACCGACCCACGACTTCTTCTCATCGGAGATTCCCAGTGGCCGATCAAAATGAGCCTTCGGGCTGCCCTTGTCACTGTACGAGACGAGGAGAAGGAAAGGGCCATTTGGGTCGATGCGGTTTACATTTATTCCGATCGAACAGCAATGAAACACCTCGGAAGCCTGAAGTTTATGCCTCAGTTTTCTGAGGGGTTTGATTTTGTCTCGGAGCGGAAAAACTGATGTCCCGCGCTTCCACCCTGCCCCGATTCTAACCCACAGAAAGCCAGTTCGGGCCCCAAGGAACCCATTTAGGCCTCGGCTATAGTTGCTACAGTAGCTGTATCCCTCGCCAAGCCTGCTGCCGATATCGCGTCGAAACGGGCGCATCTTTGTCAAGGCATGATGATCTCTTCCAAATCCAGCTCCATCTCGCACTTTTTGATACTTTCCTGCTGCAACGAGGCATACAGCTCGAATTCGTCCAGTATGTTGCATCCCAGTGCATTTTCCAAATCTTCTCGCTTGTCGGACCATCCAGCCTTACTTTCGGGGATGGCGCCATGTTCATGCACCGATGATACCGATTCGGACTCCGTAGTCTCGTCAGAGCTTTCGCTGATATTCGACTTGAAAATCCCCGCGGCAGAAAAAGGTAAGAAGTCCTCGTATGTGATGGGTTCGGACTCAACCAGGCCGAGGCTCAGAAGTTCGAAGAGGTTGATCTTGCTGTTTGATTGGAGTTTGCGGCGCGCTTCAGCAGAAGATGATGAAGCCGATGGCTCGAAACGGAAATACACCAATCCCTGGGTTAGGAGTTCGGACCACGAATCGGGATAACCTCTTGAGAAATTTTCCGCCAGTACGACATCGAAGCCTCTATGCTGGGTATCGTTGTTACCACTGGTGGCGGCATCCATACTCTGGATCGTGAGGTTGAGAAGCTGGTCATAGAGTTGACGACCCTTGGGAGTGACTGCCGCACCTCGCTGTTCGACTTCTCCAAACCGTGCTGTGTGCGTTCCATCAGTGAAAGACCCGTCACCAGTGGTGAAAACGACGCGTTCCTCAAGAGCCTTGAAACTCGTTTGGCGAAGTAGAATGGGGCATTGTCGGACAGGAGGGCCTTCGATTCTATCCTTCGCTGGCATACCGCGCTTGATCATCTCTTCTTGCACGAGGTTGATATCCAAAGTCCGAGGAGTCAAGTGGTTGATATGTGCGCTGGGAAAGCAAGCAATATCAGCCACTATCGGATGCTCCTCTTTTAACGCTCGATACTGCTCGATCGAGACGGTGGTTTTCGAGTGCCATTTGAAGATCTGCAGCGCATTCTGGACGAGTTCATCGACTTCTTGCACAGTTGGTGCCCGTTCCGGGTCGGATTCTATGCTGTCAATGATTTCAAGGAGTCGAGGGGTAAACAGATTTCTTTGAGCGATAATACTGTCGGCGAGAGCCGCAATATTCGGCGACAACCTCTGCTTGATCAATAAAGTCGTGAACACCCGGAATGGATTCTTGTTCAATGATTCCTCCGTCACTGGTCGGAAAGCAGTGGCGTGTAGAGGTAGGTCGACGACCCCTAGGTCATAATACCCAACGGGGTACATACCAAAGATGGCGAACAAGCGTCTAATAGTCCGCAACTCCAGCTCTGTCCCGAGTCTAATGGCGCCGTGCCGTTCGAGCTCATGTCGGGTAGGAAGACTCTGACTATTCCCAGCTGATACAAGCGACTGATCAACCTCTCGGACAATGTTCACGAGGTCACCATATAGAGGTACTTCATCTCGGTACATTTCAGACAAGGCAGTCACGAACCGTGTGCGAAGTCCATCGCGATCCAGCCTGTGTGAGAAGACATCGGTTAACTGAATGGAATAGTCTAATATCAGAGCGACAAGTCGATGGACAAGGAGAATCACGTGCAAGACATGGAGCGTGCACATACGTACCTAGCTGCACACATTGGCAGAGCTTGATATATTCCTACTCGATCGGCTCGATTGGCAAGACGCAGGATGGGAAGGATACTGATGTGTGTCTACCCAGCCCGTCCACGTGATATGACACTTGTGGCGTTCGTAAGACAGTGACATTGATAAACGTCGGCATATTGACACATCTATGGGCCAGGTACTTTAAGCCTTCTGATATTGAAGCCGGTATAACTTGACCACGCTGTCGCGGTAGAGGCGGTTGCCTCGAGACTCACACTGCTTGCCGGGTAGGTACCGTCTAGGCGGATGCGGCATTTCCGCCTTTGTGCGAGCCAGGGAGGCGCCATTTCAGCTTGTCACACGTTGTTGGGCAGATGATTCATGGTCACCAACCGCGGATACTAAGTACCGACGGTGACAGTGGTCGGTGACAAGAACTAATGCTGTCGTTCGCCAAAGGAGAAACCTCAGAATATTCGACCTTGAAAAAGACCTGTTTCGCATGCTCCAGCCGATCGATACTCCTTGTTGGGAAGCTTTCCGAGCCCCAGATTCTCGTTTGGAGGGAGAAAGGGGTACGTCTGGAGAAATCAAGCTGTCCTCCGCATTATCTCCACCTCTCATCAACAATTTGTGTCACTTGTGTCTATTTTGAAGTATTTCTGCGTAAATCTGAAAGTCAATATGCTGGCATCTTGCATGTCGTGGAATGAGAGAATTTTAAAAACGAAAGCCGGGGCTGAAGAACGTGTGCATTTTTACTAGGAGCCCACGTTGGAATTGATCTTGATTTTTCCTACCAGGCAAAAAAGATATCATCACCATGGTTGCAGAAACAAGAACACCCGACATCGCCATTGTAGGCGGTGGGCCATGCGGCCTAGCATTGGCGGGAATCCTGGAAAGAAATGGCTTCGACAACTACATTCTCTATGAGCGTGGTTCGCGAGAGGAAATCCCAAGGGGCGGCTGTTTAGATCTTCACACCGGCAGTGGGCAGAGGGCCTGTCGCGAGGCAGGCTGCTTCGACCTGATGCGAAAGTATGGTCGGGTTGGCGATGCCACGGAAGCCTGGGTATGGAGTCATACAGGCAATAAGATCGCCTCATGGGGGAAAGGTCGTGACGCGCCTGAGCTTGATCGTTGGCAGATCAAGGATGCGTTACTGTCCACTATCACCCCTTCGAAGATACGATGGAAGGCTGATGTCACCAACTCGACCAGAGACGAGAAGGGGGTTGTGACGCTGCACTTTGCGGACGGGACAAGTGCTTCTGGGTTCAAGCTGGTGGTGGGAGCTGACGGAGTGCGCAGCAAAATTCGACATCTGGTGAGACCCGTTCATGTTCCGAGATCCATTACGCATGCAAAGATAAGCGACTAACCGATGATTCTATCCTGCAGGTGACTGATGCGCAGCCAAAATATTCCGGCTACGGCTTCGTTACAGGCCATATCCTTCCCAGCAACCCGCTCTACCCTAAGGTAAAGGAGATGGCTGGAGTCGGTCCGCAAGCAATCTTGGGCAAGGGAACGTTCACTTGGAACCAGATGCAAGCCGATGAGAAATATAGAATCGACTACGGATTTGCAAGAGCTGGCCAGTTCGTGTTCGAGGATCTCGACCTCAGCGACGAGGCGGCAGTTCGGAAGATGATGCTCACCGGGCCATACTCGGACCATGCCCCAATATTCAAGGAACTGATCGAGGGCACGACTGGTCCTTTCCATCTATGGCCGCTGTGGTATATGCCCGTAGAGAGCCTCAACTGGCAAGCGAAGCCAGGAGTGACCCTGGTCGGCGACGCAGCACATGTGACAACACCTCATGTTGGCGACGGAGTCAACCTGGGAATGCGCGACACCATCATTCTGGTGGAGAAGCTGAAACAATTTGGCATTACCACCGAGGCAATTGCGGCCTATGAGAAGGAAATGTTTGAATTTGCCATCGATGTCATTGAGCGAAGTCTGGAAAGTGCTACTTACTTCCACCATGACAATGCACCGGACGCCTTCTTCGAGGGAATGACAAATTATCAAGCGCGCACTGGGCATTTACTGATAGGCAAGACAGATGACTACTAGCACTCGAATCAGAATCAGAATCAGAATCACCCTTAGTGGCTTTCGAGCAGAGTGAAAAGACAGTTTACCGAACACCTCAGCATTAACCGGCGGCATGTTTCAGCGTTAGAACGAGACTGAGATGTGTTCCGCATTAAATCCGCAAAGTTGTCGAATCGCCAAGCCAATGTCAAGTGCTCTCGCCACTGCAGGTACAGAGCTCTGGTCAATCATCTTACATCCCAGATATACCTAGGCACCCCTAGGCATAACCTCGTAAGCCCCACGGCGGTTAAGAGTCACCGTCCTCTAGATGCCCCGGAGCCCCTCGGCCCCTTCTGGTCGGCGTGGACTCCCCCGCATCCCGCATGCTCTTAGAGGCTCCTCGCGACGTCTGTCATTTTGTCAGCTCTAAATTTCTCACCCTACGCAAAACACATGTTAACTGCCTGATATGCTGCACAGAGTCAGACCTACAATCCGAGCACCGCTATCTTCAGGATGAAGGGTACTCTGCAAAAGCGCGGAATCGAAAAGACCACTGTCCGCACACAAGTCCGCAAACGGACCATACTGGCTTGCGAGGAGTGCCGGACTCGAAAGAGGCGCTGCGATGGGGTTGTACCAGCTTGTGGGCTATGCACCAAGCGTCAGTCCCAATGCATCTACTCTGCCGAGACTGATGCGAGGGACTGGAATCAAAGGTGATTAATTGCCGTACCCACTACCCCAGGGGTCTTATACATCACTAACACAACCAAAGCATGATACAGTCGCTCAGAAAACGACTGCAGGAGTTGGAAAGGGCTGCGGAAAGGCAACAGCCTCGTGTCGGTGACTCTAGCCATGCACAAGAGCAGTCACCAGGCGCCTGTGAGGCGACTCCGCAAACCCAGGCTTCGTACGACAATGACACAGCCGGATCACAAAGCGCATCGGATGCAATTCATCCTTTACAAGCGACATATGCCGCAGAAGACATCGAGGGTAAGGAGGTCACGAGTGAAGAGGCGCACGAACCCATATTACCCCCTACTGGCATCAACAACAAGCGACACTTGACACAATGCACTGGGATGTCTATCTTCGAGAGGTTAATGAAACCAATCGGCATTGCAATCGAGCAAAGTCCCAACATCTCCACCGTCAATGCAGGAGCAGATGGTACTCCATCGTTCTCGCCAGAAGCAGGCTCTTCGGTACAAGAGCAAGCGCATTGTGACTGCGATCGTTTGCTAGAGACTACACGCTGGAATCTTCCACTGCGGAGAAGAGCAGACCGTCTTGTAGCAGTCTACTTTGCCAGACACGCACGGATGTTTCCTGTTCTCCACCGCCCTACCTTAATGAAGCAATATGAGGCTCTGTGGCAAGCAAGGGCAGATCCAGCAAAGGTAGGCCAGAAATGCGTGAGCCTTTGTAGGCAGAAGAGCAGGGGCAAATTATTTCCCGCGACATTGAACACAGTCTTCGCTCTTGGTGCAATCTTCTCATCCGGATGCCCTGAACGCAACGCCACCTACAGTGCAGAGTTTTACCGGGATGCCGAAGCTATCGATGTTCTCGTCCTGCTGAACGAAGAAGTCGGACTCGAGTTCGTCCAACTGGTTCTCATCATGGCTTTCTATCTACAAAGTACAGAACGATTTTCCAAGTGCTGGAACATGGCTGGATTGGCCCTGAGAATGGCCCAGCAAATGGGCCTGCGCTACAGTGTGACAGAAGCCCAGAAAAGAGGCTTGTTGGGTCCCTTCCCAACGCAGGTCGAATGCGAGATGCGCACACGCGTGTGGCATGCCTGCATCCTCCTGGAGACGTAAGTGCCTGCCTCTGACTTCACTCGCCCGTACATTTACCCTGTACTTTTTTGTTCTTATTTGGATCCATGGCTGTTGTCTGATAGAATAATCCTTGGCCAGAGAGGTGTCCATGTCATTTGCGCAACCTTTAACGATCCCCAACGGCGGGAAGCTGATCGCATCGCCCGAAGCGATCGATGACAGTCGCCTGAGCAATGAGGTTGGCAAATGGAACGTGCAACCCGGAAATGTCCCAAGTTTGATGGAGTATTTTGTACATGCATTGAAGCTTCACGGGATCCTTGGTCAAGTCCTCAACAGACAAGAAGCAAGATCCGAGACGCGAGCTGATACAGCCACCACTGTTCGAGCAATCCTGAGTCTTGATAGTGAAATCGCGGAATGGCGCGATAATCTACCTCCATACCTCAGGTATGAGCCCTCATCAGTGAGCTTGGATTCACTTCTGGAAGCCGATGGGTCGAAGTCCACCGAGTCTGAATTTGTTCTCGACTTTCCGGCACTGTCACGCAGATTACACTGCAGGTATGAAAATACTACTGAACTAATCCGAGGAGTATCGATGGAGCTAAAGACCTTATAGATATCTCTGCGTTCGGCAGCTTGTCCTGCGGCCAGCGTTGGATCTACTATTCGAGAAGCAGCAAGCGGGGAAACGTCTTCCGGCCACAGATCTAAACATAGCGAGAGCGAGGCTCAACGACTCTATGATGATTGATATAGCCGAACAATGCGTATTGATGGCTGTTGAGCTAGTCGAGTTTTTAGCAGCACAAATACAGACGGAACACTTCGTCTGCTGGTGGTATAATATTCATTGTAAGCCTTTCAGCCCCCAACTCTCCACGTCTATCAGCTCATTATGATACGGCAGACCTTTATACTTCTGGAAGTACAATCTTGTTAGGCCGTCTATGCACCTTCTTCAACAGAAATTTACCACCAGATTTGCTTCCCTCTAGCTGGGAGCTGTGTCTACACTACCTGAGTCGCTATGAAAAACTCAGCATCGTGGCTGAGAAATCCTCTCAACTACTAAAAGAAAGTGCAAGGCGTGTCTCACAATTGGGAATCGCCTCTCTCGTGTGTATGTCACGCAGGTGTATGACAACTTGCTGACAACATTAGGACGAGCATCATGGGTCTGCCACAGAGAAGACAACGAACAACACCTGGAAAATCACTGCGCAAGCTGATCACGAGACGACTGAATTTGCTACCCAGACATCTCAACCCTCTACGGCAGATGAGGTCTCAAACAGACTTCTCGGAAGTGACACTTCCTTCCAGCTACCGAGCGATTTTGGTTACCATTCGATTGAACTCCACGATTCAGACTTCCAGCTCCCAACTTTTGTAGGCTATGATGCACGAAATGGTGCGCCCATTTCGTGTCCATCGTGGGCCTTCTTACCGCCCACCTCTCCGCTCGGAAGATACCCTCTGCAAACAGAAGGGTGGAATTTCATGTGATCAACACCCATGCCGACAAATACAGGGCTGGCATGTCGCGAAAACAGCAGTCGCCCAGGCTCCATGTTTAGTTAATGCTTGCCAGACATGCAATCTATAGAACAATACGAATCTGGTCGATGATGAGATCGGCGAGATTCAAATTTTTGTCAGAATACTTATGATGGCGGCGCTCTTGAACCAGATAAATTAGATCACCGATCATTCGACAACGTAGTGTGGCCGCATGACATCCAGAGATCACAAGGCGAATCCTGCTTTACTTTGCCCCAATTCATACAGGTACATCCTAAGCCGATCAAAGCGGGAATGCCGCAGCCATGCGGGCCTGCATTAGCGGAAGCACCGCAACAATCACAAGACTCACAACTGGGCCAAGTTGTTGTGCATCACTCTCACTCTCACGCCCATCTTCGTGATTGAATTCGGTCGGAGGGTCAATTCTCTCAGGAAAAAGAAGATACAAACCACGTTCGACGCCACGCACGACGAGGGAAAAAGTAAAGAAAGTAATCATAGAACTTCTGCACGAACAGCATACAACAGCACCACTGAGAGACAATCACAATGGGCAGCATCAGTACCTCCGAGCCCGTCGACATCGACAAGATGATCAACGGCAAACTCCTCTCTCCAGCATCGATCGGCCACTGGGGCATGCGCACAACGCCTGAGAACTTTGAAAAGATGGTGGAATGGCACACCAACTTTTTCGGCGCAGAGGTCATCTACCGCCTACCCACCGTGGCATTCCTGCGCTACGACGACGAGCACCATCGACTGGTCATCCTCGCGGACCCGAACCACAAGCCAGTCGAAAACCGAACCGCCGCTTGTGGCATCTACCACATCGCCTTCTCGCTGAGATCTCTCACCGAGCTCGCCGTCAGCTACGAACAGAAAAAGGCGCGAGGAATCCTGCCGCACTGGCCCGTGAACCACGGCATGAGCACCTCCATGTACTACTTCGACCCGGACAAGAACGAGTTTGAAATGCAGGTGGACAATTTCGACACGGCTGAAGAGGCGCACGCGTTCATGAGGACGGAGGAGTACGGGCAGAATCCCATCGGGGTCGATTTCGTCCCGGAAGACTTTGTGAAGCGGGTTAGGAGTGGGAAGGAGACGGAGGAGGAGCTCAAGAAGAGACCCGTGATTGGGAAGAGGCATACCAGGTGGGAGAATTCGCTGTATTTCCAGGAGGCGGACAAGTATAAGGGTTAGCTTGTCCTGGATGAGGTCCGTGGTCGGCTGCTCGCGTGCCTCGGGATAGATCTAATTCCTGGATAGTTGAAGACAAAATATGATTGATTGATTTAAAGCAGCAAGAACGATCATTATACTGCGTATCTACAGCACGAGCCTCTGGATACACTTAGTCTTGAGACTTAAGATTTGCTCTGCCTTGGAGGACTGCTTGGAAGCCATAGAACGACACAAGGCTGAGCGTGGCAAGGGGGCATACAGGGGTTTTCTCCAATGAAGTAGGCACTTAAGAGCATCATGGAAAGCTAACGTAGTTCACCATCGCGCGGGACACCATCATCGAGCGGGACACTTTTTCGACCCTTACCACTTTAAACCACCAAAAGTCCACCAAACCGCCCAAAAATTAATTAAAGCTACTCGGAATCGTTTGAGCTATCTATTTCTTCGGCCTCCGGACATGTCCTTGCATTATGGCCGGCCTTGCGGCAGATGCCACATAGCGGTGAACCGGTCCGACACCGCTTGGATGGACCCCTCTTTCCCTCTTCGTCGCATCCCTCTTCCTCTATAACACGCTTCTCGGCCATCAAATCCCTTGCCTGGGATCCTCCAAGAACCCCTCCATCTTGTAGGCGTGTTCTTTTGGCCCTCCGACGCTTCGAAAGGGTCGAGTTTGCCTTCTCAAGATGTTGTACCTTGTCTAGGATTAAGTCTAACTTATGAGAAATTGCCAGCATACCCTTCCAAAATTGTTCGACAGCGTTGACGATATGGGTTGGAGAGCTTCCCTGGTGATTAGTAATCTTGCCTTTGATCAGTGTGGACTGGGAAACGGCCTCCTCTGTGGTCTGAGGGGTCTTAGAGCCCCAAGGTTCGGGTGTTCCGTTAGAGGTCCCAGGGAGCGATGGTGTCCGTAACTGCACATCTAGCTTGGAAAGACACAGCTTCTGGGTCTAGAGGGATAAGACCAGCCCCTCTAAAACCCCCTAGGACGTTTTCCTCGGTCATTGTGTCGGGAAAAAGGGGCGTTAACGTGGCTCTCGTGGCCGTCGAGTACTAACATCCGATACGCACCCATTCAACGGGATTTTGAGTGCTTGTCGAAGTGCTGTAGCCATTCTAGCCCTGTCTCGTTGGTCGTCCACCCGTTAGAAGTCGTTTTGACTACCCAGCCGTCCGGAATCTGGCCATTAGCGAACCAACTGGTAAGGTGGTAGCGGCCCTGAACCACTAAAAAAGGGTGGCATCGTGTAGCCGTCGCCGGCGACACAGCAGATGGCCGTTGCCCATTCCCGATTACCCGGCTGGATACTCTTTGGCTTCCCAACCGGATCTGAACGTGTAACGACCGTCTTAGGCTGGATTATACCCATTATAAAGCCAGTCTCGTCGAAGTTATAGAAGTCGCGGTCGTGGATACCGTATTTGTCGCGTGTATTCTTAGCCAGCTGAAACTAAGCCTTTAACGCGTCGGGATCTTCGCAGAGGGCTCACTGGTAGTCATAGTCGCGAGAAAAACGCTTCCTTAGCTCAGGGCGCCGGTTAACGAAGCGATCGGTCAGGCGTCTCCCCAGACCCTTTCGAGAATGGACATGTCCTCCATGAGTCACAAGGGAGGGCTAACAGAGGACTATATAGATCTGGTCTGACCCATAGTCTGACCCATGGTCTGAACAGATGTAGTCAACTTCGTTAATGATCTTACCCATACGTTTGAGAATTGATTAGCTTCGCTCTAGTATATCAGGACTCGCTCTGTACTATAGCAATCTCTTGTAGATATTTACACTATACTTCTACTTGCCAAGGACAACCCACCTTGGATCGCGGCCCTCTCGGAGCGATTCATAACACATGAAGGGTGGATGAGGGGATATTATAGAACGAAGCGGCGCGTCGGATACCTAATCCCGGGGGCGTTCGAATCGCATTAATCGCGAGAAGAATCTGGCTTTCGTTTGAAGGAAAGGGCATTATTGTTAGTGGAAAAAACGCGTCTTAAACTTTGGTGGTGGTGGTGGAGGAACAGTGTCCCGCTCGATGGTGAACTACGTTAGATTTATATAGTAATCGGTATTTGCAATCTCCTGGAGATCGGTGGCATTGTATCTTTGATTTCAGAATAGCACTCCTTACACATGATTATCTTAAAATCTATGGTCTAAGTAATAGCTTTCCTGTCGTCTTCCTGCCCACAAGGTCCTAAAAATCAAATATCATTAGCACGTACACACACCAAAGATGACCAGCAAAAGTCTTACCATGTGTGCCTGTGCCACTTCTGACAGTGGATAGATCTTGTGAACGAAGAGTCTCAACTTTCGCTCCCTGATCAATTGGAAAAGCTTGTTGCAGTAGTACTCGTATTCCTCGCGCGTTTCGATATATCCGAAAAGCGTTGGGCGTGCAATCTTGACGCATTTGAGGGCAATAGTGCTGAGACAAACACTAGGTCAGCGGGCTCGGATTCGCACAGATGGACTCGCAAAGAAGAAAAGCTTTCATCATCAACACTTACTGTAACGTCATCGGGGGTACCGGTCCGCTCGCGTTTCCGAACCAGATGATGGTCCCTTTCCGCCGGACGGACGCAAGACTGCCTTCCCATGTATCTTTCGCCACGGAGTCGTATACCACATCGACACCCCGTCCACCCGTTATAGTCTTGACCTCTGAGACCCAGTCAACACCTTCTTTGCGGTAGTCGATAACGTGATCCGCTCCTAAGCTCTTCACCAGTGCGACTTTCTCCGGACCACCTGCCGTAGCGATGATTGTCGCACCGAGGTTCTTCAGGATCTGTGTCAGCAACACGCCCACACCCCCTGCTGCAGCGTGTAGCAGGACCCAGTCGCCTGGCTGGACCTTATAGCTCTCCTCGACCAACGTGAGCGCAGTGAGGCCGGGTAGAGCGCATGCTCCGGCATCGTCTTCAGAGACACCCTCCGGCAGTCTCATGACTTTATCGGCCCTGGCCGCCGTATATTGGGCGTATCCATCAGTGCCCAGCCACATCACACGATCGCCCACTTTGTAACCATATTTCTCACCACTGGTGTTCGGACCGAGACCGACCACTATACCGGCTCCCTCGCGGCCCAGGATTTCCGGTTTCTCAGACTTGTAGAATCCGCTGCGGTAGTAGGTGTCCACGAAATTGACACCGGAAACGGTGTTCTTGATCAGGACTTGTCCTTCTTTGGGTGTCGGTACAGGAGCATCGGTCCGGAAATCGAGGACGTCAGGCCCACCGGCCTCTTTCACAATAACTGCTTCTTGAACTGAAGGAAACGACATAGCTTCAAGATGATGGGGTTTCACAACTTAGAACTCCGTCTTGTGCTCCAAAAACTTCGCACTCGAGTGATTCCAGAAATACTAGGGGTTGGAGAAGACGTTCGACTGGCAGCAGTCATTCGAAAAGGCTACCTTGTATGCAACATATCCGACATCGGTGGTAGCCTTGACGAACCATTTTACAGTTGACATAGAGAACAGGTTGCAGAAACCCCGCTGTAGCATGCTGAGAAATCGTAAGAGTTGTAGGTGCGGACGTTGTGCGGGAAGGGTGTCTCTGCGGAAACCGCGGACTTTATCATTAAAGCCCTACCCTAGCCTAAGACATGAAAAAACTCCATCATCACATTTGCGTCAGTTTCGGTCAAGACGAAGACCATCACCGCCGAAGTCGGATTCGTTATAACTCGACTAGGCTCGGTGGCAGCTTGTCGGCGCCAACTCCTTCTCCATTAGAAGCATGTCGTAGCAGCATCATCCCAGGCGCGTGTGAAATGGTGGAACACACACTCGAGCACCCTTCTATTGGCTCCATTAAGGGCATCAGGAAGACTCCTGGGGTCGTTCAATACCTGGGAATTCAATATGGAAGTTTAAAGAACCGATTCTCGCGGGCGCAGTTGGTAGTAAATCCACCAGCTGATCACATTTGTCGGTCCAGAAATGTTATTGATGCAACGAGAAAAGGGTACGTCAAGCCCTCTGTTTAGGTTATACTTGTAGTCAGGAAAGCCGGGCAAGAGAACCTTCGCTGACTGACCACTTGCTGTTCAGGCCAAGTCACTTGCTCCCCCCTGATGCTTGTGAGGACCATCAGAAGACAATAGTCCAGAAAAACCTGCCCATTGAAGAATGGGAACAATCTGATACCGAAGGCCTGACACTCAATGTGAGTGTACCAATAGATGGTCCGAAGAGCCTCCCAGTCTTCGTGTTCGTCCCTGGTGGAGGCTTCACAAGTGGCAGCAGCAACTATCCAGAATATGATTTGGCCAACATCACGGACTTGGGTGTCCAGGCAAATATGCCTATGGTCTCCGTCGGGGTGAAGTAAGTGGCTTTCGTATTCGCACCAGCGTGTCTATCGAAAGCATCTGACACTTCGTCTAACAGTTATCGTATTGGGGCTCCAGGGTTTATGTACTCGTCAGCCTTGCGAGATCAAGGTTATCTGCCAAACAACGGATTGGCCGACCAAAGACTGGCATTTACTTGGATCAAGCATAACATTTCCGGCTTTGGTGGCGACCCTGATCGCGTGACATTCGTGGGTGAGAGCGCAGGAGCAGGTATGTCAAAAGCAATCAAGAGAGCTCGCTGAACACCATCTCATTTCGAGTAGTCTCGGGATGGTTCCACTTACAATCGCCCGAGCCACTTTTCCATCAATTGGTCGCCCTGAGCGGCTCCTCGTTCTTGAAACCAAGACCACTTGCATTGCTTGAGAAAGGCTTCACCCTAGGAGCGGCGGAACTTGGTGCTGCAACTGCATCCCCAGAAGAGCAAGTGAGGAAGCTCGCTGAGGCACCTAAAGATGAATTCATTTCGAAACTCGGCAGGAAAATCCCAGTTGGACCATTCGAAGACGGCGACCTTGTCCGAACGCCCCCGACGTTTGCGGATATCAATGGCGAGGAAAGGAACATGACGAAACTCTTCCCTGGCCTACGGCGTTGCAAGAGGGTCATCACGGGCGATTGTCAGATGGATGTGAGTTGCCGATGTCTGAAGTTTTCAGTCGCAGGTATCAAGAATTGACTTTTGTATTCCCCCAGGGACTTGGGTTTCATTCACGATTGGCGCCTCGAACAGACATTTTGCCCCAGACTTTGGCAGAGTGTCTGCACAGCGTCTTTGACCCCATCGACACGAATATTGCACCTGCCATTGCATCTGCTTACGGACTTGACGTCAACGCCAGGATTAATTCCCTGGAAAGTACCAAGCCCTGTCTGGACTTTGCCGCAGACGTGTTGTTTGCACTTCCAACACGCTACTTGACGCGAGCTCTTGCGGCTGCTGATGACAGCAACAACAAGGTCTACCTCTGCCACTTCAATTGTCCAAATCCCTGGGATGGCCCATGGAAAGGCCATGCCACACATGCACTTGACATAATATTTGCGCTGCAGAATTATCGAGGTTATCTTTCAGCAGGACAGCAGCAGTGCTCTGAGAGGCTTGCGAAGGACTTGATTGCTTTTGTCAATGGTGAAGAACCTTGGCCAGCATACGATCGGCACCGCCCGGGGTCAATGGTTTATTTCGCCTCGATGGAGGCCGAGCGGGACGCTTCAGAATACATACGAACCCTGGATCCGGCGAAGACAGGGAGGAAAACTGACCTTGTGGACCTTGTCGGCGAAGAGTCTCTGGACAAGCTGGTGCAAGCATGCCAAATGTTCCTCGTGGGCCCATTGGTCAAGTGAACTACGAGACTGGAAGTACGATGAAATGATCAGTCGAGGTCGGCATGAATCAGGTCAACCGCAAAGGTGCAAAGCACGGTGTCGTTGGGTAGTGCCCCTCTCTCCTCTCTCGTACGTAGTCAGAGATAGCCCATACCAAAAATTCATTATTATGGCCACTTCGCCTACGCTAGTTTTTTACGCGTCTGCTCTGCACCTCAACAGCCACAGCCTTAGTAGCGACGACTTGGCTAAGTCGCCTGAAGCAATCAGAAGACGTCCGTCACGGTTGTGCCAGAATCACCAATAAGAAGCACTGATACTACGTTGTGCCGAAAGGCCTACGCGACTTGGAAATAGCTCTAATAATGTAATTGAAGTAATTGAAAAGCTTTGATTCAAGTTCAAATGGATCCTCTACTATTCCCCGAGTTCCCCCCTCGGCAACGCTTTTAGCTATTGATGCTCAATGGCACTGTCAGGACCTCCACGTGATCGGGAGCTGACAATAGAATAACTGGATGCAATTGAATCACTAGCTGTATGATCCTATAGACAACGACTCAACGCTTAAGGAAAGAAGTCTCCTCCTCCTCGATCCAGGTGGGAGAAGCTTCTTAGACTTCTCTTTGATTGAATCACGTGTCTCCATATTTGCGACGCGCAATGCTGCTTCATTGCCTCACATATGTTTCACATCCGTCCATCCTGTATGACTCTCACCCGATTCGGGTGGGAGCCATACCCAATGCCAAGATGTTTCGATTGTCAGTCCGTCTACCAAGTCCGCAGGCAGGAGGCAGAGGCACCCCAAAGTTGTGTTCGATAAGTTTCAATGAAAAGTCTCGCAACCACTACAGTCGAAGATCTGTCCTCAGAAAAAAGCCGCTTCCGGACTAGCGATGAATGAAAAGGTATGTGCCGCATCGAGCGGATGGCCTCTGCGTTTCACCGTCTGCTTAGACAAGATATGCTCGAACAACGCTGAAGATCCTTCGTGCGACAGAACACCGGGAGTTTCTGTGAGACCAGGAACTACCACGTTGACTGTGACTCCCGCTCCAGCTTCCACGGCAGCTGCCCGTGGAAGACCAATCACACCTCCCTTAGATGTCACATAACTGGATAACCCTGGCTCAGGACTCCCAAATGTGGACGACGCTGTGTGGATGATACGACCATATCCAGCTTTCTGCATGTGTGGGAGAACTTCGCGGGTGAGATAGAATGACCCGTCCAAGTTGACAGATATCGTGCGTCGATATGCGTCAAGAGGGAAGCCCACCAGTGGATGAAACGGGTAGACGTCAGCAACGTTGACCAGGACGTCAATCTTCTGATACCTTTGAATCGTGTCCTCGATGGCGTTGGACACAGACTCTGCATTTCTGACATCACAGTGATGGGAACCTGCTTTGTAGCCGGCTTCATCAAGTGAACGTCGCACGTTCTCGAGCCTCTTCTCATCAACGTCGAACATAACTACCTGAGCTCCCTGTTGAGCAAAGAGCCGAGCAGTTGCTTCTCCGATTCCTGAGCCAGCTCCAGTACGACAACAACCTGGTTGGCATATTTATCAGGATACTCCTTGATTGGTGGCACATGGACGCCGTTCTCCTGTTGAATGGAAGTCATTGGTCCGAACGAAGGCTGTCTGATGGCGATGTGCTTACCGACAGTCTAGGATATATGGCAACAGTCAGTACAGTCTCTGAGTCTATGCCTTACTGTTGTTGTGCACGGTATAGCTCAGTGAGTTCCGCAATGTCATCAACCCAGGCTTCGGATTCAGATCGTAAGATTGTACGGAACTGGCGGACCGGGCTCAGAGGCTGGATCGGTCTTTACTCCAGAACAGCGTCTACCACTTCCCCCGCGAGTTCGCCAATTCATCTTTCTTTGTCTAAGGTTTGAGAATTTGCGGATTGCGGGATGCGGGTTGAGGCGAGAGATTGCGGGTTTGCGGAGCGGATATGATGGACAAAAGGTTTCCTTAACTCGCCCAATCAACAGCGTCATTTATGTAATACGAGGATAAGTGGCACCAATGTGTCAATAGCTAGCTGATCATTGGCAGTCCGATAGGTACCCGATCGGGACTTGTTCTACAGGAACAACGGCAAGCCATGCAATGTCTCTCTTCGACCCAAGTGTGTCAAGCATGATCGCCAAAAAATGCATTCGTGGTCAACCCCTTACTACCCCAGCATTGCTCCACACCTCGCTTGTATGGCAGTAACGCGGGGAGAATTCGTAAGGAGCGACGTGCTCTACAAGTGAGCATGATACATAGTATCGATGGATCCTGGCGCGAGCTGGAACTGCTTTATGAGACATACACCGATGCACTTCATGAGTTTGTTGTTTGACGGTACATAACGCTGGATGCCGTGTCCCGGAGCATCATTGCCGTGTTTATCTATAGTGACGCACAGGAAGTCCCAAGGCTTGACATTTACTCAACCAGCTGTACACTCTTGCAGAGACATTAAGCTTGTTCACTTACAATTTCGGGTAGACAAGTCGTGTCTCAGTCCTTATGATATTGCCAAAGAGTGTCGTGGGAATATTGCCCGCAGACTCCTCGAGAAATGCCTGGGTCAAAGAGAAAAAGCCTGAAGCTTTTGTACTCCTAATCTTGGGGTTGGTCATTGGACGATTTCTTGTAAAGGTAAGTGATACCTTTCAGAGGAGTTGGCATATTGCAGTGACTGATCCACGGGCACAAGACCATCTGGAATATTTTCTTTCGCCCCTTGAGTTCCGCCCCTGGGCCATGGCTTGGACGAGTCTTCCAAAGCTATATGATACCAGCGACAGCTAGTCTGCGTAGAGCTCAGGTACGACTTACGAGTGATTTCCAAATTTTGGGGGCTTCAGCTGATGAGTTGTGGAAAGACCTTGAAAATGCTTCATGATGTCTACGGACCCATTGTGCGGGTGAGACCCAACGAAGTCTCCATTCAGGACTAGACAGTGTATCGGCAAATTTACAACAACAATAATTCCAGAAAGAGTTCATTCTATGACGGCTTCTCTCTGACTGGACGCCACTTGAATGCGCTCTCCATGAAAGACCACCGCCAACATGCAGCTTGCAGAAAGATCCAAAATCCATCCTACTCCCAGTAAGCAATACTTTTCAACGAGGCTCTCATCATCGAGAGAGCAGAAGGTTTGGTTCGGAGGGTAATCAACAACGCCCTCGAGTCTGCGTCGAAGAACACAGCCGACGTCTACGTGCTGAGTGGACTATTCAGTCTGGAAGTCATCATGAAATGCGCTTTCAATCGGAGCTATGGGGATTCCGTCAATGGAGACTCCCCTACGCTGCTGAGAGCCATGGACGACAGCGCGGTCGCTGCCTCCCTCATAACGAGCTTGCCGCTCCTCAGCCGTAGAAACGGTGTCTGTTTGCCAGGGTACCCCGGCTATTGCTTCAAGCAGTTCGATCTCTGGGAATCAATCACTGCTTCTCTTCTGAAGAGGTTTCAAGACGAGGAAGCAGAGTCGGATTCCACAACGATGAGATTCATGGTGACACCGCTACTGCTCAATGAAGATACCTTTCTGGGCCGGAAACTCACACAAGATGAGCTGATCGAAGAGCTCATAACTGTCACCTTTGGCGGCAGTTTGCTGACCGGATCGCCATTCACACCGGCGTCCGCAATCGGCTCCCAGCCGTTCTCCTCCGCTTCATCAAAGACTTCCGCCGCGGTTTTCTTCCTCTTCGATATTGGGGAAATAGTGAGCAGAGCAAGAAGCGCCGAAGTGTAATAGGAGATCAAAAAAAGACGAGCGTCGAGAGAAAAGGAAAAGTAGACGATTAAAGAGGGGGGGTTAAAGTACGACGAAACGTAAGGAAGATACGTTTAGATAGTTAGAAGATTAAGTAGAAAGATTAATTTATATGAGAAGTGAAGGGAGAGCAGAAGAAAAGGTAAGGATCGAGCGAAATAAGAGGAAGAGAGGATAGTAAAAAGAAGAGAGGAAGAGAAGTATTATTCTATAGAATTAGGGGATTTAATTAACTCTATTTAGTAACGTATTGAGCTGGGGCGAGGCTTCATGGCCAAAGGCGATGCCTCTCCCTGCGGCGGTAGGAACACATACAACACAACACAACACACACAAATAAGATGGATTGGTTGCTTGATTGTCTATCTATCTGTGCTTGTTACTCCTTATGTGTGATGCCAAAGCAAGAAAAGAAAAAGGCTCTCCACTTCACCCGTCCAATCAGGAGCCACCATTGCCTCCCTGTACAATGTACAGGCACGTGACCTGATCCTTCCCATTACAGTATAAGAGTAAGGTATTCTCTTAGCGATCCTCTTAGGGATTTTACCTTTTATTAGAGTCGAAACGGATCACTATAATTATGATCGAGTAAAGTTATTACGAGGTTAAATATACGTAACGTTAACGCTAGTAGAACTAGAGCTAAAACGAAATCCTTATCGATATATAAGGGAGTATAGTAGAAGCGAGCTAAAGCTCTAAGAGAGCAGAAGGAAGTAGAAGAGAGTAGAAGAGGGAGCGCGAAAGAGAGGAAGAGAGTGGAAGAGAGCGAACGACGGAGCGAGTAGACTAAATAGTTCTTAGCGGGAGAGTAAAGCGGCGGGGTGTTAGTTAGCGAAAAAGTCCGAGCGACGACGGTTCGGGGATTATCCTGTTGAGCGAAGCGAAAACAGTATTACAGGGCAACTTCGTCAAAGAAGCCGCGGATTTGATTGGTGCGGAAGAATATTGAGATCCGATTGGCTGTTTTTTGTAACGTCACGTGCCAGTTAGCCTTTGACCAATAAGGTGAGAATACGGACAGCGATTTTCATAGCGTCTCTATCACTATCACTACCACTGCCACTACCACTGCCACTACTACCACTACCACTACCACTACCACTACCACCACTACTACTAGTGTCTCGTGCGTAGTATCAGTGCGTAGTGTGTAGTGCCAATACGCAGTGCGTAGTCCCAGTGCGTAGTCCCAGTGCCAATGCCTCTCGTGCGTAGTATCAGTGCGTAGTGTGTAGTGCCAATACGCAGTGCGTAGTCCCAGTGCGTAGTCCCAGTGCCAATGCCCAGTGCCAATGCCCAGTACCCAGTGCCCCGTACCAGTACGCAGTGCGTAGTGCCCGTGCCCGTCTTTTTTCACCTTCACTCTTTTCGCCACGCTTAGCAGGTCGCCTTAGGGAGTCACGCGGTGAAAACGCCGCCCTACAGCGTATTTTATATATATATATATATGTATACACACTTTGATACCACCATACTACCTATGTATATATACAACACACGTACACACACATATGTATGTATATCAACACATGCACATATATAGCTAGACACTTTACTTGGCGCACAGGAACTACAAGATAAGACATTCCCAAAAAACATATGGATAACTATGCACACAAACAGACACAGACTGATGTCGAACAATAACGATGGATGGATGGATGGATGGAGGGAGGGATAGATAGGTGATCAATTCATTAGTATTCCTTGTGGGGACCTCCTTACCCATGTTCTATATTGTGAAAAACAAAACGCGCTAAATGCTGCTGGCAAGATCGTATATGTACGAGCACACAAAAAACAAACCCCTGACTTCTCGGGGCTGGATTTCCATTACCTATTTTCTCCAGAGTTTCTCTCTCGAAAAAACAATAAAACCAAGAGTTGCTAATGCGACATGATGCTGCTTTTCGGGCATTGGATGACATTCCTCATTCCTTTGTCGTGCACGTCTTCTCTGACATTTCATCTCGGCACCTCAGTCTCCACCTTCCACAACCTTTCCACCACTTAGTTTCTCAACAGGCGAGCAGTGCCCGAGGGAGGAGGGCAAGTGCCGCCAATGTCGGCAACCCAGGCAGCGGAGTTGAACTCGGTGTGGATGGAGACAAGTTGCCAGCCGGTGGGACCGACGACGGCATCAGATCCCTTCTGCTCGGCCTTCAGGATGGTGATACCTGAAGTAGGGTAGATCTGTTGACCAACGGCACCAACCCATCGGAGGACAATATAACCATCGCAGGTCACGACGTCGGTGCCGAGGACGGTGAAGCCGATGGGTGGCTGAGCGCCTTGGCCGGCGATGTATGCCTGGGCGCTGGGAAAGGTAGGCCCACCAAGAGGGATCCCGGCGATGTAGTTGATCGAGTCCGAAGTATCGACAAGCTCAGGGGCGAGCAGGTTCGTTGCGACGTCGATATTGAAGTCGGTGAGGGTGGAGATCCATTGGGTCTCAATCGCGATGGCGATCGAATAGGGAATGCATGAGCCACCGTCACGGGCATTGAGTGTTGGGGCAGCAGAGGCCAGGGCGGCCAAGCTGACGGGAGCGATGATGCTGGAGAAACGCATGTTGGCTGTTTGGGTGGTTGTTGGCTTGGGAAAAGAAAGACTTGTATGTGTAGGTTGTGGGATTAGTGTGTGGACTTGAGCGATAGTATTATATAGCTTCGAGGACAACGAGTGGCCTGGGAAAAAAGAGAGTGATTCTTCTGGGGAGAGCTGAACTGATGATCTGAGGGAGGAAGAAATTCACCTGTCGGAGCGGGAGGGCCAGTTCCTTTAATGCAACCGCGTTGCAGGGAAGCTGTACGTAGAACGAGGTACTTCGTCCGGTAGGCTGGCTGCCTTGCCTGCCTTCCATTTTTTTTTGGCTTCCATCATGTGGGATTGGGAAATGGATAGGAATAGCAGTGGCCGGTTGCGCTAAAGCTCTGTCGCTCCGCCCACTTCACTGGCTAGATTCCTTCGTTCCCTAATGTTGGCAGCTTGGAACGCTTGCCTCGTTTAGGGCAAGTTTAGGTTTGTCCAGGCTCTTTGCCCTGGCTTCATCCTGGTCAGTCATCCTGCGCCTGGGTGGGTTTCAGTGACGAGTGTCCGGCGACTCGGCAACCGCCTTGGGCTAGATGCAGGAACATCTCTGGCATCGGTCTGAGGTCAGCGTCCAATGGAGCATCGGGAACTTGTCAGCTTGAGCGAGCGTTAAGCCAGATGAGGAGAAGATGCCAAAAGACCTGAAGGGAATTTTCCGATGCGACCGGCGACGAGGGAGAGAGAATTAGGCGAGAGAGAGGGCTGCTGATGGCGGAGGCGCAGGGAGACTTTGAGAGGAGATCCCTAAGCCCATTCGAGCGTGAGCCCAGCCAGTCCAGCCAGCCCAGCCCGCGGCTCAGCACCTTGTTACTATCCTCGGATACTAGTTCGTGGTGTTGATGGTGCCATTGGCCACCCCCGCCTCTTTTCCTGCTCGCCGTGACCCGTATTCAACCCTGTCAACACACATGTCCACGGTGCCCACCGGGCCACCCATCGACTACTCTTGCCTGATCCTTGGCTCCATGTGCTGTAAAAAGCTTAGTTATACCTGTCGCCGAGCGAATGATGGAGAGGTCGGCCTAGTAGCCCTCGTGTTGGGACGCACGTCAGCCTCGACGGCAGCTCCGCTCGAGGGAGAGCCGTACAGTGATTGGGTGTATCGGGGAAAAGAGAGCTGTGGCGGATGTGGAGTGGATGGATGAGTTCCTTTGTGGTTGGCGGACTTGGAGGCTGGCTTGCTGGCTTGCTGGCGGTGGAGGGGCGTGCTGTCCTCCACCCTGGTCAGGTACCGAGGAGGCCTTGATACATCCATCAGAGCAATTGTTAACATGGAGTATGGAGTGAGGAGTAGATCATGTCGATGGCAATCTCGGTGAGAGACGCGTACGAGGTACTCCAAACGCAGAGAAGAGATTGTCAGGCACCTGTAGGACAAAGATCTGCAGAGCCGGGAGCACAAGATCGAGTAAAGATTTGCACATGGACTGAGCTTGCTGAGCTTGCTGAGCTTGAGAGCTGCAGATTTGTCACGCGGAGGAGCCACTGAGCCTCAAGCATCGGACTTTTGATCAGAAAGGAAGAAGCCGGACTGACTCTCCACACAATCCCGCATGCGGTCAGTCACACCTTCAATTTTGGTCACAACAACCATCCACGAACTCCTCCTCGTACCACCACTACTTACCAACCTGGTGTAGTATGACTCGCCAGGGACAACCACCTACATCACCCTCACATGCGACCCAGACCTCGACCTCCGCAACTAGTCCCTAGTCCGCCATCTCTACCGCGTAATACCTCGTACAAATCCAGCTCTTGGGCCGATTTGACCCAGAAAGGCTGTCCCGCCGGTGTCAGTCGATCACGGAGTTCGATACTTTCAAGAGCCTAGGCTATCTCCTGCGTCATCATATCGCCGTTCATTGCAGATCTGTCTCTGGTTGCGGCTACGTTCCTTTCCAGGCCTTGTACTGTATACCATAAGCCGCAAGCTGAAGAGGAAAGAGATAGGAAAAAAAAGGCTGCCCCCAAATGCTCACACGGAGCTCACCTTTCAAGCTAATGCAGGCCAGCTGTTGGTTCCTCGTCTACATGTATTGTCCGTCCACCGATACCTTCCCGTTTCAGTCCGGGAACGGCTCCGCTGACACGACTATACTTTTTTTATGTGCTTCTAGACCAACTCTGCATTACCTCGTGAGCAGGAAGTGACCAAAGTCGGGCGCCGCTGCCCCCCACTGTCAATGGGTACAGACATTACACCCCTTCAGTTCGACCAGCTTCTGCTCGGCGTTGAGCTGACAGCTTGGGAGTAGACAGACTACCGAGTAGAGCCAAGCAAAAACAGTTGGTGACCCGGGAAGCAGATGCTTTCTCAACAATCCCACACCCGGCCGCTGTGGTGGAGATCTCTTTTTGTGAGAAGCTCTCCGAGCTCCAGTGGCTTGTCGCCGACATCACTAACGATTTGGAGTGCGTGAAGGTGATTGTTCGCTCTCTTCTCCAGGTGTGATGAGTCGAACGCTCTTCTTGGAGTTGCTGAATGCTGATGTCCGCCCTCTGCTGCTGCCTCTTCTGCTGGGCAGAGTCCGTTCGTCGCCACTTTGAGTTGCCCGCTCTCCAACCAGACTGTTGCGGAGAGCCACTCGTGCCTTGTCGACCGCAGGGCTGGGTGTCGCTCTCAACAGATCTCGCTTGGTCGAGCCGCCCGTGCCATTCGCAGGATTCGGCCCCCGGATCAGTTTGGCTTCATCCTCTCGTCTCACTTGCTGCTGCAGGCGCTGTTCTCGTGTAAGCCCTGGACCACAATCGCAACCACAGCCTGACGTCGGACATCTCCCGTCGCTGAAAGGCTGACTGAACCATTCCATAAGGCAATGGACATGTCCTGAATGACCACATGCCTGGCAGAACATCCACATGGTTGGGTTATCGCCCCAATGCTGCGACCGGGCTCCCAGATCGAGACCTGCATGCTTCTCCACCACATCTCTGAGCGATTGGCAAATCGGGCAAACTGATCGAACCTGCCGACACCGTTCACATGTGCCCCTTTCTCCCGTCATGGGTCCTTGGCAATTGCTACAAACAATGGACAGAGTCCTTGAATCTCCGTTGCCAAGACTGCCACCGGCGTGCTTACTATCCGACGGTGATCGATAGATTCCTGGGTAATTGAATTCGACACACATTTTTCTCAACAGCGCTGCGGATTCAAACAGGCCCATCTGCCTCAGAAATAAAACGTGGTTCTCAAAGATCCCTTCGATGATCCGGTGCCCCAGTTGCGGCGTCATCAGTCGATCGGCGAGGCTGTCAGCAGATGCGCTCTCTCCTCGTCTCAATGTGCGAAAGCTGGCATGAAAGAAGTACGGGTGAACATGCATCAGAAGATGCGCCGCAAACTGACCCTGGCCGATGCCGTTATCCAGGTCGAAGGATACACATTGGCATATCAGTGGAAGCGATGACCATGCGAATGGCAGTTTTGGCTCATACCTAGATAGATCGATGGGCTGAAAATCCTGGTATAGGTACGTTTCATGGTCTAACTCCTCCATCGAGAGGCGGTTCAGTGATCCGTGTTCGGGGCGTTGATTGTCGTCACCGATGCCGTGATTTGTCGCCTCCACTCGAATGGGATTCGACGTATGGATTCGTGGCTTGGCCATCGAGGCTCCCTCCTCAAAATGGAAAATATCAGGGGACGACGATGCAGCCGTGTCTAAGTGCGAGGGAGGCGCAGATTCATGTGGTGGAACCGAATGCCATATATCTTTGTCTTTTGGAGATGACGCAGGGGGATGCTCTTGCCCGTCAAGCCCAAAGCTCATTTCCAGTGGTGTTTGGACCGCAGACACTCCGATTTCGCGCTGGTACGCCGAGCTACCCATTCCTCGTATGGGACCGGGCCTCCTGTCGTCAGCGTCGTCCGAATACGACAAGTCATAGTCATCGTCTAGACTAGAGACCGGTTCCTGTGCCGAGTGCGCTGTAGATCTCCTCATGCCTGTGCGAGAAGAGTCAAATGACTGTCCAATTGACCTGGACCGATGCGAACTGTCCGTCGATACCGAAAACATCGGGAAACTCTCGTCCGAGTCGTGCCTGCTTTGCGAGGCTACGTTTGTTGTCGAATCGGCCAAGGAGAATATAGGTCGAGCTTGGATGCGATAGTCGCGTAGTGCTGCTCTACGATCTTCTTGGGTGCGAGTTTGGCTCTGTTTCTGCTCGACGAAGAGCTCGGGTCGTGGCCTCTTCATTGGTGAGACCAGCGAGCCAGGATGTGGTGAGGGTTTCTTGGAAGCTTCCTCAGCTCTGACCAGCTCGGGAGAAGAAGTGTCTGAACTTGTGCTTTGGTTAGGAAAACTGATCAAAGCTCGAGCGGCTGCGGCTGCTGTCGAGTGTGAACTCAGGACCGACGGAGGCAGAGGTGCAATATTGTCCAGCCCCTCTTCGGTGGTTGAGAGAGGCCGTCTCTTTAGGCTCGGCGGAGGTGAATTCGGTAGTGGTTTGGCCAACGGTGTTGTCATGTTCGACGTGCTATCCATCTCAGATACCTGTTGCGGGCGGTCTCCCGCAGCAATACCCTTGAACAGGCTGCTCATGAGTTTCTGACTCTTGCTATCCGACTTTGTGATGAAGCCTCGGTTTGGAAGTCCAGCCAACGGAGAAAGACCAGGGCGATGTCCTCCTGCTCGAAAGCTCTCCAGAGTCTCCCGTCGCCTTGCGGCGTCCGCTCGCCGGCTGGCACGATTCGCGTCAGCCCAATCCTTGAGTTCTGGCACAATCACTGCTCCTAGAATCCGCCAAGACTGTGCCATACGATGCATGGACACTGCATCACACGCCGCGGCGTTCTGGTGGAAAGCATTCTGCAAACGATTGAGTATTGTGTCTGGAGAAGACTTATTATCATCGGCCGTCGCAGGCGTTGCGTAGTGCGAGGCCAAATATTCCACAACTTGTGGCTCGGCTGCTACACCGGGAATATAGCCAGTTGCACCCACCTGGTTGTTGTGGAACAGATCTTGGTGGTTGAGGACGGAGGCATCTAGTGGGAGGATTGGCACTGGCGGTCGATCCTCCATTGACGATGGACTGTTTGTGTGAGATTTACTAGACCTCGAGGGTACGTTTACACCTTCCCGTCGACGGAAACTTGTCCCAGCTGTTGAATCGAGTCCTCCTTCGTCATCTGTCAGACTTCGGCTTGCTGCCCCATCGTCACCGCTGCTTAATTTGTCTGGCGGCACATTCAAGAAGCCTGCTGCTGCATTGTCCAGAAAAGACACTCGTCGGGTATCTCTTTCCTCGGAAAATGTGTAGTACTCTCCGTCCGGGAGGAATGTCGAGGTGCATGGGGCAATTTGGTTGTAGAAGGGTACTGTGTGCTTGATGTCCCACTGGGTGAAAATACCCTCGTCACCCACCGTCCATAGTAAATCCTTATCCGCCCATAGGAGATCGTTAGGAGGTATGCTATACCTGTCGAGCTCTCGAAACGGCAGGAGCGGCCGCCGGAGGTCCCAGATGTGCAAGCGAGGGTCGTCGTGATAGTACGAGACGGCGACTTGGGTGCTTTGCCAAAAGGTCGATTCTCCGGATTCCGGTACATCGGAGGCGGGCCTCCACCTGATATTCCTAATAGCGTGGGGTGCTCTGAGCTGGAAGACAGGCTTCTGGCGTTTTCTGTTGGTCTGAAAATCCCACACTCTGATGTACTTATCGAACCCCCCTGATACAACGTGACGCCCGTCTGGGTGGTAGTCTAGGGCATAACAGGCCTTCTCATGTGCGTTGATACTCAGCAGGGGCGAGACAGGTGCACGAGCATCCCATTTCTGAATGACGCCTCCATCTGCACAGACGGCGAAATCGAATGGGTCGTTCGGAGACCAGCGAACATCTCGAACTGCACTGCGCACTTCGAACCTGATGCGGGACTTGTTAGGCTGAGATTGCCTCAAGTCCCACAGACGCACCGACTTGTCTTGGCTGGCGGATAGCAACAGATAGCCGGCATGAGGATCAAAGTCTAGCTTGTTGATTTGTCCTGTATGCTCATGGAGCCATGCCCACTCCGTTTTGGGGCTGGGTGCATTCAGGTCGTACAGTGCAATGCGACCATTCGTAGCTGCCGTCGCTATAATGTGGTCCCAGTGACCTATCGACCATTTGACGTCTCTTGCCGGAAGATATTCCCGCCGCTTCTCAGCGCTATCCGACTGCGTAGAAGAGTGGGCGGAGGCGTATGAGCTGATGGACGCCCGAATGTTTAGGTCTTCCGTGACCTTGCCATCGTGGACACGCACTGTCTTCAGGATCTCCTTTCCAGCCAAGACCGCGTGAGTCCTTTGGCGGTTGATATCGACGGCGGCAATGGGGATGCCCGTGCGATGGGTGGCCGTTCGGGAGGAATGCGAGCTGCTGGTCGAAGTCAGTCAATGCATTCGCGAACAACAACAATATCATTATCAAGCGAGCAGCCAGCCATGCCTGTACGTGTGTATGCCAGTGATTCGACGCAGACCGCCGTCACGATCGCCCTGCGCTGTACCTCCATGCGACTTGGAACCACTATGCTTGCCCCAGGGTGCAATGATTCTCTGCAATTGGCCCAGCCGGCCTGGCGGTAATGGAGGAGCTGGCGGAGGAGGAAGAAGATTTTGCGACTCGGAGGAAGCAGGATCAGACATGCTCTCCTGTCGACTCAACGATATCCGCGGCTATCCCGAATACCGATGACGAGAGGGTTGCTGACGACAAAGGATGGGCTGCGCTCATGGCTGTCGGGTCCGGCCATCATTGGAGCGGATAAAGAGCGCGAAACTCTGCGATGCTGCACTGTGGCTGCAGGCCGGATATGCAGGATGAGAAAGCGACGGCAGAGGAGATGCAGATGCAGGAAAGACCAAAGCGAGGGCAACCAAGAGGCATTGAGAGAATTGTAGGAACTGGTAACATGGGGGGCGGGAGCGAGTGGTTGCAAGGCTGGAAGTGGAGCGGGTCATGGCAGAGCCTCAATTGGCTGAGCGAAGACGCTCCCTGTGCGCAAGCCTGGCCGAGGTGGCGGCGCTTGGGGTGTTCGGGGAAGCAAGCCTGTAGTCAGAGTTGCTGCAGGCTCTCGGCCTATTGCTGCGGCTTCCATGGTGCCTAGCGAGCTAAGGGCGGTGCCTAAGTATTTGGCCCCGGAGCTGCAGCTGCAGCTGTCTAGGTACATACCTGGCTGGGAAGGTTACCTTTAGGTAGGGAGATAGGTGAGTGCTCGAGGTGTGTTTGCACCTTTGTACCTACAGGTTTACTTTTAGATTCAGAGGCCCAGGCTGCGTTTTAGATGAGATTTCTGGGGCCTGGAGTTTCCCCTTGTCATGATTAGCTGCCCTACCTTACTACAACTAGGGAGCCACTGTGCAGCCCTCTCCAATACGGTTAAGACAAGTGCTTTCCCTTTCCCTATAACCATTCAGTTGGTATACAAGCTAAAAAGTTAAAGCTCCTTGTACATGAGCATTTCCGGCAGCACCATGGACCGGGGGGTTGCCAGAATGGAACCTACCTACATACCTATCCATGCCCGGATTTCTAAGACCTAGACATCCGGACGAGTCGCCTGGACTTGGGCATGAAGATCCCGTCGCTGGTCCCTCGCCATTCGCACGGTCTGAGGTTGCTAATGTGCGTGTTGGCAGCGACTACTGTACCTAGTAGATATTCGACTTCGGATGCAGAATTCTTGGGAGGTTCTGGCTGGCGGTGAGTGACTTTTTGTTCTCGTTTCTTCCTCATTGCCCATTCCCATTCCCATCCCCATCCCCATCCATATCCACAACCACGGTTTCCTCACTCGCGACGCACATTTCCACCCTTCGGATGTCGAGCAAAAAAAACACTGACTGATGTCTGAATCAACATCGTCCCAAATCCAAATCAGCATTTCCTTTCATCCTCCGCCTCCTAGTCAATCAAACCACGCGTAACTAGCGAGAACATGTACCTCACCATCACCTCTGTCAGTTCCCCCGTACCACGCTCCGATGGATTTGTATATTTGCCTCAGCATCACCCTTCGGGACCGCCGTCCTTCTTCTCTTCTCCCTCTGCCAGACATCAATCACCATTTGTCAATCCAACCAGTTGCAAACTGCCCCTCTGTGTCTTCCCGTCAACGCAAATCGGGCTGCTCTCACATCCACCTCACCTATTTTTTTTCACTTCTGCTTTGCCGTCGACTTGGTGTCCGAGTTGACCTCTATTTGCTTCCTCGTCTCACCAGACTGAATTCTTCTTCTCAAACATCACACACATTTGAAATCTGACGTCTGACACTTGCAAATCTTTCTGTATGCTTTGAGAGACGCACCACGTATGCGTACTGTGTACTGCGGACTGGCACGCTAGGCATCGGGACCACCTGCGCAGGTCCAGTGACATATTTTAGCTGCCATCCACTACTTCCCTCTTCCGCCTTCCCCTCGAGCTCCTCCACCCAACGACAGCGCCGCCAGACTGCCGTCCCTACATAGAGCCTCCTTGGCTGCAAGACAAAGTCCCCACCATCACCGCTACTAGGTACTGACTCCAACGCCCGTCCACCTGAGCCGTTTGTCTCGGCCCATCTTCAGCAGGCAAAAAAGGACTCCAGGCTTTCATACTCAGCTCACGGGCCATTACCGGACCACTTGCGTCGGCCCAATCACTACTGCGGCTTGTCACGCGACAGGCGCCATTTGCGAAGAAAGAGGTGAACTTTGATGTGCCAGATCTACTGCCAGCTGAGTTGAAACCCCTTCTAGGCCCTTGCAAGCGGCCTCCGAAGGGAAAAAGGGACAACACGCTAGTCAGCGACCTGCACACTGCACACCACACCATTCCCGCAATTGCACGAGACCACAAGACCAACAGACCATAGACCCCCCCGCCCCAGCTTTGTCGCCTCCCAGATCGCTCCCCCCGGCTCGATCGCCACCAGCAGGCCAACTCTCGAACTTACGTCGTCATTTTTCACACGTTCTCTCTCAACACCTGCAAGCATCACTTGCCAAACGACGACAATCGCTAAATTTCCCTCCTCGACATCTTTTCCTTTCGTTGTTGTAATTGTTCCTTCCGTCTTTCGCTCACCCCCTTTAGCATACGTTTCTTTCTTTCCAGAAAAAGCCTCCGCCGTCTCTCAAACTGCCCTGTGGCTCTTAGGAGTGGTCTTCGATCGACCGAGGCAGAAGAGACAAGCGGACTCCTCCGGCACTCTTTGGTCGACGCGACGGCGACACCGTAACGAGTCCAGCGAATCCTATACTTGCTCACCTGATAGAGGGCGGATCCTAATATTTGAATTGCTTAATTCTGGGCGGCCTTTTCGATTTACTTTGTTTTACGAAATTCTTCGTTGCGGGCGAGGGACTGGGTGAACATGCCAGCGGAGCCAGATTGGAGTGCAATCCAAGCCTCTCTGCGGGTGTTGAATGTGGCGAAAACGATTTACCCTGCGATTCTTGTCGTCGTTTTTGTCGTCGCGTTCGTCTACCATGGCATCAAGACTGCCCCCGATGATGCGGGCAAGGTCAAAATTCGCCCCATGCGAGGTCCGGGCGGACGACCTCTCCCAATCCGAAGGAAGTCCGCCAATCAAGTGAAGGAAGCTGCGGCGGTGCAAGACCTCTCACCGGCAGTCAAGAACGTATTCAAGGTCGGCCAGGTCATTGTCATCTTGACCTTTTTGGGCAATGCGGCGATCTTGCTTTTTGAGATCTTGCTGAATCGAAAAGACGAGTGGTGGCCTGGGAAGAATGCCGTGGTATGTTCTCGTCCGCTCAGCATCATCTCAATCCGTAACTCACGATGTTAGATCTATGTCATCGCGTCAACGTTCCTCTGGCTCGTTGTCTTCATTTCTATCCTGGATACGAAACCCTCCCCAAACTCCGCCCACTTTGTCACATGGCTCTGCGCGGTGCCTCTGGAGGTCGTTATCGTCGCGGCTAGTCTCCGAATATATACCGCACCCCATCACGAGCCCCGGGTGGGCAACCAGCAAGGAGGCAAGTATAGGGAGAGAATTACGGGATGGGAGACGCTCGAAGTCGTTGTCAATCTTGGCCGACTCATTTTCCTCCTCGGCTTGTCAGTACTCTTCCTTGCCCTCAAGTTTAATTGGGATAGACCCAAGGAGTCGGCTTCAGCCACCCAGGATGAGAGGAGCCCGTTACTCGGCCGCGACACTGAAGCCGGGGTGCGCCCAAATGGTCATGCTCGTCATGGAGACGCCCGAAACACTCCGTCATCAGAACCCAAGGAGCAAGTGGACGCTTGGGCCAAGCCAACTGAAGTTCCAAATATTACTTGGTTTGCATATCTGAGAGGTTTCCTCTTGCTGATACCATATCTCTGGCCTAAAAAATCCTTCAAGCTACAACTTCTTGCGGGTAGCTGCTTTCTCATCATGATCAGCCAGCGAGTTATCAATGTCTTCGTCCCTGTCATGGTAGGCAAAATCACCGATGCCCTCTCCGGCGATGACGGCCGTGGAGTTCGGGCCCCTTGGTTGGATATCGCTTTGTACATCATGTTTAGATGGCTTCAAGGCTCGCAGGGGATCCTCAGCGCAGCTAGGTCGATACTCTGGATTCCTGTCGAGCAGTACTCGTACCGCGCGATTTCAACAGCTGCCTTCGAACATGTGCATGGTCTGAGCGCGGAGTTTCACACGGGAAAGCGCACTGGCGAGTTGATCTCGGCTTTGAACAAGGGAAGCTCGATCAACTCATTTCTCGAAATGGTGACTTTCCAAGTTGGCCCAATGGTTTTTGATCTTGTGGTCGCGGTCGTGTACCTCACCATCAAGTTCGACGCGTACCTGGGCCTGGTTGTCGCCATTGTCACATTTCTATACATCTATGTCACCATCCGTCTTGCGTCATGGCGAGTCACCCTGCGCCGAAACTACGTCAATGCCCAGAGAGAGATGGAAGCAGTGAAAAACGATTCCCTGCACTCTTGGGACACGGTGAAATACTTCAACGCGGAAGAGTACGAGTTTAACCGGTACAGATCCTCGATCAAGCTCATGCAGAGCTTCGAATACTGGGTGGACGTCACCCTGGCCTACATGAACACGGTGCAGGGTGCACTCTTCATGGTTGCCCTGCTGATCGCCAGCTTCATTGAAGCCTTCGAAGTTGCGCAAGGTGATCAGACCGTGGGCAACTTTGTGCTTCTGATAACCTACATGGCTCAGTTGCAGGGCCCTTTGAATTTCTTTGGGACTTTCTACCGGGCGATCCAATCCAATCTAATCAACGCGGAGAGGATGCTGGAACTTTTCAAAGAACAACCACATGTTATCGACCGAGAAGGCGCCGAGGAGCTGGTAGAATGTTCTGGCGATATCATATTCGACAATGTGAGCTTCGGTTACAACAAACAGAAACCGGCCCTTGACCGACTGAGTTTCCGCTGTCCGCCAGGGACCACCACCGCACTTGTTGGTGAATCGGGTGGTGGTAAGAGTACTATCATGAGACTGATTTTCCGCTACTATAATCCAGACTCGGGGCAAATCAAGGTCGATGGTAAAGATGTCCAAGATATCACCATTGACTCATTGCGAAGATTCATCGGCGTTGTACCTCAGGATTGCAACATGTTCAATGAGTCGATCATGTACAATCTTCGATATGCCAACCAAAACGCCACGGATGAAGAGATATTCGAAGCTTGCAAAGCGGCCTCGATCCATGACCGAATCATGGAGTTCCCCAACGGCTACGACACAAAAGTTGGCGAACGAGGGGTGCGCCTTTCTGGTGGGGAACGTCAACGGGTTGCGATAGCCCGAACGATCCTCAAAAACCCTCGCATCACCATGCTTGACGAAGCCACTGCAGCCCTCGATACGGACACGGAGGAGAGAATTCAGGAGTCTTTCAACACTCTCGCTGAAGGACGGACGATGATCATCATCGCCCATCGCCTCAGCACCATCGTAAACGCTAACCAGATCCTGGTTCTTTCTAATGGAACCGTGATCGAAAGCGGAACGCACGAGGAACTCATCGCCTTGGGGGGCAGATATGCAAGCATGTGGCGGAAGCAGTCAAGAGCCGAGAAGGCCGCCGCAGAGGCTGCCGAGCTAAGAACTCGAGCGAAGAAGGCGTTGGAAGAGGCAGAGGCTGACAGTGCCAGTGTCAGTGAAGAAGAGGTCGAGCAATCCAAGAAGCGCGACAAGGGCCAGTGGTCCAAGGGCCATAAGAGGGTCAATTTCAGCGAAAGCAGTCATCTGCGGGCGAATTGGACAATGGATGAGCACGATCGAGACGGTGACGACCGATCAGACACCTCCCAGACGGGACATGGGGATGGCGGACACGGCCATTCGGGAAAGCCTCCGGGCCACCCTTGAGATGACATGATCTTATGCTTGACTTACCTCTGAGCAACTGCAAGCTGTATCCGGTCAGCTCGATACGTGCCCTTCCATATGTGGCCATACATCTTATTCGGGTCTTTGGAAGGGTGTTTATTTGTCTATTCTTGATGTTTTCTTTAGAGAGAGAGGTCTTGAACAAATGTGCGGTTGGACGAGCGGATGACGCCGGCCGCGTGAAGGTCTCACGACGGACTCAGGGTTGGAGAGAGCGCCCTGGTAGGCGGTACAAAAGTCTTTTGCTCCTCTTATTTTCTCCTTCGGATGGATATCTTGGGGCTGTTCAAGATCTCCTCTTATCTTGCTCGCGCAAGCACACAGGAAAAGATGCAGGAGCCTCGCGGCCTTATGGGGGAATGGCAGAATTGGGAATGAGGATCATATGTGTGTGTGTGTGTGTGTGTGTGTGAGAGAGAGAGAGAGAGAGAGAGAGAGAGAGAGAGAGAGGGAGGGAGGGAGAGGAGTGAGTGATTCTGTGATTGTGTGCGTGCGCGCGTGTGTTTGTGGGCGTTTGCTTGTCTCTCCATCGCGATCGAATCAGCGTACACTACACAGATTGGACACATGCATGCCATATAATAGAGGGGGAGGGGGAGGGAGTATCCGTTACGTCGTCTGAGTCGTCGTGGTCCTCCTCCTTGATCGGGACACGGGGTTTGTGCCCTCGTTTGGGCGATGCTGTTGCTGTTGATGTTGCCTCTAGTTCCTTTTTCCGGAGCCCGCCTAGCCGACCGACCTTTCTTTTTGTCGGGGTTTGCGTTTCCGGGATCTCGTCGCCCTTGGACGCCTCCCCTGGCGAAGGCGAGGTGCTTCGTGACGATGGCCTTGCGACTTGTCTCTTCCCTGCCAGGCGGCCTAGACGGCTCTTTCCATGGGCAGGTGTTGAAGGCCTTGCTGGACGTGGAGGTGGAGATGGGGATGGTGATGCGGTGGACGATAGGTCGTTCAAATCGTCATTTCCTTCCTCGGCTTCAGCTTGGTCTTCCTCGTTCTCAGGTGTCTTGGAAAGACCGGCGGCGACACGTGGATTGCGGGAAGGTGGGCCCTCATTGGATGCTCTCCTTGCGGAAGAGGTGGATGACCTTGATTGCGAGGGTGAAGGTGATGGAGATACTTTTCTTGATCGCAGCACGCCGAGTTTGGATTTTGGCGCCGGGTGGCCGCTCCGAGTCTGTGGTGCGGCTCGTGTTTCGGGTACTTCGCCAGCGACATCGTCGTCCTCCGAAGCCGTCGCAGTCTCTGTCGAGGTCGTGGAAACTCGACGACGTGCGAGGGATTTATTTTTGGCGGCAAGGACTGGATCTGGCGAGCGCTTTGAGGCGCCAAAGGCTTTCGTAGCATTTCGTCTACCTAACCCACCGATGGTAGAGAGTTCTGATCGTTTAGGGACGGGCTCATCTGCTCCTCCCGTCTCCTCGTCCTCTGTTGTTCCATGTGTCGCCGTTTTCGTACCTTTGAATTTCAGGTGTGGTGGAGTCGCTTGACGCTGTTGACATGTCAGTCAGGTATGGAGAATGAACATGTGTTAGGTTGTGTCGTTCCACTTACCTCGAATTCGTCATCCGTTGACTCGCGATCTAGATCCGGCTTCTTCTGTGTAGCATCCATTGACGGCGGCGACCCGATTCGGCTCTTGCCGGCATCGTTTCGGTGCGGTTTTTCCGTCGACGGAAGATCTTTGACCCAGCTTTCATGCTCAGCTTTACTGTGGGCGAAGCATTTCTCACAGCCCCGGACGAGATTGCTCAGCCCTGTCCGGTCTGCTCCCTCATAACCCTCATCATTGGCAAATTGCCTCGTCCATGATTTCTCGTCGAAACTCGCCATTCCGGGAACATGCTTTTTGGCGTCCGCAGCCGAGACATGGCCACCCTTGCGCGAAGCAAAGCCGGCAATGCCGGGGAACACCAAACTCAAGTCCACGGCCGAGTTGCCAACTCGGTCGAGCAGGCGCGAGATGATGTGATCCTTCTCCTTGATGATGCCGAGCAAGGAGTTGATCTTGTTCTGGGAGACGAAGACTTCATGCAGGCTGGGGCGAAGAATGCGTTCTGCCAACTCCGACGCTCTCTGGGGTTCGAGGGTGAAGGTCCACTCGAGGGGTCGAAGCGGGCGAGGGAGATCGATCCTCGTCCGCAGCAGCAGCGTCTGCGAGTTCCCACGGCCATCGCGGATGATGTTGCTTTCGCCGTCTCTCAGGCTCTTGCGGATTTTGGAGAGCAAGACTTCGAACTGGTCCACCGAGACGGACGGGTCGATGCTGGTCTGTTGCCGTGCCGCGGCCGCCAAGATGTCGTATCGATCCAGCGAGCATTCCCAGATGGAGATCAGGTCGGTGAGCAGCAGCGTGAGCGACTGTTCCTTGGTGGAGAAGGAGTAGAAGAGCTTGGGGCACTGGCGGCGAGCGGTGGTTTGCAGCTCTTGCCAGCCTTCACAGGCCGAATCTGGCATTTCGGGAATCCGACGCTACTCACATACTGCTGCCGAGAAGGACTTGAGGGCTGCCTTGATGCGTCTGGTGATGAGGATGACAGGAGGCCACGAGGCTGAAGTCATGAATGTTTCGTTCTCATATGCTCAAAGCACTAGGCCAATTTGGGACTAGCCCCGAGAAGTCCTATTCACACGACAATCGAGTCACGCATTGTCTCTCCTTCTTATTAACACTCAGACACTTTCTAAAACAGCTTGCACACTACCTCAGCCACTAACACTACGTCTCCCTTGCTTGTTTATTGGCTAGATATCACATTGCAGGGGCCCTCCTGAGACACGATGCTCGACGGCTTCGGCAAGACAATCAATGGCGCTCTGACGACCACCTTTATATACCTACTCGCCCTCCACCTCGCTCTTACCTAGACGGACCAGTTTAGTTATACGACCGTACCTACACAACTATCGCCGTTCCCACGGTCTCCTGCCCCTATGTAAATTTGAAATACCCCTCCGACCATCCAGTCATGGCTTCTGCTTTCCCCATAGGCAACCCACTGGATGCTTCAGTAGGGTATCGTCCGGCGGTGATGACCTCCGGGCCGATTGCGAATCAAATTCCAGTGATGCGAACTGGTGGTTCGTGATGACGCCTGTGATCTCAGATGGAGGCTTGATGAGGGCGTTGACTGCCGAGATAGGGACAGAGAACTGGAGAGACGGATCAGGTAAGGGGTGGTAGTAAGTGTCTTATATGTGTTTCTAGATTCCCTTGAGCACATCGTTCTGACGTGATCCTGCCTTGAGGCGGAGGATATTGGCGGTGGGTACGGGGAGCAGAAAACTCAGACCAGATCCGATGCTCAACAGGGCGATATGGTAATGTCTGTTCGCGAGAGCCTTCCACAGCCGCCATCTACAGTCCATATAGTTGAAGGTGAGGCTCTTCTGCACAAGAGCCGGAACCATGAGGCCGGCCCAAGGCTGTCTCGCACTGTAAAAGGTGTCGAGATTGTTCCACCAGCCAATCAAAACGAATGCCATTACCTGTGGTAATAGCATAAGAGGCAGTGTGGCACCCCAGCCAAAGGCCACAGGGAGATTAGTGGAAAGGACGGCTGGAAAACGCTCTGCACCGACCATCCCTGGTTTTATGATCCCCTTGACAGAAAGAATGAGGATGATCGGGATGCTGAAAACGGTGAATTTGGTCAGATCGGCCCAAGGTTTTGCTGATACAGGCAGCGACACTGGATCATGTCTCCTCTGAAGGGCCGAGCTTTGGTAGACCTCCTTCTTCATGGCCTGCTGATCAATTTCGAGAATGTCAGCATGTGGAAGGAGTAAGGGCAGGAGCAGGGAGAACACTAACCTATAACGTCGTTGCACTGGGTGTCAAGGCGCCATGCATTAGCCGCATAACCCTCTTCATCCTGCTAGTGTCCCAAGGCCCGCCCAAGAATACTGCGAATCTCGTCCGGTTGTGACCCGGCAATCCAAATGCTGGCCTCAAGCGGCTCCGAATCAGCAGGCACGCCTTTGCAGCAATGGTCTTGATGCTCTAGGGCAGTTCGCTCAGTCTGTCATCAGCGGATGTATGGGCAGAATACGCCAGATGCGAGCAAAAGCCACCCAAGAGCACGTCAAAGACTTTGAGCCAGAGCGACGACGCGAAGTCTCCCGTGACGAGCTTCGTGACTTGCATATCGCCTTTCAGTTCACGGAGGCCTGGAAGTTTCGCGATTGGGCGTGCCGAGTCTGACACGGTGTTGCCGAATGTGAGGTCGACGGTCTCGGAAAGGTGCGAAGTTATCCAAGCAGCGGTCATCTTGGCCCCGAGGGCGAGAGCGGCAAGATCGTACGTGATGTCGTTCAGGGCGTCCTGCAGTCCGTACTTGAGTAGTTGCTGTGTCCAATTGTGGATCGTTTCAGAACCTGCTGAGGTCGGCGGCTAAGCCGTATCCACATTCTTCGTGTACCGTGGCCATCGTTTAAAGCGACCGGACACAAGTTGTTTCTGGCCAGGACACTGGTCGCCGCAAGCGACTCCATGGAATTTGCTACAAAAAGAGCAGGTCGTAACGTCCAGCCCCCAATCGAGGCCTGTTACGGCCTGCTGCCGTTTCTCTCAAACCCGGTCGGCTATGTCGTATATGTTATTGCTGTCCTGATGGTCAAAGTCATTCTGAGGTCTGTTACATTGCCATGATCACTCTCTAGGTCTCCCTCCATTCCATCCGTTAATGACAGCATCACAAACCTCTCTTCTGGGACCAACGCGACTTGTCGTACCACCACCTGGCATTCACCACCATGGCGGTGAAGCATTTCGAGAGCGTCGTCGTCAGCGAAATCAGCGACTTTCAAAGGTTCCGCCACATCCACTGGCGAGCACCGACCGTCATGGGCGCCGGGTTCCTGGGCGGCGTGATCCTCATGGCATCCCACCACGCCCTCTACTAGACCCTAGACGGGGAACCGGCAGACAACGCGCTGCTGCAGCTCTGGACCATCCGCGCCGGCACAGCGCTCGCCTTCCTGTCCAAGCTCTGGCTGGTCGTCGGGACGGGCGTGGCGTACGAACAGTGGATGTGGGTCAATCTGCATGCGAGGCCGCAAGAGATCGGCTCTCTGAACTCGATGTTTGCCATCTTGAGCAACGCGTTCGAGTTTCTGGCCATGCGCATCTGGTGGCGGAGACCCGTGCTAGGTTTTTTGGCGGCCGTGACTTGGTGAGCAACCAAAACCCCCTTCCTCTGGCTTTTCATTCATCCACCACCGCGAATTCGAAATTCTGACCCCCCTCGGGTCCAGGCTTCTCCCCACTTCTGCCATCATCACTCCAGGCACCCTCTCCGTCCAGCCTGTCCTGGTCTTGGAAACTGGCACCTTGGTCGTCCCCCAGCGATCCTTCACCGCGGACGGCAACAGCTTCTGCGGCGTGATCATCGACGGGAACACAACCACCTTCGACTCCATGTCCACGGGCTTGTCGAATCCGACGTTCGCCACGGTTCTCTCCAACAGTGTGCTCCCCCTCGAGTCCTCGAGCACAAATCTGACCTTCGATCTTCAATTCTTCGGCCCCGCCATCCGTTGCGACATGTCGGGCAGCGAAGAGTTTTCATGGGCGAAACGGGCTATGCTCGAGTACGAGAACATGACCGACACCAGGGTGTTTTACTTCAGCTGTGCACCGCAGCCCGGTTGGGGACCCGACGTGAATGGCTCATTCTTCGCATCCACGGACGTGCAGATTGGGAACTATCGATTGGATTTCGTCTCGACGGACGCCGCTCAAGTTTTCATTTATCTCAACACCACGGGAGTCGATGAGGCGGGAAACCGCATCCCAAACTTCGTCGGCAAGGCAGAGGCGCAAATGATGACCTGTGCGCTGTACAATGCATCTTACGATGCACACTTCGAGGTGAAGAGCACCGGCGCCCAATTCACCACCTCTCCAATGTTCGAGAATTGAATGCCGGCGCTCAGCTCGATGCAGGGAACATTCCAGGACCCGCGTGTCCGTGAACAGATGAACATGCAAGCCATCATGGAAGCCTTTGTCATGATGATCGGCGGGCCCATCACGTACGCCAACGACATCTCGTTCCCGACGACCAACTCGGTCTATGCGCTGGGAATGAACCAGGCCTTGTATCCCGCGCAGACAGGCCTGAACCAGACGACCCTGACGCTCCGGCAGGCCAGGCAGAATGAGATGCTGTTTCAGAACATTACGCTGAGCAAGCGGTACAGCGTCATCTCTGGGTATGTTTTTTCCACGTTATGTACTCACTGTCGGCATTTTATTGGGTCTTTTATTTCTCACTGCTCCGGGACCACAAGTGCCGGCTATTTACCTACCTGACTGTCTGACTGACTGACGGCATGATAGATATGTGGCTGCAGACCAGACCACCGCAAGGGCCCTGCGCCAAAGATTCGAATCACAATTCGTCTATAACTCGCATACACTGCTCGTCGCGTATGGACTGAGCGCCTTCTTCGCGCTGATCTGTGTTTTGCTCGGTGTGCAGGCCCTGCTCCACAACGGCGCTTCGTACACGAATTCGTTCTCGACGATCGTCAGAGTTACGAGGGATCCGGCGCTTTCGAGGTTGATCGCAGACGAAGGCGATCTTCAGGGTGCCGAGCCCGCACCGGAACATGTTCGGAGGACGGAGGTGTGGTTGGGGAGAGGCGCGAAGTCAGCCCCGCCGAGCTACTCTTCCAGCTGGATTTGAGGACTTCTCTGGCACGGTTGGTCTAGAATAGCGTTATGGTTATATTTGTTGTAGACCATAAACTTGTCCTTACTAGAGGCTCAGGTCGGGTGGCGGGATGTAGAAATCCCCAAGTTCGTTGAAGAGTGAGTCCCAGTCAATCAGATCGCCTCCCGAGTACTCGAAAGACAAGTTGTCGGGGTACGGTGGCGGGCCAAACTCGCCAGAAGTCTGCATGCGGCTACTTGCGGCAGCGAGGCGTTCACTTAGAGATTGCGCGGGCTTCTCAAGCCCGAATTGCTCCTTAAGCCGCCGGATGGTGTCCCACATGATGCTTGACGCCATTCTCGACTTCGTCCGTAGTGCGAAGCCGTTTCCCTCTCGCTTCAGCGGATGTTGGCTGAGGTAGGAGATGGTGGTGCAAGTTCTCGTCAGGTAGTCATGCTCCGTCACCGTGCAGGCGTGGAGTGTGTTCCAGGCCTGGCCGATTGCTTTCCTCGTGGCAGCAAGGTCGACAAGGGGGTGCGCGCTGTCCCTGAGCATCAAGAGGAAAAACGTGGCCGCGATGAGAGATTCCTTGGTGTGCACGCTCCAAGAGATGATTTCTTCTTCGGCATTATTGGCGATGTTGATGAGCTTCAACCCTGTCGCGAGGGCCGGACCTATGAACTCGTCGACATTGGAGTGCCGGCCGTTTTCGCTGGTGGTATTTGAGGAGGTGATTGCATAAATATACAGATTCAGCTTGGATCCCAGGAACAGGACCTCCTCGTGCGGCGACCATAGCAGGCCAGATGTTGACTCCATCAACGAGAATTCTTTCTCGAACATATGGATGGCCGAAATCGAGCTCTGGAGGACCCCCGCCGGACTCAGGTCGGAGTTGCCTAGGGTAGTGTTTGTTCGGTATGACAAATACGCGATCTGGAGTTGTTGCTTGAGTCGAGACGGAATGGCAGGCGAGGGCGACGACAACGCTTCGAGGATTGTGTGGTCGATAGGTGTAGTGCATGGAACACCGATCCTGCGGCTTGCCCTGGACGCAAAGCATTAGCGGACACTCGGACATGACGAGAAGGCATACATCTCATTCACGATGAAGCAGGCAATCCATGCCTTCCTTCTCGGCACAATCGCATCTTCATCGAACTTGGAGCCGTAAATAAAATCGTTGCTGTATTCCGGTCGATGCAAGCCTATTTGGAGTGCTGCGTGCGTGGCAATCCCGCTGTAGGTCCACGACAGGTCGGTCCAGCTTCTGTCATCCCCCCCTGCCCAGGTACCGAGGAGCAAGAGAGCCTGGATCATCTCAACAGATCGATTCGCCAGGTACTCGGGACTCAGGACAAGCCTCTTCAGCGGCTGGCTCAGTTTGGTGTATAAGCTGGCATGTTGACGGCATTTTGCTGATACCAGGATAATGCTCCAGAATAGAGGAGGCCATTTCTTGGACGACCTCAAGGTGATCGAGGGTGCCGACAAGATTGGAAATCGTGGATGGTGATGGAGGTAGTAGCTTTGTGACACGGTTAGAGTGAGGTGCAGAACGACTTTACGACGGAGCTCACCGTTCAAACAGCTCAACAATAGAACTGGGATTGATTGTGATATCTTCTAGTGTCGCTGATTCGATTTCTGAGGTAAAGGATGCGAAAGGGAAAGTGGTAAAGTCCTCCTCGCCTCCAGGTTGACGAGTCGGGGGTTCGGCTGAGGCGCGGTCACCGGTCGACGGTGCATGTTCCAGTTTCTGCTTCGCCTGAAGCAGCTCCTCTTCCAGCCTTTCAATGCGTCTAGGACCAAGTCAGGAATGCCACCGGGGGGACATGACTCGCTTACTCCTGGCGCTTCTCTCGCCGGAAAGAAGAGTCGATCAGACACCGAGCTCCAGTCCTGGCACACCTACTGCACGGAGCAGGGAACGTTTGACTGGAGTCACATTTCAACTGCAGCAGCGTCAATCACTCACTTACTTGACGAACACGGGGAAGAAGCCGCACTGGACACCATCGCGTTTTGTGCTCAGCCTACCTTCAACTGGCGGCATTGAGTGCAAGCCGGGCCCTTATTTCGAGATTTCTGGATTTTGTCCACGGTCTGCATGATGAGAAATCAACCATGTGACAGGGAAGCAGCGCAGGCATTTCGGTAATCTAGGCACATCTCATCCCAGTCGATGTTCCTACAGTATGTAGAGACTCGAGAGAATCATGCTAGTGTCACGAGCTCGAGGTTCAAACTTGTGGGGTTGAGTTCGGCCGATATTTAGCCGAGCCGGGCCTTTGCTCGCGGCTTTTTCTTTGGGTTCAACAGGCAGGAAGCCTGTCCTGACGAAGACTACACCTGGTGTTGACGAAGATTTCTAGGTAGTTGCCGACTTCTGTCCCTCACGGCCGAGCCCTGACGCGAACATGAGCGACCTTCAGCAAGCCCACAAAAGAAAGCGATCTCAATCCCCTCCATGGCGGCGGCGTGACGACAACCGACAGTATCGAGAACGAGACGCTTCCGGGAGGCGAGACCATGGCCAGCCTCAACGATGGTCTCATAAGGATCAGATGAGAATCAATCAGCTACAAGAAGACGAGCGCATGAGAGAGTGGGTTGCGCAAGAGGATGATTTTGTTCTCAAGCAGGCTAAGAAGAAGGCAGACATCCGCGTCAAGGAAGGGCGGGCGAAACCTATCGACTGGTTGGCAGTGACCCTCCGTGTTGTCGACCCGACCCGAAATCCTCTGGATGATGAGGTCGACGAGAAAGACTTGGATTTTGTCGACCCGGACAGCGTCTTCGATGGGCTCTCTGAAAGCCAGCTCTCCGACCTGCGCAAGGGTATCGAGACCTACATGAACCTGGAGAAGAACAGGAAAAACAGGGACTATTGGCAGACAATGCAAATCATTTGCAAGGATAGGCAGAAGAAGCTACGTGCGTCAGGCCCTGAAGGAAGGGCCATGAGCTCTGTGGCGTCGGACATTGACAACCTCTTGAGCCCCAAGTCCTACGAGCAGCTGGAGGTGTTGGAAGGACAAATAAGGACCAAGCTGGATTCGGACGAACCCATAGATACGGACTACTGGCAACAATTGCTGGATAGCCTGCTGGTCTGGAAGGCAAAAGCGAAGCTCAAGAGAGTATGTCAGGATGTGCTCGAATCGCGGTTGAAGAATTTGAAACAGGAAAATGAGCAGAAAGCACTCTTGGCGCAGCAAAAACTTCGGAATGCCGGAGTCGAGCCCACAACTGCCATCCAATATTCGAAGGGGCTGGACCCCGACCCGTTGCTGGAGATCTCGACCAAAGACAAAGGCCTGGAGGTCGTGGATGAGAGTGCCTTCCTACAAAGTGTGGCAGCAAGCAGAAAGAAAGTCATAAACATGGGCTACGTCCCAGCGCCGAAAGCAAGTGCCGCCTCGACCGCGACAATCTCGACTTCTACACAATTGCGTCCCGCGGCTAAAACTATTGATCCCACCAGCCGGTTTGATCAGTCGACAGACGATATTTCCGCGACCACGAAGGCCCTCTTCGACCGAGAAGTGGCCAAAGGCGTCAGGGAAAACGAGGAGATATTTGCTGGCGAGGAAGAGACCTCGTCCGAGTCCAAGCCGCTCTGGATGCAGCAATATGGCGGCAAGTATCGTCCGCGGAAACCGAAATACTTCAACCGGGTCCAGATGGGCTACGAATGGAACAAATACAACCAAACTCACTACGACCACGACAACCCTCCTCCGAAAGTTGTGCAGGGCTACAAATTTCACATCTTTTATCCCGATCTCATCGACCCTACCAAAGCACCCACATATAAGATCATCCGTGAAGGAGGTCGAAGGAAGGGCCAAACAATGGCTCCCGCGGGACAAGAAGATACCTGCATCATCAGATTCATGAGCGGGCCGCCATATGAGGACATCGCTTTTAGGATTGTGGATCGGGATTGGGATTACAGCGCGAAGCACGAACGTGGGTTCAAGAGCACATTCGAAAAAGGAGTATTGACGCTTCATTTCACTTTCAAGAGAGTGGTGTATCGGAAGTGATGTACTTTGGAATCTTGCGTCAGCAGAGATATGCACAGGCTGCCAAACACGTTGTTGTCTAGGATTGGGCTGATGAGCTTAAGGCTGCCCTTTTACCTTGTGTGTTAGGGCCGGAAGATCTGAGCTGACAACAACTTACATTTCACGCAAAAAAGGAGACGAACTCGACCTTTCTATCTCTTCGGCCCCCGATCGACTTGATGACGGACACAGGTGTTGGTAGGCCGATCAATCAATCCAAGAGGGTGTCCCTGACCAATCGACCCACAGAGCCAGCCCGGCAGGATCTTGCCAGACGTGTGTCAATTGTCCACTTTGTCATCCCTTCTGTTCTACTCAGGCTGTCCTTGGAGAGGAAAGAAGGGTGAGGGAAGCGAGAAGCGGCATCCTACGGACGCGGCGCTTATGTATTGCTTCAAGACGCATCTCGTCTTCCCTCCCCTGCTGTCTCTACCTACTCACTCACCCACGAGCACAGTATCGGACACGAGCTGGAGCAACAATGCCTTGACCTGTGAGGATGTAATGAGTACCGCAGATTATTCGAAAACCAAAAATCCTCGAGAAGGGACCATATATGATCCGGCCCTGGACAACTCCAGCTCGCAGCTTGCCTGATGAGAGTTCTGATGATGATGATGATGTCCTCCGACGCGACTTTGCTCGTGGAGGAAATGCACAAGTATAATAGATGAAATAATGTATTTCTATTTCTATTTCTTCTTCTTCTCCTTCTCCTTCTCCTTCTCCTTCTCCTTCTCCTTCTCCTTCTCCTTCTCCTTCTCCTTCTCCTAGAGTAGACCGATCGGGCATGACGAGCACATCTCAGGGAAGACAACAAGACTACAACGGTCCCTTCCACAAATTTAAGATATCCTTCTCTCCTCCACGGAAGGGACACGCTTTTCCTTGCTCTTATTAAGGAGAGGAAGGATGGAAAAGGAGGAGCAGGAGGATGAACTCTCCCGTCGTCAACGTGCGAGTCAGTTTGCCATGTATCTACCCATATACCTATGTCCCCAGGTCCCTGATATATGAGCCCAGGACTGCGGACATACCTAGGTGCCTAGGTTAGTGAGTCGAGTCCGTCCCCTTTAGTGTCCCCCCCATTTTATTTCGATCCGTCGATCCGCTTGGCCCTCACTGGCGCCCATGACGTCGAGTGAAACTCTTCCAAGTTCGACGACATGTCATAGGAGTTGATGAATAGATGCCCGGCCAGCCAGGCTAGCTATGTAATGTATAAAGGGAGCCCGGAAGCCCGGAAGCCCGGGGGAGCCAGCCAGCCAGCGAGGTAATGGCTCAGGTTCGCAGATCGAAGATATCTTCGCAACTCAGCTCATGGGACGGCGAAGGAAAGGAAGGGGAGAAGGAGGGGAGGAGAGGGGAGGGGGAGGATGTCCCGGGTCGGTGCGGGTTGGGATTCTTCTCCACTAGCAGCACGGCATCAATTAGTTAGTTACTTAGCCCAAGAGCTCAACTCCGAGGCGGTCAAAAGGGACTAGGGCGCGCAGGGCAGGGCATCAGGGTAATAAATAATGCGACAGTATCAAATAGTCATCCACCTCGCCGTGCGGTGTGTTGATGTCGGGCTGACAAAGCGCGCTTGCTCTCTGACCCCTGGCCAACCTACCTCTCTACCTACCGATGGAGATGTCCATTTGTCGTTTGACTTTTGCGCGCCGCCTGCCCCCCGGCAGGCCGCGGGCAGAGAGAAACTGCGGTGAGTGAGAGAGTGAGAGAGTGAGGAGTAAGAGAGCGAGCGTAAAGTCTCAGCAGCAAGTGGCAGGGCCGGCTGTGTGTCAGACTCCTGCTCCCTCTTTTCCCCTTTTGTGTGTTCTGTTCTGATGAGTCAAGTATGTATGCGAGGCGAGAGCGTGCAAAGCGTCAGCGACACCACAACCGGTGGTTGAGGGCACCCCCCAGAAAACATGGTGAGCAGAAATCTCAAATGAAACGGAAGAGTGTAGAGCACGCGACTGTCAACGTTCGATCAGTGGACATGAAAGAACGAAAGGGACTTGGTTCTCATTATGTCTACTATCTTTGTAGAATTTCTCCAGAGTGCCACTCTGACACCGACTCCTTCCTCAAAACTCCCGCTCTTTGGTTCAGGTCTCCAGATGCCCAAGGGGATATCCAATGCAAGCACGCTTGAACGAGTAAAAAAACATCCACGAATAAGGGCTTTTGAAGACACATGTCCGTCACTCTGGGTCAGGCTCGTCAGACCACATGCGCTCACCATTCCATTAAATGTAGTCAACAGAAATAGTAGTACAGAATGAATCTGAAGACCGAAACTCACGGCTCCGGATCTGGCGCCGGCTCTTTGGCTGTCTCGCGGTCGGAGTCGGTCGGTTCCAGTTTCTTTTCATCGGTTTGCTTTTCGCCAGGCTCGATGCCACAGTCTTCCTCCCATGTCACAGTTTCTTTGTGCATGTCTCGTCGAACCCAGGGAATCGTGATGGCGGTCCAGATGCCGACCCAGACGAAAGGAACACCCCAGCCTATAGCCATAGATTAGTTGCATCCTTGCTTGAGGATGTTCTTGAAGCAGAGCTCACCAATACCGTAAGCCACATCCTTAGGTACGGGATGAATGCATACAACCACCGTGCAGGCAATGGCAATCAGAAGTCCCGGAATGGACCAGAATAGAGACTGAACCATTATCATCCTCCGGAATCGTGGGCTTGCTCTATACCGTGCAGCCAAGGCTTCACGGAAAGGTCTGCCGGCGTTGGCATTAACAGCGACGACATCCTCCATCAAGTAGTACGCTCCAGGGTAAACCACACCGCCCTTCTCGGTAGAGCTGATCCGGAAAGGAGCCTTTCTGCCGGCAAGACTCCACATGGTAAGTAAGAACACACTGCCTGCGATGCAGTATAGGAGTGCTGGCGCAGGCATAGAAAGAACTCGTAGCCACACGATGTGAGGGGCGCTGCCGACAACGAGCAGCGCCGTGACGGCCGTGATGGTCAGGACAGAGATCCAGTGAGTGATGTCGAAGGCCCATCGGTTGGAGGTGCCGAGAGGCCGGAAGAAGTTCTCAGCCTTGAACAGACGCCAGCTTCTTACGGCGAACTCGACGTAGGTAGGCCCGCCCCAGATAGTTGCGACGACGGCGAAAACTGTCATAGATGTATTGTCAACCAGGGCTCTGCAGAGAGTTCCGCAGATATGTCAAGCTTACTTTTCCAACCTTCAACGTGTCCTGCGAATTTCATGGCATAATATAACACAATAGGAATGATACAGGCGTCCACAATGATGGTGAAAATGGTCAAGAACAATTTCCATCTACGCCATCCGTGTCTCCACGTGAAGGGCAGTTGTGGCAGAAGTGTGGGATTCTGAGAATAGTACTCTTGCAACGTGCTCGCCCGTCTTCGGAATTCTCTCTTGGTCGCCGCACGGCTGTCATAGTATGCGTCTCTTTCGGGCTCCATTTTCCGCTCTTTTCTGGCTTGTTCCCTGCTCTTTCTTCGCTCGGTGGCAGACAAGGTGCTGAGTCCGGTGTCGAAGGATCTGAGGCCCTGGGTCGGGGTTTCTTCTCGTTCGAGTCCAGGGCTTTCTGGGCCAAAATGGACGCCGCGTGGTTCTCGGATGGGAGTCGAGGGAGTTGCTCCATCATGCGACGCATTGCGCTCTATCTGCACGCTGGCACGACTGCCTCGAACGACCTCCGGCATGTTGATTAATTGTGCTTCGACGGGGGAGAGAGGTCCAGATTGGGATAGAGGAGAGAAGGTGATTCCCACGCAATGCCTGCGGGAAGGTTGGTGACAGTTCTATAAGCGAGAGAGCCTCCTTCCAGCGAGAGGAAACAGTGGAAGGCCGCGGAAAGGGATTGACGCTTCCGTCATTCAGCGCAAATGAGTGGAGAGACGATATGTAAGGGTGCTGCCACTGATGGGTTAGTCCTCAGACCAGGGAGCGCATCGAGTGATTGAGGAATTGTAGTTTATTTAATTGGCATTTCCCTGAAATGGACCTGATCCCGGGCCATCACGGGCAGTCATAGAGTACAGTAAGCAAGGTCAGCTTGATTGACTGACGTCGGCAGCCCCTCTCGGGCGGTGATGTCGATTGGTTGGCTACAGCAATCAGCTGGGTGGCCCGGAAGAGAGCCTCCCGGACGTCGCGGCCTCAAGCAACGGTTGGGGCCACCAGCCAAACATAAAAAGTGCACTGAGCGTTGATATGTGTACTGGGCGGTAGGGCCCGCGGCGCCACTACTGGGCGTAGGGGCGTATGAGCGCCTCGGCCCCTAGACCTAATTCCAGATGCATCAGAAGTCCAGTACTTCACAGTACCCGATACGGTGGACCTTGTATCAGATGTGTGCAAATCGTCTTACATCTCACATTCTCATTTAGATTACATGGCACCATATGGCACCAGAGAAGCAGTCTTCCCACTCACCTTGGAGGCGAAGTCTGACTGTATAAAGAGAACTCCTACACCTCAGCACGCATACAGAAGCGGCCGCAGCAGGAACCCGACGGGAATTTGAACGCATCCGAGCCTGGGGCTGACGTCTTTTGAATGTGCTTTCTGCCAGACGGAAATCCACACCGTCCACCTCACATTTGGCTTCACATTCGTCATGAATGTCAGGACACAGGCATTGACAGTACTCACCGCTGCCCATGTACTTTGACTTTGTACATTCCGTTCATCCCGCCACTCGGTAGGTCTCGTACCGATTGAAGCCCTACCACAAAAATATGTCTCCCTGCAACAATGTTCGCTCTATGTCAAGGCTGAAGGGGAAAACTTTGACAAGCCAGGCCCTTACGGAATCAGAGAGACCTACATGGGTTTTCTGCTGAATGCTTGACGGTAGACATTTGGTCCAAACCACTCTAGTAGGTAGGTCGTTTTACTTGGGACCCTTGGAACAGAAAACATCTTCACAACCACGACTTATGCGAAACGGACGCATACAGACATCGACTACGACAGCACGTATTAACAAACCGATATGCCAAGAGATCTTGCGAGACGATGCAGGAGGCGATCGATAGATTGACATCAATGAAATACTGAAGGCATTTTGCTCTGAGCATGGAGCTCACCGGCAGAACTGTCCGGCAGCCTTGCCCCAAGACAGATCAGGGTGTTCAGTCTTGCTTGTGAGCCAATCGGGATATCCTAGGGTCTCGCCCTCCTCCAACCTGCGGCATGGCTTGTCTAATCGTCAACCCCCCCTGTATCATCACAGGAGCAAAGAAAAATACACAAAGTCAAATTTTTGCTGGTGCAGGAAGAGATGGTGGATCAATGCAGGTTGGCATTTGAGGCCCAACCAAATGCACTCATCCGGACATGACAGCCCGTTGAGCCACAACTAGTTGCACAAAAGCTCCGCAAGCCATCCCAGATCTGATTGGATTGGAGACCCTTCAGCAGCCCGGAATGCCTCTGGAAAGATGTGATACAGTACTTTACTGTACTAGCATACAGCTGGTGCATCCAGGCGCCTTCTCTTCAACAGAAAAAGGATATGAAGGTCAGTCTAGGAACCCTTTTGTTTGCGTTCCGGCGTCAGTTCCTGCCACCCCTTCCCACCCTTGCCTGTTTGCATGGTCTAAACCCCCCTTTCAAGCATGTACCATCGTATGCATCTCTGCATCTCTTGGCCGTTTTGAATAATACTATTTCATCCTTTGACTTTCTTTGTTTTGGCCGTTGAGCCTTAAGTACCACGCTTTCTACTGTTTGTCGCGGTTGAAAGTCAATCATTTAATATCTCATTGTTCTGTCCATTTCGCTCTGGGCTGCACAGTATCCTTGTCAGATCCGTTCCTCACTACCGATCGATAAGTCCGCACGAAGAACTGCCGACAGTTCATCGTTTGACCCATGTCTCGCCATCACTCAACGGGCAGAATGGTGAAAATGGAAGCTGAAATCCCAACACATCACTGTGAAGCATATGGCCATGTCGGAGACTTTGAGCTTTCAAACATCATGACCACCAGAGCATGCGATGAGCAGCAAGACCTGCAATCGTCGTCTTCAGCAGCCTCCCACTTTCTCATGTACCACGGCCAGCAACACCCGGCAGTGCATCCCTTGCTCAAGCTTGAGGCCGTGGACGACGCCCGCTATGAGAATGTGCATGTCCACCATGAGGACATCTTCCCTGCAAGCAATCAGCTACAACTTTCTGATCTCGAACTTGAACCGACCTGGGCTTCTCATCAACTGTATCCGCACTACCCCAGCAACACCGTCGTCCAGGTCAACGATTTCAGTGGACTTCCACTACAGTACACATCAGATCCCATCGCGCTCACTCCGTCAACATATCCATACTATGAAGAGCAGGGTGCCTGGCCTTCATCTCCGGAATACGGCCAGTGCAGATCTTTCACCACGACCGAGGAAGACGAGGATGCGGTTGACGACAAGCCGTACGCCAGACTCATCTACGAAGCTCTGATGCAGGCGCCAGGCCACAGGATGATGCTCAGAGAGATCTACGAGTGGTTTCGCCACAATACCACCAAACCTCAAGAGTCTGGGTCGAATGGTTGGCAGAACAGCATTCGGCACAATCTGTCCATGAACAAGGTTAGCAGGGTGAACCCATTCTCATCACCAACTAACACCACGGTACAGGCATTCGAAAACGACAGGGATAGCGCAAAGGGCAATTCAAGGAAGGCGACTAGCGTGTGGATACTGACGGATGAGGCGATCAAGAATGGGGTGCAATCCACCACAAGATATCGCAAGACGGGCACAGGCAAAAAGTCCATGGGGGGTCGCATACCAGCCATTCAACGTCAACGAGCCGGAGCCAAGGGGGGCCGAGCAGCGCGCCATGCAGCCAAAAGGAAGTGTCAAGAGCACTATGCCTTCACTGACTCGACAGCGACCCCAAGCCCATCGACGGCATCATATTCCGATTGCACTGACTACCAAAGCTTCGACTCCCACGATCCACGACCCACCGTCAGGAGCTGGCCGATAACCCCTGTGGAGCCAAATCTGGCAGCCGAAGAAGCGAATTTGCTCCGATGTCTGTCCCCACAGAGCGCCTCGGGTTTCCGGACACAACACCTGAACTACGGAGAGGAGAACGTGCACTTGCAGAATGCGCTCTTGCAGTCGATGCGAGATCAGCAGCTGGAGGAACTGGTCAGATTCCATGGGAACCGAGCCTGCAGCTGAAGGCCCTCTTTCGTCCCGGGGATGTACCCGCCTCATTGGGTACCACGAAATGACTTGCATGAACAAACTTCAGGAGAGCTTGCCCACTGGGGGCAGAGCAACGGGCCGGCCAGTTGTCTTCCCAGCTGTGACCAAGGATATCGGGGATTATGTCAAGGACTAAAGGTCGACCAAAGATTGACTGACCCAGGACATGGGCACAGGATCATGAGCTACGGTGGAGGCTTTGCATAGGAGAATTGTTGCCACTGGGACTGACACAACTAGTTTACGATTGTACTATACCCCTCTAGTGCCCCCTTCACAGGAGGACACCAATGTATTGGTTAATAGCAAAAGCGAGCTGCATGAAGCGAGCAGATGGCCGGGGTTGGGGGTGGGCATCTTGGCGGAAAAGCGGGCAGCTCCATCGGACTCACTAGGCCTAGACACTTGCCAACCTGCATGTTCAGCTCAGACTCCCAGATTCTACAGTGTCTCCCCTTGCTTGTTCGAGCATCGGATCGGCGTCATGTAAATCTTCTTCATCCTATGAAAGCCCTGTTCCATGTGTGACTGTCTTTGCTAGCACATGGCGGCGCCATTCTCCTCCCCGGGAGTGCCTTCGACCCGAGCCCACCGCCCCCTTCCCCGGTATGGCTGCCGCCCGCTGGCCCAAGCTCGTATCGGCCCCCAGACTCTTGATCTCCCTAGCCATTTCGCCAGCTCTACTCCCTATCGACGAGTGTAGGTTAGCCACGAAAGAATGACACATCGATCCATACAGCGCAGGCGTGGGCGAGAGATGACAATCTGGCTATGAGGAGGAGATGTCTGTCGAAATGGCCCATTAACAACCCGGGGATGACACCCAGGACGTGTCAAACAGCTGTCAAAGCCCGAGACCCAATGACTCCTTACACTAATGCAACAGCAGACGTGTTGAGCGGACGAAAATTGCAATCCCCCCTCTGATCGATCTTTCGATTTTCTGGCTGCGTCATGATACTGACTGCTGCCCTAGAACAACAAAAGTTAGTGCGTCTGCGCGGAGCAAAGGACAGTCCAAAAAGCCACCTCGTTGTCAGCTCGCGTGTGAACCTGCAAAAAGCTTTGACCTCTCTCCCTACATTGGCTCATTCCGCCGCCCATCCCGGCACTACCAGAGCCAAAACCTCGAAAGCTTTGCCATCTGGAGCGCGGATCCGATCGAATCGCCCAGAGATCGTGCGGTGAAGATTGCACTTGTTGCCACCTCTTCTCGCTTCCATACGGGATGCCAATTGTCTCGAGACGATTCCCCCCGATCCAAACTCCACAAAGGGGAATATTGCTGGCCCCCTTGAACTGGGCCTCGCCTCGCTCACTAGTAAGACAAGACTATGTACATGCTGCATAATGTGCCTCGAAATCTCGGTTTTGAGTTCGTGGTTGTGGAATTCCAGATCCACTACTCAGCTAGGATAAGTTGCTGGATGCTGTGATCGAGCTGGCATATCCGCGACGGCCGGCGATGGTCTACGATCGATCTAGCCACGAATTCCTTCTGCCATCCCGCCTAGATTGCAAGAATAACATACGTAACAGATTTTCCGATATGGGCAAGATTCGTCGGCGCCAAGATGGGGAAGGCTGGCAGGTGCTCATGAACGCAAGAGCTTCAGAGCTTGTTCCTTGTGCCAACCCGGGGGCTGAAAGACATGTCTATGAGCTATTAGGGGCTGTTCCCCGTCTCTGACCGGATCAGAGCCCTTGTCGATACGCTTCTGCGAAGCGAACCAGGCCAATCCCTGAACAAAACTTTGCAACTCCAAAAGCAGGACATTGGACAGACGAAAGCAGAATACGACCCCTGGCAGGGATTTGATCCTGATCCAGATGCTCCATGAATCCCTCAACAACCTCACAACATTTGCTACGGCTGATATTTCCGGGATGTCGAATCTTTGAGTTTCTCTAGCGACAATTCATGCAAAGCAGCTCACGCCCTTCCCGACTCGAGCTGGGAACAATCTAGGATCGATGAGTCTTGTGTGGCAGACATCGTCCTCTGCTCGAATCTAGAACCTTTGCTTGCTCTTGGCCACCATCCCTGGCGTCCTGCCATGGAGTACTCACTGAATATCACTTCAATGTGATAGATTCACCGATGCAAAACAGTCCGGGTCCGCCAACCCGTCATGCATAGTTCCGATCTATCCCTACCCCAGTCAATTGTTCAGAACGTGCTTGACATATGCCGGGCAACGTATGACAATACAACCTGGGATCGACCAGATCACGACTGGGTGAAGGAGTATCTTCGAAGACTCGCCCTGCACTGTGCCACAACGTCAAACAACAACCTCGCACTGTCGATGCGCACCATGGTCCCCAGACAGGCTTCTTCAACCTATAGGCACTTGATGCAATCCCCTTAGGACACTCCGTGGTCCAGCCACCAGGTCTACAGCATTTTGGCTGCCCTTAATTGGCCGAGATCATCTGTCAGGTTGTCGAAGATGATGGTTGCTTCGTCGCTGTCGCTAGTGCCCGTTGGACCTCGCAGAAACTGGTGTCACTGAATGGCCCTGGTACCAGCAGCCACTGGTCTCACAGGTTACCACTACCCAGAGCACCTGGCTAGGAGATGTCACAACAACGGTTCTGGGCGCTGAAGTCCTCAGCCCAACATCGCAGACGTTGTTTTTGGAAGAGAGCGCCCAGGTTGTTCCTCGGGATTGTCCTCATTTCATGGATATGGACGCGAGGTTCGACCAGAAGGTGAGATAAACGCTATTCGCAAGAGACTTGAGTCTTGATATATTACCGTCACTACTAGATTCGAGGGACTCGCGGAGTGTTCTGAAGCTCTGCCCCCTCACAGCCCACAGCCACCAGAACTTGTGACTGAGAAGTCTTCTGTTGTACAGATGCGTCAGTATCACCATAACGCTCGCCCCCACCAACCCCGAGTCTCTTTTCTCAACCGTTTTCGTACTCCACAGGCGTTGGAACTACAATCTCCTGGGGATGGTCTTCGCCGTCCCGTATAGGCCGTGCCTGGCGTCGGACGCTGCTCTCCGAGCCGTTACGGGCCCTTTTTTCAATATTTTCATTCCCCCTGCCAGTCCGCAAGTGATATTCCCGCAGTGCCCGGCAGCTACCTAAGGAGGTTGTACAAGTGCGGGCCCATCGCCTGTCAAAATTGCGTGGTGAATCCGCGAATGGCTCGCCAGCCTGGCATCCTGCAGATATGACAGATTTGACAGCGGCTCTGTATCACCTTCCCATTGAAGAGTGCGATCTAATGTCGACCCCTTCTTGCAATGTCTGAGGCATTGTCGAGTCTCGCCCGAAAAGCAACTCCCACTAAGCGCATACCTACTATCGCATAACTGGTCACTATAGCCATTCATTAACGGCTGGATACAACTGCTTTGCAACGAGCTGAAGCTGCGGAAGCACGAGCGACGTTGCCCAAGGAAATTTTGTCTTGATTTTGTCCTGGTGAAGCGTTGTAAGCCGTTGCGCAGTGCAACTATGAACATCAGCCAACAGAAATGTCCTCGCAACTGGAGAATAATGCGCCTTGAGCAATTGCTATTTTACTCATTACACCGCTCAAGAGCAGGTTATGGCCGGTATCACTGCTCGCACCTGCAGTCATTGGACGAGTCTGCAAGCACGGTTGCGGTACGCTGAGGTGAGCATGCGCCGATAAGAAAGAACCCTCAGGTACTAATATATTTGAGGAAGACGAAGTTGTCAGACTCTGTAAAATATGTGGTATGGGCCTGTTACCGGAGTTGTTCCTGCCTTGTGCACCGCTAGCCTTCCAAGAGGAGAGACCTCAGCACTCTTGCTCTTCCCAAAGCGGTGCTGTTGACAAGGAATGTTGCGGAGGCGATATACCTCTTCGAAGTGGTCCTGTGGAGCGTCGGTGATGTTGAGATGTCGATTTTCCTGGGTCGTAGGTCTCGCAAGTATGAGCAACTGCTCAGGGTGATCATACGCGGGTTGAGTGAAACGATAGTACAGTAACACGGAGCTGTCGGGCGTAGGGAACAAGAAATACATCGGCAGGAAACGGCGAACACAAGCCACAGACCGTCGCAATGATATTTAGACTTTCTGGCTCTTTAAGTGAACAGCTAACGCCACCTGTTTTACTGGCACTTCGAAAGAGACATTTCCTGGTGTAGAGGAACCATCGTAGTGACTGTTGACCACTCAACACGTAGATGTTGTCTTTGAGATGTTCCCATCCCAGCCCCAAAAACCCCGGGTGACACTAGGAACCACCGTCCATGATGGTCATCATGGACACGTCGAAATTCTGCTTCTGCCATTTTTTCTCCGACCATCATCGTGGTAGACCCATGCAAGCCTCCTCGGTCATATGCATGACACCAGTCTTATCACCAAGACGTGGTGATTGTCTCCCTCCAGCTCTGCTGACAACTCTCTATTTCTTTCCCGTCTTCTTCTCCTGCGTCTCCTTCAGCACCTTCTTCACAATCTTCTGCTCTTCAATCAAGAAAGCGCGAACAATTCGGTCCCGTACGCAGTTGCCGCATCTCGAGCCGCCGTAGGCACGCTGTACAGTCTTCTGGGGTCTGCTCGTCGTGGCATACTCGCGTGGCCGCAGGGCGGGGACCTATAAAGCCGAAAAACCCTCATTAGAATCAAATCTCGACTGAACTGCCTCGCATGAAAATTTGTGCAGATGTATCTCGGTCCTTCACTGGCCATCACTTACACCTGGTAATTTGATGCCGCAGTCACCGCATTTCGGGGCTGTGCCGCGCTTCTTGATGTGGAGAAGACGAAGTTTTCCGCCTGGGGTCTTGATGACTCGGACGTTGTTGGAGGAGGTGTTGTATCTGTAGACATTGCGAATTCCCGTCAGCCATTGAATCTCGTATCAATCTTGCACGATTTTGCAACATCCTTGAACTGTAGAAGAGGTGACGAGAGTACGTACGGGTTGCGGCGACGGTACTGGAGTCTGACGCCTGCCATTGCGACGGTATTGAATAGGCAATGGAACGGGGTGAAGGCGAGGAAGTCGTTGAGTGTCTTGAATCTGCGGTTGAACTACCCAGATCGCTTCAGTGAAAATCCGTGTGCGAAGTTTCTCTGCCGATGATCTTCCGACTTGGCGCCAAGCATGTGCACTCAAGTCCCCAGTCACGTGTGCGGGCAAAATCGACCTAACTGTAAGTTTTCCTGCAGACGTGAAGGCGACAAACCCATCTCTCAGGTCAACAATTGCTTCACCCACTTCATCTTGTAAGACCTCCGGCTGGTGGGCGGTAGGACTGAGACGACTGTGCGGCTGAATAATACTGCACCCGAGGCCGAAGCAGAGGGTAGACTACGGGTCGTCAATGGTAAGCGACTTTCAAAGACATCTCCAAGACCGAACGACGAGTTCATCTCTAGCAAAACAGTCACCGTCGGCCACCTAGCGTGAAAATGGCCTCAATACCACCACCTCCTCCCCCGGGATGGGGTGCTGGAGCGCCGCCTCCTCCTCCGCCTGGCATGGCTCCCCCACCTCCAGGTTATCGTCCCCCGGTCGACCCTCGAGTCGCAAAGTTTGCACAGAAAAAGAAAGAGTGGCTCCGGACGCAGCGCAATCGCTATGGCGAAAAGAGGAAGGGTGGTTTCGTGGAAACGCAAAAGGCCGACATGCCGCCGGAGCATCTGAGGAAGATTGTCAAGGACATTGGGGACGTCAGCCAAAAGAAGTTCAGCAGCGACAAAAGAAGTTATCTAGGCGCGTTAAAGTACATGCCGCACGCAGTGTTCAAGCTGCTGGAAAACATGCCTATGCCCTGGGAGAGTGCAAGGGAAGTCAAAGTGTTGTACCATGTCAACGGGTGCCTGACACTCGTAAACGAGATCCCGCGGGTCATCGAGCCGGTCTTTCACGCGCAATGGGCAACCATGTGGGTTTCGATGAGACGAGAAAAGAGCGACAGACGTCATTTCAAGCGGATGCGCTTCCCTCCTTTCGACGACGAAGAACCGCCGCTGTCTTGGTCGGAGAATATTGAAGACGTGGAGCCGCTGGAACCTATTCAGATGGAACTAGATGAGAACGAGGATGGCCCTGTGTACGAATGGTTCTACGAACATCGGCCCCTTCTGGACACGCCGCACGTTAACGGTCCAAGTTACAAAACGTGGAACTTGACGCTGCCGCAAATGGCTACCCTGTACCGACTTTCTCACCAGCTGCTGAGCGACGTGGTGGACAAGAATTATTTCCACATGTTCGATCGTGAAAGCTTCTTCACCGCGAAGGCTCTAAACGTTGCCATTCCCGGCGGACCGAGATTTGAGCCTCTGTACAAGGATATTGACCCCAATGACGAGGATTTCGGCGAGTTCAACGCAATCGATCGAATCATCTTCCGCGCCCCGATCCGGACCGAGTACAGAGTTGCATTCCCATATTTGTACAACTCGCTGCCACGGAGTGTCAAACTTTCGTGGTATTCCCACCCACAAGTTGTTTATGTGAGATCAGAGGATCCCAACTTGCCAGCGTTTTATTTTGATCCCGTCATCAACCCCATCTCTTCGAGGTCGGTGGCGCCAAAGAATATCACTATCAGCCATGAGGACGAAATCTTCGGTGAAGGCAATAGTGAGGACGACGAATTCGAGCTTCCAGGCAATGTTGAGCCATTCCTCGCGGACGAGGAACTGTACACCAGCGAGACAGCTTCTGCCATCGCTTTATGGTGGGCGCCTTTCCCATTTGACCGGAGATCCGGAAGAATGGTTCGTGCCCAGGATGTCCCTCTGGTCAAGCAGTGGTATCTGGAGCACTGCCCGCCCGGCCAGCCAGTCAAAGTCCGAGTTTCTTACCAGAAACTATTGAAGACCTATGTTCTAAATGAACTGCATCGGAAGAAGCCCAAGGCACAAAATAAACAAGATCTTCTCAAGACGCTGAAATCCACCAAGTTCTTCCAGCAAACGACCATTGACTGGGTAGAGGCGGGTTTGCAGGTTTGCCGACAAGGATTCAATATGCTAAACCTCCTTATCCATCGCAAGAACTTGACGTATCTACATTTGGATTACAACTTCAATCTTAAACCTGTCAAGACGTTGACGACGAAAGAACGCAAGAAGTCGAGATTCGGCAATGCATTCCACTTGATGCGTGAGATCCTGAGACTCACCAAGCTCATTGTCGATGCTCAAGTCCAATACAGACTTGGCAACATCGATGCATTCCAACTGGCTGATGGCATCCTCTACGCTTTCAACCACGTCGGACAGTTGACGGGCATGTACCGGTACAAATACAAGCTCATGCATCAGATCAGATCGTGCAAAGACCTGAAGCACTTGATTTATTATCGCTTCAACTCTGGACCAGTCGGAAAAGGGCCGGGTTGCGGCTTCTGGGCGCCGGCCTGGAGAGTGTGGCTCTTCTTCATGCGCGGCATTATCCCTCTTCTTGAGAGATGGCTTGGGAATTTGTTATCCAGACAATTTGAAGGCCGTCACAGCAAGGGCGTGGCAAAGACGGTCACAAAGCAACGTGTTGAGTCTCATTTCGACCTTGAACTTCGAGCATCGGTCATGGCAGACTTGATGGATATGATGCCTGAAGGTATCAGGCAGAACAAAGTCAATACCGTACTTCAGCATCTCTCCGAAGCGTGGCGATGCTGGAAGAGCAATATCCCTTGGAAAGTCCCGGGCCTACCAGCACCAATCGAAAACATCATCTTGCGATATGTCAAAAGCAAGGCTGACTGGTGGATCTCTGTGGCTCATTATAACCGAGAGCGCATCAGGAGAGGCGCAACCGTCGACAAGACAGTGGCTAAGAAGAATCTAGGTCGATTGACGCGATTGTGGTTGAAAGCTGAACAAGAAAGACAGCATAATTACATGAAAGACGGTCCATATGTTTCCTCGGAGGAAGCTGTTGCCATCTACACAACCACCGTCCACTGGCTTGAGTCGCGGAAGTTCTCACCTATTCCCTTCCCCAGTGTGTCTTATAAGCATGACACGAAGATTCTCATCCTGGCCCTGGAAAGACTGAGGGAGGCATACTCTGTAAAGGGCAGGTTGAATCAGAGTCAGAGAGAAGAACTTGCCTTGATCGAACAGGCTTACGATTCGCCAGGGACTACCCTCGCTAGAATCAAGCGTTTCTTGTTGACTCAACGGGCGTTCAAAGAAGTCGGCATCGACATGAACGACAATTACAGCTCGATCAACCCCGTATACGATGTTGAGCCAATCGAGAAGATCACAGATGCATACCTTGACCAATATCTCTGGTATCAGGCTGACACCCGCCATCTCTTCCCATCGTGGGTCAAGCCTTCAGATTCAGAGGTGCCTCCGCTTTTGGTTTACAAGTGGGCTCAGGGTATCAACAATCTGACAAATGTTTGGGAAACTGCTGATGGAGAATGTAACGTCATGATCGAAACGCAGCTTTCCAAAGTGTACGAGAAGATTGATCTGACTTTGCTCAACCGGCTGCTTCGATTGATCATGGATCACAACTTGGCTGACTATATCACTTCCAAGAACAATGTCCAGCTGAATTACAAAGATATGAATCATACGAACAGCTACGGCATGATCAGGGGTCTTCAGTTCTCAGGCTTCGTTTTCCAATATTACGGGCTGGTCATCGACCTGCTTCTCCTTGGCCTTCAACGAGCGAGTGAGCTCGCCGGACCGCCTCAGAGTCCGAACGACTTCTTGCAATTCCGAGACAGAGAAACGGAGACTCGACATCCTATCAGGCTGTACACACGATATATTGACAAGATTTGGGTCTTCTTCAGATTCACCGCAGAAGAGTCGAAGGACTTGATCCAGCGCTTCTTGACCGAACAGCCAGATCCAAACTTTGAGAACGTGATTGGGTATCGGAACAAGAAATGCTGGCCTAGGGATTCCCGAATGAGGTTAATGAGGCACGACGTCAACCTTGGCCGGGCCGTATTCTGGGATTTGAAGAACAGATTACCTCGTTCAATCACCACAATCGAGTGGGATGACACATTCGCGAGTGTCTATTCCCGGGACAATCCCAACCTTTTATTCTCAATGTGCGGCTTCGAAGTCAGGATCTTGCCCAAGATCCGGAACCAGAATGACGAATTCCCCATCAAAGACAGCGTTTGGGCTCTAGCCAACAATGAAACTAAAGAGAGGACCGCCTACGCATTCTTGCAGGTCACTGAAGAAGATATCCAGAAATTCAATAACCGCATAAGGCAGATCTTGATGTCCTCCGGCTCCACAACATTTACCAAGATCGCAAACAAGTGGAACACAACGTTGATTGCTCTGTTTACCTACTACCGAGAGGCCGCCGTGTCCACTGTCAACTTGCTGGACACCATTGTCAAGTGCGAGACCAAAATTCAAACCCGCGTGAAGATTGGCTTGAACTCTAAGATGCCTTCTCGCTTTCCCCCGGCTGTTTTCTATACGCCGAAGGAGCTGGGTGGTCTCGGCATGATCTCAGGATCTCATATCTTGATCCCCACCAGTGACAAGCGATGGTCCAAGCAAACCGATACTGGTGTTACTCATTATCGAGCTGGTATGTCTCACGACGAAGAAACCTTGATTCCCAATATCTTCCGATACATTATCCCTTGGGAGGCCGAATTCATCGACTCCCAACGAGTCTGGACAGAGTATTCCCAGAAGCGGATGGAAGCCAATCAGCAGAATCGAAGACTTACTCTCGAAGATCTGGAGGACAGCTGGGACAGAGGTCTCCCGCGGATCAATACTCTCTTCCAGAAGGACCGGAGCACTCTGAGCTTCGACAAAGGCTTCAGAACCCGTACCGAATTCAAGCAATATCAACTGATGAAGAGCAATCCTTTCTGGTGGACGAGTCAGAGGCACGATGGGAAGCTCTGGAACCTGAACGCCTATCGAACCGACGTCATCCAAGCCCTGGGTGGTGTCGAGACAATTTTGGAACACACCTTGTTCAAGGCAACAGCTTTCCCATCCTGGGAGGGTCTCTTCTGGGAGAGAGCGTGTCTTGCCAATGGCACTATGCTGCTGCGCTATGATGGCTCCCAGGTCGCTGTCGAAGAGGTTGTGGAAGGAGATCTCCTTCTGGGGCCTGATGGTGGTCCTCGCCGCGCTTTCAACATTGTCAACGGAACGGACCGTCTGTATAGGATCAAGATCAGATCGGATGTGGAGGATCTCGTTGTCACGCCTAACCACATTTTAGTCCTATACCATGAGAAGAACAGCGGGAGCCAACACACCGGGTCCAGAAACTTTGAGGACTTCCGCCAGTCCAGCTCTGATCTCGCCGATACTGATCGGCCTGGGAGTTTCGTCAAGACCGCTCGACGCTATGAAACTGTCGAGCTTACAGCGGCAGAATTCGCGGCTCTGAAGCCTACACAGAGGGCTCAATATAGGCTTTTCCGATCACCTGGGTTTGCGCTGCCAAAGCACACTGTGGCAGTCGACCCAGAAGCGCACAGCTTTATCGTTCAGGACATTTTCCTCGAGTCAGAATCCACAAAATGGGCTGGTTTCCGAGTTGACAAAGATCAACTCTATCTTCGCCATGATTACCTCGTGCTTCACAACAGCGGTTTTGAAGAGTCGATGAAATTCAAGAAACTCACGAACGCTCAACGTTCCGGTTTGAATCAAATTCCCAACCGTCGCTTCACCCTGTGGTGGTCGCCCACTGTAAGTTTCCTCGCTCCAATGACCCCGAGTACAAGCTAACTATTGCGAAGATAAACAGAGCAAATGTCTACGTTGGTTTCCAGGTGCAGCTCGATTTGACCGGCATTTTCCTTCATGGCAAAATTCCTACCTTGAAAATTAGTTTGATGTCAGTCTTATCCCCTTCCCCACCCAGCTCCTGCTAACGGATATTCTTAGCCAAATCTTCCGAGCCCACTTGTGGCAGAAAATCCACGAATCCGTGGTCATGGACTTGTGTCAAGTTTTCGATCAGGAACTGGAGCAATTAGGCATCGAGACGGTGCAGAAAGAGACGATCCACCCTCGAAAATCGTACAAAATGAACAGCTCTTGCGCTGATATTCTCCTCCTGGCGAGTCACAAGTGGAACGTGACTCGACCTTCTCTTCTTTTCGACACGAAAGATCAAATCGAAGCCACGACAACTAATAAATTTTGGGTCGACGTCCAATTGCGATACGGTGATTACGATTCTCACGATATTGAACGCTACGTCCGAGCCAAATACCTCGACTACACCACTGACAGCATGAGCATCTACCCTTCGGCGACTGGTCTGATGGTTGGTATTGACCTCGCGTACAATCTCTATTCTGCATATGGGCAATACTTCCCTGGCCTGAAGGCGTTGGTCCAACAGGCTATGGCCAAGATTATGAAAGCGAATCCGGCGCTGTACGTGCTCCGCGAACGTATCAGGAAGGGTCTGCAGCTATACGCGTCCGAAAGCACTCAAGAGTTCTTGAATTCTCAGAACTATTCGGAGCTGTTCAGCAACCAGACTCAACTGTTCATTGATGACACCAATGTTTATCGTGTCACTATCCACAAGACATTTGAGGGTAATCTGACGACGAAGCCTATCAACGGTGCCGTTTTCGTGTTCAACCCGAAGACTGGACAGTTGTTCTTGAAAATCATCCACACCAGCGTGTGGGCTGGTCAAAAGCGTCTTGGACAATTGGCTAAATGGAAGACTGCCGAAGAAGTGGCCGCATTGATCAGATCTCTGCCCGTCGAAGAACAGCCCAAGCAACTGATTGTTACTCGGAAAGGTCTCCTCGATCCCCTCGAAGTACACCTGTTGGACTTCCCGAATGTTTCGATTAGAGCTTCGGAGCTCCAGCTGCCGTTCCAGGCTGCGATGAAGGTGGAAAAACTGGCCGACATGATTCTGCAAGCCAAGGAGCCACAGATGGTTCTGTTCAACCTGTACGATGACTGGTTGAAGTCGATATCGTCGTACACGGCGTTTTCCAGACTGATTCTCATTCTCCGTGCTTTGCATGTGAACACGGACAAGACGAAGCTACTTCTCCGACCTGACAAGACCGTCATTACTCAAGCACATCACATCTGGCCCACTCTTTCGGACGAAGACTGGATCAAAGTCGAAGTTCAGCTGCGAGATCTTATCTTGAACGATTACGGCAAGAAGAACAATGTCAACGTCCAGTCCCTCACCAGCAGCGAAGTGCGAGACATCATTTTGGGTATGGAAATATCGGCACCGTCGATGCAGCGCCAACAAGCGGCCGAGATTGAGAAGCAGCAACAAGAGCAGCAACAACTGACTGCGGTGACCACCAAGACGCAAAATGTTCGGGGCGAGGAGATCATTGTGACGACGACATCGCAATACGAGCAACAGTCCTTCGCCTCCAAGACCGAATGGCGGACACGGGCGATTGCGACATCGAACCTGAGGACGCGTGCCAACAATATCTACATCTCGAGCGATGACATTCACGAAGTGGACGACTCGTACACGTATGTGCTCCCGAAGAACATACTCAAAAAATTCATCGCCATCGCGGACCTGCGGGTGCAGGTGGCCGGATATCTGTACGGCTCGTCGCCGCCGGACAATGATCAGGTCAAGGAAATCCGCACCATCGTGATGGTCCCGCAGGTTGGGTCCACACGAGAGGTACAATTACCTCACCAACTTCCGCAACACGAGTATCTCAAGACAATGGAACCACTGGGAATCATTCATACAGTCAGTGGTAATGAGACGCCCTACATGAGCGCAGCAGATGTGACGATGCATTCACGGCTGATGGCCCAACATCCCAGTTGGGACAAAAAGACCATCACCTTGACCGTGTCATTCACACCGGGTTCGGTCTCGCTCAGCTCGTGGACACTGACCCCACAGGGATACGCTTGGGGGGCCTCGAACAAGGACACACAGTCCGACAATCCGGCGGGCTTTTCGACATCGTTTGGCGTCAAAACCCAACTACTCCTGTCTGACAAGATCCGGGGCTATTTCCTGGTACCTGAGACGGACGTGTGGAACTACAGTTTCATGGGGGCCCAGTTCTCGACGGTTGAGAAGCGGCCCGTGTACGTCAAGATCGATACGCCGCGACGATTCTACGACGATCTGCACCGGCCGGTGCATTTCAGTAGCTTCAATGAGTTGGAAGACATTTGGGCTGATCGGGAGGATGCATTTGCGTGAGCTGTGGTGATTGTGGATACTGAAGGGGATTATATGTCCCGGAGGATCAGGGAGGCTTTCAGGAAGGTGGGTCGTACCTTGGATGGTGATGTTCTTGTAAGATAGAGAAGAGGCATGAAGATGGCAGCGATGTGTCTCCCACCTGGCAATGGGAGTAGAGTATTACATGTCCAAGCAGTAACAGCGAACAAAAGTGATACCCGAGGCCCCGATAGTCCCGACAGTTTGATGAATTGCATCCATCAGACAAGCCTCGGGATTGGATGGATGGATGTCTTGACGAGCTCGTCATATCGAATCGATCGATATGGATTGATTGATTGATTGGTTAATCGACTCTACATGCCCGAGTCATCCAGCTTTTACTTTAGATATTCATCCACATCGACTCTCCCTCAGCTCCATCAGCTGCTCCATCACATCGTCCTGGCGTCTCGCCTGGATATTTTTCACGATCTGATTTAACACTGTATAATATAAATAATACCCACTCCCTTCTCCTGGACGACACACCATGGATCCAGCGATGATATCTCCCTCCTTTTTGCTCAAGGCGGTATGATGCGCGCAATACTGAAAATGACATTTCGTGGCAGGATTGGAAGAGAGGAATGCCACATGCCGTCCGTATACATACTGAGTGTACCACAACAACAACAACGACGAAGAGCAGCAGCTGTGGTTAGTGGTGATAGGTCACGTCAGTGAATCACCAAGTCGGTCAGCCAGTCCACGTCCTCCTCCCAGCCAATATAGATATCTATGTCTCTCCTCTCCCTCTCCATCCAACGAGCTCAAGAAGGTGTCTATGGCGGCCGGTATCCATTTCGACCCCGGCCTTGAGGCCAATGCCCGTTACTAGCTTCACAACCCTCCTCTGACCGAGTGTACGGAGTGTACATCCCTCAATCTGCAGGTCGCTTTAGAACGGGTCTTTTGTTCCCTTTCCCTCCTGCCCGAATCATGTTTCGTTTCGTTGTCCCCAAACACGCCACCCACTCACGCGATGCTCATCGATTCATACTAAGTGAAGACAGGAAGAGAGAGAAAGAGGAATGCCCCGCCTCCATCTCGTGCAAGAATTGCCTGTGGGTTCGTCCAGGCGGGACCAGGATCTGAAGGGCTCCAAGGCCCACGCCTCACGGCACGTCCATGGCTTGTCAGAATCATCACCACCCGGCGTATCGACCTCAGTGTCCGCCGAGCTCAAGGTCCACTCCCGCACGGCAGAAGCACAGGTCGAACAGATGCCGAGTGGCACGATCGTCACGCCCTCTGACATGTTTCGGACCAAGCCGCGGCGATTTCCAGGGTTTCTGGGAGGTACGCCAGACGAAGTAAACCCCAAAGGACGTGTCGAAGATGGCGTGGCGAGCGCAGAGGCGGTGACGACGATGATGGCGAAGCTGGAGAGTTGATCGTCCTGGCGCTGTTACTGCACACGTTGTCGCACACGAGAGCCCGTGACGGCGATGTACAATGGGAACCGGATGAAACCGACGATGGACGGCCCCCGGACGCGCGAGACGGACACCAGTGATGGCTCTCATCCTCCACTTCGAGGATTAGGCCTCCACTCGACGCCGAAGAAAATGTGGCGCAATTGACCAATGATCAGCAAAGGAAGCTGGAGAGACATGAAGCTTGAAAAGATTGAAAAAGAAGAAGACGTCCTCCTCTGGACCTGGTTCAATCCCGTCGACTCGTGGCGCACTTCAAGCGAGCCCTTGCTCCCCTGAGGTATGAACAACATGCACGGGTTGAGACCCAGGTTCCAACGACCCGGGAGACATGCGAGAACGTTTTGACGGGCTTCTTCTAAAACGACAAGTTTATCCAGCGGTGTCGCGCATTTTGGGTCGTCAGCGAGCGACTGGATGGAGAATGGATGAGCTTCACATCTGTTGTCTGATGGACAATTCCAAAATCATATCGCTTTTTATATCATGCCTATTCACAGCGAATATACAGGTGCTCACCAGAACCCACTTGTGGAAACTCCCGACATCGGTGTCCGGGTCAGGTCTTCTCGGTCGCAGCCTTTGATGGTCGTTCTTTGAGTTGTCAGGCACCATGTGCGCCACTCATGTGGCCGATATACCGATATTATTCACTCCGGCCAGTTCCTGACACCGATGCTAAGCATTCACTGCCCCGCTCAAAAGATCAGATTCGGATACCCTTCCATTGAGTCAGAATGATATGCAGACGCGAAGTCCGCCTCACTAATCGCACCGTATGTAAAAGCATCGAGAGCCATCACCGTGTTGAAGTCTGCTGGGTTGTACGCATGGGGATTCAAAGCTGACCCTGGGTGATAAGACTGCTGCCGGTGGTGTTCGTGGTGGGGATGTTGCTGAGGTGTCTGGACGACGTGTGCATGCAGGTTCTCGACGGGGATGAATTGGCTGCCTGCCGGAGGTGGTTTGACTTCGTCCTCATCCTCCTCGATCACGTAGCCCGTCTGGGACTGGGCCGTCTTTGGCGACGCAGTCGGTGGAAGCAACCTCGTCTTCTGCGTGTGAGGCTGCCCTTGTGTAGCCATCACGCTGCCTGCAGACGAACATGGAGACTGGGGAATGTGATTGAATGTTGGCATGTCGCTATACAACTCGGGAAACCTGTTGAAGATATCTGGGCCCATGGTCCAAGCCTTGATGTCCCTCAGTCGCTGATCAAACATGGGCGAGAACTTGTACAGCCCGGTCTCGATTTCTCGAGTATAGCAGTCTCGGAACTCGTACGGCCACAGGATGCGAAAGGACTTGCAGAACAAGTGCCAAAATTCATTGCCGCAGTAATCGTGCTCGTTGAAGATGAAACGTTCCCGCACGCCGGGCCACGCGAAATAGTCGATGGCGTAGGAATGAGCAATCTTCTGGGACGGGCGGCGCATGTACCATGGTGGGAGCCGTGCATAGCGGTCGAAGGTCGAGGCCGTGTGGAATTGTAACAGCGTGTGCATGGCTCGCAGAATGGCGAGACGCTCGGTGTTGGGACACATGGCGAACAAGGTCTCGTCGATCCGGCGCAGGATTTTCCACGACGGGTGCAAGGGAGCTCTCTTGGCCACGGCATCCCATCCCTCGATCATGGCACGGATTGGGACGTCGTCACACATTTCATCGGATTCTGGGGCCACTTCTTCGTTCCAGTCAAAGCGTTCGCTTAGCACTTCGTTCGCGTAGCGCCAGTAGTTTCCCCGCCAGACGGAACGACGGCCGGGGCGACGATCGTGGCAGCTGTTGCAAGAGCAGGAGCGTCGCGGGACAGCCCAGTTCTCGTTCCAGTTGCTCGGCATCGGGTTCGGCTCCTGCACCCCTTTCGCCTGCACCATGACCTGGGTGGGCGAGTGGATCCCATCGGACTGCAGGGGCACCACTTCCGGTGCAAAGAGAAGATCTTGAGACTGCAATGGTAAGCTCGGTGCCGGCGAGAACGTGGCGAGGTCGAAATTCCTCGCCGGACTGCTTCCTGACGGCATTTCAGCAGGTTCGGGCGGGAAGGCGAGAGCAGCGTCGTCTCGCACAGGCGTCTGACTCGATCTCCGCTCGACACTGGCCCCTTCGTAGGCCATCCTCGCCATGAGCAAGGAGCTCTTGTCGTCCTCCTCCTCCTCGATCGGTTTGAGTGGCTTGTGTGACTGCATGGCCTTTTGGATGTCCTTCAGGGTTTTGGCCATGAGGTCTCTCTCCGACTCCACCTCTTTCAATTGCTTCAACAGTGTGGCCACTTGACCGCTGGAGTCCTGGCGGCGGAACTCTTCCACGAGGCCCTCGAGGTAGGCGATGCGGGATTTGGTCCGTTCGCGAGCTTGACGTTGGCATCGTCGGTCGATTTCCCGCTTCTTCAAGCGGCGTGACGAGACGCCTGGAGTTTCGTGGGTGTCGGGTGGCTGAGCTGCAGCCCTGACTGCCTGACTGAGCGTGGGAGTATGCGTAGCCATGGTAGGGATGGGCAGGTTGTGGTTAGGAAGACTGGCGCATAACGACTGAAGAGGGTTGTTGAGGTGGAATGAGGATGGGGAAGGGAAATCAATTGCGATGCTAGAGTAGGCTTTGCTAACGACTGTGCCAAACACGAGCGTCTTACGCGGAACCGCACCCTTTAGTTGGGCGTATCAAGTCACTGGCCAGGCAGTCGGGTTCGGGGATGCGGGGTACCAGCAAGAGTTAGTGGACAAGGGCGCTCCGGGGGGTTTCTGGACGACCCCCTTTGGATTTAGTTAAACTTCTCCCTCAAAAACAGGGCACAAGCAAACTCCGTCATGCCTAGGCATTTGCCACGCTCCCCTCCCCAGGCCAAGGTGAAATCTCGGGGGGAGCCTGTGACCATCTCCCCCAAGCTAAGTGCTTTCCCCCAGATGGCCTCAGCAGGAATACGAGATTCGAGTGTTCCTTCTGCCCCTCAAGCAGCCACTCAGCGTCGACGGATGGGCCTAGTGAGCCTAGTGAGCCTCGATTTCCCAGCTATTTCGAAGCTAGAAAATCACCAGCTCGCCCTCATTGGTCTTCGGCTAGATGGGATGCCTACTCTAGCAAAGGCAATGGGCGATTAGCTTCGCTCATTGTCGCTCTCTTCGGGGATCACGACATTTGACGGGAGTTCCGACATGCTTTGGAGACTGACAGCGATTGAGCCCGCACCAGCGTCATCCAGAGTGCTTGTCAAGATATTTACCCATGAGCCACAACCCGCCTCGTCCTAGAAGCTCACTACTGCGTATGCATGTCTGCTAAGAGGGGAGCTGACAGAGAGCTCCGTCCCTTGTGATTGGGGGATCTGACTACGCGCGGCCGCCACCACCGCTCAGGCGTCGTGGCCCTCTGATCGGCCGGTCCGCAAGAAAGAGCATTTCCTTGTGAACGGGAAACGTCCAGAGGTTCAGCACTGTCACAGTGGCTTCTGGTCTCATCTTGTTGAGTCTCGACCTACGAAGATTTGGCGGGAAGCGCTTCTTATGAGGATGCACCCACAGCTCGAGGCGAACCTCAAGGGAAACACCAGTGCCTTATGGCCTTCATGTGATGCGCTCCCTGACATGATTCTTCCTGTGTGATTCAGCTCTTGCTCGACGGCCCGGGAAGTCCGGTTTAACGTTATTCTCCTATGGCTGCGACTCCCCCTTTCATGCCAGGTACAAGGACAGCACCTCCAGAAAAGGGCTTTGGGTCTGAGATCGAAGGCGTCGTCAGCCGTGGTCTAGCACATTCCTGGCCGGATTAGCTATGCTGGTGCATGATAGAGCAGCCGGCTGGTGCCGGGAAGACCTCGATTCGAGTCCAAGAGCCATCATGATGGTAGACGTATCCTTGGGAATCCCACCACAACACGCTCGCAAAGCTACTGGTTTTGGTAAAGGGCTACAAGGCTGGATTTCACCCCTGTCTATTGGTCACCACCGGCTTCCCGACTTCCCGTTTCGTGCTCTCGGCGATAGGCCATTAATAATACCAATCGACCCGGTACACGGAATACCGATCGCGGACGTGGTGTCCGAGAGCAACCCCTCCGAGCCCCTCTTCAGGACTTTGCCCGGCTGTCTCCTCCATATCTGTTCTAAGTATTTTTTTTATCCGTGGTCTCGCTGCTATATATCTAGAATACGTTCCCCCCCGGTGTCTGGTTCTTGAGCAATATATCACGCACCAAAGTTTCCACACAATGGCCCTCTCCAGCTGCTGCACGACCGGCTTTCGGTGGGATGGTAGCCCCAAAGGCCATGAAGCAACCCTTGGCAGCAACAAGACCTATGTAACCGGCACCAATAAGGACGCTGCGGTTCTCATCGTCCACGACATTTTTGGCTGGTCCTTGACCAACGCCCGACTGTTGGCTGACCACTATGCCGAGGAGGCAGACGTTACTGTCTATTTACCTGATTTGTGAGTACCTGAATTGACCGGAAGAGCTGGTGTCGTGAGGACACGTTGTTACCTAGTCTCCAGCCCTGTCCCTGTCGCGTGTGGTCAAAAACTTGCTAGCTCCTTTCTCTAACCTCCTGCTCTAGCTTTGGCGGCGAAGTCGTCACTCCTGACCGGTTGATGGGAACTGGTGAGCATGCAAAGAGTGAGCCATTTGATGTGATGGGATTTTTGGGCCGACATGGCAAGGACACGAGGCAACCGGAAATCTTTGCCTGTGCCACCGCCCTGAAGAAGGACTTGGGTTATAAAAAGGTCGGCGCCATTGGCTTCTGCTATGGCGGTTGGGCCGTCTTCCGACTAGCTGCTAAAGGTCAGTCTTGGGCCCTTCCTCCTGAGAGCTCCTGTCCACCTACTTGGGTTGTACTGCCCAATGAATCATTTGAATTGTCTTGAGCTGTGGCTGACAAAAAACCATGGAACAGGAAACAACATCATCGATTGCGTCTCCACGGCACACCCGTCGCTGCTTGAAAAGGCCGAGATTGACGCCCTCAGTGTCCCGACCCAGATCCTCGCGCCGGAGGATGATCCCCTCTACACGCCCGAACTCAAGGAGTACTCTCTGAAGGTGCTGCCTACGTTGGGCATTGAATGGGACTACCAATACTTCCCTGGATTATCGCACGGCTTTGCGACACGCGGCGACACCAGCAACCCGGTTCAGAAAAAGGGTCTGGAACGAGCGAAGAACGCCGCCTCGGCGTGGTTCCGAGAATACCTGCATTGAGAGACCGTCACCAACTTATAACTTTTTTTTGCTTTTCTTCTTCAGCTTAACTGTGGAGAGCGTCTTGTGGCTGCCACGTCCACTCCTTTGGTATTTGTGCGGTATCCAGAAATTCCGACCTGTACAAGCTATGCCCAGCTCTCATTGACGAGGAGCAAGGCTTCCGGGGCTGGAAGATCCCCCAAGTTGAAAGTCGCTGGGGAGAGAGCTGCTTCATTGTGCAGTTGGTGTATTGTGGTCGTGGACAGTCTCCAATTTAGTGACTACAACTATTAGCAATCGAAGCAGTCGAAACCAAAACACCGCTGTCGGTATGTACCGTTTCTTCGTAACCTGCAACTGAGATCTCCCTCGTCACGGCAGCCTCGTTTGCCAGATGTTCGGTAGGGACTGGAGTTCCAGATTTCAGGGAGTCTCCCTGCAAAACTGACCAAGTCTGGAAAACAAAAACCTTTCGTTCGTCTTCAACGACGCAGTCTGCAATTCTTCATGGGAGGATGCATGCCCTGCATATCCTCTGCAGTGTCTCTATCCGAATGGTCACCCCAACCAGCCCTGAGGGCAGCACTATTGCTGTCTAGGAAGTTGAAGGCCTGGCCCCGTGATGCAAACCAGGCTTCCCAGGCGCGTCTGCAAGGTGTCCCGAGCCTCAAGGGGGAATAAGAACGTATGTTGCAGCTTCTGCATCACCGCCGTCGCTTGCAACACAGGCTGATTCTTCTCCGTCCCCCCTGGCAGCATATATCGCCGAACAATGGATGAGGCCTCAAGATCAAAGTGGGCACAACCACTGACCTCACGCTCCCCAACCCCATTGAATGTCACTGCACGGCATAGAGCTTGCCAATTCGAGGTCGGAGACGTGGATCATGGGCGAGCCTGCCTGTCCCCCGTCTGCGGCGTCGATGTTGAAGGGAAAAGAGAGTATTCATGCCTCTAGCCCATTGGCGAGAAGGACAAGTTTGCTGCTCTGGCCTCCAGAGTCAGTACGACTTTCTCACACTCACGCACACACACACATGAGATGCCCGTGTTCAGAAAGGAGAGCTACACAGCTCATGTGGTGAAGGGCAAGAGACAAGGGTGCCGGGCAACACAGGTCCAGCGACGACTACCGCACACACGCACGCAGCCTATGGTCCTCAAGGGCAGACACGTAGAGGCGGCTCGGGACAGGTACTATCGACATGGCGTGTTCAGCCACTCAGAACCAAAAAAGGCACACAAAGAACTGTGTTCCCCAGGCCCGCACGGTGAGGTGTGTGTGCGGAAAAGCAGCTGGCACGCAGGCACGCAGGCAGAAGCCGCAACAGGCCAGGCCCAGGCATAGGAGCTCGAGCTTGAAGACCGTCTCGGAGTCAAAGTCTCACTTCTGCTGCTCTTCTTCGTTCTCGCCTCCCTTTCCCCCCTTTTCCCCTTTCGCCGTTCCCCCATGTCATTGACCGCCATGAGGGCCCTCGATGACAGCCACCAACGACGTCACAGGGGAGTATCTGCTCAAGCCGACAGAGTTCTTTGTTCAGGGGAGATCCAACTGCTGCTGCTCATGCATCACAGAGCCATAGGACGAAAACAAGCAGGCCCGGTTGAGGAGAGAGGTACGGTGGATCGCAAGGGTTGGAAGATTGCAGAGGCTCACTGGCGGTTGGGTCAGTGAGCTGGACAGGATAGTTACGCAGCCTCGATCAGGAGGACGAAGGGATGAGGGAGCAAGAGAATGAGAGCAAGATGTGTGATCGAGGAAAAGAACTCTGTAGCAAAAAAAAAAAGGTAGAGAAGTCTTGGTGGATTCTGGAAAAGTTCAAAATTCATATTGAGACGAGCTTGGATACCTCCCTTTGTTGCCTCCTTGCCTCCCCTCCGCGGTCCCTGAAGGGCTTTGCTTGAGCTCCAGCCTCCCCCAAATCCCGTCACAGCGGCGTTCACACGTCTCTCCCGTGCCATTCGATGATAGAGCATGCATGAAATAATGAGGGGGGAGAGGTAACCACCGTGCACGCAGGGGCCAGGACGTATCTTTCGACCATCTGTCAAGGCCGGCCCCTTGTGACAGAATCACTCAGTACGTAGAACAGTCTGGCTTGAAACCATAAGAGGTTGGCAAAGTTCGTGACTAGAGACGAGGAGGATAGGAATGTCTTTCTGGCTGTCAGCTCCACAAATTTCTGAAAGGAAATAGATCCGGGAGATGGTGAGGGAGAAGCACCGTGTGTTGATGGCCAGGTAGGAGGGAAAGAAAGACGACCTTTTCGAGAGAGACCGAGGAATCACATCAACCTGCAAATGATACTGGTCTCGTCATTAGCACAATGGAGTAAAGGGGGCAAAGAGGCTGTACGGGTGAATGCTTCCATCACTTCCCTCTCGAAACCCGAAACCCGAACGACGTCCAAGCAAAACAACAACACAACCTCAAATGGAGCAAGTCAAACCCCCACGCCAGGATCAAGGCAGCCGTCAGGACTCCTCATCTCTCACGCTCATGACGAAGAGCTTTTTTTTTCTCTTGGCTACTGCTACTGCTACTGCTTAGCTGCGTCAATTGCAAGCTTGCCTTGCTGTTACTAACATATCTGTCGTTTGTCGTGGCCATTTCGATCCCCTATTGAACATGACACGCTACAGAACCGGGACAGGGAGGCCACACAAACAAAGCGAATAGGGAGAGATGGAGTAACATATTCTGTGGGGCGGAAGCTGGCCGGAAGAACCAGTGTTCGCATTGCAAGGCCGACGGGACGAGATACAACATTGCCGGCGACCAATCTCAAAGTTCAGTAGGAAGAGCGCTTCAGCACCCTAGGGGGAAGTGGCGAACCCGGCAGAGGCGCGCCGAAGAAGCGAACACAAGGAGAAGGGATAGAGAGAGAGAGAGGGAAAAAGTAACGATGTTCTGGCCCCCTTCTGGGTTTATGACCCTGCCAAATTTGGATGCAAACAAGTAGAAGGAAAGAGGGAAATCAACCATACACCATTCCTTCGAACGTTCTGTCGTCCATCCCAGCATTCGAGCCAGCTGTCCTGTATGTATCGATATGCTGATATCCCCTTGTCCAGATGTCCCCGTTGAGCAAATGCCTTGTCTGTGCACCATGTTCCCCTGCGTTTCGCTATGCTTCTCCGCTGAAATGACCTGCAGTATACCCGTGAGAGAGAAATGCCTTGGGCTGTCCATATGCCTGCGCTACTCCATCCTCATGACAATCTGTGTAAAGAAAAAGACCCTGATGAAAGGAATGAGTATCCGAAGAAACAAAAGGCAAGTCACGTCCTTGTTTCAGCGTCTGCGTTGGACGGTCTGCCATCCATCAGAGTCGGTCCCCTTCCTGGCACGGAGACCAGCGCCAGGAATAAATTTTGCAGCGTTGGGGTTGTAGGAACGGCAACTTGATACAGATTTTCCACTGTTGCTGCGATCTCGGGGGCCTGCTCCGGGGTAAGGTATCTGGGTAATCAAGTTCATGGGACGCTCGCAGGGGTCGTGAGAAAACCCAACCTGGACCTCTTGGTAGGGTCCTGGCCTCCTTGATCGACGAAGAAACTCGTCGCGGACGATACGTGCAATGACAGTAGATGAAAAGACGGCAGTAGCTAAGGGACGTCAGTTAGACCAGCAAGAAGAGCTGTAGCAGAGGTCGACGCCGACTTACCGTTGCCGGTGTTAAACAACCATACCAACTCGACGTTATGTCGACCGACGAGCTCGGTCAGATCCCTCCGGAATCTCTCCTCGGTCAAGCCATTGGTGAAGAGTTGTTGACGAGCAAAGGTCAGACGGCGGCGCTCGTTGGAGGGAGGCTGCATTCGAGCAAGGTCATCGTTCTCGAGGTACGGCTCGCCATACTTCACGTCATGGCCTTTTCCGAACAAGCCACAACCATAGTCATGAACGGCCTCAGCTTCCTCGTTCATGAACACCATGGCCGCGCCGGCGTACTGGAAGATGACACAGACGGCCTCATATTGCTCCACGTATGCCATGGAAAAGATGGCACCGGTGCTGATTCGTTCCGTCACCATGCTCAAGGGCTTATCTTTGGACCAGCCGTAGATCCAGATGCAACGGAAGTCCTCTTCCCGCGGCTGGCCGTTGTTCGAGGCTTGCTCGGTGATGTGTCGCTTTAATCCATCGGATGGTCCAAACTTGACCAAACGATTGTTGCTGGGGATGTCGGTTGCAGCCACGGCGGCCCAAGTGGAGGAAGTATTGGATCTTGCAGGAGCACGACCGGCGTTGCCATTTTGGGGGAGGAGTTGAGCTTTGGCGGCAGGGATAGAGTTCATGTGAAATTTCTCAATGGACCAAGGAGCCGTGGTATGATTGAACGTGTCAAGCATGGAGTGGACGTCTCGTGCGATGCCATTCGCTGCTTCATTTTCACCTTCGGTTCGCAACTTGTTCCATGATTAGTCCAGCGTGCTGCAACATGGGAAGAGCCGTTCCTTACATGCTCCACCACCCTGTTCAAGTGGCTCAGGGCATCCGCCATAACATCGCTGACATGAAGAGGGTCGTTTCCGATTGCCATCATGCCCTGTGTTGATGCCTGATTAGCACGGTTTTCGCCTTCGCCTTGCGCGGCATCTGGAGGGAACGAGGATGGAGTGATGGTCGAAAGGGATGGTGTGTCAAGGGTAGTAAGGGGAGGGGGAGGGTGGCCACGAACTTCAGAGTCTTCACTACTGGCGTCACTGTAGATGAGAGAAGGAGAGTAGAGTGGGTGGTTGGAGGGGTGGCCGAGGCTGCGCCAGGTTGGGCTGGAGGTGGTAGAGGAGCAGGAATATCTGGAGAGCATCATGGTGGAAAGGGAGGGGGGAGGAGCACGAGATGTGTCTCAGCAACTCTGAAGGGGTCCGGCACAAAGACAGGGCGCGTGTGAAGTGTCAAGAGAGCTTCTCGACAAAACCCAGGCCGTAAACAAATGGTGTTTCCTGTCGTCACTTCACTTTGGATGCCTTGGGAAACAAAGAAGTCAACGAAGGCTCCCGCTACAGATCAGAGACAGCAGTGCAGGTTTTTCGCACCCGGCAGCAGCTACCCGAAGCAAGATAAAAAGAGCTCGTTTTCTTTTTTTTCTCTCAAGGTGTTCAAGATTGCAATGCACTGGGTTCCTTTAGATTTTTTAGAGCAGAGGGTGTGGGAATATGTTTGCTCCTGCCAGTCCCGGTGGGAATCTCCTCGCATTTGTATGTCTGGCCACCACGGTCCTTTGCTCCACATCGCAAGACACCAGCCCCCATGGTCCATGGTCTGTGGTCCATGGACATCTGGATCTCAGCCCTTTGATACCCCCAAACCTGCAGATAAGAGCCAAAGAGAGAGAGAAAAAAAAAATCAACCGTCTCCGACCAGCTCCTCGTACAGCCGTGGGAACCTTCACATGTGCCAAAGTAGTATGATCCATATTTCCTGGTTCCCCTTCCAATCGTGGTGTCTGGTGTCCTTCAGCGCCAGAACGCCATTCTGATGCCCAACTCTCGGCCCAATGCCCGCCTTGCTTCAACTGTTCTTGTCATGGCATCTCGATTTTCGTGGGCGCGGCGGAGGAGATATTTCATGCATTCCCCCATTTTGCCCCAAACCAAATATTTATATGCTTTGGGAACCTCCACGCTGCCGTTGCTGTCGTGCGACGCTAGACGGGTCCTTGCCCGTTGTACCACCTCGTAGCTGACGTTGTCCGCCATTCCCATCAACTGGCCATATGCCAGTTCGATCCGGGGTTGACCAGTGCGTGCTTGCTCATCTCGAAGTTCGCTGGCTAGTCTCACCGATTCCGCATTGTGGGTGGCGAGCACGAGGGCCACCCGCGGGAATTCAGTTGATCCTCCCTCGACGGGCTGCAGGATGCCCTGGTATCGCTGTTGCAGGATGCTCCTCGCGAGACCGTTGTAGCAATTGTGCGTCTCCTCGATGGTGGGCCAGAACAGCTCCCGGGGATCACTGCCCATATAGGCCCCTCGCACCAGTTTCACGCCGAGGACGAAGCCGTCTCTTCGAGCTAGCTCAAGATGGCGTGCCAGATTTTGTGGAGTTCTTCTGGCATAGGCCTGGTAGGTGCCGTACACCAAGGCCTGTTCTCGGTTATACCTTTTTGCAAAGTACATTGTCCAGTTGTCGATGCCTTGTTGCAACGATGCCTGCTCGGCGTCAAACAGAAGTTTGACTCCTTTCTCCTGAGCTCGCTTGCAGATGTCGTGCACAGCCTCCTCGAACTCTGGTGAACATGCAATGGTCGCCTGGAGATGTCGGAGCGCTTGCCGTCCAGCCCCCGTGAATTTCAGCGCGACAAAGTCGCCCTGCTGGGCAAGATCCACCGTGTCAATGGTGTTCTGCCTCCACGTTGCAATTTCCTCTGCATCAATGTGGGCTTGTTCTGCCGCATTCTTGGGCACATTCAGGCCATCCGCCTCTTCCTTGCTGAGGACCACCTCTTTCGCGTGGCCCAATATGACACCCTTGAAGCCGGTCTCCTTCAATTTTGCAATTGTTTTTTGGACCTCCGAGGGAGTTTCGCCGGCACAGAATTGGGCGTAGAAGGTGCGTTTGAGGAGAGAGTGAAGGATGGGGTTACGGTCGGGGTTGAAGAGAGGCGACTTTGTGTGAGCGAGGAAGGTCATGGCGGCTAAGGAAGGACGAAGCAGGAACGGTACGGATGATATTGTGGTGATGATATATGAGCGCATCAGAGAATCTAAGGGGACGCATGCCAACGGCCTGGGTGAGCGCATGTCTGAAGCCTGCGCATTGGTCTCTGCGGCGTCGTAGGCCGTGGATGTGATGTTGCGCCGTGTATGCGCTTTGCGATGCTGCTGTGTCGGTCGGAGACTCTTGACCTCGAAACGACTTTCTCGATCCCACAGGCACGTCTCGTGTCGCGAACACACAGAGAGAGCAGGGAAGGACTGTGTGTGAAGGATGTGCCTCGATGAAACTCGTGACCCCAATCTGCGATACAAGTAGAGGTCCATACCGGATATCAACAGGCAGTAGGAGGGCGCGTATGGGTTTACAGCAAGAACAGGAGATAAACAATAGAGAATTAGGGAGGAACGAGCAGACTCATCTCAATAGAAATCACAGGTGATGGTACATACCAGTGGACTAATTGACCAGATAGAGGGGGGTACTGAATAGTACCGTGCAGTGCAGTGACGATACGTCAGCGCCCATCTCCACCTCTCCGAGATAAAGAGGAACGGGTGGGTCTCATCGACTGGACTTGGGCCGTGAATAGCCGTGCAGCTGCAGGCGAAAGCCACAGAAGCTTTTGTATAACATCAACTTCTGAGCTGAGAGGCGCAGGTGGCTGCCGGTGGTGCCGACATCTCGACACCTCGACATCTCGTGACCAAGACACAAAGTCCTAAGTCCACGCCTTGTGATCATTCAACGGCAAACATTGTACTGTAATTTTGAACCGTCGAGCGACATAGGGGAACCTTTGCCGAACAATCGGCAAGGAGGACCCGAGGTTCACCAAGATGGGTCGCAGCGACAAATGTACATTTCACAAGGACAAGTTATACCTAGTAGACTGACTCTTCTTCGTAGCAGCTGCCGTTACTCTCAAGGAAAAGGGGAGAGGAGATAAAGATGGAACAAAGCGCAAAGTAATTATTGGTGGTAGAGTGTTGGGCAGCGTGGGGTTTCACGTGATAATGTGGTTGCTTGGACAACCAAACCCGCCAAGGAGACTAATCCAATTTTGGCCAAGGTCGCAACATTGGACTTCGATGCGTACTTTCAGTGCAGTTGAAATCAACGCTCCCCACACACACCTTCAACAAGCCACGGCCTCGACCACTGTATCCGACCTGCGTTCTGATCTTTACGAGCGTCATCATTTGTACCATCCCTAATCTCCTGCTTTGCCTCCGAGCCTCCCCTCACCTAACCTGATGAGCTCCATCCGTGCATGATCCGATATCTTGAGCAGTACCACTGCCAACATGACCTCCGACGGCGCCTCGTCGATTTCAGTTACCGTTCGAGTCCGACCATTCACTATCCGAGAAGCTGCTCAACTAACAAAATGCGACGATACAACGATTTTCCTGGGGGATGGTTCGCTGGCTGCTGCCCCAACTCCAAAGCTCTCTCAAAAGGGCCTGCGGTCCGTCATCAAAGTCGTTGATGAGAAGTGTTTGTACGTGCACGCCACCTGTCACTCGATCGAACCTTTCCACAGATTGACTCATTCCTGGTAGAATATTTGATCCACCCGAAGACAATCCAGTCCAGAAATTCTCACGATCCGTCGTCCCCTCCGGCAAAAGAGTTAAAGACCAGACTTTTGGCTTCGATCGAATCTTTGACGAAAATGCCTCCCAGGGCGAAGTTTACGAAGCCACCACAAGGCCGCTGCTGGATAGCGTCCTGGATGGATATAATGCAACGGTCTTCGCATATGGCGCAACGGGCTGTGGAAAGACTCACACGATCACGGGCACCGCCCAAGAACCGGGCATCATCTTCTCGGCTATGAAAGAGCTGTTCGAGAGGGTCCAAGAGCAGTCAAACGAGAAGATTACAGAGATATCGTTATCATACCTTGAAATCTACAACGAAACCATCCGTGATCTGCTCGTCCCCAGCACCGCGAAAGGCGGGCTGATGTTGAGAGAGGATTCAAACCAAGCCGTCTCAGTGGCAGGCCTCTCGAGCCACCACCCCCAAAGTGTCGAAGAGGTCATGGAGATGATTGTGAGAGGGAATGAAATGCGGACAATGTCACCCACAGAAGCCAACGCAACTTCGTCCCGTTCACATGCTGTGTTGCAGATCAATGTTGCCCAGAAAGACAGAAACGCTGGCGTCGAGGAGCCCCACACGATGGCCACGTTGAGCATAATCGATCTTGCTGGCAGCGAGCGTGCAAGTGCCACCAAGAATCGAGGCGAACGGTTGCTTGAGGGTGCCAACATCAACAAGTCCCTCCTGGCACTAGGCAGTTGTATCAATGCCCTCTGCGACCCCCGCAAACGCAATCACGTACCCTACAGAAACTCGAAACTCACGCGTCTACTCAAATTCTCTTTGGGCGGCAACTGCAAGACTGTAATGATCGTCTGCGTCAGTCCGTCAAGTGCGCACTTCGACGAAACGCAAAACACCCTCCGATATGCCAACCGCGCGAAGAACATCCAGACAAAGGTCACCAGAAATGTGTACAACGTTAATCGTCATGTCAAAGATTACTTGGTCAAGATTGATGAACAGATGGCGCAGATCAACGAACTCAAAGCTCAACTGAAGGACGCCGAGACCTTTGCTTTTGCCAAGTTCAAAAAGCAAAACGAGAAGAAGGAAAATATTGCTCGAGAAGGAGTGCAAAGAATCAAAGCCGCATACGAAAATTCTGGGCTGGAGAGACAAGAACGGACCAACAACATGATCAAACTGAAGCAAATTGGCCGAAGAATTGCAATGCTGTCTTCTTGGATCTCTGCCTTCGATGCAGTCTGTGACAACCTAGAAGAAGACGATCTCATGAGGAACATGCAGGCTGTGAAGAAGACCGCTCAAGGCATTATGATGGAACTGGAGAGCGGCCGTCATCACTGCCAACAGAAGGTTCTCAAGAGCAGCTGGGATCGTCCCATGAATACGGCATTGGAGCATAGCTTGAAACAACTGAAGGAAGTGGACACCGGCGACATGATTGACTCTGAGATGCTTCGGCGCGAAGTGGAGATGCTCAAGCTGAATGCTGAGCGGGAATCTTTTGCAGCCTTGGCCGAGCAAGACAAGAATGGGGACGCACCCACGATTCAGGTTCTCCTACGAGCCCACTTTGAGACCATCGCTGCCATTGAAAGCTTGAACCGCATGAGCGTGGAGGAGGCAGTCGAAGCTGCCACTCAAATTTTGGGGAAGATGATCAACTCTGCGTCAAGCGCAGCATCGTATGTCGTCAAACCAGATGGAAGTCTCGCTCCCGTTGAGGCATTCGCACCAACCAAAGCAGGCACTCCCAAACGACGTAAACAGAGTGTGAACAACTCGATTCTGGAAGGAAGTCCTGTGAGAGCGAAGCCCCCAATGATGATGGCGAATCACCTCACGGTATCTCCAGCCAGACCCTCGCCTAGACGTCGTGGTCTGCTGGGAAGCGCAAAGAAGGGCGTCCAGGTGAACTTTACCCCGAAGAAGAGGAAGGGCCCGCTCAAGGGCGTCAAACGAGTCGTGCGGTGGAAAGACGACATTGAGGATGGCACACTTGCGGAGTTTGAGAAGACGCCACAGAAATTTCCTTCGTCGGACGAATCGACCACTGAAATCTCCATCCCCCAGGTGTCAGACCTGACCTCGTCCTTCTCGAAATTGCAAACACAATCTCCTGGTTCCTCGCCCATTCCTCCTCCGCCAGAGGCTACTCTCAACTTCCAACCGAAGAATAGTCGTTTCCAAGCCGGATTTCTCTCCAAAAAGTACGATGGTTCGCCACTCGTCTCAAGCATGATGCCTCCGAAGATGACACCACTCTCGTCATCAGACAGCGAGGACTCACCACTAAGAGAGATCGATGCAAGCAAAGCGTCGAACCGCCGATCCTTCATCCCCATGCAGCAAAGTAAAGACACAGCAGATATGTGCGGCGACGCCGGCCCAAACTCCTCGACGACAAACTCCGACAGCGAAAACCACAACAGCACCGCCTCTGACAAGGAAGACGTGCTCAAGATTCGCGAGGCAGTGAAACGCTCCTCGTCTCTCCGCCGTTCGGGCATCCATGGTTCTCGGACTCAACGACGCCGATCGCCGACGGCAGCGACGGCAGCAGGCGCCGGTTCTCCCACCAGCGAGTCGATGTTTGGTGCCAGCCATGTTAGGAGAATGGTCCACGGCACAAGGAACGAGCTTTTGAAGGAGAACGACGCCGGGTCTTGGAAAGTTGGCGTACTTAGTCCCCGCGTCCAAGGGATTGTTAGTCACGGGAAGAGTTCTTTGGGGGCGTATTCGAATCCCATGCGGCGAACGACGATGAGTGGCATGGATGTGCGTGGAGGGGCCAACAGTGCTAGTGGTGGTCCTGAGCGAGCGGGAGGAGTGAGGCTCTCTTCCATTACGGCTGGATCAAGTGGGCATGGACACTCCGCCAGCAGAGGGAGTTTGATGCCCTCTGGGAAAGCGGTGTGGCGTTGATGCAAGGGACCATCTCTCGGGGACAGTTGGGGAGAAGAAAAGTCATTTCTTGATGGGTTGTACGCCTTCTATCTGGGCGTTCGCATATTTCGCTGTTACAGACTTGTGGTTGGGTTTGCGACCGGTAGGAGGGACTGAGCACAGGGTATTGGGGATACAGGTCTTGGACACGGACTGGTTGGGACGACTCAAGGATGGGGATATTCATGAACAAGGATTTTTAGTCCCAGGATGTGGCGAACCTGGACTTATCGTACGATTGGCGAGAGCTCGTTGCTTTTATCCTGAGCCTTTCAGGAAATACCGACCGGGAGATGAGTTGTGTGCATGATTTAGGGCTTCTGTTTCTCGTGTTTGCGACCCAAGGAGCCGTCCCATACGCTCGCGTTCTGCTCTGCGAGGTCTTCCTGATAAGGTTAGTCTCACCCAATCGAGTAAGAACATTTCTATTTGGAGAGGAGACCATATACTCCATCCACCCCCGTCCGTAAAACCAAGAAACGAATTGCAATTTTTTATGAATGCGACTTTGGTGGTCCTTGTTCCGGTCCTGAGCAATGAATCTCTTCAAAGAAAAAAAGATGTCCTCGATGATCAATTTGAGACAAAGACAAAGGAACATTAAACGGAAGGCAGTCACCCTCGGTACAAACGGCCCTGTGGTGGCCGTGTGATCGAAGTATCCATTCGATCAGTCGACTGAAAACTGGCGGTGGTAGCTTATCGAAGAGTGAGGGCTTTTCTCTGTTGCTTGGAATTTCGATTCGAAGATGTGCTCGGGATTTTCGAGCTTCTCAGGCTTCCCCGGTTGTTTGGGAGGGCCCAGGGCAAATGTGACGCCGAGGGTGCGTTGGCGGCTGGGAATTCATCCGAGTCTGTGGAAAAGGAAAGCAGGACATTTCAGCCGCGATCAAGTCTGAATCCAACGGACGTTGATAGGCTCCGCTATTCCAATCCGAGGAAAAGTTGTGCTGGGAACTGAAGGTCAGATTTGTTAGTCGACAAAATCAAGTGGCTTCCAATATCGATGGAATCATCAATCGCAGTGAATATATTGCGAACACATGATATGGAATGGAAATAGAATCTGGGCGTATTCCTAGCAGACATAGTTACCTCTTCTGGCTGAGTGTGCGTATTTGTCACGGTCGACGAGCTTGATAACGGAATCACACATGAAAAGAGTCTATCTGGAGAAGGGCTGGGGGCAGTGATAGGCCTGAACAGGGAGGGGGGGCCCCCTACACAGTGCCGAGTACGCCTAAGCCCCCAAATGTTAGGCATCACCCAGCGAATGGGGGAGCCAAGCACTGCCACCCAGAAACTGTCATCACTTCTCTATCCCCTCCTCCAATGACGTGATTGATGTCGCCGCTTCACCTCCTTCCCGAGGGAAACTTCGACAACGGCGTGAAGAGGCTTTTTGTGTCGTTTGACATCTGGAATTGTTGGAATCAGACACTCACATATATATCGCCATCCCGACCATCACTCAACAATCTCTTCACATACGAATCCCAAAGTACACCGCCAACCTGCAGCTCAACATCAGTGACCCTTCTCCCCTCACTATCCTCGCACTCGTCCTCTTGCTGACCATGGCTTTCCAACTGCCTTCGTTCCTGTCCCGCTTCCTCCGCCCGTTGAGCACTGCGGCCTCAGTGTCCCTCCAGCCCGACGCCCTCGCGGCTATGCAATTCCCTCCCAACTCACAGCGAGCCATCTTCGCCGGCGGGTGTTTTTGGGGTCTGGAAGAGTTATATCGCAAGCACTTCGGCGACGGCAAGGGTCTGTTGGACTGCAGAGTTGGATACACCGGCGGCCAGACCAAGGCCCCGTCATACCACGACGTCTGCTCTGGACGTACCGGCCACGCCGAATCGCTACTACTAGTCTTCGACCCGGACCGTCTCTCGTACAAGCAACTTTGCGAGTTCTTTTTCAGGATACATGATCCGACCACCCTCAACCGCCAGGGCGCCGACAGCGGCACGCAGTACCGCTCTGCGATTTTCGCCGAGAACGACGAGCAACTCCAGATAGCCGAGGAGATTAAGAGGAAGGTGGGCGAACAATGGTATCCCGGCAAGAAGATCACCACCGAGATCCGAAGAGCGACGCAGTGGTATGATGCGGAGGATTACCATCAGAAATATTTGATCCCGGAGCCAGGCAAGGACACATCTGGCTTGTACCATTGCCCTGCGCATTACCGACGACCATTCCCGGACTTGAAGTAACTTTAAGCATGGAGAGGGGAATTCCGGTTTTCTATAGCGCAGTTCTTGTCAATAAAGATGTATTGAGTGTGTTGTATAGCAATTTACAGAGTATGAATCTTTGATCGCTTAAGACCCGCGACCTCCTGCATGTTCGCCGCTCCAATGCCCCGTATGCTCCTCTAACGACACGGGGCTTGGGGATTGCCCCCACGTATCGAGACTCCGCCTCAGAACGAGAAACGTGATAGCCAGACAGCTTCTACTGCAAGGCTTTGCAGTTGCACCGCCCTGTTGCTCTGCTAGTCAACGCCCAATTACCTGGAAGCAGAACGGGCAACACGGCACGGCACAGGTTGAATGAGCGGAGTTAACCAGGTACTATACCTACCTATGGCCCCAGCTTCGGATCGCCCCATTTTGTATCAATACTTACTACTAGAATGTCCCCATCCCTGCGGTGTACCCAGACACAGTCGCCCTCGTATTTATACTCATATCTACAGTATGTGACCAGACTTCGGAATACTTTGGTCTCCTTGCTGCATACTCCCTCCGTTCTTAAGGTCGTGCCGAGATACACGGACGGCTCGCATACCTGGTGGCTCGGGAATAACACTCCCTTGAGAAAGACGGGACTATTTGACGACGGTACTTTTATTACAATACAACTACTCCATTGCGTTGTGGAAATCCTACTACCGTGCCACCCCTTGATTTCGATTTGACTCCAGTCAACTTCAAACAGACCTTTTCCAAAGCATCCTCCGTGTCTACGGAAGGACAGCCGATCAAGTCGAAACCCTTCTCATCTGTCTCTCTATCAACCTCTGACGCGGTCGGGTCCTTACGAACTTGGTCCCAAGGCCAAAGGGGGGGGGAAGTCAGGAAGGAAGGAAGGATCCATAACGACTAGCCGTCGGCCCATCTCCATCTCCATCTCCATCTACATCGGTTCTTCCATCCATCCATATATCCATCAATCATCTATCTATCCGTCGCCAACGTCTTCATGGCAACCTTCATCACCGTCGGCAACGGCGTGGTGGCCAAAGACGGCGTGGCCGAGGGCGAGGCCGCGCAGTACGCCGCCCTCAAGCGACAGGTACTCGAAGGGGAGGCGCGCAAGAAGCAGGAGGAGCGCGAGCGGCGGGTCAGTCTGGGACTACCGCCCGAGCTGACGCGGGAGGAGAAGAAGGAAGCCAAGCGGAAGGAGAAGGAGAGGAGGAAATCCGAGGCGGCCAGGGAGAGGGAAAGGGAGGGCGGCGGGGGGACGGGGAAGAGAGTGCTGGGCATGCTGTGTTTTGGCCCTTAGAGTTGGAGAATGTCTTTTTATTACTTCTGCGAAATGTGTCTTCGGCATGTGCGTAGAGGCCCCTGACAGAGACGTCTACAGCCGGCTAGGCATCCTCACGGCGCCGTCGAGTCGGATCACAAACCCATTCAGCATGGGATTCTCCACAATCTCCTTGACCAGCCGTGCGAATTCATGGCCCTGACCCATGCGCATTGGGTACTGGATCATCTCGGTATTCATGCCCGCCCGCGACCCAGTGCTCCCTTTCGGTTTTTCAGCCCCCTCTTTCTTTGCTGATGGTGACTTCTGTCCCTGTGCCGGCTGTGGCTTCTTCGGCTGCATGGTCATGCCGGTCTGGAAGACACCAGGTGCAATCCCCATGACTCGAATCCCTGCCTTTTGGCCCAGCTCGCGGGCCAGTGGGAGGACGATGCTGCGCACCGCACCTTTGCTGGCGCTGTAGGCTAGCTGGCCGACCTGTCCTTCATATGCCGCCACAGACGAGACAACAACCACTATCCCTCGTTCGCCATCGGGACCCCACGGTTTGTTGAGCGCCATGTGCGGTAGAGTGAGGCGGATCAGGTCAACCGTGCCCCGGAGGTTGACGGCCAGGGTGCGGTCAAAGCCAGACATGTCCATGTATTTGACGCTTTCATGGCTCGCCGAGGGATCCTGCTTAGGAAGCGCCAGTGCGGCCGTGCCTATGCCTGCGGAACAGATGACCCCGGACAACGGTTTTGTGGTCTCTTGAATCCAGTTTAGAGTATTTTGCAAAGCTGCTTGTAGTGACTCGGTCGACGCAACGTTTGTCTTTGTGAAAAGGATTCGGGAGGAGTCGAGAGAGGCGTCTGAGGGCGGAGGGTTGAGATCGAAGATGGAGACATTGGCGCCGTGTTGGAGGAAGATGACGGTAGTTGCGAGACCCAAGCCAGAAGAGCCTCCGCTCACAATGAAGGTACGGTCTTTGATCTGCATGGCTGCTCTATTGGAGGGTAGACCTGGAGGAAATATGAAGTCCAGAGTAGAGATGGAGGACAGAAAAGAGAGGAATTTAGAACGCCGAAGGACCTACCTCGGTTCAAAGCGTGGTTGAAGTTCATGTGCTTGTTGCGGCTATCGTCACTCAGCAGCAATGTTGAACACTGTTGATCCTGCGTGGGAGATTCTTCTGCCTGGTCGCATGAAGAGAATCCCCCCTGGGCATTTGCTCTGCAGAGTGAAGGGTGCTGGAGCCTCAGTCGTGATCCCCCAGTGACAGGCAAGAGCGCAATGAACAGAGGTGTAACCAGCATTATCTAAATAAAGCTTCCAGCACGTGATAGTACCACTCGGGTGATAGCCACGGCGCCGCCACCAGTAAATAGCCCAGTGGTACCCAGCGCCCCTTAAGCTTTACCCGCACCAGTAGTTGGTGTCGGACGGTATGAGCGTATGAGCAACTGCCCGCCGCCCACCGTCCTGGATCTGCCACTTGTGGGCGCGGAGGCCGACCCTGAAACATTATTGATTGTTCCCAGGACGCTCATAAATGTCTAACTTGGGATGACATGTCAATGGAACACTCTGCAACTCAGGAATCCCCAAGTGCAGAGCGTTGACACCCACGGTCTGAACAGCTTGAACGCATGATCCATACTGATCCGACCCTCACCCTCACCCTCACGTCACTGTGGTCTCGTTACGGCACACAAGTTCATACGCCAAATTTCCCCCGCCCCCAAGCCTCAAGCACAATCCATCTCCAAGTGAACCAGGCTGATCTGGTCCGACCACGTACACCTGTCCACACATCCCTCAAATACAGTGCTGGGCAGCTGAGCAGGATCCTGCCTACATCATATCACACTCCTCCGCTTCTTGCGTGCGAGCATTCTAGCAGACACCAAATTCATGACCATTTCGCCATATGTCCCTTTCGTCCAGCCGTTCGAAACCGCTACCGAACCGGAGCGTCCACAGCCTCAGGAATGGAGGAAGAGCCTCTAGAGACTCCTCCAGGGTCCGGCGGAAATCTATCACTCCCAACGATGCCTACACTTATGCTCTCCGAGTGGCCTACCTGTCGTACTTGCTGCAGCCGCGCAAAACCAGGAAGAAACATATCGAGACCAGGCCGGCGATCAATCGCACGAACACTTCCCATTCCTTCAATGACTTGATGAAAGATTTTACCATGGTTCGAGATGCAAAGAGCGCAAGATTCCCCCATGATTTCATCAAAGAGCTGGAAAAGAGGCTGCAGGGCATCCTTATTGGTAAAGAGAGGCGGCAGGAATACCATGAGCCTGTGGTCAAAAGGGTTTTCGCCATATTTCTCAATACTCTGTCCGATCCTGCTTTCAAAAAGCGCATGGAGGCGGATCGAAGAGCTGAAGATCTGGTACTCATCTTCTTCTCCACGGCCACCAAGGAGTTACAGAAGGGTCATCCTGCGGGAGACGATGCTGTCAAGCGTCTGGTTGATCGCCACGTCGCCCTCTTCGTTCGCCTCTTGTCTTTGATCCTCCAGGATCGTGACTGGGCCAAGGACAAACCTGACCTGGCAGCTCGACTGCAAACTCTCGAGTCCAAGTTGCTGAAGGGCGACGAAAATCTCGCCGCATCACAGGCAAATGGAGAATGGACCACCGTCGAGGAGGTGATTCCTCTCACCTATGAGGTCAAGGACATGCCCCTAGTTCAGGTGGTGGGGCGCATCTTTGGTCTGACCAACACTATGATGCAGTCCGACATTAACAAAAACAAGCCTATCTGGACAGAAAAGGCAGCGCTTCAGGATCTGAAGACGTACCAGCAACACCTCACCCTCGGGACGAAGTTGACGTTGAATTCCCACGACTTCGACACCCAAGAAGCATACGAGAGCTGGAAAAGGACCGAAGGGCCGGACCTCTCCCAACTGATGCTGGCCATCATCCAGTCGAATCCCGAGTTGGCCAAAAGCACTCCGGGCGGCGCGTTGCCTCAATTCAACCCTCAGAATGAGCCTTCTAGCCCCTCGGATTCTCATTACGCCGAACTCTCCAGAGCCCTGTCCCAGTCCGGGGCCTCTTCATCCTACGTCTTAGATCTGCCGGCAGATCTCAGTTCCCTTCAATTGACTTCGGGCGATCCCTCTCAGCACGACGACAATGCGGCGCAAGTCTATACTTTTATACCTCCCGATCCTAGAGCCATGTTTCGATATGTTATGCTTCAAGCCCTTAATCATGACCTTAACGATAAGATGAACGGCAGTGACGGCGGTCCCGGGGATGGCCGCTTGTTCTCCAAGGAGACTACAGAGCTGTTGAATGAAATTGCTTTGAGATGGCGAATACCCAAGTTCACTCGTATTGTCCTCTTTCTGGATGTTGTTCGTGAGAAATTTACAGAGAACCAGCTCAGTCTGGAAATGCTTGACGCTGCCTTCAACTACGTCAAAGAGCCGTTGCAAGATGACCACAAGAATAAAAGAAGTTCTTTGATCATGAGTACGGCCCTGTACGATCGCAATAATTGGACCGTCACCGATTTTGCCTTGATGGGCAGGCTTCTCAACAGCATCTATGAGACACTCCTTCGAGACCTGTACGAAGTTATCATGACATCCTATGCCGATAAGGCTCAGTTGCCACGGTTGGGGGCCATCATGGCCGTGATAGACGAGCATATTCGCAGCGACCCAAATTTCAATCAAAGCCCCGAAGATTTCGAAAACTTCAAGAAGGCTGCCATTGACGGGTTGGCGACGGAAGCGCGGAAGATCTATGACTCTCTTCTGGACCGCGAACTCCCTCAAGAAAATGACAAGTGGGAATTCTATCATATTCAGCAATTGGCAAAGGCTGTATTGAAGCTTGCAGAGAAAGTCCAGAAGAGGTTCAGAAAGAATCCAGAAATCCTTGGTATCAACCCGTTGATGATACTGATCAATTGTACCCTGCCCACGTTTGCGGAGGATTCAAAGGCAATGGTGGAGCAAATCCTGAATGTTGCCCAGAGAGACGGATTTGAAGTCACTATTCAAGATGGGTTTGATTTGTACAAGGAGCTGAGCGAGTTCCGTCGCGTCCACGCTGATGCCTTACCACACATACCATTTCCCTACAAAATCGAAGACCTACTGGCTGATTTCGTCTGGCGCTGGATCAAGACCACTGAGACACAAGTCATTGGCTGGGTCGAGAATGCAGTCAAGCAAGATGAGTTCAAGATCAGGACGCAGTTGCCGGACCAGACGCCCACTGAGGATGAACGCCACTCAACGTCTGTTCTCGATATTTTCAGCTCTTTCAACCAAGTCATCAACCAAATCAGTGAACTCAATTGGGATGATGATCTCAGCTACGCGAAATTTATGACAGCACTTTCCAAGGCTATCGGCCAGGGCGTCTCGAGATACTGTGAATTGCTCGACCAAATGTTCAATAAAGAGATGGATCGATTGACGCCTGAACAAGAAGCTGCTGCCAATATGACCAGACAAGAGAAATGGGTTCAACTGGCGAAAGACACGTGGAACCAGAAAGAACGAGTGGAGCCTTTCAATTTCTACCCGGAATCCTTTGTCAAACTCAACGACATCCTGTTCGCCGTTCAACAATGGGATAAACTGGAGACCGAGGTCAACGTTGATGCCTGTGCCGAAGTTATCAAAAAGTATGCTCCGCCACTCGCACAACGGCCGAAAAAATCGTCGAATTATGTTTTCACGATCAAGATCGTGGAAGCTGAGGATCTCAAAGCTTGTGACGTTAGTGGCTTCAGCGATCCTTATGTTGTCTTGACGGATGAATACCAGAAGCGGTTGTTCAAGAGCAGGATCGTCTATCGGAATCTGAGTCCACGATGGGATGAATCCGTGGACATTACTACGCAAGGACCCCTCAATCTCATTGCTACCATCTGGGATTGGGACGCCATGGGTGATCACGACTACGTGGGAAGAACTTCGCTCAAACTGGATCCTGCACACTTTAGCGACTTCCTGCCTCGAGAATACTGGCTGGACCTGGACACCCAGGGCCGAGTCATGATCCGCGTCAGCATGGAAGGAGAGCGGGACGACATTCAGTTCTACTTCGGCAAAGCCTTCAGGAGTCTTCAACGAACCCAGCGGGACATGACGCGAAAGATCACCGACAAATTGTCGGCGTACATCAATCACTGTCTCTCTCGACGTGCACTCCGATCTTTACTCAATCGGGGGATCTCCATGGCCAATGTGTCTGCCAATGTCTCGTCATTCTTTGCGCGCAACCGTGCGTCGGTGGCACCAACGACGACCATGCCAACCGAAGCAGAGATTGTCAACGCCCTGAAACCGCTCTTCGACTACTTTGACGACAACTTTGCCATCATGCAACAAACATTAACGTCGGAAGCCATGATTGCAGTCATGACGCGCATCTGGAAAGAAGTTCTCGTCACCGTCGAGGCTCTCCTTGTCCCGCCGTTGTCAGACAAGCCTTCCCAACAGAAAGCCCTGACGCAACAGGAACTGGACATCGTCTTCAAGTGGCTGCAATCTCTCCTGGAATTCTTCAACGCCGTCGATGAAGACACTGGAGAAGCCAATGGCGTGCCTCTCAATGTCCTGAAGAGCCCAAAGTATCACGAACTGCAAATGCTCAACTTCTTCTACTTCGAGCCCACGGACTCTCTCATCCGTGAATCGGAAAGAATGGCCAGCGCCACGGCTGCCAACCAACAAATGCACCGGTCAAGATTTTCTGCTCCGGCCAATCTGAGCAATCACCTTGGTGCGGGCGGTCTCCTCGACCCCGGCAATCTCGCGGGAGCACGCCGCGCTAAGAGCATTTTGCTCTCCCGCAACCTTGGCACGAAACGCAAAGCCAAAGAAGAAAAATGGAAAGCTGCTCAGGCAGAGCCGAATGATGACATGATATTGAGAATTTTGAGAATGAGACCTGAGGCCGCCGGATACTTGAGGGATCGGAGTAGGCAGAAAGAGAGGCTTGCGGCCGCAGCGGCGGCCGATTTGATCGTGAGACAGAGTCTTCTGAGTGGCGGCGGAAGGATGACCGGACCTTCAGTGATACGAAGGTAGACAACAGGGAGGTGGACACATGCAAGGGAAGGACAGAATGGATGAGGAATGAATAATGAGGCTGAGTTCAGATTGTCATTTGTGTCACGCAGGCATGCGGCTGGGTCACGATGGGTTTGTTATTCGATTTTCTCCTTGGACGGCGCGGTCGCATACTTCTGGGTCAGTATTCAGTGTATAGGCGCATTGGCAGAGATCCATGGGGCATGGCGGAGTTCTGAGAGGTATCTGGTAATGGTCATGGCGAGATGGAATACACGAAGTCAAGTTAATACCCTGGTCACTCCTCAGACGCCGAGCGGGCATCGATGGGGACCAGATTTCTTGCAGAACATGTTTATGATATGAGTGTTTGTTTTTGTACGACTTCTGGATTCGGCATGTTTCAACTGCCTGATATGTTATAGAGCGTCCTCGTTCTTTATTATATTGACTAGATGTCATCAAAAGGGGCCGGACACGTGAATTCAGCCTCGCACGGACTGATTGGGTCTAGCCGCGGGGACAGGATCACACAGATATTGTACGAGGTACTATGTAAAGCATACCTAGAGGAAAACATTACTTGAAGGTTTAGCCAAAGATTTAAGTAGATATGCATACTGTAGTTCAAGGTTTCTTCTTCTAGGAGGCGCCCAAATAACTAAATTCCCTACATTTTACTTCGATATCCACCACCACTTTTATTAGTGAAACCAAACTTCTAACAGGCTGGTTTGATAGGGTGCATGGCTACTTATTCAGAAGCGTTACCATATCATCTCAGTATTATTATATGCTGACTATGCACTCCTCAGGAAAATAGTTGTTTGCGTGAGCTTTCTATCAGATTGTAAGGCGAAGAAAAAGAAGAAGAGGAGGGAGAAGAGGTGCCCAACGGACGGACGGACGGACGGAGAGATAATAACATTCAGACTTGCTCGACTCGAGCTTGCTGCTCAAGAAAGCATTTTCCTTTTATCATTCGACTTTCATGACTCCCAGGGACGAATCCAGCAGTACTACACAAAGAGAGACGACGCACGCTTTGTACAAATATACAGAGCAAGAGAAGGAAATCCTGGAGGCCCCAACATCGCAAAAAGAAAACCATTGTAACGCCAGAAACAAAACATCATGTCTTCCTCCATTAACGCAGCGACACCGTACGCGCTTATTTAGCCCGGATCATCTCCAACGACTCCCCTATGCGGCCGTACTTCGAGAACAGGAGATCGGCGAGGTAGTAGGTGCGGCCCTTCCACGGACCCCGGTCGCCGGTCTTGGGCAGGTCCTTCTCCGCGGCCTGGAGGTACGTGGAATTCAGGTCTAGGAACTTGCGGGGCTGGATGGGGGCGCCGGCGTCGTCCTTGCGCGGGATGACGGCGTCCACGCCCTTGCGGTCCATCAGGCGCAGCAGGCGCGTGAGGAACAGCGACGACGCGTCGGCGCCCAGCGTCCACGACGCGTTGGTGTAGCCCAGCAGGAACGCCGCGTTGGGCAGGTCCTGCATCAGCACCATGTGCCACATCAGCTTGCCGGCCAGGTCGAAGCGCGTGCCGTCGACGTCGACCCGGATGCCGCCGCCCAGCCGCAGCTTGAGCCCCGTGGCGGTGACCACGATGTCAGCGGGGAGCGTCTCGCCCGACCGCAGCCGGATGCCGTCGGCCTGCACCGTGTCGATCAGGTCCGTCTTGACCTCGGCCTTGCCGCTGCGCAGGCTCTCGAAGAAGTCCCCGTCCGGGCACAGGCACAGGCGCTGGTCCCAGGGGTTGTACCGCGGCATGAAGTGCGGGTCAACGGGCATGCTCTCGGGGATCTGTCGGGTCACGCCGCGCAAGAGCATCCGCTTCGTGAAGTTGGGGAAGTTGCGGCAGAACAAGTAGAACAGGCGCGTCTTGACGATCAGCTGGGCCCGCGTGAGCAGCGACACCATCCGGCCCGGCAGGATCGAGGCGAAGATCGATTTGGACCGGTTGGGCAGGGAGACGATGTAGGACGGGCTGCGTTGCAGCATGGTGACTTTGGCCGCGGTCTTGGCCATCGACGGCACCAGCGTGATGGCCGTCGCGCCGCTCCCGATGATGACCACCTTCTTGTCCGAGTAGTCGAGGTCCTCGGGCCAGAACTGCGGGTGCACCACGGGGCCCTGGAACTGGTCGATGCCCGGGATCTCCGTCTGGAGCGGCTGCTCGTAGTCGTAGTAGCCCGTGCCGAAGATCAGAAACCTGGTCTGGAAGGTTGTGACGGCGCCGCCCTTGTACTCCACGGACAAGGACCACAGCTTGTCGGAGGACGAGTACGAAGCCGACAGGACCTTGTGGTGGAACAGAATGTGTCGGTCGATACCGAACAGACGCGCCGAGTCGTTCATGTACGCCTTGATGGCCGACGCCTCGGCGATGGGGTTGCTCTGGTTCCACGGGTGCCAGGCGAAGCCAAAGGTGAATAGGTCCGAGTCGGAGCGGATACCTGGGTAGCGGAACAGGTCCCAGGTGCCTCCCATCTCGCCACGGTTTTCGAGGATGACATAGTTGTGGTTGGGCAGCTGGGTCTGGATCCGGTACGCCGCGTTGATGCCAGAGATGCCCGCGCCGATGATGAGGATATCGACGAAGTGCTTCTCTCTTTCGGTGGTAGAGCCGTGCATTGTGGACGATTCAGGCCGTTGAAACCCAGGGTCGTGAACGAGGTCACGGGAAGTTGAAAGAACAACAAAGGTTAGTTACTTACTCGTTTTTGGGCGACAAGACATGTTGATATCTATATTTTTTCTTCACCTTCCTGAGTCTGGAGCATGGACGTGTCTGGGCCGAGGCAAAATGGGGCAGCACAACAACAGGGTGTGAAACGGGATATTGGTGGATGGCAAACTGGAGACTCCAGTATGAACTGGGTCGGAACAAGCCGGTAACAGGAAAAAGAGGCGATGAATGAAACGATTAGTGCGTGGGTGCTGGTGATGTTCTGCACATAGTCAGTCGTACCTTAACTCGACCGAAACCCGGGGTTTTTTCCAGGTTACCGGTAATTAGCCAGCTTGGTCCTGATGGCGAGAAGAATAAGAGAATACGAAGCTCCGACCCACCTTTGGAGGCACAAGGCAAGGATTTCCGGACGCTGTAGATTCGGCGAGTGACGATTCCTTGCTATCTGTGCTGCTTGTTTTGGAGGACTAGAACTGCTGCTGTCAGGCAACTTTGTGAGCTGATGCCAGGACGAACAGCAGCCTCGAAATTTGCCAGTACGAGACATGGAATGATCTGACTCCACCCGTCACAACCGGGCGAGGGTTCGTCCGAACAGATATCACAAGGCGGACGACACCGCGGTTACAAAGACAAGCAAGCTCGAAAGGTCGATATCGCGGTTAAGGACGAAGCGCCAAAGTGGCAACAGGACGAAAGAAGGAAGCAGGAAATAATACCCAGTGCGAGGTAAGATGTAGGATATTCCCAGGGATTGTGATCTTAACCGCAATCTGCAGATCCCCGAGAGGCCATGACCGAGACTATTCCCAATCAGACCTTTGCCCGAGACGTCCCTTCATGTCCATGCCTAGGCATATTTCCATGGCCCTAAAAACCTCCGAGGCTTGCAAGGTCGCAAAAAACGTGTCGATCTGGAAGACCGGCTGGACTATACTCCGTTGCTCCGTACCTTGCGAGTTTTGATGATTTATTTCGAAAGGCTGGGTGCTCGCCAATTTCTCTGGACTTACCCCTTTCACCATTCACAATCCACATGGGAGATATCAAAGGAGTCTCCTTACTTCCGAGCCACGAGCTTGTCCGTGTCTACTTTTCCCGCCTGTCGAGACCATCAATTCGACAAATTGATAGATGTGGAGTGACGGGGTCAGAAAGATACAAGCCTTGACCCGTTGAAAACGCTTCCTTTCTGTCTAAAAGCTAAATCCAACAGTCGTCGAAACAGCTTGACCGAGGCTATTTCGGCAACAATACAGAAACATACCACCGTAGCTTAGGTCATGAGAGACAATTTTTAACCTTGACTGCGTCCAATTATAACGGTGTCTCTGGCTCAAGAGTCCAAGTGTCGAGAGTATGGGCAATGGTGGGGTTGCGGAGGGATGACGAGCAGTTGAGGACCCCCAAGATCGGCTCCGTCACAACGACGCCTAGCTCGGTCAACGAGACCGATATGCTCTTAAAACCTATCATAATGGAGTGGCGTAGCAAACCTCCCTCAAGGAAGGATCTTCTCAACTGTTGCGATTTTGGCATTGATACGATATTGGCTTGACCAAGACGATTACTCCACGGCCATGAGTTCGACGGGCACTTACCGGGTGCCAGAGTGGTACCATTTCAGAGGTACTTGGACCAATTAAAGTGATAAGCATGGCCTTTCCGGACTATGTCTCGCATACAAGATGATAGAACAGCCGGATTTGTTCCAGCTGACAATCCACGAGAAGAATCACCATGTCGGTGGAACGCAAGAAGTGCCGGGATGGAACTTGAAAGAATCGCAACATCGAATCCAACAAAGTGGCTAGAAAATAGATATACAGGGGTGTGCTTGTGAAATACCTGCCCATATCTATAGTAAGGCTAGATTGAGACCGACGGGACAACGCTAATATATTTCTTCAAAGCATTTACCTTCGATCCCAAGCCGGATTGGCCCGAGTATTATGCTTGCTTCAAAGAAATCCATGTCGGCCTGTATCACGTTTGCAAAAGAACAACCTTACCAGCGATGTCAGGACTGTAGACAATAGTCTAATTTCAGTCAACGCAGCACTGGTAGATGCTCTCCGATGACTCCGTGAGAGCCGTGTTAATGCCGGTGCCTTCAAGTCTCAGTGCTATCCCCTAGAATGACCTGAGACCCTCGTGGATGGCTTGTGATTGCGCCCGGTCTTCTCCCGTCATGATGTCTTCTTCTGTGAAGCCTTCCGCTTGTGGAACGTAGATCCTGAGGGTCCCTTTGAGTATGAGGCCTCTTTTGCTGGCGGCAAAGGCAGAAATTAACGGCCCCCACTCGACGTAATATCGGCTTTTGCCCTGGTGTTTTCTCACTGACATACTTCGAAATCCTCATCTGTAAATCGCGACGGTGGAAGGCATGCTCGTGTACCAGGAAGTACTGCCCGGACGTCGTTCAAATTGATTGGCTGGTGGGGTAGCCGGCCATCCATCGCTTTGAACAATGCCACCAATGACAAGCTGACCTCGACCGGTTCGATGTGGGGCGGGTCTGGGCTAACCTTTTCAGGCCAATATCCGAAGCTTACCCAGAGAGGCCCTCTAGGCGCGGTGGCTCGTTACCCCTGAAGTCGGCCTCGGTTCATCGTTCTGAATGGCTGCCTGTATGGTCCCGCACAGGCTTGCTTGACGACCGCTGCCATGTGTATTATTGCGACAACCTCGTCGTGACACGCGACAGTTTAAATCCTGGGAACAGGGCTCCGTGAGCACCAAAAGCTCCTCTGGGGGAAGGTAATCCTCATCGCAGAGGAAGAAACCCCCTCTCCAGCCTCACTCGATGTTGTCGATCTTGAAAGCGACGGCCCTCGAGCCACTGGTCACTGGGCCGTTGTTGTTTTCTCTGCCCAGGCTTCCTCCATCACTTCTCGAGCAGCTCCCTCCGAGCATCTACAGCGTCATTCGATCGCCACGCACTGCCAGCGCTCTTACTTTCCTTCTGATCCTGGGGATCTTGAGAAAGACCAATAGGTTCCTCGCACGACGGGCGGTCGACAACTGGACACGGAGCAACCGCTGGGATGCCAGCAAAGAACTCGTCGTGGTCACAGGAGGAGCGAGCGGCATTGGTGAGAAAGTGGCTGCAAGCCTGGCGACAAAAGGCGTCAAGGTGATTATCCTCGACGTCAATACACCTAAAACACCACTGCGTTGGTACCCTCGGAGCTTGTCCTCGGTGAAATAGCTGACCAGTGCCGTCCAGCGCCAAATGTTGCCTTCTTTCAGGTCAACATCACATCCTCAGACGCCGTAAGAGAAGTCGCCAATGAAATCCGCAAGGCACATGGCCACCCAACGGTCCTCGTCAACAATGCGGGTGTGGGCGACACGGGAACGATCCTGGATCTGTCGGAAGCGACGGTCCGGAGAACGTTCGACGTCAACACGATCAGCCACTTCGTCCTGGTCAAGGAATTCTTGCCCGAGATGGTCCGCAACAACCATGGCCACGTGGTCACGGTCGCGAGTATGGCCAGCTTCGTCACCGCTGGGAGTATGGTCAACTATGCGTGCTCCAAAGCGAGCGCGCTCGCATTTCACGAAGGGCTCGGTCAGGAGCTGAAATACTGCTATAACGCTCCGAAAGTGCGCACCAGGTACGTCGATCTTGATTCATGAAGTCTGAGCCCCTTCCGCTCCTGTACTGGCAAGGCACAACAATCGTATAGCGGTGCTATATTTACTGATTCCCGCCATAACAGCATTGTCCACCCCAGCTGGGTTGCCACGCCGATGACCCAGCTCTTACAAGACGTCGACGAGGGCTTCCGACGAACGGCTCTTCGCGTCGAGACGGTCGCGGATGCCATCGTCAAGCAAATCGTCTCGGGCAGCAGCGGACAGATTATCCTCCCGCCTCACCTGTCCAATGCGGCACTCCTCAGAGCTCTGCCATTTTGGATCCAGGGAGCGGTGCGAGGCCAGGTCACGAAAATGCTGCAGCGCTCGGGGGTTTAGGTGCCAGGGCTGGGATTTTGTCCTTGTTTCGTTGATTATCCAGGGAAATCGTTAGCAGAGATAGAGGATTGGCCTGCGCGGGCACCACTGTATATCGAGTCCGGAGGCACGTCGTTTCCTGGTAGAGCATATACGTTGGTTCAATTGTAACCCATCTTTGACACACCGATGAGATAATTCTTCAGTGCTTCATGTACCACCCCCATCTGCACGACTTCTAGCTCGGTAGTTTCCATGTCCTCACTTCCAGGTTGAGGCTTCCGTCGCTTCCCAAAGCTGCTTTATGTAACGGAATAGCCGGAGTGAATGGCCATGAAGCTGACATCACCCGTAAGCGGTTGTCTCGCAAGTCTGTTTCCTTCTTCGGCAGCTTATGAGCTTGTGATTGTCAGTGATTCGTCCGACACAATACCCAAAAAGATCAACAGCACAGATCTTACTGGCTCGCAAGAAGGCGGGGAGCCGGTGTAAAATTGCCCCGTCGACCCCAGGCGGGGCCCTTGATCTCTGCACTAAAGAGAGGGACACGACGGCGACCTGTGCTGTCCTTTTGGCCTCGACGATCCCGCTTGTCCTTTTGCATACCACCGAACGCAGTGGCCCGTCGTATCTCGTATCTCGTAGTTTGGACAACATTCAATATGACACGTCTCTCCGGTACTGGCATGAAGCATTAAGAGACCCTGTATACACAAGGGACGTAGGCATCATTATTTATCTTTGTGGTATCAACTGCTCTTTTCTGTTCCTGTCTTCTCGTCCAAACCACCATGGCTTTGAACATCCCTACACCGTTGCTGCTGGTGTTTTCTGCGGCGCTGCAAGCTGTGGTATTGCGTGCAGCGGCTCCCCAATATGCCCCCTTTGATGGCTTCAACCTGGTTTTTCTCTACTGCACACTGGTCAACTGGGCATTGTGGTTCTTCTACCTGGTAGTCATCTACCCTAGTTTCATCAGCCCGCTTCGAGATCTTCCAATTGCCCCGGTATGTAGAGCATGAAATCACGGGTCCAAGGTTGCGAGGACTGATACAAGTGCATTCAGGGTTCTTACCCCATTATTGGCCACGCCTTGTCGCAATTCAAGCCCCCTCGAGGCGCCGACTATCGGAAATTTACCCGCGAAGTCCCCAATGACGGGCTCATTCGCCTCAGAGGCTTCTTGAACGCCGACCAGGTGCTGGTGACCAGCCCGAAGGCCTTGGCCGAGATCCTGGTCACCAGGTCGTACGAGTTCCCCAAGCCAGATCGAGACCGGGTCTTTCTCCGTCGCTTGATCGGTGACGGCCTGGTCGTAGCTGAAGGCGACCAGCACAAGCACCAGCGCAAGCACAGCATGCCCAGCTTTGCGTTCCGACAGATCAAACTCCTGTACAACCTGTTCTGGGAGAAGTCTGTCAAGATGACGCAGGTCATCGATGCTGAAGCCTTCGGTCCAGACCGTGGCCACGGAGGCGCCGAAAACCTGCCGGCGGGGGCGGTGGACATCGAATATTACGCCCCGAAGACAACGCTGGACATTATCGGCGTGGCGGGCTTGGGCCGAGATTTCAACACGCTGGGCAACTCGGACGACGAGATGGTCAAAATATATGACGAGTTGGTGCGCCCTTCTGTAGGGCGGCAAATCCATGCGGCTGTTTCTCTGCTTGGAAGCAATGAGCTTGGATCGGTGCTCTGCCGCTCTGTCTCCCAGCACTATGATCGGCTCAATGCCCAACTGAGGCAAATATGCAGGCAGTTTGTGCGAGAAAAGCGGGAAAGAATGAAGACTTCACAAGATCAAGCTGTCGACACCCTGGCCTCGTTGATCAAGTCAGACATATTCTCGGATGAAGAGCTGGTGGACCAACTATTGACCATCATAGCAGCTGGGTGAGTGCCACTTCCAAGCCACAGAACGACTGATCACTAACATCACCAATCAGCCATGAAACAACCTCCTCGAGCTTCTCGTGGGTAGCATATCTTCTTGCGCTTCATCCCGACATTCAAGCCCGCCTCCGTGCAGAAATCCATGCTGCAATTCCGAATGGATTCTCGTCCACCGATTCTCAGGACACGGGCATAGCTTCGGTGTTGGAATCGCTGCCTCTCCTCAACGGTGTCTGCAGCGAGGCCCTTCGTTTCATGCCCGCTGTGCCGGTCACGATGAGAACAACCAAGCGAGATACTACCTTGATGGGACACCCAGTTGCCGCGGGAACCAAATTCATCATGTCTCCGTGGGCAGTCAACAATGATCCCGAGCTGTGGGGTCCCGACGCTCACGAATTCAAGCCCGAAAGATGGATTGACCTCGAGACCGGAAAGCCAAACCAAACGGGTGGTGCATCAACCAACTATGCCACCCTAACGTTCCTCCACGGCCAGAGAAGCTGTATTGGACAGAATTTCGCACGGGCAGAGCTGAGGGCCTTGGTGGCTGCTTTTGCTGGGGCCTTTGAATGGGCCCTGCTCAATCCCGACGAAGAAGTCGTCCCAGCCGGGGTAATCACGTCGAAACCAAGAGACGGCCTGAAGGTGACGCTGAAGAGGGTAAAGCCGTGGTGAAGAGGGCAGGCTTGGGAAGATACCATGAGTGATTTGTATGTGCCACATACATTTTTGTAGGTAGGCTTTTTTGCGGCAGCATCGGCAGCTTAATGATTTCACGGGTATGTAACGAGTCAAGATAAGTAGGATTCGACCCATACTCCGTAGCTGGACGTTTCTGTGGCCTGGCACACAAGAGTAGGGGAGTACAGTCGGATTAGGCTTGAGAGAGAATGGACCTTTTGGGCTCACTAGGCCCGCCTGTATCTTGGCAAGCTTGAGCTTCCCGGTTTACTTAAACTTCAACTCCGGGCTAGTGAGGCCCCCATTGAACCCTGCAAGCCCCGTAAATCCCTTATCTGTGGTTTACCCCGGTAAATGGTTAGGCTTGGGGCAGCGGGGAGACGTGTCTGTACTCTCTTCTTTTCTGATCAAGCAGAACTCACCACTCTGTCAACACACATGTGTGCCCATGTCGACCGACAATCTCCTGCGAACATGCGAGAACTGCCAGGCTAGGAAAGTTCGCTGTAGTAAGTTCCTATCAGTGCCAGCCGAACCTTCAATGTATGGCCTTACCAGGGCTCTTGGTTGATTGTTTGAAGGACGACAGCCAGGAGATGCAGCTTGCTTGAACTGCCAGGTAATTCTTCTCTCTTTCAGGTAGAGCTGCTCCCCTTTCTGACTTCAGTTGGGCATATACAGAACAGGCGGGAAAACTGTCACTTTTCCCGCGACAAGAGGCGACAACGTCAGCGGCGAACTGGTACGAATGGAAACAGACGTAACAGCAGCAAGAAGATGCTGAGGCGATATTCTGACTGTAGGTGAAGGACAACAGCCAAATTCGGCACAGTTCGAAGAGGTCCATGTCTGGCACATCGGCCCCGAAGCAGAGCAGCACACTACAGATCCAGTGTCGTTGAGTGCAGATTCAAATTTCAGTACCACACATCACACTTCGCCAGCGCTGAGCGATAACAGCCTCTTTATTGACCAATTACTCCACCATGACCGACATATGGTTGGCAAGAGGACTTATCAGAAGAGACTGTTTGAGGTGAGCTTGGCCGTGCCCAACTTCCTCCCTACGATGGGCCAACACGCTGAATGCTATCTTAGGCCGATGAAAATCATGGTATTCGATATCCCCATTTCAAATTGAAACGTGATGGTCTGACACGACATGAGTGACGTGCTCAAGCTACTGTGTCTTTACTGAAACGAGATTGCAGTCGTTGGCACGAGTTCTCGGACATGGCAGGGTCGGGCAGATGATCGATGAAATTCGCTCGGTCGTGACAGAGCGTCTCGAAAATGCCACCAAGATCTTTTGGAGTCCAGGCTCGGCATTATTGCGTAGGGATGCTGATCTGTCTGAGGATCTGAGAGAGGAGTACATCCAGGGTGAATTCTGCCATGTCCCTGAACCGTGGATTGACTGACATGCAAATTCTTTTAGCATATTTTCGTTACGTGCATCCGGTGTATCCATTTCTTGACCAGCAATCGTTCCTTGAGGAGGTCTCCAATCCTCAGTTCGGGCAGCTTCAGCGCAATCACCCGGAGTGGTCTGCCCTGTATAACACTGTACTCGCCCTCGGCTGCCAATACCACGGCAGAGGGACGTTCTTTCCAGGCAAAGGTCTGGCGTGGCACTTCTTCATGAAGGCGCGGGAGTGTTTCCCGAAAGCCTTGGGACCAATGCCGACGCTGCTTCATGTACAGGTGAGTTAGGTCCTTTTCAGATATGATGTTATTGCTGACCAAAAAAGACTGTCACCGCAATGGTAGGGATGAGATTGACAGCTTTACCATAGCAGACGGAGAGCTGATCAAAATCCAGGCCATCTTCTCTCAGAATATGAGTTCTTTCCAGTTTAAAGAAGACCTTCTTTCAGAAGCTGCCAGGCTCGCGAGGTGTCTCCAATTGCACAAGTCAGATCAGGCCGATGAATCCAGGACTTTCTGGGTGATATACCAACTCGAGAAGTCTTGGTGTTTCCAAAACTCGAGGACCTCCGTATGCCATTAACACCATTTGTATGGTCATGGAGCTTACTGGGTAGCCAGCTCATCGCCGATTTCGATATCGACTGTCTACCGCCAACAACCCCAGATCCTTTACGCAGTGGCCACGACTGGTTTTTGAGCAGCGTACGACTCGCCAGGTTGTTATCAGTCTGTTATGAGGAGCTCTTTTCTGTGAAAGCGACGATGTCTACTGTGGACCAAAAGCGGTCCAAGATCCAGACTTTCTATACGGCACTACAGACCTGGAAAGAAAGCATTCCTGCGCAATGGAGACCAGACATTATTGTTGGCATCCCAGACGGACAAGGCCCTGAGTCCCGAGCCGTCTTGATTCACCTCAACTTTACTTACTATAGCATCGTCATCGCACTGGCGAGGCTGGCAATACACTGTGGAATCGAGGGAGATCTTTCGGGTTTCGGCACTGGCGAGGTCATGCTTCGGCGCGCTGCACGGGCGATCTTGGAACTTACAAGTTTGATCGATCTCAAGGCGTACACTTCGCTTTGGTAAGCACTACATTGCCACCCTGAGAACACGCTAATCGCGGCAGGGCGTTGACTACCATGCCTCTCGCCGCCATGTTAATCTTGTTTGACCTTGTCATTCAAGACCCCACCAGTGCAGACGCCAAAACCAACCTTCTCTTCCTGGACATGGCATCAGGCTACTTTAGTCGCCTCGAGCTTGTGACCGACGCCGCGATGCAGACCTCTCGACTTTCCGAGTTCACTTATATTGCGAGAGAGTACCACACGAAAGAAATGCTTAGGCTTCAAACTGACCAGAGCGATCCATCTTCATTTCCAGGGCCACAGACGGTGTCCTTACTGCTCGGCCAATCGACGATAAGCAGCGCAGATCTCGAGGGTTTGGATACGAATGGCAATCCGCCGCCAGGCCCTGCTGCCGCTGCAACCCAACCATCAGCAGGTTTGCCAGCCCGCGATGCAGGAGATCCTGGCATGGTCGAAGATTCTATACCGACTGCAACACTCGGCGGTGCTATGCCTCATCTGCCATTGGCTCCTGGGCAATTCAGCTTTGAAGACTTGTTCAATACAGTCGTCCTGCCATTCGAGCATCAGCAGACATGGTGACAACTAGAAAGATACATCTTGGTAAGAGACATGGTAGACTCCAAGGACACCTCCCGTGATTGAGACGGTTGCAGGCATTTTGAGCATGGCTGTGACAGCCTTCAAAGCCGACTAAGATCGAGGTGATGGTTGCCAACACGAATATGGGCTAAGAAATGAACATGCAAATATTCTTCAGGTAGTGCATGCTGAAGGGTTCCCTAAGCTACCTACCCGCAGCGCGGGGACAAGAAATGAGGATAGAGATATGCTCTCGGTGAACATGATTAAATATTTTCTGAGGGCTTTTTGAGCAGCGTTAGTTCTCTTTGACATAAGTACAATAGCCACAGGAGCTGTGGATGTACCTACAGTAGTATTTATAGTAGTATCGTTTCGCAACGGCTCGATGGCAAGGCGTCGAGGACAAGCTGAGACTCCGCTTTCGGCTGTTTACTTCTCCGTATCAATTCATCACTACGGCGGTCCTCTTGGCGAGGCCAGTGCAGATATCTTGGCAGATCGGCCCTCGTAGCCTCCGACCCAACGCACATTTGACGATTATTTTCCCCCGCCGGGCGCAGTTTGTCGACGAGATTGAAACCCACGAAATTCTAACCACCGTCACCGTCACCTAGACACACCACAATCAATTCCCGTACCGCTACAAGAAGGAAAACCAACACCCGTGTCCTAGCACCGACCAAGCCACCATGGAGAACGAGAAGGGAGAAATCGTCGATCTGTAAGCTCCCCCTCGTCCTCGTCCTCGCTTCCTCACGTCCTATTCTCTCCCTCATACACAGAATGCTCTCACATAAGGCCTGTGCGCTCTTCAAATTCCATTCAGTTTTCCCCTTGCACCCGCCTTGTTCTCAGCCCTATCTTTTTGTGTATCGAAATTTGGCGCTGACAGAAGGGGCTCTCTTTCCCGTCCGTTCTAGCTACGTGCCCCGCAAATGCAGCGCGACCAACCGCATCATCAAGGCCAAGGACCACGCCAGCGTGCAGATCTCGGTGGGCAAGGTCGATGAGAACGGCCGGTACACGGGCGAGAACCAGGTGTACGCGCTTTGCGGGTTCGTGCGGTCCCGGGCCGAGAGCGACGACAGCCTGAACCGGTTGGCGCAGAAGGACGGGTTCTTGAAGAATGTCTGGAGTGCGCAGGCTACGAGATGAAGCACCAACAATAATCAAATGTGATGATTGTGGGGGAGAGGGGATCAGGATGAGCTTGCGCGTGGCTCGAGGGGACGACTACTAACCCTCGTGCGCAGAGGGTGGAGAGGGAGAGAGTGTGTCCGAAGGGAGAACAAGTGCCGAGTAAAGGCTTCATTGACGTCTTAGCAACCATCGGGACCTCTAAGGCAAGCGATACACGGAGCACCTCGAAGGCACACGGCTTTTGTTGTGGGACGGTGATAAAAGACGCATGTTATTACGCAAGGCGAACGAACTCGCTTGTCTGGTCGCAGGGGGAGGCGGACACGGTAATTCTGCATGATCAGCCATGATAGAAGTGCAGACTGGGACAGCCCAGGAAATCAAAAAGAAAAAAATCCAATTCAAGACATTCCCACACAAACACACACGCGCATAGGTGGTTCTCTTCTCTGGTACGGGAACCAGAGATTCATTCATATATCATATGGTTCCCCGATCTACAAAAGACTCCATGAAAATGTGCCACCCGTATCTGTGCTCTGACTCTCAATCTCGGAAAATAAAATCACAGCTCTTCAGAAGGCGGCGTTTTAGGCTCAATGTTCGGCTGGTGTATGTACGATGAAATCTCTACTTCCACAGTCATGGCAGAGGGAGCCTGAGGAAGCCTTGATGTGCCGGTGGGGAAAAACAACGCCGCTTGCAATAGAAGCAAGCAACCCAGAAAACGATGAGTAGCAATCGTAGGTGAAGATGGAGTTGAAGCAATTGGGTATCATTTCTAGTTTTCTCTTCTCGGAAATCTAGAACTTTTCTTTCGGCGATGCTCCTTTCAGTTGCCAACACATGTCTCAAGCGCGTAGGATTCACGTGTCGTCGTACATGCTGATTTTATCGCTTTGTGACGGATGTTCTAATCTTTGTGTAAGCGGACAGCAGGGTTCTGTTCAATGAAGTTGAGGTCGACTTTATGTCCCAGGAGTTCCCGGATATTGTTGACGCCATACCTGTTCACAGACATCAGCATAGTGACCGCTTGGAGAATCGAAAACTCACTTGATCATGGTTGGTCGCTCCAAACTCAAGCCCCAACCATATATCCGCATATCCTTTGGCAAGCCCATAGGCTCCAACATTTCTGGCCTGAACATGCCGCTGTTTCCAATTTCTACCCATTTCTTCAATCCTTCATGGTAGCTGAAGATTTCCATACTCGGCTCTGTGTAAGGGTTGTACGCGGGCTTGAACCTCAGGTTTTTGATACCCATCTTACCGAAGAAGACTTCCATGAAACCGATTAGCCCGCCTAATGTCAGGCCCCAGTCAGCAATCACACCTTCCACCTGGTGGAATTCAGCAAGATGGGTTTGGTCGACCGTCTCATTTCGGAAGACCCTGTCGATGGAAAAGTACCGTGCCGGCCGAGGGTTCAGGGCGAGTTTGTGGAGCATGTATGTAGAAATTGCTGTGGTGTGAGTCCGCAGAACCAGTCGCAAAGACTCGTCTTCTGACCACGGGTATCTGTAGCCTATTGAACCGAATTTCCCGTTTTCATGTACCGCGCGGACATCATCCCAGTACTTCTTGAAGTCTAAGGCCTTCTCCTTCGACCTTGTTCTCTTGTGGGAGGGGGAAGGTGTGGGTTTTTCCCCGGCAGCCGGAGGTTCTGGATCTCCTCGAGGGGGATCGGCTCTTGCAGGATCTGAGATGTAAAAGGTATCTTGGAGGTCGCGAGCAGGATGTTGTTGAGGAACGAAAAGAGCATCAAAATTCCAGAAGCCGGTCTCCACATAACGATTTGTTGGCATCTCCTCGAACCCCATCTCAAAGAAGATCTCTCTGAATTCTTGACGCACTTTGTTGAGAGGGTGAAGTGCTCCGGACTGCGTGGGTGCACCTTTTGCTTTGAAGTTATATGGTTTCAATTGGACGGTCTTCCACGCCCCGGACGCCAGCATTTCGGCTGTCAGATCTGCCTCCTCCTTGACAAATTCTGTCGAGAATTGGGGGCCCTTGGAAATCTTAAAGGCGATGGTCTTCTGCTCGGTGACATACTTCCTCTTCTTGAAGTCTGCCACGACTTTGGGGTTATTCAGGCCTTTTCTGGACTGGATCTCGCGCAACTGTTCTTGGACCTCGTCCTGGATCTTGTCCGTAATTGCCTTGAGTGTGTCCCCATCTTTCTTGATCCACTTGAGTTTGAAGGCATCACCTGAACCGAACTTGGCCACATTTGCATCTCCAACGGCAGAGGGTAAATCTTTGATCTTCAGTCCTTCCAACGCCGCCCGGACTGCCTCGAAAACCCTTGCGCCATTGCTGCCATTTTCTGCGATATCAAGCCCCTCTTTTGTAAGAACGAGTTCCAACCGGTCAATCTGCTCTGCTTCAATGAAATTCCTCGATCGCAATTTGTCGACAGCAGACTTGACACTGACAAAGGTGGCATTGGGAAAGATTTCCGATGTGACAACAGGACCGTCGGCGGAGTTCAGGGCGTTAAGCACTTTCGCGGTCAAATCCTCTGCCATGATTGCGTCCGCCGAGGGAACCTAGTGGGAGGACAGCAAGACCAAGAGGAGGGGCAGTTGCAAGAAGAAATATGTTTGTGTTCCCTCGACTCTGACTCCAAAGTTCTTGAGACATGACTCCAAAATGCGGCCGGCGGGCCGAATCCTAAAATGTATACATATCCTTGCCGCTTTAGCATTTCAACCTCGTAACAGCAGCCTTGTTGAGGATAGGCAGCTCGCCAGCAGAGAAGGCAAACTAATCTATTCATTATGTTGTACATAGAAATATACTTGAGTATCTGTGGCCTCCATATGCCAGCGAAAGTCACTGTTACCCGTTATTCTCCCTCTGCATCATATGCCTGGCAGGTGGTGCAGCAGTGTCGTTTAAACCTTGCTCTGGCCTTCCCTTTCAGCCGGTGGATTTTGGTTCAGTTTCTGCTTCCGGGCCTGCCTAAACAGGATCTGAACCAGAACAAGACCTCCCAGTGTGATCATGAGACCAGTCAATAGGGTAAAAGTCCAGCCAACATGAATACTGTTGATCAGAGGCCCAACCACCGCAGTTCCCCCGGCACCCAACAAACAACGGACGAGGTTTAAAGAAGCCATTGCGGAAGCACTCTGAGTATGATGGATGTCGACAAGGTAGGTCGATATCACACTTTGGAGAGAAATAGCCGCCCATCCCAGGACAAAAAAACAGATAATGGGCACAGAAATATGAACACCTTGGTCCACGGTCCACCCAAAAATCAGCACGGAGATACATTCAAGTGCGCTCCACAGCCAGACAGTCCTCAGTCGAGCCTTTTCGATAGGAACGCGCTGTTCATCGCCATCATATTTGCGAACAATGCGCTTGTAATCATAGTCCAAGAATCTGCCGACCAGAACTGTTCCAATGATAGATCCTAACCCGTTGGCGAGGAAGATGAGACCGACTTGGATTTCTGACGTGTGATATTTATGTTGGACGAGTGTGGAAACGGCGGTGAGAACCATTTGCCACACTGTGTAGTGGAGTGCGACGTAGAATATCGCACAAAACGTATTGAGATGGAATAGGATCTTCGCCGGACCCAAAAAGTCGATGTGTTTCGGTGCTGGTTTCCCGTCCCCTGCGGAAGGAGTGGTGTCTTGACTGAGATGCTTCTTTCTCTGGTATAGTGCCAGAGGGGACATCGCATATCTCTTTGGTTCTTGTGATCCGTTTCCCACCATCGACCTCAGTGTCTCAGGCAGGACCAGCACAATGACGAGGACACACACCCCGCCATAGATGGTCAAAAACCAGAATACTGATCTCCAACCCAACTTGTCTGCTAAAACACCGCCAATCACGGGCCCAATAGCGACAGGCATCAAAAGTCCGCCTTGGAAGATGCCCATATATCCACCTCGTTCTTCTCTCTTGGTAATGTCCCCAATAACTCCTGCACCCAATGCAATTGTGCTTGCACTTCCCGTGCTTTGTACACAACGAAGGACCAACAGTTGTGCGTAGCTTCGTGTCTCTGCAAGCCCTATACATGCTCCAAGGAATATGACAAGTGTGCACACATAGGTGATGCGGCGGCCTTTGGTGTCGGACAACGAACCCCATAGAGTAGGTGACAAGCCTTGAAATATCAAATAGCACGTCACAGTAAGGTTGACGAGGCTGGTTGTGACTGACAGGTCATTAGCGACCTGAGGAAGAGCGGGAAAGTAGATATTCGAGGCGAAGCCAGAAAGCGTAGCTGCGAATGAGACGATCGTGACAATGAGAGCTTTCTGGGGGACTGTAAAGATTGTGTACGGCTCTGAGGAGCCAATCTGTGCTGTAGGCTCTGTTTGAGCCATTCTGAATTTGATGTTGAAGACTTGAAGAAAGAAAGCAGATTGCGTAGGTGCTGAGCGTCCATATATGCCCGCGAGAGGTTCAGGCAACGCCACTTCCAGAGCCGAGACAGGGATGATCGGAGTTCCGACACCCAAAACACCGACACTCAGGAAGCCCTTTCACAGCCTCACTCGGGTAATTCCGAAGCAGAACCTGACGCTCGATACACAAGAATCACCGCGTATATCTTCATTGTCGTCGAGGGCCAGTACGTCCACTATACCTTATATGGGTTCGACATGTCTTGAGGCAAAGGGATGGGAATCCAACCCAAAATTTCGTCATCATCGAGAATCGCGTCTCTTATGATTATGTCCAGGAACCTGGACGATAAGATGTGAGCTGGGCCAACGGGAGACTCAAGACCACCAGCAGCCTATTGAACATAGCACGGGATATTCATGTCTAGGTCGTGTGAGCTCGACCACGTCCGATGTTTGGACAGAGAGAGAGGGCAGGCAACCGGCCATGTTCGAAAGCGCCAAGACATTGGGAGATCCAAGGCAACTCAGCCGAGAGGTGGGGCTTTTCCAAAATAGGCAAAGCCTCAAACTGATCAACTCCTCTCCATCCTCGGATCTCCGACGCCTCTTGCTTCTCTGCCTCGCTGCTCTAATTCTCGAAGCCTGTCGCCGTCATGACTCCCAAGGAAACCGTACCCAGGAAGAAATCCTGCAATCATTGCTATCAGTCAAAAGCGCGGTGTGACCTCAAAAGACCGTCTTGCACACGATGCCGCAACCGAAGCCTTGATTGCATCTACGTTGCCGCAAAGCTCGACACAGAAAGCGATATCAGCCAGCATTTCTCGGCTACTGTCAATGAGGCCTGGCTTTCGGCTCCGCCTGCCGCAGAAGGCCTCGCGACCGAGTTGCTTGATTTCGACAACATCCATCTAGTATGCACCGTGGATGAACACAGGATCCGCGGCCGCTGGCTGGAGAGCTTACTGCCTTCTATGGACCAGAGACCGAAGCCGTTTCATCCATCGACGATGGCGTTCGTGACCCGCGTGTTTAAGTCTTATCCTAGAATGTTCCTGACTGAGAATCTGCCTCCATTCATTCACTGGTCTCAAATTGCATATCGGATTGCTGAGCCGTTGGCAAATTGCATGAACATAGCACGCATGTGGGTGACACAGACTCCTGAGAGCGCTGCCATGGTCCGAGAGGTCATCGGACAGGAAATGTCACGAATATTTCAAAAGGTAGGTACAAGCATCCTCCGAACTGGTTCCGGGGCTGAAAGGGGCGAACAGCGTGCGTTTTCCGGACACCTGGAGCTCTTGGCCATCTTACAAGGTTACCTTCTCTATGCCATAATGCTCTTCTGTTCGGCGAATGCTACTAGCTTCGTCGAACAAGATATCATGATCAAGCTCCAGGATTTAGCGGGCGACCTTGCAAGCAGAGGGACGTTATGTCCTGCGGAGACGAACGGTAGCAGACCCGATTGGGAATCCTGGATTGTCGCCTCTACAAAAAGGAGGACGCTCTTCGCTACCTACCTACTTGACAATCTCGTCAATTTCACAGTGGGCTCTCCATCCTATGTTGCCGTAGAGCTCACAGGCCTCCCGGCGCCTGCGAGCAAGACTCTGTGGAATGCGCGGGATCGTCGATCTTGGAATACGGCCTATAACCAACAGCTGGGCCTTTGGAGCGACGGAGAGCTACTCATCAATGATCTCTGGCCACAATCTGATCCGAATCCGTCGCTGGTGCGACAGAAAAAGATCGATAATTGGCTGTCATCCGTGGACGAATTCGGCATGATGCTATATGCTGTGACCTCTCACACATACCAGGAAGCTTGAAGATCACTTTGTCAAAATAGCCAATAAGAACAACAATGTCTTCACTGCTGTGTTCTGGAGTTACTGTGTCGATTGTCCGCGTGGTCTGGCCGCGGTATCGCCCCGATTACTCATACGCCCCCAACGCCATCAGCACTTGCAGGAAAGGACAACGCCTGATGTTGTTCATAATCCATGTACTTGGAATTACGCTGAAACATCAAACCTGCGAATCTCGTCAAGGTCAATCGTTCGGTCCAAGTTATTGACCTTCAGAAGTGCCGGCTGCTGATTTACAATTTCTGTTGACTGTCCTATCCCAATCTCGCCAGATTTTAGCCTTTCATTTCAGCAACAAAACTTTGCAAGCATGCGTGGGCGGCCATTGAAAGTCGATGATAATGCTCCTTTGGATGAAACTGTATGTCTTTTACCACAAGTCAACAAAAAGGCGCTAATATTGTTCCGAATGTAGTTACGAAGAGCCCGAGGAAGAGCCGCACAGCGCCGTTATAGGCATCGGCAAGAACAAACATTAGCCGAGAATGAGGGCAGAATTAAAAAGCTGGAATCCGTTGTTCAAGGGATGATCAGTGCCTTTCTGGACTTCGGAGACCACGTCTCGCTATCGATAGCTGTTCCAACTTTTAATGAAACTGGAGATTTAGGAACAGCTTATCATGAAACCGTGAGGAGGTTTCGGGATCTGGCTGCTGAAGTTGATGAAGATATCTCCTGTCGCCAGGATCGGTCTCCAAACTCAACTTCTGATGACAGTCAACAGGCCACTACTCAAAGTATCCTTCGGCCATCCAGTCGACCACAGTCGATACCGCTGTCGACTGTTGATACTTCGTTCAAAACGGGGAATTCCCAGCGTGTTCCGGTTTCTAATGCTAATGTCAAGGTGGTTGACAAATGGCCGTCAGCCGCCGCGTATAGTATGCACAGATTCCTGTCTTCGGCATTCATCTCGATGCCTCTTCAGAACCCCGGACTCTCTAGTGATTATTCGAACATCAAGGAGCTCGCTTTTCCTGGGTCTTCGTTGCAGCAGAGACTCATTCGTAATGGGATGTTACTCAATTACCAAGCTTTGCACTGCGATCAGGAGCAGGACAAGCGATACTCATGGTGTGCCAGAGTCCATCGCTTCAGCTTTCGCCACTCAAACAAGTGGGACATTCTGTTTCTGACCAGGCTTGGGCTTGACAAAATGGTCGAAGCGAGCCATCAGAAAGTCCGCAGAAGATCATATGGTCCAGCTTCTCCGCCAAGGCAGCTCCCTGGCAGCGGGTTTTTTGACGACGAAAGGCACCAGCAACTTGCCGCTGCTATCCAGAATGACCTCGAGCTTGAAGGTACCCTGTCCGACATTGTCCGCGCCGAGGAGCTTGATGACTATCTGGCCACAAAAGGGAGGACTACTCTTGATGGCAACACGCTCGAACTGCGGTTATTCTCCGTCAAGCAATGCTGGTCTCAACCTTCCACAATTTCTTCGCCCCACGAAGATATCAAGACCGTCCTCATTGACACTGAAAAATTCCTGCGAAAGCTCTGTGAAGAGGCCATTTGTTTAGGGGACGGTATGGGCTTCGCGAAACACATTGTCAACGACGCTATCGTCTGTTCCGCGATGTATATGAGCCAACTCCCCGAACTGTCGCTTTAAATGCAGTTAGCAGGGAACATCAATGGATAGCAGGTTCTTTGGTTGTGAGGTTCCCTTCCTTTAGCTGGAGTGCAGGGCCTTTCTTTGCTGCGACTGTGGAGGCATACCCAGACGACAATGGAAAGAATGCCTGTTCAGGGATACTACCATGATTCATTTGGAGGTCGGATTGCAAACTTTGCTTCATTTTCTGGCGTTGGTATTGGTGAGAATACACAGGGACCCAAAGACACATTGCCCCCCAACTCCATGTTGACCGAAGCTGTTTGGCAAATATTGGGCTTGAAAACCCTGACTACTACTCAGTCGAGTCGACTGAGTCGGCCCCGACACACGGAGGAAACTCCTGATAGCCAACGTTTCGGCCGTCTCCCGGCGTCCGTCGATATGGCACGATGGGTAACCCAAGGCATTCTCATCGAGGGAAGCTTACATAAGAAGTTTGTGGTTCGGGGCTCTGCTACGGGACGTCGGAGCCTTTAACCCTTCCGGCTGAGTGGTGGTTATTACCAAAGACAAGCCCGTCGAATCATCAGTTGAGACTTTTCCTAGCGAGATAGCATGGTGGTAGCATAGCTTCGACGTTTGGCTCGGACGAAGCACCCTGTGGATATCAGTGATGGTCGAAGGAGGCGGTGGTGTTAATGGGACCACGTCAGCGTCCGACGAACGGACGAAAGATGTATCTATATATCTGAAGTGGAATCGATGGAAGAAGGCAGCTCAACATTTCACTTCAAGGTCCAGCACCAGCACCAGTAAGTCGAGCAGGAAAACATCCAAAAGGCATCTGGGTCCACAACTGCAGAAGTTGTACAACTGAGTTGAATCTTACCCCTTCGATTTCACAGAGAAATCAAAACGAGATCGTCATGACGTTTACCACCAAAGTCGAGCACCTCGAACCTTATGGTCGACTATCACCAGCCAAGTTGGCTTCCGGATTTGCGTCGAAGAATATCTTGATAAGTGGCGGCGGGTATGGCATAGGGGCCTCCATTGCACATGCCTTCGCGGAAGCACATGCAGCCGGCATCGTCCTTGCAGGACGTACAGTGTCGAAATTGAAGGCCACAACTGAGGAAATCAAAAGTGCTTATCCCAGGACCGTTGTAGAGTACCGCACGGTCGATATCACATCGGAGGAATCAGTCAAGGCCATGTTCTCGTCATTGGACTCGCCAGTCGATGTGCTCATCAACAACGCCGGATACCTCGCCCAGCCTGAGAATTTTGTCGAGGCAGATTTGAAGGAGTGGTGGAAAGCATTCGAGGTGAACGTCCTTGGCACTGCGTTCGTGCTACAGCAATTCTTACAGGCACGAGCAAAGCAAAACGCAACGGAGCAGGCTGTCATCGTGAATATCAACACTTCCGGCGCGTACAATGTTCTGGTGCCGTCCCTCTCAGCATACGCGGCCAGTAAGGCTGCAATGTGGCGAATGATGGAGCTGATAACCATGGATATTCAAGCGGCCACAGAACTATCCGGCGGGGCTAGGATAATCTCCATTCATCCCTGATTTGTCAAGTCTGCAATGTCGGACAAATCTGGCCTAGCAGGCTTGATCAAACCAACAAGCGCTCAGCTTGCGGCAGAGTTTGTTGTCTGGACTGCGAGCGAAGAGGCATCTTTTCTGGCGAATCGCTTCGCTTGGGCAAACTGGGATGTAGATGAGCTGATTGCAAGGAAGCAGGAGATTGTGGAAAAGGACATGCTGAGGACTGGCTTGTCTTGACACAGGAATGTAAGTCAGTTCGGTGGTGCGTAGAGCAATTTGAAGATGATTTTCACATGTCTTGCATTTTCTTCCCCCCCTGATCCATCCAGCAAAGTGGTCTGATAGGAAGGATGGCCAATGCCGCCAATACTATTTTGTTGACATGTGAAGGTTGATAAACATATGCATCTAAGGTCGAGCCACGCGGTCGGAGTAGAGGAATGTAAATGGATGATTGGGTGGTGTTGGAGGTGGTAGAGAAGTACGAGAAGCCATCCCATTGGAGAAAATGCTCCGGAGCTGCTCGGATGACCTTCCTTTCCTGTCTTATCGTTATCGACGCTATCGATACGGGTCGAGGGGCCGCAGGATCCACCTGCGCAGCCACTGCAAATTGTTGAGCTTCCGATGCCGCAGTCACTTTTTTATTTCCTGGCGATTTTACTCCCTCACTCCACGTTTTGCATTCGACAATCAAACCAGACAATTTGTTCCTAGAGATGGGTACAGGTCTCTTGGCTTCGGTCGACCCAGAGGACATTCTCAGCAAAGACGTCCGCGGCCTCACTCTTGACCAAGTTGCTTACCTTGGGCATTGTCTGATCGAAGTCACTCCAGAAACATTCCAATCCAATCTTGCGTTCTTGCGTCAGAATTTCTCCAAGCTCGACATATACCTCGATGTGCGGAAACTGAAGAGCTGGGACAATGTTATTGACGTCCTCAACAATGGTGCATCCAAGATATTCGTCACCTTTGAGCAACTGAAAGCTCTGTCGCAAGAGCCTACCATTTCCGCGGATCGCCTTGTGTTGACTATCTCCTTTGTCAATCCGAAAACCGATATCGCGAAACTCAAGACTTTTCTTGATGAGAATCCACAATGGAAAACTGCGGAATGGGCATTCGATGGCGACAAAGGCAACGAGTATGTGGATAGTGTATTGAAAGAGCTGGACAATTATCCTCCAAGCCATGATCAAACAATATTTGTCTCGGTCGCGAGCGAGACTGAAGGAAGGAACCTATTGCACGAGTATCCCGGAAATGCTCTGATTGTCTCCTCTACAAAGTTGACCTTCGACCCTTCCAAGGAGGAAAACAAGGGTTTGATCCCTGCGGTAGAATTGATCGTCGCTGGGGCCACCGCGGATCGCAAGACGGGCCTCTATGCGACTACAGTAGTTGATGAGCGCGGTGTTGCGCTGGGCTTGGTTTGGAGCAGCAAAGAAAGTATTGCCGAAGCACTCAAGACCGGAACAGGCGTCTACCAAAGTCGAAAACGGGGTCTTTGGCACAAGGGTGCGTCGAGTGGGGACATCCAGGAACTCATCAGTATCGGTTTCGATTGCGACAAGGACTGCTTGATTTTCAGGGTGCATCAGAAGGGCCACGGCTTCTGCCATCTTAAAACAATGTCATGCTGGGGCAAGGTTTCCGGGCTCTCGAGGCTCGAGCGTACATTGCAACAACGCAAGGTCGACGCGCCTGAAGGCTCTTACACTGCTCGACTGTTCAACGATCCGAAGCTTGTCAATGCGAAAATCAAAGAAGAGGCGGATGAGCTTTGCGTTGCTGCTTCCAAGGAGGAAATTGCCTCAGAGGCAGCTGACCTGCTGTACTTTGCCCTTGCCCGTTGCATTGCCGCGGACGTCACCTTGGAAGACATCGAGAAGAATCTTGATTTGAAGAGTCTGAAGGTAAAGAGACGAAAAGGAGATGCCAAACCACAGTATGTCGAGGAGACACCTATCGGTGAAAAATCACCTCCCGAAACCAACGGCATCGGCGGCCACAAAGATGAAGAAGTCAAGGAGGCCGCATCTATTCCGAAAGGCCCCTTAGATCCTGCTGGTAGGACAGAATCTGGCCGGATACAGCTGAAACGATTTTCTACCTCGCAAACTTTCTCAGACGACATCTTGAAAGCCGCTCTACAACGACCTTCGCAAAAGTCCAACGAGAAAATCATGTCACTTGTCCATCCCATTATTGCTGACGTTCGTGCCAACGGCGACTCTGCTGTCTTGAAATATACCCACAAATTCGAAAAAGCCACCGGCCTCAAATCCCCTGTACTAAAAGCACCTTTTCCTAAATCGCTCATGCAACTTCCTGAAGAAACCATCAAAGCGATCAACACTTCATACGATAATATCCTCAAGTTCCATTCTGCCCAGAAACCATCAGCACCGCTGGTTGTGGAGACAATGCCCGGCGTGACCTGCTCCCGGTTTTCGAGACCGATTGAGAAGGTTGGTTTGTACATTCCCGGCGGAACCGCAGTGTTGCCCTCCACGGCGCTTATGCTTGGTGTCCCAGCCATGGCTGCAGGATGCAAGAACATCGTCCTTGCATCGCCTCCGAGATCTGACGGCACCGTCACACCGGAGATCGTGTACATCGCACACAAAGTCGGAGCGGAGGCCATAGTTCTGGCTGGCGGTGCTCAGGCTGTCGCCGCCATGGCCTACGGAACAGAATCTATCACAAAGGTTGATAAGATTCTGGGGCCAGGGAATCAATTTGTCACCGCCGCGAAGATGATCGTCAGCAACGATACCTCCGCCGCAGTATCAATTGATATGCCAGCTGGTCCGTCTGAAGTGCTAGTTGTAGCGGACAAAACAGCCGACCCAGCCTTTGTTGCCAGTGACCTTCTCAGTCAAGCAGAACATGGCACAGACAGCCAAGTCGTCCTAATTGCCGTTGACCTGAACGAGGAGCAACTCCAAGCGATTGAAGATGAAGTTCACAAGCAGGCACACGAACTTCCCCGAGTGGATATTGTTCGGGGGGCAATCGAACACAGCGTGACTATCTCAGTGCCCACTCTCAAGGAAGCATTAAAGTGGTCGAATTACTATGCACCTGAACATCTCATTTTGCAAATCTCTAACCCTCGCGCCGTGCTCCCCGATGTTCAAAATGCAGGTTCCGTGTTCCTCGGAGGTTGGACGCCCGAGTCTGTCGGCGACTACTCCGCGGGCGTGAATCACAGCTTGCCGACATACGGCTACGCGAAGCAATACAGCGGTGTCAACCTCGGCAGTTTTATGAAGAACATCACGAGCAGCGAAGTGACGGAACAGGGTGTCGGGGAAGTAGGCTACGCAGTCATGGAGCTCGCCAGATGTGAAGGCCTTGATGCCCATCGACGAGCCATGGAGATCCGTTTGGAGAAGCTTGGACTGGTCAAGAGGAACGGCGTGCAGACTGATGACCTTCCCGTGAATATTGAGAACGCTGAGCCAAAAGCTGTCATCCATAATGGGTCACCAGAAGGGAGCCTCAAGTCAGCTGCTGTCAGTACGAAGGGGGATCAAGATGGTGCGGCCACAAAAAAATAAGCCAAGGAGGAACAGGAGATCATAACTGAACTCGCTGAGGTTCAGTTTGTTAGATTATGTCTCTGAAGCTCTCACATGGATTGTTCTATAGATCTGGATGTCATAGAAAGATTTAAGACTCTGCAACAATAGAACGTTGCTCTGCCTGAGCTTGACCAATCATCGCTGAGCTAAAGACCTCGCAAAGCTGTGTAGGGATTTCGGAACAATATTCCTCCGAAGGCAGCCAGAACGTGCGCCTGACAAATTAAAACATTTCGTTTCGACAGCATCGCTCGCCAGTCGACACTCCTGCTACTTTATTTGGTCACGGAAATAGTCTTTGATATAAATAGTCTTTGATATCTAGAAGTTCTGGTATGATTGAAACATGAATCCCTCTGATGACCCTGAATTCCAAAGTGATGGCAGCGAGGAGAGCGACGATGCTGCTGTCCCCAAAACCAGGACAGTCAGGTCCAGTCGTGCGTGTATAACTTGCCGACGGATGAAAACGAGGTGCGAAATCGACGAAGCACTAGGCAACGCGTGCAAATTGTGTATTCGAGCCCGTCGGCAATGCATTATGCAGGATATCCCACGACGAAGGAAAAGAAAGACTACCGAACGGGTTGCAGATCTCGAGCAGAAGATCAATGCGCTGACGGCTCTATTGGCCGCAAATACGACAAATAGCCCTGGAGATCACAAGAAGATCACCGATACCCGTGGCGATTCGACTGGGAGTTTGGCATCCAAGGAACAAACATCAGCCAAACCCGATAATACCCTCATCCCTGAAGCCTTGTCTCGCGGCTTCGTAGACTGGGAAACTGCCTGCAAGGCTTTCGGCCGATATCAGAACGAAATGTCTCGCTACTTTCCCTTTGTGGTCTTTGCGCCTGATTCAGATGCTGTCACCGTCAAGCAGCAACAACCGCTCTTGTTTTTCGCTGTCGTTACAGTTGGACTGGCTTCAATGCAAACAACGGCGGATGTCGAACTATGCGATATGCTCGTCAAAGATCTGGCCTTACGTGTCGTATACAGTGGTGAACGATCTCTTGAACTAGTGCAGGCTTTACTCCTTCACACCTTTTTCTACGGCAGGCCCAAAAACATGCGAGATCTCAATTTCAATCAGATGGTGCATATCGCTAGTACAATGGCGCTTGACATCGGCTTGGGCAGACGACCTCATAAATCAACTTTAACTCAAAGAACTGACCCTCATCAATTGGAATCACTCGCAGGCAGACGAGCATGGTTAGGATGCTATTATATGGGAACGAGGTGAGACTACTACCAATCCTCCAGTGCGGGTAACTGACAGATCTGCTCAGTGTTTCAATGTCTCTCCGCCACCCTGCCTTCGTACGTTGGTCTGTGTACACTGAGGAATGTTTGGATGTTCTCTCCGCTGAGAAGCCTGTGTTACCGAGCGATACGTGGCTATGCGACTTGATACGCATCCAACGTATTGCCGAAGACGCCTCAATCACATTCTCCATGGATGACCCTGGTGCAGTTGTTACACTCCGCGACGTCAAGACTCAATATCAGATCAGAGGTTTTCGTCAGCAATTGGACCATTGGCGCCGGCATGCCAGAACAGATTTGAGCCTGCGTGAGTGATACGGAACACAGATATTTTGTAGAAGCTGACTCTGGCGACTTCAAGCCTACGTTCGCCATGTTGTGGCATGCACCGACCTCTTTATCCACGAAATAGCCCTGCATCCGGAACACGATATCGACGACCTCCGCTCACCACTCCGTGCTGCTACAGAGCCCCCTATTGCAGCAGTCGAGAGTATGACATCAAAATTCAAAGACTTATATTTCATTCCCGCAAGGGTTGAGGCACTGTTTACTTGCCTCGCTGCGATTCACGAATGCTTCGACGCTTTTCTCTCCATGAGCTTGGTTTCCATCTGTAGCTTGCCGAACATTTTCTTGGTACGCACCGGCTATGCAGCCCGAGCGCTCCGCAAATTACTCAATATATGCGACAGCCAAGCAGAGTTTGAAGGCAGATCCCACATCGACGTCCGAGATTTGAAATTCGAAGAGTACCTGACTGCAATCATCGATGTACTTAGGAGAGTCCATGCTCTAAGTAACTCTGTCGTGGCGAGAGCTTTCTGCTTGGTTATCTCGCAGATCAAGACACATGGACTCAATTCGTCCAGGTTACTTTCTACGATAAAACAAACAGACAACACTGCAACTAGTCAATCAGGAGTCAGTCCGACACTTGTCTCCTCCTTACCCTCAGATAAACGTTTCGATCACCCCTGCGTCCACGCCGACAAGAACCATCAGGCAGACCGAACAGAATCTCAGGCGTATGATTTCGGTAATCTGACTAGCATACCTCCAACTCAACCGTCCCAGAACCAGGTCCCTGTGGATACACAGATCCAAGCAGAAAGTGCACAGTGGTTGGAAAATGATACGGACGACGCCTTCATGAGTGGTATCGATGTTTTGCAGTGGTTTGAACAGAACTTGGCCTTTGATGATCCCGCGGCGTATGCGTATGACAGTCAACTCGCAGATCAGTATTTCCAGCAATGATGCTTCCACCGACGCAGAGCACCTCTGACGACCTCACGCAGTTGTTGAGCTCATCCCGTCAATCGTGTCTGTGGAATCATAATTTGTAGCTCAGTTCTGCACAGGAGAGCTCCTTTGGAGTTTCGAGTTCGCTTGCCCGTCTCCAACAACTGTGCCTCGAGATCTTCATACATGAGTCTGAAATAATCTCGCTGAATTCTTGTCTGCTTCAACTCCTCGTTCAAAGAATCAATACTGCGAAGTGTGTCATGGAGAAATCGATTGCGCTTGTTTCGAAGTCGAACCTGCGCTGCGCGGTTTTGCTGGCTTCGACGATAAAGGATTACTTGGTCAGACAGAGAATGCATTTACGGTCTCTGGGACAAATAACTCCTTCCTAGTCAGTGCTGTGGACTTCGACTCCCCTTCGTCCTGTGGCTCAACTCGGGTGCGGCGCGGTTCATAACCAGGGCGATTCCCGTCAGTCTGGATGCACGCCCACTTCAGTCGCGATTTCTATGCCGACTCCACGGATGCAGCTCTTCCCACTCCTATGCGCTCACGCAGCTAGGATACATCCCATTTGCCTGCACAAGGGTTAGAACCGGACTCACCATTGCCGGTGTCGCTTTTGACTTTCCTGGTGCCTTCAACCACCAGTAGAGACGGGATATATCATCTGCGAAACGTGAAGAATCTCACCATCTCCGAGCTGAACCACTTCATCCCACAGCTGTTTGTGCAGTTTGTCATCCTGGTACTCATGCCATATAACCTGTTTGAGACTAGCCTTCATGTCCTTCCAGGAGTGGACCTCCAAGTCGGTGGCTGTGTCTGCAAGCTGGCTTATGTACCACTTGTGTTGTGCCGGTCCAAATGGACATGTGCCACCGACGGAAAGGAGCCATAGAAGTAGCTTTGTGCTTACTCCACGTTGTTGAGTTAGGGGACGGAGCGTGGATAGCAGGTCGTGCTGGGCAGTGCTCACCAGGAGAGACGGGTCCGGCTGGTGGCCGCACCACTGGGCGAAGACGTGGATTATCAGAGCATGGCGACATGCTGCTGTAACCGTATTCTCATAGCTGCACAGCAGCGGGTCTGGGACCGGCAGGGTCAGCAGCCGCTGCAAGGTGGCGCACAGAAAGGTCAATACTTCCTGGTATTCTGTGGCCGAGCTGCAGTCGTGGGCGGTCTGATAGGTCATGGCGAGCATGCGGATATTCAGCATGAGCTCAGAGTACTCCTTCAGGACGCCATGGGTCTGAAAGTCGATTGGACTCGGGTCCGGGAGCTCTTCACCAGTGCCGAGGAGGGACTGGTCGGATCGGAGGCTCTCGTAGAACCATGGAGGGCGCTGGACGACCGCTTGTGTGTCGCAGGATGGGAACTCGACATCGGCTGTCGCGACGAACATGCTGGACATGACTGATCAGTTTCCAAGATAACATCTGGTCAGATCAGTGGTTCTACCTACCAAAACAGCATGTTCGCCACGGTGGGATTCGAGATGCGGATTGCCTCCAGACCGCCTCGGACTTCCAGCATCTGTTTCAGGCCTGTTACGTGAATACGCGATAGCCGCAGACTGCCCTTTTCATGCTGCCGACTTTGTCAGCTTCTCCCTTTGGCAGGCAGTCATTTTGTGTTGGTCCAGACCTACCTCAATGACTGCCACCCCTGCGACGGCCGCCAATGTCTCATCCGAGACACAGTCCGGGAACGGTTCGTTGATCTTTTTCTGTATCAGGTCCATGCAGATCTTGGAGAGCCGTATGCACCTCACTCGTTCTTTCGGAGGAAGGTGGTGTTCCAACCAAAAGGCGCTCACAAGGAGGGTGACGTGGAACAAGGCCGTGTCCTTTGTGATTAAGGGAGCGAAAAATTCCAGCACGGGATTCAGAGTCGGCGTGGGATAGTATGGGAAGACGTTAAAGATGTGTGAGGAGAAATCTGGCGGACTGGTGTCAGCCACTGTCGGCCAGACTGGGGTTTAGGACTCACATGTCCCCATCAGAAGGTTTATGTCTGGCTCCAGAGACGGGGGATGTTGCGTGAAGGGGTCAAATGTCGACGATCCCGTCCCAGCCAGGACCAAAGAGCCGGTGTTTCTGTGCTGTGGACGAGACCTGGACAGGATGGGGACCGTCTTCAATGCCCTACTCCTCATCTTATCCGCGGCTGGTATTGTCGTCGTCGTCGATTTGTCTATCATAGGACTCTGGTCCCCGTACTCACACCTTTGAATGTTGACATAGTGGACGGCGCACTTGGCGCAGACGGGGCGCTTTTCATCGCACTGCGAAGCGTGCGAAATCAGCCCGGGAAGAAATGATGACCTTTATGGCTTTGGCGGCTTACTTTAACTTTTCTCAGCTTGCGGTTTTTGCATCCCGTCCGTGACTTTTGATGTGCTCTTCGCGGGAGAGGATACGGAAGCTGTGATTCCGGCGACATTGGGAAGATGTTAGGCTAGACGGGATGCTTGAATGGCTAGAGTCGACGTCTGGTTCGAGTTCATACAGGAAGGGGCAATGGCAAGCTTCATATACTTCGAGCCAGTGCCCATCTGCTTCACTATAACGGCTTCTGTCATCCTATCCACGAGGCTATGAGATTTTGTTCTAACCCGCATCGGGAAGTGGAACCGGACGACGAGGCTGCTTGAGGGAGGATGCTAAGTCAGCAGAATTGCTGACTGTTCATAAGCATAGCCCGGAAGATTTGCTCCGAAGAAACTTAGAGATCCAAAGCTTGGACCGGATCAGAAAACTTCCGGATATATATGATTCGCATGGCATGTGTCACCTTTGCTTTCTCATTTCGTAAAAATACCATCATCAATGCCTGAGAAGAGTGTGAGAGTGCTCCTCGCTCTACCTTCCTTTCTCCTTCTTTGCTTTTTGGGGATCCGATGGGCAGAGAAATATGCCTGACCAACCTCACCCCTTGGTGCTGCTCTGTCGTGGGACGGATTCTGCTTCTAATTGTGCCACGGGCTGGAAGAGGGCTATGGCGGCGTCCTGGCGAACCAAGGGCGGCAGCAGCAATAATGTACATTTGTCTACCATAAAATGACCACCAAAAAGAGGAGACAGTGTCGGTCGCCTGCACCATCTGAATTTGAAACATGCTTTTCAGGTGCCTGAGGCTGCCAGATACTGCCACACCTCTGAAGCATGGCAATATCGGGCATCCGGAGACTACAGGGTGGATTCTGCCTGCATCAAGATTTCAGCTTTCCTTCAGACATACCTCATCGGTCACTTTCTCTCCAGTATCTCTCACCTCCTCTTCATCAAAGGCTCATTCCGCGAACACTCAGCCAACTGTCTCAACAACAGAACACCTTTGTGCCTGAACTGTATCTTGTTTAATCCTGCTCACAACACATTATAGCCTCCCCTTTCCAAGCCTCATCCGCTCCACCTTGATCGGCCTGTAATCACGAAACCCCTGCTCCGATGTCTTACTACTTCTTCCCCTCCCCTGCTTTTCGACAGTTGGACGCTATCACGAGTCCCGAAGACGATGATTACGATGGCTACGAATCGGATCCCGACTTCGAAGCTGACGACGGCCGCGAGGTTCTGAAGAAGTCCCTTCACCATCTTGGACTGGCCAAGAATTACACTCCGCAGTGGCGGCGAGAGGATGCATTCAGGGAATTCTATCAAAACTGGTAGGATAAAATCACCACGTTTGTGGTTTCTACATTGCGGCTAGCTGACACGGCATAGGAAGGATGGAATTGTTGCGTCGTTCGGAGTCGATCCTCGATTTTTCAAGCCGGTTTTTGACAGAAACGACGACCGGGAGATCCACATCACCGCTCGCACAGAAAGTGGTCATCTGCTTGGCTACATCCGCTTCAACGGCAAACAAGGCACTCTGGAGCTGACCAATTTCAAGGCCAAGCTCGACCGAAAACACCTGGCCCTGGGCGCGACAAGTAAGCGGAATAACGACACATTTGCAGGAGGTCACGGTGAAGGTTTCAAGCTGGCTGCACTCGTGATGCGAAGGAACGGACACTCGGTAATGTTTGAGACGAACTCCTTCCGCTGGAACTTCAGCTTCCGAGGCAGTGACCCACATCTTTGTTGTCTTTTGAACAATCCGAGACCCAAACTGTTGCGCGAGCAGCGAGATGAATATGAACGACGACAACGGTCGGCACGTGATGCTCACCGAGGACTCACTTCTTACATCTGGGAAGACATGACAGTCAAAATAGGCAAGTCCAGAGACAGGGAAGGTGCTCAGAAAGTCTCCGAACAAGATTTTCGCGCGTGGATGAGAGTGTCAATCGATCTGGACCCTCCAGACCCAACTCAAAGTGTTCCTACAATCACGGGACACCTCATATTTGACCCACGGTTTCGAAATCGAATCTACCTCCATGGCCTCCTCGTCTCTGAGTCCGCTGGTGATTCGCAAGGTGGGAAATCCTACCATTTTGGCTATAATTTCCACCGGGGAAAAATCAACCGGGATAGACAGCGGATGACAGATCAAGATGAAGAGGCCAGAACCTTGGCCAGTATTTGGGAGCAGGCTATCGTGCTGAGGGGCAATTTTGTCATCGATGCCTATATCAAATTGTTTGCCGAAGACGAAGAAGCTTCTGATGTTGTGCAAGCCTACCGGTACATGGGGCCGGTAACAGCACAGAATCTTTGCCGGCGCCTGAAGGAGTCTCATCCGGAAGCATTCTTCTACGCCGATAGAGGTGAGTCGGAACGGAATGCCACTACAGATGTAAGTATTATAACTTGGGTTGTCGACAACAAAAGATCTAACACTCTTTCAAGGAGGACATCATCTCGAAAGAACTCAAAAAACGGCCCTTGAAGCTTGGGAAAAAAATCTGGTCTATCCTCAGAAAAGAGCCACCGTTGATGCGCACGCCCCTTGAAGAAAGAAATCACTTGTTCGAGTCCTCACAGAGGATAGAACCAGGCCAGGATATCTTCGGCCTCAATATTATCCGCGCTCTGAACGGTGCATTCACCTTGCACCCAGAGTTGAGCAATGTCAACATCGAGTTTGTGGACGGAGCTGATACCGCAATTGATCTCCTCTATGCCGCGGACCGGAATCTGCTTCGCATACACGCAAAATGGCTCGACGTTGCGCGGGTACACGAAGGATCCTGTTGCGAGTTTTTCAAGGTTGCAGGAGAACAATTAACCAGCGAAAGTGCCTTCTTCTGCGACCACGTCGTTCAAGATCTGCTCGCGGCTGCTTTCGAAGAAGTCCGCACTCCGCTCGGCTTGACGCTGGCGACTGCTGCTTGGCTTCGAAGAAATGCAAACGAATATCTCCGGAAGATGCCACGCGCTATCCGCATGAGGTTTCTGGATGCTGGCAAGAAGTTGAAGGTGGAGTGGGTCGGCAACGAGAGCGGAGCCTTCACGGTCAGATACGGAGCAAATATTCAGTACTGTGTCACACTCCATAAAGAGAGCACATGTGGGCGAAGAAAGACGGAGGTTCTGAATGTTGCCGGTAAGTCCAGTGCCTTTCATGTATCGGGAGCCATGTGGCAGCTTGAGACACTAAGATACCAGCTACTCATCCAGCTTCCGAACAACCAGCTCAAGTAAACGACCTTTGCGATTGTCCAACCCGAACCGTCACTCAAGTTCTCTCAAAGGCCATCTTTGACGGACTAGACCCCAATGCATCTTACTTCCCAATGGTGTCGCGAGCCGAAACACCATCATTTTTTGGACTACCACCGCCCTCATCTCACCACCTTACAGCATCGGCCTCGGAGTCCGGCTCGAATTACGGCTCGAGCTATGATACTTTGAAAGAAGAGGACAGTGACTCTGATGAGACTGTCGACCTCGAAGCACGAGATCCCCAACCTTCTGCTCGACCAGAAGCCGTTGTATTGCAAAGCACGAGGGTGCAAGACGACGAACATGAATGGCAGGAGTGGCATCAGCAGCATTGTCAAAGCAACCAGACTCGAGTTTCTCCTCCGCCAAATCAGGCTTTCGAGGTACGTTCTCAACTATAACCCCATAGCTCATCTATTTGAGGATACAGACTGACATATTCAAGGTGGACGCTATCGTTCTTCCTTCAATTTACTGTATGCGCCTCAGACTGACTTTAGAGCAAGGCTGCTACTATCATGTCCTGTTGGCAGGAGAAGAACGCGAGCAGGTCATCTTTGTTCACAATACCTCCTTCATCAACATTCGATCTGGACACGGCTATTCCTTGCTCGTCACCAAGTACTCTTTTCTCAGCTCCATCTTCTCACATAAGAACCCCCCGTCGTCTGTAACCCCAATAGCCGACGATCAAGAGGTAATCTTGCACTTCTGCGACTTTGATAAGATGCGGGCGCCGCAGGATGCAGAAGCGATATCTCTTGACGACATCTTATCTGCATACCGGGTCGGAACTGGGAGGGACAGCGTTAGCCATATTCCACGCCATCGCGCAGGTTTGTCCCGCTGCCGAATTCTCAAATTATGCTAACATAGAACTAGACACTAAGTCCGAGACGCTCTTCTGTCGGTTTGGCATTTCTGAAGCAAGCGCAGATGGACGCGTCAACTCAATGACACCTCTGGCGCCTCATCTCTTACTGCATCAAGAAAATCGTTCGCAGAGATCCAGCTTCCCCAGTGAGACGCCGCCCGTGGCGTTTGATCTGAGCCCTTCTGTGTTGGGTGTTTCGGAAGGATTTGCAGCGAGTGGATTCACTATTCAGGCAGCGTTCGGACTCGACGAAAGAAGACATACTACGTGGATGGTATGAGCCTTCCAAAGACGCACCCGCTCATGTGTGAGATGCTAACTACTTCAGAATCGACATGGTATCGCACAATGTTTTGATGGACCGATTCCCCGTATATTCAAGGACTTCGACTCTGGAAAGCTCCAGCCGATCCGACACCAAAATCCAGCGCTTCCCAAGGTACTCCTTTTCGCGCACGACCAGACATGTTTCCGACTCAATGCACAGAACTGTCAAATGCCGACTTTGCATCAGTTCTTGAAACCCCTGGATGCCGTCCAGAAAGCTGTTGAAGTATTGAGACCCGACTTTCTCGTCATGTTACTACCTCCCGCGGTTCGTCATCCATCAGCGATGGCAAGGTTCTCCAAGATGCTCTTCAACTTTCTGGAAATGGGCTTTTCAGTTCACTCCACGCTGATTCGACTGAGCGATTACGGAGTTCCGCAAGAGAGGAGTATTCTTGCAACCATCGCGTCACCGGACGGCGTGCCTATGCCCTGGAAGTTGGATGACTACACCGCTGGACGCCAGCTTCCCGCCACAATTGGGAGTTTGATCGGAGACTTGGCCTTTGAGAATCCTCGCCTACAGAGCAAGCCGAACACAGGGTTTGTGTGCAAGCTTCCCACTCGTCCGGGGTCGGCCGCGGGAGCCTCGAAGCCTGTCTACAATCACTACACCGGGATTCGTGTTGCGCCTAGCGCCCCGAATATCTCGATGGACAGTGAAGCTCTGTATATCTCCAGTAGACAGAAGGTGTGGATTCATCCAGGTAAGTTTCCCTGGCACCCTCTTCTTGATTTCTGTACCAGCTATCTGACCTGCCACCGCAGTTCGACGCGACAGAGTGACGGTCCGTGAACTTGCGCGACTACAAGGCATTGCCGATGAGCTGCCCTTCTCCGGGTCCATCGAAGATCAGTACGAAACTGTCTGCAAAGCCCTCCCTCCGATCGTTGCCGAAATGATTGCGCATACAATTCGAGAGGCGATCGACAACTCTCGGGTCGTTCCTGTCAGTGGCGGCGGGGGGAATAACAGAAGAAAGAGAGCAAGAGTTATGAGGGGATGAGAGGAGAGGGGGAAAGGTATTGTGTGATGGTGGACGGGCTTGTGAACTGTATTCGAGAGAGATGTCGACACCTCGATCTACGTATGCTGAATCCGACGGAGAATCTGTCTTCGGCTTTTGTTACGAGATGAGAAATACGAGTTGCTGGGTGCTTTTGCAAGGTGTGTGTGTGGCGAAAAGGTCCGTCAAAAAGCTGGACATTGTTGGCTTGCTGAGTCCCATCTTGGATGAGGACGAGAGGATTGGCTAGGAAGTGTCAAATGTGCGGTGAAGCAGTAACTATTTCTGCAGGTCGCCACGAGTTACAAACTGGCCGATACTGACAGATGCGTGGAGTTAGGCAGCAGCTGAGAGCTCACAGTTTCCAGAACCACGTTCTATCGGCCCAATTCGCTCAGAGACATGATACGGAGGCCGATTTGCTGATTATACTATGAATTCACCCATTCACTTCCCCAGCATCTCTCTCTATCACTCCATCTGTCAAGCCTTCGCCCTTGCTCAATCCTCCCTTGATGGATCACTTCAGAGACGGGTGACCATGGCGAAGGACAGATGAAACAGGAAGCGAACATGTCACGGCCCGGGAGAACCTGAGCCCTATTGGCCCTTTACTCACCTACTTGATAGCTACCCGACGCCGCAAGCCGCGCCAGCACATGCCACGGTATACGGGAACTATTTAAATTGCTTCTTCCTATGCTTCTCCTGTCCCTTTTTCTTTTCTCCCTTCCAACCACCTTTGCCTTTCTGGCAGCTCACATTTCTGCCTTGTCCCTGCCAGGGGGCGGGAACGAGGAAAAAAAACCTCCATCCGGCAATATATCTATCTATATATCTACTCCTATCATGACAAGTCCTGACACCCGTGGAGAGAAAGCCAGGCGGATCTGACTCCGTGCGACGGCCCTGGTGTCTTGAGAAGCGACGCTGTTACACAGGACCGAGCGGACGACCTCTTGGGTTGATCGAACAACAAGCCCATGATGCATATATATATTCATACCTCTCGCAAACAGAGCGGCGACCGACTCACTCTATCTAACATCGGCGACGCCCGTGGGAAACTCAATCCCCGCTGGACCAGAGGAAAGAAGAATATGTCGGGCAACTCCCACAAACACCTTCAGAAAGACAATGCATACTCGATTCGCCTGCAAGGAGCCTCGGAAGTCACTGAGTCGGCAATTTTCATCTGTGACGGTGTGTCCGGGTGGATTGACGATACAGAAAAGAAAAGTTCTCCTCCTGCCTTAGCCTGAATGAAAGCACACCTCGGCGGAGGATATACAACAGATCCCGGTGTGCTATGTTTCGATAACCGGCAACAGGAGACTTCACACTATCGTCGAAGTCGGCATGTCGCAGTCTCTCCAAAAGCTCCGAGATCTCGTGCTACTATACATGAAAGGAAACGCTGATATCCAACGCATTATTCGTATCAGAAGGACAGAAAACCAGTGTCCAGACGCCCGGCTCCGCACCCCTGGGGCGGATTAGGCCTCACTAGCCGTCGATGGCCCCAGGCGGCGGGTGCTTCGTCCGAATACATACGCCCAGCGCAGCGCGTCTCCAGATCCTGGATAAATATTACATACCTATATCTCTCCCATCCTGGAACCCGGGACCTCGAGAAACAATTGCGGTACAAACAAGCATCTGCCGGCTTATGCTGCCCTTTTTTGGGGCTAAGACCGTACGAGTAACAGAAATATGGAACGCGGTGCTCAAGAGGAACCGGGTGCCGAAAGCAAACGACCTCCTCTACCGGCTGCCACTCGATAAGGTGCTTATGAATGAACAAGAATCACAGCCCTCTCAAGAAGTTCTGGAAGAAAAAGCCGAAATCTTGACACGGGGCCCATGAGAGTACCCAAGAAAATGGATTGCAGGGGCAACGAGGTATTGGTTACAGATTCACGCAGCCCATCTGCAACCTTGTTCCCGTCGCGCGGGAGCACAAAAACCGCCACGAACAGCCACCGCACGGCCCCTGAGCCTGCAGCTGTCGTGGGAGGGCGAGCATCATCATCGGGGTGGAAACAGGTCATCACTACGAACAAAAATATCGTTTCCCTAGAGACCGCTGTTTGTTTTGTGACTTCTGCGATCCTCTTCAGACCCTCCCAACAAACCTCGACTCAGATGTGACAGTTTCAATGGTCTTCTCGAGCCGCTGCCGCTCTCTCAACTATGAAAGCCGACCGGTGAGCTCGGGTGGCTCTGGGGCCCACGTTCCTCAAGTTGACAGACACCCACGGCCGCGTCGATCGCAGGAAGTACTTCGAGGACTCTGCCTTCATACTGTATATATGACATCGGTCTCTGGAACTGGCCCGTCAGAAATGGATACAGTATGCATGTGTGTTTCGGCGTATGCGAGACAATCCATCATCTCCTGTATCTACATACATATGATACGATACCCCTGCAAACACACGCGACTGCGACAGTCTTCGCCGCACCCCATTATGCCGCCCTGGATTCGAACGGCGCTGACAATCCCATCCGCGGGGGTGAATAATGGTCGGTTTGAGTACTAATATTACTATTAGCCATGACTCCCGTTCAGGGGAGAGACGGACACTACACCTTCGGGATCGGGTAGGAAGGAGAATCGAATTCGAGACCGTGAGGAGTGAAGAGTGAAGAGTCTGACAAGCTACCAGGGACGTAACAGACCTTCTCTCGTACTAGTACGGGACACGAGCTGAGCGAGACTCAAGGCGTGAGCCAAGGTCAGATGTACCCTCCCGCTCTTCCGTACGTTATCGTCAGGAACACAGCTAGGGACCGACGAACAAGGGGAAAGGGCGACCAGGAGGAGGTGGAGGAGGATTCTGTAAAGTAGCCAATGCGATCTATTTGTAACCCTATCGTTGAGCTGAGCTGAACTGAATTGAACTGAACTGAACTGAACTGAACTGAACTGAGCAAACCTGAGTAGAGGGAGCCATATGAGGAAAGCAATTCATCATTATGATCAAAATTCTATAATAGCTGAAAATCTATCAATCACTGCGAAACAAACGAAACGAAACGAAACCAAAACCCAGTCTATCTATCTCGTATCTCGTATCCCTCGAACAAAAAGCCCAAAAGCCAGGAGAAAAAATGAGTGACCGTTCCCTTCCTCGATTAATCCATTCCAGTCCAAGCCCAGGAGGACTCTCTCCTCTCATTATAGCGTTCCGACCAAACAAACAAAAGAAAATAATCAGCAATCGTGAAACGAACACAAAACAAACCCGAACCCAGAAATAAAGCGAGATCAGAGAAATCCATCATGGCAGATTCTTCAACCGCCATCGCTACCGCCACCACCACCACCACCACCACCGTTCTTACTCCCTCTTCCCAAGACCATTGATGCTGTCGTCTCACAGCTCCTTCTTGGGCGGGGGCTTCACGGTCGCGTTCGTGCCTCCCACAGTGACGGTGAACAACTTCGGATCGCCGGCGTGCACCTCGCCGCTTTGATCGGCACCGCCGTTGGGCTGCACGTCATCGTAGGGAAAAGCGTAGCCCTTGCCGTCCAGATTGGCCGAGTGCACGATCCGCGAGTAGTGGTTGGTGGTGGCGTCTTTGTAGTATGTGCTTTGCGGAGCGGGGAACGCATTCGACACGAGCAAGGTCGAGCGATTGAACGCCGCGGCCAGTCGAGGAATGATGGTGTTGGTCTCGGCATTGGCGCCTGTCGCGAACGGTCCGGTCGAACAGGTGAAGACGTCTCGTGTGGAAGGCTTCGAGAAGCTCGACCCACCGAAGTTGAGGGTGCCTTGGTTGTTGACCTTGGCGGAGACGGTGCCGAAAGAGGCCTGGGTGTCGATGGACATGGACTGGCCACCGAACTTCTGCCAGACTTTGTTGATGTAGCCATCGAAGTAGTTGGCAAACAACGACGGGTTGGTCACCATGCCTTGATTGGGCGACAGGGCACGGAGGTTTTTCCCATTGTGAGAGACGATCAACTTGTCCCAGCCTTGGCCGTCGGCGGCATGTTGAGCGCGCAGACCGTTGCAAACGATATCCAGTCCGTTGGCGGGCATCCCGGAGACATGCTGAGTGGCACCACTCTGGGTTGTGAGGGTCAATGCGATGGGCGGGCCGACGAAATCGACATAGCTGATGTTCGCATACAGCTGGTCCTGGTTGAACGTGAACTCGGCAAAGCCCCAGTCGATGTTGGCGTTGGGGTCGGAAGGATTAGTGACGGATGGCTCAACGAGAGCCGGTCCTGGATTGAGCAGGAATTTCAAAGGTGCTCCGATCGAGAACCAAATGCGGCCTCCGGCGATATGGGGTACCGTCACAGTCACGCTATGTCCCGGGGCTCCGAGAGCAATGGCACAGTTTTGTGGGATGGGCGAGCCGACCGCACCGGGAGAGGTGGGATAGTATGGAGTTCTTCCGTCGGCAGAAAGAAGAAACAGTGCATTGCCGCGGTCAAGGGCTTGACCTGTGACATAGGCATATACGGTGCTAGAGCTTGTCTGATTTTGCAAAGCAATTTGCAGACTCGATGATTGAACTTGAGCTGACTCCGCAACCGCGACCTGAGCTTGAGGGGTTGCAGGAGACTGCTCAGAGCTGGGCCGTCGAAGGAAGTGTTGGAGGCGCTGCATTGTTACAGGTAGTTGAGTCTCAGAAAACGAAGAGTTGTATTGTGTTCCGCTGTGTTGTGATGAGAAGATGGAGGATTGATTGATTGATTGATCGATGTCGAGGGATGTCGAGATATGCTCGTGTATTTATTGCTTTTTCTCCGACGAGATGGCGACGTCATTTGCCAGCCAAATCGTAAATGTCTGATATGGCTTTCAGCATGCTTTCCTGCAAACCGGCCGACACAGAAGGCAGCCATCATGCCCTATTGTCGTCTGATGCTCATTTGCTAATGGAAAACAAAAGTTCGAACGTCGCATCTCGCTTCAGGGACCCTAATCCCTACGATAACAGCCCTATCGAGGAACGTGGCACGAACCGAGGCAGCTCTATCAGATCTTGCCCGGGGTCCGCCGCTTCGCTATTGGTTGTGTACCTGACCAGCCGCAAGCACGGATGACCAAGTTTGTGATCGCCTGATTCCTGGTTGCACCGTGGGCAGCCACACAAGGCAGGAAGAAGCAACCCGTGACGTGGCCATCATGAGGGTAATTCCCCTTGAGGACGACCGGTCTGGGGGAGGAGACCTTTTTGTGTTAGTCAAGGCTGAATTCCCGGTTTTGTTAGCAGACTTCCCGAAACATTGAGAAGAGCGTTTCAGGGGCGGTTGATCTGTCACAGTTCGTGGATGGATCATGGTCAATAGACAACCCTACTGGCCGGCTGGGCCACCGTCGAGGTTGACGTAACATCATACCAGGAAGGTCCAGTAACTTGGAAAGACGAATTCTTCCTCGAAGATCTTCCTGACCTGCTCGAGAACGAACTTTTCCACCTTTCCCACGTTTTTGAGTACCTGTTTGCCGTCCTCCTGCCGTCCAATCTCGCTCTCCACGTGGATTTCCTGCAGTGGCCCAGGCAGACCGGTGCCTGAACCTGTTGTGCTACCCGCTTTCTTACGTGGATTGTTTGCCACACTTTCGCCGACCAGTGCAGCTGCGTCCTCGGAATCGAGGAAGCAAAAGTGCATCTTCTTTTTGACCCAAGCCACGATAGCGACCCCGTCAAACGTCAACCCGGTGATGGCTAATTTGAGAGGAATTCCGACGAAGCTCGGCATCGGATAGTCAAGTAGTATTTCGGCTGTTAGAGTCATACGCACGTCCCCGGAATACTTGACCCTTGCCACTACTTGCAGATCTGACGCCTGCCTGCTCTGAAGCCGGGATGCCGACAAGGGTTCCAGTGCATCGAGCGTAGTATCGCCCTGGCCGTTCTCACCGGCTGGCTGTGATCCATAAGGCAACCGAGGTGATGAAGGCGTGGACTCTGAACCACGTGGAGACGAGATGCTGTTTGCGGTGGAAGGCCTGGTCGATGGATCGTCGTGACCTGTCACGCCATGACTCGGTGGCTTCCTATGTGCTGGTCCATAAATAGGCATCTGATGCATCATGGCGAAATGGTGCGAGGGATCGTACGACCAAGGCCGAGGACTGAAAGGAGTCCCGCTTGCAACCGCTGCTAGCGGAGTCTGAGTTCCAGAAAGGCCACCGCCCGGGAAATGGAAGTAATTGAGATTGGATGTCCCGCCGGGGATGCCGGGGGTTGTACTTCGTGGGAAAGGGCCTGCAAAAGCTTCGTCGCCCGGGCTGATGCCTGCAAACCCTGGGCCCGTGATAAAGTTGGATAGGTGTGGCGCCGAACGTAACTGTTGAGAAGACGAGGTGGACTCTTGAGCGTCAAAGCGGTTTGTGGTCTTGGGGCCGTCGTTCTGCGTAGACCCGAGGGTAGATTCGTCCACGTCTCGTTCGGCACCCTCCTCGTCCTCTTCTTCATCCTCATAGAAGTCAGGAAGCGGGTCGCAGATATCCTTGATCTCGATCTCGGGACAGACCGACCCGAGCTCGAATGAGTGAACATGGACGGCATTGATGAAGCGGGGAAGGGGAATCTGCTGGAACTTGTCATGGACGAAAGCCCGAATCTTTTCAGCAAGGGCGGCGCCATCAGGGCCCGACGTGATCTTTTCCCACCCGATGTCCACCGACATCTTGTCGCATCTTCGGGGGGGATTCAAAGAATAGAGTGGAAGGAAGATGTTGTGATCACGACGAGGCTCTCTAGGGTGGCGAGGCTTGGCGCTGTGACGCTTCTTCCAGTATGGAAAAGCAGCTTTACGCCTGATCACACAGCCTACAGACGAGAAAGGAGGATATTTGGGAGGATATTGCGGCTCAATAGTCACTTGGCCTTTCTGGTTACTGCTGTCTACTGTCTACCGCTTCAAACAATTCTGCCATTAGCCCACGAAAAATCTACTTACTTCAGACGGTACGCTAGAAACAAACAGTGTGCAAAGCAGATCAATACTGGCCAACAGTAGATGAAACATACTGCACCAGAAGCAGCATGTCCAGTATTCTGCCCAATTTCGCAAGCAGAGACCCTTCAAGAGCAGCCCACCGGCAATTGAGTAGATAGCTCTCGACTTCTGACAATGTCCAGGGGCTCAACCTCGTAGCATTCTCGTGAGCATAAGTTAAGCCAGGCCAGAAGACATTCCTGCTATGCCTTCCCACACTCCAAGTGGGTTACTCCCAAGGTGGTGGATGTCCAGTCATTGATTCACCGCCAGCAACGGAGTTCCAAGAAAAACCCTGCAGTATTGGTAAAGCTGATGAGTGACGGAAACCCCCACCTCATGAGACATGCCCACATCACAAGCGCGGAGGTGTCGGCGGCCAGAACAGTACGTAGGAGGTAGAAATGGTGGGTAAGACATTGGTTCTGTTGTTCGGATTGATCTGTCAAGTTTCGTAAATCCCACTCGTCCACATTCCAGTAATATTGTACTGGCCTGATGTAACCCGCAAGAAGAAGAAGAAGACGGCGACGAAATAGCGTGGGAGGGTCCTCACCGTGCTAGAGCAACTTGCAAGAAGACAAGGGTAGCTTTCCCAAAGCGGTATACTAGACGCCTACCCGGAGGTCTTTCAGGGATGGAGGCGATGGACCTCATACCTCTGGAGGCTCCTCTTCTAGGAACGTGTGCACATTGTCCATATATTTCGGCTCCCAGCCATCTCATGCATACCAAGTCCAACGATCAACTCTCTTATCCTGACCGCTCTTCCTCCGACACAGCTGGAGTAACGAGGCGGTGCAAAGACATGGTGACGATCAAGCCTCGCAGCAGAAGGGTTTGGCAAGGGCAGCATGACGCAGGATCGAGGAGCGGACGCGAGTCGTATACAGTACACATGTAGAGAGATAGAGATGGGGATTTGGCGGTGGTTGACTCACCGGTGATGGCCTGCGTTAATTATTTGAAGCCCGGAAAAACCAGGCAGGTGGCAGCGCAGGAGACAATGCCAAGCCCCACAGATTTGCGGGCTTTTCCTGCACCATTTCACCGCTTCTTCAATCTCTTCCACCATCCTCAGCTTCATCTTTCCTTCACTCATCCATCGTCTCGTCAATGTATCAGGATGACCAACCAGACCGTGCCTGCTACAGATGACATCTGAAACGCCGTCGCACATGCTAAGTAAGGTAAGCCCATATCCATATCGCACGTATCACCTTCGGAACCATATCTCCGGGGACCGGATTCCCCTTCGGACTGAAGGAAGCAGAATGTCACACTTCCCGAATCCGGCTTTCTCAGTGCCAACAAAGAATGTTCTGAGGCAATCAGCCCCCTGCAATCCAGTTGCTGGGAGAGCCTAGTCGCCTTGCCGTTGCTTTCCGTGGGGACTTCCCTCAGATATTCGCACGGCCTGTCTCGTATCACATCCAGGTAGTGTGGGAGCACAATCCAGCCTTCAGGTCGCCACCTACCACGTGCCACCACTGCTTGAGTGAGATCATGCCGCCTAAGGTCCGGCAAAGCGCCATGACCAATGGTTTTGACAGCCAGCGAAGTGTTACACCGAGAGAAGGCCAACTTTTCCCTGCAGGTAGAGGCCTTTCGACTTGAACGAGAGCTTCCATGCAGCAGAATACGGGCAACGTGCATCGAACAATTCTCCGTCATCAGCGTGCGTTACACAGGCCACCCACAGGCGGTTTGTTGAGGCCCTGATTATCATGCCACACTAACCGAGGTTAACCACGGTCATTCCCGGTCTTACATTAGCTTGGGACCACTGGGAGGGGATCCACCACTGACGATGTCCATGTCCAAGTTCGAAGCCTTGACCATGATGCCCATCGAAACACGTTCAAGAGCTCACCACCATGCTACCGGTTTTATCCGTGATCTACAGGCATTCAATTCGCCCTCGACATCGTCCAGGCGCGAATGCTAAGGACGGGCCCCCTGGACAATACCATCTTTGACTCGGTCTTTCTGACCTAATCTCGGGATCGTATGAGAGGACTTGTTGGAGAGTGGAAGTCTATAAGAAAGGTTCCAAGCCCAAGAAGCCTCCCACCTTTTTTTTCATTCTTTCGATCAGGAAGTCTCCATTTGTCAAACCCACTTCTTGCCATCCTGCAAAAACCTGAGGAATCACGGGCACATTTTTGATTTCCAATCTACTGACGCCACAACTGCATCAATCAGCCTTCGCCGACATAACATAAGCATAAGTCTCGCACGTGTGACCTCCGCTGTCCCGAGGCAACCTTAACAACCAACGTCGTCGTTGCGTCATTGGAAACAAAGGACTCGCATAAAGAACACCGCAACACTCTTTATCTGCATCATTCGACCTCAGATTCCTTCTCTGAACCTTTCCATCACCAGCTCCTGGCACCTGCACATTCTCTTCCACCGGAACACTACCAAAAGTTCGTTTTCACGTCCAACATGTCCAGCTCAACCAACAACTTCCTCACCCTCATCCCCGCTGCCCACCGGGTCCATGTCACCTCCGACTTCACTTCTCCCATCGACAGTGCCACCAGCGACGAAGCACTAGTCCCTGCACTCCAGAAGACCCGACGATCCAGCTCTAGTGTTTCGGCCGAATCCAACTCTGCTGCTGAAGAGCCCGCTCTACCATCCGACATTGTCGAGTCTCCTGTCGAGGCAGTCAAACGCCCACAGACCGAGCACCAATTTTTGCGACTGGGCAACTAGGTCCCTCGCGTTGCACTTTGCGTCTATAGTTCACACTTGAACGGTCTTTTTTTGCATCGTTGATGTACTGGGCCCCAGGCGAACTTCTCGTCTGATGATGACTTCACCACGAATTTATGTGCTCAGCATGTTTTAATACCACGACAGCCTTACCGGTCACGCTTAGGGAGTTGATTGCAATTTTTTTCCTTTGTTGTCATTATGAAGCACAGTAAGCCGCGTTTGGGCAAGGATATGGTCGATGTCCCTGTACGAATTACATGATGGTCCCTGACTCGAAGAGAAACAGGGAAGGAGATGTGTGAGAAGAGGTTTTCTAGCCTACAGCCTGGCAATCGAGAGACAATATTGATGGAGACGAAGAACGAGAATGGAAAAAGCAAGGGCTTGATTACAGCAAAGAACGCCAATTTCATATATCTATCTCGGGAATATATTCATTCAGCTTTTACACTGACGGTAGAATTTTCATGTTTTCAGCAAGACGCGCCGTGCTGCCTCGTCGTTGTTCGTTGCATGATCTCTGATTGATCTGCTCCTCCCATGCATCGTTATCTCCGATACTATTTCCTCGCGCGCAGCAAGCAAAACGGCAGATCCATCCCGAATCCATCATCGCCTTGCCTCCCTTCACAACCCACACACACACACACACCCGTCCTTCCTCCACGACCCACTTACCCCGAATGTCTTTTACTTTTGTCCTTGCCCGTGCCAACCCAATAATGTGCCAAAAGCTCATATTTGGTATTATCAAAGACGTCCGTCAACGGTGCAAGCCAGTGGGTGAGTAAGTGAGTTAGTTCTCTTGGGCCGCCCATCGCCCATGTCTGTCAGCCGTCCACCCACCCTCCTTCTTTATTGGAGACGTAACTGTCTCAACCCAGGACCCTTGTTCGTTGATAGAGAGACAGAAAGCGAGCAACAACGGACGGAAATGCCAGAGTGGGACAATTCTTACGAGCGAGGACACCAGGGTAGACAGGCAGCAGCAGCAGCAGCAGCCCCGCCCTCCCTCCGTCTCTCCCTGATTGTCAATCGATCATTCAAAGAAAAGAGAGATCTCGACTAGCCATGGACAGCATAACCTCGGTGCTAACTATCTAACTAATTATTACCTTGTTGATGCTTCTCCACAGAGAAACCTTGCGAGAATGAAAAAGAGCCGGAAGCCGTCGACGCACAGCACACAGCTACGCATCTTGCCCCACTGGATATCGTTTTCCGAACCATTGGGAGGACAGGGATTGGTAAAAATGCGGGGTTACGAGATGATGCATCATCCCGATGTCGGGAGAGCAAGCGCGTTCGGCCGCCCGGTGGGATCGGGATGGGATGGGATGGGATGGGGCGAATCGAAGATGGGGGAGTTTGGGCTTGGGTGGACGGGGACATGATCCCGCAAGTCAAGCTGGAACTACCTCGTACAGAGGAACCAACTACTGGGACGGCAAGGACAGGGAACAGGGAACAAGGAACAATTGGGTGTTGTGTGGAAGGGTTTCCAAAGTCCAGAGACAGACAAACAAACAACTGGCCAACTAACTAACTAACTGCTCGTCGTCGTAGCCAATGCCCGCAACAGGAGAATGGAATGAATGTCCCAGGCAATGCCAGCCTCCAACTCCAACCACACAAACACATCTTTACCCGCATCCAGCTTGTTTCTCCTGAACTCCCCCAAACGCCCCGAAACTCCATTTGGTGCACGGCAACGAAAACGAGATCCCGCCCCTTCCCTTTGGACCCTTTCGGTCTTCCCTTCCCGAAGAGCCACACCCATAACCTCTCGTCATCGCAGGGCCGACAGTGGTGGGAAACCCCCGCAGCCACCCTTCCCATTCTGGTAAGCCGAACGATTTGCTCTCAGAGGAAAATCCCCAGAGTCTGAGTAATGTTGACGATGGCACCTTCAACGGAAACCTCGTAGACGCCCAGGCCGGTGAGGAGAATCCCGGTTTCAGCTCCCAAGGAGCCAAGGAGGGAGCCGAGGAGACCTTGACGCTCGACGAGGCCACTCAGCGCTGGTCACGTTAGTCGGATATGCTTCCTATAGCTTCCTATATTCAAGATATCTGGGGGCAGCGAAAGCCTGCGGCGGACTGACCTTGAGGCTCCATAGGTGAGGGTTCCGCAACAGGAGTAGCGCTTACCATGCCCGCAATCAAAGGCACGATTGCCAGGAGGAATTGAATTGGGCCTTCATCTTGTGATCGGAGAAGGGTTCGATACTGGTAGCTGGTGAAATTGAAGGTATAACGAAAATATCAGAGGCTGATACTTGAAGCGCGTTTCGATGACTTTGAGTAGCTGACCGGAAGGATATGGTTCATGGATTTATACTTTTTGTCTTGCCATGTACCTGGAGGCATTTTGGCCCCTATTCATCAACAGGCACCTTCTCATCGTTATCAAGCGCTGTGTCACAAATGCCCGAGAAGCATTGATCGATGAGTGCGTAGCCTGGTTTCTTCGAATCATTCTCGAAGCACAGTAGATCTGAAACAAAGTCGTCGCACAGCAACCGCGTTGTCGGGTCCATTGTAGTGCAACGGCGCAGGACGTGTGAGCCTGTGCCCGGAAGCGTGTGCTTTCCTGGAATTGACACGTCGTCGATGTCGGCCGTCGGGGTAATGAAGCGAGGGAGCCAGATCATGAATGACTGAAGATTCCCTGCAAAATCTCGATCTGTCTTCATATATGCCAGTCCCTAAAAGTCAATCGAGATTGCCACAGCTTCTGACTGGCAACGGTGCAGTCGCATACTGCAACTCCTTCATCGAACGCTCCGGACACACCACCTTCATCTTGTGTAGATGCTGCTGCGTCAGGAGACAGGAAAAAGTCTTCCCGTCGCAATGTCGTCTTTGCGAGCGAACTCGCTACTCGGCCATGGATGTGAAGCTCAGACATGCTTCGATACTACCAGAGATTGACTAGCTCGATAGTGAGAGTCAGGTAGAGCTTTAGCTTCTTTGCGACATAGAAGTGACAAGGTCTAGAACGCGGCAGGCACGCTGATTAGGCTGTCTCACTGAGGTTCAAATGGTCCGTGAAGTGAGTATGGAAATTTGTCAAATCAAAGCAGCTCGGCTATCAGAACAGCTGTCTCATTACCTTTTCGTGCAGGCGTGACTAGATGAGAGCAGATCATTCCGACAGAACCAGCAGCACTCACCCTTGCGTGCAACAGATTGCTTTGTTCATTCCTCATCGTTGTGCAGCTTAAGGATGAAGAAAGTCTAGTGGAGTTCTCTCATCGGCTTACTTTCCCCTGACCGTCTCGGCTAACTAGCCTCAGAAGGGCAAGTATGATCATTGTGGTAAGTATCTCTCCCCGCATTTGATCCTCTCGAGTCTTTGATCAACGCACTACTCCGTTTACCTCGTATACTGTCCTTGACTGAAGTTTTGTAATCTTTCGGTGCTACAATGAGCTGACAGCGACACTCGTGTGGTCGATTGATTCAGCTTGCTCCTTTCTCAAACGTTGTCTCCCAGCCCACCCTCTCGACGCCATGCCTCAGCTCTTGAAAATTGGGGTGTCCCAATCGCATACGCTCTCGTCCCTGCAAGAAACTCTGTCCGCCCTTCGTGAGACCACCCAGCAGGCGGCGCAGAAAGATGTGTCCATCCTCCTCTTTCCCGAAGCCTATCTCGGCGGGTATCCGAGAACGTGTTCCTTCGGCGCGGCCATTGGAGCACGCACAGACACAGGCCGTGACCAGTTCCTCGCCTACACGAAATCTGCAGTGGATCTGGGAGATACACCGCAAGGGGCAGGAGATGACTGGATCGAGCGGAGGCTGCCAGTGAACAGAGAGACGGGCCGAAGAGGAGACGGGACAAGAGAGTTCCTCGAAGACGTGGCACGAGAGACAGGTGTGTTCGTCGTTACTGGACTCATCGAAAAAGCAGGCGGCAGTCTGTATTGTGCGGCTGTGTATGTCGACCCAAAGAGAGGCATCATCGGCAAGAGAAGGAAAATTATGCCCACAGGGTCGGAGCGGCTGGTGTGGGCACAAGGGCAGCCATCCACACTAAAAGCGGTAGCCACGACTATTAGGGGAGTCAGAGTGGTCATGGGATGTGCGATATGCTGGGAGAACTTCATGCCCCTGTTACGGTACAGCCTTTACAGTCAAGGTGTGAATCTATGGTTAGCACCGACCGCGGACCCGAGGGATACATGGGAGCCGCTCATGAAGACTGTCGCTGGGGAAGGCCGGTGTTTCGTTCTCTCCACCAACCAATGCATAAAGAAGAAGGACTTGCCGACGTGGATCACGAGCAACCCACGCGAGTGGTTGTCGCAACGCTCGAAGCCCGAGACGTTGATGAACGGCACGACTTCTCCGAACCATCATCCCTCGACCGGTGGTGGTGGCCGAAGGCTCTCCATGACCCGCACGGAGGAAAACCACGAGATCGCATGGCGCTGCAAGGACACGCCCATCGACGAAAGCAAACCCCTGGAATCATCCACGCTGGATTTGGACGCCAGCACGCCCTCGGCGCTCAGTGACGGGGAAGAATTCGTCTCCCGGGGCGGCGCCTGCATCGTCAACCCGCTGGGCCGAACCATCGCCGGGCCCATCTGGGAGAAAGAGAACGAACTCCTGTGGGCAGAGGTCGACTTCGACGATTGCGAGAGGGGACATTTGGATTTTGACGCCACGGGCCACTATGCGCGCCCAGACGCGTTCAAGTTGACGGTAGAGGGGCTGGAGTTGATCCCGCCCCCTTGAACGAGGCAGATATAACCTATATATGTATAACCAACGCGGAAATTAAAGAGCATTTAACCTATACCTCTTTTGCCTTCGGAAGAAGTAGATGGAAGATCACGGAGCTGGTCTAGGGGGAAGAGATACCTCGAAAGGGTGCAGCATGGAACACCCCGGCCTTGCCCCCGGTACTTCCTCATCACATCCAACGATGTTGTACAAAGCTATGTATGCACGCATCATGTCCTGCCGTATAAATTACAACGCCCACCACGCACCCAGAGGGGAAAGATGGAATCGTACTCAAAGATCGGCAACCAAAACAAAAGGTGGGTTTGTTCTTGTCTCATGCGTGTGATACTAGCGATCCAGTCAAGGACCGCCGCCATCACAGCATCCAGCTCAAGATCAGGCAATAGGGAAGAGATGCAGATCGAGCGAGGTAAGAGACGTACATGGCACGGGCTCGGGGACAGAGGCATTTCGAAACAAGAGAAAGAGAGAGAGAGAGAAATAACGGGTTGTCGTTGCCACGCAGTCATGAGGCAAAGAAGTGCCTGTTTGAAACAGTATTCGTTCGACACAGTGTAGGTCGACTCACATTTTCTTTTGCCCGTCACTTCTCTAACGGGGGAGGGTATCGTCAATCGAAGCCGGCTGCCACCCAGATTCAAATACCCCATAGATAGCAACAACAGCTTTCATTCCCGGCGCCATTCGACTCCGGCCTGTGCCTAGTATCATATGGCAAAATCAGTAAGCCACTCGTGTTCTCATATCCGAAATCTTCCGCTCAATCTCCCTAACACTTCGATCCAACTCTCCCGCAATCATTAGTTTCTTGTCATTCGGAAGCAAGAAAAAGGTCTCGCAAAGATCGCCATCAATGGTGCCTTTCGAAGGCGCATAGTACGACCGGTAGATGAGATGATCTCTGCCCAGAATTGGGGGATTGCCATTGTTCGACGCAAGTTGCGTCTCCAAAGATTGGAAGAAGTCAACGTCCTCACGACTCACAAATGGCACGAGCATGCCAATTGTGCCCTGAAATCCTGTCCAGAACACTACGTCTCGACCACCGGCCACGAGACTCGTCTTCTGGATACTGGTGGGAATGTCGCCAGGAAAGTAGTGGACCATGAGACTTAACCGGTTGGGTGCACCGTTGAGGTACGCCCGTTCATGGATCAGATGCGCACCGGAGCCGTCCTCGTCTGCCTCTTCGGAAGCCTTGGTGGGACAACGCAATAACCAGAGATTGCCAAACTTGTCGCCGCCGGCCACGGTCTCGTAATCGACCATTGTACAACAAGTCGTCCAGCGAGCAATGACATCGTCGGCGAAGGGAATGAGCTTGTTCTCCTGGTACTTGTATACACAGTATGACACACTCTCTTGGATGTCGCTGACGATAATCCTGCTTCCTTGGGTCTGGAGGCCGACGATGATGTTCGGTGTCGCTTGGACTTGGCATTTGCGCAACATTTGCTTCATTCCGAGGTCATAGATCCGCAAATCTGCTCCAATGCCTGCTAAGAGCCGGCCTTGGAAAGCGAGCAGGGCAGTTGGAGGTTGCTCCACTTTCGTTTTGTGGATGAACTCGAGCTCTTTCCCGTCCTCGTGGAAGCGATAAACGTGTAAGAACCCTGCCGAGAACGAACGAGGACTCACCACCAGATCCTTCGCCGTCCCGACAATCAGGAAGGTCTCATCATCTTGAGCTGCGAATGGGGCCGCTGTGATGCTAGTGGCACACTCATTATCCTCTAGGTTAAGTGTAAAGACAACCGATTTGGTTGTGACTGGGTCCACAATTTGGATACATGACGCCCAGTGACCAGTCCCGCGAGGATATCCAAACTCTTCTGGAGGGAGTTGAACGGCGTCCCCATTGACTGCCGTAGATTCTGTAAGCAGCTTTGCCCTTGTGGCGGGTGCAAGAACGTTGTTGTCTGCTTCGATGACGTAAAATAGGGGTTGTTCGGGGTGTTTGACAAATTTCCTTGGGGTATAGGGAAGTGGAATGTTCTCTTGGAGTAGATTCCGGGAGAGATCTTCGATGGTGAATATCCTAGAGCAAATAGTCAGAAAAAGACGCATGCAGGTATAAGTTCGAACAGATTGCGGCTTGGAGAACATCAGAAGGAACAATTGGTTGAGTTTTGGAGTCCGCACGAGTCATTGACTCTCGGAAAGAGCATAGTTATGGTTTCATCACTTAAAAGACTTGGGCTTTGAGGGCGTGGAAACTCACCTTAGATTTTGTCCTTGAATGCCCACCATTCCTTCGGGGCATTGTTCGCTAGTAAAATTCCAGACATGTTGTAGACCAACGTAGTCGAGGGGAGTGAGCATAAAGCCGTTGGTCTGTTTATCGGTATAGCCAAGCCATGAGCGTGAACTTACTGCCATGACGGCGTTCTGTCCCTTCACCGAAACCCGGAAAAGCTTCGCTGGCTTGAGACCTAAGAAGCGCGTCCGCGTGTCTGAGAGCTCACCAGTGATCTCGTCCAGGACCGTTCGCAGGTAGACGCCAGAGTAGAGACCAATATGGAGATACAGAGTACTTCCGCCAGATGTGGAGTCTGCCATGGCCATGATGGACAGCGCGGAAGGCGCGGAGGTCAATGCTTGCACAGATTTATTTTCGAGCGTGGAGTCGGGATCCAGGCTCAATATCCTAACCGTAGAATCGTCGCATCCAACCGCGAGGAATGAGCTTCGAACGCGACCCTCAGGCACTTCTCCAAGTGATAAACAGGTCACGGTTCCAGTCATTTCTCTCCGCTCGTCGTATTCTGCCAGGGATCCATCGGTGTCCATCTCGAAATAGACAATCTCGCCCGAACTTAGGGCGACGGCAACTTGTCGCTCGTTTGTGGTAGCAGCGACAATAGATCGATGCTGGGGTGCCGGCCATTCGTTCACCCGCTTATCTGCGCGAATGTGTCGAATGCCCTTGGGATGGACTTGAATCAGGGCGTCTTCGCCCAGTTGCTGCACGGCGAGGGTCGGGGCTGTTGAAAGAAACCCCGTATCTGTGACTTCTTCCACCGTTTCTCCGATGCTGAGCACCAGGGTTCCCGTACGGAACGAGAGGACGATATAAGCATCGTACTCATCTTCCCTTGCCAATTTAGTCGTCCACACAGCCTCAGGCTTGTCCGGAAGCTCTGACTCCACAATCTCCGATACTGACAGACCGTGCTTCAAGGTCTTGAAACTGCTTCGAGCACCTGATCCGCATATCGAGTAGATCTGTGGAGCATCTTCATCGAGGAGATTCGCGACCTTACAGTCCAGGAGCGGGTTCGCGGAATCTATGCTTTGTACAAGGTTGAGATTTGAGAGGGGTCGTACGTGGAAGTACGCTGGGGTGTAGGATTCTGTTGGATCTGAAGGAAAATCGTCACTCGTGAATTCTGTCTCGTCGTCGTCGTCTCCAAGTTTTTCGAACTGGTAGAAATGGTGGTTGCCGCTTTCACTGCTCACAAACAAGAATCCGCTCTTCAAGATAAGGAGACTGTTCGCCACAGGGACCGTGTCGAAGTACTTCAGTTTCAGTGCCTTCACCTCACCAGTCGGCTGGCCATTGTCGTCCTCCACCATCTCTATGGTGACTTTGAAGAGATCACCATCCTCGGTTTGCAGAAGCAGGAAAAATTGGCCTTTCATCTTGTGCATAACTCCCGCCACGATGTGACGCTTGCGCTCGGGATTCTCAAGCACACCCCTTCTCCTCGGAATTGGTACACGAAAAGCCTCTTGATTCGAGTGTCTGTACGTAATGTTATCTTCCCCACAGACGAGAACGCCGCTCGGACCGTCAGATCCACCGGGGACCTGAAAGAGTTTGGTGGCACTCCTTGCTACAGGTTCAGCCCACTTGCGAACGACATGGTTGAGGCCGAGGTCAAGCTCGTAGTAGACCAGGAGCTTTTCCACCTCTTCCAGAGCCTGCCCACTGGGATCCTGGTCCACCTCTGTGTAGTCGACTTCGAGTGCCGCAAATATGGGATTTTCATAACCCACATCAAGGGCTATACATTCAAAGACAATGGTCTGAGGTTTGTGGGCTTCGAGCGGCGAAGAAATCGTGAGCTCTGCTTGGGCATTTCGATTCAAGACATAAACCAGCTTGTTCTTTTCGACGGATGCAATCAGACACGCTCGTCCTTTCGGATCGACGGCCAGATATTGACCGGGAATGACTCTTCGAATGCCTGATTTTCCATAGGTCTCGAGATGTACGCGATTGAAACGATTCTGGTCGCGAAGATATTCGAGGATGGTGATGCGCCCGGAGTCGGAGCCGACAATCAGATAATCTGCCAGACATGTTAATGTATGCGCCGGTCAATGAAAAGGCACCACTGACCTTTACTGCTCCCCGCCAGTCGAAAGGCGGCCAGAGACCTGATGATGCCGAAGCAATCCTGGGTGAAGAGAGGGGAGACTTTTCCCTGGGTAGGATCGGGTCTGTGGATGGTGAGCTTGGAGCCCGATGCTGTGATTATCTGTTGCTCTTTTGTACCGGCAAACTGACCCAGGACTGCTTGAGTGATGGCTGAAGGCGGCTGTATAGTCAAGCTATACATAAACATAGAGCTCGTCGTCGCCATGATGGGCGCTGGTCTCAGCAGATTTTGGACCGCTTTTTGGGATGTGGTGTAATTCTAGGAGACATCCAGTGACATGGCTGCTTGCATTGTCGCAGAATCTCAGGTCTAGAGTATCCTCATAGAGTGCTTTTTTGGTCTGAAATCGTAAACCTGGGTCGTGTTGTATTTCGCAAGCCAGCAAGGTGAGCGGGCGCAAAAAAGTTCAAGCTCGCCAAGAGCTAGTTCTGGCTGCGGTCCTGATGAGGTAACTGCGCCGAGAGCCATCCGCCGCCCATACGCCAGTATTACTATAGCCCTTGGGTGGTTGGTACCTAGGTGGCCCTCTCTTCCGTGGTTCTGGTGGCGCGGGCGGCCTCCACCCCCTCCCTAACGGCACCATAGAGGGCATCGGTCATGCGGCAAACACCGCTGGTACTGCAACTGCGCAGTCAGGAACCCAGCGCAGGCGCAACTCGACTTCGTCACTCTTGCCATCGATTCATCGGCCAGGTGGTCAGTCTTGACTTGCTCTTGTCGAGAAATCTTGATATGCCACTCTACGTACGCTCTTGCCAATCCTTCGTCCTCAATCATTTCAACTGCCTTTAGAGATCGTCAACGCCTGGGCTTTTCGCCTCTTCCTTTGTCTCTGGCAGATCCATTATCTAGCAAGCTGCCCTGCTGTGGGCTCCGTGGTCCGATCTAAGCATCACCTCCCTCCAATTACAAATCCATCGAACACAAATATCCTTGCCTGTGTGGCGTCTCAACAATGGCCGACGCTGCTGGCGCTGAAGATGCCACTGTGACCTTCCACGTCAAGTCCTCGGGGAGCCAGAAATGGACACTGACCGTGCCTCTGTCGACCACAGCGCTCGAGCTAAAGGGCAAACTCGCCTCTGAAGAATACGCCAATGTTCCAGCATCAGCTCAGCGGCTGATCTACAGCGGAAAGGTGCTGAAAGACCACGAAACCCTCGCTTCTCATGGTGTAAAAGATGGCAATACGATGCATCTGGTCAAGAGCGCTCCCAGCAATCAGAGACAGAATCCGGCCGCACAATCCTCTTCGACCTCGACCGCTACCTCGGGACCTGCACCACAAGTCGCAACGGGAGTGCCTCAAAACCTGGCAGCAGGCACTGGGAATGATCCTCTGGCCGGTTTGACAGGTGCCCGGTACGCGGGATTTGCGCAGTTGCCCAACGCCAGCATGTTCCAAGAAAACCTCACACCTGACGACTTCCTGCGCCAGTTGGATAACCCCCATTTCCAGCAGATGATGCGTGAAGCCATGGGCAACCCCCAAGTCCAAGACATGATCATCAACCAGAATCCACATCTTAGAGCGATGGGGCCCCAGGCAAGACAAATGCTCAATTCTGACTACTTCAGATCCATGATGACGAACCCTCAAATGCTTCGAAACATGATGCAGATGCAGCAACAGATGGGTATGGGTCCTTTCGGTGGTGCGGGTGGGCAGGAGGCCTTTCCTGCACCCGGCGTCACCAACACAACGGAACAGGGCACTCCTGGTGGCACTCCTCAAAATGTACCCAGCAACCCACTGGGGCTGCCAATGCAGGGTCGGGGTGGCACCGGAGACACAGCCGAAAGGGCGGCAGAGCAGGCCGAACACATGCTGTCCGTTCTAAATCAAATGAGAGACGCGACTCGGGCCCTTGCCGACGCCTATGGCGTCCCCAACACCGCTACGACAGGAGCTCAAGGTGGAGAAGCTGGGTCCAATAACCAAGGAGCCGGTGCACAACAGCCGCAAGCCGCCGGGAACATGGCAAACCAGACGCAGCAGCGTATGAACCCGTTCATGGCCCTGTTTGGTGACCCAGCCAGAAACCCCAGCAGCACCTCACCACCGCCATCAAACCCTTTCAATCCACAGCAGAACCCATTTCTCCAGAACCCCGGAGCACTGCAACAATTTCTAGAGGACATGAATGCTGCCCGAGGCGGCGGCGGCGGCGGCCAGGCTCCGGACTATGGCGACCTGTTTAACCTCCTGGGTGGTGCGGGCCGACCAATGTCACCCCCAGACACCCGACCACCTGAGGAGCGATATGCGCAGCAACTGCAGCAATTGAATGAGATGGGGTTCTATGATTTTGACCGGAATGTTCAGGCACTGCGAAGAACTGGGGGCAATGTGAACGGCGCAATAGAATACCTGCTCAGTCACCCTGCAGACTAACGATGCGAGGAGGTGTTTTTACCTTCCGGGATTTGTTTCCACAGCCATGGCGAAGGACCTGCAACATGCGCCAACCATATCTTCTAATGAGCGGCCCCAACTCAACATGTACAATGTATGCACTCCACAAACAAGTGCGTGGTTCTAGCTATCGTTTACTTGCCTCGCCCGTTCAGACTCTCGTCTCGGGCCCCAATGCCTATTTGAAGCCATCAAGCTATTTGTTCTCACTTTGGAGGTTGAAGATTGGTGATCATCCAGACCGAGTCCCTCCTGGGTTCTCAGCACAACTTTGGCTCCAGTATGCGAGCCATCATCTCTCCACCTGTCGTCCTAGCATTGACCCAAGGCCGCTTGAGGAGTAGGCTGGTTAAGTGCACTGACAGACCGATGGATTCCATCACATATTCAGCATCCACCTAGGCTCAGATCCACGTATAGCTTTCTTTTCCCCGTATCATCGACCTCGATTTCTCTTACTGCAGTTGCATCTATTACACGCCCGACTCCCTGACACTTCAATGCACATTGGACGAAGGGTCCACAAGACACCTCTGCTCTGTGCACCAGTTCCTGACCGCGATGGCCTCGCAGGGCATCTCGCGTGGAGTTGCCGACGTACAAACCCACTCTCACATTCTTGATCCATCTGCGATGGCGAGGCTGGATGCCCAAGAACAGACTCTCCAGGCAGAGTCCGTTGCATACAATAAATCGCTTGGGAGGACTGAGCAGCGGACGAACTTCGTCGTGCATCTGGCGGCACACCCTGAGGAGGCGGTTGTCGAATTGTTTGTAAACGCTGAAGCCTTCACAGCATCCGCTGGGGTGATTTGGCGTGCACCTGCCGGGTTTCGAGGGGCATCTGCACGGTTCGACTTCAGTTGGACCGAGAACGAAGTTCCATATCTGCAGGCGCAGTTCATATGGGAGCGTGAGAAGAGGAGGGATCATGATATGATAGTGATCAGAAGGCCGGAGGGTTATTTAGTGTCTGGCATGGGGGCTCAGCCTGGTCGGATAGAAAACACTGACAAACAAATGAAATCTTGTGTGCTCTGCTCTGTCTTTTTCTTTATGGAGAGAATGGCGCGCCGCCCATCGTCTGGCCTTTGATTGATATGTAGCATCTTTCTCCCATCACCCACGATACGCGCACACCGCTCCATTCCTTAATCCACAATGTCTCATTAAGCCCTTCCGTGACCGTCGTCGCCTGGGGGCGAATTGCAACGCTTAATCAGCTCCTGTGCCGCAGTTTCGCCGACGTCGGCGAGAGAATATAAGATGTCCATACAGATAAGCGGAGACGTCAGCCGGAGTACATACTCGGTATATGGACGTCGCAGCAGCCTCGTTGACGGAGGATGATAAGATTACTCATGGCGTCTAGAAAAAAAAGAGCACCAACCTCGATCCAGCAATAGGTGGCTGCGTGGTTAGCCAGCTAGCTGCTTGGGCAGAGTGTCGTTTCTCTCTCTCTCTCCTCTCTGTGTGTGTGGCCCCGCCTGGTGGGCTGTGTCAATCTTCCTCCATGTCATGGTGCTGCTCGTCGCCGTGTGACCGGAATATTAAGGAGCGGTCGACCACTACGGAATACTGAGTGGTGCTCACTGCTCACTCACTGTCCTCGTCGCAAAGCATACATTCTCTCCTGTGTTCCGCTTCGAAACTTCTCCGCCCGGTCTGTCTTATGTCCTGGAATCCCTTGTCAGAGCCCCTGAATGAAGCCAGAGTGTTTCACTCAGACGTGGAATGGAAAAATGCCCACGCCCGGCATGCTTTGACATGTGCCCGGTGGCATCGTTTCGTGTTTATTAATCATCATCCCAGGAGCTTGTTGTTCCGGTGTCACGGCTGGCGTTTGATCGATCCATTACCCGGCATGCCCTGGGGGAGGAGGCTGTCGAGCCAGAAGCAAGAACACAAGCACAGTGAGAAGTCTATCGCGACAATCGGATGGTGTGCAAAAGGTGAGCCGCGCTAATTACACCAACAGCAAACGCCGGATCCAGGAGGGGATCGCAATGAATGTGACTCGGCCTGGCGAATGCATTCCCCCAAGGGAAAATAGGTTGGGATAACAGATGCAGCCTCGTTGCAGGAAGTCGCAGACAGGCACGTAGGCCGGACGAGGTGGAGCAGAACGTGGCATTTCCGACGTGGTCCTTTTGTCGAGTTCACCAAGGCTTACGAGCCGTCTACGAGTTGGAGACGGTGGGTATACAGTCAGAAAGTGCCATCTTCTATTGACGACAAGATCCCCAAAGGACAGGGCAGGGCAGGGCAGCGTTTGGAGGACAGTTTTCGTGGTACTGGACGAGAAGGAGCTTCTGGCTCGTTCTCCCGGGAAGACTCGCGAGCATGATTTTGGGGCGAGGTTCTGCAACGACATCACAGCAGGCTGACCACAAGAAGCCAAATTCCAGCGACATATGAGGGACGGTGACAGAGTATCGTCATGAGTTCAACTTGTCAAGATATTGAATTTCCAACGAGTCAGCTGAACATGTCAGGTCAAATTCCCCTGTTGGTGATGAGGCTCAAGGGGATCTCCATCTGTATCCTCTCGCAACTGACACTCCCACCTCTCCTCACGTGCACGCACACTTTGCTGCTTCGCCTTGCATCGCCACCCATCTCACAGCCGACTCTTCGCAGACCTAGATCGATTCGTCAGGACACAGACAACGCAATGGGGATCGGGGAAACGTTTGATATCGTATATATATACCTCTTTTTTTGATGGTTGGGGGGATTGATTGGCTGGCTCCTCATCCATAACACATCCATCCATCCATATGGAAGAGTAGCGACGGCACCAGCAGCAGCAGCAGCAGTACTCACGAAGAACCAACAATGTCGCCCGCGATGAAGAGCGGGGACTTGTTGCTGAAGTTGGGCACGTCGCCGAAGACGGTGGCCGCCTCCTTGCTGGCGAGCGCCTTCTTGAGCCCGTCGGCGTCGTCCCAGGTCAACAGGGCGCCGATGGAATACGGCTTGGCCCCGTCGGGCGCGGGCTGGAACTGGATCACCTGCCACCCCTTGAGGCCGTACTGGCCCCAGTTCTCGCTCACCAAGGGCATGTGCGTCTTCAGGTAGTAGTTCAGGTCGAAGGTGGCGTCCGCTTCGGCCGGGTAGAGCACGGTCGCGTTGACGGGCATTTTTTCGGGTTGCTTGGTTTGGTTTGGTGGTGGTGGTGGTGATAGGAGGAACTGGCGGACGAAGTGAGGGAGGGGCTTTGTGTTTGTTTGTGTGTTGAAAGGACTGGTGTATGTACACACAAGTGCGCTGGAGGGGAAGAGCAAAGGACCAGTGACACTAAACACTGGCAGCTGGTGAATGAGTCGAGCAGGTAGATACCAAGTCACTCTTATCAGTTCTTCGTCCCAAGGAGAAAAGGAGGGACAAGAGAAAAGGGTGTGATATTTATTGAATGATTTAATACCACCACCACCACCACCACCCAAGATCACCCATTCATTACCTCCAGTTGCATTTATCCATCCATCCATCCATCCATTTATCGAGAAGGGAAAAACCCCGTCCGTGACCTCCTCTTCCTCCTCATTCTGCCCCTCTCGACGACCCTTCGGCCTCACGGACGAGAAATGTGCCAGTCATTAATGAGGGGCTTCTAGACGGTAAGGCCTCGCTCGGGGCCTCTCTCTAATTACGACCGACAACTCCCCTCGCTGTCGGCCGTGCTCCGTGTCGCCATGCTCGACTCGTAAAATCCTTCTATCTCCTTCCAGTCTTTTCCCCGCACTAGCTTGACTGGGCACGCTGGACTAGTCGACTCTGAGAACGGGGCGCCAGGCCCTGGTCCATCCTCCTGTTCCTCCTGGGTTGTCCGCGCGGGCCTGCGTGCTTGGTAGGTAGGTAGGTATGAGTGTCTTTCTTTTCGTCTGGGGTTTTGCCGAGGTTTCCTAAAGGGAAGGGAAAAAGAAGAAAAAATGTCGACAGCCCACGCACGCACACACACACAGGCGAATCAGCTTGCCTGGCCCAGATTCGATCAGACAGTTCATGCCATGGCAGCACGAAAGGATAGGACTTCGCTGGGCACAACGAGATGAGATCACAGAACACGAAATCCCCCTGTCGCTAAGTTAGATGGAGGGCTCAAGACCAGCAAGCTGAGGTCTGTAATAGACAGGTTGGAGGGCAGATAGACAGTTTTACAGCGAAGTCACTATACAGGGCTCACAGAGACCTCGGTCTCCTCGTCAATCCCAAGCATCGACTCCGTATTCACTTTGCAAGATATATTCTTTTCCCTTTAACCATTCATACGGAATTGTCGTTCGATTAGGACCAACCAGATACGCCGTACGGGTGATTGAAAACAGCTCTCTCCCACTCCGTATCTGTCTCAGCCGTGTAAAACTCGCATGCCCGGGTTATTCCAACTCATTCTCACGGCCTTGGGCCAATATACCCACAACCCTGTGGAACAACTCTGTCGGGTTGGGTGCTTGTGCCGATGAAGGAAACCTCAGCACAGCGGCAAGCTCTCCTCCGGCGCCAGCGGGCTCATTGTTGGCGATCAGCTTGGGCACTTCAGCGTGCGCGGCCGTGGCAGCTGGTGCCAACAGCCCTTGTCGACCGAAAATACTGTCCAGACTCCTCGTAACTTGCTCTCTCTCCACGGCGCCCACAACTGTCCTTGCGAACGCCCCAGTCGTCGGTCTGAGAAACCGGTATTGATTCCTGTCGTCAATAAGCAAATACCCCGGCCCTGTAGTCAGGGCAAGCAATCCTTTGACCGTTCCAGGGAACGACCTCTGATACACAACCTTCGCCTGCACGCCGGAGGTGACTTCACTGCCAGCAACAGCATCACGGTCGTTGGATAAATTCAACACCACCAATTTGCTTCCCCGCGGCTTTTCCGAACGGGAAAGACATATTGCAATGGTTCCATCGAATTTATTCTTTGCAATGTGAAACGGACTCCAGCTCTTTGGAGGGACATATTGTTCGTCGAGCTGGATGGGCGAGGAGACCAATTGGTTCGTGATTGTATCCAGGATTGTGAGAGTCTGCGAGAGGCATATGAGATAGCGGGAATGGAAGAGGAGTTTGGCTGCGCTACTCGAACCAGGGAGAAGGGACGGCTCGGAGAGGACGATTTTCCCGGTGGTAGGGTCGATGAGATGCACGAAGCGCGGCTGAGGCAATCTGAAAGCGTCGGTAGCAGATTCCGAAGAAAACTTGGACCGGTTGTCAGGCCAGAACCATGCGGCCGCAGCTACTGAACCGTCGTCCGAATAGGCCAGGGCGGCAGAGATTGCTTTTGCTTCCATGCCTCCGCGCTCAAGGGGAGCATCGTGATCGCATCGAATCGTCCTTGAGCAGCTCCAGGTGTAAAGCTGCTCATTCGCTTTGTTTCTGACTGAGACGCCGTTCCGGTGACGTGCTTTGGGTGACCACACGCGAACAGTCGCATCGTTGCCAATCGTAGCCAGTTCCAGTTTGGCGGGGTTGAACGACACACCGAGTACAGAATTTGGACCCGCTGTGTGAGGTTCATCAACCCTGGTCACTTGCTCGAAGTTGTTGTTCTCTTCATCCCACAACCACAGTCTCAGACTCGTTTCGGTTGATCGGCCGCGAAGATCCGCACTGTCGGAGCGGATGTACATACTGTCCGTGTCTTGTTCATTGGGCTGCCATTCATCTACTGTTGCTAGCCACCTACCGTCGTGGCTGATAGCAATATGGGTGACGGTGGGCTCCCTAACTGGTTGTCCGGTCGGCGCAACGTTGGATGTAGTTACCATGTTTCGACTTAAAGCCTGACGACCGATTTGGAGGTTTGATTCGACATCGTAGACTTGTAGAAGGGTCGAGTATCGCCCGTGGAACGGCCCTGTCGCGGCGGCATCGGAAGGTACAGCGGCCAATATTCGGTTTGGAACATTCGGGTGAGCAAGAATGAGGCTCGAGTTCTTCTGAGACAGCCCCAGAGCCAAGCCGCAGACGTTCGTTGAGGGAAGCAGATCGGCTGTCGACAAGATCATGACAGAATTGTCACCCAAGCGGAGTGCATAGGAGGATCCCGCAGCTGACACGCTGAGGTTCAGGATCGGAGTCGAAAGATGAGGCAGATATTGCCTTTGGTTCGAGTCCAACTGCCAGATGACAAGCACCGTCTCGTTGCCGCCAGATACGATGTAGTTCCGGTCTCGAGACCATTTAACGGTGTTGACGGCCTTGCGATGCCAATGGAGCTTGCGACCAACAATGTCCTCCGTCGAAGTTTTGTTCTTTTTCTCTTTTCCAATGAGTTTGAAGAGTATGTCTTCAAAATGCATGATGACCCCGTCGCTGAGACCAATCACAACATCGAGGAAAGGGACTTTCCGTGAGGTCTTGGATTTGCTCGAATTGACTTGTGCGTCAAAGCTCGTTATGAACCCTGGCAGTGTCATCTCCCTCCATGTGTAGGTCAAATCCAATTGGGTTTCTGGTGTGACTTGACACTGACCGACCAGTAGTTGGTCTTCTACACATGCCAACAGTACGGTCCCTTGGGCATAAGATTTGAAGCAGGCTGATAGGTTATTCTTCCGCAACACTATGCTGGTCTTGGTGAACGTGCCTCGAAGCGTATTGACGGAGTAAGAAGCAAGAAGCTTAAAGCCTTGTCCGTCGTCTTGGAGCACCAGAATCGTCTCCTCACCGTCCTGATGGCACAAAGGAAGGACTTGTTGTGAAACACTTCCTGCGTCATATCTACCTATCACGGTGGCAGTCGTCCAATCCCACAGAGACACCAGTCCTTTCGAACTAGAGACGTACAACTTTTTGGGATCTGCCTTCGACAAGGAGCAGCTGGTAATATCGTATGAGGGCTCGATGCGGAAGCTTCTGACGAGCAGGGACGTCTTGGTCGAATAGACTTTGATTTCGGCGTGTGTTGGTAGGATCAGATACTGATCATCGGCAGTCAGAATTGGATCTTGATCGATAAATGTGCCACCGCTGCCGGAGGATAATCTGAACCCGCTGTTGTTCGAGACTGAGTTTTGTGTCTTCGACTGCTTGACGAGTTTGGACTTTTGCTTATTGCTTTTGACCAACTGCTTTTTTGATTCTGCCTTTACGAGCTGGTCTAGCCTGTCTCCTTCGACCAATTGATCCGCTTTTTGATTCTCGGTGCTTGTCGCTCTTTCCTTGACCGACTTGTCTTTGCGTTTCCTCGGCCTCTTGGATCGCACTCCTTGCCCAGCTGAAGTCAATTCATTGACCAACACTTTCGATTTCAGATTGGACCCTTCAGGATTTCCACCGTTGGCACTTGTGGGTTCGGACTGTTCGTGGCTAGACTTGGTCTTCTGCCTGTCTGGTCTGCTCGAATTTTGTGGCTTTCCGCCTCTTTCCCTGCTCGATGTGGCATTGTCTTTCTTTGGCTTCTTTGACGAATCTTCCGGTTTTTGTTTGGGAGTCAGTCTCTGGGCTGGGGTCTTCGTAGGTGCCTGCTCCTTGAGTTTGCCATTACTGGAAGCTGGAGTATTTGGCTCCGTTGTGTCTTTGACCTTGGGAGTGGAATCCGGGGACTCATCCGAGGTTTTCGTTTTCAACGCAGCAGGCGACTCTGTCGCTTTCGACAACGACGCAGTGTTCTCGAGGTCGAGTTTTCCGCTTTTTCTTCTCCTCTGGCGCTTTTGCTTGTGTGGGGCGCCGTTATGGCTGCCTTCAAAGGCAGTATCCGCGTCTCGCTTTGCAGGCTGCGACATCCTGAGACGGCCAGACTTGGGCAGAAAAGCAGGGCGGCGCACGCTCCCAATTGCCTTGTAGGATGTGTTAGCGAAATCAGAAACTTTTTTCTCCGCACCGACTGCATGGAAGGTTTGCCGCATCGATCACGTGTTGATAAATTGCGGAGAAGAATTTCTGCGACTTTTCAAAGACCATCCTTGCGCCATTCTTTCCAGCAACACAACGGACATCACGAGGCTGCCGACACTAAGGTGTTTGGTGCTACTGTTCTGCGCGTGGTCAAAATGATTATCCCCATACGGTGTTTCTCCTGCGGGAAGGTATAGCGCATTTGCACCACAATTTGGGTGATCGGGATGGCAACTGACTTGCGTTTCGTTCAGGTCATCGCCGACATTTGGGAACGATACATGAAGTTGCTCGAGGGTGGCATGGCTGATGGGTTAGTACTTTCAAGCCTTGGCTCTGTTCACGCGAACAAATTCTAACCGTTCGTTCTTTCGGGTTATAGCGAGGCGATGGACCAAGTGGGCGCGAAACGGTATTGCTGCCGGCGCATGCTGATGACACATGTCGATCTGATTGAAAAACTGCTCCAGTATGTTGACACGGCTTCCTTTGGTGCAGGACAACGACAGGATAAAAGAGGAGAAGAGAAAAGTATGGCTGACAGAGTGTTGGACAGATACGATCCTTCTGAACGACGAATCAAGACCCAGTCATGAGTTAACGAGGCAAAATCACACCAACCGTAGAGATATCGGCGTTCTTGAGGAGGGTTAGAATTTTACATGCGCAAGCGGTTCAGCAGCAGTACAAAAACGGCACTCAATACCTCGATCGGTGGTGCGCCCAGGGATTCGTGGGAGCTAAAGGTCATGCGTTGTCCAACCTCAGTTCGTTTGATCGAAGCCTCCATACCAAATTTCATCGTATTTCCAGTTGGGAGTGAAGGAATCACGGGATTGACGGGCGCACGGTACAGAGTGCAACAAGTCCCAGAGCATCAGGAAGATATGTCGACGCGTGCTGGTGGTTTGATTGATGAAGGCATATGAAGATTCTTTGACCGGCTCCGGTCAGACTTGAAGAATGGGTCTCCATATACTCCACCAACATATGACCTCTGATGGAGTACCATCTCGCTGGTACCAGTCGTCAAACCCGACGTCTGTTCCTTCGACAAGCAACTCAAACATTTGCTGCTGCAACGTATTTCGCAAATTTAGTCTTTCCTCGTCATAGCGATCACGTAACGGAAGTTCAACGATGAACCTGGCCTCTGGGGAGTGGCAGATCCAGCGCCTGACAGCATTCACAAGCATCTTAGGGTGCTCGGGTGAATAAATAGGATCAGCCGCAAGAATGACCATGAATTTGTCCTCGTCGCGTTGCGGCGAGTCCATCTCATCAACCCAGTCAAGTGCCCGTGACTCGGTGCTCCCCCCGCTTGTTGTGATCAACTCCTGGTTCTGCTCGAGATTCCGCAGAAGATTTGGAAGAATCTCCGGCAGGTCAGTCAAAAGCACATGTGTTTTCCATGTGCACGCAGCCGCAATTCCCACCAAGCCAGTGCCTGCACCTAGCTCCAACACCCGAGATGGTTCATTTGGAATGTACCTACGACAATCTTGCAGTCGGCGTGACAGTAAGACGGATGAGGTCCACGTCTTGAACCCCAGATTGTCTTCTGTTAAGGTAGGCTCGTGTAAATTGACAGTGAGACGATCACTAATCTCAAATGCGCGTGTCATTGCAGGCATTGCGTTTCTTCCCGAGCGTTCACTTAGCCGGGCACTTGCAGCGGCCCATATCGCATCTCTTTGGTCTTCATCCTCAATCCAACTCAGACCAGACGAGACAATCGACGTGAGATATCTTGGGACTCCCTGTTCGCTGACTTTAGGGCGGCTGGCAGTCCCCGCAGATGAAAGACTCGGCGGCTCTGACACGAGAAGGCCCAAAACATGAAGGAGCGCCGATGCTGACGGCCTTTGATAGAGTTGCGGCAAATCATGCACTGCATAGTTCGCGGTTGGAAACGAAACACGGAAGACATAGAAGGATTGTGACGGAAAATCGAATTGGACCTACCATGGAGCATCACCGGTTCCTGAGGATCCTGGGAGGGTGGTGGCGCCTCGGTGACCTGCAAGTATGTGTCGTTGAAGGTAGAAGTCTTTGGTGACTGCCGGCTTTCGTTTGGTGGTGGCGGACTGACTCTCATCACGGAGACAAACAAACAGTATTAAAATGACGTGATTGGAGTGCTGATCACTTTTCGGGCTGTGGCTGCCGCCGTTGTTGATGAGGGTTCAACCACGCCCGTGGTGCTCGTAGGAGTAATAAAAAAGGAAGTGTGACTTTTTTCCAGGCGCTCCAGGAGTGGGTTTGACATGGATTGTGGTGGAAATTAGCAGGGACAAAACTGTTCCCTGAGGGTCGGGAAAGAAAAGATGGCCCAACATCATTGGTCGGAGAGGGTTCTTGGCATCAGATCTTGGCACTTTAGCCGCTGCTTGGTGTTGACGCTAAACCTAAAACCCAACATCTCCTTTCCTCCTCTTCCATCGGCCGGAGAATTCAAACCTTCACACTGCAAGCTGACTGAGGATTTACCTATCAGATCCTCTCCGAGCAACGTGAACGCAAACTCTCTGCCATGACTATTTCAGCACCTAGGAGTCTACATGGCAAATTTGCTGCAGCAGAGGATGCCTTGACGCAAACGAGATGTGGGTGGGCAGAATCCTCCCTCCCAAACCTTTTCAGGGTGCCACACCAAACACGCTGTAACCCCCTGTCTGGAACCCCTCACATTGCCAGCACCCAATTTCCCCCACCCCTGACCGCGATGGAAGCTGCCTTGGTTGAATCGCCTGGGTTTCCCCATTTATGCTCAGTGCTCGTTTGCGTGTTGAAAATGGAAAATCAAACCTGCCGGAAACACGGTGGCCCAGCTGAAGGATCCAAGACAAGGCCAGCACTCGGCATGCATGCCAATGGAGCTGTGTGAGACAGATATTGTGCATGCTGCAAGGCTGTGTTGAGCCACACAAGAGGGCGTGGGAGGTGTCAGTGCTGGGAATGTCGATCCAACCGGTTGATGGGCAAAAATCCAGAAGAGTCTACACGTTGTTTGAACGAGCCCGTTGTGCCACATCGCAACTTCGCACGCGTCTGGGCTGAAAACAAGACGCCCGGGGATGGGCTGCATTGTGGTTCGGCGCGATGAGCCCATGGGGCCAGAACACACCAAAGGTGTCGATGGCTTTCAGCCGCATAAACGCCAAGATCGACCACTGATTGGCTTCTCCCTTTCCTGTTTGAGCCTGGCGCTACCGCTGTTTGAGCCACCCTGAGCCGACGATCCACCCGCCAGGCACGCCTCGATTCTAACCTCCCCTGAAATATATCCACCACCGGAGTTGCTGCCCCTGGTCTGGAAGGGAATTACTTCGCAGAACGAATGCCCGCAGATGCCACTCTGACGTACCATCGCAATCAAGGAACTCGGAAAGCATATTATTCGAATCAGATTGGCAATTGTCATCCTCCTTCCCGCAGGATGACCATGGAAGTCAAACGTCCCACGTTGTCGTGGCTGACAGTTGTGTATCGATGTCGGTAAGGTTGTTGTCCCCAGAGATGGGTCGACCCTCGACCGCAATCTACCCATGACACGCTGCCATTGGATCTCGGTCTGTCACTGCCACAAATGTCCTCACAAGACCTGCTACCGATGGGATTCTGGATCTGTCGGCTTCTCTGCCCGGGTCTAGTATTTTCCTGGGAGGTGCCTCCTTTTTCAGAATCTCTCACTGGTTTAGAGCTTCGCTTGCGAAATTAGCTTACGGATTCCACGCTACGGCCCAAGTCTCAGGCCGCCCTCGTGGCTGGCTGGGGTTAATGGTGCACCGAAAGGTCATAGTGCACCGGCTCCACCAAGGCGCGAGTTGAGACGGCAGGGTTTGCATAAGTACTTCTGATGATCCCCCCCCTTTCTCACACCTTCTATTCTTTCTTCCCAGCTCGTTACCACACCTCACGATCTTGATTGACTTTTCAATCATCCACTCTTTTTTGAGCTCGTCGTTGTTTTCCTTAGGGTCTTTGTGACCTGTTCCACTCGTTTTCCAAACATTCCCACTCGCTCAATTACTTCTAGTATGCAATATTTGTCCGTCGCCCTGCCGCTGGCTGCCTTGGCCAGCGGCGTCCTCGCCAATCCTGTGCACGGTGGTTGTGTCAACAACGCCTGCTTGGCTGCTGTGACTGGCCGAGCTGCCTTGGGAGATGGTGCGCTCCGAGCTTCTCACTGCGCTAGCTTCCTGGCCACGACCGTGACCCCGATCGTCACTGTCACCGAGACCATCACTGGCAACGGACACGACAACTGGAAGCGCGCCACCGTTGCGCTCTGCCCCAACGAGGTCCCCAACTACGCCAGCGCTTGCGACGAGGCCGCCTATACCAGCGCCTGCTCGTGCTTTGGCTACACTGATGTGAAGACAACCACTGTTGCCGCGACCACCACCACCAAGACTATCTGGGTCAAGCCTACCGGTGGTGCTGGCTCCAGCTGCACCGTCGCCACCTCGACCTTGACCAGCACGGTCACTGGTACCACCACCGTCGTCAGCGGCAGCACTTGCCCAGTGGCCACGTCTTCGACCGTTACTGAGACCACGACCAAGGTCATTCCGACTTACAGCTCGTGCCCTGCCGGAACTACGACCACCGTGACCACCGGAGCCCCTGTTACCGCTACGACCGTCACCGTGACCAGCGCTGCGCCTGCCACTGCCACCACGGTCACAGTCACCGTCAGTGGTCCCTCGGGCACTTCCTCGGGCACTCCTTCGTCTTGCGTTGTTGACGATGCTTTGGCCACGACCCTGGTCAACAACTTCATGATCTTGCTCGAGTTCACCTCGTACAATGGTACTCAAGGCCCCCCCGGCCGTGGCTACCAGCAGAACGTCTCCGACGCCACTTTGGCCGACGACTTCAGCGACATTTCGGACTCGATCAACTTCATGGCCGGCTTCCCGGTGAGTAAAATATCCTCTATCAGGTTCTATAGCACTTGCTAACACTTCATTCAGCTTGGCTCCGTCACCTTCCCCAGCAAGACCGCTTTCGACATTGGCCAGGGTGTTAACCAGCCTGAGGTTACTGTGAATGCTCTCAACATCTGGCACGACTGCAACACCATCACCTGGAGATGGAGAATCACCTCGACCCGCTTCCCCGTCAACGGTATCAACCACATGATCATCAACAGCGAAGGCAAGATTCAGAAGAATTATGCTGAATTCGACAATGGTGCCTGGCTCCAGTCTTTCGGCCTGCAGTGCGCCACGAACCCACCCACCGTCGCGAGCTCAGCTGCCCTTAGGGCCCGTGCTCTAGGCCTCGGTATGTAAAAAGCGCCAGGGGGTTTGGGAGGAATGGAGAGGTGGTAATGTACGGGAGCTAGCAGATGTTTGATTTCCCACGGTAGCAAACAAAGTCAATGGTATGCACATATAGGATTTTCAGGCACAGGAGAGAGATGGTATTGCACAAGCTCGGGTGGAGGGGGGAGGTGTTCGTTTCCCTTGTTTCCACCCTATGGTTTCCTACATCTTCGGGGCGATTTGAAATGATCGATGAAAGCATCATTCTTTTTGGCATACTTCTTGACGGACTAATGAATTGCATGGCATGACCTGTCTAGAGCATGTCTCCCCGGGACTGTACCGAGTACAATTTGCTTTTTTCGGTCGCTTCCAAGGTTTTCCAACGAACGATAGCAGAGTGAGTACGTACTCGGTGCATTCCCTTGTTCGTCAAAAGGCGGTGTTTGAAGAGAGATATATAGGGAACGATGGTTGTATGTACGAGGTAACACCGTACATGACTGGATATCCTGAGTATCTTGACTATTTGTGTCATTTCCAAATCCGCATGCCAAGTGCTTTTCTGTACAGGAATACTATTCGGGTATAACTAATATTAGTTAGTGGACGGTAGGAAACCTGACTTTCTTCGCATCACCGTCAACCAATCAAGGTACATACCAATATTGCATGTACCAATCATGTAACATGATGTATGATGTATGTTGCGTCTATCTCACGGAATTCCGACCTCGAAGCAAAGGAATTCCGAACAACAAGAAATCGTGCCATAGCCATACGTACATAAAGCAATACATCAATCCATCCATCCCTCCATCAATTCCCAGACATTTCCATTTCCACTTCCTCTTTTGCCTCCTCCCCAACTGGTTGATTCCGTGTTGCTCTCACACGTGTATGCTTGATGTGTGTGCCCACTTTGGGGAAGCAATTACTGTAGGAGAATTCTGGTTCTTCGCAATCAGAGCAAGCTTTGGCTCGGCAGGCTGGGACAATCCGTACACCTTCGACAGACTGATTGATTGATTGATTGATTGATTGATTGATCGACACGGGACGGACAGACGAACAGACAGACAACCGCCTCAGGTACGCCACCACCACCACCACCACCACCACCCCTCACAACACCCAGAGAAGAAGAATACGGGCCCCCTTCCCGTCCCTTCCCTCATCCCTCCCTCTCAATTTTCCCTCCGCCGACGAGCAGTACCACCACCACCATCATGTCGACCTACACCCAAGGCCACAGCCCAGCCGTGGTGGCTTCGCACGCGGCACGCACGGTGGAAAACTCCGCCGCCTTCGTGCTCCCGCACCTGCGGCCGCACTTCACGGTGGTCGACCTGGGCTGCGGCCCCGGGACCATCACGCGGGGATTCTGCGCGCACGTGCCCGACGGGTCGGTGGTGGGGATCGACGCGGCGGCCGCGGTGATTGACCTCGCGCGCGCGGGCTCCTCCCCGGACGAATACCCCAACCTGTCGTTCCGCGTGGGCGACATCACGGCCCGGCTGCCCTGGGACGACGGGTCGGTCGACGTCGTCTACACCAGCCAGGTGCTGTACCACATCCCGCACCCCGTGCGCGTGATCCGCGAGGCCCGCCGGATCCTCAAGCCCGGCGGCCTGCTGGCCATGCGCGAGACCGACTCGCTGATCTACCACCCGGCCAACCCGGGCACCGAGGCGTACCGGGCCACCATGGCCAAGGCCGTCGCGCCGGGCGCCCAGGGCATCGGGTCCGGCCGCCGCGTGCACCGCTGGGCCCAGGAGGCCGGGTTCGACCGGGCCACCATGCAGGTGCGCGCCGGCGCCACGTGCCACCCGGCGCCCGACGAGTCGCGGTGGTGGGCGGGCGTCCAGGTCGGTCGGCTGCGCGGGGAGATCGGCCACAAGTGGCTGCACGAGCTCCAGCTCGTCCAGAGCCAGGACGAGATCGACGCCATGGTCGCCGGCCTGACCGCCTGGGGGGACAGCCCGGAAGCCTGGTACGTCGCGCTCCAGGGGGAGGTCATTTGCTGGAAATGACACGTCCGAGGCCGGGGGAGACAGCAGCATTGAAGCACATACCTAGCTGGCTAGCACGGCAACGCAACGAAACAGCAGCGATAGGTTCTGGCTTGATGGGCGCGGAAAAAAATCAGGACAGATGTGAATCAAGCAAGCATCATAGACTAATCAAAAGCTTCAATATCCTATTCAGAATAAAACAGGTGCTTCAGCAGTTTCCTGCAAATTCACAGCTTCAAGACACCGCAGATCTCACCGCCCTTCCCGTCCTGCACAATCACCACCTTTCCCAGTCCCAGGCTTGCCCGCCTCTCGGCCCCCTGCCATGGGACTGTGAAACGCTGCGTGGTCCCCCGCTCGACAGTCCCCATCCTCCGCACGTCCTTGACCACGTTGAGATGTGCGAGCGTGCGTCCAGCATTCTCACCGCGACGGATGTGCACGTCTTGTGAGCTGGGCGTGTATGTTATTTCCCACACCTCGAGTGGATGGGCGCGAGATTGCGAGGACGACGGTGGGAGGCTTGTTGCGTCGACGTCGACTCCCAGCTCTCCGTTGTCTTGCCCTTCTAGGGATCGCTTGAAGCCCACACTTCCCGTCTCGTCCGCGGGCTTTCGGCCTGCCCGTACAATGCGCTCCAGCTCCCCTGGGGTGTTACCCACGCCGACGCCTCGCCCATTCACCACCACCATCGGCGTGTACGCGGCACGCAACCCCATCCTCCTCACATACTCTCGCTGACGGGCGTCGTTGATGGGTAAGCTGAAAGTGTCTGCCCAGCCCAGATAGTTCCAATACGTTACTTGGTACGTGAGCAGCAAGTATTCTGGCCCCGGGAACGAATTCGGGAGGGCCGTCAGGGACGAGGCTGGAGATCGGTTGGCGGAGAAGCGAGGCGACGGCGTATCCCGGTGCGAAGACTGGTGGGATTGAACAAAGGAGATGAGATTGTCGTTGGTGGGAGGACAGGAGTTGCAGCCTTGGGACTGGAAGAGTTCGATCAAAATGGGTTGCTCGAACGAGGCTGGTGATGAGATCGCTGATTGTGCAACAGAGGAAGCACCTGACTTGGTGCCCGTGATGTCGGAATGTTTCACGACAGCATCTGGTCCCTGAACCCCCCCGGAATGAGGAGAGCGTAACGACGTGAACAGCGACTTCACTTCTCTGGAAAGCGTGTGTGCCATGACGGGAAGATGGGGAGATGTCAATTACTCGGAGCTCTCTCTCGACTGGTCTGAGGGAGTGAGTTGATGCTCTCCCTGGACGAGGCCTTCGAGGGCTATATATATGGTTACTGAGACGGCACCGACTTACAGGTAAGATTGCAAATCGGCTTGAGCCCGCCGACAGGGGCCGTTTGAGAGTGATGCCATAATACAGGCAGGGACATTGAGGCTTCGAGTTCTCACCGCGTACCTGCGTCGTGTATCTCTGTCGTGTCCATCATCCCGGATGTGTGTGTGTGTGTGTGTGTGTGCAAAACGAGGCGCAGTCGATGATGAGCTAATCGGAGCGTGAACGCGAGTCTCTGCTGATTCCATCATCCGCCGAGAGACGACAATCGTCACTTTTTGTCACAGATGTAGATATAGATGTAGATATGGACGGCCTGTGCCGCTGGGTCGTTTGATCACATGTTTGAGGAGTCTGATTTAGACTCGACTGCTTCGTTCTGTAGAATGGGAACTGGGATGTGACTGAATGACACTATGCAGTCAGTCATACACTGCAGATGGAGGATCATCCGGCAATCTTGGCCGCCCTGGGGTGTCTATTCTGGTCAACCCACAAACTGTGATGGTGAAAGAAAAGACGGCAGACTTTCGAATATTAGACCATGCCCCATACGATTACAGACTGGAAGATAACTTCGGCGCCACTTCGATACACCTGTCACTGACAGAGTGGAGGGTACCTGTTGCTCTTGCCCATCGTGCAGTCGGCAATATTGACCAGGATGTCTTCCAGGTCGAAGCAGTGGTGTCAATACATGACAGGGGTCGTTGGTACGCAGATATCGACGTCCTCGGAGCTAACCCTATCATCTCTCCCATCCGATCCCAGCCCAGATCCTGCAGTAAGTATCCTTCTTCGTCCTCCTCCCCATTGCTCTCTGAGAGAGGCCTCTAAGTGCCTCCAGACGAGCCTCCCCTACCCACTACTCACGGGGGGGATGATCCCGACTTCATCGCCGTCTCTGATGACCAGATCCAGCCCTTCGCCGCCGCCACCTGGACCTTCTTCTTGGTGGGTAGTGGCCTTGTCGTCCACCAGCAGCGCCTCGAAATCAAAATCAACGTACTCGAGGTTCACCGTCACCGCCGCGCTGCCGACCACCTTGTCGCGCATGCCGGGGAAGCGGGCCTCGAGCGCGGCGAACACCCCGCGCAGCGTCGTCGGCACGGGGATGCGGACTGTCTCCACGCCGCCCGCGAAGGTGCTCGCCGAGGCGAAGAGGAGGACGGTGCATGTGCCCTTGGCGGGATTTGTGGATGTGGGTGTGGGTGTGGGTATGATGGATGACATGGTTTGAGATGCGTATGTGTGTGTGTGTGTGAGAAAGGAGAGAGAGCGACTTGGGCTTATGTGCTCGTGTACCTTGTACTGCGAAAGCTCAGTCGAGTCGAGTCCGGTCGGTGCTTTTCGCCTCCGTAATGAATGATTCGCTTGAGATTCTGCTCTGCTCTGCTCTACCCCTTCGAAATCGAGTCGAATCGAATCGAAGGATGTCGATGTCGATGTTGATGGTGCCGCCGAAACGATCACTCACTCACTCACTCTCAGTGCGTGGCGAGGCAGAAAAATAGTGTTGTTGTCCTCGAGACAATGATTGATCCCTTGCAGGTACTTTGACGATCCCCCTCGTCCAGAGAATCAGATAGATAGAGCCTTGTTGTAATGCAGGACCCTTCTCCCTTCCTTTCCTGTCCTTTCCTTCCTATATCTTCTTGGTTTCGTATATCCTTCTCTCGCTGTAAGGGCAGGCAGGGCTGGCTCCCTCTCTCTCCTGACCCGACTCGCGCAGCCACTCAGTCAGTCGGTCAGTTGGTGGGTGGGTCCTACCTATGTCCAACTCGACCTCTCTTCTCTATTTCCACCGGCCCCGGTCTATGATTACCGTCTGCCTTCTCCTTCCGTCCGCAATGAGGTGCCACCCTCCTTCAAGTCAAATAACCTGTTCTCTGTTTCTTGCCTTTCCTAGCTATAGCACAGCCACCCGCACTCCTTGGCCTGCTCCCTTCCCTCAAAGCCGTGGGGGAGCGGTTTGATTTTTTGTTAAAAAAAAAAAAAGAAAGAGGGGGAGAGACAGGGACAACGGGGAATAAAAATCTGCTGACACACAGTCAGGCAGGGAAGGAGGATCACAAAACACATTCACTATGCCTTGACGAAACAGTTGTCTCGACTGACTGTATGTGCCGCCCCTTCCCGGAGAAAAGCGATTCTCGGAATAAATGGCATCGGCGTAATTTATCCGGCGGATTTTATTATTGACACGTGAAAGCGTACTCAAAAAGGGAAGGTTAGGGCGCACACTCTCCAACGCTGCATGATGTCATACTTGTTTACTCTGTCAAGAGCACTCTGGTCTTTGCCAGCGACTGCCAATTTTGTCTTTGATATTAGAGCCTTCATGCTACCGAGTACACAAAGAACAGTCTCCCTCCATGCTTCGATATGAGCCACATCCTTTCATTGGTACGCGACCGGGGAACTTCAACCCGCCAATCCATTGCTATTTCTGCTTTGCCCTCTTGGGAAGTAAGAGGATGATATCATCTGTCGTCTAAGCTGCGCCCCCCACCATCCAACCCCACAATTCGTATGTCACCGTACAGATTGTGTCGAAGCATGGTAGTGACCCATTGACATATCCATACAGGAGATAACGCAGGCAAACACAAAAGTCAACCTAATGCTCAAGCAGTCTCAGGGATCCCTGAACCACCACGTTCTCTAAGATTGATCCCGGAGGAATGTCGATGGTGCTGTTCTCAGTAGCTACAATGATGACGGTACCTGTAGTCACGGCCGTCAGTAAGCAAAATCGCCCCAAACAAGGAACGTGTGTAGCGTAGGCACTCACCCTTCAGGACGATTCCACGGCCAAAGTTCACATCGCCGGTGACAGTCAAGTGATCCAACTCCACGATGTTGGGAATGCTGCTGATTCTCTTTTGGAACTGCGCAACCTTCTTGAAGTCACTGCCCAATTTGATTAACGGTGCAGGCCCGAATCGGTTGGGGTCCATGACCAATTGACCATGTGACAAGGTGTACAGGTTCGATTTGACCAACATCAGATCGGAGCAGGTTTTGACAGGCAAGAATCGTCGGCGAGGGACATTGACACCGTGTGAGTTTTTGAAGTGCTTGATGGCAGCACCCACGGCGGTCTCGAGCTGGATGATGGAAACGTCCGCCTCGCCCTTCTTGTCGGCCGGGATCGACTTCTCGTTGGGGATGATCTCCATCTCCAGTTCGTTGTTCTCAACCACCCGCTTGACTGCGCGCAGGTTCATCCAGATGTTGTTGGTGTTGAAGTACTTGAACTTCTTGATCGACTTGAATTCATTCACGTATTGTTTGGGCACCTGTGCAATTTCCAGTAGTCGTGCGCGGCCTTCGTAGTCGATAATGGTACCACCCTTGACGTCGGCCTTGGTCTTGTCGGTCAACTCCATGATGTACTCGGCTTTGGTCTCAACCATGTGCTGTAGGATGCGTAGATCCACGACGGCACCCAGGTTGTCGGCGTTGGACAGGAAAATGATCTCAATACCACGATCCAAGAGCTGATCAAGGATGCCACTGTTGTAGAGAGACTCGAAAACGTCACCGTGTCCAGGAGGGTACCAGTCGGAAAGCTGAGAATCGTACGACTTGGGCGCGGGGAGCAAAGAGTCCTTGAGGACACGGGGATAGCGGGATTGGTTGAATGTCAGGATGTCAATGTTGTGGCCTTCGTATTTCTTGATGATGGATGCAGTGTCTTCATCGGTGTTGAAGCTGTTCATCAAAACAAACGGGACGTTGACGTCGTAGGTGCGGTTGAGGTATTCGATCTGGCGGACGGAAAGATCGAGGAAAGACATTCCGTCTCTGACCTCAATGACCGATTTGGGACCAACACAACCCATCGACGTACCCAGACCACCGTTGAGCTTGACCACTGCGAGCTTGTTCAAGAACTCGACTGCATCGGTGTTGGGCAAGTCATCGTAGGCGACGACCTGGTCGGGATTGGGGGGGTTTATTTTTGCCCAGTCAATGGTGTTGCCCTTGGCTCGGTCGTTGAGGTATCTTCTGAACAAGGAGAAAAAGTTGTCCATTTCCGCCTCGAATCTCTTCTTTTCCGCCGGATCTTTGACCGTGTCTGCGAGGTTGTTGAGGGCATTGCGCATTTGACTGGCAGCCACATTGGTGGAGGTGTTCTCAAAGGCCTGCATCGCGTGAGACTTCATTAGCTGGAGCTCTGACGGAGAATGGGTGCGATTGAGAGGGCGGAAGGAGGAGGAGGAGGAGGAGGAGGAGGAAAAAGAAGTGTGCAACTCAATTGGCGGAGGAGATTCAAGTAGCGGCATTTTTAAACAAGGGAAGGCGGTTCAAGCCAGAAAATAAAAGAAGAAAAAAGGGAAGGAGCAAAGAACTGCTCAAGGCTGCTTTTGAAGAAAACAGCAAGTTCGTGGAAACGGTGCGCAAAGTATGAGATGACGAGTCCAAAACAGTGTTGACGCCTCATTTCAAGACGGACCGACTGTGGTCTCGCAGGATTTATTTCCAGACGAGACGGCAAGTCACCAAAATGGACTCCGGGGTATGCGGAAGACGGGTCCGTGCGCCATGGAAAAGGGAGAAGGGAGAAGGGAGTTGCCGTCGTGTCATGCCAGACAGTGGGCGGAGGTGATGTGATACGACGAGCAGCAGGAAATCAAGGAATGTATATTTTGCTTACCACATGAGACTGTGTCTTGCCGTGGTGTCTCTTCTCAGCTGGTGCTGGACCATTGGAACCGTTGGCTGCACCGTGAGGACGGAGGTGGGAAGGGATTGCTTTCGACGCCATAGCTGTGACGATAGGTTTGCTTTCTGCAGGATACGAAAACGGAGGAAGGAGATTTGATCGAGAGACAGTTTCAGCTCACTCTTGCGAAGCCTAGCTGTAAAGGTCTGGAGACGAATTAGCGACGAGCTGTGTCTTCGAAATTCCACCTGACAGTCTCGTGGTAGAGATTTGGTGGTGGGGAGATAGATATGAGGGTAGAGTAATAAAGAGAGGTGAGAGAGTTGGGCAGGCAAAAAAAGTCGAGCGGTGATGCAAACAGCAAGCTTTAGCGAGAGCTTCTGGCGCCGCAAAAGACGGTCCCCAGGGCACGTCAAGAGCGACCCAAAGATTTCATCACTGCATGTGGCGTGGGCAAGGACCTGGTGTGGATGGTGGATGGGCGAGCAAGGGGTGATGTAGTTGTGCAGCTTCTCGATGGCTGCAGCAAATGACGACCAGCGGGTATGAAGCTCCAAAAGTGGGCACCATTGGGCTCCGTTCCAGAGGGCTGCACGGGAAGTAGCAATTGGGGAGGAAAGCCTGGCGGTCAGGATGTAACTAACCCTCTCGTGATGGGATTGGGATGAATCCCGATTAATCGGTGGTGGTGGTCGAACGGAACGACGTGGAGGTTTCTGTACCGTCACGAGTCTGTCTGTCTATCTCTCCGTCTTGCCCAAATATATGCTCCTTCTCTCTCTCCCCTCTGCTCCATTTTGTTGGGCCACCGGGCCATTCTCTGTTCTACCATCAACGTAGCATCGATTGATCGAGAAGCGTTATTTTTCTGCTCCACGTTCGGCGACGATCTGGAACGACAATCCCCCTCTTCTCACCCATCCCACCACTTTGACCGCCCGCCCTCTCCCACGCCCTGCCCCTCTTTGCTTGCCCAAGTCCGCCACAGCTAGACGCTCCCACGTCCGACGCCACACCTCACATACGCAGCTACCTATTGCCATTTCGGTTTAGAGGGACCGCCAAAATTGCGTGTTTCACCGACCAGGTATCATTTGTCTGCCTCCGCCTGTGTCCTTCAACCCCCAACATCCAGGTCGATCGGAGGAAATAGTAGGAAAGAAAATTTAGAAGAAAAAAAAAACATCTCACTGAATACCAACCAGACTACCCTCTCACGTTTCCCCTCGGGCATTGCGCCCGCGATTGAATTCTGCTTGCGTCCTGGTTCTCTCGCGGATGTTCTTATGCCTGGGCACCCTGGCTAGTCTCACCGACTTGACGCAAGGGATTCAGTTTCCGCTGCAATCAGGCATTTGGCTGATGAATTCGCCTCAAACACACACAGATCATCCGCCAATCGTGTCAACCCCTGCTACCCTGAAGTCCGACCTGGAATCCTCCTCCCAGGACCACAACCACAAGCATACTAGTACATCCTGTGGGGAATCGTAGACAGCTGGGAATGGACGTAAGGTGAGATATCATGCAGGTAAAAGAAATACTGACGGTATTTCGTGAAACGCTTCCCTTTTGTACGCCATTTTTCTGAGGCTCTGGATCAGTGGCCCGCCGAGCCCCTCGCAGGCTGTGAGCCGCGAATTAAAACAATATCTGGTATCTCTGAATCAAGGAAAAGCTATAATATAGCGACGGAACAAGGCCCTCGAGGCTTCGCCGGACAGGCGGGCAGCCCTTAGGAACCGCATCATTCCTCCAGAAACGCCACCTCGCTGAAACCATGACAATTCACAAGCCGCGCCTACCATGGCCCTGATCTGTTCAGGATCCCTCGTATTTGGCGCTAACATCCCTCCTCCCAAAGAAACTTCGTCGCCCCTCGCGCTTCGAGTCCGGGCTGTCCCGTCCGCTGGTGACGGGTCGGAGGCTATCTGAAGCAACTCCATTGCTGGCGGCAAAGCTGCTGCGGATCGTGACCGATCCCGATCCAGCCTTGACAACTTGGTCGGACCCTGCGCCTTGGTCAGATACAAAGAACAAGCCCTCCCCAAGATCTTTGGATCTGAGCATGTCGTGATCTCTGACTTGCAACTGGAACTGCGTGTCCGCCGAGCAGGCGACCTTGAAGTTTTCGTGGTTCGCGTCAAACTCCACTGTCCCCGACACTGATTTGATGGCCTTGGTCTTGTGCACTTCTTTGGCCCCTTTGGATCCGATCATCTTAATGAGAACCTGGACATCAGCTTTGGGAGGATACCCGGTGGCAGAGACGATAATAAAACTCGCCGTTCCGGTATCACCGCCTTTGTGAGCCGTGATGGTTGAGTGATTACTCTTGGTGCGGGAGTGCATCATGGGAGAGGGCGTGGCTGGGGTGACGGGAGTCGCGCTGCCGTCAACCATGGGAGGCGCTCGAGATGGGGTTGCCAGTGGCGTGACGGCAGCATCGGCATTCTCCAGCGTTCCGTTGGTGCTCGGTGGTGTGTCTTCCTTACTGCTTCGCCCCCTCGTCAAGCCGTGTTTGATGAACGAGGCTCCCTTGACCACACCGCCCCCCACCTTTCCGACACCTTTAACGGGCGCACCGATGACCTTTCCAGCGGGCGCGAAGGTGCCGGAAAAGGTTGATGTCCCTTGCCGCGCTCGAGTGATGTAGTTGGGCTTGAACAACATTCTAAGTCGAAGGACCCCGGACTTTCCGTCTAGATTGTATTTGAGCTCTTGCGGTTGGAATGGCTCTAGCACCTGTAAATTCAGCACCGCAGAGCCGAGATGGTCCGCCTTGTCGCCAAAATCCCAATCCATAACGTCAACCTTGAAGTCAGCTGCCGTGCGGGATGGAATCTGCACCTCGAAGAATTCGTTCCAGGCAGGATGGAGTGTCTTCTTCTGAATCTTGGTCTTGTACACTTCTTTGCCATTCAACTTGAATTTGCAGTAGGGATCACTGTAGCCATTTCGATCGGCAGACGGAAGATCGGCAGCATCCATCACGTCGACGCGGAGAGTACCCATGTTGTTGATGCTCTCGCTTGGATCAAGCTGCATCTTCACTGGAAGATATTTGAGACTGACCACCACTTTGTTGATAGCTCCGTTGTTGCTCCTTATTGTGAGTTCCGTGGGCTTGTACAAGCACTGCTGTAGGGTAGACAGAGTAGGGCCAGTCAGCTTAGCCACGATGTCGTCGCTGTCTCCCTTGCCGGTGCGGTCGACCTTTTCGGTCAACCGGAGTGTGATTCGCGACATCTCAATTTCGCGAACCATGGCATCACCGGTCTCGCCGAACTGGTGGTCTTTTTCTCGAATCTTTGAGGATGTGTAAGCCGGGAAAGCATGGTCGTCCATTACTACCTCGAGGTTGATGTCAGTTTGGGCAAAATGGCCTTCGATGATGCTGAAGACAATGAGGCCGGATTCTAGTTGCAATTAGCCACGACCATCTTTCAGCACCAAAAGGCTTACCGTATTTGTGGAGATCTTCTGGGGTGATCTTTATTTTGGGCGACTGTTTCACGCCGGAAGCAACAGAGCCGTTAATAGACGCGGCTCCATTTGCCAGAGCACCAAGCCGGCCCGCCTTATCGAGGCTCTTGCGACCATCCACGCTTAGTCTCGCCATGTCACTCGACGTCTTGACATCAACCGAGGATTTCTTGCTGTGCGAAGGCGTTCCAGGTGTTGGAGTTTCGGGCGCTTCGAGAGCTGCTTGAGCCTTTCGCTCTTCCTCTTCCTCTTCTGGATCCATCACGTTCAGAGTTGGGAAAAATGAAACGGTGTAGTTGATTGTGCCCTTTGCTTCCCCGGCACCACCCATTCGCAATCCCTCAGACAGCACGGTCTTGGTGTCGTGGACTTCATATCCCCCTTCATCGGCCTCTTTCATGTAATCTGAAGCGGCAATCTGTACCAAGCCCAGAGATCGATCTTTGCCGAGCTTTTCTTCGTCCATCACCTCAAGTATCAATCGTTCAGAAGGTGTATGCACCGGCACATATATGACCTCGTCCCAAACGGGATTGAGGTCGTTCTGGAAAGTAACTGTCCGGCCCTTGGGGATGCTTGATAACAAGACTCTTGCGTACGGATCGGATTTGCCCATCGTCTCATAGTTTCGGAGGTTCTTTGCACTCTGGACGTGGATGCGCAACACGCCTACTGGGGTGATGTAGCCGCCAGAGCCGATGGTACCCTTCAAGATTACCGGTTTCCAATCCAGCATCAACTTAGCCTTCCCTGTTGTGGTCCCGTGCAGGTTGAACCACTCCTGACCTTTATCCACAAGTTTGAGCATATCGTCCAATTTGATTTGGAAGGTGCCCAGGATCGGATCGGTTGCAAGGTCGCGATTGTCTTTGATGACCAGTCCGATCCTCGCTTTCTTCCGGTCCGTGATGAGGACTGATTTGGTATTGTCCGAGAATACAGGGTTGTTGGTGTGTTTGAGTTTGTTGGTGATATGGATCTCCTTGCCATTCAGAAGAAGCACCGCATACGGGTCCAAAGCGCCGACAAGACTTCTGCTTCCGTCCAGATCTTTGGCTTGTTCGATGGTGATTCTTGCGATGCCCGTATTTGACTCCGGTGGTGGTAGAATCTCACCAGTTTGAAGTTTCTCCGGTTCCAAGACGGGAAAGAAACGAACATCACAACTGACCACTCCACGGTGCTTCCCGTTGGCAAGCACATCCAGTGTCAAATTTTCATGTTCATAGGCGCCCTCCAGTCGATCCAGTGCGAACGTAGCGGTGCCGAGGTGCTTGTCCTTGCGCACATCGTTGTAGTCGTAGACCTGTAGCGTGAGGGAGTCCGTTAAATTCGTGATGATGATGTACAAGGTCTCGTTCCAGCGAGGGTTGTGGTCTTCGTGAATCGTCTTGGTACGTGCCAGCTCCTTGGCGCTGTTCAACGAGACAATAACATAGGGATCCGGTGTGCCGGAGAATTTGTCAGGGTTCTTCAATCCAGTGGCATTGTGGATCGTAACGGCAACAACGCCAATGGCCAAATCGATGGGGTTGCCCGATAGCAGTTTGGCCACCTCAATGGGGAAGACATTCGGCTCGTACATGATCGGAGCAAGATTGCCGTGGATCTGCTCTTTAATAAAGCTCTCCAGACCCGGGATAAAATTGATGTCGAAGCCAAAAGTGTCTCCACCTAGAGGCTTGCAGACATAGTCAATTGTCGGTCGACCGAGGAAACAGATGTCAACGCGTTCGATATGAGGGTACGGAATTTGCAGCTTCATCCTGACTCGCATCAAACCGGAGAACTCGAAGTCTTCGACGATGACCTTCATGGCCTTGCTGACAACACCTTTGCCGATGCGGATTTCCAGGACGACTTTGGGGTTAATTTTCGTCTTGAGCTGGCGGGCCGTCATGTCCAGGGTGTCAGTTGGAGTAAAGCTGAATTTCCAATCCATCAGGACAATGTCATCCTCGGCCCTAGGGTAGGTCTTGACATGCTCAATACGGGGTGGTTTGGTCCCCAGGATGAACGTCTCGAGCCTCATGCTGTCAAGGAACGCCGGCGTGGAGGTACTCAGAACTTGGTCGACGGACATGATGATAGCTTTGGCAAGCTGGGGGGCGTAGATGGGCCAGAACTTGACCAAGAAGCTGTTCAGCCATTCGAGGCTTTCGGTGTCGGTCTCCAGACGTGCTTTGGCCAGTTCCCGCGTGATGTCGTCTCTGAAATTTCGTCTCACCCGTCTAATGGAGGTCCTGTAGTAGGTGCCGCAAGTGGCCATGATGATGATGACCCATGCTAGACCGCCGCCGAGAGTAGCAACGAGCCATGATGCGATACAGGCAAAGATGATCACAGCCGTGTTATGGTACCAATCTGGAATCCTTAGCGACGCGGCCATGTATCTTGGAAGCCAAGGTGTACGCACCGCCGAAGAACCTCTCATCCAACCTCCCTTCAAGGGCCGTTTGATGGTCTAAGAGGTTACCTTCTTCTTGCTCTTCCTCCGTCTCACCAGATCCGAAGCGCGGAGCCCACCCGACCTTCCTCCATTCTTGTTCTTCTTCTGGGGCGATCCCGTTCGCCGCGTCAGCCTGGTCAGTCGGGGGCTCGACCTTCGCGGCAACGGAAATGGGTTCGGGCGGAGGTAGGTTGTACTGAGAAGGCTCTCCGTCGTCCTATCATCTCTGTCAATCAGGGGGCGAGAGAGGGTCAGACTTGAGAGTATTATCACGCACCAGATCCGTGGCTACTCCGACTCCCTTGGGTGGGCGACGAATATCGTTCTGCCGCTTTAGTGCACGTCAGTGATATGGTTTTGCCGCGAGTCGGAGAAACACAATCTTACTGTTCTGGCTTGCGCGGCCTTTTCTTCTGGAGACGCATTAGGGTTGAAATGCAGGGCGGCCGAACCAGCTTTTTTGCTCTCGTCTAGGATAACCCGTTGAGCATCATCGCCCGTGACAGAGCTATTTGGGTCGCGGGCAGCCTCGACGGCGCCTTGGGACTTGAGCTCGTTCTTTTCCCTCTCGGAGCTCATGGTGATTGGGCAAGGACGATCAACCGACCCTGGTCCGAGCTGCTCTAGATTTCGGAGGGCATGTGGAGAGAAGGAGAATAAGGATCGAAGACGGAGAATAAGTAGGCGGGCAGGGCAAACGTCAATTCACCTGTGCAACTCGGCCTCTGCCACAGAAAAAGTCGAGAAGAGAAATGGGAACAGACGTGGTGAGCCTGCGAGGAAAAGGTGCTCGGCCAATGCTCTCTCTGTGTGGTGTCTCTGCTCGACACGGCGGTCGGCTGGTGACGAGTGCGAGTGACGGAGATGCGGAGAGCTCCAGCTTAAACTTTACTTTAAGGTGACTTTCAGCTTGCAGGGAAGCGCAGGGCCCACGCAGGCGCACCCAAGACGCCCAGGGAGCGCAGCTTTGGGGCTCACCAGGCCTAGTGACGCCCGCTAGCTTCACCGCCGGCCCACCTACGGTTCTTCAACGTGCCCTGGCTGCCCAGTTTCGCCTACCCAGCCGAGTTTTGACGGCGTCAAACAAGCTGGAGTCCTGCCAGTTGCTGGCTTTCATTCGCCAACCTCCACGATCGCACCCCCCTTTCCGCCTTTCCCCTGCAAAGAGATAATGCATCTCGCTGTCGTCCTCACCTTAGTCCACTTCTGACTATCCCTCCCCAGCAAGCTCGAGTCCAGTAGTTCCTTCGGCTTTGCGAGTCCCCACGTGTGGGAAAATCAAGAAAAAGGAAGTTGGGCTCCGGTTGACGGCATCAGAGGCTAGCTTATTCTCAGCAGGACCAGGGTTGCGGCCGGTTGACGGTATCGGGAGATCTCCTACGAGTTACCCCTTCATCTTACTCAATGCCAAATGGAGGACCACCAGTGCGACAAGGCGCCCGTCCGAGGGTAGCCCAATGCCACTCATTGCGCAATATCGCCTTGCGATCTTTTGGTTGCACGCCCATAAAGTACTACTCCGTGTGCAACCAATCGCACACTGTGCCATGGAAGAGGATGCTGGGTCGAAGGCAGGCATTACATCCGATCATCATCCATGCGACGAGGTGTGCACCAAAAGTTCAGTGGAGCACAACGAGCTGGCTGCTCGTCGAGCATATGGAAAATATCATATCATTACATGTCTCCGACGCCAACGCGGTTGGGGTTTCTGCTGTCTGGGAAGCGTGTCTCTCCACGACGTCCAGGTTTCACCTATTTCCTGCCAGCTTTCTTCTTCATCTTGACCCTTTCAATGATTTCTGGCTTCTCCCTGCACGTCGGGCAGTACCAGTCTTCGTCCTCATCGGGCACTTTCTTCATGTTCAAGCATCCCGTGTGGAACCATTGGTAAGGGCAGTCATCATTCTCACACGCCACCATTTCCCCATAACTGCGCTGGTTGCAGAAGCAGTAGCGTTTGTCGTCTTCTCCCTCCTCATCGTCCACTTCTTCATCTTCGCCCACATCGGCGTCAGGTTCCTCCGACGTCGCTTGTTGGTGCTTCTTGTTGCCGCGCCGTCCTCTCGATTGTGAGGCATCGGTTTCAGAGGCATCTGCGGATGACAACACGGAGTCTGCATCTTCCGAGGCCGCCGTCCCGCCACGTCCACCCCGTACTGAGGGCGATTGACCTTTTTTGCGCCCGACGGATAGTCTTCCCTTAATCGAGCCTTTTTGCTTGAGCTTATTGACCTGCTGATGTGAGATGACTTTCTTTGAGAGGCCTGACTTCTTGGGAGGCGCCGCCGATAGCTGTGCTCCTGTAGATCGAGGTATGCTGCCAGCACGGCTTGTACCTGTGCCCGTAGGAGTGCCCGCTTTTGGGGTGCCTGGGCCAAGTGAGGATTGCCGGAGACCTGACGGCTGGGCCGGCAGGGTTGTGCCTGGAACTGGACCTCCCAACTTTCGCCGCTTGTTCTCAGCACCCAGAGAATGTTCGCGCTCTCGTTGCCGCTGCTGCTGGACGGCCGAAGCAGGTGTTGCTGGCGCGGAGCTCCGTTGAGCGGGTGCGTGGTTCGTTGTAATCTGTGGCAGCTGCCTCGCTTGTGCTTGTTGCATGGTCGCAGAGATGTGTGCGTTGATCTTGTGTGCATTTGCATTGAGTGCACTGATAGACGCGTTTTGTAGAGGTAGACTGGTGGGTAAGTCGATGAAGGGCTTCTGCGTCTCAGCCTTGCGGTTGAAAACACTGGGCAGGGGCGGGCCGTCGAGGAGTTGCCCATCATTCTGCAGTTCCCGAATCTTCATGTCTAGTCTCTTGACCTGCCGCTCCAAGAGACTGCAGGCCTTGTCACTCAGTGCGACTTTCTGGTCTTGAAGTCCGAGGCATAGCTCGTAGTTTCTCTTCACAAGCTCGACATACTCGTTCTCCTTTGGGTGCGGAGCGAGTACTCCGTTGGTCCTGAGATGCTTTTGTATGTTGGCGTCCTTCTGGTTGATGACGGACAAGTGTTTCTGCAAGTCTTTGTCCTTGGCCTGAATCTCTTCCATCATGTGGGTGATCTCGGCGGGTAGATTGGCCGCATCGTGAATGAATTGCTCCAGCACCGATGCACAGTCCTCATTTGTGGCCATCTCTGACTACTGCGAGTCGATCGGCTGACAGTGAACAGTTGGGATGGAGCAATAGCTGATTCTCTCCTATGAGTTTTGCTTTCGCGGGTTTCTCGGTGGAAAACGAAAGGGATGAACAACCCCCAACGACGGCTGAACCACGATTTTATTGCATCCCATCCACGAATGGTTGCTAGTACTGTACATGTGACACTTCTTTTGATGAAATTCGATGTGATTGTCACACATGAGTGATGGAACCAGAACGACGGTGGGCGTGTGAAAAGCAGAAGGACAGCGAGGCAGCCGGCCTCACTAGCCCCAGTTTGAAACTCACGTGAAAGCCCATATGAGGCTAAACCATATAGAGTTAGCGCAGGGTGGCGCAAATTTGACGCCACATCAAGTTCCAGATTCTAGATTCTGCTCTCAGCCTTGCATCGTCGCTTTCAACCACTACCATCGTCTTCAAACCCTTTCAACAATTCACGCCCTTCAAACAAACCTGCTCCAGATCTGAATTCAGCCGCATTGAGCGTGCGAAGGACATACGCCGGTCACTCTGCTAGGACGAAGTCGGCGCAGAACTGAAGGCGGTGTTCCATCGGTCGAGAGATCGCTAAATTTCGCCGACGGCGTCATGAGCCTGGGCAGAATCGAGCCCCCGTCACTTCATTTCGACAGCAGCTCTGCATCACGCCTTCTCTGACAACGACCACATCATGTCCATTGTGCAGGAATACCAGGACCCGTCGTCCTCCGACCCAACCCCCACCCTCACTTTCTCCGAGAAAATCCAACGTGAGGTAGAAGCCAACGGCATCGTCCGCCCAAAGGGTTACAACGTCTCACTGCATTACAATCCAGCTGTGGAACACCATCATTTTGGTCAAACCCATCCCATGAAGCCCTGGCGTCTGACCTTGACAAAGTCCCTCATCCTGTCTTACGGCATGCACACGGCCATGGACTGTTACACATCCCGTCCAGCCACCATGCAAGAAATTTCCGAATTCCATCACGAGAAGTACGTTGAATTTCTCAGCATCGCCACTCCCAAGAATATCTATGAGTTGTACCCTGAGCTCGACGGGACTCAAGGGTACTCTTCCCACGTTTTCGGTGTCGGGGAGGACTGCCCTATTTTCGACGGCCTCTACGCATTCTGCTCGATGTACACGGGTGCTTCCATCGACGCAGCCCGAAAACTTTGTAGCAAACAATCCGATATCGCTATCAACTGGTCTGGCGGCCTGCATCACGCCAAAAAGGCAGAAGCAAGCGGATTCTGCTATGTCAACGACATCGTACTCGCCATTCTTCAGTTGCTCCAGTACCACCCGCGCGTCATGTACATCGACATTGACGTACACCATGGGGACGGTGTAGAACAAGCATTCTGGTCCACCGACCGGGTCATGTGTGTCTCCTTCCACAAGTACGACAAGGAAACTTTCTTCCCTGGGACTGGTCCCCTGGATTCCACGGGTCCGGTCCACGAAGACAACGCAGGGAAAAACTATACCATCAACGTCCCCCTCAGCGACGGCATTGACGACGAAACATACGACTACCTCTTCCGCAATGTCGTGGAACCCACCATCACGACCTTCCGCCCGACCGCCATTGTGCTCCAGTGCGGCGCCGATTCTCTTGGTCACGATCGTCTAGGTTGCTTCAACCTGAACATCCGCGGCCACGGCAACTGCGTGTCTTTCGTCAAATCCTTTAAGCTCCCACTGTTGGTGGTGGGCGGTGGCGGGTATACACCACGTAATGTCGCACGGGCGTGGGCACACGAGACATCAATCTGCATCGGCGCGGATCGCACGCTCAACCCGCAATTACCTGAGTTCTTGCCCCACCGCGAGGCGTTCCGGAAAGAGGGCTTCACTTTGTTTCCCAATCTCGGCAGCTGGAAAAAGGAAAACACCAACTCGAGGCAGGACATCGAGAACATCATTCAGCACGTGAAAGAACAGCTGGCGCAAATCCGCGGCGCGCCGAGCGTCCAGATGAAATACATCCCGCCGGACATCCAGGCGTGGCGGGACGAAGTCGAGGAGGACCTGAAGGCCAGGCGGCTAGAGAGGGAGGAGAAGGCGGAGGAAAGGGCCGGGGCGGGAAGCCTGATGGCCAAGCTCAGCCGGCGGAGAGAGCTGGAAAGAAGAGGTGGTGGTAGCTCGGCCATGGCCAGCGGAGCCGCGAGCGTGAACCTCCAGGACACTATGAGCTGATGAAAAAGGAAGGGGCACACATCACAGGCGGTGGGCGGACACAATGAGTTTGACAGCATCGCCGGAGTCGCGCGTTGCTTGATTTTTCATGGTCTTTTTCCTCCTTGGGCCGAGGAGAGACCGGACTGGACTCCCTCCATCTTATTCTGTTCCCAAGACCCAATCATCAAAGCCAAAAAGGTCTGCTCAGCCTTCTATTCATCTACCTAATACCTGTTTCAACATCACCATCCATCCCATCCACGGCGTCGTGTTTCGCGGATATCGACATGGACGAACGGCGAAGAACGGGGAAGGATGGGTTCTAGGGCGAACGGTTATGCTCTGCAAATCGAAGTATTGTACTACTGGGTGAGCAAAGCCACAGCTGGGGGTGGGTAGGTCGGTAGGTAGGTAGGTAAGGGGGTGTTACAATATGTGTGCCTGTAGTATTCTCGGTACGTCGTCGGTCAGATCCATACCATGACTCTTCTCTCCTTACTACTGCAGTCGTACGAGAAGATAGCGCTGCTGTTCAGGCTTTACTACTATTATGAAGCCGCTTTCTTCAGGGAATAAATATCAAGACGCTGTATCCATTTCTTTTTTCTTCCCGTTTGCTCCATTAGATTCGCCAGCTCGATGGATCGCTGACAGATAGAAGCCCGCTTGCCTCGTGTCAGAGCCGCAAGGGGGAGACGCCATCGCAAACATTCACGGCTCGTCTTGGTGGCCAGTGTAGAAGCAGAGAGGGCGTAGGTCGGGGCTTCGACGCCAGAATAGAGCTTTCTGCTATGAAGGCTCCAGTTCCAGTTCAATGTCGACACGGGGTCCTCGATCACCGTTGACCGTTGCATACTCTTTATCTTTGCTCCTGCCCTTGCCCTTGTCTCGGTCTTTGGCCTTCTCCTTCGCCTTTTCGTTCTCCCCTTTCCACCTATCCGCTTCTTCAATTCTCTCAAACCACTCATCGAAATACTTGCAGGTAACCACATTGACCGGGCCACCGTCACCACAGATGTCAAACGAAGGACACCTCATACAAGGTACTTCACTCGACCCGCCCGCACCCAGTTTCTCCAATTCTTCCTGCCGATATGCGGCTTTTCTAACATCGTCGTGGTGGCTCACTTTGCGCTTGTCAAGTTGAAGTCGCTCCGTGATGTCGTGCGGGGTTTTAAAGCAGCGGTACATAGTAATGGTATTCGCGATGTGGTCGTCAGGAAGCTCATTGCCATGGGGTGGACGATGAAGTTTGAAAAGGCGACCGTCATAAACCATCACCTGGAGGAGTTGTGCAATGGCGTTCTGCGGTAGCATGGAACCTGTGACTTTGATATTGAGGATATGCTTGGTTATGTCTTGGAGCGTGGGATAGAATTTGTGGCCAGGGCCGAAGGGTCTGTAGGATTTCTGGAAGGAAGCCTGGTGCTTCGACAACTTGGCCTTGTTGTTCTGTCCCTCCCCAGTCTTGGTCAATTTCCCCCTGTCATCACCATGCTCTTCAAATCCACCATTGGGTCGCTTGCGCTTTTGACCTGGGATGTCATCCGCATCGTCAGGCTTGATTTCTTGCCAGCTTTGTGTGGAAACAAAATGCTCGATCACCGTGGAGATGGTGTCGATCAATCCGATGTCAAGTCGTCCCTCAGAGAACCAAGAGCCACCCGTCGCATCCTCGGAGGGAGTCATGCCAGCCAAGATGTACATCTTCCGATTGGGATGGCTGACGCTTTTCATCTGCTTGATCAGTCCTCTTCCCTCCAAGACCTTGTAGACCTTTTCCAGGATATTCACGTGGAGGGCGGTTTTGGACCCGATCTGCTTGGTCCACATCCCCGAGGACTTTGCGCCGTCGATGACCTGCAGGACGATTTGCTCATTGCGACTGAGATTGGCATAGCTGTAGAATAGGACAGTCAGGACTTAAGCACATACTGCAAGTTCGATGTGGTATAGTATTACTCTTTTGCTACATCTGGGTTTACCAACTCCCAACCTATGCCACCGCCCGCTCGATCGTGGACTCTGAAGAGCGAATTTTTGGTAAGGTATTCGACGGAGGAGAGAAGGATTTGGAGGTCCTGGTTTGGGATGATACCGGCATCCAACAACTCGGCTTGGGAGAAGACATAGCCGAAGTCGTAGTTCTTACAGCACCAAGCATGAAGAGCCTCCGCGGTGCGATCTCGAAGGGAGGCGGCCGTCGAAGGATCGGGACCCAGGGCGGTGGTATTCTTCGGAGGCGCCATTATGAAGCAATGGCTTGGAGGGATATGTGCTACCGATGGGGGTAGAGATCTGTGTACATGATGGGTCAAGCAGAGAGGCTGCTGACCAAGAGGGAAGGAGGAAAGGCTGAGAACACAGTCGGATGTCACCGCAACATAGTAGAAGAAATTTTGTAACGGCGTGGATGGGAAGTGTGCGAAAAGTGGAACTGAGTATGAAGTTGGGTGAATAATGAAATCTACCTCGTACACAGGAAATTTTGGCGCAGTGGGATGCGAAATAGTGGGGATGAGCACGAGGCTGCCGCTGGTAGCTCGTGCGGGCGGTGCAGCTGATGACATTTTAGGCGCCTTAGGCTTCAAGCTTCTCGAACCCTCACCTGAGGTCCCTGGGCCCTGTAACTGAGTGCCTGTGGTGCCCGCCTCGGTGATGGTGGTGGCCCGTGCACCGAATTTTCTAGCAATTCTGTTCGCTGCCCGCATTTGACAAACTAAAGAGTACATCAGGCTGTCGATTTCTCCAACTCATTTTCAGGCTCTGTCGATCTTGTGTACAACTCAAAAGCTCTTTCTCTACAACAACTGTATCCTATCTGCCAACCCTACGTCCTCGAAAATCTTTGATTTCACTCTAATTTGGTCTTCCAATCCCGTGTCCTAACCATGGCCGATGCTCTGAAGGCCGAGGGCAACAAGGCCTTTGCGGCCAAAGACTTTCAGACTGCCGTGTGAGTGCCCCAGCCATCAACAAGCTCCTTGATCTGTCGGCTGACTCTTGCTATCAGTGACAAATTCTCTCAAGCTATTGAACTCGATCCCACAAACCATGTCCTTTACTCCAACCGCTCCGGTGCATATGCCTCCCTCAAAGAATACCAGAAAGCCCTCGACGATGCGAACAAGACCACAGAACTTAAGCCCGACTGGGCAAAAGGCTGGGGTCGGAAAGGAGCCGCTCAGCACGGTCTTGGTGACCTCGTCGGGGCAAAAGATGCTTTCGAAGAAGCCCTCAAGCTCGAACCTTCAAACACGCAGGCCCGGCAAGGCCTCGATGCTGTCAACAGAGCCATCGAGGCAGAGGCACGTGCAGACGGTGCTGATTTGGGTGGTCTGGGAAACATATTCAATGACCCTCAACTCATCCAGAAGCTCGCGAGTAACCCAAAAACGTCGAAATACCTCGCGGATCCCCAATTCATGGCCAAGCTGCAGCGACTGGCCAAGAACCCTCAAGAGATGGGCCAGGAACTCGCCGATCCAAGGTTTCTCGAGGTCATGGGTGTGATGCTGGGCATCGATATGCAGATGGGTATGCCGCCGGAAGGTGGCCCCTCTGGTGCGCAGAGAGCCACGGAAGAGGCAGAAGATGTCCCCATGCCAGATGCTCGACCTCAATCCAATCCTCCGCCGCAAGCCGAAAAAAAGGCACCGGAACCTGAACCTGAACCTGAACCGGAAGACGAAGAGGCCATCGCAGCCAAGAAGGCCAAAGAAGAAGCCGAAAACGAAAAGAAACTGGGGACAGAAAGCTACAAGAAGCGAAAATTCGACGAAGCTATTGAGCACTACTCAAAAGCCTGGGACCTGCACAAGGATATCACTTATCTGACCAACCTCGGCGCCGCCAAATTCGAAAAGGGCGACTATCAAGGATGCATTGAGGCCTGTGAGAAGGCCGTTGAGGAAGGCCGCGCCATGCTCGCCGACTTCAAGATCATTGCCAAAGCCTTCGGGCGTATTGGGTCTGCATATGAGAAAATGGGTGACTTACCCAAAGCCCTCATCAATTATCAAAAATCTCTCACCGAGCATCGCACACCAGACATCTTGGCGAAGTTTAAGGCCGCCGAAAAGGCTCAGATCAAAGCTGAAAGAGATGCATACGTCGACCCAGAAAAGGCAGAAGAAGCCCGCCTGCTGGGAGCCGAGAAATTCAAGAACGGAGACTGGCCAGGCGCCGTGGAAGCCTATACCGAACTCACCAAAAGAGCGCCGGACGACCCACGAGGCTACTCCAACCGGGCGGCTGCACTTATCAAGCTCCTTGCCTTCCCAACTGCCATTCAGGACTGTGATGAGGCCATCAAGCGCGACCCTAAATTCATTAAAGCCTATCTCCGGAAAGCACAGGCATTGTTTGGTATGAAGGAATACAATAAGTGCCTGGATGTATGTCAGGAGGCCGCGGAGCATGATGAAGGCGGCAAGAACGCCAGAGAGATTGAGCAGCAGCAGGCCAAGGCCCTGGAAGCAATGTACGCTGCTCGCCAAGGGGAGACGGAAGAAGAAACAAGTGCGAGGATTCAGAAGGATCCCGAAATAAGTAAGTGACCCTGATTTTCCAAGACCCTGCACCACATCCCATGCCTGCCTGCTGCACTTGATTAAGACGTGACAACTGACATGTTTTCCTGCTACAGTGCAAATCCTTTCCGACCCTGTCATGCAATCTATCTTGCAACAAGCCAAGTCCGACCCGGCGGCGCTAAACGAACACATGAAGAACCCTGGCATTCGGTCCAAGGTCCAAAAGTTGATCGCTGCAGGTGTCATCCGCATGGGACGGTAGAAGGGTGGGAAGAAAAGCTGAAATCGCTGGTGGGGATGTAGCGGAGGGAAAAATCCAATGCCGGGGCAGGTAAGAATTACGGGGAAGATAGCCGGAACGACGAGGAAGAAGAAGTACCCAGAAAATCGGCGGAGAAGAGAAGAGAAGAGGGTTATTGCTTTATGTGCGTATGTCTGAGTACATTTCGTCGGAAATCAGCATTCATGGCTCATGACCGTTACGATAGGATTTTCGCAAGCGATATTTCTATCTAATCCACCCATTCATTCTTTCATTCACCCATCCCTCTATCCTTCCTTCTATCCCATCCTTCTATTAACAAGTGTACTCCACGAAGCGAAAAAAAAAGCCCTTCTTCACCAGCATTTTTGAGAGTTTTGGAATGGCGGGAGCAACAACATCTCCTCCCATTGCCCAACTGTGGTCTTTTTGTTGCTCTTGCTCCGATAATGGACAGATAGGTTTGGCTTTCGATATGTCCATGCCATATCTCACAATCATGTTCTCATCGTTGGCATGGTGCAGTCAGAACCTCAAATGGTTCCGACTCAGATCACAGCCACATGACTCGTGCAGCAAACACATCAACACATCAAACTCCATAAGTTACTCCTCCCCGGCCTGCCACCGTGCTGGAAAGGCGGCTGGGTCGACCGCGAAATAGGTGAGGTAGTGTATATATGTCGAGATACATCAGATGGCCGGCCGTTCCATTCCCCTGGTTTTCGTTCATTCATGAATCCCCCCTATACATTTTGAATATTTTTGTTCTTTACCCTAGTATGCATCCCGCCTAGATCCTAACCCCCAATGCTTCCCAATTCTAATCCCGCATGTCGTGAACTCATATGACCGGCTGGCGGATAAAAGTAGCGTAGTAGAGTAGATGGCAACGTGGGTTAGCTCGCTGTATGCAGAGTCCAGTTAATATACCCAAATTGTGCCATGAGTCCACAGGGAACGTTTCGAAAAACGGATAGGGACGCGATGGTCCGTCCTGGCAAGAAGATAGAAGAAAGGAGGATAATGGCACCTAGTCGTCATCACTCAACGTGCTCGTCTTCTTAGCCAGCGCCATTCCTTTCAGACCTCTCGTGTCCGTTGGATTCAGCGGTGCTCCGAATCCTCCAACTGCGTCAGGGACTTCCGACGCATTCTCTGTGCGGGTTTGAACGACTAGTAGTCCAGTCTGCAATTGTCTCTCCCGAACAACTTTCACGAGCTGTGTGGCCAGAGGTCCCAAAGCCTGATTGTCATCACGCGCAGAAGCCAGCCCAGTGGCACCAGTGATGACCCTCGAGCCGGAGGTTGACGACTCTGCTGTACTGCTACCCAGCGCGGTGGTGGCCGATTTAGAAGGGAGAGTATTTCGACCGATAATAACAAGCGTCTCTGCAGGGCTAGGATCGGAGATCGCGGCCACGACTGCCTCCAGACCCGACAATTGCACATCTATCACTGTCGCTCTGTTTTCGAAGCCATAATCCGCGATGCTTGACCGGAGGGTGTCAAATTCAAGGTCGATGGGTTTCGGGAGGGTATGGATATTTGATGGGGTGACCACCTTGTTATCATGCTCGATGCTGTCGGCGTGCTGATCGGCGTCGGTACTGTCGAGCCCAACTCTTGCGTTCAGAATCTTCAGATCGACCTTGTGATTTCTGGCCAGCTGTAGACCGAGACGCACGGCAAAAAGATCGTCTTCGCTTTCGCCTTGATAGAGAACGAAAAGCCGAGCTCGTCTACTTTCGGCCGACTTGAAGTGGACAGTCGAGTTCATCTGATCCACAAGACTAACCCCGGTAAGTGTCCTGTTCAGTTGACGTGTCGATCGCTCAGGAACTGGAGACGCGGTGTTTGAAGGGCCCGAGGGCGTACACAGAACTGTCTTGTCAAGAATCACACCAACGGGGCAAGTCACCCTCGCCTTCTCGAAAATCTCTGCCGCCAGTGTCGCAAACTGTTTGTTCGCTAGCGGATCACCCGGCTTTGCATCGAACCAGACAGGGTATTCGGACAACGTTCCAGTCTCAGACCAGGGGACCAACACAAGATCGCTCTGGAGATCCGTCGCGCGAGACAACAAAGTGCCCGAGAAGCTGTGATCAGGCACCACGGCAATTTGTCCACCCACTGCCATATCACAAGACTGTGCGAAAGTGCCGAACGCCTTTATGACTGGGTCTCGCCCGGCAAACTCCTCGATCTCCGAGACGCGCATTACACTGGACTCTCGTTCCGTGAGTTCCATCAGGCGCAGACCGTGTACCTGAATTGGGCGGCGAAGTCTGACCACTGAGCTCAGGGCGTGTGTGTTCAACATTAACGGTTCGTCATTTTGGTGGTGATCGCGACGCTCGGCAGCCTCCTCCTCGGGGTTATGGGCAAGCAGAGAGACCATGGTGAACAGACTGGGAAGACCATCAAGGCGAAGATAGACCAACACCTTCTTCGCAACGTTGGTCTTGCGAAGAATGTCTGCCTCACTGGTGGATTCCATGTCACTTTCCCGGCGAACGGGATTGCCGTCCCAGTCGATCCTGCCTTGCTTCCAAAGCTCCAATTTCCGCTGGTACCAAGGCGGGTATAGCCACGTCGTCAATGGAGTCGTCGCGAATGTGGTGATAAGCGCCATGACAACGAAAATGGTGAATGTTCGGGTGCTGAGGATCTTGGCCTGTAGGCCGATGTTGAGGACGATCAACTCGACCAAGCCCTTGCACGACATCAGAACGCCAATTGTGAAGGATTCCCGCCATACTAGGCCATTAAATCGGGCCGCCAAGGTTCCACCAGCAATCTTCCCGGCAAAGGCGACTACGCACACGCCAACCACATAGCCCCATGTCAGGCCGTTGTCGAGAAGCCCGAGATTGGTGCCTAACCCTGACAGTGCGAAATAAAGAGGGAGAAAGAGAACGCCAACCAGATCTTCGATTTTTTCTGCCAGCTTGATAGCGAAGCCTCCTTCGTGAGGCAGCATTAGCCCGACAATGAAGGCGCCAAAGATGGGATGGATGCCAATGATTCCGGTGAAGAATGAGGACGCCAGGACGAGTAGAATTGTCAACGCGACTACCGTTTGCGTCGGACCGTTGGCGAGACTCCCGGTCCTCCGAAGGAACCATATGACGGTTGGTCGGACGGCAAAGACCAGAAAGAGTGTGTAACCGACGGCGACGAGTAGGATCCATAGAGCAGTGAGACCGACACCCGAATTGACGAGAGCCACACACAGGGCGAGTAATATCCACCCAACGACATCATTTCCAACTCCGGCTGATAGCACAATAACTCCGACAGGAGTGCTGAGCAGTTTGAGGGTAGTCAAGATCCGGCAAAGGACAGGGAATGCCTGAGCTTGGTAAGTGGCCGAATTTTAGGCATCAGGAGAAAGAGAACTTACGGTGATTGCCATGGCCACACCGATGAAAAGCATATACACGCCAAAGCTGATGGGAGCCAGACCAGCATCATTCCGGAAATCACGGTAGAGGCCCCATGCAATGCCACAACCGAGCCCAAAAGGAACAGCCATTCCAAGAGCACCCACACTGAGGGCGATGCGCCAATTGCTGGCGAGAAATCGCAAGTCGACTTCCAGGCCAACAAGAAACAAGAACAGCACCAATCCAAGGTTGGCAGCCAGTGTAAAGGCTGGCATGGAGCTGGTGGGGAAGATGGCAGCTGTAAATCCGGGGATCCTCCCCATGACTGAAGGACCCAGTATAATGCCCGTGATGACCTCGGCAATCACTCGAGGCTGGCGGAGATAGGCCAGGGGCACATGGATGATACGTGTGAGGATGATGACGATCGATGCCTGAATGATAAAGAGTGTAATGGGATTTTTGGGGTCATAATGAGTGGGATTGAGGCCTTCAAAGACACCGCCTTGGGGAGCTGCTCGAGCGCTAGAGGTGCTTGTCGCGGCTGTGGCATTCACTGTCTTGGTGAGAAACTCGGTGACGGTAGCAGTTGCCATGTTTGTCTGTAGGTTGGACAGTTCATTCCAAAGTCGAGGAGGAGACGGATATTTGAACAGTCAAAATGGCATGAGATACAGGATGAAGTTGCGAGAAGGACATTTGGCATGTGGGAGGCTAGCTTCGATGCAGTCAGCTGCATAGAAGCAGCAGTGGAGCCGCTAATTACTAGCTGAGGGCAGATGACTTCGTCTTTCTTGGTATACATACCTGAGGACCAATCGAGACCGGTCCCGTGGCGATGAGGCGAGCCAGGTGCCACTTTTCACTGGTCCCGTCTTGCCGTGTGGTGGCTCGACAAGATACGCCCCTACCGCCATGGTAACGACGAGACAAAGAGAGTCAGGCGATGAATCTCGTTGCTGTCCTCGTCTGGATATTCGATAGGGCGGTCAGAGAGGGGTTGAAGGTGGTGGTGGAGGAGGGGTGAGAACAGAAGGAGATCATGGGATGGAGTGAGGATACCAAGCTCCTGGAGGGCTTGGTGAAGGCAGGGGCAAGACAATTTACAATGTTGGTGCAGCCGTTGAGGTGGCGGCCGTTCATTCACATGGCGCGTGCTGCGAATATTAATGGAGTGAGTTGCATTGTGGCCTTAGAAATGCTTGGCTCGCCTGACAAAGTCAACCTGTCACCGCAATATATTAATAGGCGCCTACGAGCAACGGCCTGGAACTCTCCTTTTATCCGAGGATCATTCCTTCAGCTCCTCTACAGACTTGGGAATGGAGAGACGTGGGCTATCCAAGTTGTGTTACATTGTGGGCAGATCGTCCCCCATTTCTCTGGTCGAACGCCTGCTAATACTTTGTTCCATTCGCCCTCACAATCTGCCATCCCACATCCTTCGCCCATGCCAGACTGTTGAACTCGACCATGGCCATATTGATATGCTCCCTATCGTCCGTAACGTATAGCAGATCGACGCCTCTGACGTCCTGGACTCCTGACCCGACTCCACTGGCAGCCCAGTAGAAGGCAATTCGACTGCAGTCGTGGAAAAGGTCCAGGGTGGTCAAGAGTGGAATAGGTGGGTTGCTCAGTACGGCGGCGATGAAGCTGTCCTTATCAGAGAAGGTGGCATTTCCCAACTACTTTCATGTCAATGGATTGATCAAACGTGGACAAGTACTCGAAAACGAGTTGCGTTGATGAGACATACCGAATTTCCGGCGAGAGAATTGATCGAGTCACTTGTTTCCAGGTACTCGTCCGCAATCAATGCTTGAGCTGCGGCGCTTGCGCTCGCCCGGTCTGGCGAGGTCAGGATAGTCTTCCACGCACTGACTATATCTGTCGCTTGGGCATCACTCAGGCATCCGGTGGGTGGCAGGTCAGAGGCTGTGGGCAGAGGAACGCTGGGAGTAACAGTGACGGTAACGGGTGGTACGACGACACTCAAGGTCGATGTCGCGATAATGGTATCAGCGACCGACGGACAAGGTTTGGTCGCGCGGACAAGCAGGTCAAAGAAAGCAGCTGAAGAGGCCGATGCCAGAAAAAGGACTGCAATGGCGCTGGACCACATGCTTGGTGTTGAAGAAGGGAATCAGCCACCCGTTCGACGTCCACGAGACAGAGCTTCGCGACCATGGTTTTGCAACTTTTATAGCAGAGTGTACATATATCCCAATCCCTTTTTTTCTTTTGAGCACTGTGCCGCGAGGTATCTGAGACATGGCAGTCCAGACAAATGGTCGTGTCACCTGAACTCCGACATTCTTTCAGCCACCACGCAGCTCTTTTGTAAAACAAGCCAGGAGATTTTTGTTCAGCCTCAAAGACAAAACCTCCGCCCCGGCATCTGATTCGTAATCCTGTTCCTATTAAAATTGGTGTTTCACATGTGCGGGCATAAAACGCACAAAAGCCGATATGGCCAGGGGTATATGAGTACAGAAGCTGCGCTCCTTGCTTCGGGCCGCTATATATAGACTTCTTCAATACAAAGAATTATCCAATGTAAAGATGTCGCTCAGGGAATGTGCAACGAGGCTCAATTCAAAGACGACAATATAGTCCAACATTGCGAATATGATTGGCAAATCTTCATCAACATAAACCTCATCGCTGACGCTTAGCCTTGTGTGCCAGGGGGCTTGCGGTCGACGGGAGAATCGGCGGTCGAAGCGAGATATGGCCTGGGCGCACAGGGGTTTGGGTACAGAAACCACAGATATATGGCTCGGGCCTCCTCCGATGGTCTATGCCCACACATGTGGTGTGTAGCCACTTTGAGCACGAATCGCTGCAGTATGCCGCGTTAGCGAGTGCGACTGACTGGAATGGGGTGGCTCGAAGCCCTTCCCAACATCGCAGAATGAATGGCTTACCACTGAATCATGGGCACCGATCCGTCAAGCATGGGAGACTTGCACAAGCAACGCATGCTCACGTTGCTGGCCAGACTCTCCCTGTCGGTGCTCGGCGTGGCTAGATCCGGATCCGTGATTGTTGTTGGCGAGGCGTTATATAAAGCATATTGGGCTTGCTGCAAGGGGGGAGAGGAATGCAGCTGCATGGGGTTGTTGTTGTCCCCTTGTGCCGATGTTGACCGAGAGCGATCCTGGATAATGGCTCGCAATGCGTGTTGGGCATCGCCACTAGATTCTTCTTCCATCAGGGTGTCGTCTTCAATCGTAGAGCCAAGAATAGGCCGTTGCCTTCGAACGTGATATCCTTCGGATCCTCTGGGTTTTGTTGCACTAGAGGCAGAGCTTTGGTAAGATGACTGTCTTGCAGAGCTGAACGAGGCCATGGTGGAACGGGAACTAGTCTTTGAATGCCCATAAAACCTGTCCGCTTGTGCCGGATCTTCATAGCTCCCGAAGGCGAAAGAATTGCTTTGGCTGTGGAGCATGTTAAGGTCTGCGTCGTCAAAGGACTCGACCCCGCTATCTGATGCCTCATCAAGGTCCATATCTCGAGCATCTTGAGTCATGACCGTCTTGGCCACGCCATTTTCGTCGATTGCAAGTGAGAGTGATGCTCGCTTAGCATTGCGGCTGCTGGTGAGTGCCCGCGAGACGGGGTCTGCGGTCGGCTTGAGAGGTGACGAGCGCCCTGATCGGTGCCGATTGTGTTCGGAGAGGGCGGGTGAGTTGCGTCCTTCGCGGGCGCCCTGAGTCTGAAGTTTAAGGCCCCGGTCGTTCCGCACTCCAGTATGTGTCAAACTCCGCTTGAGGCCCGGCCTGCTGTCCTTCTTGGGGGTAATAGGTCGTCTTAAAGCTTCCATTACCGATCGAGTGATGGACGGCTTCTTCATCTCCCCACGCCTCATTCGCTTCAGTTCCTCCTCTCGCCTGGATTCCTCAATCTGATGCGCATAAGCCGGTCGCTCGGGAACAGAATTCTGTGCGAGGCGTCCCGGAAATTGGTCAGTAGCGCCGAATCGCCGTGCCGGTGAGCTCAGAAACATGCTTGGGTTCTCCATCTGTGGCTGAAACACACGCGGTGAGGTTGTGAATGGGGCAGGAAAGGCAGAGCTGTCGATATTGGAGTAGCTGGCAGAGCGTGGTAGGCTAGGCAGGTCATAAGGCTGTTCTTCTGAGAGCACATCTTGTGCAACAAAGCTTGGTACCACCGTGGATGAAGAGGCAAAAGAGCTGCTTAGTACCACCGGGCTATAGTGAAATGACCCTTGGTATTGCTGGGAGAGAGAGGGGGAATGGAAGTCCACATTGGAGGGGTCCCAGAACAGGCTTTGACTCGTGTATATTGGAGCCGTAGCCGGCCCTGCGGAGAACTGGTGAGCATACATGTCTGGGGAGAGCTGCAATGTTGGAAAAAGGCCCGGAGACTGTTGCTGCATATATCTGCTCGGTGTTTCTGGGGGGCCCATCGAGGGCTTTTGATTTGAAGACATGGTAAAGGACGCAGGGACTTCAGCGTGTATATCACCGCAACTGGGTGTCCTCTGCAACCGAAAGTGACCACCCCTTTCAACGTCAAAGTCTCTTCGAGGCTGCAGCGAAGGAGGGCGTGGTCAAGAACTTTCGATATGAAGAACCGGGTCCTGGTGCTCGCTCGGAGGACCGGTCTCAGCCTCAAGGCTCAGGGTGCCCTATCACAATGTCCAGGCTGATTGCTTTTGGCAATCTCTTGTGAGTGATAACCTCCTCTTGTCCAACCTTAGAAGTAACTCCTGCGACGACAGGCTCGGGATATTCGTCTTCGGTGTGGGACCCGGATACGGTCCGCCGATCATGGAAGTCTGCGAACTGGCAAGATGATATCTAAATCAACGGTTAGCTTTGATCCGAATGATGGACAGAAGCGCAATCTTTTTCCACAACCCCTTCCTTACTTATTGACCGAGGATCCACTGAGATCATCCTTCTCCTTCTCGACAGGGATGGGTTGCAGCTATAGCAAAATATCACCTGCGCTCAGCACAATCGTCCCCCCAGCTCTCGGATTTCTCAGAGGGCCTATCACCGAAATCGATTTTAAGTTGACCTCCTGCACCGTATATGCCTTGCAGGGTAAATTTAGGTGGGAGGGCCACAAGAATTTGGAGAGAGGTCCGATTGTCAGTGAGGAATGCCGCACAGTAATGTGGTCAAGGAAGGGTGGACAATGCATTCAATCAGGGTTGCATGCTAGGGGGAAGGTCTTTTCCGACAGGCAAGTTCCTATCCCCTTGAGGCACTGGGAGTCATCTGTAAGGCCTGAGATGTCGAGGTCATGATTGGGCAGGCAGAGACACAGGCGGGAAGTCGAACGAACACAGGCAGGGTTAAGCAAAAAATGGAATTGAACCTGTAGTGGGATGGGTGGATTGTGGATAGAAATTCTGACAGGGACCAGGCTTGGAGAGGAGCCCAAAGACAGGCTTCCAGATGACAGAGGTGGTGAATTGACACATGGGTAGAGACATGGCATTGGACAAGATGGTGGTGGAGGTTCGCTTGTCGCTATTGTTCGCTATACGAGGCAGAAGCGGGCTCTCTGAGCCGACAGGATATTTTTTGGCGCAAAGGCTTTTAGGTTGAGGGAGCCTACGAGGAATCAGAGGAGTTACCAGAAGGGCGGGAAAATGAGAATCATTGGCACGCGAGCCCGGGAGCCCGATAAATGGGGCACGGAGGTATCAGATAGCGTCGGCATGGTAGTTCATAAGTACCATCGACCCAGGATGGGGGGCCCCTGTGGATGACCTATAACGCCAGGCGTCATCATCGTCAGGCACTGAGGCAGGCAGGCATTCTCAGGCAGCCCTAACACGCAGGCACAGGAACAAGAACTTCACCTTCCATTTAGCGGTGCGTTGGTGCATTGGCGCAGTGGTCCCACCCATGGGAGCCCCAGGTGCCTGGCTAAAGATGCAACTTTCTCTTCCCACCCGCCCTGTGCGCCCTGCTATCCATCGCTAAATGCTCCCCGACTTTTTCATTCCTCCGCTCAGTGGCTGGGTGAGTGGCTTCACTCCAATTTCCACGCTGGCAGCATGGTGGGGTTGCTCATTGTCGATCTCCTGGCTATCGATCGATATGTCCTGGGATCAGTGACCGGTGACATGGCCAACAGGTGGATTTCTGGAAACATCATGCGCTTGCTTTCTATGTGGTGATATGTCCACCAGTGACGGCAGAACTAACCGATTTGTTAGGAACAGAAAACAGTGGTCTGCGCTCTCTACTCGGTAGATGTTGGTTCATCTAGCATCGTCACCCGAGTGGTCAATCATCAATCTCCCAACCCAATGGTAAGTTTGCATGTGAAAGATGTTCAAAAGCCACGGGAAACCCATGTTCATAGCTTTCGACACCTGCCTCTTCGCTAACCTTACGTGCAGTATGCATATCCGAAGGGGCCCGCCACCACTGACTTCTTATTCACGACAACCCCTGACGATTGAGCACTTTGACAACTGTCTAGCCTAGGTTCCTTCTTGTTTCAGTTAACGTCCAGCTTCAGCTCTCCCTCGGTACCTCTCAACATTCAACAATGCCCTCCATGTCCCTCCCTTCGGTCACGTTCGTTCCTGGCCCGCCCAATTTGAAAGTTTCTCAAGCTTCGCTAGAGCGAACTTATCCTTGCTGACCACGCTGCGTGGCGTTGTGAGCTTCTGGCTAATTCCCCGGACTCCGCGAGAAAGGGGCAATCATCCCCTCTTACTCGGCACACCTGAGAGCCTTTTATGCGAGGAATTCCAATGCTAACCTCGAGGCGTCGCAAAGGTGGCAATCTCCGCGTGGAGCGAAGTTGATGATGCTTGGGAAGCTTTGAAAATGAAGTAATGGAGGCCCTATCACCTAGGCGGGCTCTTTGTCCCGTGGAGGGACATCTGAAACAAGTTCTCCTGTCGAGCCGTGGTGGGGTTCAGCATACGCCATATACACGATGTACGGAATGCCTGCCTTAGGTATCTACCTCCAGCCAGAAAACTGGGGACCGCCGTGTCATCTTCAACCCCTCGCCAGCTATCACAACTATCTTTTTATCCGTTGCTGATGATATGTTGTCTCGATCTACGCAGCTGTCAAAGGATCAAACTTTGTGACCGACTGCCCCAAAGGTACTGTCAAAGTGTCGGGGTTCTAGCTAGAAAAGATCCGGACCACAGTGATTGTCATATCGGTAGGTTCCCATCTCGGGGGAATGCCATAAACCTATAGCATCCAGGCTGGAGCAAGGGGCCTCCGATTCACTGGGCGCTGACAGGTTTCATCAAGCCCTTTCTCAAGGCTATCCAGCGTCCTCCAAGATGCATGGTCGTTCCCACGGACATCTGCCACGGCTTCTCACCGATTTTGGCCCTCGACGGCACCACTTGCAAAAGTCCCGGTTCGCTCGCTTCGAGTCGGCTCTTGTGCTGACTTGAGGAGAATTCGGGATGACCCTGTTCTTGAATCCCAAAATCTATACAGATAAGAGGTCTTCCGGGACGAGGCATCCATGTTGTCGGTTTTTTCCGAGCCACATTGACATGCTTAACCCTGCACCCTGACGATCAGCGAAGATACTTACGGGCCGTTCCAGGAGAGAAGACTACAGCAGAAGGATCCTGGACTGGTATGCGGCTCCGATGTCTACGAGCCCAACTACCAGCCAATTTCAGAAGTCGTCCCAGCAACATTTACAGGGGAGGAAAAGAAGGCCGCTTACCCTCCGCCTTTCGAAGGCTCTATAACGATTGTGGATATGATACACTGCGGGCTCTGCGACGCTGCATACATATTCAGATGGACGACCAAACGCAAATACTAGGTTCTCTGTCCTGGGCTCTGGAAATTACTCGAAATGGCTTCCACCTCATGAGGGCATCACTTTTAAGACATTTTGAATCAGGCTCCCCGTAGCTTCCAACCTTCGTCTCCAGTTCCAAGGTTTGGAGCGGCAGTGGGGTGAAGCTGGAAAGAAAGTATTCAAAAGCTATATTCCCCCCTCCCCCCCAAAAATCATGCATTATGGTGCGGTGAAAGATCAGCAATGTGGCACATAGCACGTGGCATTTGACCCCTGCAATCACCGGACTTGGAATCCGGTGTGATCTGCATCCCCTTTACCACTGACTCGCACTCACTCGCACTCACGGGAGAATCTCTCTGAAGAGGACATGCAGTTGAGAGGCTGCAGACATCCATACACATCCACCGTGCACCATGTTTGTCTGTCGAACTCCGTACCACTGGAACAACCCGGTACTGCGGAGCATTGGGAAACAAAGACGCACAGCGCAGTTAAACAATCTCACGTCTGTTCGGAGGCCGAGCGAACCCTCACCACCATCGCGTCCCATCTCTTCAGCAACAAGCTGGATCGAAAGCCACACTGATCATGGCAGCAGCCCTCAAAACCGTCCCGGTCTACGTGCTCGCGTCCGTCGCCCTCCTCGGTTCCTTTTCTCGCTTTACCCACGGCACGTACACGCCGACATGGTACGCGTTCCAGGAGTACCACATGCCAGATGACGGCTCGTCAGTCGCGAAGGTCACACCCGCCATCGACGCCCTCGTGGGGTTGACTCTCCTGTTCGGAAGGCACGCGTTCAAGCTCCTGGCTGCGTCGGTCAGCCTGTTCTTCTTCGTGATCGGATTGACGATGCAGGTGCAGGCAGGAAAGGAGTATCAAGGCGACGTGGCTTTGGTTGTGATCGGTCTGGCGGCGGTTGCGAGGTTGCTTGCGAGATAGATGAGGAGATAGATCTCAGAGGGCGCAAAGGAGGAGCTTAGCTTAGCAGGACGAGACGACGTGTCAGGTTGAATACGCTCGTGGCATTGAGACCGAAATGACTTTGGCGGCATAAGCATAGGAGCCGCTGGATTGTTCGATTAAGGACAGCGGTGGCAACGGCAACGGCAACGGCCACATCTGCAGTGACTCTTAACGGGGAAGGAATCATTTCCAAACACCATCATTTGCATCAATGACACGTTGGTTGGCGCAGCAATAAAAGTGGGAGGACATGCATGACCTATGAATACCATTCATTAATTGATACCTTCCTAATTCTGACGTCGGCGTCGCTCTTCTATGAATATAGGCTGCAGTGAGTGTCCGTTCGCCTCTCTACACAATCTTTCTAGTGTCAGCCAGATCTACAGTATGTCAAGGAACCCAACACGGCGACCGGTGATTCATCAGGCTTCGTCTTCGTTTTCGTCTTCCTCGTCCTCGTCAACAGGTTCAACAATGAGGTTGGCGCTCTTGCCCACCCGTGTGCCTATCGAGCCACCCTTCTCCAAATCAAACACTGTTCGGGGCATCGGTGACACCAGGCGGAACCTGTATTCGTGCTCATAGCCCTCAGGCTCCTCCACATCATCATTATCATCACCCTCCTCGTTTTGCTTTTCCGCATCTCGAGACGTGATCACCTCGTAACACTCCACGTAGGCATATAGTTCTTCCATGTCGGCATCCGCTCGAAACCTTCGTATAACTCGTTCCCCGGTTGGCAAGCGAATACTAACCCGGATGACATCCTTGAGCTCCGTGTCCGGTTCTCCCGGAAGTGACTGAGCACGCCACCTTTTCCACTGCTCAAGATCCCGCTTCCTCTTCTCCGCCAATCTGGCCTGTTCTTGGGCTTCCATCTCAGCTCTTCTTGCCGCTTCCTCCTCTTCCCGTCTTCGCCGGGCCCTCTCACGATCCTGGGCTAATGACCTCTCGTAGGCCGAGTCCTGTTCCCTTCGCAAGTTCTGGGTAGCCTGTCGTTCTGCCTGCTGAGCCCGTGCCGCAGTAAGCTGTGTCTGATGGGCGGTCATCGCCGTGGCTATTTTCGCCACCAAGTCTGCTGCCGACGTAGGTCCCGCTGCGCGCATGATGACTGTCATTGCTCCTGACGGGGAACCCGACCCGGGCTCCGAGCCCTGACATATGAGCGCCGCAAAGGGGAATTTGGTACACTGTAGACTAGCCGCCACTTGGTAGGCTTCTGAATCTCGTACATTTCCGCCCCAAAGTATCAAGTCAGAACGATGCGAGTCGAGGAATGATTTGAATTGCGACGAGAGTAAGGTTTCTCGAACCCAGGTATTATTGTCATCGTGACTAGGGGAGAGCAGGACCACAAGCATGAATTTGAGGTCCTTTTTGGCGGTGTCGAGGGTCAGGTTAAACCCCGACTCTGTAAACGGGAGGAGAGGTGTAGATGATTCCCCATCATGACTCTCGGAATCATACTCTTCACTGAATTCTCGTATAAACCTCCTGGCATTCTCGGCTGGTGGTAGGGCTCTCCTTTGAGTACGAGATTGCGGTTGGGACTGGTACAGAAGGCGACGAAAAAGGCGCGAGAGGAACGTGGGAACGAGAAACCCAAAGGGTGATAAAACAGCTGTAAATACTCTGTAGAGGATGTTCACGGGTGTAAATATGATGGAGAACAGTGTCGAAGGACGATAGACCGGTTCATTGACTGTACCACTCGTGTCGACCCGCGTGACTATATCCGCAGAACTCGCCCGTGGTGTTCTGGTAGGCGATCGAGCTGCGGCCAGAAGAGACTCATATTGCAAATTTGTAGTTTGACGAGCGGAGGCAGTAGGCAGCTGCGATTGTGCTTCGACGAGAGGATCGCTTGGAGGTTCACCGTCAAAGAAGCGGGCCACAGCAATCTGGACGTTCCATTCGCATCGCTGCAGGAGCGGAATTGCTGCAATGGGGTCTTGGTCGGTGACGGAGGTATAAGTTTGTAGAGCTTCTTGTTGAGATGCCGTTAACTGGGAGATGTCGGGGGTCGACATCTTCTGGATCAAGGTCGAGGGGCACGGATACGGTCGGGGAGTTATCGTCTCGATCGAATAAACATGTCGAGTAGCTGGTATGCTTTCTTCCCTCCTCTTCAAGCCGGAGCTTCACCTATGGATCCTGCCTAGGGCAAGTTGCGGGGTCACTGGTGTGGTTTGACGACACCAGCTGTGTATAGGTAGTGGGTAGGTTAGGTGAAGCTAGATTGCGCCAGCCAAGGGCTGAGACCTTCTGTGCAGATGGTTGACGTGTACGGTATAGGGAACAGTGAATAGTGCGCGTGGACTGCGGAGTGGAAGGAGGTGGATGTATGTAATCCGTTGGTTGGACCCTTTGTTTCCCTCGACGATCCCGCCGACCACATCCCTCCATCTCCCACCCCCGTATCACTTACTGTCTGCGCGAGCCTAGACTCGACAAACCGCATTCCGGACAGGGCGCGGCTGCGCTCAAAGATCCCTCTGGACACCCTTTTGTGTCGTGTCACTTCGTTTCCTGACTGGCTACTGCGCCATCATCTTCGCTTGTCTATTGTTTCTTAATTTTGGATATCTAAGTCGTCATGTACATGCTCCTCGCTCGCCACCCAACCATCACAGAAACCGCCCCGGACATCTAGCCTGCCATCCGACTCGAAGTCAAGATCGTGTGTCGAACCTTGAAGCTCAGCATTCGCAGACCCAGGAAATGCCTCGATCCTGAGTGGAACCCGAAAACCCGTCCCCAAGACTGATGGAGCAGCATGCTCTGCCGCAGTCAGTAAACGATTATGGCCGCAGTGATCAAGAACAATGCAGAAGATACAAAGCAGGCCGCCTTGTCCCCTAGACTCAAAGGCCGGGGTATGTCGGACGTCATCTTGAGGCTTGTTGAGTGGAAGAGATCGAGTGCTGATCCGTACCGGGACAGAAAATGCGAAAGATACTCTATGTCGCAATGTCACAATATACGGGAAATGTCGCTATGAAGATAAAGGTATTTTCGACCGCTGCTTGCAACTCATACAGCTAACTCGTTGTCTCAGGGTGTGCTTTCAATCACACCGTAGAGAAGTCGGCGTCTGAGGGAGGACAAACTGATAGGTACGATTGAATGGTGACGCCGATCCTGAGTCTAAGGACCTGTTTGTTGAGCCTTCGGGAAAGTAGTCAGTCGAAAAAGACACTCAACGTCGACTCGCCGAGTTTCACTCCTTCTTTCTTGTCTCCCAATGGCGCCGCAGCTGCAGCCACCACGACTACCGCTACCAACACCACTACCTCCTCCACCAAGAAACAAACCACTGGCATATCTCCAAAGGCAGCAAGTGCTGCCCCGTTCATGCCAAAAGCCATCATCTCCCGTGAGCAGATGTCCAGTCTGTCGGAATCAGACGACGCCGGTGGCTTACAACTTATGCCAGGATCGTCCAACTCTACTCCTCTTCGACAAGATGCTAAAACTCCAGACTGGGCTCTGCCTGACGTCCAAGAGTTTGTGCCCCGGCGAGCTCAAGAACCGTCTCTGGTGAGTTTTCAGAGCAGATATGTTTGCATCCGATGCTTACAAGTCCTCTCCAGACAAATGAAAGCGAGATTTCGGTCCCTCACGCTTTTGAGACTTTCCAACCTAGCCATACCCCGAATCCATATCTCGATCATGGCATTAATGGTGCCACTTTCTATCAAAATCCCCCGGGTTTTCAGCAGCCAGTGAGCAGCTTCATACAAAGGTTACGGTCGTGATGCTTATGCTCTGCCAGGTTCAATACCACCAATATGCGCCTATTGGGCAGTATAACGCGGCTCTCACTCCATATCAGCGCACAGTGCATGACCTTTTTATCCCCAACGATCTTCGAGAGGAAATTCAGAAGAAATCCGCAGCAGCTCTTCAGATATTACCAAGTACGCGTCAGTTATTATCGCTGCCAGGTGCTGAGCTGATTTTCCCCCTTCAGATTCGCAGCTACCCAGTCACATTGAGAGTTACCACTCCCTTGTTCCCCTCGATACAGCCCACAAAAGCTCTAATATCTTCGGCGGTTATACTTCCTGGGTATATAAAGCCCAGTCAAGTGCCAACGGCCACTTCTTCGCCCTCCGAAGAATTGAGGGTATGACCTTTAACATCACCACTCCTGTCCAATCATTGTTGTTGTTCAGGAACTGACGTTCGCTCGTGCAGGCTTCCGTCTAACAAACGAACATGCAATCCGCGCAGGACAAGCTTGGAAAAATATCATAAGCGCGAACGTTGTGCGGATCGTCGACGTCTTCACGAATCGCGGGTTCGGCGACTCATCCCTCTTCATCGCCACCGAATATCATCCTCTCTCCAGAACTCTTTTGGAACACCATCACCTTGGACATTCATACAATCCACGACCCGCCCGCTCCACTAACAAAGACCAAGTCAGTGAGCCTGCTCTCTGGAGTTATGTCGTGCAAATTGCTTCTGCCCTGAAAACCATTCACAACTCCGGCTTAGCGGCTCGGGTCCTGGACCCCAGCAAAATCCTCGTTACTGGGAAGAATCGCATTCGCCTGAACGGTTGTGGCATCCTCGATGTGGTACAATACGACACCAACACTCACACCCCTCTGGCCCAAGCCCAACGACAAGACCTCGCCAATTTCGGCCTCGTCATCCTTGCCGTCGGGTCGGGGTCACTCGATGCGGGCCAAAATTTTGCCCGCAGTATGGACACGTTCAAACGCTATTTCAAGCCCGATCTCCAAAACGCCGTGGTGTGGTTATATTCTGCACTGCAGAACTCGGAGAAAACAATTGATACATTTGTCACTCTGATCTCGAATCAAATGATTACCACGTTTAACGCCGCTCTTCACACCGATGATGCACTATATTCTGAACTGTCTCGCGAAGTTGAGAATGCGCGGCTGGTCCGCCTCTTGGCCAAAATCAACTTCATCACCGAACGACCTGAATACAATCATGACCAGTCATGGAGCGAGAACGGGGAACGCTATTTCCTTAAGTTGTTCCGTGATTACGTCTTTCACCAGGTAGACGCCCAAAATCGGCCCGTCGTGGACCTGGGCCACGTCTTGACGTGTCTCAACAAATTGGATGTGGGCACGGAGGAGAAGATCATGCTGGTGAGTAGAGACGAACAGAGCGTGTTTGTGGTGAGCTATCGCGAGTTGAAAAAAGGGGTGGACAGTGCGTTTCAGGAACTGGTAGCAAAGAGAGGAGGCCCTTTGCGATAGATGAGGCAGGGGGATAAAGCTGGAAAGGAGAGTTGACGGTAACTACACCTGCCGAGGGAATAATCAGAGAAAGCAGGAATGCAACGAGTGATACAAGAGAACCCTTTGCTTGGACAACTACGGATCTGCCAAGGTGAACACAAAGGGGATCTGTGGGAGGAAGAGAGAGTAAGAGGACCGATACTCAATGCAGAAAACGTGATGGAACTTGATATGGGAGAGGAACGATGAATGATTTTGGAAGCGAGCGACCAAACATTAGGAAGATAGCAGCGGGACATATAAAACCCAAAAAAATCGTAAAGCTCCGTTTGTCACTAGGCTGTCAAGCTCGATGGATATCTTTCCCACCGCTTTCTACCGCATCTGGTCATAAAATTGCTCCGGAATGCTCCCCACGTCCCACGTTCCACAAGCCTTGAGCGCCAACAATGCATTCGAGTTTGGCCTGGATGGAAATGTCCCTTATATGGCATTTCGTTATCAAGCGGTGAACGCATCCGATGGGCCGGGCGACCTCAGGCTGGGCGCTGAATCTCTGGTGTGAGAAAATAAGGCAGAATGGAGACCGATTCTACAGAGTTCGAGTTCGAGTTCGAAGGTCGGAAGCATCCAATACTGTTGCAGTCCCAATCACTCTTCCGGCGGCTGTTGAAAGGGATTCTCGATCTCTTCACTGCCGTCCAGCGGAGATATCAGGACGAGCAACGTACCGCGGGCAACAACGAGTCCCAGCGATCGTGTTGTCTCGTTGCCCTCGTCATCTGCCAACGTCGTCAGCAAACCTCATGGGTGTCTTGTCTTCTCCATGGTCATTTCAGGAGACTGAGAGAGCAAACTCACCTCTCATGGTCTCCTTGACGTCATCCAACACGAGGTTCATTAATTGATCGTAGCCCTTGAGCGTACCAACGACTAGCACGCCGAATTAGTATGGGGGGAAATCTTTCTTTGCTTTTTCTTTTGCCTCTTTCGAAAGACTTCAGAGTACACAGAGGCACATACTTTCTCTTCCACCATTAAACTTGACAGTGATCTGCTTCTCGACGTATTTGGCCAAGTCCAGGATGTTCTCCTTCTTGGGCTTTTCGTGTGGTTGATTGGACTGTTGGGAAGAGGCGCCGGCGACACCACCACCTCGACCACCTCCGCCCCTGCCTCCTCCACCTCCTCTTCCGCCGCCTCCCCGGCCACCTCCACGAAAATGTCCTCTCTCGGACATTTGCTGCTGAGATTGAGTGGTGTTCTATTGATAGGTCCTGAGAAAATATGATGCTTCCAAGTAAAACCGAACGGACGCCCCGGCCGTAAACAGTCTAGTGCGCAAATAGTCGGTTCGGTGGTGAGAAGCTGGAAAATTTTTGGTAGGGGAACCAGTGGGAGAGGAGCAGAGCCAAGCTGGGGTGTGCGTGCCTGACGTCTCTGGTCTGGGAACGGACAAGTCGGTGATCTGGAATCTGGCAAAGCCGAAGGTTGGTGCTGGAAAAATGGTGGAGTGATGTGTGGAAGTCAGCAAAGGGCCATTCTTGTCGGGGGAAGGTGAAGGTAACAAAGCGTCCGATGTGAATGGAGCGCTACGAGTTCCGCCGAAGCCTCTGGGAGGATGCGGGCTGGTTATTGGGCGGAGCGGCGCCCTTGGGCTCACACGGATTTTTGCCTCCACCTTTTATCCTGCACCATCCTTTGGTCACAAGCGAGTGAGGGAGAGGGAGAGACGAATAGAGAGCGGGAGGCAGGACCACGTTAAAAAAGAAAGAGAAAGAAAGAAAAAAGAGTCCTGTCTGGAGCAGGCAAACAAGTGGGTGACGGTCGTGGTGGAAGGAAGGGCACAGTTCTCCCCCCACCAGTCACAAGGCAGACAACTAGGTACAGTAGATCTACCTAGCACCCTCTGTGCTCCTCTGCGCGCCCCCCTCCCCCCAAGCGTCCTTCCCGCCCGCAGAACTTTGGTGCTTGAACCCCGCGCATCACCCACTGGAGTCTCGCCTGCGAGCTACCTGAAGCAGCCACCCTTCCTCTCCTCCCTTCTCATCAACGCAGAGCATCAATGATCGTAAAGCACTGCTGGTCACCTCCATCCCCCTTTGTGCCCCCCATCTATTAGAGAGTTTAGCTCGCTCTGGTTCCTAGTCCTGGTGTGTGCTGGTGGTCCTCATCCCTTTTCAACAACGTCCGCGCGTCCTTTCCCCTCCAACAACAGCCACCGAGCCATGTCGGGGAGACCTCTCCCTGGGAGATTCTTCCTCCCCCCTTCCCCCCAAGCTTCCAGGCCTCGTGCCGCTCGACGAGGGGAAGTGATAAGCCCCGCGTACGCCCATCGACTCATTTGCCTAGGCAGTTGTTGGCGGCTGATGGGCCGGAAGGGCCTCCTGGAGTCCTGGACAATGGTTGGTCACCCACACCCGTGCTCCGTACCTCTCCTCCCAACGAACCCGCTCCTTGGCCGCTCTCAGCCGCCATCCTCGCTCGTTTCCACCTTGGGGACAGAGAGAGAAGGGAGCTGTTTATTCCTCTCCTCTCCATTCCATCTTCTGCCCTCTCTCGCTCACGACCTTTCTTTCTTTCCCCTTCGTCTGTCCATCCCTTTAGTGAAATTTCGGCCGATCGGTCATACCCTTTCCCTTGTTCCGCCCGAACGGATTGCTGGGTCTCCCACTTCGCACCACGGGCCCCCAAACCACGTGCCGCAGCTTTCCCTCCCTCACTTCTTCCACCCTTTTCTCCTCCCACCTGCTGCTCTTCCTCACCTTCCGCACATTCTTCCCACGACACATTTCTGACCACGACCTGGGTTTCTCCTCCGCTCACGGCGCTGCAGCTTCAAGAATAGCTTTGTCCCTTCTTGGGCCAACTATTCGAGGCTGATCCCGCAACCCCTCCACGAATCTCCGCCCGCGCCCTTCTCGACTAGAGCCTCCGAGAGCTACTTAGCTAAGCACACGCAGCCCGGGCGCACCAAAAGCGACTCGGGCGCCCTCCATCCTCTATGCCAAAGCAATGGAGCGTCAATCGCCCGCTACCATGAATTCCGAGCAGTCGTCGTCGCTGAAGCGACCTCGCTCCCCGACGGAGCCCCAGCCCCTCCCCGCAGCAAAGATGCCCCGGACGGCGACGAACCACCTGCAGATCAACTACCTGGTCCGCCAACACAAGGATACCATCCCCCTCGTCACGGTCAACGACAAGCTTCCCGAGATAGCTCGCCTGCTGGGGGAATATGATGGGGTTCTACAACGCCACGAGAGCATGGCAGGGAACTTGGGAGCTTGTCCTGTCGGCCCGATTCTCGTCAAGCGGTTCGAGAAGATGTTTGACGGGCCACCGAAGATCCTCAAGTCTCACGCCAAAGACGCTCATGTGAGCTGGTTGGACGTGGTCGAATTTGCCCAGAACAATCCGAAGCAGTTCAACCTGGAAAGAACTCGCAACGGCGTGCGGGTCTGCCAGTTCTACACCAAGCAGTGTCGGGTCGAGATCTCGGAAGAGGATTTCGTCCTCATCGCCAGTGGTATGCCTCAGAAACTGATCCCCCCGCAGCCCATCCTCGAGGATGAAGAGAAGGAACTGGGCGTCATGGATCTCTTAGACCGCAATCTCGGCCAGGTCATTCAGCTTGCCGATCAAGGTACGTCGCTCGAGCGTGATGATACAGGTATATATTATATATAGATAGACAGCGATGCTAACCCCGACTAGTGTCTGGCCGAGCCCGTCAACTGATCCACAAGATGAAAGGTCGACGCACAGCCATCTTGAGCAGGCGCGAGCACGAAGCCGAGGCCAAAAGGCAAGTCTCCAGAGCCGAAGCTCCGCCAATGTCTCCAGTCGATACCAACGGAGTGGGCAACGCCCGACCCATGAGGAGCATCGAGGTCTCTCAATCGCCTCCCGGATTTACCGCGATCAATTTGAGACAATCGACGGGGGCGGAATCAGATCTACGACGTCCATCTTCCACGGACGTTCTACGGAGCACTGCCGACGACTCTTATGGGTCGTCCGGCGCGGGGAACGTCACCATCATCAACGGCAAGTCGATCAAAGATGCTTCTCCGTCCCAGCGTGCCGAAATGATGAAGAATTTCCTGACCCCAAGCGAGCGCGAAGCCGGTTTGACTGAAGATACCGTTCGTCGTTCGTCGGTGGGGGCTGGTACTGCTCGGACACAGGCCATGCAAGCGTCCTCGGCAGAGAAACCACGATCCCATTCGATCGAACTGGCGGCTGCAAGCGTGTCGACGGTGGCCATACCCAACACTCCGGCGTCGTTGATGCCTCATATGAAGCCCGTCACGTTGGACAGGGACGACGGCGGGCCATTCAAGGCGGAGATGGTGCGGCGAATGGATAACATGTGGAAAGGCGACCGGGTGATCCCTCCGTGCGATCGCTGCCGCAGATTGCACATGGACTGCCTGAAGAACCTCACGGCGTGCATGGGCTGCACCAAAAAACATGCTAAATGTTCGTGGAAGGAGGTCAAGGCGGAGGAATTGCAGCTGGCAGCACCTGGGTCGACTTCACCCGAGAGGGAAACCACCGCACGGGAAGATATGGGGCGGGACAGTGCACCACCCCACTCGGCGGGATCCACCCTCGACACCCATCGTCAGGCTGATGAAATGCAGAGGTCGGCGAGCATTGCTCGAGCCTCTCTGGATCTGGCAGGCGAAAAGGCTCTCACTGCAGTGGACGGTGGAATGCGGGAGACGCAGGCAGAGTCGACTGCACAGCCGGAGACGGTGCCATTGGGCGCATCGACAGGCCGATTTGACGTTCGGCCCCCGCCGTTGGTGCAGCAATTGCAGGATGCTGCTGCAGACGACCGATCACCCAGTGGGCCCAGCTCTTCTTACCCGCCTACCTTCTCACCCCGAGAGAAGGACTACATGGATCACCGTGATGACGACGACGATGAAGGCGATCGACTCCAGGCGCTTGCAGCACGAGTCTACCGAAGCGCGTCTCAAAGCGGACATCGCTAGGAGTGGTCTGTACAGCTCTGGGAAGAATTCAGAAGAGGAATCTAGAGCATTCATGAACGGCGTCCGGTTTACCAGCAGGTGAAGGGTGTTTGTGGAAAAAGAAGGCTGTAGCAATTGGCAGTTATTATTGGTACGACGACGGAAAAGGCATCAATGCAGCATCGAGCGTTGGTTTTATTATTTCAATAGAGCCTCTTGATGTACTTTGTGTGTTTTGTGTTTTATGGGGGTGTTTTTTTTTTCGTTGAAGGGAAGAAGATGTGACGGAATAGATTCCACAGCTGGCACAGCTGTACGACGGGCATTTGGTGGCACTGGCTGGATGTGTACGAGGACATTTTGTCAGCTCCTATTGACCGATCATCGTGTCAGAGACGGCGAGAACGGACCATGACGACCGTGGAGATGGTGAACCAAACCCGTTCTGTACCAAAATCCATAGTGGGGAGGGACTCGTGTTCCCTTTGCCGAAGCATTGGCATGTTGTCGGATGCCCGCCATCACCGTTACTCCACCATCACCTGTTCTCGTGCCTCTGTGACCAATTAACGCATAAGCAATATGACCGTCTCGAACTCCGGGGAGTGCTTTTTCGGAGGCCTGTGTGGCCTGTCATTGCTTACCTTCCCCCGTGGTGCCTGGATCTGGACCCTGTGTGCACCTCATCATTCGAATTCTTCGGATACCCCCCCATCCAGCAGATTACCCCACGATGCCGGGGGCGCAGACAGGGAACAAAGAAAAAGAACAGGAGGATTCTTTCATTATATTACCTGTTGGTTGTGTGTGTGTCTTCTTCTTCTCGTTCTTGTTCCTCGTTGAGCTCTGCCTTGATTCTGGCCTGACTTTGATTCCTTTCTCGATTCCCGCTCCCGAAAAACAGTTCCTCTCCCCACGGCACTCACCAACCCCGAGACCACACACATCAACACATACACACATACACACACACTCACACTCACACACTCACACACACGGACCATGGATCCCTCCCAGGTCAAGATCCCGCCGTTGATGGACCTGACCATCGACAACATCACCGAGAATGTCAACCTGATCAACTCGGCCAACCCGGACCCGCGGTTCAAGTACGTCCTCGAACGGCTGGTGGTGCACCTGCATGAATTTGCGCGGGAGACCCGGTTGAGTACGCAGGAGTGGATGGCGGGCATCCAATTCCTCACGAAGACGGGACACATTTGCACCGATGTGAGACAGGTAATGTTGTCCCCAAAGACCCAGCCCAGGACAAAAGCAACGATCGAGAAGTGTTAGGGAATTGGGCTTTTTTGCTAACGCTTTAGCTCGAGTTGTAGGAATTCATCCTCCTCTCCGACATCCTCGGCCTCTCCCTCCTGGTCGACAGTATCGACCACCCCAAACCCGCGGGGTCGACCGAGGGTACGGTGCTGGGGCCCTTCCATACGCACGAGGCCGAGACCCTGGAGCACGGCAGCGTCATGTCGCACGACGCCAACGGCGAGCCGCTGCTGGTGCTGTGCACGGTGAAAGATGTGGCGGGCAAGCCCATCGAGGGCGTCAAGATCGACATCTGGGAGACCGACTCGTCAGGCAAATACGACGTCCAGCACCCCGACCGCGACGGGCCGGACGGCCGCTGCATCATGACCAGCGACGCGCAGGGCATCTTCTGGTTCAACGCCATCGTGCCCGTGCCGTACCCGATCCCGCACGACGGGCCCGTGGGCCAGCTGTTGAAGAAGCTGGGTCGACATCCCATGCGGCCAGCGCACATGCACTTTATGTTTGAGAAGGAAGGGTTTGATCATTTGATAACGTGAGTTACAGACACGTCTCCCAAATCCCCCACACAAAGCATTTCTGGAAGGATCCGTCAACTAACCCACCTACCTCCGTCCTTTGACGCAACAGGGCCCTATACCTAAAAAACGACCCGTACGAGACGTCGGACGCGGTGTTCGGGGTCAAGAACTCGCTGATCGTCGAGCTGGGCAAGTGCGACGCCGCGGTCGCCCAGAAGTACGGCGTCAAGGAGGGCACGGCGCTGCTGACGTACGACTTCGTGCTGGTCACGGACCAGGAGAGCGCCGAGCTGCGGGCGCAGAACTCGCAACGCGCCCTCGAGCGGTTGGGTCGCCGCGTCAAGATCGTCCAGGGCTTGCCCGTGCCGGACGTCGATTAGACATCCCAACAGGCATCCGGGACGTGACTGGACGGTTTACGTAGCCTCGATATGTTGTTATAGGTCGGGAAATGCTAAGAATGTGAGAATGACGCGTCCCAGCAAGGGGAGGGATGGAAGAGAAGTAAAGAGAGTCATCGGACAGCTAGAGAGAAGAGAAGAGAGGGAGAGGAAAGAAACGAAGCGGTCGTCGTCCAGCCCCAGGGAGGTTGGGAAGATCATTTGCATTGCATTGCATAACATAACATACCCAAATGTTACGAGAGACGACGGGTTAGTCGAGGAATAGCTAGTACATGCGTATACATAACATGTATATATCGCGTGGATATAATACATAATCCCCGACCCGCGTCGTCCTTGATTGATTGACTACTATGGATTCCTGGAAGGGCCTTCAGCGGAAGATACAGTATCTCGGCCACTAGTAGGCTAGGGTGCCAAGGTTGTAAGGCTTCCTAACTGCCATTTCCAGCCCTCTATTATATTCTCCCCCCTGCCTTTTCAAAGCTTGGGATCCTTGGTACGAGGTCCTTCCGTGGCTTGGAGAGAAAAGGCCAGGAAAATACTTTTGCATGAAGAACATGTCGCACCAACACCCAACATCGTCAGAGCCTGTTTTGAGCATGTCAGGCAGTTGCAGCTTCTTTGTCTAAGAATATCGACTTGTCCCAGGGTGCCGCTAGATCTTTCATGCACAAATGGATAATGTGCAGCTCGACGTGCAGCAAATGTCGTTCGACTTCGTGATGCATGGCCTTTCATGATCGTCCGGCACCATTGGAGAGTATTGCGGTTACGCTTCACACAGGCTAGCTATCTGGAAATTGTGCCTTTGTCTTTTTCATACCTTGGACATTCCGATCTTCGGTCCCAGTGGCATGGAAGGTGGAAAGCCTTAACTGAGACTCAATATTGGCATTGAGTACCGACTTCAATAAAAGTTGAACCGTTCCCACAGCAAACTCAGGAATTGGAGAGGCGCCTGGGAAGGAAGGGGGCGCAAAGTCCTATATGTTCACACATACTATGCTTGACCATGAGCTATGCTGTCCCTTAGCAGCAACAGCATGGCCAGAGGCTTAGCAAGCGTCCATATAGTGCGTCGTGAAGCAGTGCGTGGATCAAACCATCTTCCTGACCCTATTCCGCCGGACCCTTGGCATCCAAGAGGATCTGATATGGACCGGCAGCGCATCCGAGTACGCACAACATAACGACACTTATATTGTTGACACGTGGACTTTCGGTTCCATCGAGAACGCCGATAGCGAACCTCATTCGCCAGATGATCGGTTCGACGAGCAGCGAGGAGAAGTTCAAGATAAACAGCCGAATTCGGTCATCTCCAACGTGGATTGCGTGATCAGCCTGTACTGGCGAATTGATCGTTGCTCCTATTATCTGATCATTCTTGATTTCTATAATTTTCCCCCTCAGTGCGTCGATACCTTGTATCTTCTTGTCAACGGGTACATCGGATACGTGTCGACTATAGAAAATCAGAGGGTTCCATTGTCGACAAAGATCTCCACCACAGATAAAGATTGTGCTTGGAACGATGGGCTCCATTAGCGAGAGCTATTCAAACGGCTACTCGGCCGCTTCCACCGCTGGTGACGGCCAGGGGCCCCGAGCACCGCTCAGGCAGAGTGGACTGCTCAATGAGAAATTCGAGTCCGAAGACCTTACGCCCATTATCGGTCGGGAGTTCCCGAATGTCAATATCGTGGATGACTTGGTGAACTCGGCAGATGCAGATACACTCTTGAGGGATCTCGCCATCACAAGTACGTATTCTGTGCTCCACTCCCCATGCCTATGCAGAGCCTCGCACTCCGTGTAAGGAAGTTACAAGCTAAATATTTTCTGCTCTGAAATGGTCAGTCAGCGAGCGTGGCGTCGTCTTCTTTCGCAAACAGGACAACTTGACGGACGATCTGCAGAAGAAGTTCATCCAGCGCCTCGGGGAACTGACCGGCAAGCCGCCCTCGTCGACACTGCACATTCATCCGATCCTCAACGGCACTAGCGAGTTTGGACACGACTTGGAGATTAGCAACATCTCGTCGGTGTCCCGTAAGAAACTCTTCGATGTCAACGAAGTTAAGAACAAGCGCAAATACGACGCCGCGCAATGGCACAGCGACATCCAGTTCGAGCCCGCGCCCGCGGATTACACGAGCTTGCGACTCACCCAACTGCCCAAGACGGGAGGAGACACCCTCTGGGCGAGTGGGTATGAGATATACGACCGCATGAGCCGTCCGTGGCAGAAATTCCTCGAGGGATTGACGGCGACGTTCATTGGGGACGGGTTCATCAGAGCCGAGCAGAAAGGGAGAGCGACGCTGTACGATCAACCCCGAGGGTCACCCTTGAATGTGGGCAAGCATTTGAGCGCTGTGCACCCGGTAGTGAGGACCAACCCGGTCACCGGCTGGAAGACCGTCTATGCGATCGGGACGTTCCCCAAAACGTTCAACGAGTTAAACGCCGAGGAGACCGAAGAGCTGTCGAAGAAACTGCACGGTATGATCGTGAACAACCACGATTTGCAGGTGAGATTTAAATGGAGAAATAAGAATGATATCGGTGAGTTCCCTGGACACTTGACTCTAGACTATGGTTAGTCGGAGGTTCCTCCCATACTGATTCGTTATCTGTGGGAACAGCAATCTGGGATAATCGATGCGTCTTCCACTGTGCCACATTTGACTATGATGGATTGGGCGAAAGATTTGGACATCGCGCAGTCGGGATTGGCGAGGCCCCGTACCTGGATCCGAATAGTCAGTCGAGGACGGAGGCTCTTGCTTCATGATGCAAGAGACTTTGATAAGTATGTGGGGCATCACCCTCAAAGGTAGTGTCCGTAGGATGAACTACATGTGTGTTGTCAGCTCAACACGATGTTTTCTTTGGCGTGCTTCCTGGTTCTCCTGTGTCAGGTCGTTGAGCGATGATAGCAGACGCCAATTGCTCCGGCTGCAAGAAGCATGTTGACCCATTTGTTCTCGATCCTGATGAGACAGGAGACAAGCCTTCTCCCAAAGAAGCACTGAGCATGAGTCTGGTGGGGATTGCGGGGGGGCCACGTTCTTATCGTCCAGTTGTTGACAGACACACCGTCTCTCGTCAGGTTATGCATGCACTGCAAGGTAGGGCTGAATCCTAATCCTATTTCCAGTCATGGATGCCAGTTCGCAGAGGGTCATGGTATATTCACACGGGCCCTCCTCCACAGACTGATTGTGGAATCCTTGATGACAACTTACACATCCAGACCACGTCCTTGTCTCTGCTGTCGGCACGAAATAGATATTCGTAGGAGCTCGCCGAGACGGTCAGGAGTTGCTTTTAACGTCCAGCAGGTTAAGCCCCGAGCCATCTACGAATCAGTTAGCCAATGTCTATCTATCATGCTGACTGGTGTGCAGACCTCAGCTGGCTCTTAGATGAGCAGCTGTGTGAATGTCGAGTAATAATACCCCTTCGCTCTGTTCGGGAGCGGGATTTCGGGAGACGCAGCTCGCCTGGGGCCGAGCCACTAGGCCGTATATGGGCTGGCTTAATCCCGAGACCCCGGTCCGCCTCTTTCCTATTCGGTGCAGGCCAAAGCTTGGACTTCACGTCATCACACAAAATCGCAACCCGAATTTTGGCTCCAAGGTTGCAGCCACCGCGCCAGTTGTTCCGACAGGTGCCGCTATCAGTGCTGCACATTGGATTTCTGCTCCCGTCACTGGCCCATCATGGTCTTCGTTGAGCTCGCCCCGTGGCCGTCTCCATCGATAACAACGGTGGGTGGCAGTAGCTCCCTCATCGAGTCATCAGGGCTTGCTGAGGCGATCCCTGCCCAGACTCTCCCACCACCACGTCACTGGCTACATTCAAGCCTTGCGATAAGCACTCGCAAGCTTCGACTTCGATCCTTATGTGTGGCCATGGCATCGCTCGCCCCAGGCTCCACAAATCCACTTGTGGGCTTTTCATATTTCATCAACATTCCCCCTCTCTGTGGGAGGACGTTTTTTGCTCCGTCAATCTGTCTCGTGGCACCATAACGACGTCGATTCGCGCCTGCGTCCTGGGCACAGATCTTTTCTCCCACGGACGGTGCATATCTGGACCCCTTGGACCTGTTACTCGGGCCTTACGCAGAGTGTCTTCACCATGACGGGTGCTACGACGACGCCTCCACCGGAGCCGTCTCCGGACATGCTCGAAAAGAAAGAAAGTATACGACAAAACACCGATCTTGAAGCGACCATCGACCAGGAGGATCCTCTTGCGCTGCTCTCCAAGATCGAAACCAATTCGGATGCACATCCGATTCGATGGCCGCTCTGGAAAAAGTGGTATATCACGTTCGTGTACTGCCTTCTCCAGGTCTTCGTCACCCTGACATCGACGACGTACGTCTCGGTCGAATTCTTGATCATGGAGAAGTGGACCAGCAACACACAGGTGGCCACGCTCGGCCAGAGCATGTTCATCGTCGGTACTGCCGTCGGGCCTGCATTCCTTGGTCCTCTCTCCGACATTGGAGGCCGGAAATGGGTGTACGTGGTCTCGATCGCTCTCTATGCGATCCTGAATATCGGCACCGCGCTGGCCGACAACTTCCCCATGCTGGTCATCTTCTGCTTCCTTATCGGGTGCGCGGGCTCGGTCGCCTTGTGCAATGTGGCAGGAACCATTGCCGATCTGTTTGGCGACCACGACGGTGCGGCGCAGCCCATGGCTCTTTTCGTCCTCGCGGCAAATTTCGGGCCCAGTTTGGGCTCTCCGATCGGAGAGTGGATCGCCGAGAATGAGAGCTTGGGATGGCGCTGGATCTTCTACATCAACATCATCATTGGCGGCGCATTCGCCTTTGGGATGTGTTTCATACCGGAAACCCTGCCCCGAATCGTCATTGCGAGGGCAGTCAAGAGACGGGGGAGCGTCGACCAGACCGAACTCGACATCGCGATGGGATCAAGCAAGCTGTCCGCCGTTCGGGAGCTCAAGTTTGTGGCGACAATGGCGCTGAGGATCATGTTCACCGAACCCATCGTCATCTCGCTTGGCCTGTGAGTGATTGCGCGTTCCGGAGATTCCTCGACTGACTGATGGGCTCAGATACAACGGGTTTGCCTATGGATTGCTCTTCCTCTACCTCGACGGCGTCTTCGACGTGTTTGTCTTCGACAACGGTCTCAGCTACATTGGCGCTTCGTTGACCTACCTTAATTTCTGTGTTGGTACGTCATTGCGCTCAGATATGGGTGACTTGTCGCTAAACCCAAGATAGGTGTCACGGTGACGTTCATTTTCGTGCCTGTTCAAACCTACCTCTTCCGCCGAGACAGGTTGAAGCACGGACGCCAAAGGCCCGAAGCTCGTTTCCTCACCTCATTGGTGACTGTGTGGCTGTTCCCCATCAGTCTGTTTTGGTTTGCTTGGACGTGCGATGGTGAGTATCGACATCTCGAAATCTTGTTCTGCCGATCATTCAGCCCTGACGAACCGTGGTTAGGATCTGTATCATACTGGTCTCCCGTCGTGGCGGGCGCTGTGCTTGGCTTCTGCGATCCGCTTCTGTGGTTGGCCATGCTCAATTACATCACCGACTCGTACCCGAACGTGGCCGCCAGCGCCATTGCAGCTTTCCTCATCCCGAGTTTCCTGATCGCCGCAGGTTGTGCACACGCCGGTGTTGCCATGTTTGCCAACATGAACATCAGGTGGGCGTTCTCGACCCTGGGATTTATCTCTATTGGGTTGGTGGCCTTGGTATATGTCCTCTTCTTCTTCGGTCCGACGCTGAGAAGGTGGAGTCCGTTGGCCCGAACATTTTGACGAGACGTCAAGCGAAGCAAATCACTCAGATAGAACAACAGGATGATCGAGATAAGCGGAGTGGTCAAGATTGAACGCCAAGGCGCGCAGTGAACACCGTCAGTCTTTTTAAGCTTTGGTATCACGAACACAATCAACTTTGAACCATTCCTGACCATGATCCTTGGCCCCAAGCAGCAAATGTTAGTTCGTGACTGCTAAATCAGAAAAAAGAAACCCCAGATACATCACGAGCCTTGTGTGCAGCGGGAGAAATGCCGAGACCGCGTTGTCAGATGCTCTTACACCAAACGCATGACAACGGGATTCGTGTGATTAGGTCGGAGGGGCCAATAGGAGGGCGCCGATGCAGATCTGATATTAGGGTTGCTAGCGTGATCCGTTTGTTTTTTTTTTGGTGGTTTTTTTTAATTCTCTATCGATGGATCACAGGAAAATGGTGTGTGGGCATGGTACTCGGTATATTGTGTGGCAGAGATTGGGGGAACTCCGACCACGGACCAGGCCACACCAGCTGATCTTTCTGGGCAGTCGATACTCGAGGCAGGATTTGCTATCCGAACGCCAGTGGTGTCTGGGCACTACGTCGCCAACATAACGATCTAGAATAATAGATCGTTTACAAGCAAAGAAGCAAGCGGGAGCGAGGAAAAGAAATGTGTCGCAGGCATTGGTCAACCAGGCCGGTCGGTCGGCTCCGAGCCAATCAGCGTGCGTCGATAACGCGGCTCCCCTCACAGGCGTGTCCCGACGCAACCCAGCGAACTCCGGTGTCCCGGTGGTCGGAGAAAGTTCTTCATGGTCGCTGGCCATGCCCAAGGGACCCCAGTTATCTATCAGTGCCGAGCATATGTTGTTTCTGATTGCTCGTCGCCGCTGCCCGCCGTTGCTGGGTCCCGCACCCTTTTCAGAACTCTCGCCATGGCTTGTTCTTCAGACCCCCATCTGGCCCGACGCCATCATGATCAGCGCCTGATCAACGAGAAGTGGCTTTGGAGCTCCTGGGCGGAGGTGGCCATGGTCCGCCGAGGCAGAGTCTGCGCTCCGATGGCAGCTGAAGCAGAATCGGTATAAAGAGAGAGCCGGGCTTCGCTGAGAGGCTTGTGGAAATGCTCCCACACGAACTGACCTCACTCGATTGAGCACGCGACCACAGCAAGCTCCCCCTCACACGCCCCTCCAGCATTATCCTTGTCCTCGGTGAACTCAACTCCTCACGTCGACTTCCTCGAGAGATGGGTGAAGCCGACCGCATTGGGCCAGATATGAGCCCCAAAAAGACCTTCGCCGACCGTTTAAACGGCGTACGCAAGACCTTCTTCACCAAGCATGGTCTGGTGGGCGAATATGACTATGCCTTCCTCTTCCGACCGAACATCCCTTTTCTCAAGAAGCCTCGTCGCGCAGCACCCTTTTTCGGCCTCCATGATCCCATGCCCATTGTCCTGGCGTTCCTCCTCGGCTTCCAGCATGCTCTGGCCATGTTGGCTGGTATCATGACGCCGCCCATCATCCTCGCCGGCCAAGGAGGTGTTAACCTGACGGCCGACTACCAGCAATACCTGGTCAGCACATCCCTGATCGTGTGTGGCATCCTGTCCTCGATCCAGATCACCCGGTTCCATATCTGGAGGACGCCGTACTTTCTGGGCACGGGATTGATTTCGGTCGTGGGAACGTCCTTCGCCATCATCCCCGTTGCCACGGGCGCTTTCTCGCAGATGTATGCCAACGGGAAGTGTCAACTCGATGCCGATGGAAACCGCCTGCCTTGCCCGGATGCGTATGGCGCTCTCATCGGCACATGCGCGCTCTGTGCTCTGGTCGAAATCGCGCTTTCTTTCTTGCCCCCCAAGGCCCTGCGCAAGATCTTCCCGCCCATCGTCACGGGACCGACGGTCATCCTCATCGGTGTGTCGCTGATCGAGTCGGGCTTTCAGAACTGGGCTGGCGGGTCCGGCCTTTGCGCGTCGCGGCCCGACAGCGGCCCCTTCGTCGTCTGCCCTCAAGTGGGTGCTCCGCATGCTCTCCCCTGGGGTAGCGCCGAGTACATTGGTCTGGGCTTCTTGGTGTTCGTGACCATCTTGATCTGCGAGCGTTTTGGCTCCCCGATCATGAAATCGACCAGCGTCATTATCGGTCTGCTGATGGGCTGCATCGTGGCGGCGGCGTGTGGATACTTTGACGATTCAGGCATCACCGCGGCCCCCGTCGGCTCCTTCATCTGGGTCAAGACCTTCAAGCTCTCGCTCTACGGGCCCATCGTCTTGCCCATCATGGTCGTCTTCATCATCTGCGCCTGCGAGGCCATCGGCGATATCACCGCCACTTGCGATGTCTCCCGCCTCGAGGTCGAAGGTCGTCAATTTGAGTCTCGTATCCAGGGCGGCGTTTTGGCTGACGGACTGAACGGATGCCTGGCTGCCTTGATGACCATCACGCCCATGTCGACGTTCGCCCAGAACAACGGCGTCATTGCCCTGACCCGCTGTGCAAACCGCAAGGCGGGATACTTCTGCTGCTGTAAGTTCCAAGCTCACGATGAGAGCCGTGGCGCGTGACTGACCAATTCATGCAGTCTTCCTTATCGTGGCCGGTGTTTTCGCCAAATTCTCTGCCGCGCTGGTTGCCATCCCCTCGCCCGTTATTGGAGGCATGACCACATTCCTGTTCTGTGCGGTGTGAGTAGTCTCCGTCCCCTCAGAAAAAGTTCCCTGAAACTAACATTGGAATGATAGCGCCGTATCTGGAATGGCGATCGTGAACCGCGTCCCCTTCAACCGCCGAACACGTTTCATCCTCACTGCGGCGCTGGCCTTGGGCTACGGAGCAACGTTGGTTCCGACCTGGTTCAGCTATGTGTTCACCTACAACGGATCCAACCACGCGCTCCGCGGCTTCTATGATGCCATTGAGTTGATCTGCGAGACCGGCTTCGCCATCACCGCCATGGTCTCCATGATCCTGAACCTGACTCTGCCTGAAGAAATCGAGGACCTTCCTGCCGAGGAGGGCCCCAAGGAAATGGAGGATGAGGGTCGATCCGACGCCGGTGCCTCGGTCGATGAGGTGACCCAGAAGAAGGTTGCCGTGGACGTGCCCTCCAAGGAGATTGTGTAAAATCCATGGTAATGGTGCTGTGCTGTGCAGAACAGTCCAGTGAACATTACCCCAGGGTTACGTATAGAACTGTGCTTAAAAAGTGTTAATTGATACCAGGACATTTGCGTCCAGAATCCATCTGCCTGCCTGCACCGTGTCTGATTGAGCATGTTCGGCTGTGCTGAGCTAGCTCCCTTGCATGATGCCTATATGCTTTGGGATGGTGCTAATCCCGATTCAAGGGGAGACACCGTCACTATCTCGTAGCCAGCATGTGGTCTGACCACTGTGGTCGTCTTGCGACATTCCATTTCTAGTGACCTAGATCGATCAGCTAGCTGGAGGTGTCATCCCGCATGCTTCCGCCGTCCAGCACAGATATCACCACTAAGCTGCTCGATGCACACACCAAGCAGGAAAAGAATTTGAGAGCCAAGGGTGATTACTCCCCGGGTAATGTGTGGCTCGCCTCGCCTGGACTGGTTCCCGAAAGAACGAGGTACGAGGGATCCCCGGGACCCCGTTACCAACTTGGCACGCGCCGTCGACCGTCGACCGTCGTCCGTCATCAAGATTCAAGATCCCCCTTACCCTGGGGCTGCCTCGGGGAGCTTTTCCTCCATTGTGGTACATTCTCGGTTCAACTCTGGAAGAAAACAAGCTCTCGCGTCTTCGTGTCAGAGTCTAATTGATCTGGAAGGATTTGTGTGATATTACATCTCGTGGCCGAGCTGTGGTATTATTGGTGGTCCCCTCGCTACCACTCGACCACACCATCAACCACTTGGACCATGTGGCTGGTTGCGCATGCCCATGTTTGTTGAGTGAGACCTGAAGGATGCCCAGAGACCACGAGGGTCTGGCGTCCAGTATTTCGGCATCCATGAACACCACACCACCAGCATCTCTCCCTATCTACCTTGTATTTAGCCTCACGCTTCCCGATCCGGCAGGTACACTGCCCGAGATCGGACTTCTACCAGCTGCAACAATTACGGCCAATACAGGCGTTTCTTTTTTTTCACGAACTTATTATTCTCGAGGTTAAAGGGAAGAAGGTACGGGATAAGCCGGACCCCGAGTTTAGACGACGCTGCAGCTGTTGTCTCTCCACCACCACCACCACCACCACCACCACCACCACCCCGTGGGGGCTACCCACAGCCTGCCCGACGATTAGCCTGATGGGAATTTAGCCGGAAGTCCTCACCCACAAGCTGGGGAGTTCTCGTGCCCCGGAAAGGAGACAGTGAACGGCCACGAAAGGGCGTGTTCTGATTGATGGAGCAGTCCCGTCTGCCCACGATCTGGGGTACCGAGAGGGAAGATTGTTCCAGTCGTATTGGTTCCCTCCATGCAACTTCCGGCTCGTCGATTGGTGTTGTTGTTCACATGCAGGGGCTCGTGGGCCCCCAAAAGACAGCACACCCTTCCAGAAGATTTCGTGCCTTAGCGACGTCATGAACGCCACCGGCACACTTTTGCTCGTGTTCCCAGTACGACGTCCCTATGATTCCCTATCTCTCCGCAGCTGGCCAAAGTTGGGGCATTAATATTCGCCATCTGATAGTACGGGGTAGAAAGGGGGGTGGACAATCATCCTTCGCCTCTGTATCCACCTCTCTCCGCAAGGCTCCGCATTATCAATATGGGACAAGTACAAAAGAAAACAAAATCAAATCAATCAAATCTACAAGTACCGATCGACCTAGCAACGACAGCGAAAGCCCACTATTTACTGGCTGCAGCACCCCGGTCTCTACCTAGAGGAGTTGTGTCATGTTAGCGGACTCAGCTGTGCCCAGCTATGCCTTCTGGGAAGCTTCCTAGGTTGCAGAAGGAGCGCTAGACGGCAAGCGAACGAATGGAATGGCCGCCAATCCGCCACCCCAGCACTTTGATTATTATCGAAGCTTGGGATTTCCCTGGTTACATTTTTCCCCCCGGGAGCAAGTGGTCGAAAGGACGGTGGCGGCACTGTGATTCAGCACAGACCTCTTTTGGGGGGGAAGGGTTCGATGGCACCTCCTGTGTCTGTCCGTCGATCCACTCTGCTCTGTCACCTTAGTCCAATACGTGCCAGGCTGATGCTCCTTTGGCTCCGTGGCTCAATGATTCCTTTCCCGCAATTCAGCCGGCTTCCTGGCTAAGTCGGCAGATAGTCTCGATGGTCTCCTTTGGGAGGAAGGAATGCTTCCCACGGTGATGGGTGTGCTCGACCCGAACAGTACATATATCGCCATGTCCGCTGGGATAGATTCACGCGCCACCCCCTCCCAAGTTCGAGTGCAACATCCTCGACTGCCTCCTTACTCATTCTCGAGTTGGTCACTCACGCCGTCATGGTTCCTAAAATAAAGAAGAGCGTCTCGCACGCCAACGAGGTCCAGATCGCTCAGGCTGAAGCACCACAGCTCGAAAGAGTCAACTGGTTCCGGGATCCTGGCTTGAGGAAGCTTTACTTCTATGCCGCCATCATCTGTGTGGCTTCCGCGACCACGGGCTACGATGGGTAAGTGGGAAAATGCCCCATTGACGGGCGAAACGCTCTCGTCTTGATGGGACGGCGACTGACGGAGGAATAGATCTATGTTGAACAACATCCGTATTCTGGATCAATGGAAAGACTACTTCGACAACCCCCAAGGGTCCAACCTGGGCCTCTTGACTGCGCTGTACAGTATTGGCTCCATTGCGAGCTTGCCGGTCGTGTAAGTCGAGAGCTGTCCATGCTTTTTGGTGAAATCCTGGAGGAGTTCCGTTGGCTGACACGAGTCGACACCCCAGACCATTCGTCGCTGACCACTTTGGTCGAAAGGTGGCCATCGTCGTCGGCTGCGTTCTCATGATCATCGCCGCCGCCGTCCAGGGCTCCTCGCAGAACCTCGCCATGTTCAAGGGCGGGCGGTTCCTGATGGGTTTCGGCAACAGCATGGCCCAACTGTCGTCGCCCCTGCTGCTGACCGAACTGTGCCACCCTCAGCACCGCGGGCGGATCACGGCCATCTACAACTGCCTGTGGAACCTGGGATCCATCATCAACACCTGGTTGTCGTTCGGCACCAAGCACATCCCGACCGAATGGTCGTGGCGGATTCCCACCATCGTCCAGGGTGCCCCATCCATCGTACAGATCATCTTCATCTGGTGGATCCCGGAGTCACCGCGGTGGCTGATATCTCGCGACCGGTCCGACGAGGCGCTTGCCATCCTCTCCAAGTACCACGCCAACGGCAACGAGCTGCACCCGACGGTGCAATTCGAATACGCCGAGATCAAGGAGACGCTGCGGCTCGAGTTCATCGCCAAGAAATCGTCCAGCTACCTGGACTTCCTCAAGTCGCGCGGCAACCGCTACCGGCTGCTGCTGATTGCGTCGCTGGGCTTGTTCTCGCAGTGGTCCGGCAACGGCCTGGTGTCGTACTATGCCACCGACATCTACAACTCGATCGGCATTACCAGCTCCGACACCCAGCTGGGGCTCAACGGCGGTCTGGCCATAATGTCGCTGATTGTGTCGTGCACATGCGCCCTGCTCTGCGACAAGGTCGGTCGACGTCCGCTGTTCCTGGCCGCCACGGCGGGTATGCTCGTGTGCTTCACCATCTGGACCATCTGCTCCGCCATCTACCAGGATGACCACAACAAGGGCGCGGGCCAGGCCGTTGTGGCCTTTATCTGGATCTTCAACTTCTCCTACGCCCTCGCTTGGTCGGGCCTGCTGGTCGCCTACACGGTCGAGATTCTGCCGTTCAAGATCCGCGCCAAGGGCCTCATGGTCATGAACTTCTGGGTCCAGGTCGCGCTGGTCATCAACCAGTATGTCAACCCGTTGGGCTTTGACCATCTGAAGCCCAACTGGAAGCTGTATACCATCTACACCGTAAGTGTTCCTGTATCCCCTTTCTTCTCTCCTTTCACGTTAACCCCCTATGTCCATTCCCTCGCCGTGGTTACTCGATAGACAAAGACACGAAAACTAACATTTATAGTGCTGGATCGCCCTGGAACTCGTGTTCGTGTACTTCCTGTACGTCGAGACCAAGGGCCCCACGCTCGAGGAGATCGCCAAGATCTTCGACGGCGAGGACGCCGAGGTCGGCCTCGTCGACGTCGACATCGACCCGAAACTCGCCGCCCTGGCCTCGGGCTCCGAGAAGATCGACGCCGCCGCTGTCGTCGAGCATCGCAACGTGGTATAGGTTCGCGCTTCACGCCACGCCACGGCACGCCACGTCGTGTTTTGTTATCCCGCGTTGCGTCAGGTCACCTTTTGCCAGATTGTCACTTTCACGCGTATCCTTTCTGCCCGTGTATGCCTGCGCATGGGTTTGTGGAAAGATATGCTGGAGCTTGTAATGGCTGTTCACGTGGTCATGATACCGTTTGGAACGGCACGGTCTGTTGTGAGGTGGACAGACACGATAGTCGGTGTGGGCATGTTGCCTGCACAGGGAAATGTACACAAATGCGCGTGAAGACGAGACGAGACGAGACAAGACAAGACAATAGAGGCAAACTCAGGATACCCAATGCAAGGCCTCGCCAGATCGACTGCAAGAGTGAGTGAGCCAGGGGAGCCCAAGTCGCAACGAGTCCGAAGCGTGATGAATCATTCAATAGAACACAAAGCCTTAATTCTTTCTACTATATTATGTTCCGCCACTGTGACACCTTGTAAAAGGTATAATACAATACTGTCTCAGTCACACAGATTCGTGTTATGGGACATTTGCTCATGAGCGGTGAAGGAGCGTGCGTGCATGGCATACAAATACCAAAAATGGGGCATGAACATCTCATTATTGTCCGGCGTGGCTAGTTATATGATACGAGGTGCATGTCGTGTCTCGTATCGTGGTATAAGGCGCTTCCTTCGTATACAGACCGCATTCGCGCTGTGGATCATGTGTGTCACTTCCAAGTCCCCCCTTTCGCCCCGGCAAGCACGCTTCCATTCTCTCTCAACGCATACACACGGTGGCACGGCAACGGTGGGGAGAAATATGCCGTGGGCGGGATGCGAGATGCGAGATACGAGATGTGAACGTTCATGTCCATGTCTATGCGCATGCGCATGAACATGCACGCTCGCTCACTCGAGTGAGTGAGTGTGTCCATCCGATTAGTCAGTCAGTCAGTCAGTCTTTCAGTCAGTGGCTTGCTTATGGTATTATGGCATACCATATCAGGCTGAATGGCACCGTGCTGATGATGGGTCATGGATGGTACAATCGCAACGGCATGATCCTGACAAGACAAAGATGCTTAGATGTGGGTGGGGGGGGCACGGGTGGAGCGAGAGATGGGCAGATTCGAGATTCGAGATCAGGAACATACATGCATACCGACAAGCTTTGTGTGGCAGCAGCAGCAGCGGTGGCGGAGCCTTTGCTCTTGTCACGCCTTTTCACCTTTGGTGACGCGCGCTCGTTCAGCATGCACGGCACTGCATTGCACGAGTCGAAAAGGCCGTCGCTTGGTATCTATCGTTCATTCTTGCCAAGAAAGAATACAGACAGAGCTCGTTTCCACGTTCCCGTCATCAACAAGCACCATGCGGGTGGCGATCGCGACCCCCATTTCTCCCCTGTCAAGATGCTGTTGGTGCTAGTGCCGGCCCTGCTAGCATGCATAGGTGCCGGTGGGCGTCAAACATACGGCCTCTTCCCGCGGTGTTTGCATCTTCGAGCATTATTCAGTCTTCCCGCTTGGATGGTCGGAAACCAAGGTAGTAAAGAGGAGCAGATCAGTATTATCGCACTGTCCGAGACGACCCGCCCAAGCATCGCTTCGAATTTAGCCGAACGCCATAGTTAATTGGCTAATCCCACGAAGACGTTGAACGACATGAATATTCGCTCTTTCGATAGGCAGAAAGATTGTGCGAAGGACAAAGAGAATGGCGCGATCACAGAAAGACGACACTCGTAAGAGGGGGCAAGAGATGTTACCTTTCCTGCTTGTCGTGTTTGAGATTCGGCTTTTCGTTCGGCTTTGACCGCGGTAGCAATGAATTTACCCCCATCAAGCACGGGGCGGAGTAGTGTGGAGGTGAACGTGGAGGTGCAACATAAGCCGGAGGTGGCGTGTGGCAGAGGGCGAGAGGTCCATTGTGGCGTGTATGATGCATAAGGTGACCTGTCACCTTCTTTGACTCTCTGAGCCCGAAGCGGACTGCCGGACTGACTTTGACCTGTGCTGCGAGACGTTTCTCCCGCGAACAATACGCCCAGTAAAGGTCCGTAGCTGTTTGGTCTCTGACATTCCGTTTGGTAGGCAGGATAAGTCGATTCCTGCTCTTTCCCAGTGCTCTTGTTTCGGCTCTTGAGTTGAACTACTTGCGGTCACATACCTTGGGAGCCATTTCCGGACCTGCAAGTCGCTTGCTCAAAGACGAGCACTCCACGCCCGTGCCGCGGTCACATCATGTCAGCTCCCTCTCTAGAACGGAGTCTTTGAAAACAATGCGATACAAATGGTCCTATAGGTGGCCCATGGGAAATGGTTTGTGAAGGTATTCTGCGTGTGCAACAGTCTGCGAAACTGTGATGTGTGGGATCGAGCATAGGCCTAAATAGATACAGCCCGAAGAATGCCTGGGGATCTGAAAATATCGACATTGATGGGACTCTGATATGCTCTGAGAGTGTTTATACTTGATAGAGTGGCTGTGCACGAGGGCGCGATGAACGGCTTTCGCCAGACCTGTGGATTAATGACGCTGGCTTCCTTATGCGGGTACAGGTGAGTCAAGTCCTGTGCAAGTACCGGTCTGAGGCCCTGCCAGGTGTGGTCCTTGGTGACAAGGTCTAGTTGTTGTGAATCCTTGTTGAGTCGGGAGCCCGCCAAAAACAACCAGCATTAGGGCACAACGTTCATCTCAACACCCACACACACAGAGAGACAAGGTAGTACTGTTCAAATATCTAAATTCTGATTCCTCAGAAAAAACAAAAACACTTTTTCCACCAGCCCCTTTGCAGGAGGTGGTGGGAAGTGAAACCTGCGGGGGCAGGTTTTTTCCGGTCGAGATGTATTGACTCCTGGTCAGTGCCAGGTACCTGATACATCTCTTTCGAGGGGAGGAGGTTCGAATCGAGATATGTTGCCTGCTAGCCCGGTGCTAGTTTGACCAGACATATCTGGGATTCATCGGAGGATCGCCTACTAGAACCAGTGTTTCTTCGCTTGTTGACTTCGTTAAGTCTCTTTCTGTCCCATTTTGTTTTGTTGACTCTTTGTAGTCTCTTTCCTGAGTAGGGGTCTTTGCGATTGTTAGAGAAATTTCTGCGAATCCAAATAATATCCATTGAGTCTCCTACACTCTCATGTGGGACCCGCTTTTTCCCTTCACTTTGTGTGAAGAATTGTCCAGGATGAGGTCCGGGTCTGGCAGAACAACTTGGATGGACCAACTCACATAGTATTCGAGTGTTTCTGCAGGATTACCTTTACAGAGCGGTCCACGGGGGTACAATACCGTCTGAGATGTCTATCCGAGGGAGCCTACCGACACATTACGAAGTTGATATACTGTCTCTCCCAAGAATCGGTGATTGTGACAAGGCTGAGGTCCTTTATGCCACCCCTGTCGTGTTGTCTGTGGCCTGATGGATGATGTCATACACGTGATGCCCCCAGAAGGGCAACCCGGACGAGCTGCACGTGACTCGCCTGCTTGTTCCGAATCTCAGGTGATGGAATTGCAATGACAAGAATTTCTTGGTCGTAATCTCGGTACTTGGTCCTGGTGGTTCAACATCCAGGATACAACAACAACCACGATTGAACGACATTCTCCTTGCGTTGCAAATATCTTCCATTGCTATTGATTTCAGTCTATTTGTCCTGTTTTCTTCCAGCGGCTGGTGAGGCGTCCGCAGACTCTGCAAGGCCGCCGATCGCGTCACCGGATCATATCAGTTGGCCCTCCCACCTCCGGGTGCGCGCATGTGCTCTGCCTGAGTGAGCAGTCCAGGCACCCCGAACCAGAACACAGATGCACAAAAGATAAACAATGCCAGCTAGACGTCGTCGCCCGCTTTCATAAGGCGAAAAAAAAAACACATTTCACAATTGCGTTCCAACAATGGCCTTCAACTTCAACTGGTCTCCCTTGTCCACGGACGCCGGCTTCCTACCACGCGCCCAAGAACTCCTCACAAATGCTCTCAATCGAGCCGACCCTAAGCCCGCCATTATTGTGGATGACATTATCGTTAATGAACTCAACCTGGGAGATGTTCCTCCCGAGCTGGAGATCTTGGAGATTGGGGACCTGGCAGAGGATAGATTCCGCGGCACGTTCAAGATGATGTACAATGGGAACGCATATCTTACCCTCAAGACAAAAGTTCAAGCAAATCCATTGAACACATACCTGCGCACTCGCTCGGCGTTTGCTACACCACGGCCCTTGGCTGCCGATACTGGTCTGACTATACCACTACAAATCACCTTGTCCGAGTTTCGTCTGTCGGGATTTATTATCCTTGTCTTTTCGAGACAGAAAGGGTTGACACTGGTCTTTCGCAACGACCCTTTGGAGTCTCTACGGGTGTCGTCGACTTTTGACTCAATCCCCTTTGTGGCCAACTTCCTTCAAAAGGAGATTGAAAGTCAGCTGCGAGGACTTTTGATGGACGAGCTGCCTGCAATCATTCATCGACTTTCACTGCAGTTGTTGGTACCAGAGGATAAAGCACGAGAGGAACGTCAGCTTGGGGCCACACAGGTCTCAAAAGATGAAGTGGTGGTTGATCCGCTGGCCAGCCCACCTCAAGACCCGGTTGACTCTACCGGCGCGGTGTTGACCCCAGCAGAAGTCGCGTCTTTGTCATTGGATTCGTCGATCGAGACCCAGTCGCTGTTCTCACGAAAAAACCTGGTCCGGCTAGCTACCTTGACCGATTCACACCGTACGTTGTCGTTGTTCACTCCATCCATTCGGGATGCCGTCTTCCGAGCCTGGACCGGTCCATTGGAAAGGGGCGAGATGACGGGGCTTCTGACCAGGACAACAACCCCAGCCCTGTCTCGCACCCATTCGTATGCTGGAAGTCTCAGTGCGTCGACGGCATATACCTTTGATGGTGGCTGGTCTCGTCCGCCTCTGTCGAGCTTTGCTTCTTCAAGTCACGGTCTAAGCATGGGCAGTGGCAGACATGGGCAAGCGCACAGGGCGCGCCGAAGGAAGAAGCGTGTGGTGGACCTGCGGCCTCACCCGGAAACAGGGGAACCTGAAATGGTTGTCGAAGACAGTTCAACAGCTGATTCCGCTAGTGTGTCGGAAAGCACATCAACTGCGGCGTCCGTCTTCTCAGCACCTGCCGCTACTACGATGTCTCCGGATCCGATTCAAGGTCTCAATCCAGTCACACCTCCCCGAAGTCCTGTGGCAGCCAAGCGAGCAGCAGCCTTTGAATCGCTTCGCCGGGGAGGGATACGTAGCGTCAGTGAAGGCACGCCTACACAGGAACCCATGGATCAGATCGAAGAACCACCGTTGGACATCCACCAAACCCCGCGAGCCAAGGATCCCAACGCGACCATTCGGATCCACACTCGAAGAACATTTCCTACATCCTGCGATGACGACGAGACACCTCGGGCTTCGATGTATCTGCTCGATCAGAAGGAGCCATCGGTGTCTCAGCAATCGGCTGAGCCTAAAGTTCTTGTCAACGAGAAAGCCGGGCTCCATTCCGTTGCAGGCCCATCGCGGCCTGCTCTTCCGAATTTCCTTCAGTTTGTCGCCGATCCATCCAACGGGGGCAGCATTGCAGAGCGTGCATGGATGATGAAGATGGCGAACGAGATGGCGCAGCGTTATGAAGAGGAAAGACTTAAAGGCAGCTTCGGACCGGTGTCTCGGGAGGAAGAAGCGAATCCTCCTCCAGCCTACGCGCGGTGATGCTGTTGGGACTCATTTTGGATCTGCTTTAGCGATGCTTTGAGACAAAAGTTTTCGTTTGTTTTTGCTGTGTACTACCAACTAATGGCGTGATGAGGCTACGATGTTGATGTAATAGAATTCAGACCCCTGCGAGGCTCTGGATCTTGTCGTTGGATCCAGGGAGATGGCTTGATTACTATTTCTATGTACCGTTGTCTTGTATACGATCTCAACGATATCATCACATTCGTGACGGTTCGGTTCTTTAGCTGTTTGCTCACCCATATCTTGTTTTGAAAGGACAGAGGTATATCCTATGCAGCATTTCCATTGGGCTTTGGGGTTGCTACAACAAGCTCGGGACTTCGTAACCAGTTCGCCCTGAAAATACAACGTAGTAGAGTTTGCGTATTACCCGTTATTATTACTACGTGGAGTGTGTTCGCAAGAAATTGTGGGGAGCTGGAGCAATTCGGCCCTCAGGCACTTTCTACTACTCCACGGGTTTTCTCCCTCTCTCCGTTCCTCCTTTGTGAACGCAACGCAGCGCAGCCCTCATCTGCGCCAGGACAACCGTCGGGGTCATTTGCTTGATCCAGACCACTGTTTTATCTGGCCATCATGGATATCTTTAAAGCTTTTCTCGGCCAAAAGCCTTCCCAGGCGCCTATCGTCGCCGATGATGCAGGTGAATAAACAGCACTCTTCCCGAACACCACGCTCAAACTTACTCATGCCGGTGGTCTAGATTTCGCAGATTTCGCAGCTGCGCCTGCGCCTTCACCGGCCTCGATCCCTGCCTCTCCCGCCGATGCGCAAGCAGCTACTGCAACGGGTGCTGCCGTCGAAGGTCGCCCAGTCGTTTACACGAAATGGTACCGCGTGTGGGAACGAACCCAGCTGTCCGACTTCATGATGGAAGGTGTCCTTGTCCCTTTTATCCTCTTGGCGCTCTTGGTACATTTCTGGGGGACAAGGACAAACCGTCGCAAAGCGAAGAAATGGATGGCTGTCCATGCTCCTGTTTTGGAGCGGGAGTTTGCAGTCGTGGGATACAGTGCAGTCCCAAATACTGAATCTACTGGGGAAGGTGGAGTGTCCCCCGTGGACGCCAGCTTCTTTAAGCAGATTGTGCAGAACAAGGGAGATAGCATCTCGGATGATCTGCTGAAGGAGAAGGCCGCATGGGAGTACGAGTCGTACGCGACCGGACGACAAAATGTGGCGTTTATGGATGTCAAGATCTACCTGAAGAGACGCATGAACCCCTTTATGATGCTGGCGGAAGAAATCACGGGCATGTTCATCGAGTCGATCAAACCCAAACCCGAACGGATGGAAGCCGTTATCTATACCTTTGACGGCAAAGAGAAAGAATTCGTCCCCCCAGCGGTCCCTGGCTCCGAGGAAGCAGGCAAGGCAAAATCTGTGGGGAATTCGACCTACGACCCGTTCGTCTTCGCCGTGGTCAACAAGTTGGCGATGCGCAAACTCCGCGAGGAACGCTACGACCTCTCCCTCACATTCACCAAGGACCACGCCAAACTCCCCGACTGGGCTACTTGCATGAGCGAATCGGCAGAAATCAGTGACTGGATGCTCACCAAAGAACTCATCGACGCTCTTCACCAAGCTGGGCCCGACTACTTCCAGTACCTCATCATCACGGATCAGCCGCAGGACAAACCCAGCAACTTGAACGAAACGGTTCCGAAAAAGCGCCTGCACATCTCGCTTCGTCTGCCTTCTGACGGCAACTACCTCCCGACCCTGCCTCTGTTCGCAGTCTTCCTCCGCCTGCCCGATTACCTCGTCTCGCAATCCCACCTCCGACCCGAAGTCCTCAGGAAGATCAACACGATTCGCGAGCAAGAAAAGAGCAAGCTCAAGAAGATTTCGGACAAGGAGGCGGAGGAGGAGAGATTGAGACAATTGGATAAGATGAAGAAGGAAGAAAGAGAACGGAAGATGAAGGGCATGAGTGCCGAAGAGCAGAGGAAATTTCTGGAGAGAGAGAACGAGAAGATGCGCAAGAAGCAGGAGAAGAAGATGACGAGGAGAGGCTGATGACGAAGAGCCAAAAAGGCGCTGGAAGGGCAGGTGATTGATAACGGATGTAGCAAGATGGGTGGCAGACGTTTCTCTCGCCCTCGATCTGGTCACATTTCTCACTATATTCTTGAGCACATAATCATCCCAGAAGATACCCACTCTCCCAGACAGAGCTGCACATACTGCTTTTCCTCCTGGGGTGTGTATCCATACGTCAATGGCTGCATTCTGTCAGCTCGTAGCAGAGCCCTGTACCCCAGATCCGGCTTCTTCCAGGAGGATCCAAAATTAGGAGGGCTGTGTCCTGGGCCACTAGGCTCACTAGGCCCTGCGTACCACGCCGAAACAACCTTCCGCCCTACCACTCCACCAAACTTTTACATGTCCGCCGACCTCTTCGACTCGATTGGACACATCATTCCCCGTTTCAAGCTTGATTCATCCCGTCCAGTTTGAGACTTGTTCGCTCGGCATGCCAGACTTGGGGGGATAGGTTCGGCTCTGCCACAGCCCAGCTGAACCCGTACGCGCGGCTGGGTGGCTCCGGGTTTCACACACAAGGCTTCTGGCTTCTGTCCAAGCCTCAACCGCTACGAGGCCCATGTCTATGGTGCTGTGTCAAGGTTAGAAGCAGGCCTTCGGACCTTTCCTCTCTTTCATTTATTTCTGCATTGTGCCGTTCTGTCGCCCTTAACCCTTTGTACTACTCGTTTGCCTGGTGCTTGTTGGACGACTTAACTGCTACACAGGTTGGATAGACATACCTCGCCACGGACGGAAAGGAACACTGTTACAGCCGAGTGTGATAATATACTGCTCCTGCGTCCGCAAACATGCACCTGCGGTCCTTTCTTTCTTTCGTCTCCTTCGTCAGCCTCAGCGTGGCAGCGTCCCTCGACGTATCAGTGACAAAACGTCAATCGACCGCATGCAACAACTCTCCCTCCCTCTGCTCGAAACCCTACAATAGCATCGTCCACCTAGGTGCTCACGACTCGCCGTTCGTTCGAGATGCCTCGACTGGCTATTCGACGTCCGGCAACCAATACTACAACTCGACAGTACAACTCTCCGCTGGGGTCCGTCTGCTTTCGGCCCAGGTCCACAAGTCCAATGGTGAATACCACCTATGCCATTCTTCCTGTGACCTGCTGGATGCGGGAATTCTATCAGACTGGCTAGAAGAGATCAAGACATGGCTGGATAATAACCCGAATGAGGTTGTCACCGTCCTCCTCGTCAACTCGGACAATGCCACCCCAGAGGACTTGGGGGCACATTTCACCACGGCACAGATCACGAACTACGCCTACGTCCCTTCTTCGACGAGCACACCTCCTGCATCGGGCACCTGGCCGACCTTGCAAGAGCTGATCAATGCCAACACAAGACTGATGGTATTCGTGGCATCTATCTCAGACCCTGCGTCCATACCAAGTCAATATGCCTACCTGATGGACGAATTCACCTTTATATTTGAGAATCCTTACGACAATACCTCCCCCGACAACTTCACCTGTCTGCCGGATCGGCCAACAGGTGTCCAGGGAAACAGTGAAGCGGCCATCGCCTCTAACCGGATGGCATTCACCAACCACTTCCTGTACGAAGAGGGCCTGTTTGATATTGAGACTCCCAACGTGGACAACATCACCGTCACCAACTCGCCAGGCAACAGCGTCGGAAATCTGGGGTACAGTCTGTCCCAATGTAACTCGGCGTACGGCAAACCGTCGACGTTCGTACTGGTTGACTTCTTCGACCAAGGTCCTGCGATCGCCGCGGTCGATGCCATGAACGGCGTCACGAGCCCCGTCGGCCGCACCCCGGTGCCTCCGAGGGATAGCAAATCGGGCTCCGATCGAAGCGAGACGAGTTTCCAGGGCGTGACCAACCTCGTGAACGAAGTCAAAGAAGGGCAAAAGCCAAAACTCGGTGCATGGATCTGGGCTGCGGGGCAGTGGACATTCGGCGGCATCAATCTGAGTGGCGGCAACGTTTTCCAGAAATGAGATACCACATATGAGGACGGGACTCAAACTGAACAGATGGAAAATCCAAGGCGGATAACAGCTAATCCAGCGATACGGTATTGCTATTTGATGGCAAATATATATGTCGCTCGGGGTCTTGGGCTGAACATCACCTTGAACTTGTGGCGGAAACGAGTCTGGCTACAACCCATTACCGCCGCCATAACCCCACCACTACCACGAACGACAAACCCGGACACGGATCTGGAGAACTCATTGAAAAGAAATACTGCACAACCAAATCGTGGAGGGCCGGATGTGCCCCGTCTCCTCCGAAACGAACCCTTTAACGATGACACGACATGACACACGGCCACACCGGCATGGAAATTGTTGAACACATTATATATACTACGGGAAATACCTCTGTTGGCGTTGGATATTCACCCTATGGCATACGTATGATATTGCATTGCATTGCATTGCATAGCGACCGGCGTCTCTTGCTTGCTTGCTTGGTTTCTTGGTTTGCAGCTTGGATTTCAAAAAGGGAATGTTATCAGGCATCAAGGCATTATGTCATGTCATATCATGTCACAAAAAACCCCGAGTATCGAATATTATTTTTGGGGGGCGGGGTGTTGGTGATGACAACCTCGACTTTGGGACGAAATAGGAAAGGAAATCGAGAGCTGCGAACTATTACGCTGGGATTAAGAGAGATTTGGATTAGGGACCGGGAGCAAATGAGATTGGAACTGAGACTGGATTTCTTCGAGTCGGAGAGATCTACTCGGTCCGATAGAGATCTAGATAATACATACGTCCCGACGACCTAGGTTTCTTTCTGTACACACTGTATGTGCGTGCTCCAGATGTGCTGCAGATATAGAGAGACAGACGGCTTGTCTGCAATCTACTCACCAGTGCTCAGCAGCTCAGGACATGAACCCCGAATGGTCGGTAGTTCATGGCTTACGGCATTCGTAGTAGTTGTGGTACGGGTACATTCATTTTTTTGATCTTCTACCTTTTCACCGGGGTATATATATCTACAATAGTATCTATCTATTCCAAATCAATTCGGCCACGGAGGCAGGCAGGTATAGTACAGTACAGTAGGTGCGACAAGCCGCCGTCAAGTTACGTTTCGTTGCAGCACTTCAAGGTCAGTCAGTCAGTCCCCCCTCCTATCTGTCTGTCTGTCTGTCTGTCCCCAGCAAAATCACAACCTAGCAAACACCCTCTTCAGCACCTCTCGGCCCTTGTACAGATTCTCCACCCGCATCCTCTCGTTGTCCAGGTGCGCGTTGTCGCTCGCCTGGCCCATGGGGAACATGGCGGCCGGGGCATTGAATTCGTGCTCGAGGAACGAGATCGCCGGGATGCTGCCGCCTTCGCGGATGAACAGGGGCTCGCGGGGGAGGGTGGAGGGCGGGAAGAAGCCGGTCGTGGCGAGGGAGGAGGCCCGGCGGTGGGAGGTGCGCGTGGGGGGATCTGTTTTTGCAGTGGACGAAGAAGCGGCGGCCTGGGCGGGCCTGGATTTGGTAGGTGGTGTTGATGCGACGCCAGCGCGGTCGGTGTCAGGGGCGTTGTTGTGGTTGCTATTGCCACCAGCGGACATCTTGAATGCTCGTTGCTGGTGCGCCGCGATGTCAGGATTCCAGACGTCGATGATGGCGTCCTTGAGAGCCGTGTAGATCTCGCTATTCACATCTGCCAGCCAGGGGTCCGCTCGGGACGTGATGGTGACAGCCAGGGTGTTCGAACTCTGCAGCTTGGCGAACTCGGCGTGGAGATAGTCCGTCAGCGACTGGGCAATCTGCTCGGCGGTCTGTGACGGGACGATTCGGATGGAGAGGGTCGCCTTCGCAGAGCCGGAGATGGTGACGGCCGTTTTTGCCTCGGGCACCTCGATCCGATGCACAGTCAGATTGGGATACCGCCACCGTTGCATGAGCGAGAGGGCGAAGGCCTTCTCATTCTTGATCTCGGGGTGGCCGGGGAGAAGAGAAGAGGTGATGGAAGCATAGGCTTTGACTTCGGATTCAGACAGCTCATCAACCGTGTCGTAGAAGTGCGGGATAGTGACTTTGGTGGCAGAAGGACCAACAAGAGCTGCAAGTAACACCGTTAAGTCCTTGAGAGGCTCGTGCTGCACGGACTTGCCGTCCATTCCCGAATGCAGATCCGGTCGGTTTGAAGTGACAGTGACGCTGGCGTGGATGACTCCACGCATCCCAAACGTAAGACAAGGGATGTGGTCATCGAGCCAGTAACTGTTGGATAGAAGAATATAGTCCACCGGCCCAATGGCGTCGTGGGCAGACTGAACAGTCTGACGGAACCCTCGGGAGCCGGCTTCTTCGTCGCCTTCTAGCAGAAACGTCACATTGCAGGACAGAGAGCCGTGTTGGACCAAATCAGCCACAGCATAGATGGCCGCCAGGATAGGACCTTTGTTGTCGGTTACGCCACGGCCGTAAAGAAACGAGTCGAGCGGTTGTAGAACGAATGGATCTCCGTTCCACGTTGGATTTGAGCTGCTGGCATCAAGCTCTGCGTCGACCACGTCATAATGGCCGTAGAAAAGGATCGATCTTGTTGATTTGCCAGGTTTGGATGCCGGAAACCGTGCAAGTAGTATCGGATCCACCCCTTCTTGAGGTGAGAGGAGGCGGGTGGTCGCACCAAAGGCATTGCATTTCTTGCGGAGAAAGGTGACGGCTTCGTGACAGTCCCGAACACACATTGGGTTCAACGCCACCGTACGGTATGCCACAAACTCCCGAAGGGCGTTGACGAGTTCGTCTAAGTACTGGTTAGCAGGGGGTGGAAGGTCTGCACGGGACCACAAGGCTTACCATTACTCCTTGCAGAAGTAGCGGCAGAGTCGTGAGAGCCAGGCTTGCCACTCCAAAACGATACGACGCTGTCGTTTCCTCCTGTCACTAGCATGTCGTGATCCGGAGTTGTTGTCAAGCCCATGGCAAGAATCTTCCCAGCAGCCGCCTGCCACGATTCGAGCTCGGCGAAATGGTCGTCGTACCTCTGGAAAGACGTCAATACCTTATCTGCCACTGCGTGTTTGACTGACCTTGATCCATCCTTGGCTGGTTCCACATAAGATGCTCTCTGGGCTCACCAGGATCTGACTGACATCGCCATGGCCCACTTGTAGCTTCTGCACGAGCTGATTTGATGCGAGGTTGTAAATGTGAGCGCGGCCATCCGACAAACCAGCATAAAGGAAAGAGCCACGGTACGAGAGGCTCAGTACATTGGAGTCTGCATTTTTGAATTTTGTGATCTGTTTTGGTCCGGATTCAGCCAGATCGTCAATCGACCAGAGCTTGATGACTCCATCGCCAGCACCGGTGATGAGAACTTCCTCGTCTTTCCCAGGGGTGAAGAGGCCTTTCACCAGGAGCATGCTGTAAATATAGCTTTTGTGAGCGTATGGAAGATAGTTGCAGCTTGGGGCGGTCAAGACTCGCCCACCCTGGTTGCTGAGCCCGTTGGTGGCACCCTCATCTGCAACGACATTGGCTGTCCCACCGGGTCCCAAGGAGTCAAAAAAACGATGTTTGCGGGAGCCGGGTGAAAGGGCTGACGTGGGAAATTTGACAGCGGTGTCGGTGCTGAGCTTGTACCACTGGATGCTGGCATTCTGGGCGCCCCAAAACAGAGTCTGGATCTTGGTAGAGTGAACCACGCAGAAGACATCGCCAATCTCAAAATGCGAGTAAATGGAATACAGTCTCTGTAAGGATTCGCTGGACCAGACATTGACAATCGCATCGGCGCCGGCGGAGAAAAGGAGCGTCTTGTCGTCAGAGAGAGTGAGATTGAGGACACTCTCTTTGTGCGCAGGGACCGTGGCCAGAAGCTCGTACGTCTCGAGAGACCAAACGACGATGTCGCCGCCTTGGGTGCCGGCAAAGATGACGTCGTCGTCGACAGCAAGGGCCTGAACACTGCCAGGAGCCTTGATCTGATGGAGAGGAAGTTTCACCGGGGTTCGTTGCTCCTCGGACCCGGAGGTAATGCCCTCATCGGAAGGGTCGAGGCCGTCGGATTCGCTCGACGCCGCAGAATGTGAATGTGATTTGTGAGGTGACCCGTTCTGTAGGACCGAATTAGCTGGGGCCATGGGAAGAGAGCATCAGATGATTTAGAACGGGACAGAACAGAGACAGACGATGGGAGACGGTCTGGGGCGGGAACTCGTCACGTGCTCGTACCTCCGGATCCTCCTCCCAGGGCGACGGACTTGGGCGCAGCTGCGGCTCAGAGTCGCCGATTTGACACATCGTCGAACCACGTCTAGGTCGGCGCCGACGGCTCGTTCGCTTCTCCCTCAGGTGACTACACTATATATTCATCTTGCCCCTGCTTCGAGATATTATTGCCCACAGCTAAACGAAAAAGACCGAAACGAGTCTGCACTTCATCCAACCGAAAAATCTGAAAACTTCCGACTTTCGCCCCTTTTCGCCTGCCGATGGCGTGATCTCGCATCAGCTCGCCAACAGCCTCGCCGACATTGTTCAAAATGACCGTCAAGCACCCCTTGACAGCACCCGGCCCTTTCACGCCGACACTTATCCTTCACGGAGGCGCAGGGTCCCTCTCCCGTGCAAATCTGCCTCCGGACCTCTATGCACGTTACCGTGCCTCCCTCACCAAATACCTCACAGGTACCCGTGAGTTACTCAACTCGGGCACATCCGCACTTGACGCCGCATGTCATGCGGTTACTTTGCTGGAAGATGACCCCCTATTCAATTGCGGTCGTGGGTCCGTCTTTACCGAATCAGGAACTATTGAGATGGAAGCCAGTGTGATGGTATCTTCCGTCGACCCCGCCGGACCCCCTGCAGGTGGAATCAAACGTGCCGCTGCCGTCAGCCTCGTCAAGAACACGAGACATCCGATTTTGCTTGCCAAGGAAGTCCTCCTGGAACCAGATGAAGATGGAGGCCTGGGAGGCACGAGTTCGATGCACTGCCAGCTGAGTGGGAGACAGCTCGAGGAATGGGGTTGGCGACAGCGGGGTCTCGAGAAGAAACCAGACCGCTGGTTTTGGACCAAAAAGCGCTGGGAGGAGCATAGGAAAGGGCTCCACCATGACGACTCCTACTCGTTCAACAATCTCGTTGCTTCAATCGATCCATACACCGAGTCACCCTTTGAAGACGACGACTCCGAGGTGGATGAGATTCCCAGCCAAGGCACAGTCGGAGCCGTGTGTCTAGATTCCTGGGGCAATCTCGCTGTGGCAACATCAACCGGGGGACTTACAAACAAGAAAGCCGGCAGGATTGGAGACACGCCGACCATCGGTGCTGGGTTCTGGGCTGAAGCCTGGGAAGAGGATCCTCCTAAGCCGCCCCAGGCCCCGGAAAAGCCACCGTCACGCAGGGCTTCGGGTCTGGGGAAACTACCCGTCCTGGACCAGATCTTATCACCTTGCCTCAGCCCAACCGAGCCCGAACATCCCTCCGAGCAACTGAACGGAGCTCCTCCGGCGTATACTGCATCAACAACTACCTCATACCAATCCTACCCGTCGCCTCATGTCCGACACCCTTCTTCGTCTTCTGCTCAACCTACACGAAAACGTCGCCGCGCTGTAGCCATGAGCGGCACCGGCAACGGGGATTCCTTTCTGCGCCTCAACGCCGTGCGCACGGTCGCTGCACACTGTCGCCTCTCAGGTCCGCCCTCTGTGTCCCTGGCCGACGCAGTCAAACTGATCACCGGCCCTGGCGGCGAACTACAACGCTCAGCTGGCGATCGCTGGGGTAGGACGGGCGAAGGCCAAGGCGGCATCATCGGCATCGAGATCAGTGATGAGCAGGAGGACGAGGCAGAAGAACCCCTTCAGATGTGGCCAGGTGGCTTCGAGAAACGAGTTCAGCCGGAAACGTCGAGGAACAAGAAGAAGAGAGGCCGGGTAGTGTCCGATTTCAACTGCGGTGGCCTGTTTAGGGCATATTACGAACTCGACGAAACTGGCGTCGAGACACCCAAAGTCATGGTCTTCCACGAGGAGTATTGACTACAATCCATGGCGGGTGACCGACATACAGAGGGTACTTGGATACTTACTTAGATTTAGAAAGCTAATATAATCACGATCTAGAGTACGATGTAGATGCTAACGAACCGATTAGAGCTGTGGTAAGAACGATACATTGGCCATCAGCAGAGACAGATCTATCCCTACGATATATGCTTTTTATCTGCCCGCTCGCACGACCTGCGAGCAAGACGTTGTCCCAGATGATGCGCTGGATGACAATCTCCCTAGGGGCAGCAGGCCCAAGGTTGAGACTGCTTTTCCTCTCCTTCCCTCCTCTCTATGCCGTTTCCTCACAGCCTCAAACCCATCAGTTTGGGGCTCAGGTTGCGGTGTTGTATGATGATCATTCTCAACCTAACCCTAAATATCCACCTTAGGCAGGTGTCTCCCGCATCATGACTGTTTCGGCTGGACTGCGCTTCCGTGGTGGTCGCCAACAGGGGTGGAAAGCGTCCTTGTCGGATATACGCAGTTCAACAGGTCACCTGCTCGGGCTCACTCGATCATAAGCTATCGTATAATCCAGGCTTGGCCAGGGTGGGACAGACACGTGGGGATTGATCGAGACGATGCTGGGCCTAGCCTCTCGTATCTGGCCGTGAAAGTTGGACGGCCTCTGCCGCCACTCCGGCACTGGAGGTAGCGGACGAAATTGACAGTTCTGACAGCGCTTCCTTGGAGTCACACACATGGTCGGAATGTGTCGCGGCAAGGAAGTCCAAGGTGAGGCTACTGAACGACGACCCGAGTTCAGTATTCCACCGTTCGTTTGATGGCGTCGTATATTCCTACACTTCAGTTAGTCCCAGCAGCTCTTGACACTCTACATCCGGAGAGGCTTACTCGTGACGTCTGGAATGTTAAACTTCTCAAAAATTAGCCCAGGGTGCGTGCTCCAGCCCGTAACCCTGGCCACAGGAGCTTCCAGTCGAAGGAACGCCCCTTCTTGTATGCTTGCGGCGACTTCTGCCCCTACCCCGGCGTTATACATGCTCTCGTGTACCACAACCGCTCGTCCCGTCTTGTTCACGCTTTGCATGATGGTGTCGCGATCCCAAGGATATATGGCCCTTAGATCAATGAGCTCGATGCTCAGACCTTTGATTTCCTTCTCCAAAGCTTCAATGGCAGCGGAGCAGAGGTACAACGGTTGGCCGTAAGAGATGACGGTGAGATCCTTGCCTTGTTTAAGAACTTCTGCTTTGTCTAGTGGCAGTGTATATGGATCTCTTGGGACGAATTCTTCGGCGGCGCGGTAGAGGACTTTGGGTTCCATGAAGATCACTGGGTCGTGGGAGTGAAGAATGGACGCCGTGAGCAGTCCCTTTGCCTGGCTGGGCGATCGAGGCATGATGACCCGTAGGCCGGGCACATGGGTGAACAGTGCCTCGGGACTTTGGGAATGGTAGAGAGCGCCGTGTCCAACGCTGCCGCACGGCATTCGCACTACCAGACCTCCACAGTTGCCGCCCGTTGCGCCCTCTCTGTACCGGAACTTGGCGGCCTCGTTGACCAGCTGGTCGAATGCCGGGAAGACGTAATCTGCAAATTGGATTTCCGCGACAGGTTTCATGCCCTCAGCTGCACAGCCGATGGCAAAACCAACAATCCCTTGCTCAGAAAGGGGAGTGTTGAACACGCGACTGGTGCCAAACTCATCTGTCAAGCCCTTTGAACATCGAAAAACGCCACCAAACGCCACGTCTTCGCCAAAGAGGAGCACATTCTCATCGCTCTTCAAGGCATGGTGGAGGGACGCATTGATAGCACCGTGCAGGTTCACCCAGTCGACCGGTGCATCTTGAGAAAGCCCATAGGCAGACCTGGCACTGTTCTGTGATTGGTGGAGGACAGCAGTCTTCTTAAAGTCGATGGGCTTGTTCAAACGCGCTTCGGAAGATGTGTGACTGGCGTACCGAAGCTGAGATGATGGCTTCAACAACCTGGGAATCGTAGCGAGCCTCCGACCGGCAAACATCTTGAAGGAATGAACAGGTGATTTGAAGTCTATGGTACAGCGGGAGAAGCAGGGCGATCAGACATTTTGAAGGGGGTTCATGCGAGATGGCCACAATGAACCTGGAGCCGAGGATAAGCGCACCTTCGACACCGTCTCTCCGGAAATCGGAAAGGAGAAGCAGAAAGGCTGGGCACGTGGGGGTCCTCTCGCACAAGTTACCTTGATCGGCGACACCCCGCCCACGCCCCTTTAGGACGACGGTGATGCCGCCCTGTGCTCCCCTGCTACTTACCTTGGTGGGATTGCCAGCTCCACTAGTCTACGCTTTAGGACTAGAACGCCTGGACTCTCCCTAACCTATACGGCTAAGGTACTATTACACAGATTCCAGCCGACAACGTATATTGCGAGGAAATTCTCTCGCTACTTTGGCAAGTGGTCGAGGGTTGCTGGTCGATAGGAGAACCTTAGGCACCAACCGCCGTCGGGAATGGGGATTGCACATCTGTTTGCAGTGGGTAGAACGATTTGAAAAGTAGCGAAGCCATATCTTTCACCGAACGCGATATGCAGTACTGAATCGCCAAAGCATTGATGTTAGGTTGAATTTGTGAGCGTTGGCCAGTCATGAGCATCACAATGATGGCTAGGATAGTCCGTGGCATGGCAGCTGACATGACGGCGGAGTAGCCTCGATAGCTAGGCAGGCGCGGAACGAGATATCAGCATCAAGGAATGCTCTACAAACAGGCGTCAACGGGGTCTCTGCGCTCGATTGCCAACAGAGATCTAGGATGGCCAGGGTAGCTCAATCTATGCCTAGTGCGGGAAAGCGCCTAATAACAAAATAGGTGCGGCGGTTCGGGCCACCACACATCCTAGCGTGTTTTGTCACAAGTGCTTTTCGGTCTCAAAAGCGCTGTGCAACCAAGCACGCCCTGATGAATGGCCTCGGGCTGAATTTGATTGCAGAAGTCGACTCGTTCGCGGTCTTTCAAATTTGTAATACGGACTTGTCCGAGCGCGACTGTGCGAAGCAAAATCACACCAGGGTCTGCATCGTGAAGCATACTGCAGAGGATTAATTTATACCCCATCGGCTGTTTGTGGATGGTTGTCAAGACATCCACTGCTTCTTTGATGCGTCGGATCTCTTTTCTTGCTCAGGCTTCCGAGTAAGTTTATCTTGATCGCAGTATCGAGAAGTGTCTTCCAGGCTTGAATTGGAGAAAAAGTCATCGGCCTCATTTTCCAAACAACTAAAACCAGGAAGCAGGTGGAGTGAGAGATGACATGAGGCTACACAGGGGATGAAAAATGTGATGAAAGAAGGGATAAATGGTGACGTGACTGCATATGATAGGCCCCCAGATTGCAGGCCGCTAAATTTTTCCATCCAGACCTGCCTTGCAAAGAAGATGCAAATACCATGGGTTGACCAGGAGTCAGTCCCTGTCAGTTTTTTGAGCGTGCGAATTCGTTGTTCTGCAGTCTCAGTGCCCATTGCTAGTTCTTGTTGCAGCCCGATGGTTGTACAACGACCAGCAATATCAATGCCGGGATACTTAAACGTCCACTTTCCGGCAAGTGAAGGCTGGCTGCTTATAACAAATACTTCGCGGCAGTCAAAGCTCAACTCTATGCATCCAGAATAGAATCAGGTAAACCCCGTAAAGAATACCGCCAATATCACTCGGCTAATTTCATCAGAGAAACATATACGAGCTAGAAATGTGCATAGTCGAAGAATCAGTCGAGGGGACCTTCAGATGTGGACACACAGAGAAAGACATACCCAGACCTGCTTCCCATCCGTGCGACGATGTTCTGGCAGGTCGAACGTGCCAAGGGAAGAAGAGAAGTGACAAGGGGAAAAGCCGAGGGTACTTCAACAGGTATGACTGTCCTGATTGTCGCAGGAAGCCACCACAGGGTCGAAAGGATGATGAAGGCACGGGTGGCGGTGCGTCAGGCGGTATTACGAGCGAATCTACAGCACAACGAAGGGTGCAGGGAAATTTCCCGCCGAATTTGGCGGTCAGCGCCGCCGCTTTTGGAGGCATTCTTCCCTCGACGCCAAGATCGCCCCCCTAGTCAGTTCCTACGTCAGGATGCACCCTCCTCGGTCTACCTTCCCTTGGTCGTCAATCAAAGTTCCCTTCTCATGCACTACGCAACTATCACTTGGGACCAGAAACAGTCCACTTTCAGAAACAGAACGGGCTCCATCCAACTCTTCGAAAAGATAGGCGCCTTTGACTGCACCACCCTAGCCATAGCGCCTCGAGGACCTGGAGGGACGGTCCCTGTGGATTTCCTAACACTACCACAGAGAGAGAGGGCGTTCGTAAACTCGACTCGAACTACGTTCCCATCTCCCATCTCCTCGTGCATTCCTACGGCTCTACCCAATTTTGATGTCTCGACCGGATCCCGAGATTCTTACTATTCTGCATTCTATGAGGAATTTCTCTTCCGACCTTCCTCCCCTACTTACCTGCGACTACTTCGTATCATCCAACACTATCGGTAGACGGAAGGAGTTTGGGAAAGAAAGATCTTCCTAGAGACGGTATAACTCTATAGCCGCTTAACTAGAGGCTAGCGGCCCAATACTCGGCCGAATATTATCGAAGATATCGTTAATGACTTACTGAGAAGGGTACTATAAAGAAGTTCTATATAGACTCTATAAAAGAAAATATTTTTGGAGTGATGAAAAAATGGATACGATAAGGGTGTATACGGTTTAGGACCTACCGAGGGGAGAAGTTACTAATAGTAAAACTAGTTATTGCGATTTTCTAGGAGAAGATAGGCTTTACTTTCTCGTATACGCTACTAAAGAAGATATTATAATCTTCCTTAAATAGATATTAGACGTTTATTCTAGAGTCCGGAAAAGAAGTACTTTAGACGAATACTAGAGAGTATAGTGTATATTATACCGAAAGTCCGTAGGGAAGAGTTTATATGCTAAAGTTATGGAGAAGGTCCGTAACGTAAGAACTAAGATATGTTTTTTCTTCTGGAGTAATAACTAATCTAAGGTAGTATATTGATAGATACTTAACTATTAAGTATAATCTCGATATATCCGTACGGGAAAAGCCGGTTATAGATGTTAACGATATATATCTTATCCTCTATTATCTCTAGGTTCTAGATATATCGGTCTTCCCGGATGAACGATAACGACTCTAGCTCGCTTTCTTAATTCTTCTTTCCGCGTATATAGTAACGAGACCGGTCGCCTTAGTGTATAAAGTGACCGATCTAATTAAATAAAGAGAATACTACCTTAGATGGGAGAATAATAAGAATAATAATAATAGTAAAATAGAACTAGATTAGGAAGATATTAAGACTCTCTACTATGAGGATATGACGCTTCTTATGCTTCCGAACCCTGAAGGAAAACGAGATCTTCTCGCGATAGAGGTAACGCTGAAGTATACTAAGGGATAGAAGAAAAAACCAAATCCGTTAGTGTTTGCTCGAAATTATATATATAATGCTCTACTAATATTTTCGGTAGGAAAACGTATATCCTTACTAAGGTTGATACTCTTGTTTTTAATGCGATCCTATTGATGATTATTATCGCTATTCTCGACGATACTTTCGAGTCTAAGGTAGTATTATATAAGGATATATTACGGATTCGAGTCCGTCCGCTACGACGTAGTTTGGAATTTAGATAGCGTGCGGAGATGATAAAAAAGCTAATCTTTCGCTAAGCTAAACGCACTTCCACTAGTATTTAAACGTCGCCGACGAAAGCGTTACGTTACTATATCTATCTCTACTATCTTTAGCGATTAGGTCTCCAAGTAGGACTTATATAAATCCTAGGAGCCTATATTATCCGGAGAGGGGCTAGTGAGACCGTTAAAGGTATATAATACTAGTTATATAGAATAACAGTTTTGATACTAATAACTTATAGCTATTATAACTTAACCTTAGCTTTAGTAAGTTATATATTATAGGGATACTAGTATCTATTAAGTATATATTAATTAACGTATCTAGTGTAACGTATAGACTACTTTCCTTAGCTAGCCTTCGTCTAGAGCTCTATTTAAAGTAGTTATATATATAAGTCGATACGCCGACCTACGGGCACTAATAGAGCTCGCTTTACGTGAAATTAATAGTCTTAAGGCCGACCCGACTATTATTTAGCTTCGAGAGCTAAGAGACCGATTAACTAACGAAGCGCGTAAAGAATCTAGAACTCTAAAGTACGCGGAAGCTAAAGGGACTAAGATCTACTAGATATATAAGGAGGCCGATCGAGCGCTTCGTTCTATAAAATAGATAGTACTCAAGTCGGCGAAGAAAGTCGCGCGATAGTAGTTTTTCGATATAATTAGTATAATTAAGATTAATAAGTAGCTTAATCTCTCTATACTCGATCTCGAGGAGGGCGACTAAGTGCCTAAAAAGATGGAACACTATTTGGAAGAACAGCGAGTAATTATAGATCTTATCTACTAGGATACTTATTAGCTTAGTAATCAGGATAAGTTCTATTATAGGATCCGTACCGCGAACGCTCTCGTCGTCTTATACTAAAAGAAGGATATCCCGCTGCGATATAAACTGGATCGAATATAAGGAGTTCAAGCGAAAATTAAATCGTTAGACCGTTAGCCCTTTCCTAAGGCTTCGATAATCACGTAGTGCGTCTTCTACTTCTAGAATATAAGAGAGTCATACGAAATCCGACTATATAACTTCTTAATAGTGTATAAAACTCGGGATTATGTCGAACTCTATCTTAAACAATTTAAGGAAAATGATAATATCCCATATCTACACCCCGAATGTCAAGTCTCCGCTATCGTCCTCCGTAGATATATATACTTTAAGAACTATAAAGCTTATATATATAATTACGATGTCTTTCGGATATTCAGCTAAATACCGCGCTTTAATAATTCGGATATAACTGCGTATTCCTAGACGAACATTAGAGCATAAGGTTTATACGGAAGACCGCTGCTTACGAA